ACATACGTATATTTTCGAAGAAAATGGCGGGTTTAAGTTGAAAAGCGAGATTTTGGCGGGTCCCCTCCGCATTATATACCCCATCCCCTTAGAGACCCCCAATCTTACACCCCCTGGGAGCCCCCTTATACCCCCTTGTAGACCCACTTCCACCCCCTTGAAGACCCACTTCCACCCTCTTGAAGACCCACTTCCACCCCCTTGAAGACCCGCTTCCACCCACTTGAAGACCCTCTTACACACCGGTTATAGACCCACTTAGAGCCCACTTGGAGACTCCTTACACATCCCTTAGTGACCTCCTTACACCCCACTGGGTGACCCGTTACGCACCCCTTAGAGTTCCCCCGCCTTACATTACAGATATTAGCAAGGATGCAGAAATCAAATACGACTTTTTTCCTATCGATCGATTTTCTTGCAGCAAATTTCGTACCACGCATTATGAATAAGTAAATTAGGCGAAAAATCATATGTGAGTTCCATATTTTAGCCCCAAAGGGGCTGCGCTAACAAGCTTTTTATCAGGTAGTTCGTTCTTTTGTAGCCTTTTATGTGTTTGTTATGCATTTGATTTTTAACTTCAATCTACTGTCTATTTATTAAATAGACCCTACTAGGCCCTGGTAGACATGGATAAGTGATAGAAAGATATATATATATGGGGTTGCCCAGTCCGACCGGATACCCCGATTTGTTTTTCGATGCATAGTCTCTATTCGTTGATCAAAATGTCTGATTTTTTTATCAGTTATAGTACTGATATAGAGTTGACAATCTACTACACTTTCGATTAAATATCTTTTCCTTAACTAAGGGGTTACGTATTCTTGTTTCAACTATCTGTTAAATATACTTCTATACGAAATTCTCACTTTGATTTTGCGATATAAAGAGTTAACAGACTATGTATATTTGATTTTTATATGTCAGTAGCAATGAATAATAAGTTTACAGACGTTTATCGATATCTTTAAAATATACACAACGTAGTTCAAAAGGCTAATATAATATAAGTTATTATTTGAAATTCGATTGAATCGCAGCTAATATACTTTCGATTCGACTTCTTTATTTACATTGGTTATTTTTCTCTCAAACATCTTTACTATTACAACATATTTACGTGGTAATACCATGATGTCATCTTCATCGCCTATTGTGTGGAATTGTCCTGAATATCAGATTACTATAACTGATCGTCAGAAATATTGCAAAATGTGCCAGTCGATGCTGGTTTGGATATGTATTTCTTCTGGAAAATCTGGTTTATACACAAATTATTATAGACATTGTGACCGATGTAGTTATTGTACAACTGAACTCGAACCAGAAAGATAAAAAACAAAGGAAGAAAATCAGATTTCAAGATTTCAGGAAGTCATCGGCTTTTTCAGTTTCCAACAAGTTATATAATCAAAAGTTTAGCAGATTATTAGCTCTCTATCAGTACTATAACTAGTAAAAAAACCAGACATTTTGATCAACGAATAGAGACTAAGCATCGAAAAACAAATCGGGGTATCCGGCCAGACTGGGCAACCCCATATATATATATATATATATATGTATCATCATCATCATCATCATCATGTCCCATAGGCTTTGCGCCCGTTGGGGCCAACCATTTACGAGATCAGATTCCTCCATGACTGTCGGTCTTGTGCAAGATGGAACAATTATTGTTCACTGCGTTGACACCACTCTGTTATGTCGTCCAGCCACTCTCTGCATGGACGTCCTCGTCGGGTTTTTCCGTTCTTTATGGCAAATATTGTATGTTTTATCAACCTATTGTCGTTCATTCTGCAGATGTGACCGAATAGTCTTAATTTTCTCTTCTTAATGGTGTCCATTATCGTTTCTTCTTTTGATATCCTTTTTCGGATATCTTCATTTCGTATCCTGTCTCGCCAATTGATTCTTAGAATCTGTCGGTAACATTTCATTTCAAATGCCAATAGTTTCTTTCTATCGGCTTCTTTTAGAGTCCATGTCTCTGATGCATACAGGTGCACACTGAAGACACATGTTGTTAGGATTTTAAGTTTGTTTTCTATCTTCAGTTTTTTGCTATTCCATATATGTTTCAATGATGCCATTGCACCTATCGCTTTTCCTATTTTCCTTTTAATTTCTTCCGAGCAATTGTTATCCCATGTTAGTAGACTGTCCAGATATTCGAATTTTTCTACGTTGTCAATGGTCTCTCCTGCTACTTGAATACTACTTTCAATGTTCCTGTCTCCAAATACCATGGTTTTGGTTTTATTTATATTCAAGGTAAGTCTTGCTTGTTCGGCAGCTGTCTTGGTTAGCTCAATTTGCCGTTGAAGTGAGCTAACTTCTTCATCTATAAGATCAATATTATCAGCGAAACTCAGATTATTTAAAAATATTCCGCCGATGTTAATTCCGCAGGTGTTCTGTCTCACTTGATCGATTACTCGTTCGAAATATGCGATGAAGAGGAGTGGTGATAAAGGATCGCCTTGTCTAGCTCTTACACCTATCTGAAAGCACTCACCATAGTCTTTCCCAATTTGAACAGCTGACTGTGCTTTTTCGTAGATTTTTTGTAACAATGTGACCATTTTTTTTCTACGCCATATGATTTTAGCATAGCCCATATAATTTGGTGTTTTATCGTATCGAATGCTTTTTGAAAGTCAACGAAACAGTTGTATATTTTCTTTCCGTATCTTTTTGCCTTTTCAGCCAATAATCTGAGCATCAGAATTTGATGTCTGGTAGTTCTGTCTTTTCTGAATCCTGCCTGCTCTTCTGAGAGGTAGGAATCTAAATGACTTTTAAGTCTATTTAGCAGTACTATTAGGAGTACTTTTCCTGTATGATTTATAAGAGAGATCGTTCGGTAGTTCGAGCAGTTACTGAGATCTCCGTTCTTTGGTATTGGTACCAAAATAGATTTGCCCCATTCTTCTGGAATCGTACCTCCATGCCATTGCTTTGTTACAGAGCTTATGAATTTGTTGCACTAGCTGTTCCTCGCCAGCTTGAAGCATCTCAGCCGTAATTCCGTCTGATCCTGGACTTTTATTTCTTTTTAGTGCTTGTATCGCTGCTTGCACCTCAGAGTATAGAATATCTTGAGGATCTTCGCTTTGGAGGGGCACGATCTCATCAACTTCTTTTACCATCCTATCCCCTCCTCCAGGATCTTTATACAGACCGCTACAATACTGTGTCCATCTTTGTTTGATCTGGTCCTTTGTCTGTAACATAGCGCCCTCTTTGTCCTGTCTCGCTGATTTCTTGGCCTTTCTACAAAAGTCTTTATATTGTTGTGCATATTCTGCGGAAACGTTTTTCATCTGTTTTAATTTACGTTTTTGGTCCGCTAGTTTTAGTGTCTCTTCGGAAATCCACGGTTTTTTGGTTGTTCTCGTAGCGGGTATAGTTGCCTCTACTGTCTTTTTGATTGCTTCTTCTATTTTTATGGCATGCTCTTCCAGATTACATGTCGGCTCTATATTTTTCAAATTTTTTGTTAGTGTAGCACTGCATGATTGTCTGATTTTCTCATCTCTTAGTCGGTTCACATCAATTCTGCAGTTTTGTTGCGGTTTACTATTCAAGTTCTTGAGTCGCAGCTTGATATTGCACAATACTAGTGAATGATCTGAACTTATGTCTGCGCTCTGAAATGTTCGACATTTGATGGCCGAGGTCTTCCATCTTTGCTGGACGAGAATCAGGTCAATCATGTTCTTGTGCATGCCGTCTAGTGATGCCCAAGTCCATTTTCGATTTGATTTATGTTGAAATCTTGTATTACATATGGAGAAGTTGTGCAGTGTTGCAAATTGTAGGAGGCGTTGTCTGCGTTCGTTTCTATCCCCATAACCGTATTTTCCCATAACGGATTTCCAATTTGTGTTATCATTACCAATTTTAGCGTTCCAATCTCCTGCCAGAATGGCTATATCTTTTTTTATCTGTCTTTGTTAATGCTTCCTCAATATCGTTATAGAATGCTTCAATATCCTCTTCTGAAGATGAAGACTTTGGTGCGTATACATGTATAACTGAGATTTTAAATGATGCTGCATCGAATCTTGGTGAGATGATTCGTGAGCTAATTGGATTATATCCTATTAATGCCTTTTGAGCTTGTTTACTTACGTTAGTAACAAGCCTACACCTCCTATATGTGAGGTTTCTTCTCCCGACCAGATGAAATCTCCCTGAGGTGTTTTACCTTTTCCTGTCCATCGTACTTCAGAAATACCAATTATGTCGTATCTGAAACATTTCATTTCGTTTCTAAGGAGTTCCAATTTTCCAGCAGCCCATAATGTTTGTACATTCCATGATCCTACTGTCAGAATGTTTTTGGCGAGTTTTAGTTTTTGTGTGTTTTGTGTCGTATCATTCGTGTATAACTTTTTTCCAGTAGTCAATTTTTCGACTCTGTCCTGGTCACTCGGCAGAGGACGCGGACCTTGCTCACCCGGGCGCCGTCCGAGCCGGTATGGTTTCGTGTTGAAGTCGTTCATGGTTGGTTTCTGTCGTCTTGTTCCTTTTACAGACGGCGGTATCTGCACCCCTTCCGCCAAACGTTTCTCCTTTATCCGGACTTGCAACCGGCACAGAAGCCGCTGGATTGCGGTCTCTATGGTGGAGTTATATATATGTATATAAAGTATAATATACATGTATATATAATATACAATATATATATATATTTTTTATATAGTATGTAAAGAGAGATAACAGAAGTCATCCATGAATAATAACAAAATCTATAGGTAGATTATATACAAATTTTGAATTATTTTGTAATTCATTTCCGGCATGGGCTCTATTTATGACTATAAGCAAACATAGTTTCCCAAAAATCAACATAGAAAAGCAAAGAAAAACGTTTTGAAAAAGGATTCGGTTTTATTTTTCACATTCACTTCTCACACATTATTCTTTTTAGGATTTATTCAATATATATCTAGGCGAAGTTTTATTTCACTGAGACGAACAAAATGGATGAAAAGCAATTTTTAATTGATAAAAAGAGTGATTCATTGAACGGATCGAATGAGACAAAACATGAATCATCTCGTCTGGAATGGGCAGAATCATCTTGGCTTCGATGGGGTCATCTTATATATTTTTCATGGATCATTCCAGTCATCAAATCGGGTTACAAACGAACATTAACTATTGATGACCTCGATCAATTACCTACTGATGACACAGCATTGGTTTTGATGCAAAAATTTTTGTCTTATGATTGGAAAACAACCAGAGTATCCATTGCAATTATTAAGATATTTTGGAAGGAACTGACGATAAGTGGGCTTCTTCTTCTACCATATATGTTCGGGCGTATGGCTGTGCCGCTAATTATGCGTCAGATTATTTTGCTCATAACTGATCATCAAACATCTTCTTCACTAAGATACGTGTACCCGGTAATATTTCTTCTGTGTGTGATAGTATCTCCATGTTTCTTATACCAATCTACATTTCGTGTAACTCGAATTGGTTTGAGAATTCGTCATGGTCTTCAATCATTAATCTACATGCGTCTTCTTTCTAATAAGAATCTATCTTTGCAACAAATTACTAGTGCACGTATGATCAATTTGGTTGGTACAGACGCGTCTCAATTCTTGGATTGTTCTACATATTTTCATTTCTTATGGGAGGCACCGATGGAGTTTTTAATTGGATTCTATCTTATTTATTCGATTATTGGATTTCTACCTGCATTGTGTGGCTACTTGCTTTTTTTTTTGTAATATTGGTACAGATAATTTGCAGTCGAACGCTAAGCGAATATCATGATAACATTGCTAAATGTGCCGATAAACGTATTCAAGTATTGAGTGAAATGATAAACGCATTTCATATTGTTAAAATGAATAACTGGGAAGATCTTGCAGAGAAGCGCGTCGATTCCATGCGTGAACAGGAATTTAGTACGATCCGAAAAGCATCTCTTATTCGCGCATTGAACATGGGTTTATTTTTCGCATCAATGCCGTTGATTTCGTTGGCAACAATATATGGTATTTGGTTAACAAATGGTTCGTTCGTGTCGATAGATATTTTTACTGCAATGTCGTTCTATGGTGTTCTACGATCACCTGTAACCAGTTTCTTGCCAATTGCCATTGAAAAAACTCTTCAACTTCGAGTGGCAGTGAAACGAATCGATCAGTTTCTCAAAGAAAGTCAACAACAAACATTAGAACCAGCCTATACTGATCAGTACCAACAAAGCGGTAAAGTAACTTTGCAAAATGCCTGTTTCTCGTGGAACAACAATGAAATACATTTGCCGCCAATGAATATTGATATTGAGTCTGGTTCTCTGGTTGGTATCGTGGGCAATGTTGGTTCAGGGAAATCATCGTTCTTTGCAGCTATTCTAGGTCAAATGCATCTTGTTGATGGTGAAATCTTCACAAATGGAAGTTCTTTCTCATATGCATCTCAATCACTTTGGATCTTTGTTGACACAGTGCGTACAAATATTATTCTTGATAAGCCATTTTATAAAGAACGCTACATGAATGTCTTACGAGCGTGCTGTCTTAATGCAGATCTAGAGTCACTGGGACCGACTGCTGATCTGACAATGATTGGAGATAAAGGTATCAACTTGAGTGGAGGGCAACGTGCACGAATATCACTTGCACGAGCTTTGTATATCGATGCTGATATTTACCTTTTCGATGATCCCTTGGCTTCTGTCGATAACAAAGTAGCCAAACAGATCTATGATCAATCGATTGGTCCCCATGGATTGTTGAAAAACAAAACTCGCCTACTGATCACGCATCAAACGAAATATTTGATTGATTCAGATCAAATACTTTACTTTGATCATGGTCTCGTTCGATGTGAGCTTCCTTCAAACGCATATCAGGTCGAACTTGAAAAAATCCCTCTGATAGATGAAGATACCAACATCAAGCCGGCAACAGCTAATATATTGGATGTCGAACAATCTCATATTGATCATCAATCAATCATTCAAGATGAAACATCTATAAAAAGTACTGTAAATTGGTCCGTTTGGGCTTACTTATTTAGTCAATCGGTTTTTGGTTGGTTTGCTTTTGCTTTCCTTATTGTACTTCTCTTATCGGGAGAAATTCTATGTGAAATAGCGAATATTTTACTTGCACTTCTCTTAAACAAGCTCGAGATGAATGCATCACATACTCGGCCCACTCCTAGCATCTACCTTTACGTGAATTTAACAAACATGGTACTATCATTAGTAAGTGCGATTCTTTTCTTCCGAATAATCTTGGATGGAACCAACGCTCTTGAGAAAAAGATGGTTCATGCGCTGTTTAATACATCGATACGATTTTATGAAAGTAATCCAAGTGGACGAATTCTGAGTCGAGCGAGTCGAGATCAACAAGTAGTCGATGAAATATTACCTGCAACTCTGTTCGATTCTGTACAATCGTTATTAATGAGTATGGGTTCGATCATTGTTATTGGTGTAATCAATCCATGGATTTTTCCTGTTCTTATTCCATTATTTGGAATCTGTGTTGTTTTACACCATATTTATGCGCGTTCAAATCATCAAGTAAAACATCTTGAAAGTGTAGCGCGTAGTCCCGTTTATAGTTTATTGGCATCCTCATTGAATGGATTGATGACAATTCGTGCTTTGAAAAACAAAGATTATTTCATTAAATTGTTTCACAATCGAATTGATGCAAATACTCGTAGCTATTTAGCTTTGATAGGTGTCTCACAATGGTTCGGTTTATATCTCGATCTTCTAAATAATATTTTCACAGTTATTGCTACTTTACTCTGTCTGATATTAAAAGATCAGTTAAATCCTGCATTATCAGTGCTTCTCTTGAGTTATACGATCACTATACGAGCATTTTTGCAGCGGGGTATACGACAAGGAGTTGAATCTCAAATTCTAATGACAAGTGCTGAACGTATTTATGGATATAGTCAACTTCCACAAGAAGAAGATTTCGGAGGCGAACATGGACTCATAGAAACATCACCTGATTGGCCTGATCTTGGTACAGTCGAGTTTTGTAATTATTCTTTTCGATATCGATCTACTCGCGAAACTGCACTTCGAGATCTATGCTTACGCATTGAACCGAATGAGAAAATTGGAATAATTGGTCGAACAGGTACTGAACTGTTCATTTGTTAATCATTCTATTTTCATGTTTGATTATAGGTGCCGGAAAATCGTCTCTTTTCCAAGCTCTCTTTCGATTTACTGATCGATCTCTTATTACAGGTCATATTCTCATCGATGGTGTTGATATCAGTCGTATCACTCTCAAACATCTTCGAACTCATATCAGTATTATTCCTCAACAAGCATTTCTCTTCAGTGGTTCTCTTCGATCAAATCTCGATCCATTCAATCATTATTCTGATGAACAATGTTGGAAAGCACTCGAAGATGTACAATTAAAAAAGTTTGTTTCTGATCATTCCGAGCGTCTTCTCTTGCCTATCGCTGAATCAGGCATTAATCTGAGTGCTGGCCAACGTCAATTAGTTGCTGCTGCACGAGCTATACTCAAACAAAGTAAAATCTTGTTAATCGATGAAGCAACGGCCAATGTTGATCCTGCAACGGATACATTCATTCAACAGCTAATTGCTCATCGGTTTCAAGATCGAACTGTATTGATGATTGCTCATCGACTCAATACAGTAATTCAGAGTGATCGTATCCTTGTTTTAAAAAATGGACAATTGGAAAACCTCGATGTGCCTCAAAACATTTTACATGACTATCAATGATCTTTGACTGAACTATGTGTGACGGATTCCATCCATCACAACTCTTTCAAAAGTGCATGTACTTATTAATCACTCTTATCATTCAATCATATTTTGAAAACGATGTTCAACAATACGTTGAACGATTAACATTTCATCTTTATTAATACCGAGAATTTGTTGTTTTTCTTCATGAATAGTAGTCATGATAAACGATTTTTTTAAAATGTTTAAACCAGGGTCGCCAATTGTTAAGGTGTACTTTCATTTCTTTATTAGCAGGTTCGATAACATACACCTTAACAATAATAATATCAGCACTTAACCCATAACAGGGACAGATATACTCGTATTCAATTATCTCCAGTGAGATAAATAATACATAATGATGTGTGGAGGACAATACGAGAAAGAAGGACAGCGCTATCGAAGTAGATGATGCTAATGATCTGTGTGTGCATACACAGATCATAACAACCACTCGTAGATTTTTTATTTGAGTTCGAATTAAATACATTTTAATTTCACCTTTATGATGCCAGTTATGACGCGACTTGTGAAGCGCATCAGTCAAAAAACGAAATAGATTTTACACAAAAGAAAGTACAGTGATAGACGATACTGATCAATATTACAATAGATTACAAATTTCTCTACTGTAAGAACTGATAGCGTCCTGGAGTTCACTCTATGTTTTTGTCAGTGTGCATACTTTCCAGTGTTCATAATGAAATTCATAATCATGAGAGTTCTGTCACGCTTATCAGTTTATTCTTAAAGTATGAGATATCGATTGAATTTTAAACATATCTATGCTTCATAACCGATAAACAGTTCTTAAAATATGAACTAAAATCATTCACTCGTGCTGTTGACTTTATTTTGACTTTTCTGAAACTTGAAAATGACAAAGTTGGCGACAAATTCCACTTTTTTTAGATGATATTTTTAAAATAGTGTCATTTTGAAGATTTAAAAAATAATAGTATTAGATAAGTATATCTCAATACTTACAGTACTCTGAAAAAAATAAAGGAGATTTACACAACCCTCCGAAAAGGTTCTGCATATTTTCAAAATGCTCCAAATGTGTTCAAAGTCTCAAAAAAAGGAAACAACATTATACAAACCCNCATTAACCGTTGGTGCGTAACCTTAATGGTTCCGTACTGAACTCAATCGTTTTGTACAGAACCTTCAAGGTTTCGTATTTTCTCACGGAACCTTTTTTTGCTGTACAGAACCGAAAAAAAGGTTCTGTAAGTGATGGTTCTGCACTTGGGTAAAACGCAGAACCTTCAAAAGGGTCTGTCAAAACTTGTATCCTTTTTTTGAGACTTTGAACACATTTGGAGCATTTTGAAAATATGCAGAACCTTTTCGGAGGGTTGTGTAAACCTCCTTTATTTTTTTCAGAGTAGTGTTCGAATGAGTATTTTTGTTTTCATATTGCACTCTCAACATCAGTGAGTCACGCATTATTCATGACAAAATATCCGTTATGGTGAGATATTACAAGAGGAATAAAACTGGTAAAAGACTGAATACGAGTAATGATGAACTTTAAGATTTATTCATCTAGTTTATAATAGCTAGTACTATTTGTCGTGGGACAAAAGAACCCAAAACAAAAAGATTAATAAACTCAAGCAACTTTTAGTATGGGAAAAAATGAAAAAAGAATTGACTTATTTTCTGCGATGTGCATGATAGAAATACGTTTGTCTTTTTTCTATAAGTGATAGGATAACATAGTAAATCGTGATGTTTCATAGTATCCATTATATTTAGATAACATCAAAAACTGTAAAATTATATCTATTGAAATAAAATTATTACTTTATAAATCTTTAAGATAAACGGTTTAGTTTACGTGTGATATGTATTTCCGCTTTAATTTTTGAATGGATAGAGTCTAATATGGAATAACATACAATACGTATTTTTTATTATAATTTTCCATCGTTTTTTCAAAAAGTCATAAATTTATTTGTGCTCGATACTTTATCTAACTCATTAAGTTATTTCGTAATGCTAACGAAAATATACCTTTTTAAAACTTTCAGATAGATATAACTAGTAGTACTCTTAGATTAAAATAATTACATAAATATTTCTAAAGAATCTTCTAGCCTAGAAAGTCATTTGTACATCCTGTCAAGATCTTTCTTTATTTGACTTGGTACACTCTAAAAATATCGGCTCTTTACTGAACCCCAAAAAAGGTTCCGGAGATTTCTAAAAGCATCTAAAGGTGCCCAAAGTTTCAAAAACGGATAAAAAAATCTTCGAAACCTTTAAAGGTTCTTGCCGTGTGCCCAGGATAAGAACCTTCTGCTACAAAATCATGAGGGTTTAGTACGAAACCATTTGGTTTTAATATGAAAGTCTAAAGGTTTCGTATTTCCCCTATGAAACCTTTTTCTGCTCTACGGAACTTAAAAAAGGTTTCGTAGCAGAAGGTTCTTATCCTGGACACACGGCAAGAACCTTTAAAGGTTTCGAAGATTTTTTTATCCGTTTTTGAAACTTTGGGCACCTTTAGATGCTTTTAGAAATCTTCGGAACCCTTTTGGGGGTTCAGTAAAGAGCCGATTTTTTAGAGTGCACTTTGTTCAGTCTCTTGGATATTTGTGTAGAAAGTATTTGACCGATCAATGGCAGCTTTTTGTCTGTTTTATGGATTAGTTGAAGGATAGACAACGATTAAAGTAATATTGATAAGCTTGCATCCTGTTGAACCATGATTATTCGTTCGCTAACCGCCTCCCATACGGATTCTGCATCTTTCAACGCTTGTGTAGATTGTTTGCTTAAGCATACTGCCACTCAATGAGCCGATCTTGTTTTTTTGCCACTTGTGACGCCCAGGTAAATCATGTTATAATCATAACGTGCTGTAATGCCTGACGCATAGATGGTCGTTTTGCTAAGCGCGGCCAGTTGAATGCAATTTTGGTTTTAGTTGTTTGACGATTAATTCTTTTTTTTCTCTTCGAAAACATGAACGAACGTTCCATCCACCAATGAACATTGTTGTACGTGCATTGCACAGATTTTGATATTTTTCGTTAACCAGAAAATTTTAACGTCCTGCAGAGAGGTGGCTAATCTAAAAGCAAGACAAATGACTACCAACAGTTCAGGAACGCATCTCACCATTGCAAAGCAGCGATGGGCCCCTATAAGTTCGATGACACTCCCGGCAGGCGGGTAGAACACAATGAAAAGTCATTTGAGAACATTCTTAACTTCAAACGAATCAATAATCGAGCAGCTCTCAGGTATAAATAATATTTTAAAATCACATACCTCATTGATCTATTAAATATCTACAATAAACTTCTTTTTATCGTGAATGTCTCAATGTTTTTACTCGTTTCTGTTAACAATTTTTTTCAGATCATTAGCATGCCACATAAATTTGATGATAGCAATGATGACCTGTATAGAATACGCGAACATGATTCGTTCAATTCTATAACAGTTCCACATCAATCACTTATGGCAACTTCTAGTAGCTCGAATATATCAACAAAAGTAGAAGAATTAATTCCTCCAATTGATATAAAAGATATTATTCTTAATCTAAAAGTAAAATATAATTATCCTGAAATTTATAAGTTCATTGAAGAACTCAAAAGTCCAAATAATGAAATGAAAGTTAATAATCGAATTCTATCTGTTTCACAGCTTTATACACTTCATATACTAAATGATCTAATCGATATGAGTAATCAAACTATACGTAAAATTTATCGCCCAACATTATTTATTCGTAAAAATGATGCATTCGGTCCATTTAATCATTATTATTTACTGAAATTATTCGATATTGAGTATGAATGTCCAAATAAAGACAATTTTCCAAAAGTATGGAAAGTAACAGTTGATACAAATGTTATTGTTAATGTACTTCAACTGAGTACTGCTACAAATTTTCCAACAGAAGCAAATTCGAATGCGATTGAAAATGATACGGCAACATTGATTGGAACATTACGTGCTATATGTCAAGAGAATAAATATGATGAAGAAGATGCAAAAACATAGTTTGACTGTCTTCGAGGTAAAATTTCAGTTGTGTTTAATTTCGCTTCCTTTTCAGTTTATTTCAGGCGAAAATATTAACACAATCGACCATTTACGTAGTATAACAAAAGATGATTGGGATAAGTTGAATAAAATTACTCATGTTGTTAAACAATTAATTCGAGATTATATGCAAATAAATAGCGTCTTAGGTTCGTTTAATCAAAGTTCAGATCCATATAAAGAATCAACAGCAACCTTGTTAGATGATATCCATCGTATTCGACGTTACTTTTATTATGTAATCAAGAAACTTGATCTTATTCCATATTTATCACGCCAAGCAGTTGATTTAGCAATTAATGAAGTTCGAAAAACTTATGATGATGATGGTAACATCTTAATTAATATTCAAAATTATCTTCGAACATTTTGCCTGAAAAATAAAGTTGAAGATCAATTATTATACGAGCAAAATAAAAGGCAATGGATCGATGAAATTAGACAATTGAAACGGGATAAAACATCATCAGATCAAGAAACTGAACAATGTCGAATACAGCTAGAACGTTTACAAAGAGATTTGAAAACAACAGAAAAACGTACAGGTAATATAATTCGAAGAGAAGCGGCTTTGATAAAAACGAGTACAGAAGGACTCAGTCGAAGTCAGGGCGCTGACAATATAATTTATCAGAAAGAGAAAGATAAGGCGATTAAATTTCTAGAAAAAGATCAAAAAGAACTTGCACAGCAGACTGAACGTTATGTTATTTTAATAGCCAAAGCCAGTAGTATCAAGAAAAATATAGAATGTTTAGAAAAATTAATGGAATTAAAATTAGAAGAACAACATAAAAGATAACAGTAAAATATGGGCGTGGCCTCTTATTATATGGTCTACCAGGAACCGGTAAGTAAACATTTTATTTCATTAAAAGAAACGAGCTATAACTAGAATTTCATATATTCAATCGATGAATGCTAAGCGATATTTTTTGCTATAATTTTTCGCTAATCATCATGGTCTTTGTTAGTGTTCGAAATAAATCGAATTAAAAAAATGACAATTATTTGTTCAATTGTCCTTGTACCTTTATAACTGATTTATAATATCTTGATCATTTGCAATACTCGGTAGGTAAATCTGAACTACTTAAACGAGTAGCAATTTATGCCGGTATAACAATGGTTACACAACCATTGAGTGCTGGTGATCTTAATCGACCATACGTAGGTGAAACAGAAAAACTTCTTGTTGATATTATGTATCGTGCACATGCTATTCCATTTTTAATTTGTGCAATGACAATTGATGAAATTGATGGTCTTGTACCCAAACGTGATAATAATGCACAACAAGGAAAAGTTGATGGCATTAGTGTGTTATTATCACATATTGAAGGTGTTAAAAATATTCCAAATTTAATTGTATTTGGTGCTACGAATCGTCGTAATATGATGAATGAAGCATTTCTTTGGCGAATGCAAGCAAAAGTATGTGTTGGTCGTCCATCGCCAGCTGTACGGGCTAATATGTTAACACCATTAGTGTGTAAAGATTCAAGGGTCTTTACACCAAAGCTTCTAGAATCTTTAGTCAAAATCACAACAAACTTCAGTGGTGCTGCAATAGGAGCATTGAAGTCAAATTTAATTATTGAAATGGATCGAAATCCGAAAATAACAGAGCATCGTCTATTAGAATTAGCTGATGGTGTAGCACGCGAGTTTAATGTTTGGTTCGGTATAAGTACATTACCTGAGATATGTCGTTTAAATCCAACTATCATCAATTCTACACAATATGAAGATAATTATTCATTGGATTTTGAAAAATTAATCCCAACAGGACGTAGATTAATTGATTATACTGATCATAAATGTCTTATTGAAATAAAAGATGAACCAACATTAGAAAAAGATTTAAATAAAGATGAAACATCTGTATCGCGCTTATTAGCACGTTTTATCCATGGCTGTTCAACGAGAAATATTGATACAATACAAACTATTGATTTAAACTTTTTAATAAAACAAAATGCATTTGATAAAAATCAAATATTTGAATTGTTAACTACAACATTTCTTGAATGTAATGAATATAATAGATCTATGCTTATATTTGATATTGATTCATTAATTATGTTAAATAAATCTGATTCAGAAATGTCTAAATCCAAATCGATTTCAAACATACGTGTTTATCAATTCATACGTGAAAAATGTAAGACATCTATTGTTAAAAAACAGAAGCCAACGAAAAGGTATGTATGAATCCATTGCCCTTTTTTATTTTAGAAACTGTTTTTCTAATTAAAAAAATCATTTTATTTAAGGTGATGTTACTAAAATTGAAAAATGGATTGTTATGATTGTGAAAGATTCATGGTTAAAAAACCAATTGATTGATGATATTGAATTTCAAAAATCGACTTCTCAATTGAATGAAGAGCACGAAGAAGAAGAAAAACGTATTGATGAGGAAACACCGAGAAAGTGTCCAAAGTGTTTACGTCATTATATGCCAAAAGAAGCGCGCGACGGAAATTGCCATTACCATACGGACTTCGTTGTTGATATTGATAAACCAAATGAGCGACTCATTGGTGAAAAAGCACAAGCTATTCTACAGCATTCACTATTGCAAAAATTATCTGAACAAGATATGCCAAAATTAGTATGCCCCAGGAGAATCAGGGTACGTTGGAATCGGTCGGAACCTATCAGTTCCGTTGAATTCCGACAATTTCCTAACTAACGGATTCCGGTCCAGATTTCGTCGGACCATTTCCGATCGATTCCCATCGGTTTCGTCGATTTCCGACGAATTCCGGGTCGGAACTTAACGGAATTTTTCCGGCGGAACCCGGGCCGGGATCCGTTAGTTAGGAAATCGTCGGAATTCAACGGAGCCGACTGAAAAGCAACGGAATCCATAGGATCCGGTGCCGGAAACGATCGGATCCACTGGTCGGATTGAATCTCCTGGGTGGGCTTGTTGTCTACGCAAATATGGCGATTCATTACAACCGTGTGAAACAGGCAAATGTGGCTTACCAGCCGAGCTAGAAGACACAGTTAATATGAAAAACAATGATTACATTACTGTTGTACAAGAGTATTTCAAGAAAAATTCAGCTGCGATTAAAAATCTGGAGGAGTTTTTAAGAAATTACAAGCAGACAGCAACGAGAACTGTAACAACGATACCAATACAACCATCAACAGGCATAACAGCAACAACAATAGGAACTAATATGAGATCAACAACACCTACCGCACAAACCTACAGACGAAATTAGGAAAAGTTTCTTGCTACTTTTTGCCGTTCGATATCATTTGCGATAGATACTTAAATAAAATTCACGTTTTTCCTTATTGAAATCGTGTGCTAGTTTTGAATGAGCACGTCAAATAGTTCCTTTTGATTGCAAAAACGAGTGTGGAAGAGATGGGCATCCCCATGGGAACAAATCATTTTGGGGCCCCTAAATTGTCCACGTAATATTCAAAATAATTCAAAAATTACGTGGACAGTTTAGGGATCCCAAAAATACTTGTTTTCATGGTGATGCCCATCTCTGAGGTGTGGCGTGTGGCTCTTGGTGCAGTGCTTCATTGAATATACACTACACCCACATCACACCCACAATTTTTTAAAACATTTACTAGGATAAAACCATCTACATTATTTTTCACCACTAGTTAAAGTAAATCTACATATGTATGTATAGAAAAGATATTATAGCCGTATTCATGAGTTCAAAATATACTCGACAAATAATCAATAGAGAAATAAGTTAATCCTTCCATTATCTTTCATTGCAATAAGTACTTTGGCAAATCATGTACGTCAAAATACTATAGAGTTGTGAAAAACATAGAAACAATCCCAACTCATGTTCCATATAATTCAATAATATTTAGATTCTAATGAAAATTGTTTCTGTTGAACAGAAAAAAAGTGATGAGTTAAAACAACGTCTGTATCACACCTAAAATCAATCATTCGATGAAAAACATACATTTATGTTTGTGGACGATTGGTACTATGCCACAGAGAGTAGTGATTGTAAAATCTGCTAGTAAAGAACATTTGAGTTTATTCGAATGAATCACATAGAATGTGAAGATTATGTAGAGATCTTTGAAATTGATTTGTTTAATGAAGAAAAGCAGTGCCATTATTTTATTTATTTAACATACATTATATTAATATAATAGTATTATACGTACGTATCGACACAAGTACAATGGTGAGAAGAAAAATAACTGATTAGTAAAGTATGAGAGAAAAATAGAACATCAGTATCATTCAGAACTAGAAGCAGACTGTTATAAAAAAAATGCACCTGATACACAACAAAAAGAATAAATAATAGCATAAAAATCACCATTATCTGATATTCGATAAAAATGAAAAACAAAAAATATAAAGAAAAGTTTTTATTCACTGTTAGGCAACATTAATGAAATATTCTTATTTGAACCTTTACGAAATTCAATTTTATCAACACCACCCCATGTTACATTAATAACATATTTATTTTTATCAAGTGTTGCTGAAACATATCGTTGTACATCAACTTGAAAATTTGATCTGTTATAAAAAAAACAAGCAATAAAATAACAGAATTTTACTAAATGAAAACATACGCTCTTCGTTTGAGTTTCGCTACATGACCAACAAATTCACCGACGCGATCATTTTTTGTATGCATATAAAAAACAAGATCATGATTCGATGTTAAATGAACGACAATTAATTGTTCTTTGCCCGATGTCACACTTAAACTAATAATATCATCGATTGGAATACCAGCTTTTCGAATATGAAAACCTTTTTTAGGATCAAGTTTATAGAGATATCTCTCAGTGAGAATAATAGCACGTTCATCCGTTTTAATATGAGTATTCAACTTTATTATATATAGAGAGAGAGAGAGAAAAGAAAAATATAATTATAATTATATGAATAAAAAACTATACCTTGACGGCGAGTGTAGAAAAGAGTACATGATTAAAATTGTCTTTTCCACGTAATTCACTGATTGATTTTCTATATTCAAGAGAACGAGAATTTTCTTCAGGCTAAAGAAAATTAAATGAAACAAAAGAAAACCTTCCTCAATCGTAGAAATAGCTTACAAGAAGTAAATAATCTCCTTTCCATTCTTCACGAATACTTGTTTCATGAAAAGTCGGTCGTTGTTGAAGATAATCTGCAGCAAGTAATTTTAATTCAAAAATAGCTCTTTGATCAGCCGGTATTCTTTGTATAACTTTATAAGCACGCCAACTAATATAAAATATTTCAACTAGTAACATAACACAAAGATCATTCTCTTTACCGTTGATAGATTTTCTTCAACAAATTATTCATAGGAAGAAAACCTGGTTTAGGAGCTGGCCACTTGATACTTTTACCGAAATCACGGGTATCCGAAACATTACTAAACAAATAAATCAGTTTTGTGTAACGTAACGGGAAAAAATTGTTGTCTCTCTCACCGAAATAATTCATTCAATTTATTAATATAACTTCGAGCACGATATTTTCTAAAGAAATTTTGTACTTTAATCGCTGAAATTTCACGTCGATATAGACGATGTTGTTTCCATGATCGCGTATACTAGAATGAGAAATTTCAAATAAGAAAGAGAATTTCATTCTACATGCTTTTTGAAGAATAACAACAATAAATTGCAATCCTGCAGTTCTTTTCTTTTCTAGTTCAAATAATGAAACTCTAAAATAAAAATAAAACAAAGATTCGCATATCTTATTGTTTTGATTCACTTACGGTTGTTTAATAAATAGTTTTGTATTTCCATAAGCAACATCATTTTCAAGATTAAGTTCTCGACAAATATAAGCAGCATTCTCTTTTGTTGGAGCACCACGAGGATATAGTTTCGATCGAACTGAATCAATTATTTTATACCTACCATACATTTGTAGAATAAGAAACGAAGTGTTTCGACAATTTTGTCAACTTACCGTTGAACAAATCGATCGTAAGGTGTTCGATGACAAAAGCCTTTTCAATTATATTTATAGTTGAATAGTTTTTTTTAGAATTCTTACCAGCTCGACGAACTCGAACATTTTCAAGTAAACCTAAATAAGCTATTTGATGTTCAACGCGTGTTTGATCAAAGATATTCGGAGATTTTTCATCATTTGGTTTGATACAACGGACATAAAACGGTTGCTAAAAAGTAGAATAATATGTAGATCTCTTAGGATAGTGGTTTCTTTTTACTTTAGATGAAAGAAGGTTAGAAAGGCTAATCATTGAATTACGAAAAATAGTACCAGCAGTTAATGGTCGTCGTGTTACTGATGTAATACTTTTTTCACCTTCTGGCCACATGGAAGATAAAATTGGATTTTTACTATTAAATAATAATCGTTTAAAATCATCAAATAACGTATCTCGATTTTTATCCAAAAATCCATCGACCGAATAAACAACATCGCCTATAGGTTTAAATTATTCATCTATTTTAAGAAGATTAAATATGAATACCTGCATAATGACGAATAAGAAAATGTTTATTATTATTAATACTTTTCCATATTTTATCTCCAGGTGAAAGCTAAAACAAATGCATTGTACATCGTGAAAGATCAGAATAGAAAAGTGCAATTACTTACTTTCCAACTCGAAAAATGTTTATGAGTTTTTAAGGCTTTATTTATCGAATCGAGAAACATTTCATCTGTAATATTTCCAACTGCTATACAAGCTTCATCAAGATGTGCTATAATGCCTGTACGTGATTGTTCAATAAGATCACAAATAATCTTATTATTAAAATAATCAATCTAAAAAACGAATTTTCATTTTAAATTCGAAAACAATCGCACCATGCAAAGCGATCTTACATGCTGCCAAGTAATATTTTCTCGTTCATATTCTTCTTGTTCTTGTTTAAGTACGAGTTCAATAAATAATTGTTGTAATTTTTCATTACAGTAATTGATACATAACTGTTCGAAGCTATAATAAAAAGAAAATTCTTGTCATCAAATACACCCAAAAAAACATGAAATCCTACCTATTATTTTCAAAGATTTCAAAACCATATATATCTAAGACACCAATAACAAGTGAACTCTGTACAGTACGATATCCCTGAGTCAATTGTTCGTTGTTTTCTTTCGCCAAAGTTTTATTGATATGTTTAATCAACCATTCAAATAAACGTTCATACAAAGCCTAAAAGAATGGAAATCAAATTCAATAAGAACAAGAAAACAGTAACGATATAGAATCATGCAAAATGTTCGTTTAAAAAATATAATGGGACATTTGACATATAGACAGCAAAACAAGAACGAATCATGCGTTGATTTTTTTTTATAAATATATATTTCTTACCAAAATAGAAGAAAATATTCCTATTATTTAATTGAATATGATTCTCTTTGTTTTTACCTTCGGAATATTAGAACACTTACTTTACTCAATGCATCTCGTCCATAGTAAGCTCGTGTCATATTTTGTTGAGCTTGTATCACTTCATTACGTGCAGCAACAACACGTGAAGTCAATGTTGATGATATATCAGATTCTTCACATGATAATAATTTTGATATCCATTTCAATTGATCATTATTATCATTGGATCGTGTTATTGAACAATGCTCACCGTCAACATCTGTAAATTGTAAATTGCCCTACGATAGAAATGTCAGATTGTTATTCTACTACTGACGATAAAAACCTACCAGATGAACAATGGCAGCAACTATTTTCCATATAATTGATATTTCGTCTTGTGTAAAACCAACAATTTTAAAAGCTTGTTTAACTTGTTGATAATCATTTCTATCATCAATTTTCGGTATTTTACAACAATTTCCTTGATTAATATAATAATAATCTTCAGCTTTAAGATTAAGTCCAAATTCTTTTAGATTATTCTCTCCAAATAATAATTGATAAAATGAATGAAAATTTCGTTCACCTAATTGTTGTTTAACTACACGCGATTTTTCCAGTAAATAATGTTGAATTTTTCCACCGATTGGATCAAATTTATAATCAAAATTTAAATCCATATATTTACCAAATCGACTACTGTTATCATTGCGATTGGTTCGACTATTACCAAAGGTTTCAAGTATAACATTTGTTTGAATAAGAATATTACTAATTCTAAAACAAATTAGAGAACGAAGTTCGAACGAATTTCTATGTAAAAATAGTTTTGGAACCGTTGAATTTCAGTTTGATTTGATACATTCGTTACTGCGGCTATGTAGCGTAGAATTATTTTTGATGCTTCTGTTTTACCAGATCCCGATTCACCTATTTGGAAAAAACATAGAATAGGTTCAATCGTTTTTCTAATATTCTAACCTGATATAACAATACAACTATTTAATGAACGTTGTTTTAGTGTTCGATAGGCTGCTTCAGCAAGTGCAAATATATGTGCAGGCCGTTCAAACATTTCACGTCCTTTGTAACTTTTGATATATTCTGGTCCATAGATAGGCAAATCACGATAAGGATTAACACTAACCAGTACCTATAGATTTCCAATGAAATCATATTTAGATATAAGTTAAAAATAAGAAATAACTTTGGACGGACCTCGCCAATATATGTGTAGATTCGTCCTTTTTCAAACCTAAAAATAATGATTGTGTGGTTTTTATTACAGAAAACCAAAATAGTAGAAAAACAAACCGTAATTTAAGATTTTTCATGAACGCATCCATATTAATGTCAGACAATAGGACAAAATCACCAACGCCCATATCGGGACCTTCATGTTCGATCGAACCTGCGGCCATCTAGAATAGAGAAGTAACAAGAAAAAAACATCTATTACTATTCAACAATGATTCATGTGTGGGAAAGATAAGGAAAGGCAAAAGAAAGAAAAAAAAATTGTCATGAATCGGTGCTGTTTTTTTTATCTGCGATATGCTTTAATTAAATGATCGAACAGCTCCTGTTCTTTTCTATTTTTTTCCTGATAATATTTTTGCCATTCATATTTAACTTGTTTCCAATGTTGAACATTCTGATCGAGTAAATCAGTAAAGTTATTTGTATCTACAACATGATTATCATGTTTTTGTTTTAAATAATTAACTAATTGATTGAGTCGATATTTTTCTTCATTTGGATCAATAATATCTTGTTGTAACGATTCAGCTTTTTCACTATGATTACTTTGCCGACAAATCGATGTATATTGTCGAACCATTGGATATAATAATTGTTCAGTTGTTGAAAGATGTTCCAATGAAACTTTTTCTTGACTGCGTTCAAATGGAAAACGACGATTTTTTTTCATCATACTAAAAATGAAACAATAAATATATTATTGCAATTAAAAACATAGATGCATAGAAGAATAATTTACTTAAATAACAAAAAAAATTAAATGAAAAACAAAAAAAATTTAAACATTCGGAATTGTTTTACTAAAAATATCCTCAAGTTTTTCTTGCACTTCTCCTAAATAAGGTCGACGAGATGGTTGAGGTTGCCAACATTTTATCATTATTTCCCAACATTCGTCAGTGAAAAAACTCAAACGTTCAGGTCGAACACCTTGTTTTACTCGCGACCAAAGTACATCTTTCGATGGACAAATATCAAAATTACTCGGTAGTTTAACACAATTTGAACAGATATACCAGAACAATATACCAAATGCATAGATATCAACAGTATGATCATATTTCGATGTAAATAATTCCGGAGCCATATGAATAGGAGTACCAACCAGTGAGCCACTCATCATGACTTCTGGTTTACAAAATCCAAGATCAGTTAATCGTGCATGATCGAAACTATCCAACTAAAGAAATTTAAAACATTTTTTTTATTAAATATAGATTGCTATTTCTTACTAAAACATTTTTTAATTTAATATCTCGATGAACCAAACCCAGTCCATGTAAATAGCGTAAGCCTTCAATAACATCCAATGAAATCTGTATTCTAAAAATAGGAATTCGTTTGTAGAAAAAAACCTTCATTTCAATATCAACAATACCTAGTTTGAAATGGTAGTTTGTGTTTCAATGCTGCATGTAAATCTCGTTTAAGTCTTTCCATTACAAGTAATACAGGTGTTTGATCGCGATTTGAATAATCAATAACTGATCCAATTAATTTAACAACTCTTGGATGTTCAGGAATTCGTCTTGAAAAATAAATGACAATTAGAAAAATCAAAAAATGTTTTTATTCACCTTAAATAATGAAACTCCAAGGCAAGATCATTCCAATGGCGATCATCCGGTGGAACAACAGATTTCAATACGCATAAACGTTGATTAGCCCAACTTTCACATTCATAAACAACTCCATATTGGCCTCGGCCAAGTTCACGTCCTAATTTCGGTAATCCATATTCAATAAGATCTTTTAATGATGTGCTTTCAAGTAAATGTCGCGCTATTTTCGGTGTAAATTCTTTTCTCACACGTTGTTGTTTATCTTCGGTAGATTTCAACCGATCGGAATGTCGATGTTCTAATTGTTTTAGTAGAGTGTCAAAATTTTCATGTGACATGCGTATCCGATCATTCAATTGAGCACAAACACCTTTTGCCAATCTTAAAATTGATTAATATAGAAAAACAAAACTAAAAGTTTTACGCTTTTTTTTTTCTTCTAATTCTTACTTTGCTTCACTAAGATTCTGTAATATGGTTGATGCAACAGAACGTTTAAAATCAGGATCAATACGTGGACAATTACTCCAACTGAATGTTCGAAAGAGCTTTAAATTGAAATTCAGATAAAAAGAATAATTGTATTAACAATAAAATTACCTCTTTCATTTTATCGATTAATATTTTAAAAAAATTCGAATTTGTTGGCACGGATATATTCACTTGATATGCTGACTGAAGAATCTAACAACAAGAGAAAAGAAATACTACGCTATTAGATTGAAATCTTACAAATAGACAAAATATTACCTCTTGTAAAGCTTCACTTGCCGATGTACTTCTGTCATCGTCATCTTGATTACGTTCCAAATTACTAAGACAACGTGTCAATGTTCCCACATAATCTTCATGTAAAATACTAACTGAACATACTAATTTTTCAGCGATCGCCTTATTAAATCGTTCAAGTACAAAATCCTGAATAACATTTGTACACTTTTTTAAATCTCTCGTTGTTTTTACTGTTAGTTGATCAGTCAATTCGATTCCTAAACGAAAATTTATACAATACTAATTCATTTTTTGAAATGCAGTTTTCTTTACCAGAAATTTCTAATGAACAAGCTTGATCAATTAATCTCTCCTGTATTTCTCCAATCGCTTCAAGAATTAATTTTTGAATTTCATTTTGTTTAGAATTTGTTAAACTTATTAAAGATTCATAGAGTTCTTTTTCTTTTTCACGAGTGTAATTCAATCGTTTAGGTGTGATCAGCATATCCCTATGAAAGTAAAACAATGAGAAAATCCACAACGTATTAAAATGTCTATTTTTTTTTTACCTTGCCATTTCAAAGGCACTATCATTGAAAATATCCAAACAAAGTTCTTGTGAACATTGTAAATTACTAACTAAATATTGAAATTAGTCTAATAAAAAGTAAAGCTCTTTTTCTTTTTAAAAATTTCCTACCCGCTCGAATAGTTAATCGGTCAAGATGCTTACGAATATAATTTAAAAATAATGGAAAATTACTTAAACCATTGTCAATTATATCACTTTGAAATTGAGTTGAACTGGCTTCAGATGTTTCATCACATGATTCAGTCGGTACTAATGAAACAAAACCAAGATCAAATAGTTGTCTAATAGATTAAGATAAGTTTAGATCGAGAAACGTGTAAATTTTTACTTAAATATTTGCACGCATGGTGTTTCATCTATATTTAACGATGGATTATCGGGTCTAAAAAGGATCAATATAAACCAACAAGAATATCAATATTATTTTCTTACGAATTCTTCTGATCAATTCGAATAAATAGGATTGGTTCATTTGTTGTGACAGTACGAAATAATCGTAAATCTTCTAAATCATTGTCTGATAATTTCTTCTGATCAATTATATAAACAAATATAGGTGTAGTGCCTTCTGTTATTTGTGAATAGATTTGTTTGATGTGTAATTTTTGATTGCTGGGTGTTATTAATATTTGTAAATCATTACCAAGCAAAATTAACGGCTTTCGAATTTCTAATAATGCTGTTTCATATTGATCGTTGTCTTCGTCAATGCGATGTGGACGACAATCCTTTTCATCATTTACAATTATATCCTCACGTGGTACAGTTGACCATGATGCTGCTGTTTGAACACCACCGGTATCGACAAGTTCAAATGAACCTGATATATTTAAACCAACACCAGTTGTTACATGATGCTGTATAGAAAATAAAACATATCGATAGGTCGAACTGATTCAATTCAGTCTTAATCATTCGGCGTAATGCAACAAACACTAAATTACTATTTTCTTTTCGCAATTAAAAATCAATCTTATTTATATAATTCTAATTGTCAATTCATTTGAATTTCCTTGAAATAGAAAATTATCATCTCATGAATACCAATGAAGAAGAATCCTTACTAATAAATGCATAGCTGTCAATTCTACCTTACATGGCATGATCAGCAGGTATTGACTCGTGCACAGGTGTGTTGTTGTTATTGTTCTTAGAATAACACAGACGGTTGTAACCACTTATACTCGCATCAATGACTCATTTTTACAAAACAACATGAATTTCTTGCACAGTAGTTTGAAAGTCATGAAATCAACAGGCAATCTGACTCGCCTCAGAGAATACGGACCATCTCACATCGCAAATTTTCATCTTGTCTTTCTTAAGTATCAGACGAGAATTCAAAAGAAAGCGTTTTCTTTTTTTTTGTTACCTTAATTCGAATCATGCGTACAATATCATTGTTTTTAATAATGGGCGATTCCGGTAGTAGAGTTTCATTAAGGAGTTCATTGACAAAACGTGCTTTTCCATTGTATGTTTGCGAGCAAATAATCAAAGCTACCGGTCGTGATGATAAATTCTCAATGAATTCTCGATTTACCTCTGATAATTTAATCTCAGAAAATTTTTCTAAACAAAATTCAAGCGTTGAATATTTGTTTGTACAACGGAAAAATCTTACCGACCAGATACAAGAACACGTTTATCGTTTATTTCATTATAGGATCTATTAGTTTCTTCAAGTAATCGTTTAATATATACACAAAATCTTTTATAACGTCGAATAATTTTTGCAAATTCTTGCGTAAATAATGATGAATTACTATTAGTGTTAGTTATCGATGTTTTAAATTTATCTGTCATTATTTATCTGAAAGAAAGAAGAAAACAAAATACAGTCGAGTCAGTCTCTATTCATTGAGAATTTAAAGACATGAATATAATATGAATGGGAGAAGGACACAAAATGAATGAACGACAACATTGAATGATAGTATATTTCATAAATACAAATCACAAATGATTTCTTTTCTCTTCTTTTCTTTAAGATTCTGGCGTATGTTCTGGAGACATTTGCATATTATTATCATTGTTAAGGTTTTCTTTTTTGATTGCAGATGTAGAATCACTATTAAGACTTTCAAGCCGTTTTTGTACATCTTTGAGTAGATCAAACTAAAGACAAATAAGAATTATTGACATGTGAGTTCCACAAAAGTTATTTTCTATTGATCTTTATTTTATCGCTTATGTAAAGACATCGATGTAAATATTTACAAACGTGTTTTTGCGACTTTCTCAAGAGCAACAATCTGTATAAACAAATTAATCTTCTTGCATTCTAAATTATTCAATAAACTTACAATACGTCCAACTTTTTCCGTTTGATACGAAGGTAAATTTTCAAATGGTAAATGATCACAAATGCCTTGTTGAAATTGATCTCGACTAGGCAGTTGTTGTGGTACATGCAATTTAGGTGTACTACTATACATCCATAGAGGTGTACCAGAAACTTGTCCAAGACTTTTTTGTTCATAATTTGTTGATGAATGAGCATGATCCGTTGTTATTGAAGGTGAACTAGATTCAGTAGTTATTGATGCTTTTGTTTGTTTGGTTGTATTCAATTCTTCAATGGGTGTTGGCTTGTATGTTTCCAGTGTTGATTTACGTTTAAGTGAAGGTTTTTTCAATAGATACATTTCTTCGATAAGATTTTCTTTACTTTGCTGTTTATCAAATGATGCTAACGTTGAACATGTATAAGCTTCATCGATAAAACCATCTGGTACTGGAACGTTAAAACCAGGAAATGAAACGACTTTATCGAAATCATACTCATAAACGTCTTCATTATTTAAATCAGCTTGAGTTTGCATATTGTCCTCCAGTAATGCACCGGGAAAGACATTGTCTTGTCCAGTTGGATCAATGGGTTCGGTTTTTTTTGATTCAATAATTTCACCTAAACTAAACGGTTTGATTCTGATTATTATGCTATTAGATTTTACCTTCTTCGTTGTCATGAAAAACTTGTAAACCCGATTTTTTCACACGTGCTTCACGTAACCAACCAGGTGGATAACCACATCGGCGCATGTTATAAATATACATAGGTAATTGATTCTCACGAATTCCTAATGCTTGTCGTAATTCATAACCGACAGAACCCGGTTGAAAACGTCTAAAACGTTCGTCAATAACAACTTGATCGTTTAAACTTGACTGATACGAATCTTCATGATAACGACTAGTTGGTTCACCTGCATTTCCATAGCCTCCGTTCGCTTGTGATAGATCATTGTAGCCGCATGCTTCAGCCATTTGTTCTTGATATTGTTCTCGACTACGACGAATACGATCACTATCTAATTTCATATGACATCCTTGTACGCCATGATCTAATGCTCCACAATTGAAGCATGATGGTTTAGGTCGACGGGCTCGGTGTAACGATGCTTGCTGTTCACTATCAGGTAGAGCTAACCGATAGACTTGTTCATATTCGGGTATAACCCAACCTTGTTGAAGTGCTCCAACATTAGCCGATGCTAATTCGTCACCATTTCGATCAATGAAGAATGAATCATAATATTCAATTGGCATAGATTTCGATGCTAAATCATTTTGAGCTTCAGGTGGGAGACTCGATTGTTTTACACGTAATTCATCAATTATTTGACGAAATGTTCGTTCTAAATGTATCTAAATAAACAACAACAAAAGATTATTACTTCGGAAGCAAAATATAATATCTCTACGATAAATGTTTCTAATATTTACTTCCTATTTGTTGATATATAATTGTCGTACATGTTAAGGGATAAATATTTCAAACCGAAAAAAAATCAAGGTATAAACTTCTTCATGCACTTCAATTCTGCCTATTATTTTATATAGTTTCTCAAACAGAACAAAAAGAAAGCGAAATGGTCCTTGTCTTCTTTTTTCTCTTCGTCGTCGTTTCTTTATCTGTGAAGATTACCTATACAAAATGACGTCACTGCTTCGGGCTATTGATGACTTACTTTTTTCTCATAATCATATTTGTCTAATTTGAGTCCACACGTGAATAATGGAGCACTATCTATCGTTCGATTCTTATTGAATATTGATGGGATTTCACTATCATCGTTCATATTATCTTGAAATAAATGAAATAAAATTTTAATAAATTAAATTAAGGGTTAAATTATTAAATATTTATTGTTAATTCTTGAAACTATCAAACGTTGATGCTTATACAAAATTGATAAAACTCTTCTAAATACATGACATACGGCACAAAAAGCAAAAACGAGAGTTTAACTTGTCGACTCTCAGAGCTATTGTTTGCGTGGTTGATTTATAACACGTTGATCATCATGTTTTGAATGATTATGAAAATCATTTTTTGGATGTTTACCATGTTTATCATGAATAGTTTTTACGGCTTCAGTTGGAAATGCTTTTTGAATCTAAATTTAAAAAAAAAAACATAATATTTATCAAGTCTTAGTGATAAACATACAGGTACAAATGTTCCAGATACCATCTGACCAGCTACATGATTTGATACAGCTCTAAAAAATAAAAATAAAATTTTGTTCCTTAAAATATTCTTTTGATTTACCCTGATTCTTGTCCATCATAGAGATCTTCTTGATTAGTATTGCCAGATGTTCCTTGTTTACCTTCAGCATTTGTGCTATCTCCTGAGATTTCATCAGTATTCACACTTCTTTCTTTATCATCGCCTTGTGATGTTTGTCGAGGACGGGATGCACCAACACGCATACCACCAACTTTTACTATTAAGAAAGCAATTGTTGAAAATTTAATTTTTTGATTTGGAATAAATAAATTTTAATTTTACTCGCTGGAGGACGACCAGCTTTGAGTTCAGCGGAACCAGATGTATCACCCGATGATGTTTGATCGGACATTGTGAAATTTGCTTAATTAATATACAAAGAGAAAACCTTGAATTAGATAATCTTAAATATAATTTTTGATTTATTAATTAGTAACAATGAAAAACTAGATGTGGTTTTTCCTGTTTGTTCGTAGATTTTCTTTTTATTTCATATTGATAAATTAATAATATGACAACCTTGTCTGTTTCCTCCATAGACGCGACATTTGTGTTTCAGTGAGTTTCATTGGTGCTTGTAATTAACCAATACTATCTTTGAAATTGATTGAATTGAATTGAATTGAAATGCAGTCAGCAGCTATTCATTACGAAGAAAGAAGAATATGAATCGTGAAGAACAATTGTTATCAGTTGAAATAACGAGGTTCAACGAAAAGCACTTGTAATCTATGGCATGAACGTGTTAATGCGACATGCCATCACATTGAAAGAAAATTGGTTAGAATCAAAGTTTTCGTTCTTTTCAAAAAATTTGCTTCGAATTTCTTCTCACAATAAAGCAACGTGTAAAATGATACTTCGCTTTTTTTTAAATTTAGCACAGTTCCAGGTTGACTATTCAATTCTTTACTTTCCAAATATCATAGAATACAATTTTGAAAGCTTATCAGTATTTGTAATTATTACCCTAAACTTGATTTTTCTAAAACAAAACAGGTTCTAATCTTGAGGGTGGGATGTGAATGAGTTGTCTGGACGTCACATTGCGAATATTATTCATCGGTGTATTCAACACAAATGCGAAACTAAATGCAGTATGTTAATAGACCATTATAGGTAACTGCATCTATAGAGTAAAAAAGGGCAAAACCCATCGACTATAAATATGTACAATTAACAATCCATTTATGATCGATTTTGTTATAAAAAACAGCACATCATTACTGTTTCTATATTTATGAATCACATTTTCAAACAAAATGATGCACTTAATTAGAGCTACGTTTGATCTAAAAAAATTGTCTACAATTAATTGCGTCTGGTATGCCATTGGTAGTTTATTTCGACGGAAATAGAGTAATTAATTCAACATAACTGATGTTAATCTAATAGACCATATCTGAATACAGCTAGATAGATTATGAACGCTCAACGATCAGGGTTTTTAATAAATTCTATGCAACTAGATTCTCTTCATTTTTACACAAGACCGAATAACTAGTTATCTATGTTTAGTTGGCGTAGATAAAAGAAAAGAAAAGTATGAATAGAGAGCTCAGATTCATATCAGCTAAACTCTTGATCAGCGGCATTAGTCACTCGTGATTTTGACAAATGAAAGTGTTAAATTATTTCTTGTGCAAGTAATATCAATTTTCAAAACTTATATACGTAATATCGTTTTTCTTTTCTAATAGAAACAACATGTTCTAGATCAACGATGGGAACGGGTAGACAGCCGCCACTTTCACGATCTTTGATCGTTTGTTTCAATCTTATTGTTCATTTGAATCACGTATCCTATTACTTCAAAATGTCATTTTCTTTGAGCATGAAATTTTATAAGGGCTCGAACAATTGAAAAGTTTAAATAATCGCTTAATTTGAATGTCATTTTTTTTATAGTTAGTTATATATATGTATTACTCAACATGTTCGTTTAAAAAGATTCTCTTCTATATTGTATTCGATGTAGTCTGAAAAGGTTTTAATTGAAGAAACGTGATGTGTAGTTAATCAAGAGTGATGATAGATTATTAATTTCAACGTTGAGAAATAAATAATCTCGAACTTGATCAAGATCAAATATTTTATCGGGAACTAGTTTCCTTCTATCATCGTTTTTTATATATTTTTTTTATTAATTGCTGATGGATAAAAAATTGTTAGTCTTCTAAAATCGTCGGAGCAAATACACTAATCCATTTATACAATTCGTACTGCTCGATAAGTGGCAATGTCTTCATTTTTCTAATCTATCGAGACAAGTTCTCTTCGCCTTTGCCGACTAGATCTAGGACTATATCTAATGATTTTCACACGTAGTGACATTTCATTTACAGTCAAGTGTTTCATCATCAATCCAAAAACAAGAAACTTTGACATTAAAACCTAGAAGATAAACAGCGCGACAACATGGACACTTTTTCTCTCTATTGCACATCTGCTACGGTTTTTTTATCTCGAACCAAAGAAAAAAGAAGAAGAATTCATGGGCGTTTAATCTGGATTTACTTCGAATAAAGTGTTATCATGTAATCATATAATGATGCTGGCATTTATAGAAACAATTTATCAGAATTATCCGCCCAGATAAGATTCCATTCAAAACAACATGCACGTATGTACGAAAAATGTTAACTGCTTTGCCTTTCAAAACAATTGAAAATCGTGAGATACGTATGTCCAGCTTCCGCACGAAAAATCATCATTGCTCGAAAGTTCTATGTAATACACTTGTAATTTTGTTGACTTAATTTAGAACACAAAAAAAGTCGATCAATCGATACAACAATCATATATTATTTAAAAAGAAGAAGAAAAAGATGATACTTCAGATCTAATGAATAAATGGACACTTGTGAGAATAAATATGACAAGAATAGTAAGAAATAACAACACATACACTATCTGTACAATAATCTAACATATTCTCCTTGAAATTTTCAATTCAGAAATTCCCTCCTTGATAAAGACCTTCTAACATAGACAATTGATGTTGTGACCAGAAATTATTTTGTTGTACATTCCAATCATTTAATGGCGTTTGAGAAGAAAGAGTATTTGACGTTGAACAATTATAATCGTTGAAACTCTGTATCTGCGTATTCGTATCTGTTGAAATTGTATTTAAAAAAGAATCTGATGAACGGTTATCTATTGTTTGTGTTGTAGATGTATTTGATGGAACTTGTTTATTATTTATATTTAATGATTTTACATTTTGTGTTACACTCGATAGATCATCATCAGACACGGACGATGACATTGTTTCTTCTCCATCGCTATATGTTTGTTGTATTTTACCATCGGCATCATGCTTATACAATGGACACCAAGTACCGTCGTCCCCAAAGCAAACAGCTACCTCGCCCGGATCTATGGAAAACAAAAATACGTATATCTTTAATTTTTTTTTCTATTCCAAGAGACAAAGTTTCTGAAATATGCAAAGAATGGGCAATGGTCTCTAGACGAGGTTGTCTGTTGTGAGTAGGATCGAGTTATATTGAAGGCTTCATCCTTCTCGTTGTTAATCCCTATCTAGTTGGAAGACTCTACTACGATAAATATTTCCTTATCTCAACCCTTCACATCTCGCATTTCCAGAACAAACTATTTGTAAAAGACATTCAATCGATAGATTTTTAGATAAATATTTTGTTAGATATGCTATACAAACTATGACCTTTCGATGTGTAGGGCACATCAAATACAGAATAAATATATACACTACAGATGTACATAGTTCAATTTTCATATTCTAATAAGTTGGAAAAAAAATAGGATTTTTAAAATCTTTTTTTTCTTAAATATTCGTTACGTGTCAACAAAAAAAAACTACGCGATTAGGTTTCTTCTTTTTATTTTAAGGCATTAAAATAAACACAAAGGTAGGCAAGTGTAAGCTTTCTCAAGTATTTGAATAATACGTTAATATAGAACAAGGTTGATATTGTGTACTGGGCACTCCTCCTGATCTCTGAATTAATTTACTACTACTGTAACTATTTACTATGATTGATTACATAGTGTATATGAACAAGAAAAAGAAGAAGAAAAAGAATGTTTTGTTTATGAATCTATACTGTTTTAAACATGAGAAATATATAGCTGATTATCCTATGCGATAATATTAAAATAAAATAAATTTATTTAATGAACGGAGCTAGAAAAAGAAAAGCAATCGTCCTTGATATTAATTTGCTAACTTTAACATAAACACTGTCAATCGTGATTTGTGACCTATTGGAAACTCATATAAATAAATATGAGAATTTATCTTTTTCGAATCTATGAAAGTGTATGTCTTATACAAGAGCAAAATATTTTACCAATCCACATAGTGAATATGACTGGTAGATATTGATGAAGTGGTAGACGAGCACGTTCAGCAATTGATTTAAGAACTGGATCTTTCCAATGTTTTGTTTGTAAACATCTGTATGCACTTCCACGATGTGGTGTTGCTAAAAACAAACCACAAACGATACAGTCGTATGATTCTTTTCGTTCGTAGAATATGTATATAGTTACCAGGAAACCAATGTCCAACAAATCGTTTTGATAATATATCATAAAAAGTTCGTTTGAAAACATTGATTTGTTCGGTCGATAATGCAACGTGGGCTTTCATTAATCGTAATAGATAACTACATGCTACATTAAGTTCTTTCTTCGGATTTGTCATTATTGATAAGAAAAACGACAAATAGTAAATCAATCTATAATAACATACGAAGAAGTTTATCACAAAAGAAAAGGTCTTCGAGTGTCAACGCGAGGTATTATGTTGACCGATAATCACTATAACATCTTTCGTGTCTTTCTTTTTTCTTCTTCTTTTTACTTTTATAAATGAAAAAACCGATAGAAGAAAAAGAACAGATGAATAGATGGTGATTTGCGTAAATATAAGCAAAAGGACAAATTGAAACGAACGACATGAAATATAAAAATCGATTTCATTCCTATTTGACCTATTTTAGTCAATAATCATTGAAAAAAAACAATGAAATCAATGAAATTTTTATATGGTTATTGGTTTTTATTCATACAGGATAACATCAATGGTGTCTTTATTTTTCTTCTATCAAATAAGAATATATCAGAATAAATAAAAAAAAAACAATAAACTCCTCTTGAACATTTAACTAGTAAACTTACATATTTACATTATGAATAACTGTTTCTCTGATGAATCCATCTTATGATATTGTCTGTAATCTAGTATAATATATATGTATATTGCTAAGACTCACAACGACCTAGTTGTCATTTAGCAGGGAGTAAGCCAGAGAAGAACAGAAGAGAAGAGAGCGAGAGAGAAAACGACGACAGAGAGACGCTAAATCCTAATGATTCGTTTTTAATCATCTGATCAATGGATTTATTTATTTTATTGAATATTTTAAAAATTACAATAATTTTCAATACGAAATTTCTATTAAATTATATTTTGAATAGAATTTTTCCATCAAAAAATACATGTTGATATATAGAGGTCGTTAATTGCAGTCAAAATATGACATGAAGATGGGAAGAGAAGGAATCACAACTCCCTTAATGGCTGATTTTTACCTAGGGTTATATAGAGAAATTGCAAACCACTATAGATGTGTAATATCTCTTGTGTTTACCTAATGAAACATTATTGTTTTATGGTGTGCTTTTAGTTATTAATGATTTCTTTTTCTTGAACCTTGTAGATTTTGACAACGACAAGACTGTCTTTTTCTCTCGCAAATATTATTTCTCATTTGTCATATTATTTCCAGAAGCTCATGTCGTCCGATAAAATATTATTCGATCATCCGACAAGCAACGGCTAGTTCGTTGCCTCCACTATATTGCTCGTCCTACAAGTCATTTTCTTCAGTATAAACTTCTCATTGTATCATGAGCAACACATCGAAAGAAATCGATTTATCATCAGTTATAACTCAAGTATCAAAAGATGACGATCCCAGTCGAACAATACCCTTAACGGGTACAGTCATTACAAGTCCAGCAGCTCCAGTCACAAAAAGTATTTTGATTTTCATACAAATAAATACAATTACTAACTTTCATTTTTTTTTCTTCTTTTCTTAGCTCGTTCAAGTCGAAAATATCGGCTTGTATCATTTTTGCTATGTTGTTTAAGTGTATCGAATCGAAGTCGGTCAAGGAGCGCAATCTATTCGCAAAAGAAAGAAGGATCAAATAATCAAGAAGTAAATAACGTTTAAAAAAAAAGAAATGACATTTTTGTTCTTGTGTTCTATTCTATTATTTATCCTCTTATAGCTAATTGCATTGAATACTGACTTAAATATACATTTTGAGGTATAAGAATTGAGTATGAGGGTACTTGTTTTTTTTTCTACTAACCTCAAACATTAAACAAAGTCTAGTTCAACTAATAATAAATATAGTAAAATGGAGAAATTTCATTAAAATTCTATTTTATTTTTAGGCACATGAAAAATTCTTATTGTCGACATTACGCAGTAATGAACGAGTTAAAATATGTTTAGTCATTGATCTTGATGAAACATTGGTACATTCGTCATTTAAACCAGTACCGAACGCTGACTTCGTTGTTCCCGTTGAAATCGATGGACAAGTTCATCAAGTACGTTACAGCTTTTTTCTATTACTAATTTTTGAAAATAATAATTAATACAAACAGCAAAAAAAAAGCATTTTATTATCCATTTCAAAGATGAACGCCCGAGGCTCCTTACTGTTATTATCTCTAGAGGCTAATGTTGCATTCGTCTTCTGCTGAACAGAGATTCTTATGGTGTATCAATAAGATACAAAGGATAATTAATTATTCATGCTGTTTCTTAAGTTAGAATTTGCGTGATTTATATCTATTCGTTGAGATTCTCAAAAGAAAAATATATTCCTATAGATTCATTATTAAAAGATCAATTCCAAAGGCAAGAAAAAATTAATTTATGATAATGAAAATCATGATAATGTCACTTTTTTTTATGTCAGAAGTTTTCTAAACAAAACAAAAAACGATTTCCTTATTTTTATTCAGGTCTATGTAACAAAGCGACCACATGTTGATGAGTTTTTACGATGTGTTGGTGAACGCTACGAATGTGTTCTTTTCACTGCTAGTCTAGCAAAAGTAAGTGAATAAGATTTATTCCATTATATCTTGATCTATTTCAATTGTCTTTTAGTATGCTGATCCTGTAGCTGATTTGCTTGATCCAAATCATATATTTCATTCAAGACTTTTTCGCGAATCTTGTACTTATTATAATGGTAAGAAGAATATTGAACTATTAAGATACGAGTAGGCTTCATGTACGAAGTTCCTAATGGAATCTATTTTTAGTTTCCGATCATCGCGTCTAAATAATTAAGCAAGAAAATAATCTTTAGAAATGAAGTTTGATAATGGAGCGTTTTTCTTCTTCTTTCTGCCATCTCCATACAAAATGAATAATAAATAGAATCGAGCATTATTCATTCATTCTCATCGTCTGAAATTTCTAAACCTTGCCTTCTCTTATGATCAAACTACAGCTACTCTTGTTTCAGTCAAATTCATTGATCTCTCCTCTTAAAGGTTGTATTTCTTTTTTTTTCCAGGAAACTATATCAAAGACCTTAGTCGATTAGGTCGCGACATTCGTAAAGTAATCATTATTGACAATTCACCGGTATCATATATATTTCATCAAGATAATGCAGTATGTGAAAAACAAACGAATAAATTCTTGGACAATTAATATTTTCTTTTTCTTTCGTTTATCACAAGGTTCCTGTAACTAGTTGGTTTGATGATATGCATGATACTGAATTACAAACACTTATACCAATCTTTGACCGTCTTGCCTCAGTTGATGATGTCATACCAGCATTACAAGATATTCATCATCGGCGAGATGCTGTTTGAAGAATTGTGAAAAGTTTCTGCTTCTTCTTTTTCTTATTCGAGAGAGCTTTTTGTTTCTTCCCGTTTTTCTTTTTGTGTTCATCAGTAATTCAACTTCGCACTTTCCTTCTCTTTATTTGTTTTCACAATTTTATCATACAGTGCCGTTTGTCTTTCTTTACGTTTCGTTTTTGTCTTTATTTTGAACTAACCATCATAGTAAACAGGTTTATTTTCATCATGCATTTGTTTTATTTCCTCCTTGAACATCTTTATTTTTTGCATACCAGAACAAAATAATCTATGCAACTAACAATCGCGATTTTAATCATGAAAATCCTTGCAGCATTCCTTTTTGTTCGTCGTCGTCTGTTTTTTTATTTTATTTAATTAGTATATCAGTGAAAAATCAGAAAAAAAGGAAACTAAAAGAAAAGAAAAAGACAATGGCCTGTTATACATGTATAAATTATCTATTGTTTGTTGTGTGTATCTATATATACATATATATATAAGAAAAAAAAAGAACCAAACAACCTTTTGCGTGATGTGTGTATCTTTTTTTCTTCTTTCTTTCTTTTTGTTTGCTGGTTAAACCTTGATGAAGCGAATTTTTTTCTCTTCGAACAGTCGTAGATAAGAAACACTAACATTCTCCTTTATTTTGAACGAACAGTGTTGTTTTCAACAGATTCTTTCTTTTTGCTCTCATTCCTGTTCTATATACTAGATTGCTGGTGCTAATTTCATTAAATACATTGTTTCTATTTTTCGCTGTTAGTTGCTGAACATTTTTATTGTTATATCTCTCATTCTCTCATTTTTTTGTTCACTACGCATGTGTGTTTACCCTTTTGTTTCATAAATCTTGTAGCATTCGTCAATCCATTTATTTATGTCATTATTGTTCCCGATATTGAAAAGAAAGAAAACATGAGTTATATTCAATAGTCTATGAAAAAAAAAACGAAATTGATGTATAATGAAACGGCTTGTTTTTTAGATGGCGTCTAAACCAGCAGATACCAAAGCGAAACTTCGCGAATTGATGAAACAGGAAAAACAAAAAAAAATTGATTCACCACTCGCGAAGTAAATATCAATAAAGAATCTTCGCAAGAAAGCTCACCGCATAGAAACTATCTGAAATCATTTACAGGTATACAAATACCGGCCAATTGTATTGTGCATTATGCAATCAAAATTTAACCAGTGAAACAGTTTGGAAAGCTCATGTCAATGGACGAGACCATAAACAAGTTCGTTCTATTGCCAGAAAAGAAAATTATTCTTTATGGTGATTTTGTTTTGTTTTGTTATTCAGAAATTAGTTGAGCTCAAATCGAATATCAAACAAACAAATGCAGATGCAGCCTTTGCTTTTGCTGTACCAGCGATTCCACCTCTAGTAACAAATCAGCAGCGTGGTATTAAGCGTTCTCATGATGTCGGTATGTGTCTATCGAATTCAACCAATCAATCAATCAAATATAAATCAAAAATCTTTATTTGACTTTGTTTTAGCGATATCAAACAAACATGAAATTGTTGGTAAACCATCTGGTCCTGTTAATTCATCAACAGCTGCTTCAAACTCTGCATTACCTGCTGGTAGGATATAAGCAATAATTTGAGATTATCAAAAAAAGGATTTTTTTTGAAGATTTTTTCGATACCGGTGCATCGAAATCTCAAATAATCACTAGTAAACCAATTACGAAATCATCATTGTCAACAGCGAAAGATAGTGTTGCTGTGCCAGAAGAATCTCCTGCTTTGCCCGAAGGATTTTTTGATGATCCACAAGTCGATGCACGTATGAGAAAAGTCGAATATGTGGACAAAATGGAAGTGGCATGGGATCAATTCACACGTGAAATGAAGCAAGAAGCAAATGTACATGAGTTTTATTTTCTAATAGGCGATTCAATAATCTTCGAAATTTTTTTATTTAGGTATCAGAAAAATTAGAAGCAACTGACGACAATGAACGTGATGTTGAACGAGAAATAATTGAAACCGATGAATTGATGTATGTGTAAAATTGTCTTGTTCGATCGTAATCTTTCTTTTCTTGGATTTTTTTAGTTCCCGATGGCAAAAAATCGAACAAATGCACGATATAAAAGATAGTCGATTTAAAGTAGTAAAAGAAGGAATAAAAAACTCCAAAAAAAAACAAACCAAAAATGAAATCGATAATGAAGATGATGACGAAGAATTAGAAAAGGAATTGCAAAGCATGTACAATTGGAGACAGAAACGTTCGTGAACTTTTGTTTTTGATGTATATATTAAAAAGAAAATGCGTTTTTTGTTATAAAGATATTATGTTTATTATTACTTTGGTAAAGTATTAAATAAAATCTTGATATTAAACAGGCTGTAATTCAGTTTCTTTTTTGATGTCGATCATAATACCGAACAGATTGCAAATAAGAAATAGAGGCTTATCTTTTGACGTTATAGCCCGACATACATTCAGAGGAGATCTTTTTTATTTATTAGTAATCTATAGATTGTCTCTATGAATAATTACTTTTCTATGTCAATGATAGCGTTGACTCATGATGGGAAAATATTCTTGGAATGCCATACCATATTTATTTCATGCAATCAATATTGTTATTGTTTTTCGTAATTTCCCGTTGTTTTTGCCGTCAGAATCAACTTTCGATGATTGAACGTTACATTCGTACTGAATAGATCTGATTTGCTTGTAATAGAATCAAATCTAAATGTATTTAACAAAAATTCGAAAGAGAAATTTTCTATGAATAGAAATTGAAATGTCAATGGCTGTCATCTAATTCTAAAAATCTATTAAACTATCAATTGAAATCAATAAACAATGATTATCTGTCGATTTCAATTTAATGCACGATATAAAAAAGGTTAAAAATTAATAATATTTAAAAGAAAAATTCTCTACGTCATGCTTTTCATCGATGACAACAAGCAGACAGACGTCAAGTAATTTTCCTTTATTCTATTTTTTTTCACCATAATTACATTTCCTATGTTCACCGTTCGTTCATATTAATATTTTCTATCTAGTTGTTAATTGAAGAAAAAATATTCCACCCTCCATTTCAATAATTGGATTCATACGGAAATAAAATAAAAGCTCTAAAAATGCCGTTTACAACAAACGATGTTCTACAGTATAAACGTAATGATCGTCAACTACGTGAAATTCACGAAAGAGAATATTCAAAATATGTAGCGAATCTTCGTCAACAACAACAACAACAACAACAGCCAAGTTCACATTATAAAAATGATTATTATTTATCCATCAAATATTTGAATGAAATTGAACGATCACGTGTACGCAACGCATTGGTTAAACAAAATCTAGATGATCGGATATGTCGTGACAATGTTGTATTATATCAACGTTTACTCAAAGCAAGTAAACGAACAATGATTGATGATAAAAATGAAACCTATCAACAAAATTTAACCTCATTTATAACTAAACGTAGTCAACAACGTTCTAATGAGCATAATCGTATTTATAATGACAATCAAATATTATTACAACGCATTGATAATGTACGTGGTCGTTTAATAGGTAAAGAACAATGTGATAATGATTGGAATAAACATATAAGTTTTATGAAAAAAAATTGTGAATATCCAGAAAATATTGATAAATTTGTCATAAAAAAGAATAAAAATGAGCAAATTCAAGTATGTGCTTATTCGGCGAAGAAAATCAGACAATGGAATGATCGACACTCAATCATTGAACCATCAAAACAAGAATAAGTCGTACTATTAACTATTTTACTTGATAAGTCTTAATTTATTTGTTGTTGTATTATGCATATATTTTTTTCCGAATAAACTTCTCTTTTTGATGAACACAAATCTAATCATTTTCTCGAAAAATTTCTATTAAATCGCCGCGAGTAATGTGTTCGATTTAGAACGAGAGAAATAAATTAAGCTTTTCTCATGAGAGACTGTACCATGAATTTAAAGCCGATTATGATATTTCCAAAGCGCACCATCAACAAACGAAGACAAAAATATATTTAAATACGTGTGAAATCTTAATCGAGCTAATTACATTCAAATTGAATCAAATGCTCAGAGAGCGAGGTGAAAAAGATACATAATTTTTACTACAACAGAGAAGACACGATACGCTTACATCATGTCTTATGTATTACTTGTTATGGAATCAATTAGTTCTCGACAAGAAATAAATTTCTGTAATCAATATCTTTACGTTTCAATAAACTATTTTCAAGACAATAGTCTGTAAATTCATATATCAATACTGGTACAATCGCTTTCGTTCTAATTGATATTATATGTAACATGAACATCGTTCAATACCACATTGACTGTTCCAATCGTAAATGTCCTCAAATAGTAGAAACCAATTCTGATGGACTTTTGCAGAGAATAGAACATTGAAAACTAACAGTTAATTTGGCCTATGTAATTAACATAATATATAATCAAAAAGAATTGCATGCATTTCATTACATTACTTTTCCCGAGTGTACTTGCTGACGGCACGTCTACAAGTGAAGTGAAGAACTCACTGCCACATACTATGTTTTAATTTTTTTTGATCCTATAGATCATACTATGCAAATCAAAGCAATGTTTAAACGCCGTCAGTATTCATCAGGCATCGTCAAATATTTTATTCTATCATAATTGTTACTAAAAACATGAGATCATGACTGATGGTGCGAGGAAAAAAACCAACTGCGCACATTGATTATTCATATTGAACTGTCTAATTTTTCTTTTACAAAATTTTGTAAGATATTTGGTTTAATTAAAATATTTCTCGACGATGAATCTAATTTTCCAATGAATTCGGCTGAAAAGGCGGCACCATGATTGGGACCATTATTAGGCCCACAAGAATTCGTCCCTGTTTTGCTCTCTTTTTTCGTCCCATACAAAAATGAGTTCTCTCTTAATTGGTCCCATAAAGAGAGAAAGTCGAACAGCAACTCGTCCCATTCTAAAGATGACTCCAATTGGTTTATATATTAAGTTTCATACAACATAAAAAAAATACATGAAGAGCAAAAAAATAAATAACACAGAATTTACTATTTCTTTTTTTTTATTATCTTGACTGCTTTACCTGATTGAATAGCCAATTCAGTGACAGTTAATTGACCATTTTCAAACATGTTGAATAATTCCAAAAGTTTTTCGTCGATTTTATCGTAGGTTTTCCTTCTTTTTTTATTTGTACTTGAGCAATCTCTGTTTCTACACCTCCATTCGACACATGTTTTATTTATTCGTTTAACAGTGTATTGAAAATTTAAATAATTTAGAATTTGCTTATTCCGTTCAGTGGTTGTAAATCGAAACATGTTATAGTAACAACAGCATACAATGAATATATGAATAAAGATCTCATTGTTTGCCATATCTTTTTTCTATTCACCAGATCCACCAAATTAGTGAAAATGATACCAAAATGTCACTCTCTCATACTAGCCATGTAAATCATTTTCAATAACCAATAGAAGTCATCTTTAGAATGGGACGAGTTACTGTTCGACTTTCTCTCTTTATGGGACCTATTAAGAGAAAACTCATTTTTGTATGGGACGAAAAAAGAGAGCAAAACAGGGACGAATTTTTGTGGGCCTAATAATGGTCCTAATCAAGAGTAGACCGCTGAAAACTACTAATCAAAAGAAATTTTATTCTTCGAAGTGAGAAAAATAAAAAAGACGAAATTGAGATATTTTAATTGTATAGGCTATTTTTTGTTTTGATTCCATGCATGAAACGATGTTGACTTGATCATCGTTAAAAGTACATTAATTTAGTATTGCTTTTGTTATGATTAGTTGTTTGTTTTGAAATAGATGCATATAGACGGTATTCAACATCAAATTACAACTCTATTTTTAAGTTTGCTTACTTTGCATAGTTAAACTTCAAGAAAAAGAAAATAATGAATTATATATTCTTCGATGTAACGAAAATCACGTTTAGATTCCTTTTTGTTTTTCTTTATTCAAAAACAGCAACTGTTAAAAACACAAGAACAGACAACAACATTTCCATTTTATTTATCGTTACTTATTTCCCTCTACCGCATAATGCATTCAACGGTGTTCTAGCCGAGACTGACTGACATAAGACGTTCTCGTTTAAAATGTCAAACCCGAGAACATGCGTGTTTATTAAACATTCCTAGTCTCTGACTTGATCAAAATCTACTGAAACTAAATGTCTTTCTAATTAGTATGCAGTAGATTGAGTCGTCAGAATGAAAATAAAAAAGTGACTCAATTTTCTTTCATTGTCGTCGAATGATAAAATGTGATGAGAGAGAGAGAGAGAGAGACAGAGAAATTCTTTTCTAGAAGCCAATAATAATAACATTTGAATCTTTTGACACATAAAGTAATCAATTTTAATCTTCATTTAATGTACATTTGTATGCCAATATGTAAAATATAGGTTTTACTTCTCTTTGAATTGACAAATCGCTCTTTGGACGCGATATCATGTGTATAAGACAGGTCAAAGGAAACTATGAATACTTTGAAAAGTGTCCATGCATAAAATGTATGCTGTGTAGAGACTACACTTTTACGGTTTTGGTTTTAATGAATGATGTGATGCCCTCAGAAACACTAGAAAGCGTTTGTTTTTGATTTAGAAATTTCATGCCAACGGGCCATGGTGAGAATGATGTATTTTGAAAATTTCGATTCTATTGATTTACTTTTATTTTCAAGTAAGAACGTAACGCAACTGTGACATATTAACGATCATCGGATTATTACAGTAGAAAGATTTTTAGATTTGTTCTAATTTTTATGAATGTTTTGATGAGAAAAATATAAAAATAAATAACTTGTAACTGCAGTTAATTATCATAAAATATATCGAAACATGAGTAACTCATTCAACAATTTAATGTTTTTTTTTCTCAATACAAAATAAAGCAAGACTAAACATATACACAAATTCTTAAAAAATAAAGTTTAAACTTTCAATCAATATATTCTTCTTCTCGTCTTTTGTTTTTCATGTCTATGCATTCGTCAATTTAATTGATGGCCGACTAATTGAATTGCGTCGTGGAATATTTAATGAAGTGTTTAATGATTGTTTGGAATAATTTGACGATTTCAAATTTGTTGCATTATGTTTTGTTATTGACCCTCGTCGAGATCTACCGTTTGTTGTCGATTCACCATTGGCCTCTGATTGCGCGACAGTCTGCGTTGCTGGAATTGTTGGCGGTGGTTGTGTAGCTGGTTTACGATAATTAGCACAATGATGAACATTGTACAGATTAATAATTTTATCGACATCGTGTTGCCACATGTATTGTTGTTTTTGTAATTGATTACGTTTTAAACGTGCAGTTTCGTTCGTGTTTATACTTGAATTTTGATCGATAATTTTCGGTTGATGTTGTTCCGGAGCAAAGAGTTCCTCGGGTCGAAGACCGAACAATTCTTCAGGTTTATTATAACGGCATGTTCGTTCTTTAGCTTCGTGAATTGAACATGATGAATCATTTGATTTTGCATTTGACTGTTGTACAATAGCTGATACTGAACGACCGGCATACAAGGTTTGAGAATAGGTTGATGAATCTGATCCGACGAATGAAAAAGGATGTCTAGGATGATTTTTAACTGAATCTAGATGATTATTTGATGATAATTTTGTTTTCGATGGTGTTGATAAAACAGCGGTTGCTTTTATTTTAGACGAACTCGCTTGAGACGTTGAAGAATGAATAAATGTTTGATTATTTAACATTGATGTTGTTGAATTTAGAAATCGACTTTTTGTTCGCGAATCTGTATTTTCTGAACGATTAAAAGTTGAATGCGATGTTTGCACATATGTTGTTGATTTATTTGTTTTCGATTTAGTTCCTTCATTATTGAATTTTGTTGAATTTAAATCATCGATAGACAACTGTGTTTTACTTGTTGTTTTTTGTATAAAACATGAGTTTTGGTGGCTTGAAGTCGATTTATTTAAATGATTTTGTTGAACTAGTAATTGCGTTCGAGGACTGCTTCGATTAGAACCATTAAGATTTCCATTGGCGTCGAAGTTTCTTTGATGTTCCTTAGTTGATTGTGTTTCATTAACAACCGCTTCTGTACTCGAATACTGAGTACCATTAACTAATGTTGATTTAGTTCGGTCAAGTTTGTTAATTGTCATCGCCGTCGACGTTTGTGGTGCTTCATGCTTATTATGTTTCGAATGTTGATGATGGCGATGTTGTTTAACTTGCTTGCAAAGACCTGCTAAGTGATGTGAATAGCTGGTATCGCTATCGTTGAAAATTATTTTAAGCAAACCAAACGAAAGTGAAGATGGATGAGTTTCAGATTTTTTATTTGAAGCACTTTTCTTTTTCGTCTGTAATACTATTGTTTGATTCCCATCTGGACAAGACGGACTTTCATAAATAGATAAAGGACGTGGGACAACAAAAAATTCATCCCAATCACGATGAGTTATTTGATTAGCACATTCGATATGACCGTATTTAAGAGCAAGAGCAGCTGCTGAACATCCTAAACACAGACGACGAAGAAGAAGAAGGAAAAAAAAACAAACATAACGAGTGTGATTATATTTATCAATAGAATAGAATAGAACAGAACAGAACAAAACAAAGTTACCTTCTCGATTTACATATTGATCAAGACGAATACCAAACTTTTCTGCTGATCTTATAATTAACTCAGCAATGTCACAATTACCTTTGCATGCAAAATGAAGTTTGACAAAAGAAAAAAAGAGAATAAATTTAAATTACCAGTAATAGCAGCATAATGTAAACAAGTATTTCCTTCACAATCTTTTGTATCGATATTAAAATCTAAACAAGATAAATATAATCGTACGAGTTGTAAACGTTGTAAAGCACATGCATGATGCATTCTAATGAGAGAGAGAGAGAGAGAAGCAAAAAACAGTAAATATCATATAAACTGAAAAAAGTATTTTGCAAATGATTTACGCATTTCGTCTTGCATGATCTTCTAATGCAATTTTAGCTCCTTTTTCTAATAGATTTTGTGCTATTGATAGGCTCCATCGATCATTTTCAACATATGAACATAGAATCAATGGTGTTCGAAGTTGACCATCGCGTTCATTCGGATCATAATGAAGTTGTAATAAATATCGAATACAACGAAAATATCCATGCTGAATAGCAAATGGAACATTGAAATATTTCGGCAATGATGTCATATTAGTTTGATGCTTATGATCAATACTTTTATCATAGATAGTCATCGATGGAGATGGTACTGCGGGTGGTAATAATCGAGATGAAACAAGCATTGACATATGTTATATTATATTAATGGTAAAATATATATATATATATATATATATATATAACCACTTAGATGCTAACGATTATGTAAAGCATTTGCATAGCTTCTTAAAAAGTGAGGACACTATGAGCGAACAATCATATGAATAGTTATGGTAACTTACTTGTATTGAAGAATCGATTCTACATTCACTAGTGAAGTGAAGAAAGAAAAAAAAAAGTGAAATAAATTGAACGGTCGTCTGATATTTAACAATGGCAGTTGCGTATGTTGAAATAAAGTGAAATGAAATGACAACAAACTTCTCTCCCTTTTTTACTCTCTTCATTTTTCTTTCACTCGTTATGCTTCTTTCAGAAAAAGAAAAAAAACTAAATTAAATAGACATGCCAGAGAAAAGAGCACGTACATTTACCGTGGAAAAGAAAAGTAGATGATTTGTTTGTATGACCAAAGTATGTATATTTATTTTTATTGGACATAAAATAAAATCTCAAATGTTGTCTTAATCAGTTTTTCATCAAGAACGAAACTACTGTGCTTATCAGTTATTCTAGACAACCTGATTTGATTAATATAATCTGGATACTTATTCGTTTGTACGAGTCCGATTTGTTTGTCATAGTATGCGTTTGAGACTCCCTAGGAGAACATGGGTTTGACTTTTCTTCGTTTTCTTTTACGTTTCTCTCTCTCTCTCTCTCTCTCATGTCTTTTATTACAAAACATGCTACAATACATTACAGGCAGACACTAGTCATTAAATAATAAAAGAAAGTAAAGTAATGGTATAAAAAGGCAATCGCAATGTTTTTTTATTATAGAAAACAGTTCACCGTATTTAAATGCGCGATTATTGGCAATAATGAAAAGATAAACAACAATTCATCCTTGAGACGAAAAGACGTTTGAGAAATTTGAAGTTTGTTTTATTGTTAAATTAAAAGCAAAAGTCATTGAAATGATTTGAATGTCATATTTTATTTCGCATACAATCAAAAACCACACAATTATCAATAACAAAAGGAAACCTATGACATTTATCCGAAAAATGATTGTTAGAATACGCGGTTTACTATCAATTAAAATTTCCAGTTCTCTCCGGAATATTAATGATGCGTAATTTTTTTTTAAATCTATTTATATTTTCTTCAAATTCATCTTTAGAGATGAAATGGATTAAGGGAGTCAACATAAACTCCGTCGGTTTCTTTGACAACACTATTTGTTATAATTTTGTCGTAAAACACATAAAGATTCTTTCATTTATATGAATGAATTAATTCAGTATACTCAACAAACTTATTTCTATGTTTCTTCAATAATTAATTTTCTTTTCTTTTCAAATGTGAAACAAAAAGTTGCACAGTTCAGTATGCAATGTTCTGATTTCGCACCCTTTACCATTAATGACCAAGGCTATATAAGTTATATCAAATATTTGCAAACATGTTTCATTCAAGAACATCTTTCCTGCATAAATAATATCACAAAATGCCATTATGTGACGAACAACGGAGTTTTAAATCATACTTATTGTTCCACACAATAAGTTGTACGAACCTTCAAAATTCAATTTCTATGGGTTCAAAGAAAGACTAGTAATAGACTTGATTTATAAACTATGTCATACCGATTAAAAAAAGACACGAGTGAAATCAATAAGAGAATTCTCATTTATTATAACTAGTTAAATTTCAAGAATGTTTTTTGGTAAAAAAACTAATTGAAAATTTTGTTTTGATCTGTCTCATATGTTTAAGATTCAAGAACGAAATCTTTCTTATTAAATAAACATTCGACAATTGTATGATGAATAGATTGATGAGAAGCTGCATGTGTGCTTTTGATGTTGAATTCAATTGAAACTTGAGCTGAATGAAAAAGTTAAACCTTATAATAACTATAGTCAAGTTAAGAAAAATATTTTCTATCTCGATTAATATTTGTTGGATGATATACAATCGACGTCACTTAAAACTATTTCAATGTCCACAAGACTATTACAAAAATATGTAATGTTTGAAGATTGGGGCTTAGAAAAGTCTAATATTTCATTGTTGTTTTTGTTTTAACACATATAAAGTCATATTTTTCTCAATGCCCTGATGTTTTAATATTTTTATTACGTTGACTAGATAGATGACAAAAGAAAAACGAACGATAGCGCAAGACGAGAAAAAAGAGCAACAAACCGACAAACAAAATCTAATAAATGTCACGCATACATATTAATAGCAAAAAGAAAAACGAATAAAAAAAAAGAATTCCTGATTGATCTCACTGTCAAATAGAGTCATTGTTTAATGTGAAAAGAAAGCTAGAAAAAAAAGAAGAAAATATAACATAAAATATTCAGTTACTGTCTTAATTAGAGTTTCTTGACTTGTGCAAAAAATGCTGATGGACCATTTGCTGTCTGTTTAAATAGATTAGCGTGACATACAGCGCATCGACTAACATATTGTCTTTGAGTGCCAGCTTTTAATGTGAGTAATTTAGGTTTTTCAAAGCCTGAATAATCATCTAATGTAGCTAAATAGAATGTCATCATGTTTGGATAATAATTGCAATGAGAATGATCTTTGCAATGAAAATATGGGCGATCATGATATTTTTCAAGACATGAACCAGGCGATTGTAAACTTTGTTGATCACCACGGCCACCATCAGCTGATGTAAATACAAAACTATAACCAGTCCATAAAAGATCATATCCATCAGGACATGCTGGAACACGTTGTGATTGACTATGAATAGCGAATACAGGCGTTGGTGATTCACAAACAACACAACGACTTAAATGATTGGGTATATCGCGCGATTCAAATGGTGCCATACTTGCTGACATTGGTTCATTTGTTGACAACCAATATGAATAATCATTACGTGAAGCATAATGACATGAATTACCAATATCACAAAATAAGAATGGCATTGCACTAAAACGACGTAAACAACTGCCAGAACCACCTATTCAAAACAAACAAAAAAAGAACACAGAATTCCATTGTGAGTCTTTTCATTGTATTGCTGATAAAAAGAAAAAACTTACCAAGATCTTGATGAGCAGCGTATGTATCACCTTGCATACCCATGAATGAGAAACCTTCTTGCATTTTTGTGGTTGCAAAAGGACATTGTGGAGCTGTTTTATCTTGACTATGTCTAAAACAAACCACAATAGTGAATTTTTCATATCGATTAAATAGAAACATACCGTGAAAATATGAATGAGCCTTCTCCTGTATCGCCTGGAAGACCTTGAATACCAGCAATACCTAGATAAAAGAGAAATAGAAGTTAAATTAGCATTATTAATTCTTTTTAAATGTTTGAACGAAAAGCTTACCTGGTGAACCTGGTAGCCCATGTAGACCAGGACTAAAATAAATGAATTAAATAAGATTATAAAAAAAAAGACATTTGATAACTTACGCTCCTGAAAGACCAGCATCCCCAACTGGACCACGAGCACCTAATGAACCTGGATTGCCTATAAAACAGAAGAGAATAATCATTATTTAAATATATCGCTGTTTGAATATGATAATTTACCTGGGCGACCAGAGAGACCAACTTGGCCTGGATAGCCTTTTGGTCCTGGAAGACCAACTCTGCCTGGTATTCCATTGGTACCTACAAAATCAAGTCAAATATTAAAAGATAATTCTAATTAATTAGTTTTCATACCTGGTAATCCCTGATCACCACGTTCACCTTTAGTACCTGATTGTACCAAACTCTATGGAGAAAAAAAAGAAAACAACGGGATAATTTTTCTATCATAAAAATTGATTGCTCTCTTACTTCAACTCGAACCGGTTCTCCTTTTGCACCTGGCATACCTGGAAGTCCATTTGCACCTGGTAATCCTATAAAATAGAGAACAGAATGATTCTATTGTATCAATAGACAACCAATATGATTAAAGCTAACCTGAATCACCAACTTCTCCTTTACGACCTGGGATACCAGATAAACCTTGAAACAAAAAGATAGCATAAACTAAAGAATTCTCTAGAATAATGTAGAACACATGCCTGCTGTGCCTGGTTCTCCTCTTCGTCCTGGTAAACCCGAATTTCCGGCTGGACCTGGGTGACCCTTGAAACAAAAACAAACTAATTATTTGATTTATCAAAGATAAAAATCATTTACCGGTAATCCTTTTGAACCTGCAGCGCCTGGTATACCCGGAAGACCATTGATTCCAAGAAGACCCGGTAAGCCTAAATACAATTAAAAATAAAAGCAATTTTAATTTCATCAATGATTTCAATACACTTACCAGGAGAACCAGACAAACCTGGTTTACCATCTCGCCCGGGAAATCCAGCTAAGCCCATTCGACCAGGAAAACCATCTTGACCACGATCTCCGGTTACTCCTCGATCACCAGTTGCTCCACGACCTAGACGAAAAGAAAATAATAGAAATAAAATCACCAAGACATTTGTCTGAATTATCATCACAATCACATACCATCACGACCTGGTGGACCTGGTGGGCCAACTTCACCAGGTGGTCCTCTACATTAAAATTAAAAGAATATTAAATGAGTATTTGACTTTATTATTAATTGAGCACTCACCGAAGACCTGGTCGGCCTGGAAGGCCATTACGACCAGCATCACCTGGCATGCCTGGTAAACTACGACCACCTAGAATAGAAATTGTAAAAAATACCATGATTATATTGTTAGAAAACATCATTGCATTTTACATACCATTTTCACCTGGTACACCTTTTAGACCTGGGCGACCTGGCAGGCCAGCACCTCCTTTAGATCCTGATAAGCCAGGTAAACCTTTAATAAGAGAAATAGAATCATGTATGACATCGTAGAAGAGATAATGATTTACCTTGTCGTCCTGTTTTTCCTGGTATGCCTGGTAAACCTTTCTCTCCTGATAGACCTGGAAATCCATCACGACCTAAAATAGCACCAATTACAAGCACTATAATTTAGCAACGTTTTTTTTCCTCATCTATCTTACCTGGTGCTCCAACTGGACCAGGAAGACCGGGTGCACCCTGAAATGATAGAATTAATAAAGCATACCTATCTTTACTTATCCACTGTTAACTTACTGGTAGACCTAAAAGAGAAAATTGGTATCTTGTCTATTGGAAGTAAAGGAATAAAAAAAATGAAACATACCAGCATCACCAATGGTTCCAGCAAGACCTGGGAAGCCAGGTGCTCCAAGATCACCTGTTTCTCCTTTAACTCCTATGAAAATAAAATTTTAATATATTTAAAGAATAAATTCTACTTAAAATTTGATTTACCTTGTTCTGTAGCTCGTCCATCTCGACCTGATTCTCCCATCATTCCTTTAAAACCAGGAAGGCCTGGAAGACCGGCACGGCCAGGAAGACCCTACAAAATTAGATTCATTTTAAAAAAATAGAAATCCAATGAACTTTTATTTATTGGACTTACTCGATCACCTGGAGCTCCAGAAAGACCAGGAAGACCTAATCAAAAGTAGATATGTGAGACTAGTGTTTCAATTCGATTAGAATACATACCACTTTGTCCTTGTTGACCTTTGAGTCCAGGTAAGCCAGGTGCACCGCTAAGACCAGCAAGACCTATTCTCAAATAAAAGATATTATCAGAAAACTGACTTGAATTTATCCGTTTTACCTGGATACCCAGCAAGACCTGGTTGTCCTCGTAGTCCCATAGTACCTGGAAGACCGACCTAGAAAATACAAGGATAACGAAATTATATTATTGTTTTGAATTTGATAAATCATTTCACTCACTATTCCTCGAAGACCACCTGCACCTGGTAGACCAGGAAGGCCAGGTAAACCACGATCACCTCGTATACCTAGAAAAAAATTTAATCAATAAAATTTCTATACTTTAAATAGAAACTAATTACCATTAATGCCTTTGAACGAACTACCAGGTTCACCTTTCAAACCCGGTAAACCAGGACGTCCTAAAAGAGAATTTTTTTTTCAATTTTAAACAATAATCTTCGAGTTAATAACATACCATCACGGCCAGGTAGGCCAGGACTGCCGGGTAAACCTGAGAATCTGAAAATATTTTTGAAATAAAAAATGATCTAAAATTTCGCGTAGTCTAGAAATGATGTCTTACCCAACTTCGCCTGAAAATCCTTTGGGGCCAACTAAAAATTAACAGATAATGATGTTCAAATAATAAATATTTTTCTCATTATTCATAATACATACATGCACCAGAGTCTCCTGGAAGACCGCGGATACCCGGTAGACCAGATTCACCAGGTTCACCTACAATATTAAGTTTTATTTTTTATACTTATTTTTTATTTACTCTCATTTTCATACCCATTTCTCCTTTTTGACCTGGTTGACTATAACCACCACCAATACCTGGTTCTCCTAGATCGCCTACATTAAAGATAGAACAATACTTTTGAAATGTATTTTATTACTTTATGAAAATAATTTACCTTGAAGACCCTTAGGTCCTGGAAATCCTGGAAGCCCATTTACACCTGGGTTGCCAGGTAATCCACCTAAATAAAAATAGAATACAAACGATCATTTCATACAAAAGAAATCAAAGTTTACTTACGTTCACCAGGTACACCAGGTCGACCTATTTTTAAAAAAAGAAGAAAAGAAAGAAATTCATCATTAAATTTAATTAAATTTAAGTTGAAAAAAAAAGACAATTACCTTTCATTCCAACTAAACCAGATAACCCATCCAATCCATTATCACCACCTATTTTTGTAAGAATAATTCATTATTATTTCAATATATATATATATATATATATATATATATGTGAATACATACGGTCGCCAGGTTTGCCGTGGAAACCAGCTGAACCAACTTGTCCAGGTTGACCCTATTTATTAGAATATTAATTTTTTAAAATTTTTTAAAATATTAACACATGCCATGTCGCCAGGTATACCACGATAACCAGCTGGACCGGGACTACCTGCAGCTCCATTCAATCCAGGTGCTAAATAAAAATAAAAATGAAAATAAATTTCTATTATATGAATTATAATATAGATTCTTACCTCCAGGTCGGCCACGAGCACCAGGCAAACCAACATCGCCGTTATAAGCAGCAGTTGTACCACCTAGAACAATTTGTGTACATTTACTGTCAGATATATTTCTATATGAATATATCTTAGAAACGTACCTCTTTCTCCTTTAAGTCCTTGTAAGCCAGCTTGTCCTGGTAGACCGTTGAAACCTATCGTTGGAAGAAAATTTTAGATTCAAGAAAATTTTAATTGCAGTTCTACTGACCAGGATTGCCAGGTAAACCACGTGGGCCAGATGGACCACCTAAAATATTAGATGGATGCAAGTTAAGCAAAATCAATAGTTCGATAACATACGAATTCCTGGTACACCGGGTGAACCTCGTATACCAGTAACACCTTTTGCACCTGGATTGCCTTGTGGTCCAGAAATTGTTGCAACAGCAGTTTCACCTCGTTGACCCTAAATTAAAAAAATATACAGTAGAAATGATGATAAACAATAATCTGTCATATATACTTTAGTTCCTGGTAGGCCAGGTAGACCAGGTTGCCCATTCATTCCAGGAAGACCAGGTCTAAAGTAAATCAGTTAAATTTCTATGTCAGAGAAAGAAAAAATGTTATACCTTCCATCGAGACCAGGACGTCCATCCATACCCGGATAGCCTAAAGAAAATACATAGAAGAAAATACGAATAATTTTTTTTTACTCTACCTTTAACACCATTTTCGCCTAAGAAAAAAAAAGAGAAATATTAATAATGAAATATATATTTATATTATAAACTAGGCAAACCTGGTAATCCTGGGAAGCCAGGTCGGCCATCATCACCCTAAAAAAAAGCGTTAAATATTTTAATTTTTGCATCATCAACAAGAATAATATTTATTTTTACCTTAAGGCCAGGAAAACCATTAGAACCTGATAGACCATCTCGTCCAGGTAATCCAGGAGCACCTTATAAATTCAAAGAAAAATCATGAATAAAATTACTTCTAGGACTTTTTATTCGATTATTTACCAGGTTGACCAGAAAATCTAGAAGAATATTGAAAAAATAATAACAGTTAAATTATACAAATTTAAGTTAAGAAATATTCTTACCCAGCATCACCAGGATATCCTTTCATGCCTCGTTCGCCAGGTATACTCAATTGTATTGGTGCATCCTCACCAGGTTGACCAGGTTGGCCAGGTCGTCCAGTTTTACCTTCTGAACCACTTTCACCTTGTTCACCACGTGGTCCACGTGCAAATACTTGACCTGGTGGGCCCGGAGGACCTATTGGACCTATTCAAGATAAGAAGATACAATTTATGAGTTGTTTTTATATTTTTTTATAGAAACAAAAATGATGAATTTACCTTTAGGTCCTGGGGTGCCGGCAGTTCCTGGTCGTCCAACATCACCCGGAAGACCCTATATAGAAAAGAAATGTATATATGCAGGTATATATAGATAAGAAAAAACATACTCGTGATCCACATGAACCAAGAATACCATCATAACTAGAATGTACAAAAGTGAAAATGTACTTGTACATTGTATATTTGATAAAATTCATACCCATCACGTCCATTGATACCAGGTTCACCAACATCACCACGATAACCTTTAACACCTGATTCACCTGATATTCCTCTACGACCTATACAAAAATATGTACACTAAAATAATCTATTTTAATATGTCTAATTACCTTTAATGCCATCAGTACCAATTAATTCACCAGGTTCACCTTTACGTCCTGGTAAACCTGGATATCCATCTCGACCAGGAATTCCCTAGAATATTTTAAAATATAGATCTCGACAATCATACAAAATCGTTTATTTACATCAGGTCCAGTGAAGCCATCTGGTCCCGGAAGTCCACTTGGTCCGGTATCACCCTTTTCACCTAAATTAAAGCAAAATGAAAATATTTCACTGCAGAAAACAAGCAAAAAAATCTTTACCTCGAAATCCGGGTGCACCATTCACCTAAGAGACACAAATGAATTTTATATTTGCCAGAAAATTAAAGAAAATCTTTCTCTTTTTTTTTAAAATAATACTTACACCAGGTCGACCACGATAACCTTGACTACCACGATCGCCGAGTAGACCAGGAGCAGCAGGTGGACAAAATCCACAACCGCCAGGGTCACCTTTATTAAAGAAAATAAAATATTAAAATCAATATCATCCTAGTTATTTTTTTTCTTCTTGATTACTCACCACCATCACCTTTCAAACCAGGAATACCTAAATAAGAAAATTAATTTAATTATATTTTGAGAAATGAAATAACAAAAGCAATGATACATACCAGGGTACCCTGGGGCACCGGGCTGGCCTGATCGACCTTGGTATCTAGAAACATTAGAAATAAAATAACATTTAAAACAAGCGAAAACAAATTGTTGTACCCTTGTGGACCAGGAGGACCGTATCCTTCAAAATAAGAATAGACTATTATTAGTACAATGAATATGTAAAAAAGATATATTTCTTACCTTGAAAACCTTGAAAATCTGGCGTACCGGGTAGACCTTTAATAGAAAATATAATAAGTATTTTTTCATCTATGAAAAATTCTGTTTACCTGGCAAACCGTCTTCACCAACATCGCCTGATGATCCAGGAAGGCCAGGATCTAATGAAAGAAAAAAAAATCAAATTTTCTATGTATTTAATTTTTGTAGAAAAAAAAACTTACATCCAGTACGGCCTGGAAGACCATCATTTCCACGTGGTCCTATAAAAGAGATGTTCACTGTGTTTCTTATGATAAATATAAAATTTATATACCGTATGTTTCTTCACCAACTAATCCTTTTTCACCAATAGGACCTTTTTCTCCCGGAATACCTAAAGTAAATGAATATTTATGTACAGTGACAGAAAATGAAAATGAAGAATATTACCAGCAGGTCCAGCTGGGCCACTAGGGCCAGGAAGTCCTAAAGAAAGAAAAAAAGAGAAATGTTTTGAAAGAGAAAACTAATAAATATATTATAACGTACCATCAGAACCTCGATCACCCTTTTCTGCATCAGCTGTTTCTCCCATAGGACCAGGTCGACCAGGTGTACCATAGTCACCTCGTTCACCTTTAAGTCCTTCACGACCTATACAACAAATACGAGAATATTTATCATTTATAATTTATTCGTAACTTACCAGGAAAGCCGGGAGCTCCTGGAAAACCGTTTGGTCCATTATCACCGGTCATACCCTAGAAATGAAAATGTAATAAAGATTTTCAAATATATTATTCAACATGTATCTACATACAGGATAACCAGGTGGTCCAGGAAGTGGCCGAAAACGTTTGCTACCATAAGTCTACAAGAGATATAAAATTAATTGAAAAAAAAAGAAAAAGATATGTTTTATATTATTTACATTTGGACCGTTGATACCATTGTCACCACGTTGACCTTTAGTGCCTGGGTAACCAGCTTGACCAGGATCTACAATAAATAAAAAGCGTAATGTTGCACTATTCGTATTCAAGTTTATCAACCTACCTCCAGGAACACCATCATTACCAGGTGGACCAGCGGGTCCTAGAATAAAATAAAAGAGAATTCAAAATATATTTCTTGAAAAAAATGAGGTAACTGACCTGCTGCGCCTTTCATTCCATATGGACCTTGTGAACCTTCTTTACCCAATTTACCCTATTTAAAAAAATAAACAAATATATTTACAAATGTCTGAAGGTTTTCTTTTCTTCATTTACCTGTGATCCTGCTGAACCAATTTCACCTTTTTCTCCTTTGGATCCTTGTAAACCGTCAATACCCTAAGAAGATACCATAAACAATAATTCAATTGTTTTAAAATTAAAATATCTACCAAATAACCAGGTTGACCACGATCGCCTTTATAACCATGGTCACCATCGGGACCACGAACACCAGGTGGCCCTTGTACATTTGTAATACCTTTAAAAAAAAACATTTTAATACTAATGAATATTCTTGTTTGATAAAGAAGAAAAGATCAATATTTCTGTATGTGTCTCTATAAATGATGTATAACATATTCGAATGAAGCATACGTGTAATCGCTAAGCAACAGTTAATAATATGTCAATTCTATTTTCATTTTATTAAAATTTTGTTTGAAAAAAACAGAAGAAATATATCATAGCAATTCTCATGAAAAGACTACTGAAAAATAAGCAATATATCTACCTCGTAAACGACCATATGGTATTGGATCGGCTGGTGTAGGAGCGTTATCACCTATATAATAATAATAATAAAATATATTAAAAAATTGAATGCATTTCTTTTTGTTTTCCTTACCTGGATCACCACGTTGACCTGAAGAAAATAAAGTAAAAATTACATTAGAATAATTGATTGTTTAACCAATCGATTGTTTTACCTTTGTTACCATAGCTTGTGGGACCATCTGGTCCTGGTAATCCTGCATCACCTCTTGATCCCGGACCGCCCTATAGTGATAAGAATGCGCTTAAAACATATACCAAGCATTAATGTTAAATCCTTACATCTGGTCCTGGTGGTCCCAATGGACCTGATAAACCTGGAGTTCCTGGTGGACCGGGCCAACCCTATCAAACGAAAATAATAAGACATTGTTTATCGAAGAAAATCTTCTTCTTTTTTTTTCTTTTCATCTATACATACTTGTACACCTGGACGACCAGCTGGTCCAGGATCACCTCGTTGTCCTGGAACAATACCACCAAGTCCGACTGAATCGCCTGGTTCACCCTAGTAAATAGTTTTGAAAAAGTGTGATTTTAATTATCAAAATAAAAACATACTCGTCCACCAGCGAATCCAGGTATGCCAGAAGCACCTGGTAGGCCATCTAATCCCATACGACCGTCATCACCGGCATCACCCTATAAATACAATGAATAAACACATTCAATTACGAGCCTTTTTACAATCTCTTTTTTTTCTTATTATAAAAGCTTTTATTTTTATTTATCTTTGTGAAAAAGCAATTTCTGTAAGTAATATTCTCCAGTGACTTTGTGTTTATTATTCAAACGAGACTTCTCGTTTGATCTTTTGAGATCAGTAGACAAATAGGTGCCATTTGATCTTTTGTCTATTCTTGTTCTTAGTAAAGGTTACAAAATATACAACCATTTTATCTGACCAACAGACACTTCAAAGTTGGATACACTAACAGATAAAATATCCCCAATTGTATAGTGTTATCAATATCTACCATAATCTTTGCCGTAATAGATATGTATAATATGCATCTGTAAGAATGTGTCTGAGTCAAAAAGGAAATACCAGAGGGCATTGATTTTTATCAATCTTAAGTAATAAAGACAGCATAATTAAGGCGCACATTGATAGGCCTTGATCTATGGGTGAATATTGTTGATTCACTTCTTTTTTTCTTCTTCTACATCTCCTATAGCGTACATTAACAACGGCGTCATGATAACTAGTAAAAACTATCAATTATACACAAGAAAAATAACGTTAATGAATGATAGATTTGTTCACAATGAAATTCGAGTGTTGACATAAACAGTAATCAATTAATACTTTTCTTTTTTTTCCGGAACATATTCTTCTAAATGAATTTCTTTATTAAGTATTTTCAATCAGATTGATTATCAGATTTATTGTTTTCTTTCGAAGATTCAGCATCAATATGACTTGACTATTTGTTACACAACGATATTACATCATCCAAATATATATCTATGTATACACATTTTCCCATCGTTATTAGTTGGATAAACGTATCGCTAGCAAGAAAAATTTTCTTTATGCATGTTAGCATACCATAAATAGCACTCATCACTGAAACTGTTTACAAGATGCATAAAGCTTGTCGCAACATTAGTTGTCTATCTACACATTTTTCTTTCTTTTTTTTTTGCCTATTTATACATATGCATTGGGTAATACAGTGGAAAGATATTTGCTAGTAGATATGAGTACTAATAATTACGGTTTGTATATGTATATGTATATATATATATATATGTGTATATAAATAGAACTCAAAAGTCAAAAGGACTTCTAACAGCTGGCATATCCGACCTCATTGACTTTCCATATCTGTTTAGTTATCCATATAGATTATATTTGTATATGAGTAATAGTACCGAACTGTTATATCGGAAGGAATCAACCAAGGTCGCGACGTCGTTCGAAGGACATACAAAAAAGGAAGCAATTATTTATATAATCGTCATTTTCTGCTTTCTTTTTTTCTCCATTTATCCATATCCATGAAAAAAACCAAGGTTTCATATACTACGACAAACTCAGATAATTACATTTTTGGGATCGTCTAAGAATGAAATATGTATCAAGTCTATCCTGATAAGAAATCTTTAGGTCACAAACGAATGATAGACAAGACCAATTATGATTTTCATTTATCCTTACGTCAGACAATTCTTATCAAGGATATGAGATTTGCTTCTCTAATTTATCTACAGATGGGAAAAGAAGGAAGAGAAAAATGTACATTTTCCTCTCTCGTGTGATATAAGTACGTGTATGTACTGACCTTGGTCTATTTATAGTAGAGAGTTTATCTCATCAAGATGATGAAGACAAGAATAGCGGAAGAAAAAGAAACTTAAACGATATTATGGATATTGAATATATGAACACGTAACAGGAACATTCACTCGAGTGCATCTAGCACGTTTTGTTTACCTTGCTACCATTACAACCGGGTACACCAGGAATACCGCGTGGACCGACAGCACCTGATTGTCCAGGAAAACCATTTTGACCATCGATAGGCAATAAACCATCATCCCCCTATTTGTTCAAAGAAAAAAAAATATATTACATAATAATAATAAAATACATGAGAACTTACTCGTTCTCCTTTGTTTCCATATTGGCCACGGTCACCTTTTTCACCAGAAACACCAGCGTTTCCGTGTCGTCCTGATGGACCTTTTAGACCGCGATCTCCTGGTATACCTGGAAAGCCTTGTGGACCTGAAAAATGAGATATAAACAAATATGTTAATATATCATTTTCTTCAAAAAAAAAAGATAAACGTACCAGTGATACCCATAGCACCCTTTCCAGGGCATTGACAATCACGTCTTGGACCACAACCTTTACATTCAGTACCTTGAACTTGTGTTTCAGTAGGTTCTGCTAATGGATATTGTGATGGGGGCGGTTGGGGATATCGTTGTCTTTGATCATAAGGATATGGATTATATTGCTGTCTTTTGACTTTTTCAGTAGATGAATCATCATCATCATTTTGAGCCTATAATAGATACGATACATATAATTGTAAGAAAAAAGAAAAAGAAAACATGATTGTTCTATTCTCATCATTAATAAAATTATCAAAGAAATTAAAATTCATATTGATTTGAATACTTACAGTCCGACATTCGATTTGACTGAGAATAGACAAAAATAAAATAAGACCGATGATGAACAGCCTCAACAACGAAGCCATCGCGCGGATGCGTACTCAAACACGAGACACGCGAAATTCAACAATCAATCTGTAATCTGCAAAGAAAAGAAAAGAAAAAATACAAATATAATTATGAGATATCAGAGGGTAGAGTCATTTCTTTCTTTTTTCTTTTTGTTTCAATAATTCTATCTTCACGGCAGACAATCAAACGAAAAAAAAAGAAATAAACAAAAGAAAAGATATCACTGTCTGTTATTATCTCGTACTCAATGTGTTTTTGACACGTTTATATAAAAACGTGTTCAATAGTTGGTTAGTTGATAACGGTCGTAGCAGTAACGGACAATAGTCCAGCCGAAAAAAGCTAGTTCGAGCTGCACAACATGCATTTTTTCTTTTCCCTCTCTTTTTCTTCTCTCTAATTTTCTCTGTTTTTTTTTGGGAGAAAAAGCGAATGCAGCGCAAGAAAACTGAACGGTAATGATTGTGGTAACAAATTACGTAGGGCGAGTGTTTGTATGTAAGAGAAAATGTCTTACGTATATATGTATATGTAATATTATGTATGTTATCAGTCTCACTAGTACACAGAAACAGAAGAAGCGGTAAAGCATAGTCGATATTCATCTTTCACCGAGAAGGGAATAGAGCAAAAACCGCGTTTTTCTGGTTGGTGGATTTTAGTGTCATCTCTCTTCTCTCTCTCTCTCTCTCTCTCTCTCTCTATGTGTTTCTATGATTGTAGGAAGACGATTGATATTATTGCACCAAGGGAAGAAAAAAATAGTCCAGTTTCTACAACGTTAGCACTTTTTGCTGCGGCTTCCCGCGTTCGATCTTAACTCGTCTGTTGCAGGCTACCAGACGACGACAGTACAACTATCGTAGCTGTCCGTCGCCGCCGAATCGCGCGTGACCATTGACAGGCCATTGTCACAACATGAATCTAACAATATTAACTTCAAAATCGTCCCATTTGTGGACTATAAGGTAAGCCATTTAAGTTACTGATTGAATGTTGATCCAATATAGAAGAATGAAAGAAAAGAGAAAATGAAAAGATACAGAAGTGTTTATATTCATCTTTTTTTTTATAATACAAACGTGTATGTGAACATAGTTTTTTTCATTCCAATTGGTCATATACCGTCCGTTGATCTGTATATGTATGTATGAGAAAAGGAATGAGAGAGAGAGAGAGACTGTGCATGAATAGGCTCTCAACTATTCATGACTAGTTCGCCTTTCCTTCTTCTTCATTTATAGATCATTCGTAAGAGAGTTTTTCGTTTCTGTTCATCTCACTTATACATGCGCCGTTATATAAACTCTATAAAAATCATTAACAAAGAGTTGTCGACAATCAAAATTCTGTGTTGATGAATATGTTGCTTTCTTTTTTCATAGTTTTTATTGAGCAGAAGAAAAAAATAGTGGTAGAGACATCTTTCATTTAATCTTTTGTCTGCATTGTGTTATTCTCTCGACATGACATTGCCACCAACTCTAACAGTGGGTTATATATATTATAACAAAGAACTCGTTTATGCATATCCTTTTTACATTGAGTATCTATATGTAGAGTAGACATTTATATGCCATAAATTCATGAAACAGAAGAAATCAAATAAAGAATAATTCTCGCCTTTTTTTTTCTTTAGTTGACCACTAGAGAGAAGCTAATATCTAGATTAATAAGAATCCAAGAAAAGTAACCTTGTACATTACGATATCGTTCCATTTACTACATACTATAAATACATTTCTTAACCCTTTTGCAGTTATATTGGTACATCGTACTATCGCCCTCGTTTGTCCTCGTCAATTCTCCTCCTTGGCTTTTTTTGCTAATAGATTATTGAGATCACATAATAATTCCTTCGTTTATCTTTTTTTCCTTTTCTTTCGCTCCTATGCCTACTCGTTCATCTATCTTTGCCTTTCTGTACTATTTCATCAGCATCTTGTAGATACATAAACGGTACTAGTTCTTTTTCCTTTTTTTCTGTACAATATTCAAGAATTATTAATTATCGTACTAAGATAGCAACCATCAATTGTGTTAAGGCCATTTTCATTCGACGCTGACGTCGATGAGTATTAGGATATAGCAATAAAATAGAAGGACTCTGCCATTACTATAGGCCACAATAAACAAACTATCTATCGTCATTGCCATCTAATCGAACAAAGGACATTGTTAACAAAGAAAGAGTAATCAGAAAGCAGATTATCCAAGTTTTTCCATTTTTCCATTAATTATATGACAAATGTTTACAAGAATAATATTCAATAAAATTTATACAAAATGGTTCTATATACGTTTTACTAAGTAAGTTAAATTCATAGCGTTATACTTTATTTGACCACCGGTCAATATCTTTTCAAAACAATAAGTCAAAGAGTCAATATCATTCATTATATTATTCTAGTTACATATTCTTATATATACATACATACATACATACATCAGTTTGTTTATTTACCTAACAGTTATTATCAATATCTTTCCTTCTTTTCTGCGAGAGAAAAAAAAATAGAATGTGAGGGGGAGGGAGTACCAGAAGTAATCGGGATACCATGCACTGCCTTGAAGACACATATACGTATTCTTTTTCTTCTAAGATAGTTCAACAAAAAGATGAACGTTCTCAGAATAATAATAGACACACTAAATGCGGATAATGCGTAATATCACTATTGTCTTTCTTTTACGCATGATCTGATAATGGATACAAACATATGAAAAACCACTTCTCATCTTTGTGTTCGAAGAATAAGAAGAAGAGAATATGGTAATGTGATGTAACAAACAAAAAAACGTGAAAACTATTCATGTGTATTTCTCTAAACAAAGTGTTTACTTTTCTATTCTACTTATTGTGAAGAGCTTGTCCATTATGTGGTAAAAGAACGATGTTATAGCCAACTATTCAATCGATACATATTAGTACATTGTTGAATATCACTTACTCTCTTCATCTTTTTGCTTAATTGACAATCGATAAGTGCCGAATAATTTCTATTCTCAAGCTATATACATATGGCATCTTTATGATATGTGTATGAACGTGTGTCTGATATCAAACTAAACTTACATGTTGAAGTGGAGTGAGAATGACAAACATAGTGATATCGTAGTATATTAAGTGAGAACAAAAAAAAACGAATAGATGAATTCTGTGATTATACTTTAATCATCTGTCTAAATAATCGTATTAAAAATGATATCTATCTTATTCTCCAATAATTACAATGATGAGCATGCAACAGAGTTTTATGTTCTACAGCTGATTAATGGAAGTGATCAGAGATTCGATGAGCTGGAGGTCATCAATGAAAAATAGAGAAATGTACATATGGACGGAATCGATCAACTTTATTGCGTCATGCTATTTTTACTTACTTTGTTTTACTGATATGGATAGTTTGATGTTATGTTAGAAATTATAATAAGAGAAAAAGAAGAAGTAGAAAAAAAGCTAACATTTTATTTAATTGATTTTCTTTTTGTGTTTTTAGGCTAAATTATGCTTCCATTTTATTCCTACTTATCCTATCCATTTTCATCGAAACAAGCAACGCTCAACAAAGAGTATGTATTCGTCTATATCTTTTAGTTACGCTTATATGAACGAGGATTTGTGATGCAATCGTTTCGTATAACTCGTAGCGATAATAAACAGGCAACTACTGTGAATAAACAGTTCAGGCATATTTTCTATCACCATGAGCAGACAAAAGCATCGATGCATGTATTATATATATATATATCTATAGATATAGATATATAGATATATACATACATTTAAGTCTATTGAACGATGATGGTGATGATTGAGTGACTTGCCTCCTCATTATCGATACTAACTATTTTGTCATTCTTGATTACTATAAGCAAGAAATAACGACTGGATATCAAATGCCGCAATACAATAAGCAGAAGAGGTAGAAAATGCGTCGGCTGGAAGGCATATCTGTGTATGATATAATAAATAGTTTACGGATATATTAGAAGGAAACGAATAAACTCGATGTATATAAATATATACAAATGTGATTGTTGTTTTTTTTTCTTCTAGTATAACGATTCCAATTCGGTAACACCACCACCAGGCTATGCGTTTGCACCCGGCTATGGTTCATCCCAATATCAACCAAGAAATCCTAAAACCGGAGGTGATTGCAAAAATTGTAACCAACCATGTTTTTGTATAGCACAAAAAGGAGATCAGGTAAATTTATTGAAATAAAATAGAAACAGGAACTAATCATATGATATCTAATTGATTTATTTAGGGTCCAGCTGGTCCTATGGGTCCTGCAGGTGCTCGCGGATCTGATGGTGTTCCTGGTCCTGAAGGTAAAATTATTTTATAATTTATTTTCAACACTGATAATTTTAATATTTAGGTCCTGAGGGTATGAAAGGAGAAAAAGGTGATCGGGGTTTACCTGGTCTACCTGGTCAAAAAGGTGACAGAGTATGTATTTGTTGTCTAAAATACTGTACTTTTTTTTTTAAAACTTAATTCTTTTTTTTTCTCAATTCATAGGGACGATCCGGCGAACCAGGCATGCCTGGTACGAATAAATTTATTAGAATTTTGTTTTCTCCAATGCAAATATATTTCTTTTAGGCCATCCCGGTTTGCCCGGTCTTCCAGGTCCAAGAGTAAGTTATTCATTATGTTTCATGTGATCTTTTTCTAATGTTTTTTCTTGTATTTTAGGGACCAGAAGGTAAATGATTAGTTTATATAAGTGAGAAGTTGAAATAAACAATGTATTTTTTCAGGTTTACCCGGCCGTGATGGATGCAATGGAAGTAAAGTATGTAGTGATAATAAAATATTTTTATCGAATAATTAATCTTTTTTTTTCTATTATCTATTTAGGGAGATGCAGGCCGGCCAGGCTTTAATGGACAGGTAAAATAAATAAATAAATTTAAATTTAAAGTAATCTATTTTGATTATTTTCTCTTTTCTTTTAGCCCGGTCGTCCCGGTGAACCTGGTGCGTAGACGGACACAATTAGCTAATGCTGTTTTTTACTAAATTTTTTATTCTCTATATTTTAGGTTTACCTGGACAACGAGGACCAAAAGGTATTTCGAAACAAATTTGAACTTATCGAGTTTTATTTTATTGATTGATTTTTTCATCGAACAGGTGAACCTGCACAAGCCTTACCTGGATTTAAAGGCGAAATCGTAAGTTTCCAATAGCAAACAAACAATTTGTTAATCAATATAATAATATTTTTTTTATTTTCAGGGAGAAATGGGACCTCCTGGTCTACCCGGTGCTGCTGTAAGTATTTATTTAGATGATTTCTTTTCTAGTTCTCGATTCATAATTCTATTCTATTCTATTAGGGATCCTCTGGTACTCCTGGCATACCTGGTGCTCCCGGTGGAGTTGGTTTTCCTGGACGTGAAGTAAATAAGGAAATATATATTGACCAATAGTACATAAACGAGATTCTCTTTTAGGGTCCAAAAGGTGAACGAGGAGAAATGGGCCGTCCAGGTATTAGGGAAAAAATTGACTATTTGGTTGAAATAATTTAATTTGTTTTTAATATCAATAGGTAACGCTGGAGTTGGACTTAGTGGTGAAAAAGGTCAAAAAGGAGAGCCAGTGAGTATGAATATTTAAAATGAAGAACACTAATAGTCTTATGAATCTTATTTAGGGCTCTTCTGCTCCTTATACACCACCATCAATTGCTGAAATCCAAGGTAACTACAGTTATGTTCCATTATCGATTCCTGGTGCACCTGGTCAAAAGGTATATATTTATAATATGAGAAAAAACAACAACAACAACAACAACAACAATTTTAATCATTTGTGTATTATAGGGTGCTATGGGACACAAAGGAGAACCTGGAGAAATTGGTTATCCAGGAGCACCTGGTTCTGCTGGACCGCCAGGTTTAACCGGCGAAAAAGGTGTACCAGGCCCTGTCGGACCTCGTGTAAATATTATTGAATCAATTTTTGTTTCTGTTTTTTATCTTATATTTATTTAAAATAGGGTGCTACTGGTATGCCCGGTCAAGCTGGCTTTCCCGGACAAGCAGGGTAAGTTTCTTTCGTTTTTTTTCTAAGCGATATTTATTACTAGTTTGTTGTGTTTTTTAGTGATCGTGGTAGTCCTGGTTATCCTGGCCAACCTGTATGCGATCTAAAATAGAACAGATTTTTGAAACAATATATTTCTTCTTTTAATCTATAGGGAAGTCCAGGAAGAAGTGGTCAAAATGGCCTACCAGGAGACAAAGGTTTGATTGGACTAACATATAATTAGAAAAAAATATTTATACATATATTTGTATTTGTTTAGGTGATCGTGGTTTTCCTGGTATGCCTGGCATGTGTTTACCTGTATGTATATAGAAAAATTAATGAGTCTCTTTAAATTGGATTATTTGTTTGTTTTGTAGGATCAACCAGGCGATTCACAACCGGGACAACCTGGACCATCTGTAAGTTAAAATAATAATTTTTAAATAATAATTTTTACTATTTTTCGTTGTTGTTATTTATAGGGATCTAAAGGAGAACGCGGTAAATAATTGAAAGAAATTTGTACATAACATAACATATGATTTCATTAGGCCCACCTGGAACACCTGGTTATCCTGGATCACCAGTGAGTATTTGCTAATAAAATAAAAAATTGAATGATTTAACTGTTTTTTCTCTCTCATAATGATAGGGTTTACCCGGAACTCAAGGACCAAAAGGTGATCGTGGCTTCGATGGATTACCTGGTAGTCCTGGTCAACGTAAGTTTATCTCTATTGTTAAAATATAATGAAATTGATCTTTTTTTCTTCTTTTTAAAGCTGGTCGTGATGGTTTGAAAGGTGACAAAGGAGACGGTGGACGACATGGTAAGCAATTGATCTTATGATCGAAATAAGATTCTAAACATATACATATATATATACATTTTATAACAGGTGATCCTGGCCCATCTGGCTTTCCTGGTCCACAAGGTAAGTTTACATAATATAAATTGATTGACTCTTATAAGTTTCTTTTGCTGTTATAGGTTATCGTGGAGCTAAAGGTGAACCTGGTCCAAAAGGTAAGTGTAAAAATAAAGTCATGTTTTTTATTTTCACATTCTTTTGTTTTTCTAGGTGATCCTGGTCGTTCAATTGCTGGTCCACCTGGTCTTGATGGTTATCCAGGTCAATCTGGCCTTCCAGGACAGAAAGGTAAGAAAAAAAATCTTAATCAGTATACATAATTGAATATATATATAAATATATATTATACCTTTGTTTATAGGTGACCGTGGTTTACGTGGTCAACCTGGTTTACCTGGTAATACAACTGCTGGTGTTGGTTTTCCCGGTCCACAAGGACGTACGTTTTAAGAAAACATTTTATTTCGATATTTCAAACTATATTAACTAATTTTTAGCTGTGGGTCCACCCGGTAGTCCTGGTGCACCAGGTTTTCAAGGTATTGCTGGTATGAAAGGAACCAAAGGAGATCGAGGTAAGACTTTTGAATGAATTATGAAAAAGAATTCATCGATAATAAACACAAATTTTCATTATTAGGTCTTGATGGTGCATGTGGTGCTCGTGATGGTTTGAAGGGTAGTAAAGGTGAACCAGGTTATCCCGGAGAAGCTGGTATGTTAACATTTCTCAATGTCAAACAATATCATATTTCATCTATATTATTCATTTAGGTACACCTGGTCAACGAGGTACATCAGGAGAAAAAGGTGACCGAGGAGATGTGGGCCCACAGGGTTACTCTGGTAATGTTGGTTCAGCTGGTGCACCCGTAAGTTCAGATTTTTTCGTTTCTTTTTTAATTATGTTTACCGGAGGTATTTTCTTTTTTTTTAAACTAGGGTCGCAATGGTATGGATGGTACTCCAGGTGACAAAGGAGACAAGGTATGTGTAATGGAAATTTTATTGATTAAATTAATTGCATTTTCTTATTTAGGGAGAATCAGCTCGTGTTGCAACAGTACAAGGAGTTTCAGGAGAAAAAGGAACACCAGGTTAGTACATTCATATTTTTAAAGTAGAAAATAAAATACATATACTTGACTTGTTTGTTTTTTTATTAGGTCTTCCCGGTTTGAAAGGTGATCGTGGTGAAAAAGGTAGCAGATCGATGAACTATTTAGATTTTCTTTAAATCTCTTTTGTTTTTTCAGGCTCTTCAGGTTATAGCGGTCGTGATGGTCAACCAGGTCCAATTGGACCAGTCGGACCAAAAGTAAATAAATCCAATATAAATATCAATCATAAACAATTTTTTTCTTCTTTAATTGTCTTAGGGTGACGCCGGTTATCCAGGTCAACCAGGTCCACCAGGTAGCCCTGGTCCAATGGGTGATATTGGTCCACCAGGTGCTACACTTCCAGGTGAAAAAGGAGAAAAGGGTATTCCAGGTCCAGTTGGTATGTATTTATAAATTGTACAATCATTTCTTCTATCATTTTCTTCTTATCTTTCTTTAATAGGTATTCCTGGTCCACAAGGTAGTCCAGGTTTGAAAGGAGAACCAGGTATATGCATATATTTTTGTAGAAAGAATCATTGAATAAAATAATTTTTCTTATCTGTAGGTCGACCAGCACCTCAAGGGTTAACATCAATGCCCGGCCCACAAGGAGAAAAAGGTGATCGTGGCTTATCAGGACTTCCAGGAGCACCAGGACTTCCAGTATGATTTGGTTTTGTATTAAACTATTCAATATTGTCTACATCAAAATTTTATAGGGTCCAAATGGTTTATCAGGATTACCAGGAACACCAGGATTTAAAGGTGAACCTGGCCTACCAGGTATGCCAGGTCTTCCAGGACCAAAAGGCATTACAGGTATGTTCAAAAATTAAGATATTTCTGTTTTCAATAATAAGCAAACTTTGTTTATTTACTTGTTATTTTAGGTTATCGTGGAGAAGCAGGTATGTTTTATACTCTTCAACATTAATGATCAAGTCAAACAAAATACTATCTGTATTTTATAGGTCTTCCCGGTCGTGATGGATCATCAGGTCTTCCAGGTGCAAAAGGATTTGGTAGGTATTCATTTTTTAAATATCGATCTTAATCTATTTTTAAAATTTCTTTTAGACGGTGCACCAGGACTACCAGGTCGTGCAGGTATGTTACTTACATAATGTATAGGTCGAATCTGTTTCGATCAATTGTTTTTTTCTTTCTTTTTTAGGAGAAAAAGGTGAACCAGGACTTCCAGGTCCAGGCTTTCCAGGCACTCCTGGCCCTGTTGGCCCTGCTGGTGAACGTGGATTCCCTGGTATGAATTTCATACTTTTTTTAATGAAAGTAATAAATTTGAACTGAAATTTTAATATTATTATAGGCTTACCTGGTCCAATGGGTGAACCCGGATTACCAGGGACGAAAGGTACGTGGTTAAATAGAAAATAATTTTCTCTCTCCCTATGTACATATAATTTCTTTTTAATTTATAGGAGATTCTGGTCTACCCGGTGTAAATGGACTTCCAGGACCTGTTGGCATGAAAGGGTATGCATACACGATTGTCATTCAACTTATTTTTATTTCTTTTTAATTTTACAGAGAACGAGGAGAACCAGGTATCGGTGGACAAAAAGGTGATCAAGGTAAGAAATTTTGACAAATATTTATTAAATCGATGTTTTCTAACACTGATTGTTTTTCATTAACTGTTTTATAGGAGCACCAGGTGTCCCCGGTATTGATGGTAAGTGTTTATTAACATTTCGTGTATTTTATCAAATTAATTGTTTTTCCTTAATTTTAGGCTTACCAGGTATATAAATTGACCTATCATGATAGAAAATTATAAAATTCTGTTTTTCATATTTAAAGGTCTTCCAGGACCAGCCGGCCCACCAGGTCAACCCGGTCTTATGGGAGAAAAAGGTTTTGCTGGATTACCGTAAGTTAATTGAAACGGGAAACATTTCGTTACATTACTTTTTTTCAAATTTTTCAGTGGAGCTAAAGGAGAAGCAGGTCTACCAGGTCTACCAGGAATGAAAGGTGATCGTGGTTTGAATGGAGCTCCAGGATTGCCCGGTGCACTAGGGTTACCAGGTGACAAAGGTGTTCCAGGATTCCCAGGATCTGCAGGGTCTAGTGGATTACCAGGTCTTCCAGTAAGTGAAACAGATGATTGATTAACTTTGATTGAATTTTATTGTTTTTCTCTAGGGAACTTCAGGATATAAGGGTGATCGAGGTATAAATAATTATCTCATAGATAAAAATCAATTATATATATATATTTCTCTTTAATCAAGGTCTCCCGGGTTTACCAGGACAAGCTTGCACATCATGTGTTCCAGGCCAACGAGGCGATCGAGGTTTTCCAGGTGCATCCGGTCTTCCAGGTCAAAAGGGAGAACCAGTAAGTTCATATGAAAAAAAAGAAGAAGATATTTAATAAGAATTATTGAATAGGGCATAGCAGCTGCACGTGGACCCTCAGGCGAACGGTAAAAGAAATACTGAATCCAATTTTCTTTTATTATTTCTGTTATTTTTAGTGGACCACCAGGTCTTCCAGGTGCACCAGGTCTACCAGGAGCCGCAGGCAAAGATGGATTGCCAGGCCTTCCAGGTCAAAAAGGAGAACGTGCTGTTGGTCAAACAGGTAATAAGAGAGAAAATTGAATGTTTTTGATATTGATCTATTAACTTCATTGATCTAGGCATCAAAGGAGCTATTGGTGAACCAGGTTTCCCAGGCCCATCAGGTATGCCAGGAGCTCCAGGCGAACGTGGATTTCCGGGTAGTAATGGTAAGAAACTATATACATATGTGAATAATAGAAAAACTTGACTTCTATTGTAGGACTTCCTGGTGCACCCGGTGAACGAGTAAATAAATCTCTTTTTTTAATTAAAAATATGAAATATTTAATGACGTTTTTTCTTCTTCTTAAAGGGTTTACCAGGTCCTAATGGATTATCAGGTAAAAGAAATAAAGAATTACATTGAACCAATGATTAACTATTGATTATTTTAGGCGCCCCTGGCCTACCTGGAGTTGTCGGACCAAAAGGTAATTTATAAAGAAGAATTAAAAATATAAGAACAATTTATTCAAACAATTATTTTTCAGGTGATGCTGGATATAGTGGATTACCTGGACCAAAAGGAGAAGCTGGTCCATCAGGTAAGAAGAAAAAAAAAGAATTTGATTATGCATAATGTACATATATATTGTACTATTTTTAATTAGGTTTGAATGGAGCACCAGGCATGAATGGTAAGCAAAATCAATCAGTCATTGTTTGATTCTCTGTAAATAATATATTGTTTTAATTTATTCAAGGTATACCCGGTCTTAAAGGTGAAGCTGGCTTACCTGGACGAGATGGTGGTGCTGGTTTACCAGGTCTTAAAGGTGATCGTGGTCTTAATGGATATCCAGGTATGTTAATATTATTTAATTTTTAAATTCATTAATCTTATTTTTTTTCTTACTGCCATGTAGGTGTTCCGGGAGCTAAAGGCGCAGTAGGTGCACCAGGTACATAATTTTTTCTATCTTCAATCATATTTTCATATACTTAAACTTCTGCTTTCTATAGGTTTACCAGGCGCTCCAGGCCTCCCTGGCCCAGCAGGTCCTTCAGGAATCAATGGAATGTCAGGAGCAAAAGGTTTGTGTCTTAAATGTAAATAAGAGTTATTTGAAGATTTATTTTTGCTTTCGTTTTCTATAGGAGACGCAGGCTTACCAGGCTTACCAGGCTCAAATGGTACTGTATAAAATTATCAAAAAAAAATTTACGTTTTATATTGATTATTTTCTATAGGTGCACCAGGATTGAATGGAGCTCCTGGTCTTCCAGGTGATTCGGGTATGTCTTGATATATGAATATAGAAAAGAATATTTAATTATAAATTTGCTTTCTTATTATAGGCTTACCGGGTCTACCAGGTGCAAAAGGTGAACCAGGTAAATATTTAAAAATAAAAATATTTCATAGAATGAAATCTAAATTCTATTCATTCAAGGTTATGCTACTGCTGGTCCTAAAGGTGAACCTGGTCCAAATGGTCGTGATGGTAAGAAAATACGAATATATTGAATAAGATTATCTCTATTGGTCCATCAACTTTAAATAGGTATGCCAGGTCTTCCAGGAGATAAAGGGTAAGACACATTCATATATAAATCTAAAATAGACTTAATTTTTATTTCTTGTTTTTTTCACTTTTAGCAATCCAGGTTTTGTTGGTCCAGCTGGTTCTGCTGGCCGAGATTGTGATGTACCCATTGTTGGACAAGTATGTTAGCAAAGAGATGAAATCAATGTTAATAATGTGTTCTCTCTGATTAATTTAGAAAGGTGATGCTGGTCTTCCAGGTCTTCCAGGCGCACCAGGTTTACAAGGTAAATAATTGATTCATTTTCTTATTTGCCTATATTGTTTTCCTATTGTATTAATAGGTCTACCCGGTTCAATGGGTAAAGATGGTAAGTGTAAAATTTATTTTTACGTTGACAAAAATAACTAATATTGTTTTTTATATCATTGTAGGTCTTCCAGGCGCCCCCGGTTTGCCAGGTCTTCCAGGTCCTAAAGGACGTGACGGACTACCAGGTGCTAACGGCGTACCAGGTCTCTCAGGTATGTTTCTTCGAAAGAAAATCAAATCATAAAGTTAACCTTTGTTCTTTTTTTTAAAAGGTGAACGTGGCTTTGCAGGAATGCCAGGTTTGTTTATCAAAATTCTAATTTATCTATCATGATGTATTCTTTGTTTTCTTAAATATAAATATATAGGTCAACCCGGTATGCCAGGAGAAAAAGGTAAATCTATTAAGTTAAAAGTTAAGTATACTTATCAACTCTTTTAAATATTTTAGGAAGTAGTGGATTCCCAGGCAGTCCAGGTATGTCTAAAGAGTTATTTTTTTATGAATATTTATTTTGCTTTTCTCTAGGTCTTCTCGGACAAAAAGGTGATCGTGGCCTTGATGGTCGCCCAGGTGCTCCTGGTTTACCTGGTAAATATCTATTGAATTTCATTTATGGAAATCATTTATTTGTTTCCTTGCTTTTTATAAATAAATAGGTACACCTGGTCCAAAAGGTGAATGTATTCAACCCGAACCAATTGTTGGTCGTCCTGGCTTCAAAGGAGATCAGGGTCAAGCAGGATTACCAGGTAAGAAAGTAAAATGTCGAGTACTTTTGTTGTAATAAATTTGTATTTCTATGTTTAAAGGTTTACCTGGACTTCAAGGACCACCAGGTGTGTACATGACATCTTTTAAATTCAATTAATCTTTTATATATTTGAATAGGCCCGGCCGGTCCACGTGGAGAAAATGGTCCACCAGGTCAACCAGGTCAACCAGGCTTACCAGGCTACGTTGGACCTAAAGGTGAACGTGTAAGTATATTTTAAGATGAAATAACTTGTTTTTTTTTCAAAACTCTTATCATCTCTACTACAACTTAGGGTACACCCGGTATTCCTGGTGTCAGTGGTATTGCTGGTCCACCAGGTAATGAATCTGTAAAACTATTAGTAATAATAGTTCTTAATTCTTTTTTTTTATTGTAAATTCTAGGTGCTGGAGGTCCACCAGGTCCGCCAGGCCCTGGTCTTCAACGAACTGGTTTTCTCGTCGTACGTCATTCACAATCAGCCCAAGTACCTGAATGTCCATCAGGCATGGTTAAACTTTGGGATGGTTACAGTTTGCTTATGATGCAAGGCAACGATCATGGTTATCATCAAGATCTTGGTATTTTTTTTGTTTATTTTCAAATAAATATAAATCTTAAAAAAACATTTTTGTTCTTCAGGCTCGGCTGGTTCGTGTCTTCAGAAATTCTCTGCATTACCATATTTACGTTGTGACCATACAAATGTTTGTTATTATGGTCAAACAAATGATTTAACATACTATCTATCAACAACAGAACCAATGCCAATGATGCCTGTTCAACGTGAACAAATCCGACCATATATTTCACGTTGTGCTGTATGTGAAGCACCTGCTAATGTTATGTCATTCCATAGCTTATCAATGACACCACCACCATGTCCAAATGGTTGGAATATCCTCTGGCAAGGTTACAGCTTTGTAATGGTATGTTAAAGTAGAACAGAAGAAAAAAAAGCAATCCTATTACATAAGATTATCATGCAATGAATTCTACTGTTTACTTAGTTAGTTAATAGAAAAAAAAAAGATAGTTCTTATTTATCTGCATCACATATGTGTAGCTGAACGTTTATTTTTCTTTTTTCTTTCTAGCATCTTGGCCGTGGCGCTCAAGGCGGTGGTCAATCATTATCAAGTCCTGGCTCGTGTCTTGAGGATTTCCGTGCAACACCATTCATTGAATGTTCAGGAACCGATGGTAATTGTATGTATTATGCAAATAAATTTAGTTACTGGATGACTGTTATCGATCAAAATAATCAATTCGAAATCCCACGACAAGAAACATTAAAATCAGGAAATCATAGAAACAAGATCAGTCGTTGTACGGTCTGTTTGAAAACACAGCAGAGTGCTGGTCAAGGTGGATTTCAAAACGGAAACTATTATGTTGGACAAACATTGAAGAAACATTAGACATTTTTCTCTTCTCTTTTCTTTTCTTTTTATTCTCATTTTAATAGTTTATCTTAATCATTTATACGTCCATTAGTCAGGCTTGTATTATGATTTGAGATACAAAAGTCATTTATCTACTTAGGGAAAAAAAATCAATGAACTATATTGTACGCAGGGATTTAATTGCTCCGTTACTATTCTGTTTCTCTTTTTGTTAACTGTCTTATCATCCATACAGGTTTTCTTTTTTTCGACTTTTATTTCATTTTCATTTATTTTTTTTCTCTTTTTTGTGCTGTCTTCCTGGTCTTTTACACAACATATTAAAATCAAAAACAGACACACACAGACACACCTATAAACCTACATACATATTTCAAATTTGAACAGTGGGTACTTTATTCGTTTTGTACGTCTGCGTAAAGACTTGTTATAATCGTTTTCTATTCTCTTGATTAATCTCTTCTACTTCTTTTTTTGCTCTGCTGTCAGTCAGCTCATAGTATTAGAGTGAGCTTATGAAAGGGCTACGTGTGCTTGATTTTGAGTTTTTTTCAATAATAAATATCCATCGGTATTATGAAAGACGATGTTTCTTTTTGCGGAAAGGTTTTTTTTCGAACAGGATTAAGATACCAATATTGATTAATGATTTCAAGGTAGAGAAACAACAAAAAAACGATTTTTTTTTCTTTTCCGCGTAGTTTTGTTGAAAGAATACTTCAAATCTAATCCAAAACAAAACTGTATCCTGATCCTGAATGGAATAATACGACAAGAAAAGAGTATGTCGTGTATTCAACTACCCAGTTATATGTTTATTTATCTCCAGGACTGAAATTAATTTTGTAATTGTTGGATTAGATTATGAGTGAATCAAAATTATTAACATTTTCCTTCAATTAATTATGAAATCTTATCATTATAAGCTCATAGATTAGATTAGAAAAGACCACTCGCTCAATGATTCCATACAGTAATAGAAGTAACGTGACATTGAACTATGACCATACTAAGATCGGCGTGTTTTCGACGCAAATTTTCAATCAGAAAGACAAGTAATTTATTGAAAGGTTTCAATTTTAAATTAAATGATCGAGTTTCTCTGTTGTAGCATTCATCGGCTTAGTTAAATGTCTTGCGTATTTTCTGACATTCTCTAAAAATTTTGTCATATAGCGATCATTCATCTGATTTTTATTATGGAATCGTTTAAATTGCACAAAACCGTCTCTTCAGTCTGTAAGTGAGATCTATATCAAAAATCACAAAGAAAATGTCGACGTATTTTTGTAGAATTAAACAAAGAAACTCGTTAAAAACATTTCGTCAAATTATAAATGGAATTTGAATGATATTGGAATATTGAGCTCGACTGTTCTACTTGCGACATTGATCAACGACTCCATCTACCGGTCTAGAATATCACACACCCGACATTTGATTAATGACACTCCTCTCAAATCTTTTATTATTCTCGACAAGGAAAAAAAAGTGAAGTAAATATTTGTCTTTTCTGACAAGAACAAAAAAGAACTTAGCATGATTGAAATATTAAAAATACTAACATGCAATTATATGAGCTCAATTTTACTTACGGGAATGATAAAGAATTTTAATAGATGCAACTATGCGACGAAAAATAGCAATTTGTCAATTTCTTTCTTTTTTTTCTAGTAGTAGTTTAAAAGAATCAAGCCGCACGCAATAACCTTTTTGAAATTCTCTTACGTAAGATATATATATATATATATATTTTCTTTTTTTCAGATTTCTGACTAAAACGTTTTTATATTATTATGTCGGCATCGAAGTCAGAACCAGTTCACATTGAAAAAAATGTATTATTCGAAATTGCAACGAACTTTTGGAACATAAGAGCCAGTTTTAAAGTTTTAGTTGGTCTACTTGATGTTGGTACACATATGTCATTAATTCGATTAAATAATGGAAAATTTCTGGTCATCGATACGGTACCATTGACTGATCATACACAAACTGAAATCAATCATTTAACAGACAATGGAAAAAATATCGAAGCTGTTATTGCTGTACATCCATTTCATACATTAGCATTTCCAGCATTTTATGAAGCATTTCCAAATGCTAAATATTATGGTACACCGAGACATTTACGACGATTAACACAAATACCATGGGCTGGCTCACTTGAAGATTGTCAAACGAGAAAAATATGGGAACCCGAAGTAGAATTGAGAATCCCAGCAGGTAAATATTATTTTTATAGAATAATGAATATAAAAATTTTTTCCATTGTTTTTTCTATAGGTGCTGAATTTGTAAATCCATTACCTGAAACAAGTAATCATTTTGTAAGTGTTTTTGTATTTCACCGTCCATCTCGTACTCTACATGTTGATGATACAATTGCCTACGGAGATCATCCAAGTTTTCTACTTAAATTAATTGGCTTTAAACATGGCTCAATGGCATTTCATCCATCAATTAAGGGGCCAGGATTACATTCAACTCCGGAAGCTCCCTTCGAATTTCGTAATTGGATGAAGACTATATTAAATGATTGGCCTTTTGATAATATTTGTTGTGCACATAATGGTGTTAAAATTGGTGGAGCACATGATCAAGTTATTGAATTAGTTAATCTGGCTGAACCGCTATTTAACAAATTAAGTGAAAAAAATCGAAAGAAACATTCAAGCCATGATGCGCCTGCTGCGAATCCTACAAATATGAATGTTAGTGGAGATGAATGTGGTTAAGAAGAAAGCGTATCTATTTGACTATTATGTATGGAAATTCTAATTTTCTACATTAGCCTAAACACAGTTTATGTGGCTTGTTTTTTGATAACAGAAAAATTGCTATATTAATTGTAACTCAAGCAAGCGTCCATAGCTCTTGAACAAAGGATTGTTGTTCTTGAATTTTCAATAAAACCTATCAGTCCATTTATTCTTTTATCATGCGTGAAATTTTAGTATGATTATGAAAATTTTCATGTTCATCATACAGAATTATAAGAAAACAAAATATTTCTAAGCAGTTTTCTATTTTTCCTTGAATACTAATTAAATCTATCAGACTCTTCAACGATTGAAATAACTTTCTGCCTATGAGCTAAAAAAACAACAACAGTATTGATTTTATTATAAGAAAGGACTTATTAATTCATTTTCTTATCTAATGTTTCATTATTGCAAAAGAAAAACTCAAAGACGTAAATATAGATTCAACCATTATTCATCAATTTATTACGTTTACAATGTTTAAATATTTTCTTATTAATTATTTGTAAATCTTGTTTTTTAATATTTAATTTAAATTTTGCTCGTTCAAGACGCGTTTTTATTTCGTTTAATCGCATACGAAGGCGTCTACGTTCATCTCTCATTCGTGATATTTCAAATGGAAATATTGTTACAACACTTGATAGACACATTGTTCGTAATTGTTTATCACGTCGAGTTTCTAATTGCTTCAAACATAACGGACATTGTCCTGTTTCTTTTAATCGTTTCTTTATGCAATTTTTTCCGAATAAATGACCGCAGGTTGTCGACACTAATTGATGTTTATTTTGAGTTGTGCACATAGATGCACAAAGTGAACAAACAAATAATTCATTTTCAGATATATTATCAAATATTGTTTTAAGAATCTCTGTTGTTATAATCGGTGATAATTTATTTGCAGTCATTGTTTTGTTATTTTTTCGTCTTTATGTTTTATAGAAATATAAATCAACGAAAAAAGGCAAATTAAAAAATTTTCCTTTTTTTTATCTAAAGAAGAGAGCGAAATTTGAATTTTGTTCGAATGACATAGTTACTCGATATTCACTCTCGCCTGTATAATTGAAATGGATATCAGTGGCATCTTACGGCTAGCAATATTTATTGGTTATATCATTTAGAGTTAAAATAAAAGAACAAAAATTAGTATTTATGCTATAATTCATCATCATTTGAACTAGCTGCTTTAGTAGCTTCTTCTTCTTCTTCTTTTTCTTCTTCTTCTTTGGCTCTATCATCTAATGTTTTTAGAATTCTTCGTAAATCTTTGAACGCCATCGGCGTTAGACCTAGAAAAAATTAAGAATAAAAAATAGAATTGCTATTTTTTCATCGACATACTTTTAATCAATGGTCGAATATCTTTTACACTTATTTCAGATAATTTTCGTCGACCCATTAAGTCTAAAATATTATTAACTTCCGTAATTATTTTACTATATGCTGGATATTCTGTTTCCCAATCACTCGGCATAAGATGATAACGATTATTATATAATGCAAGAAGATATTGTTGTATAAATAAACGCAAAACATCATCAAGATTGAATACATCATTTGCAAGTATGATATCAACGGAAAGTTGTGCGTTGTCACCACCTGAACTAATAGGCGTTTGAAAGGTTTTAATTAATGCCTTTAGAAATAGATCAGGATCCATAGATAGTGATTCCGCATTAATCGTAGCTACAAAAAAGCTACTAATCATCAGTACGAATATGATGGTCGTTGAGGACGTCATTTTTTATGTAATGGGAATAGCAATCTAATGCTCCCATTAAGGTCGTTATTAACCAGGTGTTGCTATTCTCATCCTTTTTCATAAAACTATATCTTGCCTGTCGACTTTATTATCAGTAAATATTGTGTTCTTATCAAATGAAGAGTTTCTCTTTGAAACTTCTAATGAAATATATATTTTTTTTAGATACTCTTTTATTCAGAATAGTTCAAGAAGCAAAGACGATGTCGTATGCTTTTGATAATGATGAATTTTCACATTATTATGATAGGTTTGTTGTTGAACATGTTCCACGTGATATTTTCTGGACGGATACAGTAAAAGATGTATATGCTGAAATCATACGGCAGACATTTATTGATAATCAACAAACAACTGTTGTTGAATTAGGTTGTGGAACTGGTGAAAATTTACTCGAACTTCAAAATTATTTTCCAAATAAAAATCTTAAATTTATCGGCATTGACCATTCACAAGCTATGTTAAATCGTGCTAAGGAAAAGTTGAATAATAAAATTGAATTGTTACATGGTAGTTTAACAGATTTTGCTCAATGTTTACAAACAAAACCAGTCGATTGTATACTCTTGCCTGCCGGTACATTTCATCATTTAATTACTGATCACGAACGGCAAGACTTAGTAAATAATATTCAACAAACGCTTCGCCATGAAACTGGACTTTTTGCTATTTATTTATTTGCTGATTCGTTAATACGTACAGAAGCAATCGAGAGTGCAACAAATACGGAAGATAAATTCAAACTTATTTCAGTTGAAAATACTCAAGAAAATGATAACGAATGGATATGTAAGCAAATATTTGAATTTAATGTTCCCCCAAAAATTCAATTATCATGGCAATTACGTACGTGTTCAATAGTTAAACTGATTCGTTTATTTATTTCGAATAACTTTGAAATTCTATTTTGTTGCGTGAATGGAAAAGAGCTTCTACCGTATAATGAAAATATTTCATATTCTTTAACGAATAACTCGACACCAGTAATTATCGTTTTTCGTACAAGAAAAAATACAAACTAGACTCATTTTTGTTTTTGACATTTAGAGCAATAAAAACAGAGAGAGAGAGAGCGCGAATAAAAAGACAAGAAATTTGAAGGAGAGAAAAATCTTTGTTTCATTGTACATTCGAATTATGACGCTGATGAGCGTTTGTCTAAATTTATCACAGTATTAAAAAATGTAAGACTATATGCCATCGACAGTACGAACAGTACACCCTCGAAACTTCTTAGCGTTTTTGTAGCAAAAATGTAAAGATATTTATTAAATAATCATCATACAACATCTTGTTCGTTGTTCTCTTCGTATACGGGTGGGACGCGTGGCACTACCATTTGAGTTACGAAGGGCTGCATATATGTGTCAACACTCGATTGACGACGGACGTAGAATGGTGTCGGTTGTGCCGCTGGATTTTTGTTGCCTATAAAACAAAAGTAAAACAACAAAAAAATTATAGGTTTGCTTCGTGTTGTTCGTACTGGTATGCCTAGTGGAAAAGGAAATTGTGTTAATTTCTCTATTGTCTATATCTATTATTGTTAGTGGGCAAAAAAGGTCGACGTGTTTTTACCATTAGGAAACAGACTTTGTTGCGAAGTCAAAGTTATTAGAAAATGTCTCATAATCAAATCATATAGTTATTATTCGTTCGAGACAAGTAATGGAATCGACTAGTCAACAGTATTTATGATTTTCATCAACAAAAATCGATTAAAAATCAATTATTCAAATTGACGGTGAAGATCTATCTTCTCTAATAATAGAAAAACAAAAAAAAATGAAGCAAAAAATTTGTTCTAGGTTTCTTTCTCCGTCTATTATAAATCTTGAATAATTCAATCTATGATGATCAATAATATCTTCACAATAAAATTAAACGTCTCTAGATTAATATAAATTATATTAGAGAACCCAACGTAGTCCGGGCACAAAGTGACCCTGACCGAAAGCTTTTTACTCTCGGCAATATTCAAATGAAAACTTCCATTATCTATTTCTACTACGTTAATTCATGCATCAGAATATATTCAACTTTTCTTGCTTGCACAACTATTGAAAGTAACTTTTACTTTGTCATATATTTACGCCAATTAATATAAAATAAAAAAGTAGAGATTGTATTCAAGATCAAAGTAATATAAAAGGTACTCCAAATGTCGTGTTGAACAGCGCTGGGAAAAAGATTGAAAAATTCTATTCTTTGATATAAGCACTCGTTTTTAACCTTCGACTTACGAATTTATTATCTGAAAATAATTTTTTAATTTTAAGTATAATAAATAGTTTCTTTTTCTTTTAAAGAAAGTATTTTTCATTTTGACACATGGACGCATTTATCTGTCAAGCTTATGAACGGAACGAAAAAGAAAGTGTATGTATTGACATCTAAATATTAACGTTAATGGAAAAAAGTGTCCTTGTAATAGCTTTTATTTATCATTAAATAACGTTTTTATTATTGGTGTGAATGTTGATTGTGATTGATCCTTTTTCTTTCCGCGCCTTGTTCACGTATCGGTAATACTAATATGCAAAGATTTGTTGATTTTCTAAAAAGTTCCAGGGTAATGCACTTGCACGTCTGCGTCGTCACTAAATCTACTTGAAGCGTTGACGATGGTCGACCATAACGATCATCAGTCTCGATCTCGATAGTCTCTCAAAAACGTAACTGATGGATCGAAACTAACAGAACCAGAGAAAAATCCTCTTAATGCGTTAATATTTTATTATTTTTTCCCTATTTCGCTCTCTCTCTCTCTCTCTCTCTCGTTCTCTTTGCATTGTTTTTATTACAAACAGACTGTCATTTCGACTGATCTAGTTCTTTTTTCTCCAGTTATCTGTAGGGCTCGTCTCTAGCATTAAAAGAAATGAGATTTGACGAAACTAAATAGCAAAAACGTATAGGCGAAAAACAGCAAAAATAAACGGCTGTCTCAACAAGCGTATCTAATTAAGTGACACTTCTTTCATCGTCTACAATATTTATATAAATACATGTATATGTGTCTATCATAAATGTGTTACGTTTAGTTCTTATATTCTTTCGATAGAAAGCGAAGATAAAAAGAACGAGAAAGAAAAGAGCGATCCACTTTTCTTCCTAATCCGATTGTAAACTTGACTTGTCATTTGAATAGCCTCTCGTAATACATTCATTCTTTCAATATTAATTACTTTTTGAGTGTACGCTATTTTGGCTTGCTCACATATATACATGCATATGTATCACTATACTATTTGAACACGAACAGGTCTCTGCGCCCGTCTTTTATTCTCGTCGTTGTAAAAGAAACATAAATAATAATAATAAAGCAGCGATTGATCGTAACAAAATAGATTAATTCTCACAACTATTTGTTGAGGTTTTATATACACGCAAAAGAAAAGCTAGAAGCGATTTATTTTCATTCTATTTAATATTTCTATTAGTTTATATCTTTTAATAATACCTGATAATTGAACAAAAAGAATACCCCATCGAATTGACCAAATCCAACCCACAAGTAAAAATATTGTAGCACTTTGTAAAATAGCAGCAAGAATATTATAGAGAAATGCTACAATGTTTTTTTCGTAGCCATGTTTTCCACAGCAAAACACAGCGAATGCACTGATTAATGTTCCTAAAACACAAAGAACAACACGATCAAAAAATGATGAGCAGGTCTATTTTTTTTCTTCATCGATTTTTATGACATGACATATTTATTCATTTTTTATGTCTCGCTTATCAATTCACTTGCTTGGCTTAATATATTGGGTTTTTTTTCTCTGTGCTATAATGTAATACTATGATGATAACATACGCTCTGATGAATGCGCATGCACATGTCTGTCATTTCATTCATATAATTTCTCTACCGTATTGTCATCGACTAGATCTAATGGTTCTCAAGAGAAATTTTATTATACAACAAGAATGTTAGAATGAGATTGTACATTTATCAAGCAAAACACCTTCATGAAATATGATTAAGATCAAAGTAGACTAGTCTATAATTGAAAATCTCCGATGAAAAGCAATCAGAATAAATAGTATCTGACTTTCATCAAACTGGGCACATTTATCATGACGTCCATAATATGCATGCTCTGGGATGTACTTGTTTGCATGCCTGGCACAAACTATTCATCTAGCCGCAAGTGTAGTTACGAGTATGGCCTATTACCTTGTATCCTTTCTGTTTACTCTCTCTCTCTCTCTCTCTCTCTCTATGTGTATTTCTGGAAGGAATCATACGAAACGATGATGTTCTAAAACTAGAAGTTATTTTTTGTTTTTATTAGTAAGAGCATATAGTTAGAGATGCATTCAACATGTGGGAGGAGTAGAGTCATAATAATAACATCAACATCAATAAGAAAAACAAATAATCAAGTCCTAGACACCGGGTCCACATGTCAAATTAATCAGTACTACAGTAATCTTGATGAGCTGTAATGCTCGAGACGCGAATATCTGTGTGGCAGTTGATAATAATAAAAAAGAGAAAAAGAAAAATGACAAATGAAGGAAGAGAAGTTAAAAATTGTAAGATTATAATTGTTAAACATGCTGAGTAACGACCGTGTTGCCGGTAATATTAGTGATCATCTTTTTCTAGAAAGCTTCTCTTTACGATATTAAAAACTCGAAGAAATAAAAATAAAAAAGCCGCTTTCCAATGCCAAATTATTTATACAAGTCGCATGTGATTTGAAATAATCAATAGCATGTCATTTAATAAATATTGATTTCTTTGTCAACACGGAATGCCTACCTGTTCCAGGCAATGTAACATTGAGTAAAAAGCAAAAACAGGCTAAACCATGTGGCATTTGTGGAACTGCTCGACGAAACATGCCCTGTTTAGGTGTATTTGAATTTGATGCGCCAGGAATCATTGATGGGCGTTTCGATGATGCTAGTGATACATGACTTCGACGTGGAGTTCGATTGCTTGTATTACTTGGTTCTTGTGTTAACGAATGTGTTTCATCGGCAGAAGTTTTAGCTGATGGAATCTTCATTTTATCGAGCTAGGTTTTTGTCGTCTTCTAGCTACAAATACGCTCAATCGTAATCTAAAAATAAAATATTGGCCAAGAATAACGAACACATGTATGTTGTTTCCTCATCTATGTTGTGATCAATTCGAAGAAATTACATAAATGCACACTCTTATACATCACTAGTTTTCTACTGCTATGTGCTATATTTGTGTCTTCTAATCTTGCTAGAAGAGAGCAGAAAGAGCGAAAGAGAGAGAGAGAGAGAGAGAGAGAAAACAAGAGAAGAAATGGAAAGAGAGTAGGCGACGACGACAAGTCGTACGCTCTACCGTCTTCATCGTATCCCTGTCATTCTTTCCAACAAACGTCTTTCATCTCCTCTGTCACAGACCAGCCTGCATTTCTCGAACAAGAAACTGTTTATCTGTATATTTTTTCTCTTTATAATAAAGATTTTGAAACGATGTACTTCGACCTACTATAAAGTGTTTTCTACAACACTATTGAGATTAATATATATGCACATTGCAGGCGAACAAGAAACAATATATGCACAACAACATTGATAACAGCGGTTATCATTTGTACCAAAAAAGATTCTACACCTATCTGCTCCACCTATTTATCTATTTTTTTTGCCAAGCACGCACGATCCATTTATAAACATAAAGAAAGGGAAAAGCAAATCTCGAATAATAATGATGGCACTTTCAAGTGCCTCTACGTCCGATAGAGAACTAAACAAAACAAAAAATATATATATATATATATCACTCGCCTCGAATGGAAAATTTCTAAAAGAGAAAAAAAGATTGCTTAATTGTATATATCATTTTTCGTTTCCAATTTTTTGATGAATGATTCTACGGCAAAAGATTTGATTCAATATACCTATTCGAAGTATTCGTTAAGCAAATGTCAAAAAGGAGAGAGAGAGAAAAATCTTCATTTTTTGTTACAAATAAACTTCATCTACTTTCTTCTCTCTATCAGATATTCCTTTGAGAATAAAAGTAATTTCTGCCTTTTTTATGCTTGATTAGATGGCGAAGAAAAAACAAATTTCATTCTCGTAGGAATTCTTTTATCGAAGGATATTCAAATATAAGTAATAGATCTGGGCAAATACAAAACCATCTCCTATTCTGATAATAGCCAATTTTTTTTATATGTTTCATGAATAATCCTGATGCGCTATTAAATAGTATCATTCTTAGATTTTATTGCTTAGTATTATAATTTTATCGATGATAAGTAGTAAAATGTTCACGATAATTTTTTTCGAAAATCAGATTAATTCAATCGTAATAAATTATTGATTTCATAGTTGTTTTATCTTAGAAATGCGATCATACGAATGCCATGTATAAGATTGTTGATTTATTGAGACATATTCCGAGATAAAAATAAAAATAAAGTGATTATTCTGGCACTTTTTAAAATTAGAAAAATAAAAATATTGCGACTTTTTTTCTTCGATGAATTCTTCGTATTACTGTCATGATGAATAATATGGTGATTGCTACTATCTGTAGACAGGCGTAATTATCTTTAATCAATATAGACTTATTGACTAACTATAGACTGTCAACTTTAAGTATGTATGTCTAAATGAACCATGAAACTATTTTAATTAGATATAATTGATTTTGACATAGTCACATATGTTATTATGATTATTGTTTTATTCAGAGGTTTTTTGTTTTCTTTTGTCAGTAAATATTATTATCGGTCAATTTTTTATGGCATTCTCAAAAATTTAATGAAATAATTTCTCGAACTCCTAGGGAAAAATTACAAAATGAATACATCTCTTGATGTGTCACTTTCATTCTCGACTCTTCAAATACCTTTTGAATTTATGATATATGATGCTTGTGATGTGCTTGATTAACTTGAAGTTTATGCATAACGTAAATGGGCGTTTCTTCCTGAAAAATATATGCAATCAAGCTCCGAACAAATGAAAAGAATTTCAATTAGTAGATAAAGAATTTACTTTCGTGAGTCATATATCGGCAAGACAACAATCAATGAAACTTTTATATAAGCTACTATATTTTAGAAAATTATTAGTCGTTTTAAATAGATAATAAAGATAAATATGAAAGTAGAATATATTTTTTGCTAATTATTTCTTCTAATGTTGTTATTTCATTGAAATTAGGCTTCTATTGCCTTTGTTTGCGCAAGTAGCTAGAAACAAAACTTAGAAAATTCTTTTCCTATCCAAATAAAAAACATGATTATACAGAGCTGATTTACAGGATATCCGTATGTGTAAGAGATATTTAATGATCTTTCTATAATGATCTAGTACTCGGAAAAGTATTCACAAAACTTTCAAGGTTTCGAGAAAATGAAAGATGTACTGAGGAAACGGATGTTCTTGTATGTTTCAAGCACTCCTCAAAAATATTTACATTTTTAGATGTAAATATGCATCGATCTAAATGATCTCAAGTTGCAACCTTTTCCTCTTGTTTTGCTGTGTAATTGCAGTTAAGAAGACTTGTATATATATATATATTTATATAACCGAAGCTTTAATCATGTCTGTAGAGATAGTAAATAAATGATAAAAGTGCGAAGTCCTTGAAAACTTATTAATTAACACGGATACGCATTTTACTGGTCAGTTAATTCGTGAAAGGAAAGAAATAGATACGATTGATGCATCTTGTTTACAGCTGCTAATGTTTTATTTTGGAACTATCCAAATTAGAGGCAAAAACAAATATGAAATAGAATATGCCTATTTTATGATTTGAATATTGTATACTTGAGAAAACAGTTGTCGTTTGGAGACAACGATATAGATTCGCTGATGTTATGATCAAAATTCATGTTATAATCTGTAGAGCAAATCTGAGTAAATAATAATTCTTGTAATTCTACTAGACTTTTAAAAACATATACGAAATCTACGACTAATTAATTGAAAGTATGAACTTTTAATAGTTTAGATTGGTATAGGACAATACAATTGAGTCGAACCGGGTTATGTTAATTACAAAGAACTTATCTACATTTTTTCCATGATGCTATGTGCATTTTGTTTGAAGGAAGTTAATAGAATGCAATGTTCACAAGAGACTGGTTCATTAGTTTTTGCGGTCAAAAAAAAAAGAGAAAAGTTTTTTCTTGCCATAGAATAAAACTACTGAGAAATGTAAATCAACGAATTTTTTCCAAAAACGAGTTGTTAGATAAATCTTATTCCTATTTACTAGATAAAATATAGCTATTCACAATAGTTAATAGAAAATGTCAAGTTGAATTGTAGATTCATCGCTCTTGAATATTGCAGTGCAAGTATTTAGATATAGTTCACCGTTAGAAATTTTATTTATCTTAGTGTCTCTAAACTACTTTGATATGCAGTTGTAAAACGTCGGCTATTTCCGAACAGAAGAATCTATTCTTACTTCACTTTCGGCAATAAATTTTGTTGATGCATATAATTTAGAAGAGTTTATGATCTTTTTACTATCAATGGCGGTAGAGAAGTATCTGGTTTGTAGATTTTGAAATAGTTTTTCTCCGAAAAATAAATAAATGGCAGTTGTATAAAAACAAAGAGAATTCTATCAATTAACATCAGATAAGGTCGGTCTTCGCGGAAAAAATTTAAAAAAAGGAAAGCTGGACGCCAAAAAAATTATTTAAAAATATTCTCTTTGCTTTATAGCGTAAGAAGAGCTAAATTGCATGTTGTCTTGAGTTACCACGCAATTATCTTTGATCTGAGTTCCCGATAATTATCTTAAAATGAGACAAGTAATGGTATACGTATATGCGTGTATGCTGATCTGTTTCTTTAACTCAGCGCAATTCTAAAACATATAGAGTAGTTAATGTCACCATCAAAAGCACAGTATTGATGTAAATCTTTAACTAATTCGAAAGTTAATGAATGCATGAGATCAATTAGTTTAGTATCGAAAGGGATTTAATAAAATAGATCTTTTTCTTTAATTCTTCCGGTGATTTATTCAAACTGAGATCATATCGAAGAGTTCATGCAAATTTTCTTACCCTATAACACGACATTTCAAAGAGAGAGAGAGAATGGTCCACATACAGGCATGACTGACTACTTTAACAAGCGAATCTTCTTTTTCGATAGTCATTAAAAATATTTAATTGTTTTCTTCTTCTCAATAAAACATGTACGGATGCAGGACGTGACAAGTTCTTTTGTTAGAAATTCTTAATTTTGCTTAATGAACTTCAAGATTGATAATATTAAGATCTTAAAAACTTGTTTGAAAAAGAAAATCTATTCATATAAACATTCATATTAGGAGCCATGAGAAAGCCTAATTAAAAAATGGGGTTTTGCCTTACCCTATATCGCAAAATGTTCTTTAACAATATATTACGAATGACATCTCATAGAGAACTCAGGGTTGAGCATTGTCAAATATAGGGAATGGAAGGAAAACCAAAATAAGAAATTACACGATTACACAACCGTTTAGACATTTTCTTTTTCATTGATTTAAAGATTACAATGACTGTATCGTTGTTTCTCGAGAAAAAGATGTCTACAAGTCAAATACCATTCAATCGAAATGAATTTTCTCAAATGATTAACTTCTATAACGTCGGCTGCCGGAAGAAAAAAAATTTAATCGAAGAAGTGGTGATGTATTTTCAGCATACTTGTTTAGTTGTAGTTGTCGATGGAGAGATGGAAATTGAAAGCAATCGATAGTAATAAGACTTTCTATTAATCTTTTCGTTTAGAAAGACATGTAATTCAAATGATTTAGAATAGTGATCGATACAAGAATACAAGGAAAATAGAATGAGAATTTTGAGTTCCAGAAATCGTATGCGAAACTTTTCCATTGCTCCTTAAAAAAACTCAGTTTACGTAATAATGTTTGAAGTGACACGTTTTTTTGGTGTCATTATATACTAAGGTTAATGCATGAATGAAAATAATCTTCAGGTATTGACTTTTTATAATATCCTTATTGTTGCATTAGTTTCATCCTGAAAACAGGCATCTAGTGGTAACTTGACCAGACTTTCAATTAAAAACAAACATGAATACACTCAGCATTGAAGACTTCTGTGAATTTCATCAAACATAAATCATAAAAATGTCGCTTCAGGCAACTGTCAATAAGTAATGGAAGAGAGATTGCTCTATCAAATACAATAATTAGTTTTCTCGTACTATTTAACTTATTGATATCGATTTTCTCCTTTGAATTATATACTTAGGTCTGGCCAAAAGTTCTGCAATCGTTATTGACAATTTTATAAACCAGTTAACATTCAAGCGATTGTTGCATGGATAAATAGTGGAATGTCTTATCTATAATGAAATATATATATATCGGCTTGTCCGAGCGTAACGCGATGACGAAAAAAGGGCAAAAAGTTCTGGATGATGTGATTGTTCTTAATTTTTCTGCGAATCTTCTGCAGTATCGAATAGAATTTTCTATAAGTATGTTGTAGCCGACAGAAATGAAATGATCATCGAGAAAACTGAAGATATTAATATATACTCAAAATCTTAAAAATTTTAATTCAAAAAGTTTGCATTTACTTTTATCACCATCGAACGAAAACTTCTGCTAGCCTCAAACTGTTTGTATAGCTTGTACAATGAAATACTTTTATTAGATAACTCTATCTACTTAACAGTGGTATTATAATCAATTCAATAGATATATTAATACAAGAAACCTTTCATAAACGTCATGAATACTGCCGAGATTGGGTTCTTTTCGGATACTATCGATAAAAGTAAACATTTCGTGATAAATTCAATTGTGACCTGTCTACAGGTGTGTTCCTATTGAACCTTGAAAATGATTATGTTACAATTCATGAAAATGAATTGTTTCATTCACGAAGCAATAAAAACTATTTACTTACATGATTTCAAACGTATATCTATTATTTTAATTTAGATTTTGTAGAATGATTAATTAATCGATGATAGAATGACTCACTAATTTGTATAGTCTTACCAGCTGAATTTCTTCTGTCAATTCTATTAAAGAATTGATAATAAAATACTTGAATGGATTTTATGTTTTATGTTGATAATATAAAATTATGTATTGTTTATGAGAATCTGCTGTATAATCAATTTTAATTGTGTGTCCAGTAAAAAATTTTAGGGATTAAAATCGATTAAAATTTCGAAATCCTCTGGGCATAAACCAAATTGATAATAGGATTTTTCCGCAACAAAATCAAAATCATCATCGATTGAAATCAAGATTCCAATCTCTCTCAATCGATTATTCATATTCGACAATCGATTGAGAGTGATTTCAATTTCGATTCTAATCGATTAAAAGTTTGATTTTGTTGCAGAATAATTCAACTGAAATCTTTGATTATAATCAATAAAAATCGATTAAAAAAGTATAATAATCAATTCGCACAATTGTAATTCATAAGAGTTAGCTCTTGTAGAACTCACACACGTAAATTTAGTTACTGATTAAGAAAATGTTTTCAAGGAATATGAATCGGACAGATCAGATGATATCGTTTAGGCAAACTGAATTTCATCAGCACTATTACTATGAAATAGAGAAACTTGCAAAGTTTACCATCAGTGCTTTATAAGGAGCTAGTTAACTGTTGAGTCGAAGGAAGAAGCCATTTATAAGGGTGCTTTTAAAAGCACCCTTATAAATGGCTTCTTCCTTCGACTCAACAGTTAACTAGCTCCTAATAAAGCACTGATGGTAAACTTTGCAAGTTTCTCTATTTCATAGTAATAGTGCTGATGAAATTCAGTTTGCCTAAACGATATCATCTGATCTGTCCGATTCATATTCCTTGAAAACATTTTCTTAATCAGTAACTAAATTTACGTGTGTGAGTCCTACAACAGTCATAAGTTTAATCCAATTACACAACTTGAATCTATTTCAATGCATTCTCAGATTATCTAAGTTACAGTTATATATATTTCCAGTAAAATGCGGAGAGGAAAATAAATAGAGACGTTTTAATATAAAATTCTGACTACTACCTGGTTTTACATCTGATTACTCCTTCCTTTTTAGCAAGTGATATTTATTGGAACTCTATTTTAACATACCATTTACTGCAATTTCTTCTCTCATTCCTATCACGACTATTCATTGGAGCAGTCCCGAAAAAATTCCCAAGAACCTCTTTATTTTTCCTTACGTTGGAAATCTTTTAGTAAGAGTGTTTATAATTTCAAGTATTCATTAAAGAGAATATTTTATTATTAGATTCAAAATAAAAAAAACGTAGTGGCATGTTTTCAATTGAACAAAAAAAAAGACTAATATCACATTTGAGGAACTCGGTGGAGTGCTTTTTTTAATCTGAAACTCCAGTAAAAGTTCGTATAAATTAAGAATTTTAAATATCTAGCAATAAATTCTTACAATATAGTATACCACAGTTCAATCAGAAACGCTGATCTATTTCTGTAATGAAAACCTAAATTTCTCTACTCTCTATTCTTTGATTGTCTGTTCACCTTTGAAAATCGGCTACTTCTGTATTATCACGAGATAGCATATTTAGAAGGAACACAAGTACAATTCTACTAAATATGAGAAGAAGTTTTTGTATAAGAATGGTTTAAATCCTATCAAAATAATGATCTAAAGTGAAGAAAGGCTGTATAAAACCTTTTTATTATCTTGGTTCGACAGCTGTCTAAATCTTTCATGGTTTTCAGCGTACAAGTTTCTTTCGGAGTTTAGTGACCTTCTGTAGAAAAAAAGAGCAAATATTTCATGGTTTTCTAACAAATTCCTAACGATTAAAATCGAAAAAATCAAATATTTTAGCTAGGACTGTTAACTAAAAGTCCCCATGCAACATTTTTCTTCCCTGTTAATCAATTGTAGTCGATAATCACTTGTTAATTAAATAAATGCATAAGCATAGAAAGCGAGCGCTTTTTGTTGATAGTCAAATGTTTAACACAAAACTTTTACAATTTTTACATTTCTGATGTTTAAAATATAGTTATTAAAATATTAAAATCTCACAGATAAGCACACCCACAGGGATCGCAATTCTCAAACCTCTGAAAAGAAGTTTTCCCGTCTTTGCTCAATTTCGGACGCATCTGATGAACTAAAGTTGCTCAGTATCAAGTATAACTGATTAGATCATGAATCTTTTTTTCTCAAATCTGAAACCATTTTAATACCATTAAAACAGCCTTATGTCATATATATATATACGTATATATACGTTCTTGAACTGTTCTCGATTTTGATCACAATGCAACATGATCGAAATGGTAACCTTGAATTCAAGAACAACAAAATTGTTAGTTCGTTGTCTTTTGCTTTAGGCTCTTATCAGTCTGCTCCAAAATGGTAAGTTCCAATTCAATATTAAAATTATTTCTAAAATCTTTTTTTGCTGTGTTTTAGGTTGATATCGATTATGATCGAAATGGTAAGTTCGAGTTTAATAATAATAAAGCTGTTTATTCATTAATTGTGTTTTGTTTTAGATTGTTATCGGTATGGTCAAAATTATACGTTAACGGGGTAGATATATATATAAGATGGTTGATGAAAGCTAACGGGATAGATTAAGGGTAAGAGGATAGGTGTCCACAACCACAGAGATACAAGTATGGTGATTGTGATATGTATTTAATATCATTGTATAGATGCTGTATAGCAAGTGCCGAATATGAAGTTTTCAGTGCATTGCAATATGCATCATTTCATAAAATCGGCTACACGGGTAATGCACAATAATTTTTAGTCGAAGTTGGAAAAAACCAAGCATGTGAAGTGTGCGTTATATTGTTGACTTAAGATAAAAAAGTAGACGATGCAGTTAAAATGCATCAAACGAAATGCGATAAAAGAAATTTACTTTTTCAGCGAAATACTGTTCGTCTGACAGTGAAGCAACAAAGGTAAATATAGAGCGTTTTGAGTGCGAGCAGATCGGAATCAAAAAGAATAATGTTTTTTTTTTATTGCTTTTTACCTTTGTCAGGTAGTGAAATGAAGAAAGGAACAGCAATTTTTTGAAAAAAACGACGAAATAGCTGAGGCAAGAGAAAGACTTTTTCTCGCACGTGGTTGTTAAAAATAAAAGAGTCCAACAAAAAGGCGAGATTATTTGAATTGCAAACACAAAATAAATGCACACACGCATACATAAATACAAATTTTAAAATAGAATCAAACATGAGCAACTCAATGACTCAAACTAGCAGCAGTGCTACTTTGAGAACGCATAGCATCTTCTGGTTAGATGCTTCAGTCAATAATGAAGAAAATATTACGGCTCAAAAGAAACTACGAAGCAGTATTAATCAATTACGGACGTTTGTCGATCCTGAAGNCTTTTGCTTCTTTCGGAGGCACTGTTTTCTTCATAGAGTAACATCGATTTTTCACATATTTTTACAATCTCTCACTGTTTTGGGGATTCCATTAATACAAAAAAGAACAAGTAGGTCGCAGATTATTATCATTATCATTATTATTTTTTATTTTTTATTTTTTATTTTTAATTTATCTTCTACTCTTTTAACATTATCCTTTATCTTTACTACGTTAGGATGATTAAGTGGCAATGCTACTTCATAAATTGTCTGAGCCTTCTTCATATATATCAATGCCTGTTCTAATTCAACCTTGTATTCATACACAAGACCCATGTTTCTGTAGGTACTTGCAATATCTGGATGTTGAGCAGGAAGTGACTTCAATCTGATTTTAAGTGATCGATTGTAATGATCCAATGCGAGATCATAATGACCGAGACATTGATGAACCCCACCAATATTGTTGTACGACGCACCCAAATCAGGATGATCCGGTGGTAGATGCTTCTTCCAAATAGCAAGTGACTTCTCATAGAAGTCAAGGGCTTCAAAATACTTCTTCTCCTCTTGATAGATGTTACCAATATTGTTGTAAAAGGAGGCCATCTTCGGGTGATTCTCATCGTGTGCTTGTTTGAAGAGTGACACGGCTTGATTGTACGATTCGAGTGCTCGACCACGATCACCTTTCGTTTGATGAACTGTACCGATACTGTTGTGTGTGTTACCAATATTGACATGATCGGATGGACGAGTTTGCATCCTCATCTCGAGTGATTTCTGGTACCATTCGAGACTCGCATCATACTCACCTTCCGCATTAGCAATCATACCAAGACGTTGATACAACGCATAAATGGAGGGATCATTCGATGGAAGTTCGCTCAACCATTGACGATAGTACTTTCCGGCCAAATCGAATTTTCCCATATCGAGCATCACATCACCAAGAGAGAGAAGATTCGTTTCCTCTCTGTTGTATTCGTTCTTCATGTGATCATACAGTTGTTTGAGATCGTTGTCATGATCACTACATAGTGTCATTCGAATGATTATTGACATTGTTGCATCAGCTGATAATGATGATGATTGATCATGAGAAACTTGATTCAACCGAAAATTTGAACCAAGCATAAACAATACTTCAGATTCTTCTCCACAATAATAACTGAATTCATCAATTTGTGCAAATGGTCGTCTATTATTGCCGTTCTTCATACAAACTACACTAGGATCAGCGTCAATTTCGAAAACAACAACTACATGATCGCCCGATGCACATAAATGCATATTTTGTTGAACAAATCTTTCTGCTATTTTACGATTTAATGACGTCGATAAAAATGAATTCAATGAAATTATTGATCCACATGATTTTTCTAACTTTTTATATTCCACTATTGATAAGACCTGACCACGATATACAGTGACGCGCTTTTGACATTGATGAGCAAGCAATTGTTCGTAAATATCTCGAATAACAGTTCGAAATAGAACAATTAATTCCGTGTTTCGTACACGCAACGCCTTATTCATTATACGATACAAAAATGACTCACGTGTATACCACCATATCGCTGTGGCCGATTCATATGCCATATGAAATTCATTCACCAATTTCAAATCCGCCTCATTGGTCTTGTATTCTTTTTTCAATAATGCCAACAATTCATTTTTGTCTTGTTGACTGGGCTTCATTCTGATCAAAACGTCGATCAGCAATTGTGAATGCAAAAATTCACCGTTCAACTCTGTTGAACTACGATCCAAAATATCCATGGCCAAAGCTTCTTCGTTGCGGCCGCGATTCTTTACACACAACAGCATCGGTGAGACTCATCGAAAGAAAGGGGATCGCGATCAAGCACTCGAATCGTACAATCGCGCCGTGTCACTCTTCAAACAAGCACACGATGAGAATCACCCGAAAATGGCCCTGTTTTACAGCAACATTCGCAACATCTATCAAGAGGAGAAGACGTATTTTGAAGCGCTCGACTTCTATGAGAAGTCACTTGATATTCGCGAGAAGCATCTACCACTGGATCATCCTAAATTGGGTGCGTCATACAACAGTATTGGTGCGGTTCGTCGATGCTCAGTCATTATGATGTCGCATTGGATCATTATAATCGATCACTTAAAATCAAATTGATGTCGCTTCCTGCTCAACATCCCGATATTGCAATAACCTACAGAAACATGGGTCTTGTGTATGAATGCAAGGATGAATTAGAACAGGCATTGATATATATGAAGAAGGCTCAGACAATTTATGAAGTAGCATTACCACTTAATCATCCTAACATAGTAAAGATAAAGGATAATGTTAAAAGAGTAGAAGATAAATTAAAAATAAAGAATAAGAAATAATAATGATAATAATAATAATCTGCGACCTATTCGTTTTCCTTTATTAATGGAGTCCCCAAAAAGTGAGAGATTGGGAAAATATGTGAAAAATCGATGTTACTCTATGAAGAAAACAGTGCCTTCAAACGAAGCAAAAGTGAAGAGAGAGGAGGGGGGAAACACATGGCTTTCGAGAATCAATATGAGATGGGGTAAGAAATTATAATTTTGTTTTAGATGAATGAATCATTATATAAATTTCAAATGTTTTCATGAAAAACTTCCTCGAAATATATATGTGTAGATTTTTTATGCAATGAATAATTTATGGATCCATAGAGATCTTTACAATGATCCTATATCACTTGCTAGTTGTCGTGATTACTTTTGAAGAAATTTATGAAAAATATCAATTTAGCATGAATTTTTACTATCGTAAAATCAATTGTATCCATCGAACATCCCTTTAGTAAAAAAAATTGAATTGCACAACTAAGCACATTTGTGTATAAAAGGATTTTTTTAAAATGTATTTTACATAGAAAAGAAAATTCAAACAACAAACATGGTATCATTATTTTTAATTCTTGAACTAATTAGTGTACAACTATGCTAGCAAAAAAGTTCATATAAATATAATAAAACTTGACTAATTGACACTTGTAAAAAAACACTTATTTGAGATCAATTTTATACAAAAACATTCTTAATATACTAATGTCAAACAAAAAAAAGTAAGCACAACTACCATAGTCAACAACATGTTAATGTTACCATAGATGCTTCGTGAAAATTTTACTAAGAGTGAATAACAAAAGATTTTTAAAAAATCATTAAAAAACGGAGTGTGGGTGTGGGGGGTTCGTGATCATGCCAATCTAAATTAGGATAACACCCACACCTACACCCTCTAATAGATTTCCTCAAAATGCAATATACTAGCCTCAGAGTCCCAATAGGCCCCAATTATCATTCATAGCTGGCATCGGAAGCCATATGAACCACCCCTATTTCTTATGCATGCCACAGTTCATCAAAGGATGTGAGACTTGAGAATTTTCTCCTTCAATATCCTGTAGATTAATATTACAAACAGTCTATAATGCACTAAGGTTCGCAACGAAATATACAATAGCATCAATAGGAGTGTCAATTGACAGTTTATTTAATTAAAATTTAACTTCGAGAAAAGTTAATTTAATTTAAAATTAAATTTTATCAAATTAAATTTAAAAGAAATTAAAATTTTTCTCATACAAAAATTTTAACTTTTGGACTGAAAAATCATTTAGAGTTACATTTTTTTAATTTAACAAAATTTTTGGATGGATACACATCATTGCGATGAGGAAACTACGTGACTTTAACAGTAGTAAATATTAAATGAGAGGAGAACCTAGTATTTTAGGTTGATATTTGTTCATAATAGTCAAAATTTGTCTACAGATTATGCAGGATCCGTCATCTTTCTTCTTCAAAATACCGGGATACTCGTAAAAATATATTTAATAGCACAATTCGTAGAAGAATGACTAACTTTAACTTTAGAAAACAGGGAACATACTCAAATTTGACTTTAAATAGCAGCAATCAAGTCAAAAACTATGTTTATCTACGAGTTTTCAAATTTTAATTAATTTTAATTTCAAACAATTTAATTTATTTTAAATTAAAATTTTTGAAAATTTATTTCTCGATTTAATAATTTTTTTAAAATTTAAATGTGACACCCTCTAAGCATCAACTACCATCTTACATAAAAGGAACGATCAATATTAGTTGTCGATTCTAAATATCATGCGTTTTCACTCTAGATATGCCTAAAATAAACAAATCGAAAGTGCTATTCAATGCATTAGGCACTATCGAAAAAACATGTGTTCTTTGTTTCTCGATAGACATAAGTTAACTGGAAATATATTTTATCACTCATTAGATCAAATTTTTAAATTCTTCTTGGAGTTATCGCCAAGTTTATTCATAAGAATTAAACGAAACCCCCAAGTAATTATTAGTAAAATTCTATGATCTTTTCTGACTATTGGCCATGCAATTATTGGTCGATCAGCTGTAATTATAATGTTATAGTAGTTAATCAAAGTTTTTTAATGCTCCTCAGTCTCTCATTTGTTCAACTCATATCACCACAGGACTAAAGAAACTTTGATAGTAACATATTTCTAGACCTTCTATTTATATTTTTCTTATACCTATTCAATAGCTCGACATTGAATTCCTACAAAAAAAAATACTACCAAGGTCTTCTAGTTTTTATACTTTACGTACACCCTTTTTTGTCCTGCCTGTGTCACATCTCGATGATTTGAATATTGGCGAACTTGGTTTTTCTCCCGAATTTTCAAGTAGGCAATTAGATCACGTTATTTATATGCGCTTTAAACATGAAATAACGAAAAACAAATTAAATATATTTATTTAGCATTTTGATGCTTCGATCATTGTCTTTGTCATATAGAAAAATCTCAACACGCATTACAATCGATGTCGTTAAAAATCAAAAGTTTCTTTTTTTTCTTTCGTAAATAAAATCCTGTGATATATACAAGAAAAAATAAAATAACATAACATGAACTAATGGATCAAATTGAAAAATTTCTTCAATTTGTCACAACGCTTTAAAAAACACGAACATATCAGTCTGTTTTGTTTTTACTATAAAAAAAGAAAACATTTATTTTCCATGTGTCATCCATGTCAATACACATTTAAAAGCCCAATTTAGCTCTATAAACAAAAGAAACAGTGATCAATACAAAGAAAAATCTTGTTGCTGTTTCGGTCATAAATATATTCACCTTAGAGATCGAAGTTGTTCACGATCATGTTCTGTTTCAGGCGGTTCACATTCAAAACTAGCTGCCATTAAAGCTAGAAAAAATAAATAAAATTTTTCTCGAGCAGTCTATTTATAGACTCTATTCAATACGTACAATCTTCGCTAAACACAGGACTGGTTACTACATAATTAATTATGCTTTCGTAGCGAGCGAATGAACACTAAATATTTGTTTTGAATTGAAAAATCAGCTAACATTTATCTACTGATTTAAAATTCTTACTTTACTCGATTTACATCTGATAAATTCTTCTGAAATAAATCGAGCCAGAATATAAAATTTCTAATGAAAAAAGCAACAACAAAGTATTCAATAAATGATTTACTATTAATCATCAATTTGTCTTACTTTTAGATTAAGTTCTTCATGTTCATCATTTGTCATGATTAAATCAGGCGAACGAACTTTAATAAAATAGACATCACGCAAGAAAATGCTCAGAAAGGGAATAATAACCTTGAAAAGAAATATATATTTAGATTATTAAACAAAAAATGAATAAATAAACAAACAACAGATTTACCATTCCCGGTTGCCAGTGATGCTTTTCGGCTCGTTGCATTGCAGCTTTAACAATCGATCGATAAATACAAAAGTTTTTACTTGGATTCATATATTTTTCTAGTGTATCCAATTTCGCACGATTAGCTTTACTCCACTGAAAAGAATAAAAAATATTGTTTTGTATTAGAAATGAATGGTTGTACCGTTTTCTTTAGACGTTTGACAGGTAACATATTCAGACCACCTAGATTAAAAGCAAAACGTTGTGTTAATATGTATAAGAGGACTTCAATTCAAGGATAAATTTCGATTACGATCGAATACATTAAAAGTATATAAATAACCATTACCGATCGCATTAAAGAAGTACAAAAGTGTAAACATTCGAAACAGTTCATGTCCTTGGAGAGATAGGCTACTTTTTCTTTTTTTACTTCATGTAAAATATAAATGTTAATGAGAATTGACTTTGCTGCTTGTTGCTAATTCTCTTGACAATCAGATATAAACACAAGATGCTTTCGCTCTCATGAGATATGTACTGTCAAAAATCAATTGATAACATACTTCATAATTAATATTTTCTTCTCTTCTTAAAATTTACATCTTAGACAAACATGAAAATTCATGACGAAGAGTCTCTTTCTTAAAATAAACAAGCGATTTATTATGCATTTTATATGGATTCCACCTAAAAATACGTTTCTTTTTCTGTCACCACTTACGGGCGTTTTATCAATGAACTTTTAAAACGCACTTAACAATTTTCTTCTAGCAAAAACATCTTGAAGGATTAAAGTTTTATGGAATACTATTAATATATATATATATATAAGCGCAATTACCTAGAATTCCCATCATTGAATTAAAGTTGCCTGTATTAAAACATTCAAGTGCTGCATCAATAAAATAATTGAGAAGTTTAACACGAATATGTCGTTTTAAATGTTTAATAATTTCTGTTGTTACAAATGACGATAAACGATTACTCCAATTAACATACGCTTCAAGACAATATGTCCAAGCATTTAATGTTGTTGATGATGATTTTGTCGAACGAGAATCTGACGCCGATGATGAATCTGATGAGCGCATATGTATGAATTCTTCCGCTCCGATTGCTTTAAGTCTATCCTAAAAATAGTATACATTTCCAATTGGTTACGAACTCTGTTTTATATATACATACTAATTCAATGTGTGTCAATTGATGTGCAAATTCTTTTGGGCATGGACATTGCTCATAAATATCAGTCTAATCAATCGATAGATCAAATAGAATTCAGAAGAAATCAAAAAAAAAACAACTTACTGTTAAAGCAGAAGTTGTCAAACGAGTGGCTATTTCATTGTCAATTAATTGTAAATATTGTTCATATCGATCGAGAATATTGAGCTAGAAAGATTAGATTTTCTTCTATCGTTTAATTATATAGCTGCTATATATGCCTACTTTAGACATTATATCCGATAAGAGCAATTTAACATTCGGTTCAAATACAGGATCAATTTTAACAATTTGACTTGTTATGCATTCAAGTTGATTCATTAATGCTAGTGTACGAAAATCGTATGAGAATGTTTTTGTCCAATGAATCAACATAGAAAGATAATTGAGAAGTAGATTTGTTCGTTGTTCCTATCAATAGAAATGTTATTTGAGGATTTAAAACGAAGCAAACAGAGAAATATTTCATACCGAAGAACAACGTGTCAAATTACTAAAAATAGATTTTGCTATCTTATTAAACAAAAGTATCGGATTAATATAAGTTCGACAACATAGAAGTGCAGGATAGAGAAATGTTATCTAAATGTAATGAATAGAATTGATAAGTGATCATTTTGATTTTCTCTGTCTCTCTAAGTTTTTTCTTGTTTACTTCAGGTGTACTAGTTGACGTTGGAGTTAATCGGGCGATTAGTTCATCGAGTGTTATTGAATCACTACGAGCAGCAGAAAAGTCTGGCCCAGGTGTTGGTGCTCGAAATGTTAGTTCATCATTATTAATGCCAAGATGTTGCTTATCATCGAACAATGAAGATCGCTTTATATAAATATTTATTTTTGCATTGCAAATATAAAAATAAGAATAAATATAAATCTTAATCACTTACAATGACATTTTCATAATGCAACGGTGCTTTAGTCGCTAATGCTGACGAAGGACGGAAGACAGATGTTCGTACAAAATACTTCGGATTTGAATAAGAAAATGACACATCTGAGGGACAAGGACTTGCACGATGCATATTAAGACTTGTTTGACTTGCTGTACGTGGTATTTGATGGTCATTGATTGGAATAGTTGCGTTGGTGTTAGCTATTGACGATGAAATACTATCAACGCTATGCGTTCGAGAATTGTGATGATGACGGAAATAACGAAATTCAGGTGGAAATGATTCATTAATTGTCTGAGGCGGTGGTGTATGCGGTTTCCAGCCGCTCGATGCTTCATTTCGTTGTTGATTTAAATAGGCTTTTCTCAATAATTTTTCTCGTTTTTCTCTTGCTGTTCCCAAGAAGACTCCATTGTTGGAAGATGACATCGTAGAATTAGAAAAATTATCTCCATAACGTTGATGCATTCTATAAGCTAAAATGAGAAGAAGAAAAAAAGACGAATTTTCTATGGTCTCATCGTGTAAAAGACATTGAAAATGAAGTGTAAATGCACTCGAATATAATGCATATGTGAATAAAGAGAAGGAAAAAAATAGCTTAAACAGAACTTCATTTGTTCGTAAGTAGTTTTTTCTTTCGTGGCTATTTATTTGTTCAGATTAATCAAAAGAATCATTGAGGATAAAATTAGACGTCAATCACGATTACCAAGCAACGATGCCTGGAATATATTTTTCAATTAATGATAAATAATACGATTCAAGTTTATCAATATCAGGTAGATCGTTATCATCCTTTGTATATAAATCAAATTTTTGAAAACGTCTAATCAATTCTAACCGTCGAAGATCTGTTTCATTGCATAAATACATGTAGTCACCACCTGTATGCCTAAAAGATTAATAATATATATTATAAAAACAAAGGAGAAAAAAAACTATACCAAGGATAAAACGAATGATATCGTATGATATATAGACCTTCATCAGGTAATGTACATGCTGGATGATTATTTAAAACACGATACAGATATTCATCATGTCCCCATGACATCAAACATTGTTCGAGACCACAGTTCGGCGTATACATACCGTATTTAGTTGAATAGATTTCATGATTTAAATCAGGATTATTTACAAACGTTGTGTTATGATAAACAATTTTATCACTGAATTGACAACCAACCGGAAATGTATCACCAACAATAGCCCATTGTGGCTGATTGTTGAGAGCAAGAATTTTTCCACAGTCATGTATAAGACCTACTAAATGAAGCCAATCTTCATCGGGATAGGCTTTTCGTAGGCCTTCAGCTGTTTGAAATCCATGATACATATTCGGTACATCAACATCAGGATCACTTTCATCGACAAATTTATTTAGTTTCATTATAGCGTCATAAATTTTCATACGTCCATGATCAAATTTTAACCAATGATCATGCTGTTTACGGACAAAATCAACACATTGATATGTATGCATTTGTTTATACGTATTAAAGACTCGTTGGGCGATAATACTATCACTACTTATTGGATCATCAATATATAGCCGAAAGACCTTATTAGAATCTTTTGCTTGTAACATATTTTAATACTCGTGTTTTTGTTGTTGTTGTTTATTAAAACATCGAGTATATACATATATTGTAGTAGTAAGGGAAAACTATATGTATCTCATTCAATTAATTGATAAAATACTCCAGCGCAAAAAATAGATAATAAAAAAGTGTTTAAACGACCTACTTTGTTGTTTTTTTGTTATATTGAGTATTATATTTCAAACTTCTTCACTAAATCTGAGTATCTATTTGGCAATGAATAATGTCATAAGAATAATTTTCTTGTCAACCTTGGCAAAGCAAGAATTCCAAGGAAAAGAAAACCATGAATAATGATGCAACGAAATAAAAAGAGGAATGAAAAAGAAAAGAAAAAACCTAACTGATCATCTTATCCTTCTGTTGTTAATGTCCTCCAACACCATTTACTCAACGAAACTCAAATTCGTTATTTCTTCTGTCTTTGCACTCACCTTTCTATTTTCTCCCTCTCTCTCTCTCTCTCTTTCTTCTTCTTCGTCTTCTTATTCTTTTCGTGTATCTTACTCGAGGCCGGATGTAAAAGCCATGTTATGCGTAACTTTCGTCGTCGCACTTTTTTTTGCTATGCTCTCCTCCCTTTTTTCTTCTTTTCTTCAAAAGGTGAAAGAACGAAATACAATATATATATATATATATATATATATATATACATATATAGCTATATGTGCACATGCTACCGTTATAAACGGTAATAATAATAACAATAATGATGATTATGATGACGATAATGTTAACATTTTCTTAAGACAACAATGTTTATAGAAAAAAATATGAAATCGAAGTCGTAACCGTAACATTTCAGCACACGTGTTTTTTTTTATAGAGTGAACAAAGAACAAGAAGAAGAAGAAGAGTCGATATTATGCATTCATGACAGTAAGTGTCGTAATCATGGGTCGTGCTTATTTTACTCATCGGATGTGTTATTATGTGATAATTTAACTCTTAATTAAATAGCTTGAGAAGAAAAGAAACAAGTAAATGTAAAGTATTGTACATCTAAAATCTTATTGTCTACACTTGTCTCGCCATCAGACAATATATGATTGTTTACATTCATATTAGGAACAGAAGAGAATGCATGCATCCATAAACGATAGACACAAATACAAGAAGAAAACGACCGAAAAAAAGGCACTGTTAATACTATGAAAATATCGTCTTAAGTTCGCTCAGTAGTAGTAATTGAAACGTAATGAGAAAGGTAAAATATAATGAAGTTGTTTTGTGAAATGATGCTCGATTACACATTTCTTTTGCACACATACAAAATCGTCCTATTGTAAAATTCGAACCCGTTGTATGTCGGTAACAAACATCAATTTTCGATAAACGATGTAGAAAATAATCAGTTAAACAGCCACGTCTTACAAATGTATCATTAGTCGATTTGCCATCGAAATGAAAAAATTTTACACAGTAATCTGAACATTCAACTGTGCGATTAGCGCGATGAACTTTAAATGGATCACCACAATAATCGTCAACACGTGAGTCACATTGATAGCAAACAAATTTTGCCATTGTACATGTTTCTTTTGCAACGACGACTAGTATTGTTCGTAATTGATGAATAAATATCGATAGATAAATACTAGCGAGCTATAATTTCAACAAAGTAAATATGTTTACGTAGATGATTCTTAAATTCTACTTACAAATTTCATTGTCAGTCATTGAATAGCGTCTTTTATTTATGAAAAAGAATATACTTTTTTCTTAATATTAACCATAATCAATATATGTATATAGAGCATATCTTCAAAACACAACAAAAAAAGAAGTATAAATTAATAATATGATCATATTTAGTGAAGAAGATCCAAGGACTTGTAATCAGATTCTAAGGATATGTCGAAATACTATATGCAAACATATACACCTTATTTATCTCTGACAATCGATATACAAGACCTTGCAGTCGTTGTTTTTCTCGACGAGAAAAAGAAGGACTGAGAGAGGAGAAAGAGCTGATGAAACCATCATCATCATCATTATTCGTGCTACTATGAATTTGGGCTAAACCACTATCTTCTGTTTGCTATTCCCGTTGTTCTTTCCTTTTTTTTCTTCTTTTCGCGTCGTCATCATAGACATAAGACCAAATTGGGTCTAATGCATTACGTTCCGCTCTTTCTGATTACCCCTTTTCTTCTATATCTAACTGTCTACAGCTACATATTGTCTCAAGCGTTGGTTGCAGTAATCTCATCCAAATAAAACAACTCAATAAGTATTGCACATTCAATTTAGAACTAAACGCTAGCAGTGTCAAAAAGATGAAACCTTTCCATAGAGCAGAAATGTCTGATTTGAAGGATGGGATCGACGTGCGAATGTGATTGCTCACTCATGCGACTGTAGTGAATGAAAATTTTCATGCTGTACTGAAATTAGCAAGCCATATTTTTCTCTTTTTTCTTTTCTCTTACTCTTATTCTTTCTTGCTAACGAATAGGATGAAGTGAAATTTTTATTTTCCGCAGGGAAATTCTCGTTTGCAGCTGTTTCATACGTCGTTCTCATTCTCGCCATCGTTGTCGTTGTCTTTATCATCAATAAATATTAGGAATCATGAAATGAAGGAAATAATAGCATTCATTCAATCATTGATTCATGTTATACTATTCTTCTCTTTTGTTGTTTGCTTAAAAATGATTTTTTTCCATACGCTATTGTGATGATCGATTACTAACGGTCACAGAGATCTTGAGATTTTGGAGAAGCCTTAAATATATATATATATATATATGTATAAAATTATCTCAAATATGCGTACACTTAATCTACCGTGTTGCGTTTATATGTTGCAATATAGAGATAGAACTCTGCAACACACGTAGTGGGACCATTTGATTAACTTTTCTTTTATCAGAGATGTTGTTTGTCGTGTCTTCTATTGTATGTATGCGTGTTTTCCATTGTCAAGCTTGGTTTCTTTCTTTTTTTTCTCCCCCTCTCTCTCTCTCATTTCCTTTTCTACTGATGACTTACCATTATATGGAATGAACAAATTACTAGAAAGGAAGGTCTAGTATGCTAAACATTTCTGTTCGCTATTCTCTCGCTTCGCAGACGCATACACTTACAAATTCTCACGCTCTCTCTCTCTCTCTCTCTCTCTCTCCCTCAGTCGCCCTCAGTAGGCATTTTATTATTATTATTATTAGGAGTATTAGTATTACTATTCTTGAAGGCAAGCAAAACGATATTGTTTTTAGTATAAATCCAAATACACAAATACCAAAAGAAACGAGATGAGAAGAAACAAACATCTCTGAGAAAATGTAAATTGTTGACGTTACCTTATACATTTTTAATGTTAATATAGATTATCTCATGATCAGATCAATAATGAGAAAATGATTGGAATGTATGTTTGTATTGATGTATAATGTATCAACATCTTTATATTTATGTGTGCATGTAGATACACGTTAGTTTTCAAACAAAAAAAAGATGTAATTACATGTCTTGCTAGAAATATCTCCTATGTAAAATCAAACGGATATTGTACTCTGCTAAGCAGACCACTTAAAATTCTATAGGATTCCGACACCCCCTTTATACTTTTATATCCATCGTTTACTACCTGACATGGCTTCCGGTATAGTTTTATTATCATATTATTGGAGAGAGAGAGTGTGTGGACAGAAAACTTACCAATGGTGGGAGAAAAAAAGAAGAAGAGAATTATAATGATTCTATTAGAAATGACATGAATAATATTTGTGTAGGATCATTCCATGATATGTCAATAATAATTTTTGCTTGTCATTCTGGCATCATCATACTGACTACATGACATTGCCATACGATGTTCGATTCATTTTTTATACATTATAAACAAATCCAGTGTATGTAGAATGTCAAATAGAAAGCAACATAAAAGATCAGTAGCACTTAACTTGATGAAAATCTTCTCATAAACTAAACATATACTGATACAGAAAACATTAGTATAACATAGTTAAAAAAAAACATGACCCAATACAACTATGGCTGTCTCTATAAAATGCTGTGCGTTTGAAGAACCCGACTATTTGCTAGCTCGAGAGAGCACACAAAAACATAGAAAGACATTATTGAAAAACAACAAAATTGTTTATGGTTTATTTCATTTTTATTTTATATGTCATTAATTCTGCCAACGGTACATCAAGTTTTGTGGTAATCGCTAATTGATTTTGTACATGTCTTAATGATAATGATGTTTGCTGAATGGATTCAATCTGATTGGCTGGAAAGAAATGTTCGAGAATCGGCTATAAGAAAATGATACAAAAAAGAATAAATAATTGTTTTTGAATATATTTATCGTTAAATAAATAAATCATTACTTGTTCAAAATGGAATGAATTGTCGTAGGCTTCATCACAATCATAGGCAAATCTTCGTAAAATTAATGCTAAATTTTTTGAAGCACTAAATTTTGCATCATCACGATTTTCATTTAATGTCCGTAAATTAACTAAATGGTAATCACCAGGAAATAAATTAATTTTTGAAAATAGATTTAATTCATGTTGAGGGATTTTGGTTGATGTAGATTCTAGCAGATGCATAGGATACAGAAGCTCAATTGAATGTTGATGAGCTAATAATGTAGGATAACCAGTTAATGATGATCGATCGGCAATCTAAGAAAAGCCAACATGTCAGTTATGCTTGTTTTTAGTATAATGAGATTCTATTCACATACTGTACTGCGCGGCTCAAATAGAAGTTTAAAGGTACTGACAATTTCTCGATTGTCTGTAACACCTTGTCCCATGCCACGATTATCATCACGAAGTAAACGTCTGTCGAGAAAAATATCGACAACACCTAAATTAAATCCATCGTTAAAAAACACTAATGGGTAATTTTTCAAAATAATCACCGGATTTTAAACTTGCAACACCTGACGGTTGACCAGAAAGAATTGAAAATCTCACATGATCGTCTTCAATATAAGCCATGGTTGGCATTGGATAAACATTACCTTGCAATGGTATTTTACTGTAAGTTTTGCGTCGTATTGTCTAGATAAAGTTAAGAAAAATGTTTCCATGAAAATTTAAAATTAAAAGCTCAAATATTAAGCAAGATGAAATAAACAATTATATGAAAGACTGTAATCGATTACTCATTTTATATAGAATTAAATTAAATTATAAAGTAAAACGTTTTTATAGCACTATTCGAAAGAGACTATTGTCACATCAGATTTCCGATAGTATCTTGTAATCTTTTTTTATCATCTCATTAGTTGGCCTGCAACGGTAAAAAGTTTTATGCATGCCAACTAACCGAACCAATTCATCAAACAACAACAACAAAAAACGTACATCAAAACAGTCTGTTATCTTTCGAATTCTTACGTTAACTTGAATCATAAAATCTTCTCAAAATACATTGCGATTATATTTCTATAGATTAGTGACAGCCACATTTTGTTTAATGCATTCTGTCTACGAGTCCAATTATTGCATAGTAGTATGTCTTCAATCTGAAGAGCAGTCTAAACATGTTTTAGTTCCTTCTTCACATGGCATCAATCAATCATTAATATTGAAGGAATATCCAGCCTTTTTAGTTTATAGAGGAGCTCTTATCTATTCGTTGAAAAACTTTCTCCCGTTCTTCTGTCAGAGTGACGCATATAATCACTTAATCTTAGGTCCAATGCTTAGCATAATAATAATCTCTTGTAATGATTGAATCCATTTTTTTTCGCGAACAATCAGTATAATGATGCACTAATTGAATTCAATTTTTAGATTCGGCAATGGTTTTTTTTTTATTTATTCGCAAAATATTAAATGGCCGACTGAATGCATCATTATTTTGATGAATCAGATTCTTCTTGTCAGTTAGATCTTACTTTCTTTCACACTAATGCAATTTTCATTTTTTTTCTTCTCTATTTTTGCGTCTAGTTTACTTTGTCGATTCGATAATAAATCTCAACTATACTTATTGCTCTAGAGAATTTGCAAGGCCTTTCTCATACAAGTAAGAAAAAGAACAAAAGACAAGAAAAGTTCACTGCACGGGGCATATTTCAAAGAATAATATACGATGCCGACTATATTTTCTTAATCGAACGTTAAAAATTCGCAACGAACAATTCATCAGCTTCATTCCTAATTACTTACCTCTTTCTAAATAGAAAGAAAACTACATTGAATCTATTTGCCTTTCTCACCTGAAATCCATTGAGATCTGTGAAAAATTCATCTCCATTTTTTATTCCAGTTGTAAATCTCAACGCTAATTCTATATCTTTATTCATATTTAAATGAGTTGTTGCACCAAGTTCAATAATATAATCATCTGAACCTAAAAAGAGAAATCGAAAGTGAAATATTATTTGAGCAAAATTATTTTCACATGAAACAAACCGTTTGTATTCGTTAATTTATATTGTAAACCATACATTTCATGTAGAATTTCCACGCGACTAACCAATGGACCTCGTTGAATACGTACAAGATCATGATCACCCATGGGAATATCTTCAGCTTCTCCATTGGGCAAGAATAAATATCCACCACTATTGTGATCGGTGTTCATTGATGTACCATAACGAATAGGATTTAATCTCACAGAAACGTTTTCATCGTGTTGTAAATGTTGAACACTACGTAAACCACCGGCTTTTGAAAAGCTCGCCGAAAGAAAACGATTACTTAATTTGATTAATTTCTTGTCTGTTATTTCTACTTTGAATGGCCTAAATATTGAAAAAAAATGATAGTAAATTTAAAGAACAAGCAGAATAAAATACCCAGATGATTCAATAGGTTTATCTTTTTCATTCATATATTCAATAGTAGTCAATGGGCATGATTTTTGAGTTGTACTGAGATGAATAGTATATTCTTTTAACGAATATGCCTCGATATTAGCCAGAAAAAGAAGCTAGAAAAAAATTCTTTTCTTAAAGAAAAATGAACAATTTTTCAATATGCGAACTTCGAATTTATTTTTTGCCATCATATTCGATTTTTTTCCTGTCCATTTAGGATCGATTTGACAAGAATCTATTGGTTGATTATTACTGGTAACAAAAACTTGATATGTACTAAGAAGTATTTTAACAATTTGAATACGTCGTTGATCAGTTGGATTATAAAGATAAACAACTCTATTGAGAAAGAAAGAATTCCTTTTCTTCCGGGAAAATCTATATGAAAATGATTTACTTTATCGCTTGTGCTTGACTATCCAATGTAATTAATTTTCTTCTTGGCAATGATTCAAATGATTGTAATTGCATATTTGATAATAATGAATCATTATCTGCTGAGTAATCATTTTGATACAGAAGATAAGCAGCAGAATGTTCCATCACGTTTTGTGCTGATTTTATAGCTATTTCAAGTCTATAGAAAAATAAAATATTTTAAGAAAATCAACCGAATTTTAATTTAGAAATACTTTAAACCATAATCATTAACAACATGATCTTTCGCTGTACCAGCAATACCATCGTGATGTTGAAAAACTCCGAGATTTCGTCGTGCTTTAACTAACACGGTAAAAAGATTATCCTTCGGAAATTTACTAGTCGTTTTTTGTTCAAGCATTTTCGCATTGGCCATAGAGAATAAAATTTCACTGGCTCTAAAATGAAAATAATCATAATTCACAAGTATACAATAGCAGCAGTGTAGGCTCGAAAATGTTGAACTCAAATCTTCGAATATATTTTCGAACGCGATCGTTCACTCTACCTTCGACTGTTTCAGTTGAAACAAGTCAAGCACAATAATAGACTCTAATTCTATCTGCCGATCTACTGAACTAAATCTCATTGATTTCGATTAAAATGTAATCCTCATGCGATACGTGGCAATCGGAAGTAGCGTGAATCCTCGAAATAGTCACATTCATTTAGATTGATTACTTTTTCAATCATGCATACATAAATGTCGGGTTATCGCTTTGAGAAATATTGATTAAATAAATATGTTTTTCCTTACCTCAAATATGATTCAACAACTCGATCCATTCTTTTAAAAAATGCCCTTGAAGTATAATAACCACTCCAATAATGATCAGCTCGATCTGCATATGTAAAGAAATCTCCCATGTAACTTGGAAATTGTGTTTGAGGTTTTTCATGTAGAAGTTTTTCAAAATAATCACTTAATGTGCCAAATTGAGCCTAATGTTATTTATCAAATGCAGATTAACAAATTCAAGAGAAAAAAATGGCAAATCTTACATCAACATGCCAATCCGGTTGTTGATTCATAAAATTAAATAATCTATCATAGTTCTCAAATTGCTTTCTTGCTTCATCCATTGAGCCATAACGAAAATCATCGCCCAACTGAACAAATAATACATTGGTTTGATACAATTGAGATTTTTTTCGATATTGATCGAGTAATGTTTCAGCTCTAAAAAGAAAATAAATGGAATATTTATCCATGAAACCTATGTGAAGCTAAATATAGAACTCACATATGTTTGCTAGTCTCATTATACTAATGCAAAATGTCTTTAGGAACAAGTATCAAGAAGGCTATCGTTATATTTGAAAGATAATCAAACAGTCTCATTTATTCTGACATTTCAGCAGCAAATGGTACTTTCGTCTTTACTGGTACTCTACCCTCTGCTTTTTTAAATGCTATAGACTTGTTATTCTTTGGGTGTTTAGAAACTCACAGCGTAACAGTAATATTGAATCGCTGAAATTAAAAGTCGCATTGCCCTTTGTGCCTCATAAAGGTGACAAATGCAGTAGGAATAAAAGTTAGCACATAAAATGTCGATACTATTAATTGCCTATTTCCCTAAGGTATTTCTGAAGGATTACATAAAATAGAAAAGAGAAGGGAAATTTTGAGTTTTATCATCGAGTTTTAACTCTTATTCATGGTATCAACAGCACGTTTCAGAAAAAGTGATCATATATCTCGAGAGATCGAACACTCAAATAATCATTATTCGCTAAGGTTACCGCCAGTAGATCATGTCTCCATGATTGATAACATCTTAAGTATAGACGTTCGATTGCATCAAAACCTTGTTAAGGAGTTCAAATTATGTTGCTAGAAAAAACTCATATAATGATTGTTAACCTTCCTGATTCGGCTATGAGGTAGAGTCGAACATTTTCTACTCATAACTTATATTCCCTAGAGTTTTCTTTGAAAACCATCATGGGGGTATAGAACCTATTTGAATTTACCGTTCTCGAACATTGTCATTGGTAATTTGCAAAGGATTGATTCCCCATGGACAACTAACTTCGGTGCCAGCTAGTCGTTTAAAATCAAATTGACAACAAACTTTTGGATCAGGTCCACATGTATGCGGAATGTCATAGGAATAGAAAGGAAGAACATGCGTAAAAATCCCAGTAGAATTCGTTCGATCTATGAAATTTATATGTATATAAAAGAGAGAAGCTTGCAATTTTCTTCTTACCCCAAGTTTGTTGCCACATAAATTCTAATTTTTTTTCCTTTGCTAACGATTTTTTAATATGATAATGAACTCTAAATAGAAACAATACAGAGTTCAATATGAAGACATTTTTTCTAAACTATTTACCGTTGTATAGCCATATGTTGCATGCCGATACCATGAAGTAAGTAAGTCATTGTTGGTGAATAACCAAATGGATCATTAGCCCAACCACTTTGCAGAGAAATATTTCCTAAAATTTAAAAAAATGAAGAAAACTATCATTTTTTGTGTATTTAAAAAGTGAGTACACTCTAGATTCTGTCAGTATGGCCGTCCGGCCGTTAACACGATAACCTTTGAAAGCCTCATCCAACTGTCATGAAATTTGGTACACAGAATGATCTCATCAATATCTCAGTCGAATTCGAAGATGAGAAGGATCCGTCAAGAAATGGCTGAGTTATCAAAAAAGTTGTCATCGTTGACCAGATCATCTCTGAGGGGGGGGAGGGTACAAGGATTTTTTCAAAAAAAAAATTTTTTTTCTCAGAACTATTCAAAACATATATAAATCGACTCAGTTTTTGCAGTGCACGAAACAATCGCATGCGAATCCGATGTTTCCTCATTTGTTTTAATGTAATTACAAACCTAAATTATTTTCAATAAATTGATGCCCTTCAATTAATTGATCTAACATAGCAAAATAATGTGTATTAGCTTCATCATTCATTACCTTAAATGAAAGAACAAAAAAAAGAAACTAACAGTAGCCAACATTATTTTAACTTACCCAACCACCAGTAACTATTTCAAGCTGCTTATTATTAAGAAGTTTTTTTAATAATGTTCGTTGGTCTGGCGATGCTTGGTCCCACCATAAACTTAAAAAAGACATTTCAGCCCAGACAAATTTATATTTGCTATTTGTATCGAGTATTGCTATCACGGTATTAATGATATGTTTTGTTGCCTGAGTAAAATATTCTTCAAATGTATGAATCCAACCTAAAAAAAAGCAGAAACCGAGATAATTCGATTTCGAATTTTGTTTTTGCACTCTTCGCTTCATACCTGGATCACAATGAGAATGCGGCATGAGAACTATTTTTAATTTATTATTCGATGTCCATTGAGATGTTTCATATTTGATATCAAAACCTTGTGTCCATACACCAGCTTTTATATCATCGAATGGTAAAGTCTCGTACAATTGACGAATCTTGGTTAAATAACACGAAAAGAATTTCTTAGCAATGAACAAATAAATAGCTTACTTCAAATGTAGTATTCACTGGAGAAGAATTTCGCCATGTACATCGATTATTTGTATTTAATGGTTTTTCTGCTGAACTTGTTTTTTCTATCGGTTTATTCTCGGGAATTTCCAAATTCGGTACGACGACAGGCGGTGGTGGAGGTGGAATTGGCCGTACTTCTGGCTTTTTATGTTCGTCTTTAAGGGATTTATCCAAATCTCGAACATCTTCTTCAAGATGAGTTAGACGTTCATCAATACCTTTTTTTTCAATTTTCTATGAGAAATATACGAAGTTAAACTGTAAAAATACATTGATGAATTTTCTAACCTTATTTTCATGATGATTCGTGCCGACAGATTGAAGCATTGAGTATAGGATAAAAACCACAACAAGGAAAAATGTTAAGAAGAATATACGAGAGAAACGCCGGCGTATCATCTACAATTTAAAATATAAATGAGATTCAAGTAACAATTTATATACATTTTAAAATCGTATTTTAGTTATTGCACTGCAATTATTTTCTTCGACAAGGAAGCCCAGAAAAAAATGCATTTCCCAATCGAAGTCAATGTCATACTATTCATATATTTAGCATATATGTTCAACTTGAAACGTAAATTCAATTGAGAATTTCAATTTTCAACTTTTAAACCAATAGCATTATGAAGAATAGTGGCTCACACATATATCGCCATAAGTTGAAAGTTGAAATTTTCTATTTTCAACTGAATTCAAGTTTCAAGTTTGACACTACTGTATATTTAGTGACAATAGAATCATCATACGTACTGTATCTTAGAAATATAAACTTCATTTTGTTACTGTTGCCGAATAAAATTCTATTCTCGTAGTCTATAAATTGTGTTAGTGCTACAGAATGAATTAACTATAAAGAACTGCAAAGTTCTTTATTAAATTTTGCTCGCTTGGAACCAGCGATGAACTTAACTGATTTATCAAAAAAAAAAATAAGCTTGTCATCTCTTTCGGCTACAATCTGAACACACAGCAGAATAGTACGAAAGAAAAAAGAGTCTCTGGGGTCGTTATTTTTGTTTTATTGTATTTTTGTTTTCGACATAAATTCATATTTAACAATAGTACACGACAAAAGGAAAAATAAATGACAATTAGAGATTACAATCTAACAAAAAAATATTTTGTCAGTAAAATAGTAGAGATTTGCAAAGACGCGGAAAATACACAGATATAAATATATTTGATATACGCTCAGAATTTTGTTAATAGTTAACAGGACATTGCACAATTAAGAGAAAAAAAACAACGGAATTTTTGAGTAGCTCAATATTTTTGAATAACAACAACGATAGAACTAAATTAAATTTTTATTTTATTGATTTTTTCATTAAAGATAAAGTCCGTTAATTAAATAGTCAGCATCATGTGAACGATTTTTAATTAGTCGACCATGTTTCCACGAATCTCGACAATAGAAGCCGACAAAGACAAGTAGTATAATCGTAAAAACAAGACCAAGAAGAAAAAGTAGAATAACACTTGATTCACGTAAAAATGATCTTGTATGTGAAAAATTTTCTGTATCCAGATTATTGGCTAAATAAAAGTAAAAAAGGCAATATGAGTTTCTGGCATTTTGATTATTAAATAAAGCACATCTAACTACACAAAAGCAGATATCATCATTGAGCTACCTCTTAATAGTGTTGTACTAGTAGTGTCTCGATTTATTTGAGGATATTTCGTCTTAGGTTTTCTTGTTGTTGTTGTGATAGTTTTCATTCTCTGTTGATATCTAGTATTATCTTGATTTTCACGATGATCATCATATGTTGGTTGCCAATAGTATCGATCGCCATCATCAACATCTTCATCATCAGTTGTTTCATCGTCATTACCAGTGAGTGGTCGTCTTTGTCTTTGGTCATCATCATCGTCATTGGCGATTTTCATTCGTTTCGTCGTTGAAGTTATTATTTTTCTATTAGTTACTTTAGGTTTCGGTGTTGTTCTTGTTGTCGCTATAGTCGTAGATGATTTTTGTCGATCTGCTAGCCATTGCTGTTCTAAAGCTAATAAATGCTCACGAAAATTTTCATCATCATTTGATGATATTGCTCCCGATTGTTCTGGTTCTATATTTGAATGATCTTGTTGTTGATGTTGAACTAATGTTTGAAATAAATGATACCACGCTTCGGGACCTTTCGTTTCTTCTAGATATTCTTTTAATTTTTGTAATCGTGATACACGTTCCTGTGTTTCAAGATCAATATTATAGAAAAATGGTGATGTTACATTTTTATCTTGTTTTTCACCTGAAAGAATATTTTCATGTTATTTCAACGAGAGAAAAAACAATATAGAAAATCATGCCTTCGCGATTTTTTGATTTGCCTTTTGATGATGAAGATTTTTCACTTGCGACTTTAGTTAAACTTTTCGCTGTTGTTGTTAACTGATCTTCATCTAATGCCTCATCGAAACTTTCATCAATATCAACATTTGTGTCACTATCAACATCAGCTGCTGGTTTTTTTCGATTTTCCTGTTGCGTACGCTGATGTAGGCTGAATTCTAATAGAGGAGCAAAAGTTCAAATTATTCTGATACAAATAAGAGGGCGACAACAGCAACAACATCAACAATATACCCGTTGAGCACATCGCTTCATCTATACCAGATGGGCAATCTTCGTATGAATTACACACATCATAATATGGAATACAACTTCCATCACGACAAGAAAATTCTATACTTCGACACGTCCCAGCTATATGTATAACATAAAGATCAATTGCATATGTTTACAATTGTTTTTATTTTCATGAATTAAAACAAAAAGATGCTATAGAACTTACAAAGTGTGGATGATGATGCAGCAGACGTTTTTTCGTTTGTTTTTGACTGTTTATTTGTTACTGATGAATCATCAATGATTGGTAAATCTTTTCTTAATATCATACTAGTATAATCTTGATGGGGTGCATATGTACAACTGCCATTACAAGCAAATAAATAACATTTATAACCATCCTGTAGTATAAAAAGAAATAATGAAATCATTATCCTATTCAATATCAGCATTTCGAAAAGAAGACAATTTTTGCTGTCATATCGAATCCCTTTAGCCTTCTAGTACAAGATTACTTTTTGCAAACTATAATGAAACTTGAGAGATGATGATTGTACAATAAAAAAAATCTCTTTCTGAATTGAAAAATGAGATGTTCTTCTAATCTATTATCCTAATATTGATTAGTTTCCAATGTTGTAACTGATATCTGGATCATACGTTCTTTTTTATCCGTACTCTTCTGAATAGTCATAGACTGGCTGTCAACACTGTCCATCGTATCTTTCCGTTTCTAGTCAAACTATCGAATCAATGTAGATATTTGCTAGACAAGAATGAACTATTTACTTACATTTGTACGTTGTTCACTGAGCATAGCTAGATCACAATTGTCTTCAACACAACAATTTAACATACAAATATCTTTTATATCAAGACCATGAGAGGTTGAGGGTTCATCAATTTGAATAAAACGTATCATACGAGCGCCATTTTTTAATTCTTTAACTTTAACTAATTGTTCAGTTTTAACGTCGAATTCATTTATGCATAACGATGCTTCATCGAAATAACTTGTTGTTGCTGCTGTTGTTTGCGCAAGTCGATTAGACTTATTCGATAAATCTGATCGATTACTTGATTTTGATAAATGAGTTCGACGTAATGGCTTTTCTTGTTCATCACGATTATCAACGTCGCTGAGAACCTTTTTACGGGGCGAATATTTTTTCTCACGCTGCAATGATTCCACAAGGTTTTGATCATTATTTGGCAAAGCTGGATAATATTCTTTATTTGAATGAGACTTATATTTACGCACTAAGCTATCTAATTCATTTATAGTCTCATTATCGCTTTGATTATTATAACGTCGTAAATCAACTTGAACAATTAATAATAAATGAAATAACACTGTTCGAAGTCTCATCTAAAAGGAACTACGTATTAATTTAAAGAAAAAACATCTTATAGTATCGAGAGTTCTTCAGTAAATTTGATTGAAAAACCAAAAAAAAACATATCAGAGAACTCGTTGGCATTTAATACACAACACCGTCGGTACCTATTCAACTTAATCCTATGACAACAAGTTGACTCCAGTGATTTAGTGTCAAGGGACTACTGAGTATTCCAAGACACTGAATCATAAGGTACAATATTGAAGTATGTATTTATCCAGATAATCAATGTCCAAGTCAACTCAAATCGCTCCTCGTTTCCTATATTATATCTGTCGACGAAACTATGTTCATCATAACTCTTTATTCTAGATTTTTCGAGCGTATCTCACTCGTCGTATATCACAGAGACCTACTCGATGCCATAATATGAAGTCATATGGTATCGAACAGTTGTCGTTATTGTCCCACAATAGCGCCACTAAAATATTTACTAAAAAAGACTAAATAGACCTATTTATAAAATATGACATGTCAAATAAATCCATCCCCCATTCGATATAATGCGTGTCTAAAACTCATCGTGAAGTTCTTTCGTGTTTTCTATACCAATAATTTTCTCATTTGAAGATGACAAAGGTAATATATATATATATATCTGAAAAAAATCAAACTACATAATTAACTTTATTTAGGTTGACTAAATAAATCCTACGACAGAATAAAGAAAACAAATCAGACCAAAACAGGAAGGATTACATATAAATGACTAATGTACATACAAATGTTTTGCATGTTTAAAAGAGAAAGGATTTTAATTCATAAGGAGAAAACAAACAAAAAACAGTTTTCGGAAAACGAGGCATAATGAATTTTTCGTTGGTGGTGTTGACTAGACGATTTTTTTCATTTTTTCATTTTGTTCATTGTTATCATGCAAAAAAAGGAAATACCAATCATAATCAGCACCATTGTATAATAGAACGAAAAAAAAAGCAAACAAACAAGGATAATGAGATTGTTTGTGCAAAAACGTAAGGAGAGTGAAGATGTGTGTGAAGTTCTATAATATTGTTTATTGTTTTTGATTTAAGCGCTGTTTGCGTACTAAAATAATAACAAGAAAATAATCAATCGAACGCATCTAAATGTTATTGATCATCACTTACAAACGTCTAGATTTTGTTTAAGTTTTTCCGTAACACGAACACGTGGTCCAAGTGTATCGAATTGTAGATTCAATCGGAGAAGAGTATCATTTTGAGATATAGCATCAGCTATTTCCATTTCAACTCGATTACCCAATATTTGCGAACGCTAAAATAATATTAAAAAAAAGATCATTTACGATAATATGATCTATTTATATCCCTTGAAAGTTGAATAAAACTAATTTTCAAAATTAGAAATTTGATTCAAAAATATTTTTCAATGTTGTCATGCTATTAGACTTCAAATATTATCCAGAGAGACACCAGCTCTCCAAACATATTAGCTGCTTTTAATTCAAAATTGTATCCATTGCGTAAGTCTCCAAAGAATTATAAACGCTCTCACACGAACTCCGATATTAAGGTCATTCTTGTAACAATCCTCCTCGTAGACCGACGGATGTTTAATTTTAAAATTAGAATATCGAATTTACCGATGTTAAAAACATGCTGATACACTACCGTATTGTGAAACAAGACAAAGTTAAACATTGTCATGAACTAATCTCGTTGAATTAAAAAAAACTCAATTATTTTCGCAGTTTATGATATATAGATTCGTGGCTTTTACAAAAAGCAATTGATTAATAGAGGAACTTCGCTGATAAGACTAATCAAGACATGTATTCAAGCATTTTCCTTTCAAGCCAACAGAAGCCAAAGAAACAAGTATATTATCATGCAAAATATTTTTAAGAATTAAAAATTGTTTAGCGTAAAGTTCATTGATAGAACGAAACCGAATTTCTTCTCAGTAACTGAATCTTTTGAAACGTTATAGCAAAAACTAGCAATACTTGTTTACATGCTCGAAGTTCGAAGCTCCTATTCTTTTATGAACATAATTGCTTCAATTCAAAGCATAAACGAAATGATACCTGTCTTCCATTAGACTTGCCTAAATCTATCACAAACAAAAATATAAGATATGATTTTAGAAATCTATGAATATTTAATTGTTATTGTTGAAAGATCTCTAGAATTTTCATCTTTCATCGGGAATAATATTCATTTAGATTAATATAAAGTAGAACATGTTGAAAAGCATCTGCTACAAAAATAAAAACTTCTCCTACAATCATTGACAGTCTTATTTGAAAAAAAGCGAGTAATATTTTCTTGTGACCTTTTCCAGAAAACCTCCTACATAGAATATACGATAAACTATCGATTATTTTTCATGTCAATGTCAACGTCAATAATAGGAGAATATTTTTCTGCCTAACCAAACAACATCTGGTGAAAAAATTGTATTTATATTTACTTGATTTGACAAACGTAATTCCAGTAATGTTTGATTTTTTAATGTACTTCGTACGATTTCACTGATAACTAATCCTGTTAAACGATTTGATTCAGCGTTAACAGTTTTTAATGTTGAATTAGCTTCGATAAGTTCTGCAAGCACCTAATAAAATAAACGAAGCGAAAGTTATGTTTCGGGATCATAGAAACTAAATTATTTTTCTTCAACAATAAACGTACTCGACCAATACTATCCGTCAAGCCAACATTAGCCATTTCGAGAGTTTTTACATGTGTATTTTCTTTGAGTGAATTAATTAATTCTTTGAGTATATCTGCGCTAACTTCTTTGATATTATTTATATTAATACGTGTGAATTCTGGTGTGTTGGCTTTAGCTTTTTTTATACAATCTTCAATATCAGTGGTATTATCAGGTTCTGGTGGAAGAATTTTCAATGGTTCACCTCTAGCCGCAGCTAATGAATTGAAAAAAGGTTAAAAAAAACTTAAATCAATTTATTTGACTCATCTTACCGTTCCATCCGCCCGTATTTGATGGTAAACCCTTATCAGTTAAGGCAGCGTGGTATTGCACTTGATTGATTAAACCAGTAAAGCCAAGTATAGCTAAAATGAACATAACAAACGATACAAAAAAAATTTGAATTTCATTTAAATCAACTAACCGGCAAGTTCAACAATTTCTGATTCACTTGCATTTGCTAATACATCATCCCATTCTGTACTGACAATAAATTCGTCGTCTTCTTGTGTTGATTTTGTTACAGAAGGTGCTTGCCAAACTTTACCTTTCTTCTCACCTGGCGTATACGATTGATAATGATCCCAGTCTTTCTCATTTTTTCCTTGTTCAGTGAGAAATTCAAGAAGTTTCGAACGATCATATGGACCAGTGGCAGTTTTAGTTGTCTGTGGTTTACAACGGTCGCTTGCTGGTAAAAATGAATTCTAAATAAATCGAATAGGAAAATTTCTAAATAATAGATTTATATGATAATTCGCATACTTCTGGATCGATAAGATCATTGACTTTTTCGAGATCTTCAGGACTGAGAGCAGCTAAAAGCGCATCGAAATCATCCATGCTAAAATCTTCATTTGGACTTTTTGTTGTTGCCATTAGTGTTTGTTTTGTTTAGCTCTATTAGAATGCACACTTGAAAAAATGGCAGCCAATGTAACAATGGAGCGTTACTGAAGTGTATAGTCCTAAAAAAAGAAACACAAATAATAAACATCAACGTAACAGATAAATCAACCAATCATAGTCGACTTTGATACGAACAGAATTCTTGATAAAGGATTATCTCATCATTTTCATTGGTCGAATAAAATGAACTTATCGAACAAATGTTATTTTCAAATAAGTTTTTTGACATATTATCTGGCATTTTTCAACGTCACAATAGCAATCGTGTCTATTAATGCCACTCAAAATATTCATAAAAACAACAAAAACATTGTTCCTTGGTGGTTTGCTCTATAAATTGACGCTTACTTCTAGAATTTTTTCTAATAATTATTTCTTCTTCGTATGAAAACTTCCGTGAATGAGAAATTACTGTAATCGATCTGTGTACAAAAATGGTTGCTTCCAAACTAGAATATGACTAGAACACTTCCTTGTTCTCCAACAACTGAAACTGAAATCCTTAAATCTTTCTAGGCAAAATATTCTTTCGAAACAGATGAATCATACCTTGCTAATACTTTAGCAGTTTTGAGTAGTCTTTGTAACTGAAGAACTCGACTCATTAGACAAAAACTGACCTTTCACGAGGCATTAATATGGGCATATCTCAAATGTTTTATCCTATGACGTCGTGAGCAAATTGTAAAATACACTAGCTCTTATTACTAGGTAGTGTCTATGAATAGCTCAAGAACTCGGCTGCAATTTGATCCACGATTCGGATCTGCACTATGTGCAATACCAAAAGGTCGGAGTATTCGTCCATTGCTTTTTCTACTTCAATATACGAAACAAAACAAAAAAGTTCATAGTTGATGATGATATAGATGTTGGCCACTTTATTAAAACGAAAATAAACTCGATAAATAGAACGCAGCACGTATACTTGTGTCTGATTATTAACAAAAACATATCTCAATCTTTTTTCGAAACTAATCTCATCAATGAATACAATCGTGCGTGTTGTTCATCCACAGGGATTGTAGTAAATTATCGAGATTATTAAAATTATTATCAACAGATCTAATTTTTAGATAGCATTAGTACTCTATGACTTGATACTTGTTTCATCATCAAATCACATAAAAATATAAACTAGTGCATTCTCTAGAAAGACAATGCATCTATTGTAATGGAACATTTTCGACACCTTTGGGATTAGAAGGAAAAAAAACAAAAGACTACTTTAGTGATTGCTTGTCATAGACGCATAGATGAAGGAACAGATAAGTTGACATGTGACAAACTGTTGCTATCTTCAAAAATAAACAATCAAAATTAAATTAATTCGCCTTTCCTCGATGCACGCAAGCAAATGATTAGAACATTTCGTTTTGCTCGATGGTCTTGCTCTCAAATCATATTACATTATGGCTAGCATGAGAAAAGATCACTGACATTTTAGTAGAAATCTACATTTATTATTCCGTGTATGTATTAGTTTCACAAAAAAAATATATGACCTTCAACTATTCAATAGATTGCACAATATTCATCGAATACTGCGACGGTTAATTATGCTGTCTGCGAAAGACCAATTCTACATAAAATACTAAGAGAGTCATAATGCGCTTGTAGGAAGATGATGATGATAAATAAACATTTCTCGATTGATTGTGAACATTTTTTGAGAGATCAAAGTCAGACACGTAATAAATAGGGAAGAATTTTTACTTCGCCTCAGTGGGTTTTCCTTTTAATTAATGCGATGCGAAGCATGAAGCATTTCTGTAGCCCGTCGGGAGCTTTTTTTTACTTTTTTTACTTGAGATCGCACGCATCACATCTCGTCGTTTTGTGACAGAACGATCTCGAGAACACAAAATCGTAGAAAAGTAGTTAAAACGCCAGATGGAAGTATCGAGAGCGAACTTATAACACCTGTTTTCGAATCTTCAATCTGAAGTTCCGTTCTCTCAGAAATTTATTGCCAAAATGACGAAAATGGAAGAAATTTGTTGCGAAATAATTAAAGTGACGCCATCAACAGATGTTAGCCACTAGTTAATCGATCAATCGAATTCGATCCTTAAGAATGTATCGCTAAGAAAGAATAGAGTTTTCTCAGTGATGAATTTCATCATGTCGACATAGAATCCATTCAAGATTTCTCTGAATTGAAGAGTTTTCATGAAAATCCGTATCCCTTACCACGCATCGCATTTCGTATACGAGTGCAACTCGGATACCATCTAGTTGCATTTAAAATGGCAGATGAATACTCGAGTCAAACGTTTAATTAAAAGTAGATGGCTTTCTGGCTTCTTAGTTGCTTTTTTTAGCACTTAATGAAAATACAACATAGCACATCCATCATATGTCATGAAGCTCGTTTTAATTAAATATTATGACAAAAAAACTGGCATATTTTTAGAAAAAATTAGATGAAGACGCAATTAGGCTTATTTTAACTTTATTTGAAGAGAACGTGATGTTCTTGCTATCAGCGTGGGGTGTAGCTGATGATGAAAGTAATAAAGTTTCAAGGAAAAGCTGGCAAATGTTGATTCAAATTAAGAGTCCACTTCGTTTTTATTGTGAAATCTAGATTAAAGTTTTCAATTTATATGAATGGATCCGATAAGTATCTAACCGCTGAAACACATGACAATTTTGACGAAATTCCCATGAAACTTGCAGATTACCATTTTTTCAAGGAGTTCTCAGTTAGTTGCAATGAAATCCTAACAGAAAATTACAGCTAATCATCGATATCAAATGAATGCTTCAGACGACATTTTTAAATTCAGTCAAATGATAGAAGAAAATCTTGTTCATATGATGTTACAGCATAGTGGCTTCCATGTCATCAAGATAATGCTGTAGAAACAGTCGATTTCTTTTCGTGCGATATCGGTGGTACAACAAATATAAGAGATATTGATTTGCTGATCATTCATTTCGAATGAAATATTCAAAAGAAATCAATAGCACACAATGGAAAAGCTCTTGAAAATAAAAATAATTTCTCTGCAAATTCTACGACCGTGTAAATTTTTTCAATTGAGGTCAGAAGGTATTTTTATTGTGTTCTACTATTGACTTTTCGCATTAGTTGTTTGATACCTAAAGTGGCTCTTTATACTCTGTACTGAGTGTATGAAAACAATGCTGAAGGTAGAAAAATAACCATTGATTTAAACCATATATACAAGTTTTGTTTGTCAGTCAAGTCCCACAAACAAGAAGTACTCTGCTTTTTTTGTTTTACATATGTGCATATACGCACGCGTATGGAATAAAGCAACTATTAGCATTAATCATATTTCCCTTTCATATTACGTTTTAATGTATTTTTTATTGAATAAATTTACTCCATCAATCGATATCGTCTATAGAAAAATAAAAAAAGCATCGGAATTCGCCTGTATATGACAACTATTTCTTTTTGTATACATTATGATTTCTATTCGATAGATTAATAGGCTATAAACAAGCTTGATATTTAAAGAAAATGTGGCATAACAAAGATATTTTTAAAAGTGTGTTGTTTTTCGTGTCACGATTTTTCTATAGAATTGAAGAAAAATGATTAAAAATAGTACATTGAAAAATAATCTAACTGCTATGATTGGAATATCTTCATTGAATTATGAAGATGATGGTGCTATCATGTATATTGTCACTGTTCTTATATGGTATTCAATTGGCACTGTATTGATGTTAGGAATGCAAATGTTAACTCATTCGGAAGAAATCGAAGATGCGAGTAAACGCCGAACGAGATTTTTAATTCGAAATTTAAATGATCATAACAATACAAAAGCAATCTTAGGTGAGCCTATATTTACATATATCGTATTCAAATATTTTTCTTCTCATTTTTTACGTTTTTTTTAGAAGAATTAGGTAATAAGCAAAATCGAGATCGACTTTGGGACATTTATTTAGGTAAAACTCACGACAGGAAAGATCATTTAAGTCGTGCGGAAACTGTTCGCATACGACATATTCAAAAACAATTAAATGTCATGCAAAGAAATCACCGATTAACATTCGATACGCTATGTCCTTCTCGTAGCAGTTCAGCAAATCGGCCGACTACCTCTCCAACGTCACCACGAATAACTGCTGTTGTAAGACGTCGTTCATCATTAAATCAACGAAGCCTTGATCGATGGAAAGAACTCACAAAGCAATCAGAACTTCGTGAACAATTGCCATGGGCTGTACAAAAACTAATGGCTCGACGATAATATCAATTTCGGTGGCTCTAAAAGTTTTTACCCTCACTCATCATACAAAAATCATGACTGAGCAATAAAATTTCTTGAATGTAAATTATTGTTTTGTTTTTTATTCCATGAAATTGATCAACAAATTTAACATCCGAAATTTTTCCATACTGATCATTAATCTCAAGAAAACGAGCTTTCTTATTTTTGTTTTTTTTTGCGCAAACGAGAAGAAGAAAATGAAAAGAACTGTTTCAAATCAATCAAACAAACAAGCAAACAAACAAAGAAAAAAAAGATTTTTGAACACTAGACAAGCACAGAGAAAATCAACAAAATGCAGCGCGCAAATGGACGGACCAAAACAAAAAGAAAAGTACACATATGAATAAATGCCCATACGAATGGCGCCTTACATACAATATACAAATTTGAGATCAAACGAAAAAGAAAACATTCATATACGCACACGCAGAAACCAAGAGATTATTGAAGAAGAAAAAACCAGACGATCAAGGTTTGAAACAATAAAAGAAGGAACAGAGAAGAAGTAATCAATGAAAAAAAAAACGCGTTCGTGATTCAACATGAGACTGAATATTATATCACTGTTGGACAGACAGACATTTGGGGATGATAAGATGAGGACAAAATCAAGAAAACATCATCTACAGATTGTTACTGTCGTAAACGTTTCATGTTTTTATCGGATGTTGATAAATTTTCATCCATGGAACGTTTGAGCAATAGTTGTTGCTTCTCAACTAAATCAACAATGGTCACTGGTTGCTGTTTTTGTTGGTTACTAAGGGCAGAAAGAACTTGTTGTTTATCAGATGTTAATTTAGTTGACGAGGACGAGGACGAGTCATCATATGAATCACACGCTGATTGTCAGAGAGCTTTGCCCGGTCTTTAACGAAAATAAAAATTCGATGAAGAAACAAGACAAAACAACGAAATGATGAATTTTTCTTACAAAGCAAAGGACATATTTTTAAAATCATGTTCAGGAAAGCCAGTTAAAAATAATGTTGAGCATCCACCATTCATTTGTCCATTCGTTGCAACAGCTACATTCGATTGTTGTAATTGCGTCATGCCTTGTGTTCCTTGCATTGGATGGCCCAAACCCTAGTTAGAACGAAAGAAAAACAAACAAAAATGTAAATATCAATGATAAATAGATGTGCCAAAAGAGTTTGTGTAACAAGCAAATTTGTGCATTAGAACAAATAGGAAATAAATATGAATATGCGCGCGTATGGACGAAACGATTGATAAAGAAGACAAAGATAATGTACGAAAATAAACGTATGTAACTTTTATTTTGTCTTTCCATGATGATCATACACACGAATAAATGAAAAATTGTGAGAGAAGATTTACAAAAAGAAACTTCTCATGTAATATGCTCCGGTGTCATTCATTGAGTTCTGCTTTAAATGGTGTATACGCGCGCGCGTGTATGTGAAAATGTTTATTTGGAGCTGTGTCGAAATATAGAGTAAGAAAAAAAAGTAAAACAAATTGACACTATGCGTGCCAGTGGTCAGTGATCGATTGACTAATGGTGGAGAGATTTTATGTTTTCGATTCGATACTGATTTTGCTTTTGTTTTTGTTTATAAATGCTTTTCGAAACGTCGATACTTACATACACAGAGACATATCCTATCAGCTCATCAACTTAAATAAGATATACGAAGGAAAATTTGCTTGTGGTCAAATACAGCTTTGGAAAATTAAAACTAAGGCAACTTACCATAGGTGGACCATGAAGAGCTGTATGTAATAAAGCTGGATGATGTAGACCAGCCGGGCCTAAATCGAATGTTAATGGTTGACCCCAGGCTTCAGTAGGAAAGAATGCGGCACCAAGTTCTTCTAGAAATAAACAACAAAAAAAGTTATTCAATTGTAAACAAAACTCCTCGAAAAACGTACGTGGAATTTGTATAAACTGTTGAGTTGCAGCTGTTAATTGATTCTGATTTGGATGTTTAGGCTTTTGAACTTTAGTATTCGATTTAGCAAATTCAAGTCGAAGAGTTGCTGGAAGATCAGGATCAAATCGAACTCCCTAATTGATTTAGTAAAATAAGATAATAAACGAAAAGCAGACTTTTTTTTCTTTATGTTTACTGTGAGTTCTTGTTTAGCTGTTTCAGCATCAACGCGACTGGCAAATGTGACAAATCCAACAGGTGATAAGTTTTTACCGTTTTTATTTGTTACTTTGAGTAGACTTCCTTCATAACCCTAAATAATAGGAGCAACAAAATATAACACATACATAATAACCATATCGGTCATACGTGTCCTATTCAATTCTATATTCGATCATTCAATAGACAAACTTCTAATGAAAAATACTTCTGTCTCTCTATCCGTCAATCAAATTCATTCAAGAGATATGTTACAAAGAAAAAACACTCTAGATGACATATATCTACTAGTTAGGTGTGATATGAATATAACATATCACATCAAAACCAATAAAAAAGAACTAATTGTATAAATTATTTACCTTAAATCCGCGAAATAGAAGATAGAGTTCTCGTGGTTTAGCATCCATGGGTAAACCGGATACGAATAAAGTCCGAACCTAGAATAAATAATATTTTAGATTAATTATTCAGAAACAAAAATTTTAATGATTATCTTGTTTTTTTCTAAAGATCAAATATCGTTTCATCTCATTAGTACTAATACACGCACATACCGGTCGTCTGTACAACAGATGCATCTTATCATTATTTGAGCGCAATGTTTTTTTGTTGGTGTTAGTCTCCGTGCTGCTAGTTGCACTACCATTGTCGACTGTTGTTTCATGTGTCATTTCTCGTCTGTTATTTTTTTCTTATTTTTTATGTATGTGCGAACTACAGTTGAGGTGATGATGATGACGAAAATCTAGTTATGTTTTGATCAATAATGCGAAAGAGAGAAGGAGAGATTGAAAAAAGCCCAAGTGAATGACACACTTGAAGTGAACAATTCTCCTAATTGAGAAATGAAGAGTAATGATATGGAGGGGGACGACGACAAGTAACGACAACTAAGGAGAGAAAAAAAGAGAGCGAGAAAATACGAGACGAAAAAAAAATGTTGTTTATACAATTGGTGATGACGAGCACAAGAGATGTTGCGTGTTGATCTAACTTGCATATGTGCATCCGGTGTGTCGATGTGTATATGTATGTGCTTATAATTTTCAATCAGATAATGAGCGACATCAAGAAGAAGGAGCTGAAAAGATTTTCTCTTCCATAAAGTAAAACATAATCAGAGTAACAACAAAAAGATGAATTTACAGCTGCTGGTTAGACTTACCTCTGGCTTACACGACACTGATGATGGTGATGGCATTGTCGTGCACATACATACACACTTCAAAAGGCTTTTACAGTAAAGAGAAAAAAAAATAGACCGAGATGACGATGATGGCAAAGAAAAAGCCTTTGTTCGAATTAATTGAATTTTATGGATCAATACTTGAAAATGAATAGATATATACAACGACGTCTCTATGCATATATATATATACGTGTGTTTGCCACAATTAAATAGACAGAAGAACAAAAAAAAGTAAAAGAAGACGAGTCGATTGAGAACTCGTATATATAAAACAAAAAAAAACTCATTTGCTTTTTCGCTTCTTGCTCCTTTTTTTCCTATTTGCTACTGAATTGACGCATTTTTAAAATTCCAACTTTCTGTAATCATAAAACAATAACAAAAGTGAAAGTGTAATCAAAGGTTACTGGGCATATGATAGATGTAGTACCATACGTCATGTAATACGAGAAGATCAAATCAGTTCTTTCTTCATATTTTTTTATTGTAACTTTTCAAACTCATAGGAACAACCTTTCCTGGCAAGAGATTAGAAAAGAACCCTATACTAATTTTGTTGGAACATATAATAATGATGTGTATCTTTAGTTCAAAAGATTGTTTCTTTCAATCATATACGCCAACAATGATGGCGTGACTAATTATGTCCGAAACATGATTGCGTGATAACATAGTCGTGCTAGTCTCAACTCGACTAAAAGCTTTTTTTTTTGTCTTTCTTCTATTTCGATGTCCATAGCCTCCGCATGCGAACGTGTCCGTAGTTCGACATACTGAGTCGATCGATCTATTGATCGCTGCTAAAAGTATAGTTCTCCTATGTATTTTGTATACATACACGAACGAAACAATCTGTGTGTGTGTATATTTATCTTAATCATTATCTAGGGAACACTTGTCGTCACCTAGGGATAATTTAATATCCACCAGATTTTTGATTTCTTATTGTCGAAGTGCAACAGCAAATCACACGAGCACACAAAGCAGTGAATGATAGTGATGGAATGTGGGATAGAAAGTAAAGCAGAAGGATATATTTGTCGGATAGAAATCCGATTGGTCCCTCTGGCAACACAATTTAATTGTTCATATGGATAATTGTTTATCGTGTTTATATGTATAGATAGAGAAAACAAAACGTGATCATGGTAGTGCACAAGCGCCATCGACTATAAGTGCTGCAAAGGGTTACGTGCTAATCATTCTAGTAATGTGTAGAATTTAAAAATAAAACTCATGTGTAGTTTTAAAATCGATTTTGCTACTTACTTCATTTAGTTCGTCAGTAGAACTTTTCATCTTGTAGCAATGACTACAATAGACAGTACATAATAAGACGAATTGATAACTATATACAAATACGAACGAAACAAACTCTATTCGTGCTTCTTCGGGTTTTTTTCTTCTTCTTCTCTCTTTTATATCTATTCAACCCCAGCAATCAATATAAATATATGTATATATGTTCAATAACGATTGTAAAGAGAGGACGATAGTAAGAGTATGTGGTAGTGGTGGTGTTGCTCGGTCGTTTGCTGCCGCCACTATAGTCGCATCACCATATCAATTTAAATAGGTAACGCGAGAGGAGTAAAAAAATGCGATTACATACTCTCATTTCATTTTCAATCAGCGAAGGAAAAAGAGTAGAGAGAAAAAAAAATCGATAGAAAGTTCTTGGTTTTCCTCGACTCTCTACATACTTCTTCCGTCAAACATTATTATTCAAGAAGAAAATAACTTTTTTAAATGCATTAATAAAGAGAAAAAAAAGAAACAGGAAATCAATTGGAAACAAGACGAAGACGGAACGAGAGAGAGAGAGACACACACATAAGAAATTGATCGGAACGAAGGAATGGCCCGATCACTTGTTATACATAAAAAAAAAGTTTATTTAATGTATCCTCCAGTAATGGCAACCAACTGATCGTCTACAATCGGAAACACTTTTTCATTCAGGTAGAAAAATAACTGAGTAAATAATGATCGAATGGATATTCGATCGTCTAGAACGCTAGATATTTATTAATGAGTTTTTTCAATGGAACGAATCGAAATCGAAAGTCGATCTGTATCTGTGTTCTTTGCATATGTTTTAATGATTGTTTTTATGGTATCTTCATGCATCCATATGCTGATCGCGTTTTTAGCATTGACATTTACCAAAATCAATCGATTAGAATACGGCGAATCAATCAATAGATGTCGAGAGATATATGTTTTTCTTTTTAAAATTCAAAATATATATATATGCATCTTAAGTTCGCTTAACAAAATGATCTTGAAAATCGACAAAAAGTTACTTTCATAACAAGAGAGAGAGAGAGAGAGAGAGAGAGATTTTCGAAAATCTATGCTTTACTTTGTCTAAGAAAATAGTCGTCATATGAAATCTAAACTTAAAATCTACCATTCACTAAATTATATATCTACAGTAGAAGTTCAAAATCAATCATCGATTCGATCGAATCGATAATTGATTTAAAAAGAATATACATACCGATTCTTTCCAATCAAAAATGATAAAGGCAGTTTCGTTTTGAAATTTACTAAGATCACTGTTCTGTGAAGTATAAATATACTACGCTAGAGTATTTATCTAATGATATAAACAATCCGAATGTCTGTAAGAAAAAAAAACCTCAACTCAGATGATCGAAATGTACGCGATGTACACGCATACAGTATTGTCTTAACAAAAGAGACTAACGTTTAGGTTGTCCTGCCTATTCCTACGTATGAAAAGAAAAGAAAGCGTAATGAAATTGTTGATTATATATACATACAAGGTCGCAATAATATATGGATCTGCCTGGATACCAGACGCTATTTAAAAAGGTCAACTATTAACTTATTAGGTGCGATATTACTCGCTAATTTGAATATAACAATGTTTACTTTTTTGTTGCACATATTAACAAATGCTTACCTAGGATCAGTACTGCTTCCACTATTATTTGTATCTCCATTGAGAATAACTGGTTCCATCACAATTAATGCAACAGCAACAAAAAAATTGAGACAACTTTTAGTTTTATATATGTGTGTATGCAGTTTCTACTTTCTGATTTGTATGTATGCTGCTATTCCATGTACAAAAGGGACATTAGTAATAATAAAAAAAAACGAGCAGAAAGCTATACGAATGGGATTATCGTAGTAACATTTTTTTTCTTGTTACTACATTGTTCTATTGTGTAAATAAAAATAAGAGTCTTTCTCGTGTAGTACAATTGTAATCCCATATGGTTTATATTGTTCTTTGGTTTTTTTTCAATCATACATATGAGATTTCTTTTATATTTTGATTTCAAAGTAAAATGTTGCCCGCAGGTAACACAGTCACGGACTAGTGTCAATTTCAATCACAGAAAGCAATGCCATCTTGACTACTATTGTTTCGTTATTCTCTTCTTTTCTCGTTCACTCGACGATTCGATAAGTGCCTACTAGCAGCAGCAGCACGGTTATAATAATTGTCTGTATATTTTCAATAAGAATAATGTTTCTTTTTTTTTTATTTCTTCTACGTTTGCTTTGTCTGTAGAGAAAAAAAATACACGACCGAATAAGTTAAAGTGTGACCATTATTATTATATTTAAATAAATTGCTATCTTCCTGTTCGAAGAAAAACTGTAGAATTTTACTACTCTCTTATGTAAAGATAAATATCAATGCTATATATATATAGCATTTATTTTTTTTTCTTCACAGATTTTGATATGCTTGTAATGAATAGTTCCCTTGTGTGATAATAATAATGGCGATGATGAGTAAGAAAAGAACAGAAGGAAAAAGAACGACATGGATGTACGTGTGAATTGCCCAAGGAACAAGTGGAAAATCGATTTTCTTTTCTTTTTTTAATAAGAAATGTATCTCTATCATTCATCACGTCTTAGTAATATCCTTTCTTTCATTTATTCAATCGCTACAAAGAACAGCTGTGCACTCTAGCAATTAGTATATGGTCGGTCGGATTTTCGTCTTTCAGCCCATTAACTGCATATGCTGGCCACATACTTAGTAATGTAATAAGCAGAAAGCATCGACGATCCATGTACATCACATCATTCGTGCGTAAGCTTTCTTATTGGCATACACATCGATCTTTGACAATTTTTTCTTCTTCTTTGATTATAAGAATCAGACATATATAAATATATATATATATATATACAAGCAAAGGTTTCTTCTACAATGAGCAAGTCATATAAAAAGAAAAAAAAGGTTAATGTCCTGCGTCTATTCTCGCCTTACTTGCTAGTAGGTTCATAGGCTAACATTGGTAACATCTGCATCGTTCTTTGACAATTGATAAGAAATATGAGAACGATAGAAGGCACAAAGTAAGAAGCAATAAAATGCAGGATAAAAATAATGAGAGTATATAAAAAATAAACTTTAATTTTTTTTCTTTCTATTTGAAATTTTCATATAACTTCATTTGGAACATCTTATAGAGATGTTTGCATGACAATTATATTTTAATTATTATTAACTTTCGCTTAGATGGTTACCATTGTTAGTTTATTAATTGATGCAAAAGGAAATAATACGAGAGAAACATAACTGCCTTTGTTCAAGAGCTGATTATTCTATCTGGCGAACAATGCCGATGACTGATTGATTAAAACATCAATAATTATGAAGTGGAAACTAACAAAGTTAGTTCTCCCCGAACGAGGAAAATATGTCCGAACAATATCACTTTATCGGAAACAATTGACAAAAAGACGATGATCGGCCAAAAAAGAAATCTCGCATACTTCCATCTTTTTATACTAATAATGTTACTGAATCGATCAGAACAATCAACGATTAGGATCTTGTCGTGTGCACATATGTATATGCAACAAAAGAGAAAGAGAAGACAGACAGACAACAAGATAAACACATACGATGGAACAATTAGAGATTGAAGTATACCAGGTGGTAATCTCCTTATTGTTACTAATGTAAAGATAAGAATCTAATCATATGTCTACAGTAAAATCCTAGGCTTTCTATTTTCAGACTTACCTCATCATCGGTTAAACCGATATTGTTTATGGATTCCATACTCTGTGAAAGACTATGTCCACTAGAACCACCGCCACCACTATCATCGCCATTGTTAGTTGACAATACTGATGACGTGTTGTTATTATGTGTCGTCAATAGTGAAGCGGCATTGTTAGTATTAGCAGTTACTAATGAGTGAAGTGTATCACCGTTAGATGGTATTCTTGAAAATTGCTGATAAGAATTTGCTGAAGCAGAAGATCGCTGAAATGGGTAGGGAATTTGATGAGAAGCAACATGATGAACGGAATGAAGTGTTGCCGATCCTGTCGCTTGTGGGGGCTTTGTGAGTGTTTGTTTAATCATTGCTGATTTCGTTCCTATAGAAGACGAAGGTTCTGGTAAAAGATAAGCGGCAGAAGATGCCATTTGCATGTTTAATTCTGTAGAAGTCGCCGAATCTAAATACATAGAAACATTTAATTTTGACTAGCTTATTGAACGCAATAGTTTCTTCAATATGTTTTCTTCACATATATGCCAAGTAAGGAGAGAGAAAAAGTGATACACGTTCACTCGAACAACGGTCATTCGCATAAATTTCTTCATCATTAGCTAAGCGAGAGAGAGAGAGGGGGGAGGGAAAGCAGTAGTAACGAGAATAGAAGAAAAGGTCGTATTGCTAGCACTGCATGCATGTTGTCTAGCTGTGCTACCGAGCAGAGAATTGAAAGGTGTTGTGCGCATGGTGCTCTCTTCTTTTCATTCGTGTTCGTTCCATCGTCTTGTTCCACCAAACACAGAGAGACAGAAAGAGAGAGAGAGAGAGGGAGAGGTACGAGTGTTTTCTTCTCTTTCTGGATTTCTTTTTCTTTTTCTTTCTTCATTACTTTTTTTGTCGTCTACATCTATTTATCTATTTTTTTTTACATTTCTCCATATTAGACGCACAAGCATATGCACATAGCCTACGCTCAGTATATTTCGAATCAGAAAAAGATGTGTGAGTAAATGAAGCTAAAAAGAAAAGAACTAGTAATAGGAATAAACGGCATCAGTCAATAGAGTTAGTTCTTGGCAAGTAAATTGTTCTCATTATTATTTTATTCTACGTCTGGTGCGTGCACACGTAAAGTCGTTAATAACAAGAATAAGGAAAATGCATCGAAAGGGGAGGGAAGAGTGAGAGAGAGAAAAAAAGCTAGGAAGAATTCATTCCCTGCACGACATTTACTTTGTTGACAGCATCAACGAACTGCGGCTGCATTTCTACTAGTTGATAATCATCAAGCATTGTGCTTAAGACCAATTATGTAATGGCATTTTCTCTAAATTACAAAGCTATACAAAACTAGATGATAATTGATGTTATCCAGTGTAGAAGATTTGTCAAAGTACAAGGCCGATTGGCCTATGGTCTATAAACAATATGATATGAATAAAAACGAGCAAGACAAGAGGGAAAATGACAAAGAAAAAAAAACGAAGAGAATCTAAAGGCAGAGAATGAGGATGTTCAAAGAGATTCTCATCGTCATAATTTCTTTCTTTGTTCGTATTGCTGCGAAATATAGGATGCATGCATGCATGCACGCACGCACACATCTATACATGTTATAATAGGCACACGCAAAGAACTGGCAAGCAGACAGAGAAATAGAATAGTGCGAGCTTGATTGTTTGTTGATGTTTTTCAGGACAAAGATTGTGGCAAACAATTCTTTCGTTCTTCATTATCATATACATTATTATGATTCTTTTTTATACGTTATACATACTATTAGTGTGTGTGTGTTGCTGCGACACACATCGCAAACATCTTTTCAATGCCTGATTAGTGTCAATATCTCGTCACTGTATTTGACAGACGTCAAACAATAAAGAGAAAACCTAGTAGTTATACTAACAAAAGAAGAAGAAGAAGAAGAAAAAAAAACACTTCAAGTCATTAAAACCGATGGAATAATTATTGATCTAAATCAACAAAACCAATCAACTATTTGATAGAAAAAAGAATACGATATGTGAGATGAAAGTCGATCCTTGGAACTTGTATATCAAGCATATTATTTAATTTTTCGATTAATTATTCATGACTTTTTGTTAATTTCTCTATGATTGTTTATCATGAATATTTCCTTGTTTATTTAATCATAATAATGTGCTAAAAGATTATAGAAAATTCTCTTTGAGTGTCAACAAATCCATTACTGCTGGCAAAATGACCTTTGAAGAAAGATCGTAATGAAACATGAATGATAAACGTTGAATAAAGGGAATACATCTCATAAGACATGGTTACATAAAGAATCGTATATCAAATTTTTTTATTTCTGTCAGAACGAAGTATTACATTCGATTGAGTTTGATTAATAATTTGTTTTCTCAACTGTTAATCAATGCATCTTATTACGAATAGAGTTTCTATATTTAACATCTGCCGGTTGATCACACGAATATTTTCATAGATTTCTTTTTGTCAATGAAAAACAAAATGCATTGCATAAGTTAAATATAAAATAAGAAGCTTTATATGAAAATTTCAACAGGTCAACCTTTTATTGATTTCTCTAGTTGTAGCGATATGTTGTCTGTGCTTTTAAATAAATTATAGAAACGCAATAAAATACAGCAGCTTCTTAAAATTTAATCACTTTGCATAAAACAAGACAAATATCTTTATTCTTATACAAATAAATATGACTTAAAAGTAATAGAAAACTATTCAAAAATGTATAGCCATATTGTTGAAGAAATCTGATTTAAAATAAAATAGAACGAAAGAATACTAAACAGTCTGCATAGAACAGAATGTCTTACTCAAGAAGCTTAATATAAACAAACATAAATCATCTATAATCTAAAAAGAAAACATTTGCAGATGATTGCAAAGTTCCGGCGCGAGTTATACTATTGGAATCGTGTAGACATTTGACATTCGAGAAATCTTCCATTTAATTTGCTCATTCAAGGACTTCTTCAAATACGTTTGTTACTTACTGTAGTTAATTAAAAACTATGTATGCTACAGAATTAAGTTCTATTTGTCAAAAAAGAGAAATGCACAACTACTAGTTTGAAAGCTTGCGGCTATTTTTGACAGGATCCTTGATCGATATGCAACTGTAAAAGACTGTACGATAGATAGCACTAGTATACAGGGTACATGTAAAATTGAATATAAAACTATTCACAAAATAGTTTGTCTAACAAAAAAATTAAACAATTTTTCCGATTGAAAATATTTTCGTTTGATAAAAAGAAAAAATCCCCAGAGCACAGCGCCACAATCGTAGCTTGTCAAATTATTCACAGTAGCGAATAAGTATTCATCCACTAAAACAACATTTTCCAATATATAATAAAGAGAGAAAAAAAACGTTTTCAACCATCTAGAAAATATTGACTCATAATCAATTTTTTCTAGAAAAAATTAAAATTCGGTATTTTATTATTATTATTTATGCTTGAGTCGCTTAGACATGAGTTCATCAAATAATGCCTATGCCAAAGCTACAGCGCTAGAAGTAATCAAAAATTTTCGTGTCCCAGAATTACAGGTTTGTTATTTATATCAACACAAAAAAAAAAGACAGGAACTAATTTTATCTTTTTTTCCAGACAGTACTCGACTGCGGTAATGTACCTCGTCATGGTCAGAAACGGGATTTACTTCAACGTTGTAAATTACTCATTTCATCAAGTTTTACCCCACAATTAGCGAATAAAATTCAACAAATAAATAGAACTCGAGCACGTTCATCTCGATCAAATCATGTATCATCTTCAACATCGTCATCAAAAAATCCCATAGTTTTACCCAAAACTCCACCCATTGAAGTTTTACCTCAATCCAATAGTATACAATTTATTAGTTTACCTTTCTTTGAAAAAATGCGCAGCATTGAATCGTCAAATATGCCTGTCGATTGGCATACATTTACTCCATTAAGATTTGTTTTAAATGATACCGATATTGAGTTAATAAGAAAAAATATAGCAAAAGTTTTTCTTCGTATTGCACCAACAACAATGCATGAAAGACATAACGATGTTTCGCCACCTTATTTATTTGTTCAATGCAATGTAAGATTTATTTTCATTTTTAAAAACTAAATATTATTCTTTATTCTCTTATAGAATCAAGCAGTAATTAATAATAATGTATCGAAACAAGTTGGTTCACAAGCACATTCAATATCATTTCCAACTGATTTAACAGATAAAATTATACTTAAAGCAAACACAAGCAATACATTAACTTTTCTTTGGTTACAATCCCCTACTTCGATGTCATTTAAAAATTTACCAAAATCGTATACATTAGCGATACAACTAGTTCATTGTGTCTCACTTGATACTCTATTGGAAATAATACTCAAACGAGAACCATATTCAAACAAAAACGATAACGATAATGATAGCGATATTGAAATTGAAGATTTAGGTTTAATGACGACACAACAGCGAGTTTCGTTAATTTGTCCAATAACACAATCATTAATTGCTCTACCAGCTAAATCATCGTACTGTTCACATTTAACATGTTTCGATTTAAAATCGTTTTTATTAATGAATGAAAAACGACTTCAATGGGCATGTCCATTATGTAAAAAATCAGCTTCATTTGAATCATTACGTATTGATCAACGTTTAAAATCTATTCTATCGAATGTGCCAGCAAATTGCTCAACAGTAGAAATTGATTCATCAATTGATTGCCAATATATATTAGATACTGTTAAACAAGAAAAAGTCGAATTTACTGAAACAACACATGAAAATCAAAATAGTGAAGAGGAATCAATCAACAATTATACCTCTAGTAAGTAAATCTTCCAAGAATTCATGAAAGATGTCATGCTATTGCATATTCTTGAGCGTCGTCATGCCTGATTGATTATGTTGGACATCACATGTTCGTTAGGTACTTTATGGAAATATCAATAACACAACTCATAAGAACAATATTGAAAATATTGCGTAGTTCAAAAACTCTACCTCAAGCCATTTATCTATAACTTCTTTCTGTGATTGTCCAAGTTAACTAGGGATTAGTAGTTTACATTGTAATTATATTCAACGTTAATTTCTGTTCTAGAATCTCGCCATCAATCTGATGAAAGTGATTGCATAGTTCTTTCGTCGGGTAGCGAAAGTGAAGATGAAGATAACAACAACAATGACGACGATATAAATAATTCGTCTTCACCTGCAACTCCTATACTTAATCAAAATGATGATATCGATGATAGATTTAGTAATAAAGTGAATGATAATACTAGTCAATTGTCTCGTAATTCGCATTCAACAGTATCTCCAATTCTATCAACTGTCGATGATACGAACTTTTGGGAAGATATAGCTCAAATAACATATGATCTATCACCAGATGGTAATAATGCGCAACTTGCAAATCGAAAGCGAAGTAACAGTTCAACATCATCGGTTCTATCATCATGTTATTCGTCCTCAAAATCACAAGATGGTCCTCGTCTTAGAAAACGAAATAAACGACCATCGAATGTTAAATCCCGAACAACGGATATTGAAGTTATAACACTTTCGTCTAATGACAGTAGTGATAATGGTGATCAATCGTCATGATCAGATTTAATATTTTTTCTTCTTTTTTTCAACTATTTTTTTTTTGTGATGCATTACAATTATTATTATTATTTTTTTCACAGCTATTGTACATTTGAAACATTACATGTATACATTGTTTACTTCTGTCTATGTCTTAATTCGTCTGTGTGTTCTATGGATAAACAAGAGATAGAAAAGCAAAGAAAATCTTAATTCTTAAATTAGAGCAGATCTGATGAATTGTTTTGTCGTCTAATTTAATATTAATGTTCTAGATTTTTTTTTAATTATAAAACACTAATTCATTCACTGTGCGAAAAAAGTGGTGAGTTGGCTTTTATTTGCCAAAATATTAGAAATCTTCTACGTCCATGGTCACATGTAATAGTTTTTTTCTTGACGTGCATTATAAATATATCTATTGTCTAACGTAAGTACATTTCAATATAAAATAAATCCGCTCTGATCATTAGTCTTTTTTTTTTAATACTAAATAATCCAAACTAAAAAAAGTGTTCTTCATGTCTTCTTCTTAGAGATGTAAATACAAGATTTCCTCTTTGTTTTTGTTCTCGACACCATATTCATTCCAATGTAACTTATTTGATTGCCGTCTAAACTCTAGATTATTTGTAACATGTCAAATTTTACAACAGTTAAACTATATATTTATGATATTTCATACGGGCTAGCCAGTTCACTTGGTTCAACTTTACTCGGTATAGTTTCAATGATTTTAAATGATCGAAACATCTATTTTTTCTTCTTTCAGGCAAACAAATCGATGGTGTTTGGCATACAGGTGTTGGAGTATATGGCAGAGAATATTTATTTGGCTCGAGTGGTGTTTCTTATACAGCACCAGAAGAAATTCATCGACAAGGACTAGCACCAAAACCAAAATCGTATGTATGAAAACGTTGATAACTTCGGCTTATACTATATGAATATTTCTTCGTTGTTAGAGTTGATCTTGGTCAAACGAAAAAGACTCTAGCTGAAATTCACACATGGGTTTTACAAAAGGGTACAACGAATTTTCGGTAACTTTATTCAAGAAAAAAAAATCTTTATTAACCATAACTACTTTTCTAGTGGTCACCAATATGACTTGCTCGATTGGAATTGTAATAATTTCAGTGATGAATTTACAAAATATCTTCTTAATAGTACAACATCTCTTATACCCGAAGAAATTCTTGAATTACCAAGATTTGTAAAAACAACGTAAATAGAAGGATTTAATCTTTTTTTAAAGTTCTCTATCATTTCATTTTAGACCATTAGGACGAATGCTTTTATCATTTCTCAATAAAGATCCAATATCAGCAGCTCAACAAACAGGAAATAATAATAATTTTGTCGATTCGCCCATGCATATAATACAAACTGAAACAGCGAGTAGTACAAAATTTGATAATATTCCTACGCGACATTGTATTTTACCCGTCATGGATAAAATGAAACCGCGAGTCAATCTTATTGAACAGAAGTGTAATCGAACATTGACTCCAGCAGAAAAAGAGCAATTGAATGACATACATCAATTATTTCGACCTGATGCCACATATTCACCGATGCTAACTCGAGAACATTTGACGCTTTTGAGTAAATTCAAGATAAATCCTGTTTTTGTTTCTTAAAATAATTTGAACTATTTTTCTTACTAGTTTCTCTTATGGTTAATTCAATTGAAGATGAATCAACTCAAATAATGATGTTAGAAATTCTTCAGTTACTATCGGAATATGAATATGTTATTAAAATTCTCAGTGAAATTAAAGGACAAGAATCCCCTATGGGATTATTAAAAGGACTTAATGATCAACCCGAACAAATACAAGTAGAATTTTTACGTTGGGTAAGTAGAAAAATTGTTTTGTTAAAATTAATAAAAATCAGTTTTCTTTTGTTTAGTTTTCTTCCATTGCTGCCACATCAAATGGGCGTACAATGTTAATTGATTTGCAAGATGATATTGCACCAGTTTTTACTGAATCTATTAATAATGACTCATCCACGAATAAAGTGAAATATGAAATTATCGTGGTTTTACATAATCTTCTATGTATCAATACTGATATTCGAGTAAGGAAATATTAATATTTAACGAGTTTTCTATTTGTAGGAAGGTGGATCTAGCAAAACGAAGCCTTTTGAAATAATACACTTAAAATTTTTATCATTGATACCGTTAACCATATACTTAGAAATCCTTTATTTTGTTCCGGTTTGTTTTTAGCTTAGCTTTATGAATTCCATTTCTATTGGATCAGCAATGGTTCAATATATGAGCACACCGGTTAACTCTAACGAAGCCGATACATTCCTAGCAGTTTTTATTGCATTGGCCGATGCGGAAAAAGATGTAAGTTAAGTGCCTACGTATGAAAGTCAATTCTATGAGAGATCCTTCGTTTTAGATTTATGGTATTGCAAAAGCAATGGAATTCGATCCAGATTTTTATTCATCGATTGTTGCTTGTCAGCCGTTAATCAAAAAAATTCAAGCCAATTATCAAGCTGTATAATCCAAAACTATGTATACATATATATATATATATATATTTGTTTTTCTTCATGCAATTCAATCCATAGCGACAAAATTACATTCTCACAACTTTTGTTCCCTTTTTTAATCTTAATCGTGAATGTAAAAAAATAAAGCATTCTTTTATCTCGACATAAACAAGCTATTTATTCAATTAAAATGTCATCTTTTTATTCCAATCTCATTCATACAATACAAAGAATGTTAAAAAATAATACGCTGCATATCACCATTTGAGATTAGGCTAAAATAAAAAATTAGAACAAAATAGCTATGTGATATTACAAAAAGAAAATTGTGCGAAGGGAAAGGGATGAGAAACGATAATCATACAACATTTATTACAATCACCTTTATCGCTATCTATATCCGATGATGCAGACATGGAACTATCAATACTCTTGCTTTTCGGAAAAACTAAAGTTCGAAGAAAAAAAAACACGAAAGCAACGCACAATTATGTATGAGTCTTTTTCTGAAATTCTCTAAAATATTAAAGTAGAATTTCTCACCTTCGTCTCGTTCTAAATCTCCAAATATCAAGTGAATATCCTGTTTGCCTTGTTCAGCGTCTGAAGAAACATCAATAGCATTATGAACCAAATCTTTACCATAGAGTGCACGAAGACTAAACGACAACAATAACAACAAAAAATGATTACATTAATCTATTGCATGATTGGCAAACCTATTTGGTGCAGATTCTTTTGCTTTAGTTGGATCTTCGGGTCCGAGTATTTGTGATAAACTTTGACTAGCATTTTCTTTTGCTAATGCTAATAATTCTGATTGACCACTAAAGAGTAAAAACAAACATTTTCTATTTCAACGAATATAAACTATAGACAAACCTTGTCAGATAACTTAATAGTTCATTGTAATGATCTTTGCCTTGATGTGCTTTTTCAACTTGAGCTACTTGGTCGCCTGTCAATTTGTCCATTTTACGTGCCATAATAAAGAAGCCAGCTTTTTTCAATGCATCCACAATATCCGCTAAATAAAAATTATGGAAATAATTTTATTTTGAATAAATCTATCATCAACGCCTTACATCTCTGTTGACTAGTTAAATTAGGTTTAAGAATAGCTAATATACGTTCTTCTGGGAAGAAGAATTGTACATTACGATTAACTTCAGCGTGTGAACGTGGTCCATGTAATGAATTAACATTGATATCGACCATATCAAATTCATGTCGAAAACTTTTATTAACAGAAAAAAATAACATTTAATTTTTACATCATAATCAATCATAGAGAACTTACGTTCCACTTGCTTCTTTAATTTTATTTTTTTCGGTTGGACCAAGTAACGTACGAAAACCTTGAACAGCATCTTTTTTAATCATATATAAAGCTAATGAAGGTCCACTAAACATAGAAAACAATACGATATAATTATATGAATATAATTTTGTTCATGCCTCGTCATTTCTTGAATAAGATCTTCATAATACGATTCAGATTTTTTCGTCGAATAAAATTCTTCTGCTTGTTCTCGTGTTAGATGCATTTCTGTTTGACGAGTAACTTCAAAACCAGCTTCAATAATTCGACTAACAATAGCATCTAAATAGATAAAATGTTTTCGTTCTTTTCTTATTCAACGTCTTTCGCATGATTTAACCTTTAAATAATTTCAAAGCACTTGGCCGAATGATAGCCAATGTTCGTTCAGCAAGTTGCTCTTGTGGTGTATGTGGTCGTTGAGCAATATTTGGCAAGAGTAAAACAAGTTCACTTTAGAAATTAAATACAAAACAATAGAATCGTTCATATTGATAGTCTTAATTTACTCGTGAAGATTATCAATCGATTGTGTACAATCAACAAATGTTTTCAAGGATTCATCAGAATCAACTAATTCTCGAAAATCATCAACACTCGCATCTTTTGCTTCGTTTTTTTGAAGTATGAGAACAATGGATGGTCCACTGACCATACATGCTATATGATCTTCGTAACCTTCCTAGAAATGATAGATAAATCATATTTAGCTTATAATCTAAAATAAATATCGAACTTGATTCATCTTATAACGATGTAATTCACGAGCTTCATTTTCGTTAAGATGATGTTCTTGTTGAATGAGTACTTTAAATCCATTTGCTTTAATCTAAATTAAAGATTTCGTTTTTGAATAGTCTATGAACAAATACTCGTTCAAAGTGAAGTTTGGATTGACAACAACATAAAACGAACTTACTTGATCGATAATTCCCTCCACTTTGCCGTCAGCATAAGCATCTGGTCGAATCACTGCCAAAGTATAGTGGTGATTTGCTAGAAGATTAGGAAATGTTCGCTTTTGTACTTTTCGCTTTTGACTACTTACAAATAGCATGAGCAACAGATGAACTACGCTGGCGGTTTGCTGCAGCATCACCGTCTTCCTCTTCATCTGTAGCACCATGGTCAAAGTTAAACTAAGTCGGTAAAAAATTGAATACAAAATAAACGGCTTAAAATATTTACTTCACGACGTTCACCACCATCCTTGAGAATTTTCTTTTCTTGTTCTAAATTCAACAGAATTTTTCGTTGTAATTCAGGTGCATTTGCTCCAATAACAGCGTCAACAAGAACACCAGACTGAAAAGAAGTACCATTAAGAATTTTTGTTTCATTTTATTATAATTTATTTATTCTTACCGCATAAAATAGAAAACATGGTTCACATCGTCCTCGATATTTTTCAAGCGAATCAATTGTGTCCGCTTTAGCCTAGAGAAAAAATAAAAGAGCAGATACTCAATTTTATCCTCTTTTTTAAAATTATAATTGAAGGTGTTATGCATATGTGATTAGTGTTGTCAAAATGTTTTGCTGAAAAATAAAAAAGCGTACGTTTACATAGACTCACAATAGCAAAAAATAAACTAGAATCGCCGATCGTATTTTTGATCGTTCGAAATTTAGCTTCCATTGCTTTGCAAGGACCACCATACGATTGGTAAACATCCGCGACTACAACAAACAAATGTGCAAACGATGTGTTCAATATCAAGTGTAATTATTAATAATGATATATTTATATGTATAGAACAAAAACGATGTGAATTTAGGTGTAAATATATATATAGATAACAACACATGGTGGATAAAAACATGATACAAAATTATTATTACAAGAGCAAATTTTAGTAATTTCTCTCCAGTTTCAAGTTTGATTCGTTTGAAATTTCCTTCAACACTTTTACATGGACCTGCCCATTGTTGATAAATGTCAACAACTGAGAAAGACAAATTTATACAAGTTATAAACAGTAAAACAGAACATATGAAATATGCTACATGCATAATCAATCACCTAGTAGACCTTCTTTGTTAGTTGCTTCATTCCATTCCTCTTGAGTTTCAAGTTCTACTTGCAAAGCAATTTCTTGACGACGACGAGCCATGTCTTTACAATTTCTACAATAGAATAAACTAAAGTTAATACAAAACGATCGCCATTATTAAGATTTTACATACGAGAATACCATGGAAACTTTTACAGTTAGAGGTTAAACATAACTATAAACTATGAATAGATTTTAAGACGCATACAGTTACGACATCTATGCCGGTAGTAGGAAACAGTATTTCGAGAGAAATATTGCTTAATCTTTATTTCAAAAAATGTAAGTACAAAATTTCTTCTATTAGATAGTGGTCTGTAGGTAACTAAGTTAAAGAAGGTAATCATTTGATGTAAAATAAAATCAGGAAAAAGTTCAAATAGCTCGGTAAACTATTCGTTCCCAATCAGCAGCGTTGTGGAGATTTTTCATTGAACCACATCGATCTCCACCGCCACGATTAGAACTGGAGCGAAGTGACCAACAAAGTCGGTATTCAGAATATTGACTGCTTGAATCGCAAGGATTTAAACTGAGCGTATCACTTGATTCTCCACTGTAATGGTTAATGTTTCGATTATCGTTCGGAGATGAAGTCTATATTATAGAATGGTACGATTCAGCATAAAAACATAGTTGATCTCTTACTTCTCGGCGTCCTTTGAAACCCCAGGCTTGCGATGATGCGTAATAGAAACGTATATTATCTTCCATTTCAATCTGGCATGCATGATTTGAAGAACATGTCTTAAGTAGATCATTCCATTGGCCTACACCAGCTAGCGTTAATATTGTGTTGTTTTCAGCAGGACGACATCCAACGAGAAGTTTAACACTTTTGCAAGATGTGACAAGCGATTTTAAATTCAACGGCATATCGTATGTGCTTCGATAACATTCTTCCCATCCAATTAAAGAATTTGTAGTCAAGCTCAGATGAACACCCTTCCTAGGTGATAAGAATGCATCGGCTAAAAACAACAGGATTATATATAGAACTTCTAAGAAAAATATTACGTACGGTTTAGTTGAAAATCTATTATCATAGCAGTAAAATTCGCTTTTAGATCTGCATTTGGTGCTTGAAAATCAACTGCATAAGCAGGTATTTCTGGATTACGCTTGATCGTTTTCAATTGATCAAGCAAATACTTGAATTGAACAGGATTGTAATCGAAAAACACCGTACCCATATTGTCGCGTAAATATAATTCACTTTCATTATTTTTCATGAACATCTTTGCTAGCTTTGATTTAGGTACAGCAGTTAAAGTTGACCGTAGAGTCGATATTATTTCACCACCAACATTTATTTCAATGACATCATCATCTGACGATTCGCTAGTATCATTTCCCCAGTGTACCAATGTCGTATTCCTCTTTGCGTCCTTGTTCTTCCAAAAGCCATTTGTTTCAGTTAAAACTAAAACTTCTTCAGATACATTTTCTTCACTAGATTTTAAATCAATGCTTGCTGCTTTACAAATCAATATAAAACAAATAGTCTGTATAAAAAAAAAAGAAAGCTTGAAATCAATGCTGTTCCGCATGAGACATGTACATACCACCAAAAGGATAGGCAACAACTTTGAAAACATTTCTATCTTGTTTGTAGTTATAAAGAATGGTTTAATATAGCGCGCAACTCTCTTTTATATTATACAGTATGATCGACTATCGTCGACGACGATATACTTTCCAGTAATTATTTGAGGAAAGATATGAAAAATGAAGACAAATCAAGTGATGAAAGCATTAGCTTAAAACTTAATTTTTTGTCATATATTCGATAACAACATCGACGAAATAGTCTATAAGCATATGATAAAGATAACAATTCACAAGACTAAGAGGCAATAACAGATATGAATAGCTGACCTCAATGTTACGTAAAGATATTTGCAGCGTTTAATAAATGGTGTCATATGATAGATACGAAAATCATGGTATCTAGCAATGATTTTTAAACGAAATGAGATGAAAAAAGCCAAATTAAATAGAATGATGAATAGTTGAATCAAGTTTACAGGCATCAGTGCGGAAAAAGAACTGCCCCCGTTGAGTGCAAAATTTGCACTGCAAATTGACCTTTTGGATTTGTTGTTACTTGACTCATTGAATAATAGTTTTATGGAAAACACATCTGAAGTACAAATGTGACGTTTCAATATGCTAATAAAAGAATGTATTATATCGGTCTCATCATATATTCAAACGACGAGTCATCGCTTTATAATTTCTGTAATAGAATGAACTAAAGTGAGCATATAAAATGCATGCCACTATTAAGATTTTACATAAAAGAATACCATGTCTCTAACGGAGACTACGTTCATGAGCAAAATATCAGTTCAACCAATAATTATAATGTTTCTAGTTGGAATAACAAATAGATTCACAAGATGTACTATAAAATCTATTTCAGTCTGGTCTAGTATCATACTGTACATAATATTGTTTGACTTTTATTTCGAAAAATATAAGTACAAAAAAGAATAAAATATGGTAGATTCATCTGTTCGACAATATCTTATATTGTGGATAAAACCTGATGAATCTCTTCTGTTCGATAGAGTTTTGAAGGTAAGTAAGTTAAAGGTAATCATTTGATGTAAAATAAACTTAAAGTAAATTTCAAATAGGTTGGTAAACTATTCGTTCCCAATAAGCGTTATTGTGAAGATCTGTCATTGACCCACATCGATCTCCACCACCACGGTGAACACTGGAGCGAAGCGACCAACAAAGTCGATATTCAGAATATTCATCGCTTCGATCGCAAGGAATATAATCAACTAACGTCTTTGGGTTACCGTCGTCATCGAGACCCGATAAAAAGTAGAAGTTTGAGCGTGAATCCTACATTACAGAAAAATACAATTCTGTTGAAAGCAAAATCTTTCTTGTGACAGAGCTTGCTAATTGACCCAAAAAATACTTTAAATAAATATGCTACTGAAATCAACCTTACCTTAGAAAAAGTTGCATGTTTTTAGAAAAATAAAATTATTTTGTCACATATGGAAAGAAGATAATCTCTTACTTCTGGACGTCCTTCAAAGCCCCAGGCTATTTGTAATCTGTTATAGAAACCAAGAAAAGTATTCGCTTGAAGTAGGCAATGCTTTTTCGGAGGACATTTATCCAATCTATCAATCGAGTTACCTACACCAGCTAGCGATAACATGTTTCTGTTGTAAGTTGGACGACATGCAACAAGAAGTTTTGTACTTCGGCACGATATTCGAAACGACAATAAGTCAAACGGGGTATCGTATGTGCTTCGATAGCATTCTTGCCATCCAATTAAAGAATTCGTATTCAAATACCGATGAACACCATGAATAGGCCATAAGTATGCCTCGGCTAAAAACAACAGGATCATATATAAAAATTTTAAGAAAAATATTACTTACGATTTAGTCCAAGATCTGTTAGCATAGCTGTGAAATTCGCTTTTAGATCCACATTTGGTGCTTGAAACTCAACTGCATAAGCAGGCATTTCTGGATTACGTTTGATTGCTCTCAATTGATCAAGCAGATATTTGAATTGAACAGGATTGTAATCCAAAAAATCATACCGGCTTTGTCTCGTAAATGTAACTCACTTTCATTATTTTTCATGAGCATCTTCGCTAATTTAGATTTAGGCACAGCAGTCAAAGTTGACCGTAGAGTCGATATTTTTTCACCACCAACATTTAATTCGATTATGTCATCGTCTAACGATTCACTAATCTCATCTTTCCAATTGACCGCCGTCGAACTTCCTACAACACCCATGTCGTTCCAATAGTCAATCGTTTCAGTTGGAGCTGGAATCTCTTCAGTTACAGTTTCTTGAGTAGATTCTAAATGAGTACCTACTGCTTCAACTGTTATTTGTTCACAAACCACCATAAAACAAATAGTCTATGTAGAAAAATAGAATCTTAGATTAAATTCTATCTTCAATGAGACTACTACATACCAATAGAATAAACAACAACTTTGAAAACATTTCCATCTTGTGCATTTATAAAGAATAACTTAGTATACTGCAAATCTCTATCATTTTATATAGTATGATCAGGTGCTCTCGATGAGGATATCATTTTCAATAACAATTGTCTTTGTCAGCATTTGAGGAGAGATGTTAACAATGAAGACAGACAAAGTGATGAAAGTACTACCAGAGAATTTTATTTGTTGTCATAGCTTCGATAACAATATCTATCTACGTAAATCTTTTGTACATAAACATCTGATAGAGATAATAATTTAAAGGGCTAAAGGCCAATGACATTTATGAATAACTGATCTCGATATTACGTATTGAAATTTGTAATGTTTGATAAATGTCTGTATATGGTTCATTCGAACCTTAGTTTCCTACTCAATTTACGAAAAGATTAAGGTTTTATGAAAAAGCATCTGACACTGGTACATTTTGTCGCATGATCAATTCGTTGCGTCCAAAGTAATAAAAAGTATTCATAAAAAGTATTTAATCGAAAAACGTGCTGCTAAATGTAGAACACGTTTAGATTTTTTTCCTGTTAACTTCTTAATCGGCATTCTGAGAAAGCGACAATTGGTCGAGCTACAATTAGTCGAACGACAATTAGTCGCTACGATAATTAGTCGCATAAGAAATTGATCGCATGAGAAAATTCAATTATATTGAAATTTATTGAATAAGAAAAAGTACATAAATGAATATACAAAAGATTAATTGAATTACAAATTCAAAGCTACTCTTTCTATTTGTCTAAGTAGTGTTGGATGTGGAGAAAGTAATAAAATTTTCAGACGTTTACTGTAATCTAAATATTTTTTTGTTTGAAGAGCTGATTGACCACCCTAGCCGAACTTTTTTCTTCATGCGCTTGCAAGACTTAAGCTCAATATGTGTCCATAGCGCATGACTTTCTTGCTCAAGACAAGCGCTTCAATGTTTGCATGAGTTACAAAAAAAAATGCAACTATAATTTTTTATTAAAAGTTAAGTTATTGTGAATGTAAAATTGAAAACAAAAAGTTGAAAAAGTTCTTTAATAACAGAAACGCTTAGATAAAAATTAAAGCGCATGAACAAGAAGTTTAAGAATTGCATGCGCTTGCAAAAAATAGTTCGGCTAGGGCAGCATTAACTTTAACAAGTTGACAACGAATATAATTTTCTTCTTTTTGAAGACTTTGGATAAAGATCCAGAGAGACGGATGTTCACATTGAATAACGGAGTTGAGTCGTCGGTGCCAGGCTTCAACCTGGTTATTTGTTCGCATTGAGTTCTTGATGGTTCTTTTATGCATGTTCCATAAATCGACAGGATATCTTGGCGTTGCACATCCATTCGGTCGTCTTTTTCCTATGTAAGTGTCTTCGAAATAATCGATAACTGGTTCCAAAATAAATGTTAAAGACCCATATAAATCGCTGAATCCTTGATTAACATCAGCAGGTTGAAGAAATGCTAATAATGCAGCGATTTATTTACATCGTAAGCAAATTTTGCATCATTTTCGTAATTGGTTTTTAATCCAAGATCCTATGAACGAGAGTTAAAATCAAGTCGCTTATAAAAAACCATCGAGACTGACTTGAAGTTTTTTTTGGATGCTCTTCTGCAGATGAAAGAAGCAACCTGCTATCGACAATGTGCTAAAAGTCCCTTCGAAATCATTAATTGCTCCCTTTTCAAAATTGACCATAACTGATTTGGGATTCCATGAAGGACATAAGCGACGTAATTCATTAATTAATCTTTGATAAATCTATTGTTGTTTATCTGACAGTAACGCAAACACCAATGGAAATACACAATTTTGATAAACACCAGGTATCGTATATAATTGAGTGAATATTACTGGTGTTACCTGAAATAACGATGAAGAATATAATCAATGCATACTTATCGATTCCAGATTGAAATAGTTAACATACTTTGAATGTTCCGTCGATGAGTATTTCTTCAGTTTCTTTAAGAATTTTCAATTGTTCAGGAGATGAGAATATAATTAAACGATGATCACGAGGTTCAGAATCAAATTGCAAAAATGTGTCGTTTCTAATTTTCATTGTTAGAGATGTTGGTACCATTGTAAAATTTTTATCGTGGAATTTGCGGTAAATCTTTTTTTTGACGTTGTCGTTGAATATTTCTTTTAATGTATTTCAAATTCGGAAGACGAGCTACCATCTGGTCAGATACATTATTTAAGCAATTGTCCATAATATGTTGTGTACTTTCAGTGGTAGTCACCGCTCGAGAACGTAATTTGTCTTGGAATAATCGGACTTCATTATTCACTGCACTTGCAGGATGATTATGATCATTATTTTCAAGTAAAATAGTAGTATGATTGTGATCTGTATGAATTCTTCCTTTGAATTTAATTGTTCGGCAATTCACATTTCCAATAAGTTTTTTATCCGTATTACGATCGATTGTATAATTGAATCCATTCAACGTAAGTAATGGTTTGTTTTTTTCAGTTGTAGCAATATTGAGAGATGACATGTTTGTATAAACATGACAGTTCATTTTTTCTCCTTTTAAAGATCTCCGAATATATTTAGTAAATCTGATTAACTAGTCATCATGGTTTCGATACTCTGTTTATTAGATCCAATCCCGGATTCTCTGTGTCCGTATATCAATTAAACTGTAACCATGTTGTGACCTGTTTCGATAAATCAATTAAGACACAAGAGACACAATTATTGTATTCTCACTTATGTCATGATAAATTTCGACTAATATCTAGTACGACTAACTATCGTAGTGACTAATTGTCGTTGCGACTAGATGACTACGCCGAATTGTCGTAGACCCACGGCGAAACATAAAAATATTTAATAGCAAAAACAAATAATAAACATCACAGCTTGAATACAAATAGGAAAAAAATGATCTAAACAAACAAAACAAGGTAATAATGATATGGTATACGACACACAGCATCTTTTATACGAAGTAGAGTAGCTATGAAAGTCTAATTATACCATTTTTGACAATATGAAACATGAGGTTTTACGTACATGATTGATTGATTGATTGATTATTATACTTCAAGTAGGAACGGGTTTTTCTATGGTCCAATGAACCGATATAATAAACATATTCTCTGAAAAACAAGAGGTCACTACTTCCTTGTCTGCTGTTCATCTTTTTCTTCGTTTCCTTGAGAAACGAAAACTTCTGACATAACATTCCACTTATCAGACCGTTGAGGAAGGTAACGGGTGTTCCATAATGAATGACCAACTCAATGTTTTCTGAATAGCTCCTTCATTTTTTATTTACTAAATTTACCCCCCCCCACCGGAAGATCCACCATTCAATTCTCTACAAGATTTGTATTACAAGCTTTCTCACGAAAGTTAAGAGAAAAATTCTTATAAGAGAATATTCAACACGTATAAAAGGGCCGACTTTCAAAGCTGAAAAATAGTTTCCTTCAGTTTTTCGTTCGCTACTGACGAAAAAAACAACAACACAGTAATCTTGTAGCCCATGAAAAACTCGTTTAATCGATCATATAATTGGAAATTTTCCACGCTCATCCTTACGTGGTACTACATACATTTTTTCTTTCAAACCTTTGAGAATTTAGCTTCTTCAATCAGTGGTTTCGCTACTCCTGGAAAAAGAGGCATAACTAAGCCAAAATAGCGTCGTTTACATTTAGGTTTTTCCATTTTGATGGAACATGACTAGTGTACCAGATTCGGAGAAGAAACATAACCTTTAATTATTTTATTCAATTCAGTAGGCGACAAATATTGTATTTTAGCCATTTTGAATATTCCTTTTTAAAATTTTTTTACTTACCCTTCGTCAGAAAAGCTTGTAATACAAATCTTGTAGAGAATTGAATGGAGGATCTGCGGGGGGCGCGGAGTTAAATTTAGTGAATAAAAAATGAAGGAGCTATTCTGAAAACATTGAGTTGGTCATTCATTATGAAAAACTCGCTAGAAACCGGTCACGGTATCTCAAAACACACCCCATATCCACCCTACACCCTCACGCTCACACCCAATTTTTTCAATATTATACAATCGACCTACATTTTGTTCGATTTTTTACGAGGAATATTCTTGATTATATCACCATCATAAAATTCATTCTAGTGTTTTGCAAGTTATTTTAAATTCGTTATTTTCAGAGATTGATGAATTTTATACAACAGAATGAAACTTAATTGAAGATATGCAGTCAATAATTAATGAAGTACGTACTTTACATTGAAAAACTATATGTCTGAACACGTTAGCAGAAACTCGCTGCATGCACTTATCGAAACTCATATATATTGCTCGTTTGCACTTGGGTCTATAGCTCTGTAAGTTAGGACGATAAAGGTATGAAAGGGAGACAGTGATGATGAACATAGTTGTCATATGAATTTTTTGAAGCACAATTATGCAGGCGTGGTCTATGGATATAGATTATGGGTGAGGATGTGTATGATTATTGTTCTCAGTCACACCCTCATCTGTGCCGAAGTGACTGTGCCGAAGTGATCGCGACGAAGTGTACCAGTCCGTTTTGCGCTTGCGTGTACGGGAAGTGACTGAAAGAAAAAGAAAATATAGGGGTTGAGCAGTTGTTTCTAATTTTTTTTTACTTGGGCGAATGAAATCGGATAAACCGAGTGTTTCCCACTGAATATCCTCATTCTCATTAGCCATAACACAAATGAGTCTTGGTGTGTTAGGTACATGGTGAGCAGGATGAAGATCTTGGACAGTACATAAAGGAAGAACATGAAAAATGGCACCGTCTTCTGCACGATGTTTTTGACAAATCTGAAACATTCTCAGTTTTAACCTAAAATAAAAAAATTCTTTCCATGTCTAATTTCTATTTAAAGTAAACCTAAAGATACCATCCTCTGTTAACTCTGATTTTTGAATATTAACACGGATGGGATTCATATGCGGTGTATTTGTTTCAGCACCTGCAGCTAGAAAGCCTTTTCTCGTATGCAAGCGCCACGTGACCTTGTCTTCTTTGCGTTCTTCTGTGACAATAGAGACAAAAAGTTTCAATTGATTGTATTGCAGGTAGTTTAGTGGAATCTAGAAGGAAAAAAATAAGCATATCAAATAGTGAATTTTTCTATTATATAAAAAGAGATCACTTTTATTTCGGGTAGAACAGAAGCATATTTTGCATCGAGACAACCTTTAACAGCTTGTACACGTGAAATGTAGTAATTTTTTTCTGTTCGTATTTTCTTCCCTTTATAGCAGAAATCAGATTGATAGTATTGTCTCTGATAAGGCGCCACATCGCGTGTGAAGATCACACGCGATGTTGTGCCAGAAGTTTCGAACAAAGTTGTTTCAATAATATTAGATAGCAGTGAATTATCCGGTAATGGTAGGTCGAGCTCTGAGTTCCGGTCGATTGGTAGTGGGTTTTCCGATGGAGAAATACCAAATATATCAATATCAGTTTCATTAGTTGCTAGCAGTCTATCGTCTGTAAAAAGAAACGAAACAATACTGTAAGATAACGTCTTAGTTCAGCTCACTGTAAAAAAATCCGTAGAATACTAAACCAAAAAAGGGTTGATGAAAGTGCAACGTATAATAAACCCTTTTTTCGTTTTTGAAAATTTTCATAAACCCTTAAGGGTTTAGTATTCTACGAATTTTTTTACAGTGCTGAAACTCACCAGATTGAACAGAAGGTTTCTCGGAACCATTTCGATACCAACATGTAACTATAGCATTCAGCGTTGTCGTATGTGTACGAGGCAATCGCTGTTGAAGTTCTTCTGCATATTCTTCATCAAAATCAATGTAATCGAGAAATCGTTCATCATAAATTTGAACATAAAATGAGTTTTGGCTAAGGTCGAAATGTGAACCAATGCGTTCAACAATTTCGCTTTTTGACAGATTTGGATTAACAAATAGTTCGTAAATTCGATTGCAACACAGGATGACAAGATTATATGAAGCCATCTATTAATAAAAAAGGCGTTTTCTTGTTCAAGCGATAACAGGCGTGTGTGATAGAAGATATCAAGTCAAAATTGGCGATAGTTTCTTCTTCATGTCAGGCTCTTGGAAGGAAAAAAGAAAAAAACGTGTTGGATGTTTTTTTCCTGCAAGCTTGCTTTAAAAAAAGAACGATAAGTCAGACCCGCTATCGTCAGTTTTTTTTCTTCCTACACATTTGTTGTAGGAAGAAAAAAAAGAAAAAGTAATCTAGCTGTTGGCGATTTTTTTCTTCCTACACTGTCGATTTTTTCCGACAGCATAGACGTTCTCTATTCATTCATCCATCATACTTGTTTTTTTTCCTGCATACTCTTTCTCGAAATAAAAATCAGATGCATAAAACTTCTATCTATCTATCTTTCTTTCTTTCTCTCTTTCTTTATATTCCTTCTATAAAAGAAAAATACGATAAGCCTTTCTTTATTTATCATATTATCGAAATTTTCCGACACATAACGTCGCATTCTTCCTATCACCTGTTGTCTCTCTTCTCGTTGATAAACGAGAGGGAACTGAGAAAGCAGAAGAAATAAAGTGTCAAGAAGAAAACGGTATATTATTGAAGATGTCTCTCATCACGAAAATTCGTTACCATGATTCCAATGGAATTCCACGTACAAAAAATACTCGAAAATTTCAAGCTACTACTTCGTACGAGACAATACGCACATGGATTGCAAAATGGTGGGGCCTTGATAAAACTAAGGTCAAAATCGAAATCAAGGATCAACCTCATGAATTCGTCACTTTTGATCAGGATTATATAAACGACTATCATCCTTACGGTGTCGATAGACAAACACAGAATAGTGGAGCACACTCCAATACTGTGACTCCACCGTTTATTGAATTACGTCTAAGAGGAAAACACAGTAAAATTTACTTATTAAATTTTAATTTTTTCTTATTCATTCTCAAACAGATCAAACTCAAAATTTGACTCACAATGGTCTTCAACAAGCATCAAATGCAATTCTTTCGACTGATGTGCAGCAGTCTCAAAGACGTAAAATAGCAAATAATAAATATTTAATCCACTTTCATCGATTTTTATTATAGCAGCAGACTCAGTCGTTGAGCAACCTCAAGATGACTGTGAGGACGCTTCGTCTTCATATGATTCTTCACGTTTGTACTCGTTCGATGGCCCAGTGAAGCTCGATGAAGAAACTATTAAACTCCAAGTAGATGTCAATTATTTTCTTCGAAATCAATATGATAGTGAGCCATGTATGATATGTATTCAAGGCAATAAGGATGAGCTGAAAGGAAATGCCAGAAAAAAGAAAGTGGAGCCAAAAGTCAAGGTGAGGGATACTGATAATACGATTTTAAATAATCCTATGAATTTTGTCTTCTGTAGATAGAAAAAGGCAATTTAAAAAAAAAATACAATTTAGAAAAAGACATTTCAAAACAAGAAATACAGAACTGGGCTTTGCTTATCTTTCTTCTGGTCGAATTCTGCAAAGATGGGACCCGTGACCTCTTCTATAATGCTTGGCGAGGCTTCGCCACAAGTGGCGACAACAAAACGGATCAAACTGATCTATCAATCAATGATGTAACACAGAAAGAAAGTCAAAAACGGTAAGTGATAAACTCGTTTTCTTAAATCTATTTTTTTTAATAGGAGTCCACCTGATCGTTGTCTTTAGTACTAAACGTCCAAAACCGTATGTTAGAATCCCTCTCACTATGAAGATTTTGAATAATGGAGTCTAGTAAGTGCGACTGTCTTCTCTCGTTTCTTTTAAACCATTTTTATTTTTAGTCTGAATTTACGAACGGAAGTGATTCGTGAAACAAAAACACACAACCAACCGCTGGAGAAGTTCTGTCAGTTGGCCGACAGATATTCTCCTGGCACAGAATATGAAACAGATCGTCTGGCTTTTTTGCTCGAAAAGAACGGAAAACCATTATGGAATAGCCTTGCACTCTCAAAATCTATGGCTTTTGGATGTAAATCTCATCATATTTTCTCTTAATTATTCCTTATGTATATTTATGTGTATTATGTTTAGATGAAAAAATGATCAAACGTAAAAAAGTCAGTACCATCGACGGGAAATTCAATGAGTTAATAGCCGAACTCAAAATGAAACGAAAGAAAAACTTTAATCAACCCGGTAAGAGATTCTTTCACTTCGACAATGTTTATTGGGAATTTAATTTCTGTATTGTGTCTAAATGATAGAGTTGAAACGTCTTCAAAAGCCTAGACGATCTACGAAGCATCGCAAGCAAACGATGGCGACTAGTTTAGTGACCAGTCACGAAACACGTACACTAAATGGTCACTGTCTACAAAGAGTGGAAGACTTGACATCGTTCGATAATCAGCAGTCGCAAGAGACAAATATTCCAATGGGGATGCAACATCACATCGTGGCATCTTCGGATCGAATGACAATTAACAGATCCACTTCTAAGGTAATGTTGTTCAATTCATCAATATAACACCCTCAAGATAGTACACACTATGTTTCGTTGTATCGATTAAGGAATATTCTGTGTAAGGCTCTAATAATATTCATGCCATGGCTTCGATTAAAATTTAATCATCATCATGGAATGAAAATTTGAAAATTCACCAATGATTTTAAAATACATGCATTAAAGTGTCCGCTTCATCATGAAAAATTGCTTTTTTTTCATTTTCGACATAATTTATTCCAGCAAAACTTTTCATTATAATGATGTAATTTACATCATTTTTTTATTTCATGGGCATGGCTCACTGTTAGCCGCCTTATGCACAGAGTTCGAACTTAATAGCGATTCATCAGTTAAGACAATTCCTCTGTTAGTATCACATGTTTTGTTTTCATTTTTGTAATGCTGTGTGGCATTTATTCTGTCTTAAAAGGAACTGGTCACACCGGTAGTTCAATTGATCGCTCCTGCCAACTTTCAAGTTTCTAATACTGAAAATTTACTTGATAAAACTCACCAGGAACTAGATGGCTTTTTGGAGCAACCAAAATTAACTCAAAATGTTGATAACTCAATAATGGTTTGTCTTCGTCTATGTCTGAGGCAGAAACCAGTATAAATTTCACACTTTCTAGGAAATTGATTTAGATTCACAGAATGGAAATGTTAATGGTGCACATGTCAACTCGTCGTTATACTCTAACTGTTCAGTCGATGATCTGTATCGACTTATCGATTCCACTTTAGAGACGCTTCCAGAAGATCCTAATTTTTGGCAAGATCTCAGTCAATTTGATCCAAATACCAATGGTTTTAGCGAAGCTATCGAGAATCTAAGGCAGTTAAGATGCCAACTCTCTCTACGGTATGCATAGAATTGGCCGAAAGAAAAAACGTCGAAAGTAAAAAATGTCGAAAGTGCTATAAATCGAGTTTGAGCATACGCTATCCATTTAAAAGTACAACGATGGATACCCCTACAGATTGTCCATATAGGATTGTTTAAAAATTGGGTTTAAACTCTATCTATAGCATTTTCGACATTTTTTCTTTCGAAATTTTTTACTTTCGACGTTTTTTCTTTCGGCCAATTTTATACCATTCCTTTCAATCATAGTGTCGACTGCTCTGGTGACTTCGCCAATGATGCCGGAGAAATCTCAACTGATCTCAACTTGATGGCAAATGAAGAAGGAAACGATAATAGTTATGATTTCCTCTAAGACTTTTGTGATATTGTTAGGGTCTGACATCTTTATCTATATGTTGGAGGTCAACATTCTCTTGTTTGTTTGTTTCCTCTCGTTCTTCCCTCTTTTGTTTATTGTTATTAAGTAGTTGTATCTTTTACATCAATAACGATAGCCGTGTGAACTCAAGACATAACAGATATATTTTGAAAGACGACTTCATCGAACATTTCCATCTAGTTGTGTGTGATTTTATTTCTTTAATTTTTTTTACTGATAATGAAGCCTGACATTATTCTTCTTGCTAGTCTATTTTGATTAACTAAACGTACGTTTTATTTATCTCTTAGTCAACTAGGACTTAAAAAGTTCTCGTTCAGGATTGTTATATTCTCTGTTCACACATCACATGAACATAAATAGGTCTAGTGACCACTAGAGATAGGAGACAGAAAAAAGAGAGGTAGTACATTGAAAAAAAGGTATCATACCGAGCCTAAAAGGGCTCCGAGATTTCCAACGAATTCTGAACCATTTTATGTTACGTATAAACCGGGTTCTGTACGAAACTCTTGTTGAAAATGCCAAAGTAGGGTTTCCTACATTATTCCTTGCACTCAATGTGATAAATTATACGTAGGCGAAGTTAGCTGCCGATTAGAGCATTTCCAGCGGCGATTCGCCCAGGAATTATTCCAATTGTTCAAGCCCTGTTTCAAGTACAACTCTATGAGTTCTATTCATTGGTGTAATCAGATTTTCCATAGTCCAAATAATGGTCCCAAAAGTCCCAAAATACTGAATTTTCCTATTGGAATTCTGTTGTTGATTCGAGTAATTCCAGCGGTGATCCGTCCAAAGACATGTTCCAAGCGTTCCAATACTTCTTCGAAATAGGACTCGACGAGCTCTATCTAATTATATGCTCAGACTTTCGTTAACGGAAAGTATGATTTTTGGACTCACAGATGCCGTAGCTGAGTATCGGCAAATCCTACTTTGGACTATCCGATATTTGACCATACCATTAGATAGAGTTCGGCGAGCTCTATTTGGAACAAGTATTTAAACGCTTGGAACATGTCTTTGGATGAATCACCGCTGAAATTATTCGAATCAACAGCCAGAATTCCAATAGGAAAGTTCATTATTTTATGATTTTTGGGACCATTGTTTGGACTATGGAAAATCTGATTACATCATTGAATAGAACTTATAGAGTTGTACTTGGAACAGGGCTTGAACAATTGGAATAGTTCCTGGGCGAATCGCCACTGGAAATACCCGAATCGGCTGCTAACTTCACTTACGTACACGAATTGAGAGTCAAAATTGAACAAATACTTATCTTATCGTCAATGCTATTCTTCAGATCAGAATGGCACTTTTTACATGGATTTGAAATAAACTGTCTCACGTCCTCGACCCTTCGAGCTGATCTAAACACAAAGCAAAATCATATTTGAAATCTAACATACCTTGTCGTTGTTTGTTTTGATTGGTCTAAATACAAAATTGAATTACAAATTAATATAACAACTCAAATAAGTATTTCTTTGATTAGTTGATCTAAACATAAAATAAGAATCTTATTTAAAATATAACTTACCTCACCATTGCTCGCTTCACTTGATCTAAATAAAAAATAAAAAAACATTGAAATAAAAATTTTCATAATTGTTTCTTTAGTTAATTGATCTAATTATACAATAAAACTGTATTTGAAATGTATATTACCTATCTATTCATTGCTTCGAGTGATCTAAATATGAAAATAAATAGCAATTTGAAATAAAAATTCCCTATAGGTATTGAACTGGTTAGTTGATCTAAATAAACAGTTCTATTTTAAATAGAGCTTACTGTGGTGTTGCTTATTTTGATATATCTAAATATACGGACAGATTACAATTAGAAAAGAAAGGACAGGGGCGTATAAGATACCCTTTCGCCCCATTTCGATTTTTTTCAACTGAACCTAGTAAAATTATATATGAATTGAAAGATGCCGTTGAGACAAGCATTGTGATACTAAATCCGTCAAGAAAAAAATGAATTTTAAAAAAGTTATGGGCACAAACAAAAGTCGACTATTTGACTATATCTCTTGGAAACATTCTTCTATTTTCGACACAACTATATCACAATAGAACTGTTCTCTTATCTACCATTCGATAGACATTTTTAAGCGCTACAAAATAGGATAACTAGAAAAGTAAAAATAAATTAGAAAATTGATGATCATTGGGCAAAGACCCTCACAAACTATCATTTTCTTCATATTTCGACGAAAAGTTTTGGCGAAAATCGAGATGAGCCATTTTTCTCATCTATATCAATCGATAGACATTTTCAAGCGCTACAAAATAGAATATATTTGAAACTGAAAATGTGTTATCATTGGGGGGAAAAGATCGAAAAATTCTAAATAGATTTTATAGTCGGTTGCTTTTGTCTATTTTGTTTGCATCAAAATGTATATGTTATGAATGAATAAGTGTTTTATGACATCGGGAAAATGAATTTTATGGGTTTCGATTATGTATATTGGATGTTGTCTTGAGGGTGTGATGTGGGTGACTGCTCTGTTAACATACCCACACTCTCAAGGTCCATTTGTCAGGTCATTTTCTTTTATTACATCGTTTATTATGCAGCTTGATTTTCATAATACATAATATTATGTTTAGAATAAGATATTGTGTATCAATCAGACATAAGTAATCTAGGTTACAATATCTTCCAATGTATCGTTGAATAAAAAAATATCATAGATTTTGTTTTATTAAATTGAAAAAATTATAATGTGCAAATATCAAGAGCATAGAACGTAGTTGGTTTGTTTGGATGTAGTGTAGGAATGAATGACATCTTGATGATAGTCTCGATTAGAAAGATTGGGAATGAAGCCAAAATTGAAAATTGTGCTTTGTATTGAAACGGAGACAAAACTGTACTTAAATATTCTATTGCATCTCAACGAATTGGGTGTAATTCTAATTTAGATTGGCATGGTTGTGGACCCCCCACATCACGCTCTCAAGAGCATCAAATTTCTTGAAACATATCAGAGGAAGAGATAAAATCAATATAGTGATTGTGTGGCATTTTGAAACTCATAGTTCACGTGTTGGTCATAATGGCAATGAATACAATCGTACTGAGTTTATTTCTTTGAATAAATGGATTCAAAAATAGATCGGTCTATCTTCTAATGAAAAAGCCAGGCTCAATTTGCTAGTCTCAACTCTTGCTTTTTAGCAGTTGATCTAGTCGAAAATCAAATAATAGTTAGGATGAAAGGGCAATCACAAAATCCGCGATTTAAAATTAAACTCACTGAATATTCATGAAATAAGTGTCAATTCTGAAAAATCATTTTTCCTTCGAAATATTACTCAGCTGTTGACAAATCTATTGTAATCTAATTTAATGCCTTGGAATCATAGGATTGTGTCCGAGTGATAACTTGTTTTTTGAAAGTTCTTCTCTAGAATATAAAACTTTTGATTTTTATATATCGAATTTCCTTATGATTAAAGTACAATCAAGCATATAACTAAACTAAATGAAAAGTTAAATTTGTATACTAGATAAGAAAAGGCCAGATTAGACAGTATAGTAGATAAGACGTTCCCATTTGATTGAATTTTGTAAATTTTGTGCATTACCACATCGATCACCAGCATTTTGTTTAGCCACTGATTGTGATGTCCAACAAAGTCGATAGTCAGAATCCAAATCACTAGCATCACATGGATTAACCATAAAGGATAAAGATCCACGTACGAAACCCCATGTTTGATTATTAGCATTATACCATCCTACGCCTCGTTTCGATTGCGTAATACATTGATGATTACCGGAACATGTTAATTTTTTATTTTTCTTCTTTGGTTTCTCATTAGCATTACATTGTTTGGGTAAACATGGATGTAAAACATCCTCCATATCTCCTATGCCTGCCAGAGTTAGAATTTTCTTGTTATCAACAGGACGACAAGCAACCAGAAGTTGACTACCATTACATGATTTTTTCAATACAGATAAATCGAATGGTACATTGTATGCACTGCGATGACATTCTTTCCAACCGGCAAGAGAACTTATAGTTAAATTGATATGTGCACCTTCTCTGGGTGATAGGAAATGATCGGCTAAAATAAACATAATAAATTATATGAGACAATAAGTATTTCAGAAGAATTTACTTAAGAATTTATTGCCTTTATTAATTTCAATCTGAGTATTACAGGTTTTAGAAGGAATTTTTCCTTGAAAGAAAAATATCCATCGCTTTATAATCATAACTAGGGCAAAGAGATTTTAAAATATAAGATGATTTTACTTACGTGTTAATCCAAGATCGACAAGCATATGTGTAAAATTCAATTGTGAACCAATAAAGGGAGCTTGAAATTGGAGTTGATATTCTGGTTTTTCCGGTTGCCGTTTTATAGTTCTCAATTGATCAAGTAAATAATTAAAATAGATTGGATTATAATCAAAAAATACTGCACCCTGTTGATCCACAGGTAAATGTTTTTCAGTATTATCTTTACTAAACATACGAGCTAGTTTCGAACTGGGCACAGCAGTTAAAGTTGAACGTAATGTAGTTATTTTTTGGCCACCAACATTTAATTCAATCACATCATCGATTGATAATGATGGTGTATCGATTTCTCCACTACTTGTTGTTTGTGCAAGTGTTGCATCTTCAATAAGTGTTAGATTATTGTTGATGACTTGTTCATCTTGCAAAGCACTTTCATTAACAAAAGCTGTTTTAACAAATAAACTTCTATTGACTAATAATATAATCCAAAATACCTAGAGATAGAATCATAATTTAGAACTAGGAATATGTAAAACTCAAAATACTTACAAACAACATAGAAAACATGATTGATTATTTCTAGTTATCACATATACTGATTATTATCGTTTCCAGAAAAATACATCGACAAATGAGTCGTGCAAATCTTAATGCTAAAATAAACTTCCAAATGAGAGAAAATGCTTTTCTTTCTTTCTATCTCTGTCTCCGTAATGAGAACCGGTTATTTGTTTATCTACATGAGAAGAACATTAAACATCGTTCTTTTCAGGCCTTGATGAGTCCCTATAAGATAGAAAGTATCATATATAATTATGTATTTAATAATGTTCTTTAGAAATTTTTTAAAACACATCAAATCTAATAATCCCATACAAATTTACACTTGTCCTTGTATTATGCATCTATCAGTTATTTTAAATGGTACATCTTCGCTAATGTTTCACATCATTGGTTCTCATGGTTTTTCTTGTTAATTATTCAACAACAAGTTTGATATACAAATTAGATTTATACATGTGTTTTCTTTCCGGTGAATGTCCTTATTGAAAAAGGTCAGATATTTGTATAATCTTTCAGCTAACGATAATAATATATAGTGTGATACTCAAGCTTATTTATTATAACCTGTTGTCGAGACCATAATACTGAGTTTATTCTTCGCTGAAGTTAAGATAAGTTATACAGTCCGTAGCTTGTCTGTCAGACTACTAACTAGTTAATGATCTGTTCTGCAGTATTGATCAGCCACGATCTTCTATGCTTATTCTGTATGTATATCATTTCAATATTGATAATTAGTCTTGAGAGAAAAATCTCTATATAACATTATGTTTATTATTTTTATTAATTTAGCAACTAGCTAAAACAAGGTCATATACATTTCCGGCTACTTTACTTCTCAATCATTTGTCTGATTCAAGGGAAATGCTCGTATGTTTTTTTTCTCATTGTAATCAGTACAGAAGATTTGGCTAAGATCGATTTTTAGCGAGCTTCATCTCATTTGTAGTAGTTTCAAAACGTACTTGAAAGAAATTCAAGTGGAAAAATTCAATAATTTACTGATTTTATGATCATAAATTAATAAAAAGAAAAATTAATTTTAAAAGTATTTATGTTGATGGTTCGTTTGATAAATTTCAATTGCTGTTACTTGCATACTGTCGTCGTTTTACCAACTTTTGAATAGCTCGTGGATATTTTTCATCTAGTGTGAAATTGCTAATAGTTTTTCTCCATTCTTCAAATGATCGAGGATCTATCCATGAGTGTCGTCGAGTATCAGATCGCTTTTCCATTGGAGATTTACTACGATTTGATGAAGTATATTGTACTGCAAGAGAACTTCTTTGATGAAAAAGTTGAACTGTTTCATTAAAGTCTTGATCACGTTGATCGATTGTTGCTAATCTTCGTTGTATATCACGTATAGAACATGACTCTCTACGAGTTCGTTTCTTGCTCATATTCTGTGATCTATTAAAATATATGTCCCATAATTTGTCACGTTTTTCTTTATCAGCTAGTTCTTCTAAAACAAATATTTTTCATTTGATTTAATTGATGGATACGCTTTTTCTTTATTTGCTTGCCTAATATTTGTTTGTTGTCGGTTTTTTCACGAAAACTTTTATTCAACAATGCATTCGAATATTTTGATGAATGTTCAACGACTCCAGCCGATGGTACCATTTGCATTATCAGTAGAAATAGAATACATGACGAATACCAGAAAATAACAACCACAATATATGCAATAGCATCCGAAGAATCATAGATAGTCGTTAATTCCAATGGCTTATTTTGTTCTACTAACAGGAAAGTTGTATTATTCATGATTAAGTCCAAATATTTTTGTTAAGACGGATCAATCGAAGTTATGAAAAAAGAAAAAGAAAAATCACAGGCTGTTTTTTGTACTGCGATAAGTGTTTATCAGACAGTTATTCGTGCATGCAAAAATTTTATATGCAAGTAAATAACGAACAACTAATAGCGTTATTTTTCTGTATTAATATGCGTATTTTTGTGATTGATAAAAACCAAGAATTTCTAGCCGGTAAGATATTTGTCAAAGATAGTACATTCTGAAAACCTTGTCATAACTACAGAAATCTGATCTAAAAATAATAATAATAACGTGAATCCATCTCAATGTGATTAGTAACGGCGTCTACATTGATTTTTATGTTTTAATCCCGCAGCGACTGTGTGAACTGATGTTTACTTAGAAATTCAATACATCGATTAAATCCTTTACGCTGTTGTTGGAAATTGAGAAACTGTGATAAATGCTTGTAGAAACAGTTTCAAGCCAAGATGATTAATTTTTTCTCTCTTCAACACTAGCGTATCATCTCAGTACTAATAAAGTAAAAGTATGGATCAAATAAAAAGTTGTTTGTTTGATTTTTTCCTTTCAAACAAGCACATCAATGTTGATCAAAGATCAACAAGAAAAAGAACGTACATTGATCGGTAAGGACAGAGAAAGATAGAGAACAAATTAAAGGTTTTTACCGATCATATTTAGTACAAAAAAAAGAAAAAGAGAAAGATAGAAGAGATATCTATGCTTATGGGAAACTTAAAAATTGGCGAATTTGCACATTTTAAAAAATTCATTTCATTTGCTAGTGTGTCAGGTTTTCATATGTGAAATTAAACCACACAATATCAGGTGCATAGTGAAATACAAACGGACATTAGAAATAGTTGAGTCCGAAGCTCATCATTGAGGTAAACGGAGAGAAAGAAAAATAAAAATTAATAGCAAAATAGAGCGTATGTGTTTTGTTTTAAAGATCCGATTCTCCATAGAGCGCCGCCGAAAATATCTTATAGTCATATGCACCAGGTATGGCGCCGGGACCGACATAAGGTTTCATTCTTCGCAAACACCATTCGGCTTGTTCAATTGGTAATTCTCGTTTAAGTGCTTCTGCAGTAATAAAAGGCTAAATAAAAAGAAGAAAAAAAATATATATAGACACGATTAATCTAATGAATTAAATTTACTTGATCTCCGGCTAATGTTTTAAATGCAAGTGTTAACTGATCAACATTATCTTCTTCTGAGCATTCACGTGTCATGAAATCAAGAAACGATTCGAAGGTAACAAAACCTGTTTGTGTTGGATCAACATTTGCCATAATACGTTGAAAATCAACATCACCTTGTCGATCGTCACGAATATTGTAACCACAGGCTATTAAACATGCACGAAATTCTTTTGGATCAAGTCGTCCTATTCGAGAGAACAAAAAGAATATAATTAAAATTATTTGTAATCCACAACACTTTAAATCAGTTAACTTACGAGTACGACTCTTGTCAAAGTGTGCAAATGTAGCTCGAAATTCGTTCATTTGTTCTTCACCTATACCTTTCTTTTCTAATGTATAAATTTGATTTTTAATTTCAGCTATTTGTTTTGTTAAATGTGTAGTTAATTGTTCCCATGCAACACGAATAACTTCCATTGTGTAAGGTGTATGACGATTTTCGAATATCATACATTCTTGAATCTGTTGATTGTATTTTTCAAGTTCATCAATGTGTGGACGATATTGAAGAACAGAGTGTTCCATGCTTTCAAGTTTCTTTTGATGTTGTTCTAATGTACCCACTACTTGTACGGTTAATTGTTGAAGTTGTTCATGTTGACGTTCAAGCCATGGGCCAACAACATTTGCTTTTTGGGCAAATTGAACACGGAAGCGTTCGTTTTGTTGTTGTTTTATGAATTCTGTTTCTAAGTCTTGATCACGTTGTGGAACAAGTGCTTGAACATCATTCCATTTAGCTGATATTTCCTTTTGTATGAAATAGAATAGTATTAGATCGAAACGAAATGTTTTCAAATACAAATATGAATCTATCTCCGTAGCTCAGAGCCTATTGCATCAATCCGTGACTCGGCTTACTGTGTCATAATCGAAAAATAAGAGTCAATTACAGAGTATAAGTAATCGATAAAGCGCGTCTCGCATCGTTGAAACAAATGATAGACTGAAGCTTATAACAGCTGTTAGCGTAACTTCTGTGATTTTAAAAATATGAAAAACAATATAGTTGCTTTTGAATCTTCAACGAAAGGATAAACAAACTATCCATCGCAGGCTCTATCTCTGAAATCGTAATATATTTACTTACTTCAGGTTGAATATTTGAATAAGGATTAGATATAAATTCGAGACCGTTCTCTTGACAAGTTTGTCTTGCATCACTAACAAGACGTATAATATTTTTATATTCGGCACCTGCTTCACCTAATGTTGCTTTAAATTGATGATGAGCTTCAATTAATCCTAAAATAAAATGTTCACTCATGGTAAAAATTCTTAATGTTCCTAACGCTTTTTCCTACCGCGTATTTCATCAAGTGTATGTATGAAGAACATGTCGACTAAATCTTCCCGTGCTCCATCAAGCCAATTGACATATGGTGAAGCTTTCTTGGCATATTCCAAGAATAGACTATCAATACGTTCAACGATTCTTTCTGCGTCCGTTAATGCGACACGTCGTTTATGTGTTAAATCTCCTAGTTGATCCCATTCATTACAAATTTGTTGGCATCGTTGATTAACCATCGCGATTTGATCATAACCAAGAACATTTAATTCTTGTGCTATAGCAGCTATTTGTTCGACACGATCTTGATGTGCAGCAAGATCACTCTCGAATGCTAAATGTTTACGTGATAATGCACGAAGATCATTTAATGAACATCGTTTAAAATCAGATGATGTTAATAAATCGATCTTTCCATAAGACCATTCTTCGTGGATGTTACATTTATGTTGAAATTTTTTAGCCAAATGATCAAGACGTTCGAGGCTATTGTTAAAATTTTAAAGAAAAACATTCACATGAAAATCCTAGAAGAATATAAGATTCATACCGACGCAATTCACGTAATAACCAATCTTCAAAGCCTTTTTCTGCCAATTCAAGACCTTTCCAAGCATCGACAATATTCTAAGAAAGAAAAAAAGAAAATTTGGTAATTTTACAAGAATGAAAAAGTTCTGATTTTTCGTACAGCAATTAATTTGCCTTCTGTTGGTGTAAATGCAGGTCGATTGGATAGACGAAGACGTGTTTGTAATGTATTGAAATCTGTTTCGAGTTTAGCTTTTTGTGATAATCTCGGCGGTTTTTGCGAACGACAATAATCTCGAAATTCACCCAATTTAGCTTGTGTACCATGAAGTGTATTATCAGTAGCACGATTTTCTAACCATGGCTTCGTCTTTCTAATCCATTCAAGAAGATCCGATGCTAATCGTTCATATTCAGCCATCATTTGTTCATTTTCTTGATTAACACTCAATACTTTACAGATTCGACTAGCAGCTTGTTCAGCCTATTCATGAAAATTAAAAAGCAACAATATTTTTTTATTATGAAATTAAAAGCAAATCTTTAATTCATGCAAAATATAACCTTTCGTGTTGTAGAAAAGGCATGATAATATGATGATACATAAGTCATAACAACTTTTTCATCAGCTTTTATGCTATTATTGATTTCTACAAAAATACAACAGATATCAAATTCATGCAGGAAAAATTGTCGGGTTTCGGTTTAGACAGGCAAACGTTCATGCTCACTTCAAAATGCAAATAATCTTCAAAAAAAAACCTTATAGACGCCAGCAAATGCGTGGTAATAGGCGCTGACATAAGTCATAACAGATTTTTCGTCTGGTCTGACAGTATTGACCATATCTATTCAGTGATGGGTGATTTCTTCATGATGAATATTCTCAAACATTTGAAATACTTACCCTCGGCATCAAGCATTTTGGGAATATCCAAATGTTTTTCAGCAATATCAAAAGCAAGATTAAGATTTCCCAATGGATCATCCTAAAATTATCAGAAAAAATAAGATTCTAGTAGCTTTCCGACGAGGCGATTTAAACGAAAAAATTTTCACTTTTAAATAATGCTAATTTACGATAAAGACAATGTTTTTCTATCTTTTAGTTCTTTTTAAGGACATTCCGACTGTGCCCTTGTATTATATTAATGTAATTAGTATTTGGGATCTATTTATATAGGTCGAGCATCTTGTATATGCTTTAAGGTTCCATCCCCATCGTTGACAGCAATACCAGCAATCGGTAAACCTTATATTTTTCTTCGTAAGATTTTGAGAAATAATTGTCAATCTCCAATTACGACTGTATAAACATACTGCCCTCTTAGATTTTAGTGACAGATGATTGTGTATCGAATAGAAATTGATCAGGACTTACTTTTGTCAATTTGCTATAGTCGAGTAAATCAGGACGATGTCTATGAATAAGCGCACAAAAAGCGAGACCATCTTTGAAGCTAAGATAAAATATACATTTAAAATAAAATACGTTTTTGTTGTAATTAAGATTCGAAACCTGATATGAAAATTCTGAACATTAACATTTTTATATGGCGCTGTTTTACGTTGACACCATAATAATAAACCTTCTTTAGCCGACATTTCTATATCAAATAGATACCATAGAGATATGTTTCAATTGATTTCATTTCATAATTATTTTACCTTCAACAGAAATATCTTGAATAGCAAAACGTAAAATAATAGTCCAGATCATGCCGAGTGTCATTTTTAAATTTCCATCAACAATTTCTAATTAAAAAATGAAATGAAAATGTGATTTTTTCGAGAGGGAGAGAGAGAGATTTTTTCCTTAAATACCTTCAGCGCCAACCATTAATTTAACGCCTTTACTTGTGATGAAATCAAGGGCTTTGTTTACATTTGCAATTTTATGAAATCTAAAAACCAGCATGTATATTCAATATTAATTTATTCATGATTAAACATACCTCATACGTCCACGATCAGGTTTAATAAGTTGTTCATTTGAAATAACTTCCAAGAGAAGCATAAGTTTTAAACCATTTTGAAAATCTTCTTCAATATTTTCAATCGATGTACCAACTTTACGTAAATGGGAATTACACCAAGCTGTAAATGTCTAAAATAATGAAATCAATAAATAAACAATAAGAATTCTCATCAAACTCAATTACTTTCTTTTGTTGTCGCTCCCATGCGGGATCAAGTACGGCTTCTCGTTCCCATTCTTCCTCTGGTACCATATAATCATCAACTGGATATTGCTGTGGATATCCTCCATTGTATGATTGCTGCTGATATTGTGCACCATTGTGTCCATTTGCATCTTGATAATAATATGCACTCATAGTTTTGTTTTCTTTCTTTTGATTATACTTTTCTTTGAATAATTAATTATTTAACTGCAAACGTCAATCAACGAGTACATCTACAATTATAATTTACTCACGTTTGTTCATCATATAGTTTGGTAGTCATTTTATGAAATGAAATATCAGACACATAAGCCGGCAATGGTTAACAGAACAAGAAAGGAGAAGAAGAAAAATAATAATACGTTTGAAAACAAAGACAGATGGGAAGATGCCTGAAGTGAATATAGCAATACTATTCAGTAGTAGTTGAACATCGTCTATTCAAAAGTGTTAATTGTCTTGTTCATTCGAGCGAACGAACGAATGATTGACATAAATTGATGTACCTTTTTCTCGAAAAGAGAAAAAGAAAGAATCGCTAAGCTCTATCAAAATAAGTCAAAGAGGCGTATTCATAGTGATCAAGTTAAGTAGGTTAAGATACCAAATGAAGCATACAAAGTTAATTTGATTGACCGGTAACAAACATTAAGCAGTTGTGGTTGTTGTTCTTCTCTTGGAGTCTTTTTTTTCTTTCTGTATATCGTATTCGATCAATGCCATGGATAAAAAAACAATAAGTGACGATAAATAACTGCAGTGATAAAGCGAACAAGCCTAGAACTAATATTTCTTATATCTTATTTGTTGATCTCTCAGTATCATTGTGATTCGAAAGAAAAACAAGAAATAAAAATTAAATATATAAGAAATAAAAACTATTATTTTGACAAATGGTTTTTTTTCCCGACTAATAAAAAAGATAACAATAGTGGGAACGAACCTATTTTCAGTTCTGGTTATATCGCATGTTTGTTATTGACAAACAACTCCTTACGAATGAGACACAGAGAAGAAACAAGAGAAAGAGTAGCAAACCCAATCGACGACACATCGTTTCTTCCAAGAGAAAAAAAAACGGGAACATAGAGAGGAGTTAAGATGATCTTTGGTACTGACAGATGTTCGATCTATATGTATACTTGGTCTAGTAAGACGCATCGTCGTAATGCAACGCTTCCCTCCTTTAGACGGCAACGATAGACTTGTATACCTATATGTCTAGATGTCTGCTCATGTTATAAACTTTTCCTTCACTCGTCGCGTTGTTCTCTTTCGCTTATTATTTTCTTGCGAGGTTTCCTGTAGTACATATATGCATATATGCAACATCATTAGGAGAATAGGATTGATGCATGCAGGAGGGGGACACAGAGAAAGCAAAAAAATAACTCTGCATAAAACAAGCCACAATGATATATCGTCCATATATCTACAGAGAAGAGGTAAACGATCTCTATTTGACGATGTTTTCTCTCTTTTCTGTCTTTTGTTCGTTCGTGGCAATGCAATCTTTTACTATTATTATTATTATTGTGTTTTCTTATTCTTCTCTGTCTCTCTCTCTCTCTCTCTCTCTTTTTCTCCTCCTTAGTTTGTCCTAAACAGGACAAGTGACGACACAAGAGCAATACTCAATGACAGATTACCGCAATTCGACAATAGCAAAAAAATAGATGTAACATTTACGAATGAATCGATTAATCAAACAATAGATAAATCACAAATCAAATTGACGAATCAAGGATTGTTGCTATTTTCTCTGTGTCTTTGCTTTTCTTAAACACAGTGCCGCAGTAGTAGTAGTAGTAGCCGTTCGTTCATTCATTCTGCTATAGTCATTCATGATTTCTTTTCTTTATTGTTTAAACAGCGGTGGTGCCGTTTTCTGATTGGTATTTTTTACAAACCATTCTGATCGGAGAGTTGAATTCTTGTCTGTTGTCTATCATTCATTTGGAAAAACAATCAAGAACCTATGCTTTATAGTTTATTGTATGAAAAATCTAGATAAATCATGTTCAAATATAGTCAATAACACATAACTAAGAGAATCATTCTTCTTTTCTTTCCTATTTTAATACTCTTGTTGTAGTTTATTTTTAACTGTACATATATAGAAAAAGAAAGTTGCCATTGACTTTGATTCTGTTTCAGTATAAGTCATAGAATGCATTCTCGAGCTTATTTATTGATAAAACGTGACCTGTATTTACTTGATAACAATCCCGTTGACGGCATCGATATCGAACCTATTTCTGATGAAAATCTTTTTGATTTAACATTATTTCTCCGTCCAAGACAAGGTTCAATGTGGTTTGGTTCGATGTTTCGAATATTTTGTTCATTTTACGATACATTCAATGTTCAACCGCCAGTTCTTCAATTTGATCAAATGCACATTCCATATCATCCAAATGTTGATCCAATAACGGGCCGCGTTAATGTGGCAACAAGTGAAAAATGGAGTTCACGTTTCACATTACGATCGCTGCTTGACGATTTAGTAAATGCGTTTACGACGCCAGACGAAAAAGCTCTAATTAATTCTGACGCTATGCGTATGCTCAAATATCGTCCAAGTGATTATCAAGCTATAATACATGAATCAATAATAAAAAGTCAACATTTAATGGATTCAATCAATGAGGAAAAATCAAATCTTGGTCGTTCGCCAGGTCTTTTACCAAAAGGAAAAGAGGGTAAAAGTTAAAAAGAATTCTTGTATCGAAAAATTTCATTTATTCTTTTACAGCCAATCGAGCACGTTTACGGACACCGGGAATCGGTGCACGACGACAACGGAATAATCTATCATTTAATCAACGAGTTTCATTCGAAGATTATCTTAATACATGGAAAGGAATAGCAACATCGAAGCCGAATCCAAACGATGAAAATTCTCTACTTAGTTATTTAAGTTTACAACCAAAATTACAAGCTCAACATCTTGCATTAAATCCAAATGAACTTGGTACGATTGATACATGAATCGAATGGTTATAAACCTTTTTTTAATTTAATTTTTAGCTCGACAACTTGATGATCGAGCACTTCAATTTGAGAGACTTAAGTATGGTAGATTAACAAACGATGACAGTACTCGTAAGCTTGTTCAATTTTCGCAAATGAGTTTAGCTGAAAATAATCAACGACAACTTGTTGTTACAGAAGCGAATAGTCGCGTTGATGAGACGTCAAATTATGAAAATAGTTTTCGAACAAAAGAAGAACCGAATATTGTTCAAAGTGATGAAGTTGATGAACTTTTACAATGGACACAATGTTTGCCCGATGGCGATGAAATTACTGAGGAGAAATGATATTTTTCTATTGATTTAATTTAATTTCTTTCATGAAATCTCATTGTCTTTTTTCTTTATTTGATTGAAACATAAAAATTTCATTTATTTTACTTTTCGGAAATATTGTTTTTAGATTGACTTAGTTTTTAAAGAAATTCTATCGGCAGCATGGCAGCAAGTCAAGGTTCAGAATCACAAATCAATAGTAATAATTTATCAAACAATGAAAATCATGTAAGATGAGATCTTTTTGCTTCGGTATTAAATTCAGTGGCAGAATTTTATTCTTAATCATATACTTGCCATGCGTTGAAAGCGTGCAGAGATTATGTTAAAAGATAGAATTACCTTTGCGGTTCACCCATGTGTTTGACGAATAGTTCATAGAGACAAAAACAAGTTCAGATGGCCTATAAGTCGCAAAGAAAATGAAAATCAATAAACGTTCCTCTTCAAATTTCCAACGACATAACAATCGAAAAGAGTCGAAACTTTTACGTATCTATTTTCTTTAACATAGAACATGAACAATATTCCATTGTATGCTGAATCTAAATTGACACGCCAACAAGCAATTCATGAAATAGCTGATATTATCGTTAGGTCCAATATGAAACCGCAATCAGTTGAATGTACTTTTGAATTATTAAAAAAAATTCTACCATCCGATAATACATTGCCAACTACAATTGATGAACTTTTTCATGCAATGATGTCATGTAAATAAACAAAAATCTAGATATGCTCATAGTTTATTTCCTATTTCTTCAGCGGACAATGATTGGCGTTTAGCACAATATTTTATCAGACATAAAGGATATCGATCTTTATTATCAGCGACATCAAATGTATCCGATGATAATTCGCTATCGCAAGAAGAAGAAGAAGAATTCAATATTATAGCGCAACCATTATCTACACTTTTACCTTTGAATGACAATCATGCATCGTCGAATTCCGATGATGAAAATATTCTTACTCCCTACGAAAGATTACAACAATGTCTAGAGCCAAGTACGAGATTAGCAAGAGGTAATGTGAATATTTTGATTTGTAATTAATTGAGAGTTTCAACTCTAGATTTCAATCTCAATTTTGCAACGGAAATCCAACTTAATGTCAACAATGATAATATGACTTCATCTAGTCAACAATCGCAAATAGCATCTAGTATACATGCCGACCGGTTTCAACGAGCTTTAAGTGAAGTTTGTAGGAAAATATAGAATCTTCAGATTTCGATCATCTCCTAGTTCACTTTAGAGTTCATCAACAATATCTGATCGTTATCGGATCATGCAGGATGTGTTAAGAGCCTTTAACAATAATGACGATGAAACATCGTACGACTCGATGTCAAATGATAATGAAAAGCTGTGTTGTTTTGTAAAAGAATTCGTCTTTTGAAAATTTTTATTTATCAAGTATTGTTTTTATTGACTTTTAGGAGATCAATGGGCGTAATCTACTCAATGATAGTAAAGGGCGTCGATATTATTAGATGTGACGAATTAAAGTCGTTTTATTTCATAGAAGACTTCAGATATAATAATTAAAAAAAAAATTTTTTGTTCAGTTTTTTGTTCTTTTCTACATTACGTAACTATGGTTTTGTCATAGATTCAATATTCGATAAAAAAAACAATGTAAATAAACGGAACAAAGGAGGCTGTTACTGAAACAACAATCAACTTCGATGGTGGCAATAAAAGAAGGAGAAAAATTTCAATAAATGTACCTCGTGAAAGTATCATAATAGAACAAAATCATGTCATGCAAAAACTTCTATTCAATGATTTGACAAATATCATATGAAATTTTTTTTTTCTTCTATCAATATCTATCGTTTCCGGCAGTTGAGTATCTTTGATTTGTATATTTCATTAATCAGATATCAAACATTTTGATACGAACATTTGTTTTGGTTTTCAATCGGCAAAGTGACAGTCTTTCCAATGAGATTACAAATTGTTGACGTTACGTATTTTTGCAATGCTTTTTTTCTCTTTATTTTTATTTTAAATCAGTACCGTAGGAGCTTGTGTAAGATTGATTTAGTAATTTTTATTGATATATAATCGGCAATATTTATAACATGAATCGAATTAGCAACTAATGAAATAGAGATGTCACTGTGCTCGCTGCGGTCTATTTTTTCTACATCCGTTTATCGAAAGCCTTGAAAAATAGACTTTAGAGATAAACGCCCTGTGATCATCAGTCGGCAACGTCAATGTTGCTAAGGTGGTTTCAAATTAGAAGTCCTGTACTGTTTATATGATAGTTACAGCGTCGTTTTTACTAGAGTCGACTTCTTGTATCAAGTAGAATTGTTTATCTTCAAGAGTTTTCGAGTATTGCTGTTGTAAACTCAAAGCAGTATCACGCCATCTATGACCTATTTCTTCATTCAATAGCAAGAATAAACTAATCGTTGCTGCCCTTATTTTGTTCTGTTTCTATACAAAAAATTGCAGCTATGAAAATCAACTTACGCTAAGGGCGTGGTTCAAAATGCGATTTGGAATTATATAGAGTGGTGGTAAACAATGTACTAAAGACATTATAGATAATGGTTTATTCAAGGTATTTTTTTTTTGAATTATTGTAAACTCATAGCAATTTTTCTGCTAATATTACTAGTGGGAATAATAGTTTTCTGCAAATTAAATTTATTATTTTGATCGTAGGTTTTAGAATGCCAAAGTATGATAAATTGAAAATGTTGATCTTGTGAAAAACTGTCACACAAGTCTTTTTTCAGCTGCCAATATTGTGTACGTTCTTCATTATTTCAATTTCAGAAATATCATACCGCTTCGAAAACAATGGATACAGTCAAATCCATTTTGACAGCAATTACAAGTAGTGACCATGAGAATAATCCTTCAGTGCCTTCTAATGAGCAAATTCGTTATCGATTATGTCAAATTGACGAATTACAAAATGGGCAAATGAAAGAATTCGAAATAAAAACACCCGTGATTAATACAAGTGTTCTACTTATTAAACAAGATAATAAATTTCATGCTTACGCTAGTAAATGCTGTCACTATAAAGTACCATTAGCAAAAGGTTTGAATAAAACTTATTCGTTGTGTCGATTTATAAATCTAATAGTAAAATAGGCGTTTTAATTAATAATCGTCTTCGTTGTTTTGCACATGGCGCATGTTTTCGTGTCGATACTGGTGATATTGAGGATCATCCCGGTCATGGTAATTTGCCGAGTATGTTGATGTTAATTTATTTCTATTTGAAATCGTATAAATGCATTTTATTCTAATAGAATATAATGTTGAAATTGTTGACAATCACGTGATTTTGGTCGCACGTAAACAAGATCTTGAGAAATCCGAACGTTCAAAAATACCTGATGAATTTGAAGTGGAAGCAAAGCCAGTTGTCGCTATTATCGGTGCTGGAGCTGGTAAATATTATTCTATGAGAATTGCTTATTTTGTTTTTGAACCGAACTGTAGCATTACGTTGAGCTAGAAAAAGAAATGGCAATACATTGAAATGAATAATAGAGTTTCATCTATGTATCAAGGGTAAGCATGATTGTTTCACATGTGCATCTTCAATCGAACTATTAAACACTCCTAAACATTAAGTGTTACAGATAAAGTTAAAATAGTTAAATATTGTCAATTTTATTATCGGAAAACCAATACATTCTTCTCACGGATGAATTAAAGCAATCTATCTATGATTTCAGGAGGGTTCACATGCGCTGATATGCTTCGTCAAAATGGCTTTCGTGGTCGTATAGTTCTATTTACACGTGAAGGAACACTACCCTACGATCGTGTATGTTATTTAATCTCTTCAACTGAAATATAAAAATGAAGTAATTGAACGTATTTATAGGTTCAATTATCAAAACAACCATTAAAAAAACCACAAGATCTACTTCTTCGTGATCATCCTTACTTTAAAAAAGCTAAAATTGATTTAATGCTTGATACAAGTGTTACTAATATTAATTGGACTTTAAAAAATTTAACATATCAAACATTAGGTAAACAGATGAAGTCTGAACAGTATGATTATTTAGTATTAGCAACCGGTTTACGATCACGAAAATTACCAGCAAATATACCTGGTGGTGATCTTCGAAATATTTTCTATTTACGAACAATGGAAGATGCCAATAATCTTGTTAGTAAGTGTTGATAGAAAATAAAAAGAGAATAATCATTTGTTGTTTTTTGTTTGCTTTTGATTAAATAGATAAAGTAAAATCACCAGAAACAAAAAATATTGTTATTATTGGTGATTCATTTGTTGCCTTGGAAATGTGTGGATGGTTGACCACAGGTTTAGGTGGTCCTGATGGAAAACAAGAAGATGCCGATAAGAAAAATGTTTCAGTCGTGATGCTTTTAAAAGCTCCATTGATTCGTACGAAATAAAACAAAAGCTAATGTTTAAAATAAAGATTCTTTTTTTTATTTTAGGTGTTTTTGGTGAGAAAATTGCTTGTGCTGTACAAAAAGTTCATGAAAAAAATGGAGCAAAATTTTATTCCGAAGCTACCGTTACAGAATTGACAGTTAGTTTTTAGGCTTTTTTCGGATTGAATTGATTTATTTTGCATATTTAGGGTGAACATAGTGTGGTTAAATTTGTACAATTAGCAACAGGTGAATCTGTTCCATGTGATTTGGTTATTGTAGCCATTGGCAGTGAAACGTGTACTGAATTGCTTCAAGATTCACCTATTGAAATGACTCCAGATGACTTTATTAAAGTTAATGATCGGCTTGAAACATCGGTCGATCATGTTTTAGCTGTAGGTGACATTACTAAATATCCGTTGAGGATATTTAATTTAGATGAAGTCAATTGTCAACATTGGCAAATGGCATGTACAACGGGCCATCAAGCCGGTAAGATTTGATTCTACATGACTAAAAATATTCCTTTCCTATTGAATGAAATAGAAATTATATTTTTGTTACAAAGATTTTTTTTCCCCATTTCGTTATAATTTCTGTTTCTTTATTTCAATGAAAAATCTTCTTGTGAAATCATGTTTTTCATTTAGCTGATACTATTTTACGTCATTACCTTGGCCAAATCAAAGGTGGCTGTCGATCATCAAAAAACGATCTTTACACGACACCATTCTTTTGGACGACACAAAATAGTCAAACAACAATACGCTATACTGGTTACACGCGTGATGCCGAGAATGTTGTAATTCATGGTGATCTCGAGAATGAATTTAAATTCGTCGCCTATTATATTGTTGATGGTTATGTTCGAGCTGTAGCACAATCGAAATATGATCCAATAGCATGTGAAGTTGCTGAAGTATTCTATCATAAACGAAACATTCGCAAAGAAGATATTGAGCACGATGTATATGGTTATAGAAAATATCTTGATTTTAAAACAAAAAAACCGGAATAAAACATTATTCATTCGTTCTTATTTTTTTTATTTTTTTTATGTTGAACAGTTCAACTTTTTCTTCTTTTCTTTTCGCTTTCAATAGATCACTTTTCTAATAAAACTAAACCATTTAGTCTCTACAAACACGGCATCTTTTTTGTGTTTTGATAGATGGACAATCAATCTCAGATATTTCAAAAGTTTCGCTGTCTCAAATGTGAACGACGCTTAAATAAGCCTCTTGAACTACGATGTAATCATTTCATTTGTCGAGATTGTCTTGAAAGTAAAAGATGAACATCTATTTTATTTATTACTTTTAACTAAAAAAGTTTCTTTCTATTAAGCTGTTCTTCGAAATCATCGTACAGATGCGCAATGTCCGGCTTGTAGTCGTCCTTTGGGTGATTATCAAATAGAAAATTATACATATCTATCTCCAATTCATTATATTTCACGTCTTCTATCAACGTTCACTGATGTCAATGAATGCCATACATGTAAAGAATTTACAACAGTAAAATCGTGTTCGGAATGTTCGAAAGATCAATGTCATTCGTGTTCTGCTAAACATGAAGAAACACATTTACAAATTGAAGAACAGCCAAATGAAAATTTAGAGTTATCCAACGAAGAACTTGAAATACTTGAGCCAATCAAAAGTTATTTAAGTAAAAAAGAATTTGAAGATTTTATTCAAACAGCAAGAAATCATGTTGATCGTGCAATATTAAAACAAGATAAAACAATTGTCTATATTCCGCGTAATGGATCAACAGTGAGCGTTGAGAAAACTCCAATTTGGTCAGACCCAGAAATATATGATTGGTCTAAACATGAGCGATTTAGCGAATCCGATATAATTAATAGTAAACCAGAACGTGTCCGGCAATTACTTCGCCTTGATTTCAATCCTCGACCTTATCAAATACGAATGGCACGACCTGGATTAGCAGGAAAAAATTCAATTGTTTGTCTACAAACGGGTTCTGGGAAAACATTTGTAAGAGTTTTTTCTTCCCATTAACACTAAATAGGAGCAAACTTTGACATAAAACATTAAACAAAATGAGCCACTAATTCCTCTACTGTCGATTTTTATTAGATTGCTGCAATAGTGGCTAAATTTCTTCATATCCGATCACTTCAAAATGTGATTACTCCGTCGTCGAGTTCAACGAGTCGATTTAAAGCTGTTTTTCTTGTTCCAATCAAAGCTCTCGTTGCTCAACAATGTGCCGCATTCCGACAAGCTTTTATCGATCAACCTGATTCCATACTTAAACCGATCGACAATCAAGTTGGAGAACGGTAAATGACAACACGTTGAAAATAAATAAATAAACTATTTGATTTTATTTAGATTTAAAAATCTCTATCAACAATTCGATATTTTCTTCTTCACAGTACAAAAATTTGCGAATTTTCTCGAAGGAAAACATGCTGATCTAACAAAATTTGATTTAGTTATCATCGACGGTAAGTTATTAAATACGGAAAAAAATAAAATCTATTTGTCTTATTCAAGAATGCCATCATTGCTATGATAATCATCCGATAAATTCTATGATGCGTCAATATCATCGCTTAAAATTATCCGGTTATACAGTACCACCAATCATTGCTTTGTAAAAAAACAAAAAACATAAGAGAAAATTTCATTTTTCAGCTTTCGCAAAATTTTTCCTTTGGTTTTCTAGAACAGCAAGTGTTGGAACAAATAAAAAAAATGCATTTGATCATCTTGTTCATGTATGTGCTAATTTGGATTGTCTTGAAATATGTGCCATTGGAAAAGGTGTCGAAGAAGATGAGCTTCGCAATTCAACGAATACTCCATTGAGTGATACAATATTAAGTGTGCCCAAAGAAATATCAGATCCAATTGTTAAAGCACTTAAAGATGATGTTATGAAAGCAATTGCTAGTCGTCTAGGATATGATATATCTATGATGGACAATCAAAAATTAGAAACTTTTCTTGCTGTTGAACATGACAATGCATGTAAAAAGAATGATCGAGATGCAATTATTGGTTGTGATTATCTAAAAAAGTTTCATGTGAGCAAAACGAGTCGTTGTTGTTTCCTTTGTTGGTTTCAATTTTCGTATTTTTAGCGTTTTCTTATCTATTATGATGATTTACCACTGGTTGAATGCATACAATGGTTGATAGAAGGCTTAAAAGAATCTACAGCTGGTAATCCTACACAGTTTGATAAGTTTTGTCGAATAAAATCAGACGAATTTCTAAAATTTGTTACCATACAAATATCGAATTCCATCGAAGTCAAAGCTAAACTAAAAAAACTTGTCGAAATGATTATTTATTTGCATACGGGCAATTGTAGAGGTAATACAATACAGCTCTATTTCGAACGATCATTTGATATACAATAAAAAAAATTCTATCTAATAGGTTTGGTACTTGTACGTACAAAATTTCATGCAGTGTCACTTGAAACATTTCTTAATAAGCACTCCGACTTAAAAAAACGTCAAATCTTCGCGGGACACTTGACTGGCCAAGGTTCTGCAGAAGAACTTTCACTGCCAGGAAATCAACAAAGTAAAGTTCTTGACGAATTTCGAAAAGGTAACCTTTTCTCTTTTGAAATCATATTCTTTATTTATGTATTGGCTGTTTAGGAACAAAACAATTACTTGTGGCAACAGGTAAATGAATAGAATTCTATTGAAACAAATATAAGTAAGTTCTATTCATAATTCTAGATGTTGCTCAAGAAGGCTTAGATGTTGCTGAATGTTCCTATGTAATTCGTTATGAATTCGTATCGAATGAAATTGGTACAGTTCAAAGTCGCGGACGAGCTCGAGCGTCTCAAAGTAAATGTTTTCTCATCACAGAAGCATGTAAGTTTATTGGTGTATTCGTTCATTAATTGACGTCTTATCATTATAAAGTGTCCTTAAATTATCAACGTGAAACAGACAATCGACTAAAAGAAGAAGACATGAAGCAAGCAATAACGGAATGGCGTGAGAAAGGCATTCAAGAATTTCGAACGCTTGTACAAAAAGAACAAGTATAATTAGTTAGCTCTTTTTTTTTATATAAAATCACTAACTTTTCCTGTTGTCCACAGACTGATTTATTAAAGAATTTATCTACAAATGGTCCGCAACCTACAGCATTAGGAGCTGCACAACCGAATAAAGAAACGGCAAAAACTATTCATTGTCGTTTCTGTGATACATTTCTTTGCAGAGGTTCGAGTCTAAGACTTCAAGGTACAACAATTGTTTGTTTGGATCCAGCATTTGAAAAACTTGTCAATCCACCGAAATCAGCAGGAGGTAATTCAAAATACTATAATGCAGATGTTTATGATTATATTATTTGTTTTCCAAGAAAAAGTTGTCTGTCCAAATAGAACATGTCACAGAGAACTCGGTGCAGTTATTTTACTCTCACGTAATGCACCAGGATATGCATTACAAATATCGTCATTGAAATTTTTCATTGGTAATGAAATGCTTCCGCGTCTTTTTAAAAAATGGAGTCAATATCAAGGCTATATGCAGCCATTGTGATTTTGTTTTTGTGTGTTTACTCAGTTCAATTGGGACAGTAAACCAGAAGCTCAGTCAAAATTTTATTTTTAATTATAGAAATAAATATTTTTTTAAAATAAACTGTGTTTCTTATATTACTGAAAAGTTAATTTAATGATGATGTTTTTTTTTTTTATAATATCCCTAGTCTAACCTTTTTTTTTGCAAGCGCATGCAATTCTTCACTTTCTTGATCAACAAAGTCAAGAACTATGGTCACATCTTGAGGAAAGACATGAGGTCTTTCGGTGAGCTCAAGTTCTTAAACTTCTTGCTTATGCACTTAAATTTTTATCTAAGCGTTTATGTTATTAAAGAACTTTTCAATTTTACCTTCAAAATAACTCAACTTGTAATAACAATGTATAGTTGCATTTTTTTGTAACTCATGCAAATATTCAAACGCTTGTCCTGAGCAAGAAAGTCATGCACTAGGGTACTTTCAATATGTTTTGCTTGTTTTGAAATGTATGTTGTTTTTTTTGAAAATTGCTTTTAGAAGTATGACTTACGAGCTAAATGCATTCCTTTAGGTCATGAGTACAGATAACAACGATTTAAAATATATGTGAATAGCATACTAACATAGTCAAATGACGCGTAATTCAAGATAAAAAAAATGAATGAACGAACGAACGAATGAAATATGATTAATATCCATTTACGAGTTGTTTATCATACACACTGGAGAAAACGATATATTCTTTTCCTGACTAGCTTCAAGTTCAACAAAGGTTCAAGTAAGCTTGCATAAATATTATTCTTCATTCTCATTAGTTGAAGAAATTAATCATTATATAGCGATTATAATATTTATATAGCACTGATTCATACTGTTGGCAATAGCTTGTCGGCTTTCGTTCTTAAGAAAATAAGTGCGAAGAAGTCGATGTTATTAATGAATCAATACCAATTTGCCAGCATATTAAGACGAGTCTATTAAAATCAGCATCGTCACTGAAAATAGTATAGTTTATCTCTACTGAAGAGTGACCTCTATCGTACAAATTATAAGATCATTCTAAAACGTTTAAAGTGTTTTCACTATCATTTATTTAGTTAACAATATTGTTATCAATATTTAACTGTTCTATATATCTTGAAATGGCTACAAACTATCTTCCAAATCTTATCGAAGGTAAAATATCCATCTCATGGCGGTCAACTACATAAAGAACGTAAGAAGAGTACACGTTATGTTTCTATTGCTATGCTGATTATTTACAATTTTTAGGTCATTGTTTATTATACATTATTCGCGTGTATTTTATAAAAGTACATCGTCGCGCGTGGTTGCCGTCGCTATCATCCCTTTTGTCAATTGTTCATAGTGTACATAGGCCTTGTCTATCTATTCCCTTTTCGTGTCTTGAATTTATTTCGACGTTTTGTACCTATGTAAAAAAAACAAAAACAAAAAGTGACCAATCTATCTTCATCAATTTATACGAGCGAATTGTGGTTAATTATTTTGAACATTTTTGTATCTCTGGTCAATTAATTTCTTTTTGTTTCATACTTTCTACATATTAAATACGGTAGGTAAAATTCGAATAATTAGAAGAAAAAAAAATATCTATTTATTACATATAGTTAATAATATACGACACATAATATGTGGTCATCACAAAGTAATACAGACTATAATGCCAACGGTAACGAGAAAAAAATATAGGAGTGTTTGAATTCATTATTTATTTTTCTCTATTTTTCAGAGCGTTCAGCTCATTCTATTTCACAACCAATTAATATGCCGAATCGATCATCGGATATAACATCAGGCTATACTGATCCACATAGTGCTGTTTTTTCACCAAAATCAACGGATCCAGCAAATCTCGGTGTTAATATGTGTATTAATATACTAGAAGGTGATAATTCTCCACGTGTAAAAGATAATACAATTAAAGATGTTTCACAACGTTTACAAAACATGAAAATTTATGTAAGTAAACAGTTTTCACTTTGTTATCATCTGCACACAAAAAAAGACTTCAGTAATTTATCGAGTAAAGACGATTTGTTTCGCAATGCTTCGTTTATATTCTTTCGACTACATGTTACATAAATTTTAGCGTCCTTGATTATTCATTTGGGGAATAAAAAAAAGCAAAGTTTAGGACGTTTCTTAGTATCGATCTACTTCCGTTGAAAAATGTCGTGAGAACTGACAAAGGTCTCATCTTGTTAAGAATAGGTTATAGTTTTAAATCAAAATAAATTTTTGTTACACATTCGTTATTTGAGTTTCGATTACATTGAAACCGTACGAGTGACTTTTTTCAGGCGATTATATAATCGGTTTGCAAATATATCACTCAATAATTGATTTTGTGTACATTCCACAGAAACAAGAGTGACTTGATTATAGTCTATGATCTTTCGTGCATCCATAAAAAATATAGGGTCGACCTATTCATCGGTTTTGTATTTATAGGTGATAGAATCACATTATATCTTTTTCCCTTCTTCCAATATTATGCAACTACTTATTTTAGTAATCTATCACGCGCTTATTCTAACTTGACATTCTTTTTCCGTGACGCTACATAATTTAAAACTAGCTTATATTTGATAAATATCATGATTTTCCTTCGAGTAAAAAGCTAACGAAGAGAATGGTTCATTTGACTCAAACCAAACACTACCGTTAGAACAAAATATTTAAATTCCTATGATGTTTAATGGCTTCTCGTGTTGCATACATCTTTCACAAGAGTTATATAGTAGCTGTTTGTTTTGAATAAATATTTGACGATAACAATGTGTTCGTTAGCATTAGAAAAAGTTTTTGTTTTAAAAATAACTATTTCCTCCCATGTCTCAATGATAGTTTCGAATGAAGTATCTATTTTTTTAGTAGTCATTCTAGTGATGTATTGGCAAATAAAAATTGGTTAGACATCATACGAGAAAATAAAATTGCTTTTATTCATCTTATGTGAAGTACTCTTCGCTGCCATATACTCACATTTCATAGTGAAAATTTCATCTTAACATAACCGCGTAGTAGTTTGCAAAAAAAGTGATTGTATAACTTTTGAAAGGATAAACAAATCCAGCCTGTAACTGTAATGCTCGGACAAATGTCGAACCTCCTTATTAAGAGAAGAAACTTGAAAAGTATTGATCACATGATTTGAAGAATTTCAAGTGCATAAGAGGAAACATTTGCAAATGATGGATAATGGACCAGTCATCTTTCGAGAGTGTCCATAAAGCTCGTTTACCTTGATCGTAAAGCTAACAATTGCTAATAGAACATATGCAATAAGGAAATATCGAACCCAATTGCTCTAGAAAGCAAATATTCACGTTTTACTCCAATATCTACTATCTATTTAGACTGACAGTGATAATGATAAAAAATCAAATGATTATCATGTTGACGATCGTAAATCTGACGAAACAGTTGGTGATAATGTATTAAAAAGTTCGGTTCATAAGCCATCACCACGTTCATCACCTGGCCATATAAATACAAATTTAACCAATGGCACTACCATTGAAAATCTTTCATCAACAAATACAATGGGTTCAAATGATGATAATCACGATGGCGGCTTACAATCAACCCATCAAATGATCAATGGTCTACAAACATCATCTTTACCAATACCATTTCAACAAATGCAGGCAGACAATCATCAACAGCAAATGTTACTTTATCAACAGCAACAACAAGAAGCGTAATTAAATTTAAAATGAAATTATTGGCAAAGATTATTTTTGTTTTTTGCTTTTAGCTATCAAGCACAATATCCAAGAATGCAACAACAACAACAACAACAACAACAACAAACAGCTCACTATGAAATTGATCCACGTACAAATAATTTTCAACCATTTGATTATACATTAATTCAACCTCATTCGTATGCTAAATCGTTGTTGGATTTTTTTTTCATCTAAAACTTTCTTGTTGTTTTCTTTTCTGACAGATTTGAAAGTCAATCTATCATATCAGCTTTCAATCCTCAAGCATCAGGCACATCACAACAAGATGCTCAATTGGCTGGCTTAACTCAAACACCATTGATGTCATGGCTCTCATCTGCCGTAGCTGCACAACAGTCATCAGCCAATCAACAAGCATCATATTTACCATCATCAAATCAATATATTATCAATAGTAATCAAGATAACTATCTACAATCGTTGGCTAATTTTCATCAATCATCAGCCACGCATCCATCATTTCAACCTCAATATTGGTCAGCAGTACCAACTGCTGTTATGTTCCCAGCACCACCACCGCAAACTATCTTAACACAACAGCAACAATTAAATAATGAACAACAATCTCCACAATCGAAAGCTAATAATAACAATAATACTAATCGACCAATGACGCCGCCAAATTCAACCGATCTATTAAATGCATCTCAATCAAATCAACAACAAACACAATATATCAACATGTCACGTGCTGCACAAACACCAGGTAATAAATCAATAGGTTAGATTGTAATGAAAATGAAATTGTTCATGTTTTTTTTCTTCTAGTTAACTTTCCGTTTTATGCGGCTGCATCGCCAACATTTCTGGATCCTAACTTGATGATGCAAACATCAAGACAGCCAGCTGGCTCACCAGGACTTCGTATGTATCCACAACAAGTACCAATACCAAGTAAATTTTGTTTTTCTTTGAAAAACTCCGCTATTCATATAAACTTAATATTTTCTCTTAGTTAATACAAATAATCAAGGTGGACTTTATGGTAGTCCAGTTGCAAGTTCACTTTCAAGTTCATTCAATGGTATGTGAGACACTAATCAATAGAATAGGAAATTCGATTCGAAATATGATAAAAATTCATTTGAGATAAGATCAAACAATTATTGTCTTTTAATAATTTACTACCAAGGAATTGGTGAATGTAAGATTTTTTTCATGGTCGACATAGATGATGATGCTTCTCAATAGATTAGAGTTCATTGCCAATACTCAATCAGTCTATTGAATTTGTTTTCTCATCATAGATGTTTATACAGTTCCAACACAACGGCGTGATGGTCAAATGGCTGATTTCTCTCGATATCCTGGCGATCCTCGTTTATCTAAACAAGGTCAACAACAGCAGCAACAACAACAACAACAACAAGCGCCTTTATTTCATGGTCAAATCAGTGGTTTACCACCATCGCCTGCCTATAATGGTTTAATTCCTTCTATGACACCTCCACCAACATCAAATGCAGCTACATTTGATGGACTTTTTAATACCCGATTTTTTCCACCACAAGGACAACAAACAACTGGATCACAACAACCAATGCTTAATGGTAATGATATGTATGTTGGCCGTCGTAGTGTTGGTAGTATCAGTGGCGCCATGCCAAGTTTCTATCCTCCAAATGTATTTGGTAATAATGGAAATAATACTAATACTAATAATTTGAATAGTAATGGTAATGGTGCTGGTCGGGATTCGAATATGATTCGTAGCAAACTATTAGATGATTTTCGTAATAGTCGTATGCCAAATTTACAATTACGTGATGTTATTGGTCATTTTGCTGAATTTTCAATGGACCAACACGGTTCAAGATTTATTCAACAAAAACTTGAACGTGCAACCAATGCTGAAAAGGATTTAGTTTTTAAAGAAATTCTTCCTAATGCAGCACAGCTTATGACTGATGTTTTTGGAAATTATGTTATTCAAGTAAACCATAGTTTTATTTATTTTTCACGTTTTTTCTTCAAAATTTCGTCTTTTTAGAAATTTTTTGAATTCGGCACAACAGAACATAAAGGTTATTTAGCTCAACGTATACGCGGTAATGTATTAACACTTGCATTGCAAATGTACGGTTGTCGTGTTATACAAAAAGCTGTTGAGACATTACCAGTCGAATATCAAGTGCCAATATCACGTGAATTAGAAGGTAATATTATTAAATGTATTGAAGATCAAAATGGAAATCATGTTATACAAAAATGTATTGAATGTTGCTCAACTGAAGGCATTGAATTTATTATACGTGATGTAACAAGACAAGTATATACATTATCAACACATCCATATGGTTGTCGTGTTATACAACGTATACTTGAAAACTGTAAAGAAATACAATCACGACCAATACTTGATATATTACATAATGAATTAGAAAATCTTGTACAAGACCAATATGGTAAGAGATTTCTTTTGTACAGCAACAGAAGTACTATGAAATATTACGCATCAATCAGAAAAATACTCTTCCTATTACATCAATATCCGTTAGTTGGTGGAGTCGAAGACCGTTTTTTCCGGAACGACATCACCCCTACACTGGTTAAAACACTGATTGAGTGTGATTATGTTTGTTTACGTTCACACCCAAATAACATAGTACTGAAGAAAACAGGATCAGCGCTGAATTACATGAACGATACATGAGATGAATAAATATATATATATGTATGTTTCTTTGTTTGAAATAGGTAATTATGTTATTCAACATGTATTAGAGCATGGAAAAGTTGAAGATCGCACTAGAATCATTACTGCAATTAGTGGTCGTGTACTTCAATTATCACAGCATAAATTTGCAAGGTGTGCTAATGAGCTAAATTTGTAGATTCAAGTTTTAAAGTTCTTTGTGTTTTAGTAATGTTGTGGAAAAATGTGTAACCTATGCAACTAGAGATGAAAAAAGACAACTTATTGATGAAGTAGTTTCATTTGGGGATGGGTAAATAAAAGTTTCACTTCATATCGATGACAAAAAAAATATTGTTTTCATTTTTTTAGACCGAATTGTGCTTTGTTAATAATGATGAAGGATCAATTTGCCAATTATGTTGTACAAAAAGTGAGTTATTTATAGAGAAAAAAACAATGCAAAGAGCAATCGTATAAAACACAGTTCAGAAAATCTTTACAAATGACTTCAGGCGTCAGAAATACCTTTTAAAAACAACTATCTATTTCCTTCCGACGGCGGCCTGTAAAATCTGTGGCAAACATGTTCAGCAACAATGTCGTTTTAGCGCTAACGGCACTTACTAAAACATTATGAAAGTTACGCATTCATTGGCAGCGGATATATTTTTAAAGTTTTTACCGCTGTTCGATTGACACGTTCATTTGAAAAGTATCAGGTACTTCGTAAATGTCTTTAAGTTCATATCAAATGAATTCCAATCGATGAAACACGATCAGAAATTTACTTCAATAGAAAGTGCAAATATCGTTTTATCCCCATAAAATCATGCGTTAATTAAAACTTTTCTCTTAGTCATTATTTAGAACGGTGGATGTTTATAGGAAAAAATTACAGCATTAATTTAAGCATTTTCTCAATTTCTACGTAAAAGCGGCTTCTAATATAAGCTTGGCTTTTTGTGAAACTTTTAATTTGTATCCAACCGTCGACTTCGCCTTCGTTTCTATGCAAGAAAAAACACAAAACATCGATTTTCTTTTGCAAGCCTTGTAGATCTCAGCTAGTAAATTAAAAACTCTAGAAAAAATTTTAATCGACATACCAATGAACCATTTATCGAGGTATTATTTAGTATCGATATTATTTGAATGTCAGAGAGACAATAGTTATTGACTCATTGCACTAGATGCTGGCCAAAGTGCAACAATGTTATTTCGATGATAAGACTGTGTTGATGAAAGATAAGAATATAATTTGTCTTTTTTTCACAGACAATTTCATGATCATATATGAAATTTAATCAATAAAACGATGGCTAAAGAGTTATCTTTGATGTGCATATCAAATTTTCGTAGAGTTCTATTTCAAAATCGAGAATCACTTATTCTATATCTGGTTGATATTTTCTTTTATAGTCATGAATATTTATATGTGTGCAATGAATAGAACTATTATCTCAGGAAATGTATATGTTGATCGAACTGTAAGAATAAATAAGGCCAATGCCGTTTTTCATGCGATAATTATAAATGCAGATTAATAGAAATTCCTTATTTTTCTATTGTCCTAAGAGATTTAAAAAATATATATCGAGATTGGATCAGTTGATTGTAGTAATGTCGAAAAAGGATCGATATTCTCGATAGAATTATCCGAGTTTTTATTAGTCTAGGATAAATAGAACAAGGGAGTTTTGGTTGAAAGTAATTACTTCCTTATTCAAAAACTAATTAGATTTGTAACAGAAAAGTAAGCGTACGAAGTTATAAAATATTGATAAGTTTACACGTACCGTATGGTTCTTTTTGTTTTGTATAAATTTCTCTTTCTCTGGAAAAAATCTACGAAAATTTGCTGTATATCGGTCTACAAAGGATATTATGTCTGATACTTTTGAAAGGTTATTTTACTCTAAATGCTCACTCTATCGTTGTTATGAAACAATAAAATCCTCCCGGCAATTTTCCTTTTAAACCTAATCGAGATAAAACCAGCACGTTTTTATCCTATAGAAAGCCAAAATTCCATTTCTAAGGAATCTACTATTAATAGCGCATCTCAAAAGATAAGAATTACTGACATGAAATCATTCACCACTATGAATGGAATTGCTCATGTCGTAACAATAATTTTTTTTTCTTTTGGTAAGTATATTCATGCTATTTCCCGACACATTCTAATCAATGTCTTTGTTTTTCAATTCGCTGAATAAGAAAAATAATGTACTCATTCGCAATAAAAGGCATTGTATTAGGGTAATATTTTAATTTCAATAGGATTTTCTTCTGTGAAAAATAATTTGCCATTTTTTTTGTCTAAAAATAGAGATCTGTTCAAATCTAGCAAAAACCATACTTACAATTCGAGATTAAAAAGGAAAAGATTCATTAGGTACAATTAATTATAATTTTCTTTTTTGCAATTAGATGATTGATGTCGCTGACCCTGCTCAACGAAAAGTCCTATTAACAAAAGTTCGTCCACATATACAATCACTTCGTAAATTTACCTATGGAAAACATATAATAACAAAACTTGAAAAATATTTAAGTAAAAGCTCGGATTTGGGTCCTATGTTAACGCCATCAACGTCAAACTCAAATGGCTTATCACATTATGACAACTAACATAATATTTTGTTTGATTTTTGTTTTTCTCTTGTTCTCTCTATTATTCTATAGTTAGATGATTTTGTTTGTTTGTTCATTTAGTGTGTGCTTTCTTTTTTTTTGCAGTGTGACAGTGGTCGCTGTCAAAACTCTGTTTTTTTCTGTTGTGTATATGTATATATACATATATCTACTTTGAAAAACAGCCTGGCTAAGGCGATGTGTTTTAGTCTTGCCTAGCCGAATACTGTATTCATCATTATCATCATCATAAGAGATTCTTGTTATATTTTGATTTCTTCTTTTGTTGGCTTATTTGTTTGGTTGTTTTTGCTCAAAAAGGAAAAAGAAAACGGTTCATTATTATGTACAGCTTCTTGTTTATCATCTGTAATTGATGCGTTCATGTTATAAATATCTCTGTGTATGTTTTGTGTGTAATTCATATATTGTAAAGAAGTTTTTGTATGAAATGTGACACACTTCCTTATCATGGAAAGAAAAAAAAAGAAAAGTGAATTTATACTAGAACGGTGAAGAGAAAAGGGAAAACATTGAAATAGTTTCAGTGATCGATGCATACATAATTTTTTTTTTCATCTTTATTATTAAATGCTACCTCCCTTTTTTGCGTCTCAGGAGAATGTGTATAAATATCGCACATTTCGCTATTATACACATACGGTTTTTTTGTCTCTGCTCTACATGGTCTTTTTTGTATCCACGAACGATTTTGTTTTGTTTTTCCTTTGTCGTTCGTTTCTTTTTTGTTTTTTTTTGTCAAACTTCAATCTATTTAACTTGATCTGGTTCTTTATCTATGTAGTGAACGGCCTGATTTTCTTTTTGTTTTTTTTGTTTCTTTCATAAAGTCTCAGTTTTCTTTTCTCTCGCTCTCTCTCTTTTTTTTGCTCTTTTTCTCTATTCATCTGTTCGCATCACTCATCGTCATGTACTACTAACGAAAAATAAATAGACAGAAAAAATGAAGAAAAATTTCTCTCGTGATTAACAATTGACAGACAGTAAAACTATATATAGAGATAAATATTCATTTTGTTTGACAGGACTTAAGAAACTCAATGTTGACGTAGAATATTTTAGTTGCTTGACTATGAACTGATTTTTTACTTAGAATATATTGCTGTTCTTTTTTATTATTAATTAACGTAAGTGGTGATTAAAAGATGCAGACCGGCGACAGTTGAGTAGACCGAGTGACAAAGAGTATTCTGTTTAAAAACGGATGCGCCATAATTTTCTTTGCAGTTATCTATCTTGCTTGTGTGTTAATGCAAATAAAGGTCATTCTTTTTATTTCTTTAGATGACTACGCTTTATAAATAATGTTATACTCTGGTTGATAATCAAATCTTGCAATTCTATCGTGTGATATAAAATCGAAGACAATACAATAGACATTAAAATGTATCCGCAACAATATCCGCAAATATCCCAAGCTCCACCACCGTATCAAAACAACATGCAAGGTAATGAACCGTCCGTTGATTATTTTCGACCTTCCGAAGAACGTATGGCAGATTTTCAACAACTTGTTGCTCGTTATGAAAGTGAGTTTAATTATAATATATAAGAAAATTTTGCAACAGCAAAAAAAAATTTATTTTTCTTTCAAGTTAACCATACGTTTGCAACTAAATTACGTGTTCTTGAAGGCTACGAAATAGTATTTATCTGTGATGATTCAGGATCCATGAATACTCCGCTTGGTAATTTAATTTTAATCGTCTAATATATTTTTAGTTAATTAAATTATTGAATATCTTTTTAGGCGATCTTTCTGGTCCTTTTGACAAACTTCCATCTCGATGTATGATGAAATCGATCAATATTTGAATATTAATTCTATGTTTATAGGGGATGAATTAAAACAAACCGTATCGATTGTTGTCGATCTAGCGAGTGTTTTTGATCCGGACGGCGTTGATATTTATTTTCTTAATCGGGAACCAATGTTTCATGTTCGTAATTCACAACAATTAATTCCTATTTTTGCTGTGCCACCAGCTGGTATGTTTAATAATCCTTCAATGTTTTCTTTTCTATTTAAGCAGTGCTTTTTTTAATTTAATTTTAAAAGGTCCAACCCCTATCGTGCCCGTTTTTCGACGTGTACTTCGTGATAAACAAAATGAAATAGCAGAACGCAAACTACTGATACTTCTAGCAACTGATGGTGTACCAACAGATAATCAAGGTCATCGCGATATTCGTTCTTTTGAATATGTTCTTGCACATGAACGTAAACCGAGCAATCGTATTCCGGTAACAATTATTGCTTGTACCGGTATACGAAAACAAACCTTTTAAATCTATGATTAGATTTATTAGTATTATTTTTTTCTATGATAGATGATGATGATTGTATTGGATACTTGAATGACTGGGATAGAAAAATTCCTAATCTCGATGTTGTCGATGATTATAGAAATGAGAAAAAAGAAATACAAGCTCGGCAGGGAAAAAATTTTCCCTTTAGCTTTGGTGATGTATGTTAACTGCTTAAAAATAATCCTATTAAAAAGAGTTTCTATTTGATTGAATTTCTATTTTTATATTTAAGTATGTTGTGAAAATTTTGATGGGTGGTGTGGATAGTTGGTTTGATGATTTAGATGAAAAAAAAGTTTCAACCGATGGTTATGGGCGACCAAGCAAAGATTCTGCCCGCAAACGAAAAAAGCTTCCTTGTACTATCCTGTAATAATGTGTTTATCATAATGAATTGTTTTTCTTACAATTATTGAGCCAATGGCTTTATCTTAGATAAAAATGTTTTCGTTGAAAAGTTTTTTGAGTGAATTAATTTTTTTGTACCTTTAGAAAACTAAATTTGATGACTTTCTATAGATAATACTTAATGAATTGATCAGATCAAATATGTGACTCTTTATTTATAGATTCGTTTTTCACTTGACAATTATTTTCTTTTTTTATTAACGAATCTAAATGCTTGAACAACATCTAAACGTGAATGATGTATATACCTTGAATGAATTTTCTTAGAAAAACAATATTAACTATGATATCTCACTCATGGTAGATATAAATATCTGAATGACAAAATATGTATGAAGCCTTCTTTTGTAAAATTTCTTTGAAATAAACTTTTTTACTATGGAAAGACCGAATTAATAGGTCGTACACGTTGTATTTTCTTGTCTGTTTTTTGTTGTTGCATTTACGTCAGAAAATAAGAAAAAGAACGGAGGTACGAAATGATTATTGTGGTCGTAATCAAGATATAGTTTCCCGCTTGTTTTCTCTTGCAGTTTTAGTTTTCATGTCTCTCATCGTTGTGATGACGCCAGCAAGGAGACAATCATTGAAAGGCCGACGTCAATTGTGACTCAATAACTGCGTTTTTCTTTATTCATGATGGTTTAATATTGCATAACAAAGATGTATACATATATACATATATATATATATTTCTAGATTCGTTTCTTTCTGTTTTTCGTTCGAACGAAATTTTTATCTCTGACGTCAGATAGAAATATCACAGTGAGAACAACAAAAAGGAGAAAAATATTTCATATTACTTTTCATCGTTTAGAAATCCTAATGGTAATCAAACATGTATCCACAACAACTTTCTGAAATTGCATCTTCACCGCCACCACCACCATATTCAAATCAAACTGGCTTTAATTCATTACAGCCAACAAGTGGTCCAGTCAGTAGTGAGGAGCGTTTAAGAAAATTTCAATATTTAGTCAATCGATATGAAATCAATCGAGACTTTGCAACACGACTGCGAGCATTGGAAGGATATGAAATAGTATTTATTGTTGATGGTAAGTCGCAATAGGATAATGATATCTCGGAGTACTTAACGGTTAGGAGATTTAAATAAAAAGACAAATTATTAAACTATTCCAATATTAACAAAAACAATGTTTCCTACTTTAAATAATTTCCTATTCTATTCTCATGAGAGTAAGCAGCCTAATGTATCGGGACAAGCAATAATAGTACAAAAGAACTCTTCCGTTTATTAGATATGTGTAGCTCAAGAAATTTCGGCAACATCCTGATTTAAAAATCTTTCTTATCAGCCCTGACGGAAAATAAAACAATTTTATTATCGATATTAGTATCAATTGGAGTAATATGAACGAATGATTTTCGAAAAAAACCTTTTCTCACTGAAAAAAGATCCTAAGTTAAATATTGACCAACAGATTACGTTCGTATGTCAATACTAGGCTGTAAAACAGAAAAGAAAATAGTTTCTTCACAAATAAAATATTCACGTAGTTTAGGAAATTAATATAGGGCAAAATCTAAAATAGTTGACTGTGGAGTTTTTCAGAATTTAAAAAATTTCATGAAACTTCCTCACTCTATTCTTTTGGCCACACGTTTCTCTATAAAAAAAAGAAGGCATTTTATACTGGTAAAATTGATAAGACTCTTTAAAAATCTCAAATAGGGCACTCATCTCAACAGGGCCGTTTTATAAGAGCAATTGAGAAAAAACCTTTTTTTCTTGAAAGTTTTCCTGTTGCTCAGAAAATATTTTACTTTGTATTCGTATTCAACATAGCACATCTTAAGATGATAATATTTGTCGTTAAGATGTTTGTTCCTACAAAGAATTTTCATGAATACATTACTATGATGCACTCTTCGACTTTTATTTGTGTAGTCTCAGTAAAAACAAAATAGGTTTTGACGTTCGATAGTAAAAGGAAGTGAACCACTCAAGCTCGGCGTCCGCTAATACTATTATGATGATATAGTAGACCTTGAAAAAAAAGTTGTTTTCGTCATCTTTAAAAAAAATAAGCAGAATTCCAATCGATCTCTTGATATTTACTATTGCATTATTCAGCTTCAGTAAATTTATATTTAAATTTTTCTCCTAGATTCCGGATCCATGAATACACCATTAGGTAAATTTATTTCTTCGAAAATAAATTTGCATTTTGACAAATAATTTGATCATAAAAGGTGATCTTGCTGGTCCATACGATCGTAATCCAACACGATGGGATGAACTTCGGCAAACAGTTTCAATCGTAGTTGATATTGCTTCTCTGTAATATTCTATCTTTATTTAAGCTATACTATATATATATATATTTTCTCTTTTTGTTGCATATAATTCAGTTTTGATCCCGATGGTATTGGTAAGTAAAAGAGTCTAGTCTCAAAGAGCACGATGAGATTTTCTATTTTTAGATATTTTCTTTTTAAATCGTGAGCCGATGCGTCATGTAAAAAGTTCAGATGAACTTGTGGCTGTATTTACCGTACAACCACAAGGTATTCGAAATGGCTATTTTCTTTGTTGATATGCTAAGTAATTATATTTTTTAAACAAAGGTCCAACACCAATTCTTCGCGTACTTCGACATGTTTTACGAGAAAAACAACTTGAAATACAAGAACGTAAACTACTAATTTTGATTGCTACAGATGGCGTGCCAACAAATGAAAATGGCCAACAGGATACAAAATCATTGGAACATGCACTTCGTCATGAACGAAATCCAATTAATCGCATTCCAGTAACAATAATTGCTTGCACAGATGATTATGAATGTATTGGGTAAGACGATGCTTAATTTTGTTGTTGAATGTTCATTAATTGTTTTGTTGGTGTTTAGATATTTAAATCGTTGGGATAAAAAAATTCCAAATCTTGATGTTGCCGATGATTATAAATCAGAAAGACAAGAAATTCAAAAGGTTCAAGGAAAAGATTTTCCATTTAGTTTCGGCGATGTATGTTCACAGATATATTTACATTGATGCTTATTTTATTTGAAAAATTTTCTTTTCTCAAGTATGTTGTTAAAGTTTTGATGGGTGCTGTCGACAGTTGGTTTGATACACTTGATGAACGTCGGGTGACTACAAGCGGTCCTACAGGTCGACGAACGAGTAAAGCAAAAAGCAAGAGTGCGTGTACAATCCTGTAAATAAGAATCAAATGGTTTTCATGCTTTTTTTATTTGTATCATTCTATTGCATACTAACTTTGTAGTCGTCTTATATTATGCAATACTTGTTTTTAAGCTTTTTCGAGAACAACAGAAGAATTTGTCCTTTTTAAAAGAGTTGAGTGTGTATTAATGTAGATATTATTATTATTCGGGTTTATGACAGAATCCTCACATGTGAACTTTCTCCGAACATCTTAACTGAACAAAATCATGACAACTTTCTATGAATACCATCAGATATTTTCTTTTTACGTATGAACAATCTTCTATACATTCCAATGGAAGCTCCCACGTACTATATAGCACAAAGAAGGTTGACGCTATTCTTAGATATGACCTTTTGTCATCTGGCCCAAAATTGAAATGTAGAAAATGTTCTATCAAACTGTTTGTCAATGTTTCATTTGCGGATATAGTCTCGAGTATGAAGATTTATATGTAATCATATATATGATTCATTCATTTTTTACTCTTTGAAATTAGTAATTTCGAACATACTTTTTCAATTCTTTAATTGTCGTTTGATTTCATAAAGTGACGCTACAAGGTCAGGTTCTATATTTGTTTGTTTTCAATTATACTTATGTATTCATCTATGCTCATGTTGTAAATTTTGATATTGTATTGTATGTTTTAAACAAATTCATAATCCGATTTTCTCAGAAATTAATAATCAATGTACTAACGATAAAATGATTTTTAAAAGCAATATAATAAAAATTAATTCATAGATTTTTACTCACGAACCATTTTTTAATAATACTATAACTATGAGAAACCAATGAAAATAAGGTAGTTTTATTATCAAGCCAAGTACTCTACATTTTCACAAAAGAATTAGTTTCTGCGGAAAAAGAATATTTTTATACGATCACTGATGGAAAACCAAGATACTACTTTTGTGAAGCGCGACCTGAAAGAAGTGTTGAAGTGTTTAGGGTAGAAATTTTGCGCCCATCCCCTCTCCCCACAGACCGTTGCCGACAGGTTAAAAGACAGTTGACAACCGTGACCGATGCCTCAATTCCTTAGTTAATTAACTAATTACTGTGCAATTACTTAATTGGCTCTCACTGACCGTGACAAACGGTCTTCAGGAATTACTACAGATCGTGACATACGCTTTAATTGATTGACTAATCAGTACCATATGAATTGAGTGCCCATCACAGACTCCCAGGTTGAGCAATTCAACAGTGGGAACCCATCCGATCCGACTCGCATCCAGTAGGATCTTATCGGATTTTGTCGGACCCTACAGAACTATCATCGGGTTACGGATTCGAAGTTGGATCCTCAGTGTCGGATCCCTATGAATTCCAAAGAAACACCATTGAATGTCATCGAAAATTCAATGGGTTCCGACCAGTGGTTCTGACGTCAATTCCTGGACCTGAAATCCTATAAGATTCTGTAGCATGGTTGGTTCCTATCAAGTTCCTATCGGATTCGGTATGGGTTTTATCGACCTGGGCTGTTACACAAGATCTTCAGAAACCATCACACAGCGTGACAGACAAACTTCAGACCTAGCACAGGCCATCAGATAGGCTGTTCCAGCCTAGCGCAGATCATCACTGGTAGCAGCAAACGAGCTGTCTCGCAAAATCAACAAATAACTTCCTTGAATACACCATCTCCATGTGATTTTGTGGAACTCACATATATTTTCGAAGAAAATGGTGAGTGTAAGTTTAAAAGCGAGATTTTTACGGCTCCCCCCCCGGGGGGGGGGGGGNGTTATTTTTGTGGTTAGGTAAGACTGAACCTCTTTCCCGCCTTAAGGATCTTTGAGTCTCATTCTATCCATCTTTCGTCTTCACTTTTAGTGCTTTTACTTGAAACCTTTAATTTTCGTCTAATTCTTACCTCAGTTTCACTTATTCCCACCCCCTTGACAGATCTGTTTGAAAATATCATCACCAGCTACTGACACAAACAACCGACTTTCTGTCCTACCCATGGATTTCTTCTCCACAGCACTTTCAGTCTAGGGCTCAGTGAATCGACTTTCGATGTCGATGAACGTTACTTGTAATTACAGCCTACACGAAAAAAACAATGCTTGTCCATTACAGATCATAGCAACTAGTCTCTGCCATTGTTAAATATACGAGGTAACAATTAATATTCCATTACAGACATAAGCAAATAGGCAATGACCTAATTATAGGATTTGGAAATCAAGGTAGATTTTCCAGGCGAACTATTTTGAATTATTTTAGTAGGTCTAATGGATATATGTGAGTTCCAAATTTTAGCCCCTAAGGGGCTACGCTAACAAGCTTTTCTACAGTGATTATGTCGTGTGTCACATTTTTAATGCCAGAAGGATTGCGTTAATAGATTTCTTCCGGTAAAAATAAGCCATGTAAACGCTCTCTTTCCGCACAGCCAATATAACATGCATCGATAGAACTTCAAAATTGATTAAAACTACTATTCTGTAAAGTAGGTACTTCGAAACTATTGAAAACAAAATGTAATTATGGCGCGAGAATGAAGTACGGAACGCATATTTGAATTCAAAGAAAATGTCTACATGTGAGTAATTGTTTTTCAATTCAATCGTCTGTCTTTAAGAAGCCCAAAAATGAACATGACTTTTCAGGTAGAACGTAAGTGTTGTACGTTATTATTAAAATCTGTTTATCTGTTGTTCTTTTTTAAATCGTTTTTTCTAAACTATCAAGTTTGATAATCGGAACAAGTATACATATACATTCTAGCATAAAGCCATAAGTATTTGTTATATTTTATTTTCAGTAGAAAGTGCAAATCACCAATGTACTTTGAATGAAAAACCAAGTTGTGTACATGAAATTCAACATCATTTTATAACATGAATTTTGAAGCAACTGTGTGATTATGGAATCGATTGAGCGCAGGAACATTACAAAACACAACAATCATACTGATCAAATTTTACTAAAAATCTACCTTTACTACATTTACTTATAACTTCAAAGGATATATCGGCATGGTCTTGAAATATGTTGCAATGGTACTGTTGGCACAAATGAGAGGATTTCTAATTATGTTTTGCCTTTCATCATCAAATAAAACGCTCACAGCATACGATATTTGTCATCACAAAAGAAAGTGTGTCCTATGTATTTTTCATTTTCTTTCATAATTCATACGCATTTACATTTATTAGTGAAAAACTGTAATAAGTGTTAGGAACAAATAGAAGCGATGCGTTACAGATGATGACGCGTTGAAATCAAAGCGTACTCAACAACACAAAATATCAACATATGTACCGTAGTGTGTGTAGTAGAGATATCCATCAATATGGAAGTTTGCGGATAGTCACATCATGCCAACGATTAAATAAATAGATCATTTATAGAATTTTCACTTTAATAGCCAAGAAAAATTACGAAACACTCGTCTAATATGTCATGCAAGACAATAACTATGATAATTGATGAATTATCATTAAATCGAATTAGAGTCACAAGTACTAATGACCTAAACAGATGAAATAATAGTTGCTCAACAAAGTACTCATGTTTTCAATTTCTGATCACATTCTATGATTTACAATTGCATTCATTGCGCAGCTGTTCTTTATATGCTTCATATATATATATATATATATATTATAATTATTGCTCTAGTATTCATAAAATGTGTCCGAAATAAGAAATACACAAAGAAAAACATTTCCCAATGTGTTCAATGCCAATTCAATAAAATATCCTCATTGTATCCATATAGTGTCAATATGAAAATCTTTTATGATGATTATTTTATTAAAAACAAAAAAAAAGATATAATCTAGACGTAAAGTCATCGTTGTACATTATCTAATAAGGAGAAGATCTGCCGTTCAAGCGACCGAACTCTATGCAATTGTTTGAAATTTCTCAATTAAACTAAATTCTAGTTTTGACCAGAGAAAAATTGGAAATATCGACAATATTAATCTACAATTTACTTTCAGTTTGTTCGATATTATATCAGACATTTTTCTTTTGTTTTCTTCTATGATGTACATGAATACGGTTGACAAATCCTTGACTCGAATGTGCACTTATGTGTGAAGAAAGATGGCATTAATCAGCAATAAACTAATATGGATTACAATTACATCACAGTAGCAAAAGAATGCAACTATAGAATATTCTCAATCTTTTTTCTCCACGCTTGTCAAATACATTGGCCACGCAATCAAAAACTATTTAATTTCAAGAGACCTAGCCAGTAGTTACTATTTTAAAGCACATTGCTGCCTAAATTAACCAATGTTTCTTGCTAGTCATCATATAATAATATGATTGACATATTATCCATCGTATTATTTTTCATTTCTTAATAAAATCATGAAGCTCCCGGTAGAGGGTAGTCACTCTGAATAAAAGCATTGCTATTCAGCTGAGAACTTTACCGTTGACTGCTACCTTAAATTATTTCAAATATTCGACAATATCTGTTGTTTTAATGGTATCAACTCTACAAAAGAGTAGAATTCGCTGTATAAAGATCAGGAAAATTCGATTTATCTATGTATTCATCTATTTTTTTAAATTTTCCTACTAAAAATGCCATCGATGCTTCGGATACGCCCCTAGAAATCTCAATTTTACTTTCTCATATCATTGCACATATTAGCATTTTTGGGTTTTTGCTTAATCTACATAAATATCTCCTCTACCCAACGTCTGATTCCTTTCTATGATCAGTTTCTTCAATCATTAAACGAGAAACACAAGAGTCCCAGTTGGAGAGGTTTTTTTCTTATACTATTTAAGTCTGTTTCTTATTAGCGACACGCGAACAAACATCATTCGCCTAGTTCTATTCGAGATTTTTCTTTCTACTCTTCACTCAATATTTGTAATTATTAATACAATGTTTCTTTTGGAAAACTTTCCAAGAATGCGATATTGATGGAATGTAAGAAAGCTTATTTTTGTTTTTAATTTATGTTCTCATCCGATGACATACTTCTTCTTCATTCTGTCATAGATAAGTGAAAATCACCGCTAGTCATTATATTTTAGACACTATATAGTAAGAACTCCTGTAATTTCGCTGTTCAACGACCGAACAAACTATCGCAGTTCTTCCTTAATGATTTCCGGGAGCCTGTAATCATGTACAAGAACTGTGTTTTACAGTATTAAAATCTATTGTGTGATCCTTTCAAATTCGAATGTGAAAGCAGAGAATAATCAAAAAATGTGTTGTTTTCATGTTTCTTCTGTAGAATCTGAGACAATCTATTTCGTGAGACTTTCAGACACTAGTTTTATTCGAGTAGAAAAATATACTTCATTTAGACGAACTGTTTCAGAAGAAAGGGATTTAGCATCCGGTATCAAGTTATAAAACACAACACTGATCTATCGACTTAGGTTTTCATCACATTCATTGTTCGACATGTTGGTCGCAATTTCCGATAGTTCAGACGGTGAAAGACATTTAGTTGATTATGTATGGCGTATTCGTTGAGTCCTATAATTTTAAACGTGCAATTAAATTACTAATTGATAGTTACAAGTGATGTATTGATCTTTTAATCTAACAGTATTCAGAACCACCAAGTCGTTTAACTTTAGAATTCGAAGAATTTAAATGAATTTTTTCATTAATATGATCGAATTTTTTGTCTAAAACATGCGTATCAACCTAGATATTGCAAATCACTGCGAAGAAAAATCTCTGTTTTTATATTTTGATTAGTCAATCCGATTATTGGCACAAATGCAATAACGAGATTGTTGCTCGAGGTTATATCATCTCCCATATGAATTGAAATATAATAATGCAGAATATACATCAAAATAGAATTGTGTTAGACTGTCTCAGATGCTTAACAATAAATGAACAGTCAGTTTTGTTGGCTTTAGTTGAAAAGAATATTCAACGCGTTGAATATTTTAAGAATATTCACGGCTTTCTCAATTTTTGTCGTTCAGAAGATATTTATACGTTTGTCAATTACAAACCAGAGAGCGAATCGAACCGACTTTTTCTGATTTGAGTTCGGTTCGGTTCGTCTTTCTTTTTTTAAAGTCGGTTCGGGTTCGGTTCGGTTCGAGTGTATTTTTAAATAATCGGTTTGGGTTCGGTTCGGTTTGATTGTATTAACATTGCAATATATATTCGATAATTATCAAATTTATTCTTTAATTTTTTATTCACATGACAAGTTGAAATGAGTAGTGTATTGGAACAAAAATATAACTTTTACACTAATGTCAAGATAGAAGTGAAAGAGAAATGATGATAGAGCATCTGTTTGACATTCATATACTATCGTCAATTAGACGAGCATCCGTCCATTCTTTGCAGCGTAAGACAATGGGAGAAAAAAAGAGAGATAAATTAAGAATGTATGACCCTTACAAGTGACCGACCGTCACGAACAGAATGTGTACGTAATATGAATAAGGAACAAAATATTGTACACAGGTTGAATTAATTACCTAAAAGAACTGATCAAAGGTCTTTTAACCATTGTCAGCACCATATATTTTTAAGAAATAGATGACAGCGCACCTAATTAGATTTTTTCTACATTGACTTGTATTTATTCATGTTTTCAATATCTTTTTCGAGTTCGGTTCGGTTCGAGTGCATTTTTGAAAAATCGGTTCGGTTCGTTTTCGCTCTCTGTTACAAACCATAGCGTTGACAAGTGAAGACGTGACGGAACCTTATTTTACTTCCGAATTCTCTTTAATTATACGTGCTGCTGACAAATTAAATGATTGATTCGTTGGATCCACAACTTCGTGCTATTCAATTAAGAAAAGATTACAGCACATCATTTGAAACCCTATGCTTCTCGTGTTTTAATAAAATAGACTTGCTGTTGAGTTTAGATTTCTTGTTGCTGACTATTCAATAGACGTCAAGACTTAGAAAACGCTGATCAATTGATCTGCAAGTCTACACCAATAGATCTTGCTGGAATAGAATCTACGTTTTGTTTGAGTGCTTAAAATGCATTGTTTACATGAGAGGAGATCTAAAAATGTGAGAATACTGACTATATTTTCATTGCTCTATAGAGAGACACTTGCCACTATGACTTTTTCCATCTACATCAGATCTAACTCTTATTTTTCACAATTGACGTCGCTTTACTAAACATTTAACTGTTATATTTTTCCGATCCTTTTTTTAGTTTCATCTTATTGGTTGCTTGAGAGTCTTGAGTTATCATCTCTATCTCTTTTTTTGCTTCTGTTCTCTCTTCATGCAAGACAAGAGACAATTGAGTTAGCCACACATTGATTAGTTTGTCAATATAGGCTAACACTTCTTTTTCCGTTCAAAGTATTCAACGGAAATAAAAAATCGTTGCTTCTTTGCTCGAGTAATAGTGATTAACCGTGAAAGAAGTGTATAATGAAACATGCGCAACACTATGTTGCACGTCATTAGATTCGCAAAAGAATCATACGTTCCTAATGTCAATAGTAGGTTGCAGAAATTAATGATGACGTCGAGAACCATGGGGCTAACGGAAGACAGCAGCCCAACGTACTTTTATACAAATATAAACCTTTTTTCGCTCTCTTCATTCACCTTTTCTACAAATGTGGCCTAAATAAAGATTTCTTTGTTTTTAGATAAGTGCTTTGTACTACGATCTTCTACAACGTTAATTATATACATAAAAGTAATTATATTATAACATCCTAGTATGATTACTCCTACGGCTCCATTACCATCAACCGCAGATCCAAATTATATTGAATTAATTCCTAATGAAACAACAACAGATGAAGAACGTATGCAAAAGTTTGCAGAGATTGCTGCAAGATATGAAATAAGTCATGAATTTGCATCTCGTCTACAACAACTTGAAGGTTATGATATTGTCTTTCTCTGTGATGATTCATGTTCGATGGGAACTGCAATCGGTAACTAATCTCTTGTTACTTTTAGATCTAGAAAGATCATCGGATTTGATGTTCTTTTTCTTTGTAACCATAGGAGATACTGATAATACTTTTGCTGAACGCTCTACACGTTGGGATGAATTGAAACAAATCGTTTCTATCACTGTTGACATCGGTTCGGTACTTGATCCTGATGGATTAGATATTTATTTTCTTAATCGCCCTCCAATGTTACGTGTTAAACATTCATCTGAGCTGATCCCTGCTTTCGATAGTCCACCCAAAGGTCTAACACCAATAACACGTGTACTCAGACAAATACTTCAAGCCAAACAAAACGGAATTCTTGAACGTAAACTTCTGATTATTATCGCTACCGGTGGACAACCGACCGATGATTATGGCAAAACTGATATTGGAACATTAGAACGTGTTCTTAAATATGAAAGAAAAGAGGCTGATCGAATTTTGATAACTTTCTGTGCATGTACCGACGACGATCAAGCTGTTGGATATTTAAATCGATGGGATGAAACGATACCCTATTTAGATGTATGCGATGATTATCGATCCGAACGAAAAGAAGCCTGGCGGGTAATTAAAAGAATAATGCTAATTCATATTATTCTCTTATTTTCGTATCTGTTTGAGAAAGAGATTGTATGCTAACGTTTTTTTTATTTTTATTTTTAGGTTCAAGGACGACAATTTCCTTTTTCATTTGGAGATTATGTAGTAAAAATACTGTTAAGTTCAATTGATCGATACTTTGATAGTCTTGATCAAAAGCTAATTGGTTCACAAAAAGCAACTGCATGTTGCTCTTTGATGTAATTCATTTTCATTTGTATTTATTAACAATAAGTTAACCAGAAAGGTGTTTATCGCCATCACTATTTATTTTCTCTGGCATTTATGATCAGAAGTACTGACTGAAATGTAAACATTTGTCTATTCTCTGTTTCCTTTTCTTTTTTTATTTAATGTTTTACATCTTTTTCCACTCATCGAGGAGTAAAAATCACTATTGAATAAGTGGCTCCTAGACCATAATTCTAGCAGCTTAAACAATACATGTGCATTTTGTCATGCTGCGAACAATTATGAATCCTCTTCTTCTTTTCTTTTGTTATTTCTTGTATTTTTCTGTCTAAAATGTTTTTAAAGCTCGAAATAATGAATTAAATTTACAAGAAGTTCATTGCTGCGTTTTTCTTAATTTAAAAAGGAAAATCAAAATGCTCATACATTGATTTTTATACAGAGCTATCTTATAACTGATCCCTTCATGCTCACCATAACAAAACAATTCAAGTCGGTGTTGATACCATTGGTTGGGTCTGTTGATTTAGACAATCAATCAAATTCGTTTAAAACATAATAAAATGAGCTATGCTTGAGAATTTACATTGCTGCCGAACATATTCATAATTCTCGTAAAATAATATTGAGAGCCGTTTAAACTTATACTCACCTGTATCTTCTATTGTAGAAGAAGAAATTTGCATATGAACGTTTGGGCAAAAAATATCTACATGAACAATGTGTAGATCCTGCATAGTAGACTGTTCTTGACAAAGTGCAGTACATCTGTAGAAAGTTTTGAGGCGGCGAATTTGGTCATTCAGTTTTCTTCCTATTCGCCGGACGAATCATTTCATTCAATTAAAAGGTAAGACGAACGCAAGAGACCTTCATAATAATACTCTGATGGTGCAAGTAGGATAATTTTCATGGTCAATTTCCAAGACTATCGATTATTGTAAATCAATCGCCTACGTCTGATGATATATTGAATGTTTAATGCCTAGAACAAGACTATTGTTCTATTTGTCTTTCATTCTATTATTTACCATGAAATAAACACACACGCACACATACAACAGAGCCATTTCATGACTGGAACAACAAACAAAAAAGTGTCTTTTTTGACTTAGATTAAGAGTACAAAGCAAAGAACGTGCATGAGAAACAAAACACATCGATAGAGAGAGAGAGAGAGAGAGCGCGCGAGAGTGTGCATTACAGAAGAGAAAAAGAAATGTTAAGTATTCATTGTTGATGTCGATTTTTCATCATTCGACATCAAGCAACGAAGATGATGATGAAGGTGTAAGAATAATATTCGAAAGGTCAGCAGTAGTCAATGAAGAATTTGGCGGATCTTTTGATTTAAAAATTTTGTATCCAGCGCCGACCGGTTTTGGTAATAGCAGTGGAAGTGGACGAACTGAAACTTTAGTTAAATATGGCGAAAAATTTGTTTTTTGAATACGTTTAACATTTTGTTGATCCCTTTAAATAATTGAAAAATGATTTGAAGTAGATAAAAAAAAGGCGTCTCTTACATAGTTTTAGGTATTGCCGATAAAGTATTTGCTTCACTCACTGCATACTGAATATCACGAGTGAGCCGATCAAAATTAACTTCATTTTTTGAAACAATATTTTTCGTTGAACTTTTATACATTGGTAATAAATTAGCCGGTTGAACTAAAGTTATTTTCGAACGAATAATCGTTGAATCATCATCTTTCATATCACTATTTGTACGACTTTCATTGGAACGAGGTGGTGATGCATCATCCGGACAGAATACTGAATTTTCATCAGCACAATCTGATGTTGTTTCATTCATTGTTTGCATATTACTTATGCGAAATTTATTACGTCGTTGAACATCGTTCCATCGGCGTACAATTTTTAATGTTTGATTAGAATTTGCTATAATTGGTCTCATTTGATGAGGATTCAAATGGCCATTACTATAGATTATTGTCGCCGTCGGTTTACCATTTATATCAGTTGCTGTTGGATGAAACTAAATTAAGGAACAAATTTTTTTTCTTTCCGTAGTAAAACAAAAGTTAACTTACACGTGGTGCAATAGGTTTCGGTTTTAATTGTTGATCATTTCTTGCTATTGGACGATAACGTGGATTGAGAAGACGTGTCATTTTTTTCGGTATTTGCAAATCAAAATTTGTAATTTGTGTTGTGTTTTCAACATATTCATCATCGTCACCACCACCACTATCAGAATCATCGTTGGATTCTTCATCATCGTGAAGCATTTTATTCATATCAAAACGTGTACGTCGATGTCGACCACGTTGGCTAATATTTTTCGTTGAATCATCAATATAAGACGATGAAACATTACTATTTTCATTTGTTTGACTGATTGATAACATCGATTCATCGGCATGAAGATTATCATCGAGATTTTCCTGTTCAGATTCCGATGCCGTTATACTTTCATCACTTGAATATTCTTTTGCTTTGATTTTACGTTCAAGAGTTTTCTTCATATTATATTCAGTACGATTTTGTTCGACGATATTAAAATTAATTAATAGTTCTTTTAGTTTTTCAATTAAATGATTTGATAACTTTTTATGTTCACACAATGGACAATACCAATCACCATCGGGTACTGATAGAAGTTTAGGTCGTAAACATTCAAGATGATAAGCATCATCACAATCATCGCATAATAATAAAACTTCTGGGCGATCACTTTTAAAACATATCTTACATGCTGTAACTATTGTTGATGCTTGTGCAGTTTTAGCAGAACGTAATTGCTCGCCTGTTGCATTATTATCTTCATCAAGTTCAAAGAAATTATCGTCATTCGCTATTTCAGCTGCATTAGGCAAATAATCATCCGAGTTATATTCATCGTCGGAGAGATAATCAATGTGTTCATCTGAACTTGATGTTGAAAAACAAAAATCATCGTTTAGATTTCGTCGTGATGTTGCTTTACGTCGACGACGAGAGCGGCCTGATTTATTACTATTTGTTGATGTTGTCGGATCATTGGAAGCTTTACTTTTGCCATTCATTGAACGTTTTCGTTTACCTGCTGGAACCTAAATAAAAAAATTTTCTCATAAACTTTCTACTTCACCTGTCAGTAAAATAAAATATGTTTAATACTCTAGAGCAAGGCAATCGATCTATTATTTTCTCCATTCAGTATAATATGAAACGCAATAATTGACTCGCTCTTTCTAACGTTATGTATTTCCAGAGATTTACAGGTTAATCATATGAAGAGTTTTTGTTCAAATCAGAAATTCTATTAGAACATGTTTCAGTCATTGAAGTTTCTCGAAACGCAGTCGGATGGTGCCACGGAAATGCACCTGACGGTTTCTCCTATGTTCCTGAACGAGGAAGTTTCAACACTTACATGAATAAGATTATCTAAGCATGTATTAGAGATTGTGTAGCTTTGTTTTCCTATGTAAGACAACATCATACCTGTGAAGATGCTTTTGAATTGCCAGCAGACGTTGACTCAGTGGCTATTGATTTTCGTGGTCGTGCTGATCGACGTGTAGAAAGATTTTCTTTGTAGACGAAGGATTCTTCATTTTGAGTATCGTTATCTTCATCATTACTGTTTTCTTCAGTAACAATTTTACGTTTTCGACCTCGACGTGCCGGTGTTATCGCTTCTTCTTTGGGTTCACTTTTTACTTCTGTTTCGATTTCAGTCTTTTCTTTTTTTATTGATCTTACTGAACTTCTTGGTCGTCCTCGTTTTTTCTTCATTGATTCATTGAGATTGTCATCACCGTTGGGTGCCATTTCAATATCTTCTGACTTTATATCGGCATCGATTTGCTGCTTTGCTATGCTCTTTTGTCTTCCAGGTTTTGTCTTTATTAATACATCAGATGTTTCATGAGCATCCGATATTGATGAAGCTTCTTGTTTTTCTTCTTTTATTTCTACATTGACCGGATTTTTTTCATTATTTAATGATTTTATTGAACCTTTCGGTCGACCACGTTTCTTTTTCATTGGTTCATTTGGCTTTTCATCATCATTGAGTGTGGGTTCGATTTTTTCTTCGTCGTCTTCTTGTTTGATTTCTTTTTTCACTGGTGTTATAGAGCCTTTTGGTCGTCCACGTTTTCGTTGGGCAGAATATTCAAGTGTTTCATCATCCATTGATGTTAAATCAGTTGCTTCTTCGTGTTTCAATTCGATTTCAATTTGAGATTTTATTGATTTAGCTGAGCTCTTTGGCCGGCCACGTCTTTTCTTCGTTGATTCATCGAGTTTTTCATCTTCAATCGCCATGGGTTCAGCATACTCTTCCTCTTCTTCTTTCATCTCTGTTACAGAAGGTAAATAAAGTTTCTGAAATTCATTCGAAGGTGTCAAACAAGAAAATGGTTCATAATCAATCGCCCAATCTATACAAAAGAAAAATATCATCAAAACGAAGATTGAAATTCTAATTTATCTTACCGGCAAATTTTTCACGAACAGTAGAATCAGTAATTAATAATTTAATAAAATTTTCCAGTTCATCCCGATCTCTAGAACAGATAAAAAAAAACATTATATCAACACTACGATCAAAAACATAGATCGGTGACAACACTGATAGGCGACTCGTTGTAATCTATGATCTAACTGCTGATTGTATGTCTCATGAGATAAAAACACAACGAAGAAATGTGTCAAAACATTCTATTTCCATAAGAATCGTACTGATAACTTTCTAATTATATATTTCTATTGACTTACTTAGCAACATTACTCCATGCTCGATCGATATCAGCATCTTCGCGAAATAAACGTACAAAACAATCAGTTCCCTATATCATTGAAAAATAAGTTTGATTCATGTAATATTTAAAGAGACACGCATACCACGAAAAGCCAATAGGAAACTCCAAAACGATCACGACCTAATGGTGCTGATTTTATTTCTCTTGCTGCTTTATCTACGAGCGTATTTCTAAATGTTTGATTTAAATCGAACTGGCTTTCTAGTAAATTCTAAAAAAAATAAAAAAATTTCGTGATGAAAATAACTGAATTGCTAATCTTAATCTACTTTTAAAATTCGAATTTTAACATTAATTTCAGCTTGTAAATAACCTGCTGTTGCCAAATGATCACCATCGTTTAAATCAAATCGAGATGCAAACTAAACACCAAACGCAAAAAGTTAACAACAAAAATGAAAATCACATCTTACTTTAGTTATAATAGAATCAAATTTTTCTCGTTGAGTATTTTTAGCTAATGATAATCGTTTAAGTAGAATAAAATGATAATCAATAAGACGTGCTGGAACAGCATCTAAATATTTTTGTCAAAATAGTTATCATTAAAAAAAATTCAAAAAACACGTACTACGTTCTTCATAATTTATCAGATGATCTTCAAGACGTTGCAATGAATAATTTGGTAGATCGAGTACAGATCGAAATTTTTCAAGAAAACAAAGAACTATGCCATAATTCGCGTCATTGAGCAGTAGTAATCGACGTTGATCTTTGCCGATTGATTCAGTTTTTGGACTGAATTCAGTAGAAAGATTGTCTTCAGTACTCATGCTTGATTTCAGTTAAGTTCTATCGTCTGTAAAATATCTTTATTGATAATTTTAATCATTCGAATTGATATGGATAAATTTGAGATCTAAAATATACGAAATCTACATGCAATAGTGCTTATTCCTTAGACAATAGGATAATGCTCGTAAGAAAACGACGTTTTTTTGCCTTCATCATTCATGCTGTTGCCCTCGTCCGCAACCGCTTCCAGTTTTTATCATCTTTGTTAACAAACGATTATGATTTATCAGATAGTTTACCATTCAGAGCATTTGATTGATAGATGTCTCTAGCAGAATTTCAACTGCGTCGTAGTCGTAATAAAGAATATAATTCAACGTTTAGATGATTTACTATATTGTTATTCAAAATGAAATAAAAATCATAAACAATATCTGACAAAACGACACTAACTACAAACGTTATCATATTTTTTTTTCCAATTCCAACAGTGCGTAAATATGGATTGCAAACATTGAGTCATTTTCACTCCTGTCAAATACAAAAATGAAGTGTAGTTGTCATGTGTGACTTTAGCGAATAATAGTTATTAAAGAAAGCTGTTTTAAGTTGAATTCAATTAGATATTTGAAAATTTTTGTGTTACTAAAAAGTGCCAATTATTCTATTTGAATTTATCATAGGTGTCTGTATCTAAGTTGATGCATAAGTGCGAGAAAATCATTAGAAGCTAGACATTTGAATTCAGATTTCTGTTAGTATTACGTTTCGAATCCCAGTCATCTTGAGTAACAGTCGATGTCATTATGAAAAATAATATGTCGACAAAAAAAGAAAACAAAAGAGAATCATGTTTTATGTCATCTCACCTGGATGACATTCAAATATTCTAGATTACTATCGATATTGATACAGTTTTCGTTTAAAATATCATAACAACAAGTTGTTTATCGATTGTCATACTTCATTCTATAGAAAAAAAGATGGGAGCTAACATGTCCTTAGAAGATTCTATTGATGCACGACCCCAAAGCGATAGACGACCCACTGAAGATATCAATGTAAAAGTATGGTTTGCATGTTGTAAATCTCAACACAATAAACATTTCTTTTTTGATTAATACTTATTTCTTTTTTAGGTCGTACAAGGAATTTCATCGTATGATATTATTTGTTTGGGTGTTGGTAAAGGTGCTACTGCTGTCTATTCGAATCAAGCAAGCAGTTCATTTGCTCTTCTACGTCGATCAACAAAAGAATGTATTCTTCTCATTGATATTGGTCTTGGCTCAATTTATGCCCTTCAAAAATATTTAGAAAAATCTGATGTCATACCTCGGCAAATATTCGTTTCTCATAATCATACAGATCATAGCGGAGAATTGCCTGTGTATATTGCCAATGAAGCTTTAAAATCCGTTGTTCAAGTCTATTGCTATACAGGCGTTCAGTCGCGTCTACGTCAACATCGGTGTGCTGAACTTGAATCGGCAACAACAGATTTTTTTAAAAATGTAAAATGGATCATGTGCGATGAATCACAAGTTGTTGAACTTGATTCAGGAGATCCGAATTCAAAATTAAAAATACGTGTTCAACGAAGTCAGCACAGTGAACTATGTGGTGGTTTTGTTCTGTATGAAAATGATCAAGCAATTCTGGGTTTTTCTGGAGACTCTGGTTTCAATGAAGAATATTTTAAATTTCTCTGGACAGCACCAACAATTTTGGTTGATGGCCGTGAAAAAAGTACCTATGAACATGCTAGTTTTGATGAAATTTTAAATTTTTATAAAACAACGAGTAAACAACGGCGAGTTTTTGTCTATCATTATGGTCTTGCAAATGAAAAACCAACATTTCCTATTGAGTCTATATCGGCTGTAATACCTGGTCAAGTTATACAATTAATGTTGCCTCAATGAATTTTATCATTCAATAATAGATCAATATAAACAAGGCGAGACATTGACCGTTATTTCACATGTGCTAGCGATGCGCGGAAAATTGAAATACAAAAAAAAATAAATTCTTCACTTTTGCGTGCGATATAATATTGTTCTATTGCATTTCTTCAATGCGCCATTCGGCAATTGTTCTAGGTGTGAAATCGATTGTAGGCTAAGATTGCACGTTCTCTAACGGAGCTCTACTGAGTAATCCAGAAGTGAAGAATAATTTGATTTTCTCTCTATGAAACCGGTGTTGAGGTTAAAATTACTTTTTTTTCAAAATTTGAAAATTGAGAAAAACGGCAAAAAGTTAGAATAGCTATAGCCAGCTAACTAATTCAACCTGATCAAGTCTTCGATTCGTTGTTTCAATAAATTAAGTGTAAATTATAATTATTTTCATGTGTAAGACAGATAAAATGAAAGCAAAATCATTTCATCCCTCCTTGTTGTTAAAAACTTCATATCTATATATTTTTGCTTGCATAGTTGGCTGGTAGATGAATGAAAAGTTACATTTACTTGCATTTGAGTATCGAATTTGAAAGAAAGTGTAATACATTCTATTCTATTCCCATATGATCCATACTGATAGTCGAAACGCGTGTACCTAAGAACAGCATGCAAAAGCTGTGACTGCGTTATTCCATCTCTTATTTTTTCAAATGATGATCATATCTGCAGTTTGTTTTTTAAACGTTTACTATAAAACTGCTGCCTACCAATTGAATAATTGTATTCTTTTCAATCGCATACGTCGATCACTACTCTTATGAACACATCATTATACTGCTTTCGATCTTTCTTTTTATAATGACGAGCGAGAGAAGATATGCGAAGAAATCGCAAGAATACAGAGAGGCCAGACTACTATCAATTAGTCGCAAACGTTGAAAGATCTGGAACAAATATCTTGACTAGTATAGTTAAAAGTCAATATTTTGTCAGTGAAATTCAAGATTCTAACGTTCCATTAAGTTAGAACGAGAGTCATTTGTTTACAAAACCATGATTACTTTAATACGCTGCCAATTTACTGTATCAGAAAAGTTTTACGCATACATGCTTCCATTCGAAAGTATGCTTACTATATATATGTGATTAAAATCTTGGAATTTTTGCATTTTGAATGTGATCATTAATGTGAGAGAAGTCGCACTGGTCCTCAGTAAAAGATGTTGCATTTAACTAATTGTAGAAGCCAATAAAACGATTTTTAACGAACTAATAAATATTTCGAAAATTATGATAGCAATAATGCATAAATACAAATATTTTTAACGATAAAGAGCGATGAAAGTCAATAAATTTTATTTTATAATGTGTTTTATACATGAAAATAAATAAAATTTCCACTTAATTTATTAAAATAACGAATCAAAAACTTGATCAAATTCAATTAGTTCGTTGGTTATAACTCAAGTTATGACTGAACCAGTTTTAATCTCAACAGTGCCCCGGACCCATCACAAACCGTAACTGGCAAACCGAGAACTCTATCTGTTAATGAAAACTTCTTTCATTGCTTGTGGAGAACGAGGAGGCGGCGATGCTAATTTCTAACCTATATAGTTGAACAACAGAAATCGTTAGAAATCGACTGATTTAAAAACAACTCCATAGAACCGGACCGCCCGATGCTATTTCTGTCTGTCGATATATATCCAGTTTGTGAAGTGGTCTATTACATATAAAAACGACTATTTGGGAGCAGCCAAGAGAGTTAAAATGCTTTTACTCATGTTGTTATCTTCCTTTTTTTTATGATATATTTGCCGTTTTTCTTCATTGAAAAAAGCGGAAGAGCCAACACTTTTAGCTTTTGTTTGTCTAACTACATATATAGAGCTGCTTTTATTTTGACTTTTTCTTCCAATTCTTTTAGCAGATACTATGCAAATGTTTGCGCGCCCATGATAAGAAACGTCAATATGCCCGTGAGTATGTGTGCCTATCAAACATTGTGATAAAATGTAAAGCTGAAAATATTCACAGGTGCTTTTGACGCAACATACTACAAATCTTCTTCGAACTGTTACTTTCATTTAACCTGTTGACCATTACTTTAATTAAGTGATAACATACTATTCTGATGTATCGAACATGCTTTTTTATAATGATTTATTTTCCAATTATTCATGCATTTACTTGTGGACAATCCAGTATAAAACCAAATGATCTATCGAGTACAAAAATAATTAATGGTACCGAAGCTCGACCTCATAGTTGGCCGTGGGTATGATTAATTTTTGAGAAAAACGTGTTTTTTTAAAATTTTTACTCAGATAGTGTCGCTTCAACATCCATTACTGGGACATTTTTGTGGAGGTTCAGTGATCGATGCTAATTATGTGATATCAGCAGCTCATTGCTTTTTTAACATTTTTTTTTACGACAGCATTGTCTTTATTGGAAATCATTATCTCACTGATCGCGTTGAGTATCGAACAATAAGTGCAGTTATAATTCATCCTTTGTACACATTGGTTGATGGCAGTCCGGACGACATAGTACTTCTTAAACTAAATCAATCGATCGATATTAAATCTTATCCACCAATTTGCTTACCTACAAATGATTCAGCTATATTGGAGTTACCCGGACAAAGGTTGACCATTGCAGGTTGGGGGCTGACGAATGAGAGTGAATCGTCAAATGTGTTACTTCAGACAACATTATCAATTTTTGATTCTTCAATCCCAGAGTGTCATCCTTTTATGAATGATACGAATAAACAGTTATGTGTCGGTGTCATCGGTGGAGGAACTGGAAGTTGTTCGGTGAGTATCACAAAAGCAAAATAAAGGGAGTTAATTGTCATTTTATCTTGTTTATCGTTCAATATGTTTTATTAAAAAACGAAGTATATCAAAATATACAATTTCAATGATCTATAGTTTACCAAGAAAATCTTCTTTAATGCGTTCTCATTGTATTTCCGACAAAAAAACATTCTTCGTTTCGGGGAAATTCTCGACATAGTGAGTAAGCTGATCTATTGATATATGTGACGCATTTCTTATCTTACCTTTCCAACCAATAAAAACTTTGGTTTAAATGTTATCACGTGGCATCTTATCTTATCAGTAAGAGGTTCTTGAATAAATATCAATTGAAAACATTGAGATTAAGACTGTCTGAAGTTTATTTATGATTTCAAATAAAATATTCAGCATTATTATAACAAACTACTGATATTGGATTTCTAAGCTGCATCCCACTGTCTTGTTGATAGATTATATCATCACTCTACAGTGCTTTAACTACAGATTGCATATGTTGAATATCAAATAAAAAATAGTTTTCATCTAAAAATGTTGCCGTATATTTAAGTATAATTGGAGACCAGCGCTCCGCATGCGGTGAAACTTGTTCAAAAATTTCTACAAGAGATGATAATACAAATACGTTTTTGTTACAAAAATTATTTTTTGATCTATGCAGATTGCTCCAGTAGTTTTTATTTTTCTGAAAAATCCTTTAAAAAACTCGATAGGATTCATGTGAAAGTTTTTTTTGAATGAAGAAAGCCGATGGTTAAAGTTATCATCTACTTCAAAAACAATTGTTTTAACGAAAGAATGTATCAATTCTGTTTGGAATCGCTTCCAGCAATGTCCTCATTCGTCTCATGCCATTGAATTTGTTTTTTTTTAAAGTTTCATTTCATTTCAATCTATAGGACGTCCCCACGCCCATATATGTCAAATTTGGAACTTGAATTCAATTGAAATTTCAAGTTTCAAGTTTGACACTACTGATAAGTTGATGAGACGATGAAATAAAAACGACCTATTATATTTCATTAGTGATATCAATAGGACAAATTCCATTGAAAATATTCGGGAAACTCCATTAATATTTACAGCACAGCGATAGTCTTCAGGAAGTGATATCTTATTTTGTTTCTATTTCCATCTAATTTCAGGGTGATAGTGGGGGACCACTGATGGGTGAGTATGACAACCGCTTTTATCTTGTTGGCATCGTCTCCAGTGGTATTAATGGATGTGGCAATGTTTCTTCTTTGTACATACGTGTCCGAGCATTTATCAATTGGATATGCGAGCAGGACTCGAACATAGCACACTGCTCGGCAATGAACATTATGACTTCTTTATCAACTGCACGGTCAACTTCGCCGCTATCGTGGACACCATCGTCGATATCGCCGCCTACGACACCTGATGAAATTATAAAATCTACTACTATCAAAAATGGCAATATAAGCAAGCAAACAATAATCATCATTGCAAGTGTTGTACCGAGTGCTTTCTTGATTATTGTTATCGGGACCATCGTTTTTTCTTGGTACACCAAATGCTATAAGCACTTGAGAACAGGTGTAAATCACCAATCCAGCGTTGAACTAAACCCCTACAGGAGAGATAATATTTCTTAAAAATGAAATATCAGCGAATTACATTACCAACGAAAAGCACAGCGAATGAAATTATTTTTTTTCGAAAATTTTGCAAAAGCGAAAGCATATTTCAGTGAATAGTGAAAACAGAAGAGCGAAATTTTCTATAGCAAAAAAAGTATTTCTAAGTATGATTTGTTTTGGTTCAGATATATGAGGACGTTGACTATCAAATCTAATGTAATAGTCGTCTCTGCCTGTATAAACGTTAGTTACACAGTCATTCAAATGGGTGTGGGTGTGTATAAATGTATCGCATGCGACTACCTACACTGAAAAAAAGATAGTTTTCAAAAAAACAAAAGGTTTCGCGCGGGTGTATCAAACCTTTAAAATATTCAAATAAAACGTTGACAATCAATTTGAGGCTGTCTTGCTCTAATCAGAAACCATTTTAGAGGTTTCAAGTATTATAACCAGATGGATGAACGCGTAAACGTTCATGCTTTTTCTATGGATCGATTTCTGTTACACCCGATATCACTTCGTTGAGCAGCGTAAAACAATAAAAGTGTTGATGAAAACTAAAACGTTCAATTAACGTAATGAAAGTAAAAAAAACTACGGAAACGGAAAAATAAAAAATAAGGCATACTTCACTTCAAGAGGATTGTTTAAATCGAATTCGATACAAACACGTGAGTCTTTGAAGCGTATTTCAGATAATGCTATACGGTTCAAGATGTTCGATCACTTCATTCCAACAAGCGGGACCTGCTTATTGATTTCTACTTACAAAGTGTGTGTAAATGTGTGCGTTTGTCAGTAGAGCCTATATCGATCTACGTTAAACCATCACACGCATTCACACCCTTTCATCGCTAAAGTTCGTTATTATTATCTCGAGCAAAAAAAAAGGAGATTTTCACTTAACATTGAATAATAGTTGTTTAGTATATTTCAAGTTTCAATTTCGTTGCTATTTAAATATTTTACAAATAAAATTTTTTTTTGAAGAATTGCAGCTAAGTTCATGGTGCTATGATATTTTCTTGATTTTCAAAACTTCATAATAATAAACTATAGATAGATAATGCTTTACCATAAATAATATTTTACAGCAAAATAATCATTGAAAAAATACTTTCTTATCTAGACAGCCAATTAGAAAGTATGTAAATAGTCTACGCCGGGCGCAATATCTAGTGTAAAAAAACAACTGACATTATTCTAAAAATAAGCTTAACCGTTTCAGTATATCAGACAAACACATCCAAAACAGCATGTTGAATAAACATCTTAGCATGAGAAATAGTGTCACCTGTTAAACTTTACTTCCTTTTGTCTACTGGGCTAATTTATGTTGTTAGCGTGATAAGAATCAAGGAGTCGATGTATGCTATATAATATGGTACTATTCTTCGATGATCAGTACACAATATTTCGTTTCTTAATTTTACAATCAGTATTAAACATTTTTTCAAATGTTATACTTTCTGTTATCCATCGTGCTGGTGACAGCTTCTGTCTATTCAGACCAACATTTGGTTGTAGACATTTCTGAAGAGGGTGTTGCGATTCAGCAAGAAATAACATTGCGAGATGGTTTGCAGATAATCCATGTGCCTGCGCATAGACACTTGGAAGAAGTTTATATATATATGGACTTCGACAAGGATTTTCAACTAGTCAAATTAATCAATCAGAATAAATGTCAACTATCTAAACTGATTCCAGATATGAAACCAATCACAATTGATCCCAAACAACGTCAAAGTGCACCATTAGATTCATCAACAATGTCACATACACAGATTGTACGCTTGGAAAAGAGTGAACCACTGACCAATCTGTCGTATCTTCGACAAGAAATGCAAATGGCTTGTACTGGATGGCCGACCTTCTGGGTTGATAACGTGGATGAAAGCACATTTTATTCAAAGAAAAACAATTTTGAGACATTATTGGTTGGTGACAACAATTATCAGGTTTCACCATTTGCACGAGATTCGTTATCATGCCCTCAAGGAGGTGGACACGTTGGCGTACACGTTCAATGTCATCCTGATTGTTTTTATCAATTGTGTAATCCAAGTGGTGGTAAGTGGTGTTTTTATACTGCAACTCATTGTCCAATGGTGACAACTTCATGTTGGCAACATTTAAGCAATATACCACTGGCATGCGTCCCTTGCTGCTCTCACCCAGCCGTTAAATGTTCAGGAGCATTACAATACTGCGGTTGCTATGCAAACAGTCAACTCGGAAAATAAATTTAGAATAACGAAAATATTTTTCAGTTCAGCACTTTTTCCTTCTAAATTGATTCATTTAAGATTACAATAAAATCTTTGATCTTCGCACATAAACATGTCGAAGAATCTTTAAATACTGTAAAATACAACTGTCATAACTATTTAATGCGATGCGAAGCAGAAGCATTTCTGTAGTCCGTCGCGAGTTTTTAATGCGATGCGAAGCAGAAGCATTTATGTTATCCGTCGCGAGTTTTTAATGCGATGCGAAGCAGAAGCATTTATGTTATCCGTCGCGAGTTTTTTTTTTTCTTTGTTTTTTACNTTTCATTATGTCGACATAAAAAAGTATTCAAGATTTCTCTGAATTGAAGATTTTTCCTGGATCGAGATTCCTGCTTCGCATCGCATTTTGTATTCGAGTAAAACTTGAATACCATCTAGTTTACACTGTATCTATATCAACAGTATAAGGCATCGGTAAGAATGGAACAGGTTTGCAGTTTTGCAGATCAGTATCGATTCCATCTCTCGGAATCTGGGGGTGTAGATACGATGTGTGTGTTTACAGAGCGAAACGTTTGCAGCCGATTTGAGTATCTTCTACCCACATGCAGCGCTTTTTCTTTTCTACTTTTTAATCATTTGCGCAAGCTGCAAAATTTCATGTCTTATCTAATTATGTTTTTTTTAATGAAAGTGATAAGGCGAAAAGATGAGGCTCACTCAAGAAATGTTCACTTTTTCTATTGTAATCATAATGAAAAAACATTATTTTCTGCTTGGATTCGCTTCCTGGCCTATGTTGAGTCTCCAATAGAATGCATTGGACGCAGAACTATATTTTCTATCAAGTACTATCATCTTTCATGAAGATCATTGCGCAGATTAATTTCATTAGACGTGTCTTCTAGCATATGAACAGGGACCTCCTGATTTCGTTTTATGCTACAGTTAGCGATAATTTGAACCTATGTCGATTTTAAAGAGAGAAAAACAAGTCTATGAAAGCGTTAAACAGATATAAGAACCAATAAGGAAATATATTGTCTTTTGTTTCCTCGAATCAAAATTTATCTTCGATGAAACACGTATGGAGAAAATCGAATGGAAAAATGCTCAACATTGTACCAGTTATATTAATGATGAAACGTTAGATCTAGATGGTTTATATAATGATTTTAATAATATACAATCGAAATATATTGAATAGAAAGAAAACTACGGTACAATTAATAAGCAAATACAATCATTTCTCTCGTCAAATTTAGGTATATCAAAACGAGTCGAACCACGAGTGACTGATGGTAATGGTCAAAGTTTATGTGATGAATGTGAAGATACACATGATTTTGATTCCGATGATAATGAAAGTGTTGCTAAATGTCATAAAAATCAAAAAGAAAATCGTCCAGTGAGAGTTGACCATTGTTGGCTGTATTTACGTGATGGTGACGATGTTCCTAACTTGAAAAAGCTTGTACGATTTGTTTCTTCCTATTCCTGCTTGAAATGTATTTTGTGAAAAACAATCTTTAGACATATGAAATATTTATGGAATGACAATAGAAATCGAATGAGCTATGATTTCGTTGGAGTCGAGTTAAAAATTAAAATGAACACTCATTTTACTTGCACACAATTCTGTGATTAGATGTTAAATGAAACAGATTCGATCGTCAGATAATTACAGTCACGTCGCGCAAGTGCCACGAATTCCTGAGTAAATCAGTTACGTTTTTTCTGCGTTGCATTTATATGTGTTTTGATTTTCTATTTCTAATAAACGCGCTTTAATTATCTACTAAAATAAACTTAATGAAATCAGCATTGTATTTACGATTTTTATTTGCCTACAAGGAAATTCGTCAACATCAATCTCATTAGGACAATAGATTCATGCGTCTATTAATAAAAAGTGGGTTGTTATCAGACAAAAACCATCGAATGACTGTTCAATGTCAGCAAAAACTGCTACTCATTTTTCTCCTCATCTTTCGCAAAACGTTCTGGCTTGGATGTTGTTCGTATTGATCATTTGGTGTAATAAATTTAATGACTTCTAACATATTTTCTCAGCAAAGATAGTTTTGCAGAACAAATCAGAAAAAGATAATAGTCAACGATCGAGCATATATGAAGAATTTCGCAATCACATCAGATCCTATTTTATTTTTGTAATTTTTTCGATAAACAGAAGAAAAGTGGCACCATGTTTTAAGATGACTTTTATAGCATGTGACGTACACTACTTCAAATGGTTTACTCGAAGTTAAAAGTATCTAGGATTTAACACGTTTTCGAACAAATCTCGTACAAAAAGAAAAGTGCTTGTGAGATTTCTAGATACAACAATTGCGTCAATATCACATTTCTGGCTGTGAAAAGATTTATTTTTACGAAGATTCGGTCCATAGAGTTCAATACAATTGAGAAATAGAAATGTTTCTAGCTGAAACAGCACGGAAAGAATTGTGTTAGTGCTGTTTGATTTTTCTCCTTGTCAAATCTATTCGAAGAAAGTATCACTGAAATGAAAAATTATCAATAGCAGTTCATAACTATTCTCTCTGTTGTATGCAGCCTTTTGAATGATTTACAGTAAAATCAAGTGTTATTTGAATCAGTTTATTTGTTACTTCGTGCTACTCTTTCACAAATGTCAGAGATTAATTTTTTCATAGATAGATCATTGTGATTCATTAAGAAAAACATTGTGATGTGTAATAAATTTGCTTCTGGTGGCATATTCTGTACAAGGAAAGGTATAAGATTAATATGCAGGTAGGAATTATTTTCCCGATCATTCACTTGAAAATGAGAGCGAAATATTTTTTGCATTTTAACTATCTAGTATTAATTAATATCAATATTACCTTATTTTTAATAGAATTTCAACCTGAACAGTGAACAAAATAAAAGCAAAATTTCACATGATACTCTAACCGTTGAGTAAGAGTCGGGCAATTCTTTTTAACGAAAAACGTCTATTTCTCGACTTCCTACGTCACTGAAATCGATCATCATCGCAATATCAGAAGTATGCAATTGGAATAATTCTTGAAATAGAAAACGCACATAGAACGTGGAAAGTTAATCGGAAGCGTCTCAATTAAATTGACGCGCAATTTTATTTCATAGTTTTCTTCGAAATAGGATAGTAGAAATTTAATCATTTTTCTAATAATGAATTTATTTTGATAAAGTCTGTTGATAAGTTACACATGCGTAATAATTTATAAATCATCTCTAAACTGAATAGTAATAACAACTAAATGTAGAATATGCTATTGTCACTTTCAACTGCGCCCGATAAAAATAGTGTCGCTAGTCTACAGAGAAGAAAAAGTAAAAACTAGATGGAGTTCTCCTTTTTTTAGTAAACATAGTCCATACTTTATATTCCAGACAAATCACATGCGCGAATTCCTTTACTTAAATGAATAATCATCTTCAAGTTAAAGTTCGTTTTTAGTAATTATTGCGTTAAGTAAAATTAATTTTTATCGATAAAAAATGGCATTCGACGATAGGTGTCGGTTACACAGTTAATAATATACTGAGATTCTATAATAAAAAAATAAAAATAAACATAAACAACAGTGAAAAAATTTATTTCTTTGTTTCATCTTCAGATATAAGATTCAAATAAAAATGTCGCGTGATTTTATCGGTAGCAAAATCGCGATTATTACGAAATCTCAAATTCGATATGTTGGAACAATTATTGGTAAGTTTTAAACAAATTCCTTTTCTTTTTCAAAGATATCTATTTTTCTTCTTTTTTTTTATTAAGGAATCGATGCACAAACATCATCCATACTTCTCGGCAATGTAAAATGTTTTGGCACAGAAAATCGTGCAGGACCTTTAACAAATGCTAATGTGACTAATACAATATTACCGATAATGCAATTTGCTAATAGTGATATTGAAGATTTGAAAATTGTTGATGAGGAACAAACACCAGAAAGTCCACAACAAAAACCATCTTTGGTAGCTGCTACATCGTCAACGCTAGTACCTACAGCTTCTCAACAATCATCAATTCATGATGATCCTGCAATTTTATCAGCTGTTGTTAGTTCAACATATAAGGATAATGCATCGAACTCATCCATATCTAGTCGATTAACGCAAAATCTTCAACAAATGACTTTATCTGATGAAAAACAAAAATTACAAGCGAAAAATGAAGGTAAAAATCTTGTACTAGAAAGTAACGTTGTCCTGAACATATCGATACTAAAATTTAACAGCATTATATATTAATATCTAAGTATAACTAACTAGTACCCGTGGATAAAATTTTATTTCAATAATAGCAAAATAATAAATATTTATTCTACATTAATATAATCAAAACTAGGTGACATGGGCAGCTATAATTTTATTTATAGGAATCTTAATTGACGCGGTATGAATATATTACTTAGCAGTTTTTAGTTAGTTCATGCGAAGTTATTTTCTCCTACAGGAATACTAATACATCAAATATTAAATTTCCCGTTTCTCATTTATAGAATCTCGTATGCGTGCGGATTCCGGTGAATTAGGTCCATCTTGGTCTTTACTTTCTCAATCGACTTGGGAAAATAACAATAGCAAACCAAAGCCAACATCTCAACAACCTTCAGAGAATAAAAGCAAATTCTTCGATAGTTTTATATCAGATAATAATAATAATAATAATAATACAAATACAAACACGAACCGATTTCAACCTAATCGTCCTCATCAACGTATATCAAATACTCATTCAACTCAAACATTTCGTGAAAATGGCGGTCGTTATAATGGACAACAGGATGATAATGAATTACCTGTACGACAACCATTTTTTGCCGATGATAGTCCATATCCTCAAAGACAACAACAACAGTCAAACCGTTATCAAAATGATAGCATACAACCAAACCGTTATCAAAATGATAGCATACAACCAAACCGTTATCAAAATGATAGCATACAACCAAGCCGCTTTCAAAATGATAGCATACAATCAAATCGCTATCAGAATGATAGCATACAATCAAATCGCTATCAGAATGATAACATGCAAAATAAACAAAGGTATTTTCATAATAATTATCGTTTACAAAAACCACATCAACAACGATATCCAGGTAGTCATGGTGGTGGAAATCGTGAAACATTTCAAGGTAATCCCGATGATTATGATGATGAATTTGATTTTGAAACAAGTAATCAGAAATTTAATAAGTTAACAAGTGACGATGAATTGAAACCTCAAAATGACTTCACAAGAAATCATCCTGCACAATTACAAATCGATAACGATTTAATGAGTGTACATCCAACTGTGTATGATAAAAAGAAATCGTTTTTTGATAATCTTGCACCGACCGAACAGTCAGATGCATCAGCATTACACGGATATAATCGTTCAAGAAACAAGGATACATTTAATCATGATGGTTATCAACATCATAACAATCGATTTAACGGTAATGGTAATGGTTATCGACGATCTAATAATAATCATCGACAAAATCAATATGGGAATGAGGATTTTAGTTACAAACAACACAGCAGCAACAAAAATGGATATAATTATCAGTATTAATCACTTATTCTTCCTTCCTATTGCAGTGATTGTATCTCATATTCAAAGAAGAAAAGAAAACGTTTTTTAAACTAATGATCTCTTTTGCTTTTCATTCCGTTTGTTTCTTTTGTATAGATCTTCTCTCTCTCTTTTGTATATCCTTTAGTGAGAGCGTGATCTAATGTTTCGTTCGTTTTTTTTTTGTTCCTGGCAATAAGAAAAACAAACTTGGTATTTATGTGTACAGGTCTCTGCGCCCATGACAGATATAGTGCCGGTTGATATTTTTTTTGTAGTTTCATCTTTATCGTTTGTTTGTTCATTTTTTTCTCGTTTTCTCTAAACATAACATACACATGCATAGAGTTTCCTTGGCTTTTTAAAACTTTGAAAGATATATTCGTCACTTGATGAAAAACATAAAAGAAAAACTTGTATTCTATTCATTGCTGTTGTTGTTCTAGTTTGTCTTTTCTATTCGTGCATTCTTTATTTTTGTGTATGAGTCAGAGAAACAAATCTTGCGCAATATAACCTACTCAGATCGATTATAACTATTGGCAAGAAGCACAAAATATCATAATAAAAAAAAGAAAGTTACACAAGAAATGTGTCTATTTTATTCTACCAGAAAATACTTTACAAGACGACAACTGCGAATGTTTACAAAATTCATGGTTAACGCTTTCCGGCCGGCTGTTTGAAAATTGCCGTACCCCCGAAGGGGAAAAATTTGCCATTTGGCAACACCCAGCCGGAAAGGGTTAAATGATCTATAGAAAAAATAATAAGAATGATACAAAAACAAATTGCATTACTTGTCTGGTTTCGACTTTTCCACAATACAGTACTCGTTTATGTGCAAGATCCAGCTTCAAAAGAATAATCTATTCAATTTTCGATGCACGTGAACATCTATAGTTAGAAAGGTAACTCTTCTATCTTTTTCTATAGTCGTTCTGGAATTGATTCATCGTGTGCTTCACTACCATAACCATGAGCCGAATAAGACATAATGGCATTTGAAATTCCTTTTCTCTTATTCGAATGCATTGAAAGCGATCATAGTTTGCCCAAAACAAGCTTAAAACAAACATTTTTTTACTCTGAAATATACTCGTTCTTATTTCAGTCAATGACAACATACTATTTGAAATAAATTTAAAAAACAAAAGCTAGTTTAATATCTTGAATTAATCGCTATTAACAGTAATCTATTCGTTGTTGAATATGTTTGCTTCTATTTATAATTTTCTTTATGCTCAATCTTTACTTCTACTTCATTAGAATTCAGCGCATGAAAAAATAGCAATCAATTAACTTTACCATAGCAGTTATCTCATTAACTATGACTTCACTTGTGCACAATTATCTTCGATAGAACTTGAAAGAAGCTTTAGGCACATAGTATTCCGAATGATTTAATAAATCTAATTATTAATAAATGACAACTTGTGACAATGTCATTTCGCACTGCTTGTTTATTTTTGAAAAATACCGTATATTCCTATTTCAACATAAAACTTGGAGTTATGCAAAATTTTATATCCAAAAAAATTGATAATAAATTTTCTCTTCAATTCTTTTTTCGATTTCGTCGATAGATTGATCGATAGTTTTTATTTAAATGCTGTTTCCACCATTGTCGAATATTATCCAGTTATTCCCGTTATTCGAATTGATTCAGTGAGCAATCAGCAAAATTAATTTATCGTTTTTCTTTACCTGCAAATTAAAAATATTTCTTTCAAGATCCTATCGAAGGAATTCAAATAATTGTTTTAACAACTTTCACATCTGTATTTCAGCCTTTAAAAAATAGCTATTACACCAGAATTTCAATTTAAATAAAATAACAATATACCCACAAGATAAAAGGCTTTCACTATAATTGTCTCAGTTTTATTCGTAACTTTCATCTCCAAATCAATCTGAACAAGGTTACGCAAAGGTCAAGCGAAAAATAAAATCTCGGAGCCCTCTATTATCAAAATGCACTAGCCTATCTCAACTAGAAATCGGGTCCATCACGATTTTCATTTTGTCAAGCATTTTTCTCAAATAAAATTTTATACGATTGATTTATTTAATTTATTGCCAATCGTTTCGATTTAACCATTTTATTAAAGATACTGATTCAGAAAGAAACAAAATACTAATGACAAAAAGTCACAGCTTATAGCTACAAGAAAAAATATTCATTGAAAACATAAAATACTAAGCATTGTAGGACTTCGATTTAAGCATTCTTTATAATAAAACGCTGCTGAATATCATATAATTAAATTTCTTCCTACATTTATATAGATCATCTTAAGTACTAACTATATTTCTTACAAAATCTAATGAAATAGCTAACTAACACACTCAATTTTCAATGTCTTCAAGACTCCGTCGAGATACTTATTCATTCCATAGATGATTTTCAAATTGAATTTCTTTATGATTTCATTTTTAAATGAATCTTTGAGTTCTCCTATATCTATTTCAGTTAATCATTCTATCGATACAACGATAGATTACTCTCTCTCTCCCTGAACAAGGTCTTTTATTCCTGTATGTATGTAAAAAAAAAGGAACGTATTCATCGATCCATGAAGGACTCGAAACGTTTCAATTGATTTATTTTAAAATGATCAAATAAATTCATTCAGTCTAAAACTGCTATTATATAATCTTTTTCTTCTTAAATATTAGGGTAAATTCAATTTTTTTCAAGTTAATTTTTCCAATGAAAATAAAATAGTATATTCAAGAAACATAAATATTTATGAATCTAAATATTCTCATATATCGTTATAAAACATGAAAACCTTGTCTATAATGCGCATAACTAGCAGTCGTGTCCTTGCCATATTATGACTGTATACGAAACGGTTTCGATTTTGTTTCTTTCTCTTTTTTTTTGTTTTATATTTCTCCATAAGAAAAATTTTTTGTTTTTGATTAGCAGTTTGGCTAATTAAAGCCATGTTACGTTCTAATCTGCGAGCTGATCAAAATCAGTTTTATGCCGGACAGACAAATGTAAATGGTTATAATACTGAACAAAGAAGAATAAACAATCAAACGGTATCATTCGCAACTCCACGTACAACTAATGGGAGACCACTGGAAAATTCTCAATTTATTCTTCAACCAAATCAAGCAAATGTTCAGTTCCATAATAAGAATAATACTTCATCGCAATCACAAGCATGGCAAACTGTAAATGGAAATACATATTCAACAACAGATTCAATTCTTACACAAGCACTTCCAGGGACACTTTCAACGCCCAAAGGATGGTATAGTGAAGTAGTCAATTCATCAGAACCTGCTGCAAATCAAGTCGAAACAAATCTATATACAGATATGATTGAAACCAATCAAGATTATCAAAATTTTGAGTCTTCGGATGCTTCTCCAATAGTATATGCTTCGACAGACCAAGTAAATCAAATAGTTAACGGAGCATCATCAACAAAATTACTTCCTTCAATAAACGTCAGAAACATGAATAATAGTCGTGTTGATTACAGTAATACAGCTGATAATTATTGTTCAAGTCAAGAACAGCCAACATTAGTAACAACACAACAACAAATTTCGACAGTCAATGTCCAACCAGAATTACCTCCAGAGCCACCTGTGGTTGTGCGTAAAAAATTACTAAATGACACTGTAACATATAGACAAAATGTTAGTGTCCGATACTTACAACCACCGACACCACCACCCCCTGGACCAATTATTATTCGTAAGAGAAAATTCTTAGAAAATTAGGCTGTTGATTTTATTTTTCAGGTGAAATTTGTCCTCCGCCACCACCTCCACAATCACCTGTTCAAGTATTAACGATTCATTCGATGTTTAATTTAATTTAATTGTTTTATTCTATACTTTTAGATTCGGCAACGGCCAGCACCTCCCCCTACTCCGCCTCCAATAGTAACTAAGACAAATATATTCGAGAAAATAAAAATTATATTTATTGTTGCTTTTAAAGGTAATTAGAGATAGACCTCCACCAGCTCCACCACGGCTTCCTCCACAAATAGTCGAAAAACTATTACCACCACAGCGCCCTCCACCACCTCGTACGATTACCGAATATTTTGCACAACGTCCGCCTAAACCAGCTGATGTTATTATCGAACGATGGCTACCTTATAAACGTACTGATCGACGACGAATATTTTTCGAACGAGCACCAGCACCTTATATGTAAATTTATTATCTATGATCTGCAATTAATATTGTTCTCTCAAAAATATTTTTAGGCCACCCAGAGAACCAAATCTAATTGTTGTACACGATCAAGCACATGCACGAGTTCACAAGGAATTTATAAATGGAGGTGTTATTCGAGCTGATCCTCAATACTATGCTCAACAGTTTGGAGCTGAATTTGATGCATCGCTTATCAAATCAAAATATGGTCATTTAGTAGATGAAGCAACTCATAGTGTACCACCGCCTCCTCTTCAACAAATACCTCCAACAAATATTCAACAGTATCCTGTGTCATACTCGGGTGGTTATCAATCGCCTTCATCTCCTTTGATTTCAACCATCTGGGATCAAATGAAATCATTCTCACCATCACCACAACCACCGTCTTATCCGTATCCTAATTCTTATCGTTATTTTGGGCAATCTCCCGAAATGAATCATCTAAATTCGTATCAATCTCATAATGATTATAGAAATCAAATAGGCGACATTCGAACAATGGCCGATTCAGCATCTCTATGGAATCGTGATTCTTATTCATCATATCCTCGTCCACATATCCCATCTTATCAATTTTCATCTGCATCACCTCTGCCGACAAAAACATTTCAAGTGAATTCTGACAGAGAACTTGAAAATGTTCTGTCTGACCTAACAAATGGCCATGTACCACCACCATTTCGATCAAATTAAAAGTTTTAAAAACAAAGAAGCTTATCTTTATTTTATTTACAGGTTACTTTCCAGAATAGATTAAGTTAAATATTTAAGATTTAAAAAGAAAGAAACAGAAAACTATTCTCTCTATTTTGGTCGTTGATTTCTTGGTTTTTTAAGAAATTGTCCTTCACCTGAAAACGGTTGAAATACAGCGGCACTTGGTTTTTCTGTTGTACTAGTATTTTCATCGTTAATTGAACGCAATGGTAGACGTAAAAATTGTAATGTACCATATTCATAATCATAATTCGGTACTCCACGTGTTTGTTGAATTTGTAAATTATTCTGTTGTTCTTGATCTTTAGATTTATTTTTTCCATCTAACCGATTTCCTTGTCCATGAAATGGCATAAAAGTCGATGGATTTTTAAAACTGCTCGATATACCTGACAGAGGATCACCCGGTGTCATTGCCATTGCAGTCGTTGTTTTAGGTGTTGTTGCTATATTTTGAGTCGTTGTTGGAATATATTTTGGTTCAACATAATCAATAGGTGGTGCAAAATCAACTTCCATATCACATTCAATAATCGACACAGCATCAGCAGGTTTCAATTCCACAACATGTAATTCATAATTTCGATTGAGATAATTAATTGCAATAAGATCTCCTTTTGATAAACAATTAAAATTCCGTAAAGCTGTTTCTAGAACAGCCTTTGGATTTGAAATGTCAAGAAAATCTTTTGATTGAGGTTGAAAACGTACGAATCGAGCTGTTGGCAATGCAACAGATTCAACACATAATTCATCGCCTTCTTGTAATAATAAGTGATGCATCATCCAATTGGGTAAATAACATGTTGTATTATCATTTGGTAAAAATTCCAAAACACCACAATGCGTAATACGATCATATTTTTTATTGTTTAATTTAAATAACATAACACCAGTCTAGTAAAGCAGCAAAAACAAAATATTGATTTCTATTCAACAAAAACAAATTTACTTGTTCAATCAGATGTTCTAAAGCAGCTTGTGGAAGTAAAATCTTTCCACCATTTTCAACATTGAGTCGTTCACGATCACGATCAGGCAGAAATGCAGCTGAATAACATTGATAAACTGCACGAAATGGACCACCGACACCGCCGCCCATTTGTGGACCACCGAAATGTTGTCGGAAAAATGGATTTAAAAACATGATAACAGTCAAAAACAGTCTGAAAGTGAAAAAAATAGATAGTTTGAATATATGACCAATACAGATTCACATTGAATAGTAAAATAAAATCTAATCTTATTCGACATAATCATTCTGAAAATATAGTATTCTTTTTAATTGTACCCAAAATTCTATTGATCAGATTGTTTGAATACCAATTCGAACTCATGTCAATTATTTCGATTCGAGATTTGTTTATTTCATTTTTATTGACGTGATCTACGTAAGAAATCGTTCAACTAATAAATGACTAAGAACATCATGTTCTATACATTGTTATTCTTAAATAAACTCTTTCATTCTCCATAAAGCATCAAACTATGCGATTGCTTTACCTTCACTCGCATGGTTATTACTATGAATAAATGCATATTTTAGTCATTTTTTTTTATGAAACACATAATTGACGCGATGTGAACTATATGATAGAAATCATGATTAACCCTATATTTACTTTTGATGATGTCGCTAACTCAACAAACATTTGTGTTTCACCAATGAAATTTCAATAAGAAAATCCTCAGTGATGAAGTCAAAAATTCTGTCTCATCCATACATGTACTAGAGGGAGCTAGCTTAATATTTTATAACGATAAAAATTATTGTGTCCAAGAGGAGACGATCGTGGCTGCTTACATACGTTTCCTAGGATATATAAATATATAAATTGAACAATAAAAGAATCAATCAATTAATTAATAATATCTCTAAATCATCAATGCAAAAAAATCATCAACACCTTGTACGACCATGCGCCGTTTTCCTTGAACGTTTAAATGATACATTTATTCCATCAAAACGTTACAAAGTCGATGCAGATATTATATATCGATCATCGAATGAACAATCTACTCATAATAGCAATGAAGAATTATCCGTTGATGTTCTTATGTTACCTAATAATAAAGTTAAAATCTCATCCTCATCAATATTTGAAGATCTACCCATGAATTCAAATAGTCAAATAACAACGAATGATGGGGATATAAAACCTGTCGTACGTATACGTCCACATCAATCATCAGTCGACTCCAATGATTATGAATCTGCAACGACCAATAAACGTCATAGTTCATTACGTCGGAATGAATCCTCATCATCGAAAAACTATGATAATGATTTATATTTATTTAATAGTACATTTGATTCAGGTGACGAACTTGGTGTCGATTTAAATGATGATGATTTAGCTTCAATAAATCATGTATTAGATTTTGATGATGACGATAATATGTCAAATTTTGATGACGACCATCAACAATTATCATCAACAACAAATAGTAATCATGGACCTGGTTATCATTCAACTCAATTGCCTGACTTGGTTATGGGTTCAATACGTTCCGAGAATGGTATTAAATCTGAGCCATCATTTCAATATAGTGATTTATTTAATCGTAAAGGACGTACTTTTGTATGTGATGAACGTGGAAATCGTGTTGTTTCAGTTAAACTCGAGAAAAATTCAGCCAAACGTTTGATCGACGCAATTGAAAGAAATTCCGGGCGTTTAATTCTAGAAGAATGTCGTCGTGGAGATTTACAAGCACATATTTTAAAAGTATGAAAGCAGAATAAAAGACGATAGGAAAACTAACATTTGATTTCTTTTGTGAATATCGTTTAGGTTGTGTTTAAAGATGAACAAGAATTCTTTGATTTTAATCGTTCGGCTATTGTTTCAAAACATTCATTTAAACAATGTCCGGAAATGTATACAAGATTTCTTGAAAGTTTATTTGAATCACAAACATATACAAACGAAACTGAACATGATCCACTTGGTTCTGATGTAAGTTTTTCGTTTTGAATTCTTACCATAGATTTTTAGGTTTGTCAACAAATTCGAAATTCTTATAGATTTCTTTATTCGTGTTACGTAGTCTCGACAATGAGATCTGCTCCCAGCTGGAATTTCCAAGTTGTGCATGAATATTCATGTTTTCTGTGACGTCTGTTCTAATCGGTCGAACTATATCTGTTTCACCCGTAGAGATTATTCTACACATTATGAGTGCTGATTATTTACGTTAATTTGCAATTCTTATGAGATTCGAAATATTGTAAATTGATTGAGAAAAATAGAATTGACCTTTCAAACTTATTAACTATAGGATTCAATACAGTAGCCATGTTGATTTATTGTGCAATTTGTTTCTATTTATATAAATTCTATATGTAGATGTCTCAATTAATAATTGACTTGATATATGGGATAACTACATGCACTCATATGGTTCTCACCAGTGTCTCCGATGTGATTCTGTTGAGGACGTTGCCCTCTAGTTGATAATTAAATATCATTATAATATAGTTATGAGGCATATTTAATTATTCTACGCAAAAATAAACAATTCGCAAGTACTTCATCCATCTGATTAAGAGAGAGTCATGCTGGTGTCTATAGAAGAAAAAAAAACGTTTTATAAGACAAGTTGTGCTTTCTCAAAACAGTTGACTTACTTTTGAAGAATTGCTCGTTTTGCGGGGGATTAAATTCTCAACAAATCGCTATTTCCTGTAGACATATCATAAAATGCGAAGCTTTCACTAAATAATACGATCGTTCAATTTTCTAGGAAGTCGATCAATTAAATCATTCATTTGTTTGTAAAGTTCATGAATGTGGTGAAACATTTACATCAAGATCTGAAGCATTAAAACATGCTAAAAAACATGCAGGTAGCAAAATCGAAACTCAAGTTTCTATATATTCACGTAACATTTTATTTTTTTAATTTTAGAACTAGATCCATTCGATTTTGTCTGTGATCATTGTGGAAAGAAATTTCTTGGTATTGCTAATATGAAACGACATCTACGTGTTCATATGGGCAGTGAAGGAAAAGATTTTGCGTGTCCCTTATGTCATTATCGTGGTTGTACGACTACACATGTTAAACGCCATATGGCACATAAACATTTAGAAAAGTAAAAAAATATTGAAGTGAGAAGAAAAAAATTAATTCTTTTTTTATTGTTAAATTCAGATCGATTCCATGTCCTTATTGTTCATTTATGGCTGCAACAAATGCCGATCTAAAAATTCATATGGCACGTAGACATTGGGATATCGAAGGACTTGATATACTAAATAATCTTCCTAAAACATATAAAAAAGAATGGAAATGTAATAAATGCGATACAGTTTTTCATGATTATTCCGTAAGAAAATCAAAAACGAAAACAATTCATTTTAATCTCATTTTTTGTTTTAATTAAATAGGATTTTCAAAATCATATTTACAGTCATTCAAGTCAAACAAATAAATTTCAATGCAATTTGTGCCCATATAATTGTAAAAGTTTTTCAAAATTAAAAGTAAAATTTTTCTTTATTTTATTTCACGTGTGAAACTGTCTGCTGTTTATTTCTAGCGCCATATGCTTTATCATCAAGGTCAACGTAATTATGAATGTCCGAAATGTAATAATAAATTTTATCAAATGGAACATCTTAAACGCCATTTAACATCAATACATAAATTAAATATACCACAAATTGGCCGCGGAAATCGTTTGTTTAGTTCCGATATATTAAAACGGGTAAGACAAAAAAAAACCTCTATGGAGAACCTGTTTTCCTCTTTATAAAAAAATAAGAAAAGTTCGGGAGCTTATTCAATTTGTTTTTGTTAAACACAGTTGTGCAACAGTACCTAGAGCTATTTCGAATCCAATTCTTTGTAAGAACAGACGTAGCGATTGTGTATAAATACCCTTTGCTTTTTACTTCAAAATAGATTCACTAATCCATGAACGATTTCTTTTCAAAGCTATGTTTGTAAGCTCAGATTTAAAAAGGACTCCACAAACAGGCACGAACGTTCTCTATAAGTATACTACCCATTGATAGTCCGTAATAGAGGAATAATTAGAAGAACTTGTCGGAAGACCGCATCGTTAGTTCTATTCACTCGAGTGATGAAGATTGAAAATTCTAATAATATTGTTTTTTTTAAATTTAGCATTCAGACATGCCAAATATGCCACCACCTCATGGCACCGTTCCTCAATGCTATAAAGTCATATCAAAATGTGTATTCACATGTCAAAAATGTCCGTTTTCAACAACAAAACTCTATCATCTAAACGAGCATGTTAAAAGTGAACATTTACAATTAGATGATTCAGCACATGTTTGTACTTTTTGTTCATATATAACTGACAAAAAAACGAATCTTAAAGTAAAAGAAAAAATTAAATTTTATTCCTTTTCATAGAATTTTTATTCGAACGTGTCTTCTTTTCTAGCGCCATTTACATCATAATCATGCTGGTCAATCTAACACGCCCGTACTTTTATCGAATGATGCACTTTTATCAAATCCAAATACTAAGTATGAGAATTAAAGAAAATTTCATTGGAAAAATAAATCCTTTATTTAGATTTCAATGTGGACTATGCCGTCGATATCAAAGCAATGTTGATGAATTCATTAAACATATTACCGAAAAACATCGTATGGATGTATGTATTAATTGTTTTGAAATAAAATATCAAAGTGAAATATTCATTTTTTTGTTGCGTTGTTTAGGTTGTTATTTTAGACTCAGCTAATAATGGAAATATTCATCAACAGATAAAGTCTCGTGGCCGTGCTGAGGTTCGTTGAAACTAAAAACATGCTTCGTTTTCATTTTTCTCTATGTTCTTGTAGTTAATCTGTGCAAGTAATAATTCAACGCCATTTCGATTTGATGAATACGGTGGTCTTGTCACTGTCATGAAAAATCCGATCAATCCAAATGAAACAACAATAAATAATCCAAATAATTCAGCAACCAATTCAACCACAGATTTTCTACTTCAGCAATAAAGATATTACCAAACATGGTTTTCTCTTTTATCTCTCTCTCTCTCTCTTTTTTTCTCTTTCGCTCTCTTTCGCTCTACCTTTATTTCATTTTCTGTATACACAATTGTTATTTTAACAATCAGTCAGTCCTCATAGGATTGTATTTTGCATCTTTAAAAAGAAAAAAATTCGTACAGAACGTATTTATGTGTTTTGTTTGTTTGTTTTGTTTGTTCGTTACAAAAAAAAACAACATTGTCAACAGAGAAAACAATCCAATTTAATGACTGGATTATTTTCTTCATTGGCATAGTAATAAATAAAAAAAAGAAATCCTATTTAGAGCATTGAAATTTAACCGTAATAAAATCTTGTTGATGAAAGAAACTTGTGTATGTATGATGAAAAACGTTTTTGACTCAATGCGTTAACGGTCGAGGCGTCTTAGAAAAATAGGTAATTCGGTACGCTCAGTGAAATGCAAAACTATTTATAGTTGTTATTAATATTCTAGTAGATTGGACGAGATGAACAACATCCGAAAATAATCAACATTTACGTCAATCATTCTGAAGGATGCGTAAAATGAGTTTAATGCATCTACGAATGTCAACAAGTCATAGAGCTTATCCATTGGTTATATTTGATCAACAATTAAGAATAGTTTCTATTATTACTTAAGTTCATTTGTTTTTTTTCGCAGCGCAATTATAGGATAAATTTATCCTTTTAGTGCAGAAACTAAGTAATTATATAGTGATTTCACTTGTCTTGCAAGTATATACTTGATTGATACTATTCGTTACCCTGATTATCCTGATCATTAAATACCAGGGTGCCTATCCATATCCAAGAAAACGGTGCATAAATGACCGTAAACGGCGTAAAAACGGCGCCGTTTTCCGTCAGCTCAGAAAACGACAAATATAGCGTTAAAAATAATGACCGTTTTCTAGCAAAAAAACGGTCCGTAAAATGAGCTGACGGATTACGGCAAAATAAGGTGAAAATTAATGACTTATTATACCGTTTTATAGCCGTTTCGGGCCTGATTAGATGCCTGTTCCGACGGCCGAAAAGGTTGTCCTGGGTAACGCTTTATAATGAAGTTCAAAATTGGTAACAATCTTTCTTCTGTATGAATTCTTTGTAGTTAGTTTTATTCAAAATCACATTGAAGAATAATTGAAGCGTAGTTGGTATTGTGTATCTGCAAACATCCAAAATGTCTAGGATTACTGATAATGAAAAATAAAAATGATACTAAGTAGGTTGATCTTTTTAATGATTTCTTAAAATTTCAATGATAGCTTGAAAAATTTTCACTCCTAATCTACAATAGAGAAAATGCATGTCGTCGATAGAAAATCTTCTATTTTCTATTGTCATAAATAGAGGTATAGACAAAAGAAAAAAAATATGATAAGAATCTAAGTTAGACACTCTATGTCAATGATTGGGAGACATGGTGTTTTTTGTTTTTTAGAGAACTTCTATCCTTCAGTTTAATGTATCCATTATATTATGGGAAACACTAAAGTATGATGAAGTAGCATCAAGATCAATCAAAATTTGAAATAGAATAAATAGATGGCATAAAATTATTATTAGTTGAGCGGAAATGAACATGTAATCCATTGATCTCATTGACCGAAAGAATAAATTACAGTTTCTGCTCATTTTCTCAAATTATTGAGACTCGCAATGCGTTACAGGAAAGCAAAAATAAAATTCCATTTCATTTGATATTTCTTATTTTGTTGTTTTTGATCTTTTGGAAATCGAAAGGTAGACGCGAACCTATGTTATGATATTTTAACAAAAAACAAATGTAGTCATAATATACTCTTTTTGTTAAAATTCGTACTAGAAAATAAATCATCATGTCAAAATTTAGGTTCAGTGCAAATTATAGTTTTCAGAGTAAAACGAATAGTCTTAATAGATTGCACGCAACGGTTGATTAGAATGATAAAGATGTCATCCGATATTCGAGATCAATTTCTATAAATAAATTATTGTGTGCAATGCACGCAACGTCGTTTTTCTTTCCAATACTTTTTCCTACGCTAAATTTATTTTCTCAGTCTTTCTTTTAATCAACTCTCTTTCTTCGAAGAAGAGGCTTTCTCAAAAATATAAAACGGTAGAAAAATATGATATCATAAATCATAATATACAGTAAAACTCTTATTTCTAATTTCAAGATTAACCTCATATAAAATTTCACTTATCTTTTAGTCATCGTCATTGAAAGAAGGATCTCATATTTCTGCTATTCTTACAGTTGAGAAATAGGAAGACGTGTATGCGCAGTTATCTTTTTTGTTTTTAAATTTTACTAGAACATCAATTTTATAATTTAGACGGTTAATATTCAATGCATACATCGCAGCGCTTGCCAGGATTCACTGTAATTTGTTTTCAAATTCTATAAATTGGAAAATCGATCTCAAATAAGCTGAAGCATTTTTAAAGCTTTATGATTTATTCATTGAATTTTGAACAAATTCAAAATGCTTGATTTTCCCATTTATAGAAATTCAATTTGAATTTCAAAAGAAACCATTTTCTGTAAAGTGGAAAATCCACAATAGATTTCAGGCCATTTGAAAATAAGTTCTGATTTCATAGAAAATTGATTTGGAATTTTTAAAAAGGAAAAAATTGATTCTATTTCTTCCAAGATTGTCGAAACAAAGACTGTCGCTTAGTCATTGTCCTGTCTTAGCGTATAAGTCAGTAGGTATAATGTTAAACATTCATCATTTTCTTGAACTCGCTATTAGGAGTTGTCATATCTTTTTCTTCATTTTACTTTGGTATTAATTTTCTTTTTCCTTTTACTTTTTTAATTCTTATTTTATATTAATTCTTGTTCTATTTTAGTTTCTATTTTATTGTAGCTTCAATTCTGTTATATTTTTTTGTTTGATTTTTTATTTTGTTTTAGCCTGCAATGCTTGCTATTTTATTTTTTCATATGGTATGTTATTTCATTGTATATTTTTATTATTTTATTTCATTTTTATATATTTTTTTATTTGTTTTTGTTGCACTTTATTTTATTTCCATCATCAAGTACGAAATGCTTCATGATGACGAGAAAATCAATTTCGACTTTCTACTTTTTGGAATATATTCTATATATCGGATCCGAAATTCAAGGAATGCCTATATGAATTCACTTTCGATTTTCCAATTAGAAAATCGAGGTTCATATTTTTTATCTTTTGAATATCTTATTTTCAAGAATTTAGAAATTCATCGGCGAATTCATATAAGCATTCCTAGAATATCCTTGATTAAATTCTAGAACCAATTTTCTAGTTTACAGTGAATTACAGCAAAAACTTATTTGCAAAGAGCGTCCCCTTCCGGGATTTATCGGGAGACTGCGATGTGTAATTCAATGTCAACTAATTTTCATCTATTTACAATCGAATAATGGAAAAAAATAGTAACGCTGACAGAAATATGTAAATACTGAATATATCATTTAGGTTTACTGGCGTCAATAATCTCTCAAGAACACGCTATGAAAATTGACAATATCCTATACTTTTCTTCTTCTTTTGTTTTTGGTACAAGTATTTAAATGCATATAAAACAAAACATTTTGTTCTATACTTGTGTATTTTTCTTTCTTCTTCTTGCGCGAAAGTGGAAAACGTCATCGTAGCACTCGAGGTCCTTTCTTTCTTCTTCTATATCATTTTATTTTATGAAGATGTAATCTAGAAGAGCATCGATGATGGCGACGAAAAAATACGACAGATCTTATAGTGCCCATTTTTCACCTAATTATAGCGACTTCTTTGATGTTTAGTATACTGAAGTACACAAGCCATTGTAAGTACCATCCGGAAGCTTTTTGACTTTTTCTCGTTATACAACTATAGGAATTCCAGTCGCTTCACAGCTATGCCTAAGATTCGTCTAAGAGGTTACACTAGGAATGACAGCTCCAGTTTAGCGTTAAAAAAATCGACCATTTTTTATTACAATTGAAAACAAACGTTCAACACCCTACATCCTAATATCCATAGAATTAATTACTACTATGGTGTGAGTGTTGACGCTAATATTTTCAACAAAAAACACAATGTGTGGAAGAAGTTTTAATTCCATTATTGTGTGTTGCTATGTGAATACAAATTGATTTTTCTAAGATTTGAGTCGTATTCACTTGCAGAATTCTTCTCGGCGACATATAATTCTTACATAATATAAGTAAGATCAAGATCATAGACGCATTTGATGACTTCAGTTGTTGTCAGTAATATAACAAGAACAGAAGGATTCTATTAGGAAATGTTCATAAATTGAATGTCTTGAAAACAAGACGAGAATAAATTTAGTAATAGTAAGTATAGATGTCTGTTTCCTGTCGTGATCGAGCATAACCCAATAGCCGAGGGAAATATTTAAAATGCCATGACTACAGACAATTGAATTGAATTTGCAGCATTTTAAACTTCTTGTAGCTGTCCATGGTTTATTAAGAAAAAACAATAGCTTGATTTAAAGGAAACAACCAACCAATTCATCAGCGAACTTGATTATTATCAATTCTGTCATTTTGCCCTTTTATAAAATTCACTCACACGTTGCGTTGCTTTTGTAAGCTACAATCACGATAGAAAACGAGTCTGAACAATTCTTTTTTATGTTCATAGTAGCATAGAAAATGCCGGAAATGCCAAAGGGATAATCATGAAAATAAAGTTATTCGTAATTAAGGAGTAATCGAATGAGTATGTTCCTTTTTCTTTCTTTGTCATATCATTTGAGTCTAAAGCAACTAAAATCTCAATGTTATGTTCATATTGCTAGACTAATAACGAGTATCTAAAGATGAAACTTCGTCAAAGAATAGAAGTGTTATGTCTTTCATGAAAAAAAGCTCCCGTACAGTCTAGAAATATGTCACATGATAATATTGTTTAGCAGATTCAGACAGTTTTTATTCTTATTTTTTATGTTTTATTCTAAGTACTCTAAGTATTATTAATAAAATTCATTTTAATTTGATACTAACATGATATTTTTTTAATAATTCATTTTTGTTAGAATAATTACCGTAATGTTATCTTTAGGAAGTAACTTTATTATAAGCTCCGAACGTTAATTTTCAGATAGAATTTATTAGTTCACATAAAATTAATTCATGTCGGCCGATATCTTCACATTATCATGGTTTATCGTCTTTGCGTTTATTATGTTAATTGCATTTATGGCTAACCTAATCATTATTTTAGCAATACTTCGAGACAAAACAATGCATACATCAACCTATTTTTATATTATTAATGTAAATATAGCCGATATTCTTCTTATGCTTAGCTGTCTACCGGAGCGTTTATCTGCAGTATTTGGACCAGACGATGGATTTAATTTAGGCATGTTCATATGTAAGTTTTACCCTTTTTTTCTAACTAAGATTAATCTTCCTGAAAAAAAGGCTTTTTCCGCTTAAATGTTATTAATATTTACTTTGAAGAATATATAAAGGCTAATAGAATTTTCTAATTTATCAGGTTCTTTTATTACTGATATGAATAAATCTATTTTTTGATGTAGTGTCACTAATACAAGTAGAGATTGTTGTGAAGATTTATTTTTCTGTAACAAAAAGAATCCGTAAGAAGCATAAAATAAGAATGACAGACTTATTTAGAGACAAACATTTTTGTGCCTCTCATGGTTAAATAGTTTAAAGTACTACCGTCCAACACTCGACTTTTGTCTTGGATTTATCTATCATAAATTTAGGTTTTAATGAAACAAGAATATTAATAGATGTTTGATTTATGTGACATAGATAAAAGTCATAATAGTATTTGGTAATTAATAAAATATCTATATTCTATGAACAGGTAGTCTGTCTGTTGGCCTCAAAATTGCGTCTAATAGAATAGCTACGCATCTGAATATTTGCCCTGCATACACAAATGTGTAATGTAAAATAAACATGAGTACTTTCAATTTTCTATTCATAGGTTTATTTATTAACAAATTGCGGCCATGTTCGCTAAAAATATCTAGGATGGCCACACTAATTGATTTTTTTACTAAACAAAAAAATATGATGCATTTCATTAAACATCAACTTAGTTATTCGAACTAGTTTTTATTTATAACTATAATTAAAGTTAAGTTGAGCATTATGTGTAACTCGAGTAGATTTTATTGAAATATCGTCATTATGCAACTGTCATTTTCAATAGTTAAAGTTCACTAACAGAACAATTATAATTATTCATCTAGTAATCTATTTGTTATATAATCAGATAAAGTTTTTAACATATCCTTTACAGTTTCCATAATGGATAGATTTTTCTGTAAGCCAGAGCTCGACAATGTATGAGAACCAACTTGAAATAATTTACTCTAATTCCTTTTTTTCGCCAAATTAAATTATCGATAATCTAATTTATTTTATGTATTTGAGTACTTAAGTTTAATCCACAAAGCGAAGAATAAAATTCTCATCTGCTCAGGACCGAATGCTGTTAAAATCAATATTTGTAATAAATCAGGTCATAACAACTTCCATATTCTTTATTGCTATTGACGTGTATTTATTCGTGATGTGCATAATAGTTTTTGTGAGATCTGTGTGTTAAATTTTATTAGTTTTTGGCAAATTTAATTTCCTTATATCTTAGTTAAATTTACTTTTAGCATACTTTTTTTATTGAATTATATTTTTTTTCTGATAAGTCCCATTTTAGCTTTTATGTAATTTATCTATTCAAAAAGAGAAATCTTTTATTTCTTATATTTTAAAATTTCTAATAACAGTTGAATTCATCAAATTTTCCAAATAATAAAAGCGGATGTTTTCATTTTTACCGGTTATAAAATATAATTGAAGGCACGACAGATAATGAAAAAGATTTAATGGATTGAATAATCATTTTATTTAAACTTTACTAGGAGGTTTATTTTTGTTGTACTCGTATTCTATTGAGAAAATCCTATAATAGAATTAGTGACATTAGCTAAAAATTGCATGGAACTGAAAATGAGGACATTTTATCAGCACTTTAAAGTTAACTAATAATTTTACATTCTTCATTTCAACGTAGCTTCTCAAAAGAGATACTTTAAAAAAAAACTAATAGTTACTTAATGGTATCATAACTACTTGATTATTTTACAGCTGCTTCCAACTTTACCATAATTGTTCAAGGATTACGTTTTTCTTGGAAGTTCCTGTGTACCTCTTTAAAATTTCTACATCAATTGAAAAACTTTCTCTGCCATATTACAAACGAGAGACAAACCTTATTAATATGTCGGCATACATTTTCCCAAAAAATTCTATAACGTACCTGTTCCTCTTTTATATCATTAATACTCCCGATATCATAAATATTTGAATATTCTCATGAACTCTGTATAGATTCACAGTATGAATACAAAATGTTCTGTTTAAATTTTGCCTTAGAAATAATATAATGAATCTCGAGAATAATAAAAAGGTTAAATCATGAATATTTGAACAATTCAGGAATCTAATAGAAATTCAAATTTCAATCATTTCGTCGTCAATTAAATATTAACAATATTAAAAGTTTCACTTTCTCTTTCACAGATGTCTGCAACGCATTAATTTTTCTTTCACAAAACCCTTAAGCATAATCGTGGTCTTTTCAGCAAGTACTTACAGAAAGTCAATAAGTAGCTATGCATTTGATTAAGTAGCTATAGAATTCAGTAAGCAGCTGTGAGACTCATTCAGTAGCTACAGTAATAATTAAGCAGCTATAGAATTTATTCAGTAGCTATAAGATTCATTAAGTAGCTATAGAATTCATTCAGTAGTTATCGTATTCATTCATTAGCTATGCATTTGATTAAGTAGCTATAGAATTCAGTAAGCAGCTGTGAGACTCATTCAGTAGCTATAGTAATAATTAAGCAGCTATAAGATTTATTCGGTAGCTACGCAATTCATTAAGTAGCTATAGAATTCAGTAAGTAGGTATGAGACTCATTCAGTAGCTATACGAAACCATTAAGTAGTTATGCTTTAGAAAATGCAGCATACTATAGTAAAAGAAGTATCTCTTTTGAGAATGAGCCACAGTCAAAATAGATATGTTTATTAGTAATTTTCTGATAGGCTATATAGAATTAAGTCTATTGAACCGATGACATCATGGATACGAAGAATAACTTAGCAGCTAGCAAGAAAAAATTATCAAAATTTGATTTTTATCTTAAATGGTGATTGTGACGATATTGATGGCACGCTTGGATGCTTCTCCTTCCCCATCTTTCTATTCTCTTTCCATTGTTCTAATATATCTCTCTCCTGTCCAGTGGCGGCGGAGCCACTGAGGCAGGTGAGGCTTGAGTCTCACCTAGTTTTCAGCAGATGAGGCTCAACCTCACCTAGATTTCGCGATATGAGACTCAGCCTCACTTGATTTTGTATTGAATATTGCTATTTTTTGTTCTTTCATCAGAGTAGAAGCAAAGAAAAGTAGTTTTCGGTATTTTCCAATCTTCTTTTTTTATACTGACCATTTTTATTTTTACTGAAGTTCAATAAAAAGAAGATTTATTTACTACTTGATGTTTCATAAAATTCCACGGTAGCAAAAAAATATGATGAGCCTCACCTAGCTTAATGACGCTCCGCCGCCCCTGCTCCTGTCTCTCTCCTATATATACGTGTTATGCTTGAAGTTGTTACACTCTGGATATGTGAAGAATTGAATAAACATCATTGCCGTGAGTAGCGGTAAGCTACTCCACCCCTATCCAGTTTGTCTTAATATATCAACTCAACTAGCAAGAGTCCTATTTATCGTTACAGTGATATTATTTTATAGTGGTTGGGAAATTAAGATTACGAAAATTTACTAGTTTATATTTCCTTCCTGTCTGTAGTCTACATCTATAATATTTTGCTTAATGCATTACGGTAATAGAAATTAATGATTTATTTCAAAATTAAAGGTAATCCATCAGACATACAAGAGATGATTGAATGTATGGAAAAAAAAGTCAACAAATAATTATATATACCCACGCCATGGAGGTGCGGTGGGAAACGACCGAAAAGCACTGAAAAGTGGAAGCAGTATTCTGGTTGCAAATTACCGGATTTTTTTCCTGTGTATTTTGGTCAACTTCCAGCCAGAAAGCACAGGCAACTGACCGAAATCCACAAGAAAAAAATCTGGTAACATCCAACCGGAATGCTACTTCCACTTTTCAGCGTTTTCCCGTGCTTTCTGATCAGATACGGTGTCCGTCCTCCGGAATCATCGACCTCGATATATATATATATATATAGGTCATGGGTTTAACGGAAAGAAGGAGTATCACAATAGTCTTTGTTGTATTGTCTAAATAAAGGTTATTTATAATCAATAGAATTGCATACTACTGAGTAAAGCCTGTTATAGATATGAGTAGTAACTTACTGAAAGTTATATATTGAAACTGCCTGTCTAAATCTTGTTGCTCATTAGCATTCTGATGCATCAATATTTTCATTTATCATGCATTCATTATAACTCATAAAACGTTTCTTAATCGAGGTATAACTATAACGGAATCAATCGCGTGCCAGCTCTCAAAAACACTTTCATCTAAAAATACAACCGCAGTTTATTATTATCATTATTCAAAACAGAAAGTATAACCGATAGAAAACATGTATACATGTTTCTTAGAATTTTCAATAATTTGACGTCAACATTAATTGTTGTATATCAATCGAGGCTTGACGATGTGTGTCATCTCATTAGAGATACAAGTATATATTAGGCAGATGTACTAAAAATAGTGTTCATACTGAAATGTCAGAGCAAAAAGATCGATTAAGACCTAAACAAGGATGTCAATTAAAATACATAACGCAGATTCTATGTAATTAATAAATACTGTTGTTCTTAAACTGAGCCATAAGAAACAATGAAGCAAATCATCACTAGTTTCGAATTTGAAATATCCTCATCGAAGATGATCTACCTGTATCAGACCCAAATATCTATGATATACAATCAGTATGATGAGCCACTTAAGTCAATTTATTTTCATACATCAAATTAATGATCTAGAAATCAATCCAGTTTGAAATCTTTCTTAGAATACAACACATCATAAGTAAAAATAGGATTTATTACGTTTGCAATTTACATTGTAAATCATGCATAATAGAGACCATGTTTTCAATTGTCTTTGATTTGATTTTATAATTGAAATCAGAGTTCCGCATGGGATGAGATGGGACGCAAAAGATCATCCCATGGGACAGATTTCAATAGCTTGTCCCACGGAATGGGACGAAACATTTGTCATCCCATTCCACGGGGCATCTGAAATGTCAAACATTTTTAAGATGTCAAATTTGTTTGAATATCATTGATCGACAGAGACTACGAATTATAATATTGCTTCATGTCACATTTCATGATCTTATTAAAATCAAGCTGACCCAGGTCAAGCATTACGACTATCAGAAACGGTCGTATACGGCCGCAAATGTTAATGTATACTGCTGTTTCTCACCGTAAATGGCCGTAACTTGACGTTTTGGTATGCGCCGTATTACGGCCGCAATTAATCGTGTTGTAAACGGTTACTAACGACCGTAATGCGGTCGGATATTTCCGTATCCGATCGTTTATGGCACGATACAAAACGACCGTAATACGGTGCATATCAAACGGCCGTGTACGACACAAGTTGATCGACCTGGGGAGAGTTTGAATTTCTGTTCTTTTTTCATATTACAATGGTGACATCATCTTGGTTATAAATACAGCATTCTACAAAAATAGAGAAAAGAAGTAGTAAATGAGAAAGGAAAGTATTTCACTGAATGCAAAAGCAACCGGGAATAAATAAATAAAAGTATAAAGTTGCAGTATTAAATCTTTGTACAAGTTTCATATTTTCCATGGAACGAATTATTCAAAGACATTTCACCAGTTATAAGCAGCAATAACTAAATCAATTATTATTGTTACAATAGATCAGATTGCATTTTTTCTCTATGCGTAGGTTCATTATTATTTTTTGTTGTACATTGAATCGAAATGACTGCACTACTTGATCACATATAGTTTGTATTTTCAACTATTTTTCGCACACAATTGGGTACGACATCTATATATTGGAAGGACTATACTGTTTTTAGTAAAAAGAATCGATTCATATAATATTTCTTCGTCCCATGGGACGATGGGGTGGGGTTGTCCCATCCCACACGAAGCTCTGATTGAAATACTCTGTTTTAAGAAAGGCTATTTCTTTGAATAGGTTATTCGGTTCCATTTCTTCAACAAGTATCAATGCATGCAGCATTATCCATCTTACTTGTGTTAACTATCCATCGTTGTTATCCAGCTGGTGTGCCTCGTTTTTTACAAGGCGATTTTATTCGTCGACAAATTCGTAATCACACTCAAACATTATGTATTCTATGGGTATTTGCTATATTAATTACTTTACCGATATTTTCAATAACAAAATATGAAAGAAGTTCTCAGAATTTAACATTAACCGACGAAAATGGAACAAATTATACATTTTCTATACAGCAAACAAGTTGTCTTACAGAAACACCGGAACTATGGTCAAGAGCTTATCTTATATTACTATTGGTTTCTACTTATCTTATAACAGGTATTTTTCTTATTGTGATTTATGGACAAGTTATACGTATTATACTTGCATCAAATAAATATGCCAAAGATCCAATTACTAAAGCTTCCAACAATAATAATAATAATGATTCCTATCGATTTCCTTCATCGAATAGAATAAAAGAATATCATCACTCAAATCTCATTGCTCGAATAAATGAACGATGTGAAGGAGAAATTCCACATACACATTCATCATCATCATCAACAACCGAATCACATCGATGTCAAAAACAAATTCCAGCTAATACAGCTTTAGTTATTGGTACGCCTGTTGAACAAGATGAATTACAGAAATCTTTAACTCATTCTCATCATTCAGCACAACACATACAAGTTATTATTATGCTATTCATCGTTATTATATTGTATATCATTCTACTTTTACCTTATCGCTTGCTCAATTTATTATTTATTGTTCATAATAAAATATTTCAACAAACATTCATGAATGAAATTCTATTTGGCTGTTTAATAAATGTCGTTCGATTACTTGTTTTTCTTAATTGTGCTTTACAGCCAATTACATACTTAATCATATCTTCACGCTTACGTCAAACAGTTATTAAACTCCTTCGATCGTGGTATAAGTGTTATTGTTACTGTCGATTTTCATCACCATCAATGCCTAGTAGTCAAAGTTATAGAAATGAGCATCAAGCCGTACGCACCTATGTAACACAACAATATCCATACCAACATTCTTATCAAAATCGACAAAAACAAACTCTATATCGAGAAAATCGTCCAATACAATCATCATTGAATAATGTTAATTTAGCATCTGGTCGTGTGCTTGTCTTAAATCATGCATCACGCAGGCAATTGTCACCATCACATACAGTTAGGAAGACTCGACAGGTTGTTTCATTTATTAATGGATAACGGCAGTGAATAGACACGGGAGACAAAAAAACAAAATCGTCGTTCAAATTTTGTTTATCGAAATATTTTTATTTAAAAAAGAAAAGAAAAAAAGGAAACAAGCGGAAATGAAAAATAAAGTCTACAAAGTAAGATCATCTCATTATCTATTGACTGGACGATGGACGAGCTATTTGATCAGATAAACGCTTTCGTAGCATATCTTGTATTTGAACAAATTGACGACGAAATTGTGGACAACGTTCTGATAGACCATGTAAAATTGTTTCAAAATATCGTAGACGATTAATTTGATTTTCTCGTGCGTTACTCAACGCGTCTGGTGTTTGATGAACTTTTATATATTTTCCTTCTTTTATTTGTTCATAATACTTTGCACGTAATTGTTTTTCAGTCAATGTAATTAGCATCTAAAGCAAAAAGGAAATGAAAAGACATGATGAAAAAAACGCAAAAAAAAGTAATAATCTACCATATTTTTTTGTAAAGATAACTCAATAATACGATCGTCGAGTTTAGAATTTTCATTTGTTGATTGATCTCGTTGGCCTCCGAGTTCTGTCATTCGTGCGACATGTTCTTGTTGATCCATTTTATATTCTTCAAGTTGTTGTTCAAGTTCGCCCGCTTGCTAAAAATTAGACCGGTGATATGATTATCTTGTATTCAAAATGTGCGAAGAACGTATCATCTTATCACTACCCAGTGAAAAATATTTCGAAAAAAAACGGAATAGAATGGTTTCATGCGGATATGGAAACCTATCTCCTACGTAGAGAATGCGTTTCTTGTTTGAGCGAATGCGTTCAGAGTCAGAAAGAAATATTCTCGATCTGAAAGAACTTGTTCTTTACCGTTCCACAGTAGTATGGAATACTTTCTTCTATACTGAAAAATCGTTCCCTATTTGAAGAGAAAGCATTCTGAATCATTCTTAAACCAGTAGAATTCATTCTAGTTCATTTTCTTTCGGAACGGTTAACATAGCATTTCATCGAAATAAAATAGCTTCCTTTTACGTTCTCTCACGAGCCTTTAAGACAATGGATTCTCTGAAGAGATGAATGCTTTCTTTTCGAAGCAAACCACATTTTCATTCTAAAATGAAAGGTCTGAAGCAAAGCAGGTTGAAATTGATGTGAGAAATGATGGAATCTTCATTCGATTTTACTTTAGGGATATTTGGTCTGATTTAGAAAAATTATTATTTTAATAACGGTTTCAGTTACAACGAATTGGAGTACGCCATTCGATAGAGCTCGTCAAGTTGCATCAGGAACAGTCTTTTGACTAATTGTAGATTCATCTATTAATGATCACCCAGGTGATCAGAAAGGTTAACCGTTTTAAAGAAGAGAATGCGTTCCACAAGTGGCAGAATGCGTTCTTCACTGTTCCATTTCGAAACGACCAAGAACACCTTCTTAGAATGATAGAATGCGTTCTAGTGCGTTCCATTTGAGAGCGGTTTCCATTTGTTGTGGAACGTTTTCTTTTCTTAAAAAAAGAGCTTCAGTTCTTTTGGAACGCATTCTTTACCGTTCTTTTTTAGTAATATTTTTCACTGGGTAGGCTTTACTAATTTCAATGCCAATCTAACGTTCGAATGCTATATATAGAATGTACTCAGTAAATAAATTTTGCAAGAAACTAATGAATTTTTGAATAGAAAAGAGAACAAAAGCAACTAATAATTGCTTTTTTCAACTTTATTGGAAGTGTATATGGAATTAACTTATATGAGCAAACTCTAAAAGTACCCTTCTAAGTTATCATTTTTAATGATAATAATTACAAGATCTAAGTCATGGTTCTTCGTGTAGAAAATCACTTTTTTTTTCGAGATCATTCCAATTATTAGGCATGGTACATTATTTTCACTGCATTTAGCCTGAATTCTTCCAGACATCGTACTCTTCAAACATTTTACATCTTTGAAATAGTTGTTTCTTCTGTAAATCTGTTTTCACACAGTCAAATAAAAAGAATCTTAACAGTATCAACTCTTAATTAGATTTATCTGACAGGCAAAAGAATCTTCTCTTCACCTAACATATCGAAACTCGATGTTACTGAAAGAACAATTATCAAGTAGAAGAAATTATGCGAAGGTTTTTATTTTTTTTAATCGATTGTTATATCATTATCATCAATNTATAGAATGTACTCAGTACATAAATTTTGCAAGAAACTAATGAATTTTTGAATAGAAAAGAGAACAAAAGCAACTAATAATTGCTTTTTTCAACTTTATTGGAAGTGTATATGGAATTAACTTACATGAGCAAACTCTAAAAGTACCCTTCTAAGTTATCATTTTTAATGATAATAATTACAAGATCTAAGTCATGGTTCTTCGTGTAGAAAATCACTTTTTTTTCGAGATCATTCCAATTATTAGGCATGGTACATTATTTTCATTGCATTTAGCATGAATTCTTCCAGACATCGTACTCTTCAAACATTTTACATCTTTGAAATAGTTGTTTCTTCTGTAAATCTGTTTTCACACAGTCAAATAAAAAGAATCTTAATAGTATCAACTCTTAATTAGATTTATCTGACAGTCAAAAGAATCTTCTCTTCACCTAACATATCGAAACTCGATGTTACTGAAAGAACAATTATCAAGTAGAAGAAATTATGCGAAGGTTTTTATTTTTTTTAATCGATTGTTATATGATTATCATCAATAAAACAACTGTACCATTGATTTGTTGTGTAAGCGATATGCACATTCTTTTCAAGTCCGAACAACACAACTGTGCTGATTAATCAACGTAGATGGTAAACGTATGACTACTCTTATCATCTTCTAGTACTGCGATAATGTCTGTTCGGACAAATTACTCTTGTTATATCAATTTTTCTATCAAATTGTTTTCTCGTCTATCGGTAAAAAAGCACCATCCATCGATGTATAGAATAAAAGGGCTTAATTCTTATTTTTTTTAAAGATTCTTTTTCAAGTTTATTCGTATAAATTTCAAGGAACTTTCTCAACTTCGAGTGTTAGAGATGGCATTATTGCAATTAGTCTTCATTGGTGAAATAGGAAAAATTACCTGAGTCGTTTCTCGAATTTTTCTTTGTAGATCAGTAATTTTCTTTTGTACAGTACTTTGCATAATAGCTTTATTTTGTGGTAATTTTTGTTGAAATTCTCCTCGTGTAAGTATAGTTTCACGTCTTGATACGCTCGTTTCCATGTCTCGTATTAATTTTTCTTGTTGTCGTAATAATTGTTCATAGCGAACCTGGAAAAGAAAACATTCAAATAGAACAGAGTCTACAATTAATCTAAATTTTTCTTACTTGCATACGATGTATTTCAGATTTCATTGCTCGTATTTCACCTTGACCAGTTTCTGAATCAACGGCTGATTTCATTTCTTTTGCTAATTGAATTTTACGTTCCCAAAACATGATTTGTTTTCTAATTAAAACAAATTCATTTTCAATTGTATTTGATTTATAAAATCAAAACCTACTCAGCTTCAACAAGATTTGCTAAAAGATTTTCTCGTTCTATTCGTATGTCGGCTAATTGTCCTTCCATGTGTACGGCATCTTTTTCTGCGTCCTATGTTATTTGGAATGAAAATACAGGTAAAAAATAAATTTTTCATAGAAAAATAAAATACAAACTTTTAATTCTCGAACAAAATCATTTTCTGATAACATATTATTTCTTTCTAATGCCGTTTTAGCTGTACCTTCCTTGTAAATTAACTTATTTAAGCGTTCTAAATCCAATCTTAATAATTCAATTTGCCGTTTTAAATGTGTACAATCCGTTTCCATATTTGTAATTGTATCTAAATAAAAACAAATATTTTCAAAGAATCAAACAGAATTTACTGAATTTTTTACTTTCAGTTCGAAGTTTTCTTGACATCAAGATTGTATGTTTTAATTTCATTGAATCTGTTTCTTTTTCTAATGCGTCTTTTTCAGTTGTTAAATGAACAAGTTCATTTTGTCCCTTTAACCATGTTTGTTCAAGATCGAAAATCTCCCTTCCAACTTGTGCGATTGATTTTTGTAAATTTAACACTTCTAATTCTAACGGTCCTAATTCGATACCGCCTGCTTTTTCTTTCAAATTTTCTAATCTCTTATTCATTAAATCGATCTGATTCTGTTTTTGTTCAATTAATAGAACACGTCGTTTGATTTCTTGTTCGCTGCGTGTTATTATTTGATTTTTTTCAACGATTTGTTCATGATATTCTTTTGCTTGACTGTCAAGTTGTCTGATGTTTGTTATTAAATATGTTTTCTCTAAGCGAGCACGAGCTATATCATTTTCAACTTTAGATAAATTACGTTCCTGTAAAAAAAAGACGAAATTAAGAAGATTCGATTTTATTTCCCCATGGAAAACATAAAACAAAAAACTTACGATTTCTCGTGTAGCTTCTTTAAGTTTAAAACGTAGTTTCGAACTGTATTCAGCAGCCTTTTCAGCTGTCATTTGATCTTGAACTTGTTGATAGATTTCATCTTCCAATTTAACACGATCTTGATTTTCTCTTTCGATTTCACGTTGTAAAATATTAAGTTCATGTTGTTTTTCAGCTTTTTCCTATTGGAAAATAAATAGTGTCATACGGAAGAGAAAAAAAATGCAAGACTGCAGTTTTTCTTTACATTATTCACACGATTAAGCATAAGTTGAGTTTCTTCAAGTGCTTTTGTGTATGTAGAAATTTCTTGTTTACATGTTTCGGATTTTTCACTATTGATTTGAAGTAATTTCTCTAAATTTTGTATTTCATATTTGGTACGATTTAATACTAATGTTAATTTTTCATTTAATTCTTGTTCTTTTACAATTGAACGTTTGTAAGATTCCATTTCAGTATTCATTGTATCGATACGTTGTAATTGTAATCTAAATAGAGAATAGAAGTTTTCAAATGATTTCTATATTAAATCGCAAAAATGAACAAATACTCGAAAGCCGACGCTGTAGATTTAAACTATCTGCTATATCATTTCATCGAGTGAATATTGAAACGATATCTCATCGAAGATGGGTTTCATTCTGTTTTAGAAAACGAACTCGCATGATAATTACCTGACTGCTTCAGCCATTGTTGATTGTGCTTCATCGCGTCTTCGAATACCAATTAAGCAGCTGTTCCAATTTTGCATTAATTGTTTTGTTTCTAAATCTAATGTTTCGGCTTCGAGTCGTGCTTCGACTAATGTATGTTTAATATTTTTTGTTTCTTCCACTAGATGAAAACAAAACGATGTCAATATAAAAAACACACGGATTCGCTTCTACGAAGAAGTAGATGAAACTTACTTTGAACTTTTAATTGATATTCATACATAGATATTTGTTCACGAAGACTATCAACTTGTTGTACAAGACGATCGACAAATAAATCCTATTTGTTTAAATTAATATAAAACTATGACTCATCTTTGCAGATCTTTAACATACTTGAACTCTTTTATCTGCTTCTAATTTTGTGACTTCGGTATCGACTTTTTCTGTTGCTCGACGCATTGTTGATAGATCACCACGGATATCATTTTTAGCTTTATTCATATAATGCAATCGACGTTGAAGAACATCCCGTTCTTTTTGAGTTTCCAACGCTAAAGGATAAAAAAAAATTTTAAATACTTTCAATCGGTTAAATCTTTCAATTAAACATACTTTGTCTCATTTGTGAATCATGTTCATCTTTCTTTTTCAAATGTTTGTCTTTCATTTGTTTTAAATCTTGATCTATACGTTGTCGATCTTGATTGATTTCTCCAAAATGATCATGCTCTTTTTCAAGTAACATCTGATGTCTTGCCAATTCTTGTTGCATATTATACAAAGTAACACCGAGTGATTCACGTTTTTCACGGATTTTCTATATAGAAAGTAAATAAAAATGATCTCTTTTTTTCCAAATCCGAAATGTTTTACTTTAAGTTCATTATCAGCTTCTCGCAGTTGAGTAGCGAGTTTTTCTTCACGACTAAGTAAATGCTTCTTAAGCGCTTCTTGGTATCGAACCATAAGGGGATGGCTTGGATCCAATACCACCAATGATTGTTCATCTTCTGTAAGTGCATCTTCTGTTTAATGACAAATGAAAAAAAACGCATATATTAGTTTATTTCGAAATACGAAAAGAAAAAGAATATATCGCTATGCTACAGACATTGATTCGATGTTGATCGATATTGAGTCTTAGGCAGCGTTACTATTCGTAGGTATCTAGAATATTGTTATATTTTTCTTAACTATACTACCAACAGCAAATAGTTTCAGATAGGCTCATAAAAACGAAATACAGGAAAAGGGTTTTAGTAACCTAACCAGAACGGAATAGTATTGGGCTACTTAATGTCCATTAACCATATCTATACATCATTCTTTAAATCAATTAGCTATTCACAAGTTAATTTCGTATATACAAAAGAAAATTTTGCACATGTTATTTTGAGAATTACTATTAACATACAATAATATGTGTTAGGACAACGATTTTTTAGGATACATATTTTATGATGCAACACAAGTTTTTTATTTCACCATCTGATTGCAAAGACAACTACGGTCAGCGCCTAAGTGATAAATGAATATGCATGTGCTTAATGTAGTCGAATGACCTTCAGCGAGTGGAAGAGAAGAATTCTGGATTTATTTCAGCCTGAAACGATAGACTGCTATGTTTTGTAAGAGAATGAATCATATCGCTGACTGAACCCAGGAGCCAAATCATTATCGTCTCATATTTCAATAATGAACAATCTATGTCACATATACATTCAGTCAAATTCCGGTGGCTTCTTAGGGATTTGTCATGTGTTATTATGAGTACTCCGTAAAGATAATTTCTTTTTAAATAGTTATGTCCTGAATACCATCACGAGAAATTGCACTATCGGAATTCTGCTCTTCCAATTAGTGAAAACCACAGGTTGCTACCTGTTGCTATCGCCAAGTTATTCGGATAGTAATCATCTCTATTTAACTATGCCACAAACATTGCATATAGTATACAAAGTTCTTTGATCAAATATGACTCTACAAAAATTAGAATATTAACATCCTGTTTATGTTTTAATTTGAATGAGTTTGAATCATAGTGCATAAGAGAACGAAAACTTTTGTCATCTACTCTCAAGCTTTCAGTTACAGTGAACTGATCTTCAGACTAACTGAGGTTCTTAATACAATCCAAAAACCTTTTTCATAATATTCGACTTCTGAAAATTGACATTCTTTCTAGAACTAATCGACATGAAACTGAATAGTTGGAAAGAGAAAATAACATACGCAGTTCTTGTGCACCATCAATCGCACTATTTGGATCAGCATAGTGCATGGGATAGTCAGTGATATTAGCTGTTGTGTTGTCTGTAAAAGAAACTCCCGGAAGACCTAAATTTATTTTTCGAAATTATAAATCTACTCATAGCTATGAAGTCAAACCTGGCCCATCGCCGACCACATCATTATCATCGTCGTATTGTGACATGTTTATGAGAATGATTCTATTTCAAAACTCATAATGAACATCAAGTTTTACATGGACAACATTTTGTTATCAATGTTGCTAGGCAATTCATTTTTTCAATTTTCTAATAAAACAACTTTTATTTTGATTTATAAAAAAAAACATTCCTCCTAATTTCGAACTGGAAACCTGAAGAGTTCAAATTAAAAATCTATTTTTTTAGCTCTGTCATATAGATGTCGCTTTGACATATTTGTGAAATATGTATTCGCCATTGTTTCCCATTCCCGTTAGTGAACCTTCATTTATTGATACATCTCCTATGTCTGCAGAAACGAACAGGAAAAAAGAACACTAAGCTTAATAAATCATTTTTTTTCTATTTCTTAGATTTTAGAATTCTATTTTTCATCGATCAGTAGAATTAAGTTCATTTATATTTCTATTCAAGAAAAATAAAAAATCTTTTTATTTATCGTATGATCACAAAATTAATATTATTATCATGTCTGTACCAAATAAGTCTCTTGATAAAAACAAGCGTTATGCTGGTGTCAAAGCTAATGATTTTGTAAACAAAACTCGAGCTAATGAAACTAATCGATCTGCACGTAAGTTTATTTTATGGAAAAAAAAATAAAATACATGCACAACTTTCCTTCTTTTTTTTCTTTTCAGCTCGTCCTCAAGGGTGGGCAAATTTAGGAAAAATCAATAGTCGTCGTGTACCACCACCGGCTAATTTACCGAGTTTAAAAAGCGAAACAGGTGTTAATTCACCAACATTTGATCCAACTGTAACAACAAATCATGGTTGGACATCAAATGATAATCAACCATCAATCAATCCTATAATTCATCCAACACAACAACAACTAGATTCGCTACCAGTTAATTCACCAACACCACCACCGCCATTATCGCAACCACAACCATTAATGGATATTGATAAACCTCGTATAGCACCAACATGGAGTACTGTAACATCTGGTACAAATCCAAATGAAAAAATACCAAGTTTATTACCACTGAATGATTTCCCTCGTTTAGCAACAACACCAGATCGAAAACATCAGCCCGAATCAATAACCAACATGCAAAACCCTAGTTTTCGACCGGCGAATTTATCTACATGGAAAGAAGGTGGTAGTAGTCGTGTACATGATATGCCACAAATGATACCGAACAATCCTGGTGCTAATCTATATCAACAAACCATGTCAAATCCAAATATGAGAATGTATCCACCACAAATGGTAAGTTTTAAAGCGAAATTAATTCAATCAAATTTTGTTTTTTTTCTTTTTTGCTCTAGTGGACATATAGTCCATATACACCAGTATCGTTACCTATGCATCATCATCATCATCATCATCAACAGCAGCAGCAGCAGCAACAACATATGAATGCGATGCATGATTATAAAACACCAACTATTTTAAGAAATAAAGATATTGATGATTTATCAAAATTAACCGATAATACATGGGCAACTACAACTCAGGAAGTTAATTATCAAGAAAAAATTCGTTTTAGTGACGATGAAGATGATAATAATAATAATCGTATAGAAATCTTAGAATCAAAAAATAAACCATGCCGAATGAATCCGCAAGTACTACAACATTCGCGTTTGATTCACGATGACGAACATGTTAAGCAAATGCAAGATAATAAAAATTCAGAATTAATTAATGCATTAAATATAGCTAAACAACGCCGCGATGAACAAGAACGTAATCTTAAACATGAACAATCGATTACACATAATGATGAACAAAAACAAATACCCGGATATCAAACACGCCCATTAATAAGTTCAAACGAACAAGAAAATCATAATTCGTCAACATCGTGGCAAAAAAATAAAGATACATCTCGTACTCGGCATGATACAGCTAATAGTCAATCATCATTTGCAATGAAAAGCTGGTCTGATCAAATGGATTCATTTAACTATTCATCATTGCATGACAAGTAAATTCTTTCGAAAATAGATATTTGAATTCTCTTAGAGATCTTTCTCTCAATCAGAAAACTTCTCTGAATGTCCCGGTTTTTTTCTTGCCTTCAATTATTCGAGTAAAAAGGCTTTCAAACATGTAGAGTTTTCTAGGGATCCTGGATGCTCGGGAAAAGTTCACTCGTGATTGAAAAAATTGCGTCCACTATATTTTAGTACTTGTCCCAGGTACATTCAGTTCTCACGTAATTCTTATCATATGTTCGAACTATAGTTATTAATAAAGAAATAAGTTATGTTTCAACTCGAATTTCCTATTAGACTTTAAACTACCTGTTTATTTAAAAGAACATACCAGACTTTGCTGACCGTTGATTTTATTTTACTATATATTCAAATATTCTTCATAGAACTCTTAAGATTCATGATCTATGAAAAGCAAACTGTTGTTTTTATTTAGATCTCGTGGACGTGTGGAAAACGAGGATCCGTCTACAACAAATAAATACAGTCGTTCTCAAAGTGAAGCCAGTACACCTTCCCAACAAAATAACGAATCTCTATCAAGAAAACCGAAAAAATTTCCATTATCATCTAAAAAACAGCAACATCCACAACAGAAGATAAATATATTACAATCGAAAACATCAACAAAAAAACCACCTAGACTTGATAATCAGCAAATAACTTCAAATGAACAATGGGAAAATTGGGAAGACTCGGTAGATAATAATCGTTATCAACAATATCCAAATGATAATCGTCGTCAACAACAACAACAGCAGCAGCAGCAACAACAGCAACAACAACAACAATTACATTCAGATAGTCTTTCATCACAAAAACCAAATCGTTTTAATAAACCAATATCAGCAAAAACACGTAACAATGAACGACAACAAACAAGTATGTTAACATTTCTTCTCACTTTCTTTTCTTAGTTTTCATCTCAGTAGATTCACGTACAAAACCATCAACATCTTCATCATCAAATAAAAATCCTAAAACTCAAACAGAATGGCGTCCATTGTCACCAAATCGATCAATCGAAGTCGTTGACCCAACACTACAAGAATCTATGTCATATAAATCTCAACAACGAACAAATCTAAATGAACATAAACAACGATATCAAACGCCAACATCTCTTATAGATGCATCATCTATCCCACCATTGATGAGCGTACGATCCGATGCGACCACAACAGCTAATCTATATAAAACAGCAAATCATAATGTTTCATCGCATTACGACGATGAAAATATGTATTATGATACAAATTTAGAAATGCATCAAAATTATCATCACATTAATATACATAATCGTGGTTACACTGCATTAGGTTCCTATGGACGTTATAGACGAAGCGGGGCAGTTCGTCATCAACAACAATATCCATCGTATAATGTAAACAATACATCTGGCATATCTTCAGCACCTACAACAAGTTCTGGTACACGTCAAAAGAAATATATGGCGAATAAAATAAATAATAATCATAATAAAAAATCTAACAAGACATCTGAACAAACTAAAATAGCAAACGAAGAAATATCAGTAACAAAACCTATTGAAACACCTGTGTTATCATCTACAAATGAAGTATTAACAAAAGATATTGTCAAGTCAAATGATACATCTGAACAAAAGCATTCAGTAAAAAATGATAACGAATCCGCTATTGTCTCACAAACAGAAAATGAGTCAATTAAAACAAATAAAAAGCCTACAGTAGTTACATCTTCAAATCCAAAAAGAACTACAAATAAAAATCAACAAACCTATCATCAAGATCAACGATATCAAAATCAACAAGCTCCAAGACACAGAAATAATTATGCAAGATCAATGCAAGGTACTTACATAGTTTTACTGAAATATCAAACAAATTTTCTAGAGAACATAAAAGGAAAAAATTAAATACCAATTTATTTCCTACTAAATATTTTTTTAGGAAATCATTTTAAAGAGTCTAAAATAATGAATTGCCACATTCTTCACTTGAAGAGTTAACGCTCTCACAAGGAAATTATAAAAACAAGTTTTTGTTTTCAATTTTTCTGACAATTGTTATTGACGATCCTACAAACTGTCGTGATACTTCTTTTGATAATTTTTTAAAAATTATCTCCATCAGTCTTCTGAATCCAACAATTAAATTCAGAAGAAACAATTATACCGAATAGAAGACCTATTATAACCCATCCTAGTCGTATTATTAAGCTGTATTGAAACTTTTGTTTTTTAATACATAGAAAGTACACTAGCTGCGAGATGAACTTCCTCATTAGCTTTGAAGAGATCAATTAAATTCACTATCAATATTAACTTAAAAATTCTCTATTTGAATCACAATTTTCGTTACAAAGTTACGCCGATCGAGCAACAGCTGCTATTTATTTTTCATACACGATACTATATTTCACTACGTAATCATCTTGGTTAAACTTTCCAATCGAAATTGATCTAAACAGGATTTCATGACAATCTGTAATTCTAATAAAATTCAAGTTACGTTTACATCAGAGAAACACATGCTTTTTCCTCACTTGACTAGTTACTTCTCTTAGCGAAACATGATTTTACAAGGGTAAAAATTTTAACCTTGACAAAGATTAATTGAACACCACAGATCAATAGCAGGGTCTCCTCATATCATATAAATAACTTCCTCACTGCATTTCTCGAGGATTAAGTAAAAAGATGATGAATAAGTTTGTTTCAAATAGACAGAATAAAGCAATATCTTGTGATTAACAACAACAGCAACATCATGTTTCACACGTTAATCCTATAGAGATTGAGCTAACAGCTTCTTTTCTATCGTAATTTATTGAACAACTTTTTTTTTGAATATCTAAAACAAATTCTATATTGCAATCAGCCCTGTTCTATAAATATCATTAACCGTATCAAAAATTTAGAATATGACACCATGCAAATGGCTGCTACACATAATTACTATGGTACAGCTCATCGATCAGCAAATAATGTTCGTAATTCACATATGCATGATCTATCAAGTGGCTACTACTATGAACATCCCAAACAGTAGGTTTTTAGTCTTTAGAGAAAATACTTTTTTGTTTAATAAGTACTGTATTTTATTTACAGACACTATAATAATCGATATAATTATGCAAATGAACATTATCAACAACAACGACCCACAAATAAAAATTCAAAGCGCGGTGGTACTTCAACAATAAATAATCGACAACCAACTAATGGAACTAATAATACGAATAATAATCGCCATCATTCAACTAGTGATAATGATCTAAAAGAAGGCGAAGAATGGGAAACAGCATCAGAATCAAGTACAAATATGCGTAATGATTCTTATGATACAAATGCAATAAATTCTGAACAAACAAATGAAACGAAGTCATCAACTCATCGTGGAAGAACACCACCTAAGAAAAGCTTTTCCAGTCAAAGGTAGATTCTAAAAAAATATTCTTTTCGAATATCATCTTTATATATATTATAGGCCCAATGCGCGTCAGATTTTCAAATATACGAATGCATGAGAGAGAGAGGGGAGAGGGGGCGAGTAAAACAAATTTTCTCATTTTTGTTTTTTTGTTTTTAATATTTTGTCTTCACTTTGTGTCTCACATTTTCTCTCTATCTCTTTCTCTATTTATTCGTCTACGCGCATACATATCAAAATAAATTTATGTTAGTGTATGTGTATAGCATTTTATTGTTTTTCAATTAGATAGAAAAAGTAGACTAAATACACATATACATAGATATATTTATTCATATGTGTAAATTCTTTTCTGTTTTAAAAAGAATCTCAAAAATAGCTTTTAAAGCAGATTTTGGAAAACTAAAGAGAAAATATTAGAAAAAAAGGATCCCAATTTTGTTTTGTTATTTCTTGCTCCTATTTTCCTTTTCTTTTTATATCATATATACTGGTCATATTAATTTTTTTTCTCTCTCTCGAATGATGATGAATGTCAATATCGTGTGTATGCGTGTTTTTTCTTTTCGTTGTTTTTGTTTGTTTGTTTGTTTTTCTTCTTTTTGTTTTTAATTGTTAATCGAACAAAATATATTTAATCGTATGTATGTTTGCTTGCTTCTTTTCTTTTTTTTTTAACCGTTGATGCGACAGACTGGATCAAAAAGAAAAAAATCTCTCTTTTCAAGCTATTTATTATTTGTAAATATAATGCCACAGAAAAAAAAACACTTACATAATGTGTAAAACATTGCAACGAGTGATTTCTTTTTTGGTTCACTTTTCTCTTTTTCTCTATCACCTTCCGTTTATATTTAATCCTAATGTGTTTATTTCCCGCCTAAAACATTGCAAGTTCTTTTCAACTCTTCTATTGTTCTCTTGTCATGAAAACTAATAAAATGCAATCGGAACGTGGTGTGTTTACTCAATATCTGTCCTGGAGACTTTTATATTATTAAAAATCCTCTTGCTTGGAACGTTTTGCATCTAAGATAAACACTAGAAAGCGTACCACATCTTGCGATGCCCATTGTATCTAAGATGTTGATAAATCAGTTGCTTGTCTAAATGCAACACACAGAAAGCGAGATTGTATTTTAATAGTTGATAATTGTTGTATATGAGCAGGTTGGCTCAGCTGGCAATTGGAGATGGTTCTAGACTAATATTTTATTGCTTTGAGATCGTTGCTAAAAGCTTGTGTCGAATACTATTTTGTAATACTTCATGTGATCGAAGTAACTGTAAATAGGAAAGTCTCGAACTGAATATTTTAGGATGCCAAGATTATAAACTGTTCGAATGATTAAAAATTAAAAATTATTGATTATTAGTTAATAAAACTAGCGAAACATTCTGTAGAATTTTTAACGATCGGTATGAGACACTGTTTCATCGATCGCTCAAGGAACTTTTAGAAATTTTACTAATGTCTACGGCTAATATAGTTAATGTCATATTTCTCTGATTCTTCAAATCCTTATATTTTCATTGAACGTAAATTTGTTTTGTTTAATATTTGATCCGAATAGGATTTACTGAAGCCAGGCTTATGATTATACCAGCGTGCCAGCAAAAAGTAATTAATAATAAGACTTCGTCAGTCGGATAAACTTCTTGAGCTTATTCAAATCTATCTATAGTAATAGTCCTAGATACTAAATAAAACTCTGTTGAAAATAAAGTTTTATTTTCCCATATATTCCAAAGTTTTTTTTCTATCCCTATTCGATATTAGACGGTACTTATAAGATTTCGCTCTATGTCATCGGGTAGTTTACGTGCACCTCTAGTTTTCTCATTATATCGTAAATTGAACTGAGAAAGATTGAAATAGTCTTCTTGTTCCGTTTTCCATAATCTTTTTTTTCTCATGTCAGAAACAAGATAATGACTCTTATTCAACATCCTATTGGAATATATATTCACATGAAATTGAATGCAAAACAAATCCTATTCTAACTATAGCATTTGTATATTTAAACGGGTTTGGGTAAAATCCGTGTTCTTCTAATTTTGCTTTCGTAGTTTTTTTTGCGATTAGATAATGAAATATTTGTTTGCTTGAAGTTATCATGAAATATATATATATATCATTCATTAAATAATAACCAAAAAACTTCTCTCAGGAAAACAAAACAGGTCCTTATTGGGCAGGACGCTGATATTACACAGCATGATTGTGTACATCCTTATTTATGACGGCAACATTCTACACTAAATCTTCAATGACGAAATAACCTAATTTACATAAGTTTTCTCTCGAGTTGATTTACCGTTATTTTTACAGGTCAATTATTTTTTCGCATTTTTAGAATAAATATATGTTCAAGTTTATTTTTCTGCTAAAATGCCCTTCACCCCTCCAAAAAGAAAAAAGAAAATCACTGTTATATTTTACATATGTACTCAATATTTAAAAAAAACGAAGAAGTGATTATGTAAAAAAGTGTGCCACTGTTATCGGTTCTATTTTTATTCACATAGAAGAATGTGTACCTAGCTTTTGTTAACTTTCAAGTAGTTGATTAAGTATGTGAATATAATTTACGGCTGTGCGGAGAGTTTCAATGCGAGATAATTTACATTTGTTTTCAACAGGTAAAACCAAACGAAGTTGACTATAAGCTTTGTTTAATTTAAGCATTCGATGTTTTTCCCGTACGGTCGCTTCATCGCGTTGTTGTCCATTGAGTTTACGTTTTTTTCGTGTTGTCTGTTGTAAATTTGATGAAGATGGAATCATATTGTATAGAAACTGCTCTTCGTTGTTCATTTCAATTTCTTTTGATTTGAAGAGAAAAAAATCTGTCGATATATATATACGTATATATACTGCAGTTTCTCTCTATAATCGTATCATTAAGTAGCCAATGATCTCTGACGGTGAGTAAATAAGAAGAATTATTCGAATAACAATAAAAAAAAAAATTCTAATAATTATGCACTGATTTAGCTTCTTATTACATTTTTACGAGCCGATCATGTTGAAACAGATTTAGAAAGTGAAATCACTATACCATGAATGACGTCTTTGATTGAATAGCCAATGAAAGCTTTCAGCTTATTATTTCGCATATCAATTTATGTAGATTATCAATCACTGAGACTGCATAGAAAATATGTGTTCTTGAAAACGTATCTATAGAAAAAATGCACACACTCATAATGATCTATTTTCAATTTATTTGATAGCATTTTCTCTATTACCCATTATAAAACGATATAAGTCAGAGAGATATGCATGTCCCCTCTTAAACGAAGTAATCAATCAAACGTCAATAAACCATCACATTCTAATGCTCGTGAACAACATTGATGCTCCGATTATAATTAAGTTTCTATATTATTCGTAAGTTTGTCTTATTTTGTCAGCTTTCTTTTTTCTTTGCTATTTCCGAGAGTTTGATTATGGGATCACAAGCGGTTTAGCCTTTTCTTCGTCTATAAAATAGTAGGTGTCATTCCTTTTCCAATTGTTTTTTGAAGCTCTTTAGATAATGACCTACTGTGCAAACATAATAATACAATAATAAAAAATAATACAGAAATATATATATAAAAAAAAAACAGAAATAATATGCATCATACTTACTTATCTGCATTTTCTCTTTCTCGTTATACATTCATATGTATGCATTCAAATAATCATTTTTTTTTATCATCGAAATGTGTTTATAGCAGTAGCATTCATCTAGCATAGAGGCATTAATGTTTCGTTTTTTCTTTTAAATTTAATTTCTACGTCGATTTCAATAAAGTTGTGCCTTTGACATACTTCTATCACGACTGCGAAAGAAGCTATCGTCTTTCTTTCGATAGGACAAAAAGTAAAAGACGAAATAAACTCCTTAACCTAATGGTAATCTTTTACTTTGATTCATAAAGTTGACTTTTATTCTTCTTTTTTTATGTACACTTATGTTACTTTTTTTTCTCTCGCTCTCTTTATAACAAAACACAAAAGTTCTTGTTAAAGCCGTGCCAATGAAAGGTAGATAAGAGACAAAGAGAAAGAGATAAATAAACGGAAGTATATATACATATTATGCATTATTTATCTACGAGACAGATTAGTATTAAACATCACATTGAGACATATGGATAATGCTAAATATGCTGATATACACACATTCGCATAAAGCAAGTAGTTCACAAGGGTAACATTTGTTTTGTTTAATGAAACGATTATTCTTCTTTGATTTATCAAGTACGTTATCACTGCGATGAACACGCGTAGACACATAAATATACATTTTTGTTCTATCCATCATCGCCATTGACATTCGCCATATGATCTATAGAGCTAGTTGAATTTGTTATGTCTAGATATTCTTTTACATTTGTGTTACTGTTCATTTACTTTCCTCGATCGTTAACAACTTTCTATATCATTCTATGTTAACTGTATGTGTGCTCGTCATTCGATGCTTAAGGGTGAAATTCTACCATTTTTCCTCTGTTGTTTCGTTTATGGTTTAAAATTCTATGCAATCAAATACACAAATCAGTTTGCGCATGGTCTATTGTCCGTTCACTGCTATTGTGTTCTGTGTGCCTGTTTGTTCTATGGGTGGAAGAAATGAGTAAAAAAAAGAACTTCCATTCTTTCTTTTGACGTTCTTCCGTTCTTGATAGAAAAATACATCAGGGTACCATTACTATGCATAGCACACTCATCAGAAAGAATTGAGAAGAAGAAAAAAAGGGGAGGAAAAAACGACCGATAGTGGCAAAGAGAAAATGTCATTTCCATTTTTTATTCTTCTTCTCCTCATCGATTGCTTTCCATCCATAGGGATAGTGGACGACGGTCGAATGGAGGTTAACAGCAAATGACGAACGTCGGTTTTTTCTTACTCTTCACCTGTTCTGTTGAGTGAGAAGAGAGAGAGAGAGAGAGAGAGAGAGAGAGAGAAACAGTTGATTACTTTGAACATGTGTATATATAGATTCGTCTTCATTATACACGTTTGCTTTCTTTCTCGTGCTTCTTCACCCAATAAATTTTTTTGCCTGCACTTCTAGACAAGCCGTCGATATTACTCAGTTTATTGATTGTACTTGATCGACCTAATTTTTGGAAACGAAAAATTAAAAGCAACAGATATATATATATACATATATGTGGTATCCTCCGGAACAGCGGCAGCAACAGCGTAGCTGCTATGAATATGCTCAGCACTTTTCAAGTCAACAACAAACTTACCCGAGAACTCCATATTATTTTAACGGTGATGAATTATCAATTACTAATGGTGTACCAATCAATGATGAGAATGAATCACCTGTCCATTGTCAAACAACCTACAATGGCAATACTCACGGTAAGAAGAAGGCAAAAGAAATGCAATTGATATTTGCAATCGAAGTGTTTTCGTTTTAAAACCGAACGACTTCATTTCTTACATGAGAATAACACTAATAATTTATTTAAGTGGCATAGCATATTTCATTTTTGAGGTTTCACTATTTTTAAAGTTGAACGAGTAAATCAAAGCAATGACATATGTATGTGTAGGCGCTTACATCAATGTTTTTATTATTATTATTGCTTTACATATGTGCATAGGAAAACAAATTGTTGCATCTCTATCTGTAGTTACAACGACAACTACTCTCTTGTGTCTTGCGCAATGATCATCTTAACGAACGATAGCGATAGCGATGATGACATTTGTCGCGTTCACAGTGTAAGCTATTGAATTCGGCTTCTCGTTCTCTTAACAAGTTGATCGCTAGATCAATCACATAGTTATTGCATGTAGAGATTCATTCATGCAATCACACATACACAGACTACTGTGTTCCATGAGAACAAACAAACTATGATAGAATCTAAATCAAATTACTACGATTTGTATGAACAATGAGAACATATTATTCGGGATTGAGATCTTGTATTCATATGGGTATTGAGAATCAGAAGCAAATCTCTGTCAAAAATATATTTAAGATAGAGATTAAATTCCTAATATTAATGAATCATTAAGTTTTTCGATGAGAATATTTTGTTTTCTAAATCTTCAATCACCAATTGTTAAAATATGACAGTCATTGCTAAATTAAATTCATTAGCATAGAAAAGAAATCTAACCAATCAGTTTATCTGCCAAATGATATTTTTCGATATGAATTCTGATGATATGCCGTATGTTACTTTTCCCCATTCGTAAAGATAGACAAGAAAACTTGGTTCTATTGCAACCGGAGATTCATTATTTCGTAATTAATAAGGTTACATTCTTAAGTGTGCTGATATGGAATGAGTGTATTACAGAGAAATGGTTTTTTCTCTCTTCCACTAGAATAGTATTCTTGTTTGTCATCATTTTGTTTATGTGACTTTGAAAGTAGTCAGCCTACAAATAAGGAGTGACTGTCGAAGTGTCGAGAATAATAGAAGAAGAAAAAAAAGAGAAAGAAAAACGTTCTCGAGCCTTTTTCAAGCTACGTAATTAAAAAAGATAGTGTCTCTTTTAGTCGACGATAGATATAACTATGAAATATAAGGGAAAAGCAGGCCCACAATCGTTAGTTGCTTTTTGCGTTCATTTCTAATGGCGTATAAGAACTTCTTTATTTATCTTGCAATATAAGCCGAGTATATAAGTGAGAGGAAAAACAATATGTATATCTGTATCTGCGGACCATATCTATATAATCGATATTACACAGTCGATCATTAATGTAATTACCGACTGTTGTACTGTTAATATAAATTTGTATATAAAGAAATCATGATGTATTGATCGTATACATATATATATTTGTATTAGATGAGAATGAAAGATAATTATAATTAATATATTTATTAGTATTTTGATATACTTGAGAAATAGAAAACAAAAAAAAATTTTCCCATTGAAATCCGATAATTTACTGTAATAAATTTGCTTATTTTTATGCATAGTTCTTTTCCTTCCTTGTTTTTACATCGCAGGTTGCCCTTCCCTTTCCCTCTCGACTTTTCCTGTTTCTATATCTGTAGTCAATAAATTCTCAAAGCATTTTTTTTATCTTTCTTTTTTTCTTCTCACATTCATAGTTCTGTTATATTCTACCGCCTTGCTCATTGTCATTGAATTTTTTCATTATCATCTTTTCCCTTTTTCTCTCTCTCTCTCTAGTTATTACAGACTACTACGTGACTGCTTCAACTAATTTATACGGCGATGAAATGCCGTCATTTCATATGACATCAACACGAAATGCATACTGGGATCCTGTTATTGCCGCACCAACAAAATTGTTTGTTGAAACAAAACCGATGAATATCTCTGCACAACCTTCGCACGCAATTTCCTCTTCGCCATTACCGTCACCGCCATCATCTTGTTGGGATTGGGTACTTTTTTCTCCAGATTATTATTCTGAGTTTTACACTCCATTATCATCTAGCACATATCATCAACAGGAAAAGCTAGAGGAGGAAAATGATGATGACATTAATATTAATTTCCTAGCGAGTCTACCTACATGTTTACTCGCCTTACTTTGCTTAACACCAAAATTATTAAATACATCGGACGATGAGAATGATAATGATCAAGAGATTAGTTCTCTTCGTATAGCGGACGAGCCATTGTTATCCTCATTATCGAATAGTATTAATGAAAAACGTAACAATATCTCGTCTAATAGATCATTATCGTCCGATAATAAAAGTTCTTCAAATTTAAATATTAATAAACAAAATTTGAAAAATGATCGTTCATCAACACCCGATACTGATGATGGTTATCAATCAGCTAGTGATGCTAGTCGCAGTGACTATTCTCAACAATCATCAAGACGTGATGAACATCACAATAGTAAGCATGATGTAACCCTTATTAAACATTCTTTACCTACACCTCTTATGCCACGACGCATTTCATATGCGGCAGCTGTTAAACCAAATGCAATGTCAACAAATAAAATATCGTCATCACAAATAATGACTATTAAACCAAAACAAATATTTAACAATACACAATCAACAATTGCAAATGATATATTAAATAAGAAGGGTCAAAAATCAAAATTCATCGCACCGCGTTTCGAACGAATGCACAATGCTAAACAGTACACTTCGTCTTCAGTATCAACGAATCGAACACAAATACGTTCGAATAATAATAACAACAACAATAATAATAATAATCAACGGAATCATATTGTTAATTCAACTCGACGTTTTTAACGATATAAACCCTATTTTGACTTTTCTTTTCATAAGCCATTCAATTAAAAGATTTGCTCTCTCTCTCTCTCTCTCTCTCTCTTTTTTCATTTTCTTTATGTTGTTTCGTATGTCTTTTTTTTTCTTCTTTTTTGTTTCTATGTTGTATTAGAACCGAGTCAGTTAACATAAAAAAGATGATGAAATGAATCAAATTTATACCCTTGAATAATTATGTTTTGTTGTCTCAAGTTGACATGTCATGAACACAAGTGTCGGACTCATCGGAGGCTTTCTTAATTGTCAAATAGTCATTCACTGACTTAGCTCATGTTACATATCAAATAACAATCTTAATAATTTTATTCGAATGTCAAATATTTGCACTTAAGTTCTATTGGTGATCTTTTACTATAAACTGAATGTCTAGAACAATTATTTTCTTTAGCAATAAAATCTATTATTTTAAATACTAAAAAGATTTTGTTCAATCTTATAATAGAATCGTTTATATTGACAATGACACATATTATATAATCGCATGTCAAGTGTAGAGAAGTATTAAGAATAGAGAAAAGTTTAGAACATGCTACAATTCCCTCAAGTGCTGCGACTCTTTTGTTCACATATTGTTGTATTGATGGGAATTGATGTTAGAATTAGAACAGTACATTAGATATTTAAATCCATCTATCCTATGGTAAATTTGAAGCTTGCTTTTCTTTTGTAAATATCTTTTTGTTGCATCAGCTCAACAAACATCAAAGCTACCAGAGAGGAAAAAATGGTTGAACTATTTTTGTTCTTTTGAAGTATGTGGAAGCGTAGGTTTTGAAAAATTCATTAAAGTTAAGTATCTTATTATATTCTTCTGCTTACTGTCCTAGTGTGCCAATCATTTGTCTAATGAGATTGTTCACAGATGGTAATGGTTTTAACTACGTCGGCTTGATTGTGACGCCGAGAAATAATTCTATCTACGACGCTCTGTTAACTGACCAACGAAGCAAAATGTTTCTATTAATGATTGATCCGTTTTTTGTTTTTCTGAATAAAAAAAATAGCCTATCATCGAAGTTGACAGGTACAAAAAAAAACAAGTCTACGTACGGATATTTCGGATCCGTAGTACAAGTAGAACGCGAAAATAAGGCATGCTCAACGCTCTATTGTCTTACTAACTGAAGCAAATCCACTAAAAAGAGAACATTTCAATATCGAAAATTAAATCAAATCATCAATATTCTTCAAAATGAAAGAATGCCATGATTGATTATTGAAAGTGAATAATGAAGAGCAGATGTGTAAAAACATTGATATTTTGTATTATAGAAACTAGATAATACAACTGTGAGTAGAATGCAGAGAGAGCGTCTATCTTAGAAATACTTATATAACATTTACTACAATATTGGCAGAAAAACAAGACATTTATTTTCGTATTCAATATCAACAAGAAAGGTTTCCACATAGGGCAATGCGATGGATTAGATTAGTTAGTTACCAACAAAATAGTTTTCATCATAGATTTTATTTTAAAAAATTCATTACATTAAAGATTGTTAGCTATATTGTTTGACAAGATATTATGTAGGAATAGAAAATCTTAACAGCTTGATACAGTTACATGTTATACACGTAAAACGTCAATAATATCCGCTAAATAGAAATATATTATGTCAATGTCGTTCTGTAATTTCAAATTTGTTACAGTCACTGATTCGTAGGTGATGAATGCAACTCTTTGAAGACTAACTTAACAGCAGTAGTGTCAAACCTGAAACTTGAATTTAGTTGAAAATAGAAAATTTCAACTTTCAACTCATAGCGATACATGTGTAAGTCATGATTCTTCAGAATGCAATTGGTTTAAAATCTGAAAATTGAATTCAAGTTTCAAGTTTGACATATACGCGTCACAGGAAACCATAGAACATGATCAACCATACTATTACTATAGGTTCATAAATATTTAAAAAGGATTAGTTATTGAAGGTCAAAGCAACCTTGATATCTAAATAATGAAAGAATGCGTAATTCTCTTTTTGGTCGTCTGTAATATTGCTTCACTGTATTCGTATTTTCAATAGGATCTAAGATCTGCTTTAATTAGTCATTTACGTCATTTATTCTGTCTTTTTATCGGCTTATGAAATCTTTTAAAAAGTAATTATATGCAATAATCATATTGAAAACCATGACTATACTCTTTTAATCTAAAGAATTCCATAGGAATATACATTCTTAACATCGGACATTTAAGAACTTCATCAGTAATCAATCTTACAATGAAACAAATGTATTGTTTTCGTCAAAACATGACAGTAGAAGACATTAGTTATCCTTATTAAAAACAAATCAAATCAAAGTACAAATGTAAGACCATAATTACTCAATAGTTCTTTTCTTTTTTACGAGTGCAGATGAATATTAATTGAAAAAACAGAATTTCCTAATGTATAAATATTGAATTAAACGAATTTTTATTTACAATAACTAACTGTGTTTTGCTTGTTACTAATTTTTACTCTCATGTCTGCCTCATGATTTCTGATATTAATCGTTTGTCGTATAGCAATGTACGCTTTTCATGTCAGTCATATATTCCATATGGTGTATCGGTCTGTCATATTTTCATTTTGGCCAGATTTTTTTCTCGAGGATATCTTAAAGAGGAATTGATCGACGTAGAATGTCTGACGATCTTTTCTACTTGCCTTGTTTTTACCCAACTTACTCTACGCATACGAAAACAGCCATTAGTTATATAGGATTTCCGTCTAATAATATATGTATTCTTTTTTTTTCTATGCATGCCGAAAACAAAAAATATGTACGCATACGTCGTAATATCTGTGGTGAGTTATCGATGTATCGCTTTGTCATAGGAAAACATGTAGTTTCTGTTGTCATGCTTTCTTTTTGTTCGTATAAACTAAGTTGATCTATGTTATCGGACAAAAAGAAAACACAAGAAAAGTAATAATATCTATGAATAATCATTCTAGTGAAAAAAGCGAAAATAAACGGGCACACATTATTGACGATGACAACAAGTATATACACAAATCCTGGTACGTACATCAATACTTATTCTATTATGAATTTCTTGTGTTTTTTCTCTTTTCCTTCTTTGCGACACGATAGAAGAGCAAAATAAATTATTGACTTAAGCTTTGTTTGTACCATAAAGAGAAACGAGAGCTACCAGCTAACGGATTTCACAAAGCATATCTCCGTCTATCTGCCAGTCTATTTGCGAATTAGGCACGCACACACACACACACACAGAAGGGTGCCAACATAGACGTACAACGATAAGACGGAAGACCAAAAGCTGATAGAAGGATATTATCATATAAACTCGTCGGACATATTGCACGACAACTTTTTATTTTCTTGTTTTTTTTTCTACGACCCTTGTTGTCTATGAAAGAATAGATAAAAAACAGTAAGATTTTTTTATGTTATATTCTCAAACAGTAATGACATTCTATGTTGTCAAATAGATATTTTATTTTATGTACCGACAATAATGTCAATCACAGCTACAAAGACAATATCACCGAAGTCTTCTTCAAACGAGAGATCATCTTTGATTGGTGCCAATCATCGTCATCATCATCATCATCATCCTCCGACTATTTGTAACGCAGAACATTTCGTAAATGAACGATATCCAAAGACTTGTTTGGAAGATATACCTTCTATTGTACTTGAGTATCCTCCACCGAAAATTGGTGTAAAACCAACACGATCTCATCATAGTCTTCGTTTTCGTACTCAGCCGGTGACATTAACTGAAATCAATGAAACAGAAGAAGACAATAAAACTGATAATGATACTCAGCAAGAATCTCAAACGTCCGTGCTTGGAGAATTTCAACGACTTGAACATTTAGCACTATGGGAAAATGTCAGACGAACTGCACGAAAACGATTACCATCGAAAAACTATCTTGAACGACAACGGCTCAGAGCTATGAGAGAGGAACCGAGTGAAACAGATGGAAATCAATAATTTTATGTATATATTTAAATTTCTATTCCATCTAAAAACGAACCAAAAAAGATAGAACGAACACAGAATAAGTTAATTATTCTATCTCATTGACATATTTCGACTATAATTTTCATATAAATTGTTCGAAAAATATTTTTGTTTTCCTGTTAAAGGTGACCGATTTTCTTGCATATGTATGGTTGTTGGCGTTGCTGATGATTGCGATGATACTGATGAAGTTATCTGATAATGTTCATGTTCATCTGTACCATCATTATCATGCATTAAAGAAGTCATTAATGGTGATTGCAATTCATATTCTTCATTGGAACAAGCGTGTTCATTTCTACAAGACGAATTTTGTTTTATTAATTTATCATTATCTGTATCAATAGAATTCATAATTATCAGCGGTACAATCCTATTATGGTTTTCAACAATTGTTTGTTCTTCTGTTAAAGTCGCCGCTGTTATATTAGCCGTTGCTGTTGTTCTTGTTGTTGTTGTTGTTGTTGCTGCTGCTGCTGCTGCTGCTTTTACTGTTGGAGTCAGTTGTCCTAAAGAATAGTTAAGTACGGCAAATATCAGTGGTATCAATACAGAAAAGTAGACTAGATAAAAACGCATAGCGATCGGATAAATACACGCTAATAAGCAACATGATAAAACAAGTAAAAATCGTAGAAATGATGATGAACACCAATGCCCACATGATTGTATAACGAAATTTGATGATGTTATTGATGCTTCACTTGTCGGTGTTGGTGATTCAATTGTTGCTGCTAGACTGAAGCCACTTTGATTGTTAATATTGTTATTATTGTTACTGATAATACCGAGCGATGAAAGCATGGATATTGAATTAGGTAGAGATGACTGTTGATTTTGTTTACGACGGTGTGATCGTTTTCGACACGATGAACAATATTTAGACATTTTTAAACGAAAATAAAAATAACAAAGGCAATCATAAAATAGTTTTAACAAAGCAATTAAAGATATGAATAATGTAGTTAATAAAGGTATTAAATTAAATATAAAGCTTTGCACAAGACGATTATGATCAATCCATTCTTCGATATAACTGATTTGTGTTGAACCTGGACAATAGACAGGTCTAGGAGTTTTTTCATTCGAATCAATTGTATAAAGTAATGGTATTGTGGCTGTAAACGATAATGACCATACACAAAGTACAAGACAAAAACAAAAACGACGAAAAAATCGACGCAAACAAATACCACAAGATTGCAAACAAGTACGTGATGAATGATGTTGATCGGACGATGGTGGCGAGGGTGATGATAATAAACATAAAACAAAATTTGCATGCATCGCTGCTATCGTATAAGCTAGAATAAATGAAATCGTTGATAAAAGATTGTGTCTTATATTCTCCAAAGGATTGCATTTTCTAACTGTCGACTTTCATTGTTTCATTATTCGTCTTAAAATCAATAATGAGAGTTTTTTCATTTTATATTAGATTAATTTAAAACTTCTGGCTTCTAATCATAATAAAATTGAAAACACACTCACACAAGAAAAAAGGATTAACTCTAACCCAATTAATATCAGCATAGATTAAATTTGAAAAAATAAATCATTTTTCTCTGAATTTCACGTTCTCCTTGTTGTACGAATTAATTTAGAAAGTTTCAAGCCTTCTAGCTATGTTGTCTTTATACATATTTTATGTCTATTAAACAAGCAATTCCTTTTTAAAATAACATACCAAGAACAACAGTGCACGATGTTTGCAAATAATAAATCGCTCGGCAATTGTTTTCTGAAAGTACTTTTGAACGAAGTGTTTGCGCTAGATAATAAATGTATAAACAGTTAAGTAATGAACTCGATAAAGCAGCACTTGAGAAATAAAAATTCACCATATTACGATATGAAGTAAATGCCATTAACATAGGTATGACCATGTTTAATGCGACTAAAATCGACGTGGCCATCAATTCGATGATTAGCCATGTTGATATGCGATAAAACAAAAATGGCATTGACAACAGCGGTGTTCACCATCGACTCTTTTGTCTATTCATAGGTCTTTGTCAGATCGAGCTTTATCTAAAAAAAAAAACATTATTAAAAACTTATATACTTATTATCTCTTCTATTGAGTTGGATCTTCTTCTTCTTCTTCGCCTTCTAGTTATTCGTATTGGGCTATTTTTTCTTCAAAAATTCCTTTTGACAATGGCGACAGCAAACAACTACATATCGATTGATCGACTCAAGTACAACGATGTCCTTGACACATTACGCGCACACCACAGGGACGAAGAAGGAAGAGAATCGAGAGAAGGACTAATTCGATCCCATTCCCGATTTGATGAATCGTGTTCTCGTTGTCATAAAGAATAAGAAAGAAAACTGCCTTTGGTCTAGTTTGTTTTGGTAGTGTATGGCTCGAGGCGCATCCAGAGAAATGAATCGTCATGTAATTATGTTCCTCTATGTCTCTTTTTTCAAACGTATATTTAGAAGAAAAGGAAGACAAGAATTCGATAGATCACAACAACATCAAAAACAAGACAAACTAAATTCATCGGAGACTCTATTTCGTCTGACATCAATGACGCAAAATCTGCTCAAAAATGACTAAACATATTCTAGGTCTAAGCTAGCATGCCAATCATATCATTTTGTAAATCACGGCTACGCCAATTTTTCACAATGGTTATCGAGTCTACATGTCGAGTACTTACTAATGTTATTAATTTTAGTCAGAAAAAACATTTTTGTCTTTTATAAAAAAAAAAAAAGAAGCATTAGGGAGCGAAAGAAGCGCGTCAGCAACAGACGATTAACTCTTAAAGACAGCGGCAAGCGTGTGCGAACGGCGGTAACGATTGAGCTTTTAATAGAAAAAAAAAAGGCAATACAGTGTATAACTACGAACATAGTAATTGTAGAAAAAAAAAAGAAAAAAAATCTTGTCTCGGAGACGATGAAGAAAAAATGATTTATGATATTGTGAATCGAAATAGAGAAGCGCAAAGAACTGAACATAACTATCATAACGACATAGAGAGTGAAAGCGAAAGAGAAAGAGGGAGAGAGAGAGCTTGAGAGAAGACCCCAGTTGATTATTTCAATATGCACATATAAAGGAACAGGATTAGACAAATGAAATAGAAGAAACCAGACGACACTTTGTTTGACAACGACGCCTAGAATCGATTGGATGAGAAAGACCGAAGCGAAATGTTGTCTAGTACCCACTTACTTCCGATTACAGTCCTATTTCGGAGAGCAACTAACGAATACTCTTTATGCTCGTCCTCACATTAAGAATCTCAAGGTTGATGTGACAATTCAAAAATCAGAATGAATAAGACAGTAGTATAATATGAAAAATATGGAAAAATATAGTCTAAAACCCATCTTATATATTTAAATAAGAGATTATGAGAAACGGACAGGTAAAATTTCTTCTACTATTTTTCTTTTTGTCAAACTGACTTTGTTGAACATGAAAATGAAGAAGTAATGAACAACCGATCAACTATCCATCTTGGCATCTCTAAACGACATTTTATTATATGTTTTTTTTTGCTATAGAAAGTACTTATTCTTATTTGTCGTCAATGTTTTTTTTGTCAATCTATTCTTTTCTTCCTCTCATTTGGCACGAACAATCAAACAAAACTTGGTTCAACATTGTTCACATTAAGTAACAAGATAACAAACACACTCATATTCCATTCATCGACTGCACGACTACAGAAAAGAAATGGAAATAATTACGTTCATCGTCGAGTTAACAAGATCAGCACAAAAAAAAATGCATAGAACTACTAACTATTCTTGTATGATTAGGACGCACGTAAGTGTCTCATCATTATCTTCAGCATCCAATCACATTGCCAAGTCCTTGGTAAATATGTAAGAGTTGGACCACCTGGCACGATCAAAAGTATTAGATCGCGATTGATTTCTTCCTTTTGCTATTATGATATACACAATTCAATGTATATCTAGCTGTTCGAAATAGCGAGTGAAACAATTGTCATCCGTAGTAACGAACAATATTAAGTAGCTTTTAGAAATTATCATGTTTTGAAGTTAATATGAAGCATTAAGAATCGGGGAGAAAAATCCTTGATACATTATTTTATTTTTTATTACTCGCTAATCTATCAATTAAAATTTCTATAATTATGTTGATGAAGTTTTCGATTACATTTTCTTTTACTATTAATTTGAATACATCTGTCATAAATGAAAAAGACTTATTACTTAGTTTAATCAGCGATGATGTCGCAAGCTGACATACTTCAAGTTTTTTTTCAAGATGACGTTAAGTATTCAAAAGTTTTTTCTTTTTTAATTTCATTTATCTACTTTCCTAGAATATTAAAAACATTATGATTGATAATCAATTTGTCTAATTTGATATACTGGCGAGTTCAATTCGAAAGAAAACAATCGAAAATAAAAATGGGTCCTATGCGGAATAAAATAAATTTTCTTTTCCGTCTATAGAATTTTTGTCAGGAAATCATTTTTTCAAACAGAATTAATTAGTATTATAATATTCATCGCACTAAATGTCAACCATAGTTGTTCATAGATTTCAGAAAAAGTGTTTTTTTTGCTTGATGAAAAATGCGAAGTTCTCTATTGACTTCATCAAATAAATTTTCCATGATGGCAGTTCATCAGCGTGATCGATCGGAGAAAAATTTTCATCATCAAAAGTTTATCTATTAGCTACTAATTTTGATTGATACCAAAGAGCAGCAAAGATTAGCTCTATGAATAGGTCAATGCTTTATTATGCTGTCAACACAAGTTTGCCTCGTACATGTTTTCGAACTGATGCTTTTCTCATCACATAAGTATCAATTAATAACAATCGAATAGATTAGTTAAATGAATCAATACATAGATCTGTATTAAAAAGCATACTACTCGCTTTAACAGCTTGAATCTATTTATTAATGAAATTAGTATACATAATATATATATAAATCGATGAGCGCCGCAAGGATTCTTACGGCCACTCGAAAATTTATAACTCGGTAAATTACTGTCTACTCAGCATAATAACAAAGTTAAATTACAACAATTACGAGTAATAACAACACTAGTTTCATCGCCATTTACAAATGTTTGTCTATATAACGTTAATATACGTGATAGTTATACCGACATACTTGTTTGTTCTTTTCCTAGACCGTGTGAATGGCTGTCGGAATAGGCAATCCTCTACTCGTTGCAAGTATTTTATATTCTTAATAAAAAATCGGAAACGAGATGGATTAAAAGATTTAGTTTAGCGGTAGAATCAATCAAACTATCGACATTTTCATTCGATCGTTTCCTTATTGTTTTAGTTGGCTAAAAAAAGTTGCATACGATTGAACGTTTTATTATATTTGATATTTGTAATTTTTTTCCAAAATATCGATTTCACGAGGTTATCTTTATTTATTGGAAAGGTATGATTTTGTATTCAAATAAACAGCGCAGTATTTAATAATAATAATAATAAAAAAAAGAAAGAAAAAAGAAAAAAACGCGAGTGTTTTAAGTTTGCACAAAATAGGAAGGAAAACAACGTTATATATTGAAAAGAAAAAGAAAATTTCAAAACTGATTCAGCCATATGTATAAAATCTCTTGTTGTATTCACAGAGAGAAATATCGTTTTAATGTTCAAGTATTTGCATAATGATATATATATATATATATATATTTAATCAATCACTGTTAGTTGAAGATTCTATGTTTAATAGGGCAAAAGAATTAATTTAAAGCTAAGATAATAATTTTACCTGTTTGGCATTGATGTTCTATAGTCGACCATATTCGAACCGTTGCATCATCTGATGCTGAAGCAAATAATAATGGTAATATGGGATGCCATGATACACAATTAACAGTACGTGTATGGCCAGAAAAGATCATTATTGGACGTTCCTGTTTTCGATGCCATAAATAAACTTTTGAATCTATTTAAAAAACAAGAAAACAAACTGAAATTGAATTCTTAACAAAATCTACTAACCTTCGCTACCGCTTGCTATAAATTCTTCATTAGGTCCGCCGAATGTTGCATGATTGACATAGTGTCCTTGTGTAACACCTTGATATTTACGAAGCAACTGTCTATCATGTAAATCCCATAGATGAACACCCTTTCGAGAAGAAAAAAGAAGCGCATAACATGAAAACGAAAACGTTTTTGTATTTATTTATACTTGTGTTGCAATATTAAGAAGAGCTAAACGGCCATCTTTACTTATTGTGAATGACATAATTGGATGGTCTTCGTGAATTCTAAATTGAAAATTAAAAACAACTAAATTTTCTTTTATAATTTTTTATATTTATACATTTGTTGATCAGTTAAACTGTCAAATTTATATGAGCTAATACGTTTTTGAGCATCAGCTGCTAATATAACTCCATCGCTAGTTACATTTAAACATTGCAAGCGGACACCCTCCCAATTATCAATTACGTTACCATCAATATCCTAGAATTTAAAGAAAAACGACGATTTTATTTCGAAAAATTTAAATTTTTATTCTACATACACAGTAATAAAATTGCCCACGAGATCCTCCACATACAAATCTTGTTCCGCATGGTAACCATGCAGCACAAGTTAAACTATCATCCGGAGTATGATGAATACGTGATCGTTGTTCTTCTCGCTAATTCGGAAATAAATAATTCTATTTTATGAATAAGAAATGAAGTGTCCTACTTGAATATCCCATATCCAAATTTCACTACATTCATCCGTACCACAGGCTATTATATATCGGCTAAACGGACACCAAGCGATAAAACCAATACCAAATGAATGACCGTCGAAATGCTTTCGTAATTTTAACTTATATGTTGTCTAATAACAAAACAAAACAAAAATCAATACATATTCATATTTGAAGTCAAGCGTTTGAATTTTACCATATCAACATCGTATATATACAAATTGCCATCTTTGGAGCCCGTTGCAAGTTTAGTACCGTCGGGAGAAAATTTACAAAACCATACTTCATCGGTATGATTTGTTAATGTTTGAACGGTAACACATGGTAATGTTTGTCTAGAAACAAACAAAAGCAATTTTAACTTCTATACATCAGTGTTTGGATTTTCCCTTTTTTTTCTATCCTTGAAAAGCTCATTTTCTTTTGTGTTGAGTACTTACTTGCTACATGTATGATCTTGAAGTAATGATACATCTTCAATAGATAATCTTCCTGGTTCAACATGATATGTACACTGTTCTTGTTGTAATTGAATGGCTTGGGATAATAGGGATTCAAGTCGTTTCGGTGGTAACATGATATCGGGCGGGAAATATTCTAAAAGAAAAACAAAATTTCAATTTAAGGGCCCCACACCTTAAAAAAGTCGATTTTTTCGAAAAGACTTAAGTTTGAGTTTTCATCATGGGTAGATGCCTCAAAGTCTCCTCTTTCAGAATATATATATATATATATAGGTTTTTAAAAAAGGTTCGATTTTAAGGGATTTATCGAAAAAATACTAAGCCGTACTGTCTTGTTGTTCAACAAAAGAAAAGTGGCGGTAAGGTTATTTTTTCACCGAGCTGTTTTCTGAAAAAATAGTTACATGATTGGAATCTGTATAAAATTCTGAACAAAATAGTGTACTTTTTTTGTGTAAAATAATTTTGCCTTGGTCGTCCTCTTGAAAACCAAATTGATTTTTTCTTTTTCTTCGGGATTTGATCTAGACATAGCTTATTCAGTACGCTGATCACGAATATTAGGTTTATTTTCCATAAAAATGTGTCTCCGAATAAAAAAAGTGGCAGTTCCCTACCGGACGACGATTTTGTTTTTACCTTGGCTCCCAGATCGCTGTCTTGTAATTAAAGAAATCAGTTCAGGAAAGAAGAAATACAATGAATATGTGCAGAAATGATAGTTCTATCGATTCCATTCAATTGAAAGGGTTAAAAGCAATGTTAGTTATGTTTATTAGGTTAAAAACTCTCATTTCATATTCATCAGTATACGCGCGTCAGTTGAAAGAATAGAGCTAATAGCAAAGATCGTTTATAGGTGAAGCGAGTTAATATCATTCATGACATCATTGAAAAGGGTCTGTGTAAAAATATAACATATAGATCTTTTTTCGAGTTTAAACAAAAAGATGATTCTTTGACTTATCTATCGTTTTTCTCAAAACAAGGTTTTTTGTCAGAAAAAATGAAACTAATTTCAAGAGACTTAAGACATTAAAGGTCATTATTTTTTATTTTCAAACTTCAAGTGTAAGTAAACTCTTGTCCGATCAGATTTTTTATATTTGATTCCTGAACTTAAAAAAGTCGGATTCTATACCAACAGGTGACCACTTTTAGGCAAATTTTGACCCCTATCCGAGTACAATGCTTGTAAAACATGAACTAAAGCAAATTTTTAAGTTCTGTTCTGACAAAAGTTGCCTATTGATGCTGGGTTTAATTTAACACAAGCGCGACTTTTATAGCTCTCCTACTGGCAGAGTCTTAGGGATTCTCCCCTGGTGGCCATAATTCGTATGTAAATAAGTCATATTTTCGACTCAGTTCAATGTACCGAGCTGAAATTTTTATCACAACTGTTTCTAGTGAAGATCAGTCATCCCTGAAAATTTCAGCTCAAACGAACCTCTCTAGGTGACAACACAGATCTGAGAGGAGGGGGGGGGCTTAATAACGATGAGTTTAAAATTTCCTCATTAATTTGATAGAAATATCTACTCTCAAAGAAAAAATCTGAAAGTCTTCTCGTAATCCAATTTATATTGAGTATCTTAAACTAGTTTTTTTCTTGGCAACAGCAACCCTCGATTTCAGGAAACTTTAGTTACTTCCATTATTGCATCGCTGAAGTAGGCGTGTAAATAGAGAAGAATACTAGCGGTAATGGTAAGGTTAGTTTCATTTCTTTTGTTAAAGTTTCGGAACTATTTCCTGTTGAATTTTGTATTCATAGAAAATTAGAGAATAGAAAAAGCGAGTAATTATAAAACTCATCGTTGGTCTTGTAAATTTTTAAATTATATTATGATTGACAGTTGAGTTCATTTCTTACGAAAAAAACACCAAAAAGAAAAGCTTTTTCGTAAACATATCGTAATATAGATCAAAAATCAAACAAAAAGGATGCCTGTAATGCCATTACTAAATTCTTTTTGCATTTCAGTAAGATATTAAAGCTTCTGATAAAGATAAAACTAAATTTCATTTAGTAATCTACTCATTTAGTTTTTTTTTGATTATAATCTTAATATTAGTTGTTAGAGAAAGTACCTAGAATTTTTTTATTCTTCGTATATCGAAATAGTTCTAATCCGATTTCTTTACAGGTGACCTTAACCTCACAGCAGGACTTTATTAGAAATAATAGTATATGAAGAACTTTGCTCTACTCCTAAAATAAAAATGTTATGCTTAGTTTTGAAAAAAATTACTTTGTAATTTTTCCATTAACTTGTCTCTTGATGCAAAACCTTTTCCAGACCAATTCGCTGCTTTGTACATATCTTTCATTGATGTAAACATAAGAAATCTATAATAGTATTATGCAAAACACAATTTTATTTTCTTTCATTCTATCTAAATAGATATTTACGCAGTTAATTGATGAGTTCGTTCAATACGAATATTCAATGGTCGAATTTCATTTCTTAAACAATGAAGTGCTTCCATAGCTTGTTCATCTTCAATTAATTCAAAATATTTCTGTTCAAGAATTAAATATTTCATTTGCTAGACGAAAAAGTCAAAATCTTGAATAACTATTTCAAATCAAATCGTTCTTACTTGGATGCCGTCCTGTTCTGCAATATATTGTTTTAATTTATCGAGAGCTATAAGTGCCTAAAAATAATTTATCTTATACAATCAACTGAATCTGAAGGATGAATTTGTTTTTTGTTACTTCTGTCCATTTTCCTGATATAATCAAATCACGAAAGTTTGATGCCTGCTCATGTTCTAGTACACAACCACTTTCTAATATGAGACTATCGACTGTGTGACTAAACAAAGAAAATGATAAAATTTCAAAAGTTGACTTTTTTATGCTACCTTAAGCCAACACTTTGTAAATGCTGTCCGATAAGTCTCAGGATTTCTTTTTCGCTATTCGAAAATATTTTTGTATGCAATTGACAGTGATTCGTTTGTGTTGATGATGATATTGAAGAATTATTAATATTATTAGAAATATTACCATTTAAATTTTGTTTAAGTCGTTCGAGCGTCGTAGCTGTATCCGATGTTGTTAGAGTTGTATTGTTATCATCAAGAACGGATGACATTAAAGGTTGTTGGGAAATATTGGGATTAGCAGTATGCATTGGTTGAGAATAGGAAAATTTTGAGTCTTCAGCAATGGTTGACGTTGTCGGATTTAGACGTGCTCGTTTGGGCGGTGGACACCCTGCAACGTCGTCGTCTGAACTTGTTGAGGCCAGTATTGTTTGGAGTTTAACAAATAATGATTCATAGGGAAATTGTTAGAATACGAATGCATAAACGCCAGCGTGACAGAAAAAGAGAGCGAAGGAGAGAGAGAAAGAGACAGAGAAATATGGAAAAACGAAAAGAGAGAAAACAATGCACGTTTTCTAGACGAATTTAATTTAATCTAGGAAAAATAGATAGAGATAGATTAAATATAAACTGTTCATATGATATGATTCGCATATCTAAATAAATAAATAAATAATAATAGAAAAGAAAATGATTAGATTTGTCCTTGCAGAAGGACGACTTCAGTCGACCTCGAGTCGTCATACGTCTAGCGAATGTGAAGATAATTTATTGCGTATAATTGTAGGAAAAAGAACAAAAATATTACCGAATACGGAAAATATTTCCCTTCGAATAATTTCTACAATAAAACAAACACTATCAATAGGTAAACGGTGGTCACGAAAGTATTTTTCTAATGGTTGAAAATGTTAACCAATCATACAATGATTACTTGAGTAAGTAAAGTAAAGTAAGTAATAATATGTCGAAAATGTCAAAACTTCTGTTTTTAACAGAACAAGAGTCGAAAACAAGAGAAAAGCACTCTACACACTTATACTTTAAGAAAGCTATTGTTTTTGGTATTTAACTAGCAAAAGTAAAATTCTATTCTACCAAGCAAGAAGCATTTGAATTAAGTTTATTGTAACAAGATTTCATCATGATTGAATGTCTTGAATTCTATCTTAATTCCTCTACTTTTTTTTCCTATGATTTATTCATTAGAAATATATCCTGCAACTATTGAAAATATGTCTTGACCAGTTAATCTTCTTTCACCCTAATTCATAATTACACGCATCAAATGTAATTTTTACGCTGTTTACGAATATCACACTGAAAATTGATTGATAAAATGAACTATTTCAATTTTCTGGGTAATTCCCTCTCATTTGCAGATAGACTAACGTATATATCTGTCATGCAAATGATGCAATATAATTTTCTGCATTCTACTCAATAGTGACATCAAATAAGAAAAAGGAACAATAATAAACATTTTTTCTTCTCGGTGTGTCGTATAAAGTTTTGGAGAATGGTTGAAATAATTGTATGGCGTAGTTTTAATCAAAACAAATCACTCACAAAAAGATGTGCGTCCGAATCCAACTTCTTTGAGTAGCAAACATTCTCTAGTTTATAGAGCTGCACTTTTCAAAAGTACTTACACATATTTTGTAGTTGTAAACTATTCATTTGAAAATCATTTCAGCTTTTTAATTTTATTAGCACGATGATAACGTTTAGTATTATTGCTTCGTATAGAAATGACGTCAAAGAAATTCGAACTGATCTTGATTATAATGCGCAAAGCTCTATATCTATTAAAAGTAACCCAGGCTTTGTCGTTCTCTTTTGTTAAGATCACATTCAAGTTAATCTCTTGTTTTATTGATGGATGATATGTCGTCCCAAAAATAAAAGCTGAATATTGTTGGATTGAATGAAGTCATTTATTTATGTTTGATAAGCTTATTTCGTGTTCAATAACACCACAGTTGGTGTTTACGTCTGAGGATCTGCTGGGGTATTGGCAAAATATTCTCTCGTTCGTCCTTCTATTAGACGATCAGTTTCAAGAGTACAACGATCATATTTAGATAAAAAGTAATCAGGTAATAAAAAGCAGTCGGCTGTATTTTCTTTCGACACCTTTGATAGTAAAATTTCGTTAGACTTCGATTTTCACTTGTCAGAAAAATTGAACTGTAAGAAAAAAAGCTTGCTAGCGCAGCCCCTTTGGGGCTAAAATGTGGAACTTACATTTATCCCTTCGACTTACTAAAATAATTCAAAATAGTTCATCTGAAAAATCTACCCTGATTTCCAAAATCTATAATTAGGTCATTGTCTATTTGCTTATGTCTGCAATCGAGTATTAATTATTAGCTGGTATATTTAACAATGGCAGATACTAGTTTCTACAGTCTCTAATGGTACCCTAAGCTAGTTACTATGGTCTGTAATGGGTAACCATTGCGTTTTTCGTGTAGTCTGTAATTAAAAAAGGAAGAAATAGCAGCCTAATTAGTCAAGCTCCTAATTAGCACAATTTTGAAATAATTAATGTCTGTAATGGGGAGGGGGGGAGCCTAAAAAATCTCGCTTATAAACTTACACTCCCAATTTTCTTCGAAAATATATGTGAGTTCCACAAAACAAAATAAACTTATGAGAAATAATCAAGATTCATTAATGATTTGAAGATAACCAAAACTAGATCTACAATTCGACACTCCTCGTTTCCTTCTGATAAATTGTTTAATCTGAAAGAAACAATTATTTATTTATTTATTAAATCACATTACTATAAAAATTATTAACCTAACTGCAACTGTAGCGATGGTGGCTGCTCGAGTAGTACAACATTATTCGGTCTTCTGTATTCAACAATTGACACAGTCTCTAATAATAAGCTCATAATACATGGCATGACAGCCTGAGTGAAGATGAAAAAGGTGTCTACGAGACAATTCACCTAGAAAATGAATAGGATTATACTAAAATTACTAGTCACCACGTTGAGAAATCGAATCTGCATTTAGTGAGTCACTTGTAGATCATTCGCTCAACAATTTCCAGATGAGAAAGTTAATATCATCTAATTTAGTTACATTCATTAATCACATTTTTTCGTTTTCTTCGGTTGCCACAAATTTTCAGTACTTAGTAATACAGTTGATAATTCATTACTCTTTCCTTAATGTATCACTAATTGTCGAGGGAATATTTTACTCAAAAACAACGAAAGCACAAATTGCTTCTTTTCAAATCTATTGACACATAATTTGCATATTTAAGTGAAGTCTTTTTTATTCAAACATACATCGATAAGTCGGTGCTATTTTTTTCCGTCACTTTCATATAATTATTCAAGCAAATTATTTGCTTCTCCGACAGTATGCAGATGTCTTACCATGTGGCAAAATGGATGTTAGTATCGAAAGTCGTCTTTCATTAGAATACTGTAGTACAATATTATGAGAATATCATTGTATTGTTTTATTTTATATAAATTATTAATGCGTATCTTTTCTCAAGATATAACAATGACTTAGCAACATCGGTCAGGTGTGATGATTGTTCGAACGATGTGAAATCCTCTCAAGTAATATTTCATTTAATAAAAACTACTCTTAAACGATGTCTTTGCAAGAATTGAACAGAAGTTTTATATTTTCCATCTATCATATTAAATGCAATTGATCATATTTGTTTGTCATGTTTAATATTGTTAAACCTCATCACTTAGACCTGTTTACTCATTAAAATTCATCCAAATGCGTTGATTTAATTGGAAATTGCCATTCGACTTAGACCTGTAGATGATAAGAACCCTCTGGGAAAAATACTTCGGAACAATCTTATAAAACTCAATAACTCATTAAAACTATCTGACATGCAGTTAGCCAAGAGAGAAAAGATTAAAACAATATGATAGCTTGCACAAATGAATGATATTTTCAGTCAGAATGTCTAGATTAATAAAGGTAACTAGTTTAAAATTAATCTCGATGAAAAGTTTTCATTTGCATCCAACTTGCCAATGTCTAATTCATATACTTACTATTGCCAATTAAATAAAGCTCGCTAAAACTAGCATAGCACAATATCATTCATTGACTAGATAAAAGATCGACCACATCTTTTGCCTTCTATCAAACTCATGTAATGACGATTGGATCCTGCTGAGCCCGCAAAAAACGTCATACGATTCTGAGAGCCTCAGTTTCGTCTTGGATTCGTTTTCGTAGTAGCTAGCTAGATGGCGCCACAGTACCATGCAAATCAGTACCTTTTTCTATATATATATATAGAGGTTCACATGAATCATATAATGCTAGTAGTTTAACTTGAAGTGAATTTTTGTACAGATGGAATATTTTTCCACTTATGAACGATGGTTATATTTTTCATACTGAACGAAAACTACACATGTTCTTTTTTTGATTTCTTATTTTCATTAGGAAAACAATCAATAGCAACGAAAACTATCGCTTGGATTTTGACGCATGACAAGTGGCAAAACTGTTAGGCCTATCAATACGACAGTTTCTGTCGTTCACGCACATTTTCTTAGCTGGCCCAAAAACATCTTCTAGAGCATTCTATATTCCATTTACTTTTCGTAAAATGTGTACAAATACAGAAAATCCATCAGCTAACCCTCAGCCAGAATTAACAAACAAATCATCATTTTATCCTACAACTCCAATTCGACGCAAATGGTGGAAAGAAGCTGTAGCATATCAAATCTATCCACGTTCATTTCAAGATTCCAATGGAGATGGAGTTGGCGATATATTTGGTAAATATCTCTTACGTTAGCAAAGGAAATAATCAGCATTTTTATTTCATTCAGGTATGATTCAACGACTTGATCATATAAAAAGTCTTGGTGCTGATCTAATTTGGATTTGCCCAATTTTTAAAAGTCCAAATGATGTGAATGCTTTCTTTTTCTAACATTACCTAACATGATTATCTTATTTCTTGTAGGATAATGGATACGATATTTCTGATTATCAAAATATTATGGACGTATTTGGTACCATGGCAGATGTTGACGAACTCATAAAGCAGTGTCATGCTCGAAATATGCGTATAATATTTGATCTTGTTTTAAATCATACAAGCGAGTTCGTATAAAAATATTTATTTAAAAAACTAGAAGTAAAATTTTGCCTGATATTTTCTTCTAGTCAACATCCATGGTTTGTTGAGTCTCGATCATCGCGTACCAATCCGAAACGTGATTGGTATATTTGGAAAGATGGTAAACCAGGTGGTCTCCGTCCAAATAATTGGGAAAGTATTTTCAATGGTTCAGCTTGGGAATACGATAAAGAAACAGATCAATATTATTTACATTTATTTTCTCGTAAAATGCCGGATGTCAATTGGGAATGTGCTGAATTACGCCGAGAATTATATAAAATAACACGTTGGTGGCTTGAACGAGGTATTTGAAATAAAATTTTAATGTACATTCTATAAGCTAAGCGTTTCTATTAGGTATCGATGGTTTTCGTATTGATGCTGTATCGCATATAAAAAAGAAACCTGGCCTACCAGATTTACCGAATCCGAAGCAACTTGAATTTGTTTCCTCATTTGATTATCATATGAATGTCGACGGTATTGAAGAATATTTAGATGAATTCAAACGTGAAGCATACGGCGATCTTGACGTGGTTACTGTTGGCGAAGCAAATGGTGTTAGTGCTGATCAAGCTGTGGAGTGGGTGCATGAAGAAAGAGGAAAATTTAGTATGATATTTCAATTTGAAGCAACAAATCTATGGGATAAAACATTGGGCGCAATTGATGGTAATAGAAAACAAACGGCCAAGAATTATTGTATAACGAAATTTGTATTTTGTATTCTAGTTTTGGCATTTAAACGTATTATGACAAGATGGGAAAAAAGTTTAGAAAAAAGTGGCTGGAATGCGTTGTTTCTTGAAAATCACGATAAACCACGTATTGTATCGACATGGGGCAATGACAAAGAATATCTAAGAGATTGTGCTACAGCATTTGCAACTGTATATATGCTTATGATGGGAACACCATTTATATTTCAAGGTTAATTGATATTCGAGAAAACGAAAGGAAAGACTAATTTTGATTTTGCTTTATATTTTTAGGTCAAGAAATAGGCATGACAAATGTGCGTTTCCCGTCGATTAATGATTATCCCGATGTAGCTGCAAGAAATTTTTACAATCTTCAATTAGCTAACGGTGTTGATCATGACGAGCTTATGAAGATAATTCATATGACTGGTCGTGACAATGCGCGTACGCCAATGCAATGGGATGATTCATTAAATGCAGGTTTTAGTACAGCACAACAAACCTGGATTGGTGTTAATCCAAATTATGTTCGTATTAATGTAGCACAACAGGAAAAAGATGAAACTTCTGTATTAAATTTCTACAAACGTCTCATACGCTTACGAAAAGAACACGATCTATTTACTTATGGAATTTATGATTTAATATTATCTAATCATAAGCAAATTTATGGTTATACACGTACATCAGATATGAAACGAGCATATATTTTAACAAATCTAACAGGGCGTGTTGCACAATTTGCATTATGTCAAGGTTTATCATCTTCACAACTTGTTTTAACCAATTTAATTGAACCAGTGCCGGAACATAAGGTAGATTGTCTTGAGTGATGAGACAGGGTGCCGGCTTTCTATCATATTATCTTTACAGGCACGTCTCCCATTTGATTGAACTTCTAGTTTTGACGAATTTGTTTTCTGTTAACATTTTCTAATAGGCTGATTTATTTATTTTTTCATCAAAATCGAAAAGAAGAAAACACAATTTTTTATTTTTTAGGACGAAAAATCATTTAAATTTCGACCCTATGAAATTCGTGTATATATAATTGATCATCAGAAGAAAGAATCGCATCATCATCATCATCGTAAGGATGAAAAAACGAAACGTACGACTGATCAAACTGAACTAAATACAACAGACAAATCCTTAACAAAACTCCAAAAAATTGCTTCGCAAAATCTTGAACACATCTCTCACCATCCAACAGAACAAGGTCAAACGGATATTATAGCAGCATTAGCAGAAGCAACTAGGCAAGCTTTATTTGAAGCAGAAACATCGAAACGACGTTCAATAACAGTAGACCAAGAAAAAGTTACGCCAGACAGTTCAGAAATCGATCTTGAAAACGAATCAATTAATAAAAAACGACAGCGACAACGATCGCTGGTTCTTAATCTTGGTAAGAAATTTTGTTCATGTGAATTTCATATCTATGTATGAACATATCGAAATTCATCCGAACTCTTTTTACAGGCTGTTGAGCACGATGAATAGAAAACTTGAATAAATTAGAGCTGATACGTAAACAAGATTTCGCTTCATCCGTCACACATAGACATTGTTAAAAAGAACCTATCCTTTCAAGACCACAATTAACGATTGTAGAACTCGAGTACTTTGTTCTTTGACGTTAATACATAATGGTCCAATCAAATACTCTAATAGAGTATGATTTAAAAAGATTTCTGTAATAACATTCTCTGTGATATAAAATGGTGAATAGTTGGGTACGGTTCTTTTTTGTGTCGCGCCTCTAGATTGTCTGGTTTCTATGAGACTTGCGAATTAAAATAGGTTGCAATGCTTTAAATTTTTGCTTTCGATTTTACATAAGATTTTTCCAGTGAAACTAAAAGTCAGCATATCGATGAACTTATGATGATTGATGTCCTTCGGTTTTTAACAATAGCCCGAAAATCAGTTAGATTGTTAATACTGACTGAAAATGATTGTACTAATATATATTATTGGGACTTTGAAAAGGTTAACAGCCGACAGAAAAAGTCATATGAAATAATCCGTTTGTTGTCAAAGAAGAATTTATCTTAAGTATTTCTTATTTTATTTGTTTAAAGAAAATGTAACGCCTGCTATGCAAAATGATCCATCTTCATTGAACCACCAATGTCGATCATTCACGTGTTTAACATCACCAAAGCCAAGTGCGACTGGTCATCATGCTGATAGTTCATCGGATGATGATGAAAATAAAAAGAAGACAACAACGACCGCTAAAAGCGAAGAAGAATCAACTGATACAAGCGAAAATGATGTTGATTATTCTGTTCTAAATGATGAATCAATTCAAGATTTTAGTTTTACAAGCGCACGTGAACAAGCTAAAAAACGAATTTTACATGATGAAGAAGAATTCACATTAAAGCAAGCCAAAGAAAAAAAATAAAACGTTTAATATATGTTATTATTTTCCACTACACTGAATATATATTTACTTCCGTATCATGGCAGACGGAAAATCAATATAAAAAAGCATTGTTTCTTTTTTGGATCATGGTGATTATTCTATAGGCCCATGTCTTTCTATTGAAATGATAAAAATAGCGAGAAAAAAATACATATTTTTTTAAAATCTGAGTACGTTTATTTTATGAATTATTTTATTTTGTTCCTCTTATTTTCATGCTATCGTTTTTAGTCATACTAATAGTTATATATTGTCGCTAGAGTTTTGTTCTATTTTTCATATAAGTGCATACCCGATAAAAAGAAATGAAGTTTATGTTACCGTTATTGAAGTAATGAAAATGAATAATAAAATAATTTTACTTTCATAACGGACACGAGTCATGAATGTTCATGGTGAATATCCAACGTATACTACAAAAAGATACATAGATGATATGGTTTTGTAATCCTTGCAACTAGAGAATACGACATCTGAGATCTATTATGTTGATTATTCAACACTTCTGAAAACATATTGACGATTACTTTTGGCAGCAAATGTTTAGTCTACTATTGTCAACAACAGACTTAACACATCATTGTTTAACCTAATTTTGCACGAGAATACACATAGTAGAACATTAAGTCTATTTGGTTGACACTTGATGAGGACTTCATTGCGACTGAATGTTCGAACAATAACTTTTCTGTATACTATTCCAGTTTAGTACCAGTAAGACCTAGACTACAAACATATCTACATATATGGAATAGTCTACGCGAATAGCTTTCAAATTTTAATAATACCGAGCATGTGACGAGACGCAATTCTTGCTTGGATGAAATAGCTTTCAAGTAATCTTCAGCGTGTTTTTTTTATCAAGCTGGCTTTCAACCATTACACATTGAAAAAGTATAACTACGTAGAACAGGTCATTCGAAAACAGTTGATCGAAGGTTCCACGGACAATGCCGTTGAAGTAATAAATCTTCTTCTTAATAAAAAGAAATTTGAATAATACTATTTGCTCAGAAAATCTTTGACACCGTTATAAATTTAGCAATCTTGTATTAAAGCAGATAAGGTTCTATTGAAGTTTGCCGATTCATTCATTTTCAAGCTAATATCTACTATTTTAAACATTATCGTCCATGGAATTCATCAACCGATCAATCAAATCAAACAGAGCGGATTTTTTTTGAATTTTTCCCCCAGTTAATTTCTTTACAAGAGACCAAAAATATCCAACTGACTATTTTATCCGCACATTGATGTAAGCGACATCTAAATCAAAGAAGAAAACACTTCTTTCATGTTCGACTTTTTTTTACTTATAACTAAAACGAAACGATTTGTATTTCACGTAGAATAAAACGATTCCATCTCCCTTGATGACGATCGAAAAGAATAAATTACAAGTAATAGAAGATAATATTGATGATTATGTTCAACTCTATTTTTTGTTAGTTACCAACAATAGATGATTTTCATTTTCTGAAAACTATCAGCCGTGGCAGCTATGGGTATGAATGAAATTCAATCGAAATACCGATGAAGAATTTCGATGTTTTTCTTTCTAATTTAGACGAGTTTATTTAGCAACAAAGAAGAATGATGACAAGAAAACAAAATATGCAGTTAAAGTTATTAATAAACAAAATATACGTAAAAAGAATCTAATTGAACAAAGTAATATATAAATATATATATACAGTTCGAGAGTGTTCGTTCTTTTTGAATTTGTTCTTTGTTTAGTTGTTAATGAACGTGATGCTCTAGCAATTATGCATAGTCAATTTGTTGTCAGCCTTTTTTACTCGTTGCAAAGCAAAGAAAATATTTATTTAGTGATGGAATATATGATCGGTGGCGATCTAATGTCGTTGCTATGTATTAAGCATATATTTGAAAAGCACGAAGCGCAATTTTATATTGCTGAAATAGCTCTCGCACTCGATTATTTACATCGAAGAGATGTGATTCATCGGTAAGAACATAGATAAAGAAGAATAAATCCTATTTGATTTTAACGGATTTTTCAAACAGAGATTTAAAACCAGATAATGTTTTGATATCAGCAACAGGACATATCAAATTAACTGATCTTGGTCTATCGGAAATTCGAAATAGAAGAAGTATGTGATTGACACTTTTTTGTTTTTATGATTGTCTTTATTAGATGTACTCTACTGCAAAGCGTCATTATTTGATATTGTACGATAATTTTCTAGTCTGTTCTGTAGACGTTCCTTTGTAAAAGTAAAAACACGTGAGACTACGATAGATGGAACAGTACAGTTAATCACAGAATTGCACAAGCATTGAACAAAAAGTGAATTCACTGCTAGATATCTATGAGAATTAAATAAAGTCTGATTCAAATTTTACATTGTTTTGGAACCTGCCATCGTGGGAACCGATATTTAATTCATATGATTTCTTTTCTAGAAGTATCAGTAGCAGATATTATTGGTACACCATCGGTATGCAAAGTGCGTTCGTTTCGTACACCCGGCCAAATTATATCGTTAACATCTGACTTCAGCTTTGTAAGAAATTTTTCCTTTTGTTATCAATACATTAATCTATTCGTCCTCTCTAATTTAGTCTTCTAATGAATCAGATTCCGGCCTATTTCATACATCAACATCAATAGAAAATATTTATACAAATAATAATTCTTTTCGTTCAGCAACATCGTCGCGTTTAATTGATAATAATTTACGTATTTATCGGCAACCTTTACCAGAGTGCATACCTGAAAACGGACCATTATCATTTGGCAATGATGAATTCGATGATCGCGAAGACGCAAGCACAAATAGCACATCGGTCTTTCTTTTTTCTAGTCCAAATAGACACGTATCAAATATATCACAAACAATAAAACAACGACCACGTATTTATCATCATAAAACTATATCAAGATTACTTGCTTCATCACCGGCTCAACAAAATCAATATCGGCAATTACCTGGACTTGGCCGAACAGCTAATTCTGCAATGGCAACGGTTTCGGCAGCAGCTTCGCCATCTCTATCACCTATTCGATATTCGTGCGATGCATCAGGAATTAATCAAACTCAACCAAATGAAAAATCAACAAATCTTGATGACAACATTATCTCAATACCTATAGAAGAGATACAATCAAATCAGACTTCGTTACCTATTGATGATAGTTTACTGAAAGTTGGTATTTTTTGTTTTTAAAAACAAAAGTTTAGTTTCTTTGACAAGATAATTCTGTGCAAAACTTCTGAGTTCAACGGAGCAAGAAAATAAATGATAATTGTAATTGCACTGGTAGTTCTTTCATTTCCTCTATTAGTTATAATTATAAGTGAACCTGAATCTCAAGCTCTATATAATCTCCTTCTGCAATTTTAATCTAATCTAAAATATGCTTTAATTGCAGCCAGTGTGTCGTGCTCAAAATTATTCCAGTGGTCGAATAACAAGTGATCTAACAACGAATACATCTATTCGAAGTAGTTTTCTTAAATCACCAATGCATCCAAATGTTTTCGGACCTGTTTTGGGTACACCAGATTATTTAAGTGAATATTTTTTTCTCAATCGATCTTATACAATTTTTGTGTTCTAGGCCCAGAAATTCTAATGCAAGATGAAAATCACAGTATGTGATTGTATAGATCTATACTTTATCGTAAGCGTCTATTTCATTTAGCTGCAGCAGTTGATTTTTGGGCGCTTGGCATATGTCTCTATCAATTTCTCGTTGGTGTAACACCATTTTCAGATGATAGTCCTCATGCTGTCATATCTAATATATTAAATTATCGATTGGTATGGCCCGAAGACGATGATGATGATAATCAATTATCAGAAGATGGAGTCAGAGTTATTAAAGGTTTACTTAATCCTGATCCAAATTTACGATTTCAACTAGACAGTATATTAATTCTTTTTCTATGTTTGTCTTATGTTTTGTTATTATTATTATTTAGATTTGAAGAAGGAATCTTTTTTTAATTTGATCGATTGGGATAATTTATCCAACATACCGGCGCCATTTATTCCAGTGCCCGATGACGATTCAGATACGTTCTATTTTGAAGGTAGTTTTTATCAAAATATAATTTTTTAATTAAAAAAATCTTGTCATAGCTCGAAATAAAGCAATTGGTTTCGATGAAGACTCGATTGATTACATACCGATATGAAAATGATTATTTCTGCAAACCGATTTTAATACCTAAACTATTTTCTTTCTTTTATCTATGTGCGTGAATTCGGTAGTTTTTTTAATGTTCAACTGTTGTCTCATGTGGTTTTTTTCCTTCTTATATTTCCTGCAGTTCCATTTTGTACATTTTTTATGTTTGAAACGCGTCTGTTTGTTAGTTTAAATAATAAAAGAACGATTCGACGAACACAATGGAGAGAAGAAATAAATGATTTGTACTTTTTTGGAGAAAGAGGCCCGTAGCCATAGTTTACACTTAAATAAATGGCACACAATGCAATGAAGAAAGAAAAAGGAACGGGAGAAAAATCGCGTCGTATTGTTTTGACGAACACAATTAATCCATAATCATGGCTGAAGGTAAAGATCGAGCATTTTAATTTGCTTCATATTATATTCAATTTATTCATTGATTTAGAACGTCAAGGTCTATCGACATTAGGCGAAGATGAAGAACGATCTGGCATAGATGTGACTACCGGAACGATCATTCGTGCTGATCAACAAGATGAGTTAGAACCATTAGACGAACTTGAAGATCTTGCACCAAGCGTAAAAACCGATGCAAACAAATTTCGTATGCTATGCGATAATGTTCAAAATAGCTATTCGGAAATTGATAATTCGATGTTTGAGTTGCTTGAGTTAAAAGATAATTTGCTTCTTCAATTTCTACCACCCAATGTATCAACACGAATAACACTAGTTATATCACGATTGTACCGTTCATATTCATTATCTCAAATTCCCATCAATGAACTTGTTCGGCTCGTTCAATTATACAGTCAACCATTTGATATGAAAAGCATCGCACTGAAGAAACTCTACGAAAATAATGAAATGAAAAAACGAATGCTTAATATTGCTCTACAAAGATTAACAACAATGGAACATCAAGTTAAACGTCATACACATTTGAAATGTGTTACTAATTGGGAGAAAATGTTAGTCGATGCCATAGAGTTCACGTTTGTTATGAAAAATATATTGTCTTTCGTATGTTTAAAGGTATATTCGTCTTGCATTACCACGATCAAATGTACGCAAATGGAAATTTCGATTAAAAACATTTCGAGAAGTAACAACAAATATTGACTTATAAGCACAAATAAAATATTTTGTTCTTTCCTTTGTAGACAGCTCATCTTGGTTATGAACATGTGATCGCATGGATTCACGCAAACGCACCTCGGTCGGCATCAGACTCCGAAAATGCATCGAAAGATGAACCTGTTGATGATGAAGATGAAATCGGAGATGCCGATCGAATTGAACCATCAGGTGATATTGTCAGTGTACCAGAAATCGATGAACAACAACAACGAATAGAACAAGTCATTTTCCAATTTTCCAAATTCCGATTTCGTATAAATTTAATTATTTAGGGCTCAGATTTCGGTGATGACATTGAGAGTGATAATGAAGGAAGCTTTCTAAGTAGCGCCGGAAAGCAAAGAAACAAACTGGCAGCCGGATCCACTGAAGCAAAAGAAGCCAAACCAGCTCAACAACAAACAACAGTAACGAAAGTCGATGTTGATATACAAGCACGGCCTACTGTCGACGATCAGCAGACATCAACTGGAGACATGCTTTCAACAAAGTAGACAATAATAGTAATTGAACCAAATATTTTGTACGTAGAAAGAGTATCGTTTCAGATCACTGATTATACGTATATATCGACCTGTTGGACTTTTGAAAGCTAAATTTCAATGTATTATTCATGCTCAACAACAAAAATTCACAACAACTGTATTCGCGTTTGATGTATGCATTCTCTTGCTTTGTTTTTTGCTTGTAGAATTTGTTGTTTTATTTTTCCGTAGAAACCAAATAGTTCAAAAGAAGATAGTTCGAAAACGAAAGGACGCCTATCAACAAGTCGAATATCAAAACCACCCGATCCAAGTAAAATAATTTTCTCTTCGCAGCGATATCAAACACACTTTTATTTTTTTAGAAGCTAAAAAGCGTGGCGTAGATTCAGTAACACCCGATGAAGTTGACGTCAATACTATTGATAAACAGCAATCCGATGAAATCCTTGTTCCTATGCCAAGTGTTCTTAAACGTCGGTCCTTATTTGAAACTGAAGTTGATCCTGATTCTATACAAATCGAACTTTTCGGGGATGAAAAACTTTGTGGATCAGTCATTCTTTCGCCTGAGGATTTACGAATGCTTGTACGTAATAGAATGAAAAAACAATTTACTTTTGTTTCTTTTCTAAATAAAATTTCACTACATTTTAGGATCTGCCCAGTTTAAATAGTCCAACATCTGCACCTTTGATAGTTATTGACGACAGTGTATCTAGCATATTACAGGCCTTGTCGCCCAAGGAACAATTTGATTTCGATCAACAATCAAGTGAAGTCTATAAATTATGGATTTCTCGTACACCACAAACATTTGCAGTTTATAATGAAAAACGTGAATCTGTTGCTAAAATACCTTTGCAAATGTTTTGGTATAACAAAGTTGAAATCACTCATGCAACTAAATGCACAAGTAAATAAAAAAAAAGCAAATACTTCATGTTTCTTTTTTTTCTATAATCTAGTGACTGCACCGTTGGAAATTCATGTACCACCACCACTACCACCGCCGCCGCCGCCGCTACCACAACAACAATCAACCACTGTGTATGTACCTCAAATTCCTACTCCAATTGAAACACAAGACAAAGCTCTATCACCATTTACAAGTACACCGAGAGTTGGCATTGATGAAAGTACAGAACCAGCTCCTAGCCGTCTAACAAATGTTGGCGATAGTACAGAAGCAATCCAAGCAACTTATGAAGATAAAATAAGTAGACTTCATGAAAGTTATCAGTATGTTATCGATGCATTGTCATTTTGAAATCATTATGAAATATTCGCTTATCTAGAGCAGAAATCCGTCGGCTAACTAAACTTCTTAATGAAGGTCCATCTCATCGGTCAAGTCAGATGGCTGAATTATCTGAATTAGAAGAAAACATGCGTGAAAGTATTGACGAACCGTCTGATTTGGAAACTCGGTAGAATATTCGAAAACGAATAAGAAAAGGAAATTATTATTTGCTTTTATTATTTTAGACGACATGGCAGACAACAAACCAAACGTGAAGTTGTCTTCGACAATCAACCACCGCCAGTTTACGGAAAGGGTCTTCCGAAAAAAGTAAGTTCTTCGAAAAGACACAATCGAAATGTATTCAATCTTCTGTTTAGTTTCTTGATCGTTATCATATGTTTCTGGAACGTAGTATGGCACATCGCAATCAATTAGTGTCCAAAGTTGAACAAGACGCCGCACGTACTGTAGAACGTCAAATGGAAATTCAACATCGATTACATAGACCAGAACAAAACGAAGAACGCTATGATGGTAATGTCAGTACAGAATATTAATTTGGCCTACGTCAGGCGTAATGGGAATTAGTCATAATTGCATTCTTCACTCGTTTGAAGAAGTTCCTGAGGGAATTGCACATGTAAAAATTAATTAGCTTTTCTCTCAGAGAAATTTGAAAAATTCACAACAGATTCTAAAGAATAATTCGAAATAGTTTTGATCTAACCAATGTTTTAGAAGAATATTGTCTTGCTTGTATATTTTCGTAATCGATTAAGTCACAAGCGCTAGTTGGTTGGGTTTTACTCGTTGAAACAAAATGTCTTTTTACACTAGCTAGAATGTCTTAACATCCAAGAATTAGCTCTGCGAAAGTTCACTGTCGTGTTTTTATTCTTTTTCGAAATTTCATTGTTGTGACCATGTTTTAATTAAATAGATTTATGTCTACCAGCGGTTTTCATGCCTTTTCGTTCTGGAAATGTTTTCAATCCAAGAGCCTATCGATTCTTTCATCATGTTGGTATGTATAAAAATATGACTTTTTATTTAACTTACGAAACGAAAAACCCAAATAACCATTAATATATAGGTTCAACTGATCCTCGTCTCACTCAGACACCATCCATATTTAAACTTCCGCCGCTTCCATCAGGCTCCGTAAATAGTCTTTAGTATCTAGTTATACATCAATTCTGTTTCTTTCTTTTTTTGTCCTCTAGGTATCTGTATTAAATCTTTTCGAATTAAGTCGATGTTACGAAGCAGCTAGTGGAAAAGAGCGTACTATTGATAAAACAACAAGTCAATCATCTCAACCGGGTCAACCGCCAGCACCTCCGACAACGCAAACATCAAATTAAAACAATAGAATTATTATTCATTTCTTTTTTTTTGTGTATTTTTAATCAAATTTTAAATTTCACCAAAACGATATTTGTTCATACTACGCCTAATACTTTCTGATGCTTTTGATTGTGATAACGGTGTATAACGAAAATTTGTTGTTACATCTTGAGGTCCTATTGGAAAATCATTTCGATCATATTTATCATTCTTATCAGCAAGATTAAATGATACAGTGTGTTTTTTCTTGCGAGGTCGGATCTAAAAAAGTATGATCCATTAGATATTGAGTCTCTGTTCTAGTGACGTTAACTTACAGGAGGCAATGAATTACTTTCCGAATCATCTTCTTTGACTGTTGCTATCATATATGCTGTAACTGTACCTTCCGATGAATTGTTCGGATGTATTCTATGATCATTTACAGTATTGTTCGCAACTGGTGATTGTCTATTGTATTCGGCTATGTTTTCATGTCGTAGAGTTATGTAATAAACTTCTGGTTTCGGCTGATGTCCTAAAGATTCGTAGGGTATCGACGAAGCATGAGAAATTGAATTTTCAATGTTATTTTCTTCTGCTTTTACATGATATAATTCTGGTTGTGTTAAAAATGAATTAGGTTCTTCGCCAATCGATGATTCAGGCAAATCACATTGGTCATGCGAAGTTGCTCTTCGATCCTCATTCAATCTTAAATAGTACATGGTTGTGTTTTGATGGTAATTATTTTTTAAATTTTCCGATCCTGCAATGGTAGATACTTGCGCCATAATTTTATTGAAATTTTATTTCAGCGTTGTTTTCGTTCGAATCGCAATGTTGTTACAATTTCATCTTTCAACTAAATGTATGTAGAATAAATTCAAGAGAAAAAATAAAAGCTTTTGGCGAAGAGAAATAGCATGATACTCGAAATTTTACTTAGCCGTTGACAGAAAGAGAGAGAGAGAGAGAGAGAGAGAATGAAGTTTAAAAAATGCTAGAAAGAAAAAGTCATATGATGACGGGAAACAGAAAAAAATATACTCATGTTACTAATTATTTAATATTGTAGTAGCTCATTTTTATGTTATTTAAAAGAAGAAAAAAAAGCAGCCATGAATTAGATAGAATTTCAGTACTAATAGTGTCGAATTACAATGATCGAAAATTTAATAGCAAAAAAAAACAAGACTTGAAAATTATGATTAAAAAGTCCTAACAGGTGATTAAATTCTTTCTGTTTTTCTTACTTAGAAAAATAACTCGATGGTAAACTTTTCTTACGATGTCAATCATGTTGAAGGGGCTGTCCGATCAATACAATATATGTTACAACTGTTCATAGGAAAGAAGGAAAAGAAATTTGTAATTAATATTACAAATACTTTCATTGTTAATGAATTCAATCGAATGATTGAGTAGTTGTTAATATTTTTTTGACGTTCTAAAGATCTACTTGTAATTTCAATACAAACTCATTGGAACACTCGAATTTCGATAGCATTATAAACAGAAAAATCATTTTACATCAGCGTCATTCTATTCTCCTGAATCCGTAAAGAATAGAAGCATCTCTGCCACCATCTAGCAATCGAATAAAAAGAAAAAGAAAGAAAGAAAGCAATAAAACCAGCTTTTGCTTCATACATATAATGGAGTTAACGAGAACTCGCAAACGAACAAGAAACAAATTGACTTGGAAACCATTTCCTCAAATAAAAAATAATTATAATCATAATAGTAAAAGTCTCTTTCCATCTATCATGATACATTAGTACTTCAACAAAATTTTCGAAACAATTCATCATCATATATCATGCATGATTAAAATTCTATAAAAAACTTTTCTCGAATGACTATGATTGTTAGGAAGCTAAGAAAATTTGTCTTCGGAACCAAAACAAAACGACTAACTAAGTAGAGCTCTGTGAGGTGCCTTGCACTCTGTGAGTGTCATGTTTATACGGGAGAACATACGACAGAAGAGCCGATAAAATTACATATATATATATATATATATATATACACAAAAAAAGCCAAAATTTAAGAGGGAGGAAGTACATACTCCTACGAACGCTCTAATCAACAATGATGGTATCAACCTTCTTGATCTCTAATTCATTGAAAGCAATCTCTATTTTTAGTTTTTCTTTTCTTTTCTACTTCAGTGTATTTCTATTTTTTATTAACCAAACGTTGATATAATCAACAATCGACTCTAACTAAAGGCCCATCCTCGATTGTTGGAACATAGATTTGCGTGTCAAATTAATATTCTATAATGCGGCAAACTGAAACAAAAAAGCGAAAATCTCATTCAACAGACAAGCTAAAGAACGGCAATCTGCCCCTACCTTACCATTTAGCTATTGTTATTTGCCAGGAAAAATAAATGAAAAAATATTAAAATGCCTTATGTTACTGTAGCATTTGTTCTCTCACTTTTTTTTAATCTTTTGATTTAAATAACAAATAGAAAAACATTAGAAAATTTCAAGAAGTTACTTTTCATGGCAGCTTTTGTTTGACTAATGCAAAATAATACATATATATATACTTGAAGCATGACTTTTACGGTCTATCAAGGTATGAAGTAGTATTTCTTTTTCTTTTTCTAATAAAATATTGTGCTAAGAAAACTATAGTTTTGTTAATTAAAAGCAAAAAGGAATACACATTTGTAGTCACTCCATTAGTAAATCATGCGAAGTTTTATGGTTTATTAGTTTTAAATGCATAGAAAAACAACAAAAGTCGTTTGAACTAATTATCTGACATTTTAATTAAAATCCTATTTTCTAATGAACAACTGTGTAGTAAATCGAACGTTATTAAGTTACACAATAGATGTTAAAATTTTTTCTTTGTGTTAAAACGCATAAAAATTCTTATAGACAGAAAACAAAAATTAATAATGTCAAAACTAAAGAAAAATCAGCGATAATCATTTCTAATCGAAAAATAGAATAACTGATGTGTCAATATTTTATTATGGAAATTCTAACATATTAATAGATTCTGACATTTCTATTATTCTCACACTAATTTTGTTTTTTCGAATGAACTTTTCTTATAATCCATTCAATTTGTAATTGTATCAATAAATAAACGTGATTCTGTGACAATATTCCCTCTTGTCTTTAGTTTTATATTTATAATGATATTTCTCATGTTCTTTGTTAGATGAAGCAAACAAATTCCTAGTTGTCATTGTCAATGCGAGAGTGAAAGCTCCTGAACGCTTTTTATTCTTCCATGCGCCATCGACTATTTTTATAATTATCGAAACAAAACAAAAAGAAATAAAATAAAACACCAGCGTTGCACTTGATTCAAAAGAGATATTTTCTTGTTTTATTTTTTGTCTTATCCCTTTCCTTTTTTTTTCTTTTATTCGCGCGAATGGCTTGTATTTGGTCTGTTACTTTGGCATACGGCATCTAAATCTGCATATTATTGGCGTTGCCTACGTATGGCAACTTCTTATTCACTTTAGCGCTTGCTTTCTAGAGAAAAAGAGAAAGCATTCAACGTTGCCATGTTCAATCTTCATTCCCTAGTTTTTGGTGACGCCAATCTAGAGAAAGAAAGAACAGAAGAAGAACGAGAACGACAAATAAAGAAAGACAGACAGAATGCGAGAAATAGTTTTCTCTCTTTGTTCGCTCATTCAGCAACAGCGCAAATCGTATAAGGCAAGACTTCGGAGCTTCTTTTCTTTCGCGTGTATTTTGTCGTTGAAAAGAAGTTGAACGAGAACCAATATATAGATATATATATATATATGTGATGTCGATAGTATCCTATCGGTAGTGACGATGATGATGATGATAATCGTAGAAATCGATCAAAAGCAGATGAATGTGGGCTAGACATAAATGCGCTGAAAAACATCATTTTCCTTTCGCTCTCGATCACGACTAACGACGTTCATATAATCGATTCTAGAGATTTTCTTCTCGATATGTTCTCTTATTTTTTTAGTATGCAGCAGCAGCAGTAGAGTAGTAGAAGCAGTAAGACAAAAAAAGGAAAAAAGTTTCCGCTTTAGAGTCGCATTTTATGTCTGTGTGTATTCATGCAGCCAAACGTCACCATCACAATCAGATATGATAGAGACTATACAACATCAACATTCATTGCCATACACACAAGAATAACATAGAATCGTAAGTACATAATCTTTAATAAATTGATTGTGTGCGTGTGTTTTTTGTCTTTCTAAACTAGCCAATTTATCAAAAAAACTATAGAGCTAGAGCGAAAGAATTTTTTTTTGTTTTTATCATTGTAAATGCGTGTTCATCATGCTAATGATGGCATGAGAGATCGTGCATAATATATGGGTTGCTGGGAAAAGTAAGACTCACTTAAGATGAATATCCGGTTGGTTTACTTCGTCTGAAGGGTCTAAAGAAAGAAAACTTCCAACCAAACAAAACCGAACACTCGTCATTTCATACAGAAAAGTAATAATAATAAATAAAGAGTTTTTCTTTCTTGTCTTTTATTCCTAATTCATTCTATCTTTTATGCGAAGAATAGTTAACTATTATTTGCATTGAGTCACAAATTTGTTTTTCTTTTGTAAATAAGCATGAACCGATATTAAATCGACTTTAGTTCCTCATTCATCACGATGTTGTTGATCGGCATCGATAGTCTGCGCATAGAAAAACAAATATAAATATATAGTTTTTTTTTTTCTCGAAAGAATTGAATATAAATATTCAATAAGACATGACTAGATCGTTAAGTTAGTTCCCAAAACAAGTAGTGCTAGTTGTTTCCTTCTTATAGTTTTACATTAATAGTTGGAACAAAAAAAAAAACTTAAGTGTAAACATTAATTCCCAAGAGAACGCTCAGATATTGAAAACGACAATGCGAAAAAGGGAAAAAAGATAAATATATATATTTATATATATACATTTGTTTTTCTTTTTCAGATAAATATAATAATGATATTTAGCTAAATGGCTCATTTCATGCGTTTTGTTTCATTTGACGATAAATTCAATACGAAGTATAGAAAAAATTCGAATCGTTTTCTATTATTGAAATCATTTTATTTTTTAGTTTATTTACATTTATTCTTCCAAGTACGTATCTGCTGGGTACAGAAGAAAAATTGATTACACGAGAATTCATCTGTCGACATATACCATTTGCGTTAACTTTCGTTAAAAATGGCGATCAATTAAATGCATTTCTATTGCATCGCAGCCGTGATACAGAAAGAATTGAAATGACACTTGATTTAAGTGTTACATTGTTATGCCGAGAACATTTTACGCGTAATGAATCATTTATTGAGAAAAATTGTAAATTTACAAATAAAATAACTTTACATGGACGAAAATCATTTACATCCGTCAATCGTCTATGTTCAGTTGATTATATGGACGAACGTGGAAATATACAATGCGAAGTTGAAATAAAAAATCTTTCGGTATCATACATAACAGAAGTAAAATTAACACCACAATTGATAAATCCTCAATATGCACATGTTATTCAACCGAATAATAATCGACAGCCGATTGATGCTAAAATCGAGACTCCATCGTTTTTCTATTCAAACTATGAATGGTGCGTTGTTATACAACCAAAATTAGACAGTGTAGGACAACTTGGACATTTTCGTATGTTTATAGAACGTTTGACATCGTGTGATCATTCAGTGAGATTAACATATCGTGTTAAGATAACGGCCGGGACGTATACATGGGATCCGTATCAAGAACGTAAAATGGCTAATCCAAATGATAGTAATACATATGAAGTAAATTATACTGATGTACACGGTTTATGTCGACCGTATCGTATTGATCGTGTGCGAGAATTACTTCAAACCGAAGGAAAATTTACCATTACTGTTGAACTCAAAGATGCTGTTAGTAAGTATTCGGAAGATTTGTTTTCTTTTTTTGTTGCAAACATGCAGATGTATAAATATTTGCAAAATAAATATTATCTGAATTAAGTTCTCGTTTTATAAATGGATTTTGACAATACATAAAAGTTAATTGAACATACTATGATTCATATATAGAGAGCTGTTAGCAAACTGTATGCGAGCTAAAAAAACAGCATGAAGCACGAAATAAGCATTGTTATTAATGTTAATAGACAGATATGTTTTAGATAATCGGTTTAAAGTAACATTCCACCAGATTCACAAGGCAAATATTAACCAAGCGTGCTTTATTTGGTGCCGAAACTTGTAGTTTTTCTTTTCTGTAAATGTTTTTATACAGATTTCTAAAAGTCGACAATAAATCTCCATCGGTTCGAAAGATCGACTACCGTAAAAAGAAAAATGTGTGCATGACAGCCTTGGAGAAATGATGACTGGAGAAAGTCATTGTAGTTTCGTGTTCTATAAAAATTTGATTACTTCTTGCGTGATTTATTTTTGCACTAGCAAGAGAAATGACTGAGGATTTCATACGTGTTTAAATGTTATTTTTTCTCAGCAAACTGATTACTTTAGTTCTCACCATTATTTTCTATTACTTTCTATGACGTATTGATGCATGTAAATGAAACAAGAATAAATAGACCTATTCCATGTTAAATTATGAATAATAAAGTATATTACATACTGCCTCGAGAATACAACGTAAAACCTATCAAGGAAACACCTTTTGATAAGAATACATTTCAGTGACATATCTATACGCATTTTAATATTTCAAGGAGAAAATCCAGCTAATTATAAGCCGCTTTTTTCTGATTGATAAATTACAACAATATTTTATGTTTTTTTTTGTAGCTGTCTTCCCGATAATTGTTGATCCATTTGCCCAGAATCCTATTCCCGTACCATTTCTTGATAAAGATCAGCAAGCATGGACTGTTGAAGCTTATATAGAAGAACAATGTTTTATTATACGTTTATATTATTCTGATATATTTAAAATTCCTACTGATTACGTTCGTGCGATATGTTTTAATATAACCGTACGTAATTATCGTGATACAAAAATAACTACAAGTGTTTTTCCCAAGCCTGTAACAAAGTACTATTCGCAAAAAGATAATGATGAAGGTTTGGAAATTAGTACAACATTAGATGTTGATGAAGTAAGTTTTCATTAGAACCAGAAAACAATTCATTTCTGTGATTATTTCATTTCAGTTAACTGAACGAGGCTATTTAAATGAACAACAAAGTGTTACTATTGAAATCGAAAATTTTTTTTCTCATCTAATGTATTCACCTGAATATACACCATTAGACGATATTGTTCGTAAACAAAAACAACAAATCATGTATGTTGCCCACTTTCTTAAATTATTTTTTCCTTTTATGAAAATTTGCTTTTTTTTGACGACTCGTCAAGGCGTGAATTGCAAACAGCGCAAAATGAGAATTTCCAATTAGAAAAAAAACTACATGAAATTCAAATGTCCATACAAAATCCGAATATGGCCAATCGTATATCCGATGGTGTCAATGGACCACAAAGCGGTATTAGTGCACCGAATACACCACAGGTTGTTCGACGATATTATGAAATGAAATATGGAGATAAAAGTACAACCGGCAATTCGCCATCATCAGGATATATTAATGCTTCGAGTTTCGATAGTTTACAAGCAAATATGAATTCATCGCCCGTTCGCAATGGTTCTCTAGCTGGCAAAACACCATCATCGGCATCGTCTGTTCCACAACCAAATGTAACCATGGGTGCACGTAATACACCATTTAAATTTCCAACTAAATTGCCCGACTCCATACAAAATACAATAACTAATACTAGTCAATCACTACAATCTCGCTTGCCATCTAGTTTACAAAAATTACCAGCAAGTTTCACACAAGGACCAACCATAAATATGCTTGCTAATAAATTTCAGAATGCGTTTTCATAGGTCTTTGTTTTAGTGTGTCATTTTTATTTTCCTGTTATTTGTGTATGTGTGATACCAACATATTTCAAAATTCTCCCCATTTCTGTGATCCCTCGTATTTCTCTAATCAAATTTGAACGAGAAAGAAAAAAGAATGATAAAGAAAATAAGATTACAATGGAATATGAAAGAATTTACTCTTCTAGAAATTATTAACATAATATTAATGGTATTTTACATATAATGTAAATTAGATTTGTTTTGATGAATGATGACACTGTTTACTCATGAATTGCTAAGAGAAATAGAGAACATATTATTCACAAAATTCTTAGTCTAATTCTGTTCGGGTTTTGTTTTCAATAATAGGACTATCTTTATGATTATGATGCCGAGTCATTGCGTCGGCCGTTAGTTAATCGCATACATAAGATAAATCGATCAATTGCTTGCATTTTTATCATATGAAAAAATTGAATCAGATAATATTGTTTTATTTACATAGAGAAGACTTCGCAAATAGGAAAGATTATCTTTTCTCTCGTTGAGTCGATAGAAAGTTTATTATCGTTTAACAAACAGAATCAAACTTCGATGGCATCGCGTTTCTTATGCTATCGTGATGACTAAATCACCAAGGTCTTGATTAATAATCGCTTCGACGAATTAATATATAGATGAAGCCTTGAATTTATTGTTCTTGTTTTATTATTCGATCAAATCATTATTAGAACAACGCAGAACAAAATTATCAATTTTGTAATTGTCAGATCAGACAAATATTTTTAGTGACATATCAATCTAAATGCTATATAGCATGAAGTCTGTTGCTTTTTAAAGGTCATCATAATGCATGAAATTGAAATCAATAAGAAAAAAAAACTATATAATTATTGCATAGAACTCTAAATAAGAAACGAAATATACTTTTTTCTTCATATCGTTTATATGAACATGCTTAAGTGAATTTCGACGCGATAAAATGAAAACACATCATCTTTATTCGGTACTTGTCAATTCCAATCTTCTTTATGTGTCAAATAGAAAAATACATTACTTCTCAAGGTTATCTGATGTCATGATTTTCTTTTATAAAAATATAGTTCTCACTTACGTATATATAATTTATCAAATAAAATAATCATAAAAAAGCATTGCTCTTTAAATCAACAATCGTAGATTTTTTTAACAATAAAAACACATATCGGCGAATTACGTTTACATGATGAAAGAAATAAAAAGAATAACAAAATAAAACTGAATTTCACATCTAGATGAAAGATCGATTAATGTTTCACATGACGTCATATCGTGAGGAAAAGTCGTAATTTACTTTTTTTTCTTGAAAATAAAAATTTGAAGATTTTTTTCTCTTTATGAATAAATTAACAATGCTAGATACTGTTCTTGTTTAATGAATTTCTGTCGGAACACACGATACATTTATTCGCGCGTATACTCCTTTTTAGAAAAATACAAAAAAAAAAAAAGAAATCAAATTTTCACAATGGTAAATAACAACAGATACTGTACACAAAAAGATTACAAAATTGCCTAAACAACAATTATGGAAGAAGTCATTAGAAGAAGAAGCAGAACAAAAAAAAACATAAATATTCGCCTAAATTCATTGGTTAGGGAATTGACATTTGTATTATCCTATTTATGCGTTTGTTGATTTTACCCATTATACTTGATTGAGCACTGTATTGTTTATTGTGGACGGTTCAGTTATAGTCTTTTTGTCAGTGTTTGTTATGCTTTTCGTACGTTTTACTTTGGTTTTAGCTGGAGTTGTAGAGTTAATAGCTGCAGATGCTTCTTCGTCATCTGCTACCCTTTCTACAATTGATTGGCGTCTATCTTTTTTTTCAGTTTCATGGTCAATCTTCTTTTTATTTGTTCGGGATTCTATTATTATACTGTCATTTTCAGCATCATCACCATTCGATGCTAATGTTAGCGATTTTGTTAGTTTATTTTCGATACCATACGATTTAGCCCAAAATACACGATCATCAAAGGAATTCTGTTCTTTTGTAACTTTATCTTTTATATCCGTGAAAATTTGTTCTACCTTTCTTGCATATTTCGACGTATCCATAGTTTCAAGAAAATCTAGCAGTGTTTCACGAATATGATCTAAGCGTTCTTCTTCGACGCTTTCACATTGTCTGAAAATTTCCGTTGCTCGTTTGCGATAAACTTTTTGTGCACTTTTATGTTTAACTTTCATGTCCGCAATTTTTTCGTCGATATCATCTAAAGCCTCGCGTTTTCTTTCTTTGACATCATCCGCACGAGCCAATTGTTTATCTGTTGCTGTTGGGTCTAAATGAAGAATTTCACAGGCACTCTCCGCTGTACGAAGAGCTTCACGAGCTTTCTTCTGGAGAGAACGCAATGTTTCCAGTTGATTGGCTACTGCACTTAAAGATGCATGTGCAGTTTTAAACAATTTTTTAAATTCGCTGGTCCGACGATGTTTACGGCTAGGACGAAAACGTTCATTGATGTATATGTCATTGACACGATTGCGATATCTGTCAATAACTTTTTGTATTTCGTCACAGTTCGATTCTTTTAATTCTGCAAGTTGCTTAGGTATACGAACAACATCAAGTTGAGCACGTTTTGTTGTATGATAGGATACAAGTGGTGATTGTTGGTTTAGTCGTGTAATCCATTTGTCAGTGAATGAACAGAGACTACGAGCTTGTTCACGTTCATAATCACAATAATCTTGCATCCACTCAATGAAGTCCATAGCAGCTTGGTAACCTAACACATGATGAAGAAGAAGAAGAAGAAAAAAAAGTCAAAGATTAGTTTGTAAATGAATATAGAGAAAAAGAAATTAAGATAAGAAATCAATTTATATAATAAAATAAAATTTTTACCACCGTCAAGACGATCAATTGCTACGCGGTAATTTGTACCGTCGAAAAAATTTTTTCCTGCATATTGATTAAATGGATAATGATCATGATTGGTAGCACCAGGCCGATTAGCAGCAAGTGTTTCTCGAATTCCAATGCAGGCGCCCACAGTGATTGGTGTTGTGACTCTCATGACAAGTGATTTGAAAAGGAAGAGTAAGTTAATAATCTGGAAGGAAGTCAATTCGATGGGCAAAAAAATAATGAATAAAAACTCATTGAGAAAAGAGCAACGCTAATGGAATGAATAGTACAAAAGTTTCGGTATACATAGATATATACTTTCTCCTTCGTCTAGCAAATGAGAAGCAATAAAGCAAAAGAAACGAAAGGCTAAAAATGCAACGATGACTCACAAAAGCTTTACTGTTCTCTAAAGGATCAGACCAAGGATGAGAACACGAAGAAAAAAAGAAGAGAAACCTACTAATATTTTGTCTATTGTTAGTTGATGAAGATATTTTATCAAATACTTTTACTTTCTCACTATCCTTATTTGTACGATTCTATATCTCGGCAATAACCTTTCCTTCTATTATATTCTATTCTGGAAAATAAACATGTAATTGCACAATGTCACCGAATATTGCCACTCAATTTTTTTTGCTTACCGTCTAAATCAATTAAACATAAAGAATGTTTGCTAAAAATAAAAGAGACTTCCCATTGAAAACGAAAACAATACTCACAAATTTCTTACTCAAATTTTCATCATACCTGCCAGTTATACGCTCATATTTATATATTTACTCTCCCGAAAACTGTGATAATTACAACCATATTGATGAATCATCATCTGTAATACGACAAATATCACACTTTGATAAAGGAATTATCAACAATCAAACACCCCACAGTTCCAGCCATGGACGAAAATGATTCATAACGATGTTCTAGATCATAAAAAAAGAAAGTTCTTTTATGACTATTAAAGAGTCATCGAGTTATCTGATCAAATCTCTTCAATGATTTAACAGATTCTCAATCTAATACAGCAATGAAAAAAATGAAGTGTAACTACCAAAAAAAAACTCTACTCTGTCTGTACTTTCAGCCGCATGTATGTAAAGAAAGAAAAAAGATCAATAGGAATACAATAGAAATAAGCATACTTGTCAAAACTCCTTAATTCGATTTTTACATGTATATAAGTATGTGTATTCACAGACAAAAATTTTGGCTTGATGCAACCTTGAAATTCAATTTATTTCTCTCGTTTGTTTGTTCACTTGTTGATGAAAATTAACATATTGAAAAAAATAAAAAAGGGATTCGTTCGTTTTTTCTTTTTCTTCTTATTTCTTATATATATATTTTTTTTAATAAGATGAAAATTCGTCTGTATATATATATTATATTTTTTTCACTCTACTCACTTGAAGAATTTTATTTTAATAAAAAAAACAAGAGAAGTTCATTCAATAAAAAAAATCCGACCATAAATTTGTTCTGGTTACTTATTAGAATGAAAAACTCTCGCGTATATTTCAATGTCAATTATCTCACTAGAAAAATATTTATGACTAAAAATCGAATTTATGAAAGATTATGTACAACATTGTTGACTCGATAAATATTTGTCTCACTCACTACTCGCATGAAAAATAGGTGTAAAATGGGACATTTTTTTTCAATTATAATTTCGGTTTAACAGAGACGACGTTTTTTCTTGTAGTTTTTCATAGCCTTGAGATATAACTTCTGATGCCGCTGTTAACGACTCTGTTTTTGTTGTAAAATGATCACATCATGGCCAACATATGGAGAAAACGTTGTCTCTTCTTATTCTTACTTCAATGGTTTTTACTTAACTCAACAGAAGTATCATGATCGATATAATATCATCATCCTTCGTTGTCTCTCTCGCTTTCTCTGAATTGCGCATATATTCCTTTTTAAAGAGTGCCTGTAACAAAGAAAAGAAAACTATAATTCCTATTATCATCTTAGACAGTGAAATGCTGATGCTATTAATTGTTTTCTATTATTTAAAATAACCATGTTGATGCGCATATCGTTTCGACAAACGATATAGATCATTAATTATAAGTGTAAAAATAAACAAATCTGTCATTTTATTAATCTTGCGAATCATAGGAGGCAGAAGTTATAACATTCCGATATAAGAAGGATCAACAATGGTTTTTATCGAGTACGATGATAGTAATAATAATAAATACAAACATATTTTACAGTTTATTTAATGACTTAATGATGACTGATATTTTCTGTATTGTTAATAAATAACACGAGAAACTATCTATGGAACATTGAAAATACTAAATTTTACTGATCTGTCTTGGGATCTGGACAACGCCAAATTATACTAAATATACGATTGGTTCAATTGGGAATGAAGTACAAATATATTCTAGTAGAATGACTATTGCCTTGAAATACTTTTATGATCGCACTCTAAAGTGATAAAGTTAATCATTATTTTACTACAGTTCGTCACTTACATTTGTACGGAAGAGCAAATCGTTATAAGATATTCAATAGAAAATGTCGTAATGGGAGATCATAAAAATATGATTTTTTCTCTTGCCAATTGAATGGGATGCTGTTATTATCACTTCCATTGCTCTATTCATATTCCACTTATCAAAATTAACTGTTGAAATTTATCGTTCGAATTCGAATATCTTTTTATGTACTCAAAAGGTGAGTACACTCTAGAATCGGCTAGTGTGTCCGGCCGTAGGCACGATAATTTTCGAAAGCAGAGTCAGATCGTGATGAAATTTTCCACACAGTTCAATCTCATGAATATTTCGGTCGAGTTCGAAGATGAGAAGGATCCCTCAAGAAATGGTTGAGTTATCGAAAAAATTGTCATTTTTGACCAGGCCACCCCTGAGGGGGAGTACAGGGATTTTTCAAAAAAACCGTTTTTTTTTCTCAGAATTATCCGCAACATATATAAACCGACTCAGTTTTTAACGCTGATTCCGAGTTTGATATTAGTTTTGAACAAAACTGTAGCTTTCTAACGAAACATCGCCTGAAAAACGTCTAAAAATGCACAAAAACTGCATCCAGAAATAAAATTGCCTAGTTTCTCATGATAATTTTGGTGTTCAGACATTCTAGAATGACTCATATGTCCCATGCACTTTTTGCAGTACGCATAACTCTCGGATGAAATCCGAAGTTTCCACATTTATTTTAAATTAAAAACCATTTTCTCAATCAATATCTCGAACCGAGCACAGATGATTCTAGGCATCAATTTATTTAGCTACAGGAAAAATTGAATGAACTATATCGCTAAAGTTTATATCAACTGAATAATATGACGTCTACTCTAAATGACGCATTTCTTTGCCTGTTTACAAGATTGACTCAATCCAATTCAACAACGAAAACAAACCCACTAAAGATGCAAATCGATTTTTATTTTTTTAACTTTTGAAAAATATTTGATCACTTTCATGTCTGAATCAATGCTTCTGAATTCGTAAATTGCAATTGCCATTTGGTAATTTTCATTCATGGCGACGTGCCGACTTTATTGTAATCTGATGAAATTTTCGTCTACTAATTCACGATATCAAATTTCTATGTTGATCACAACATGATCGATAACAAGAGAACAATAGTTAAACTCTGATAACAGAGAGTAAACCGCAGCTTAACATTAATAAAAACAATCAATAGATAATCGTTCAATTATTAACTGATGATAAATCGATTTCTGTCGAAAAGAATACTCTCATTGCTCTTTTTAGCTTCATCGATCTTTATGTAAAGAAAACAGCACGTCGATGATAACATACATTTTCAGCAAATCGAATTTACGTGCACATATAATACCAAAACAGTTAGACTAAACGCTCTACACATTATAGCCAAAACGATACTAGCACATGTACGTTATGGTTTTTTATTAAGCCAGACATCTATACGAAATACTAATTAATAACTCCTAGAAATTCATTACTAGAATAAACAAGGAACCGTCAAATACGAAGTGACATATTTTGATAGAAAATAATTCATTCCAGTGTGTTGATAACGATTAGAGAAAAATTCACTGTCCAATCACTTGGGTGTAATCTTGTATTTTATTTTTGTTGCCTATTTTAGTAACAAAGAACTTCAGATTACTACTCTTCAATGTTCTTTTAAGATGAAAGCTTATGATCATAAATATAAAGATAAAATTTTTTTTTATCTTTACATTCTCTGACATTCGGCGCCCTCTAAAACAATTATTCGTTGTTTGACATGTCTTCTCCTCCAATTGAAATCATGAATCTACCTTTTTTTGTCTTCTTTTCTCTCATCTCTTTCTGTTCTCTCATCTGTTCATACACCAGTTATTGTCGATTATTTCGTAGTTAATCATTATCGACAATGGAAAATAAAAGAATTCTCTAAGTTACATAAATGTATGATTATTGTAGTTCTGTCCTAGATGACTTGTTTTTTTTTCTAAATACATATAATTATCTACATATCATTTCATCTATTCATTGTTCAAAAGACTATATACATGCGCATATGCGTGTATACACAGTTGTGTTTCTTTCGGCGACCCATTGATCGGTTTCTTACTATTGTGTTCTCTCTCTCTCATCCGATGGCCTGCATACATAAAGTAAAAAGAAACAAGGCTCATATACATGTAGTAGTAGTAGTGTATTTTCTCTTTTCTCGTTCTTCGTACATCGTTAAAATCATCATCATCATCATCATCGTATGCATTCTTTCACTTTTTTCTTCTTCTTCATTCTAGTTCTGATAAGATGCTTTGTCTGAATAACTATCGCAAGAATCATATATCATGAAAGTAATTGTGACTTTTGGCGAAACAAAAGTTGTTGTACCTTGTGGTACAAATGGTGATTTATCTATACGAGAATTAATTCGTTCGGCAACAACTAAATACTGTAAATTGGTAAGTATATGTTCATGTCTATTTTGACATATCGATAATGATAGATGATAGTACAGATATGTAGAATGATGACTGATTCATATCGATAATACCACGAATAACAAAAATCTTTTTTTTTTAAATTTTCTAGTCTTCCTATAATAACAATGTTACAAATGTAAACAGTGATCAAGTTCAACTAAGACTTAATAACGGTGCTGTTGTCGATCCTGATGATCGAGTTTGCGATGTAGTTGATGATCGAGAAGAAGTAACTTTTAATTATATTTTGTTCATTGAAACAAAACAAAAATTGTGTCCAATTTAGTTATTTGCTATTATTGAACCACATCAAACAATTATTAATAGCAATGGTGAGCTATCTTCAAGTATGACAAGTTCAAATCTATCAACAAGTATATCGGAACATGAACGTCCGAGTTTACCACCTCCGCCACCAGTATCATCATCATCAACAATAAACAATCGTCATGAAGTCATTGTCACTGATGCTGATCTTCGAAGTATATAGGTTTTTTCTAATCGTAACATTATCAAACGTAGGCAATCTCCAACGAGGACGCACTCACACCTTCCTATAAATCCTCAACGGATCATTCGAATAGAAGATGTACACGTTGAGATCGTGCACTTTGATTGTAACTGTGACACTTTTTGTTGGTATTAGGTCATTTCCTTTTCGTATATGTCGGCCACACCTTTTGCATACCAAGTTGTTAAATCCTATGGCTAGAATTTGAATGAAAATGTACATCAAACACTGAAAGTTGACAAAGTCGCTTTTTAAAATAGAATACGAAAATATCTGTTGAGCTAAAATTGTATAGATAGAATTAAAATAGATGTTTTTCTTCTCTCGATTACTATTAATTGCAGTAGTAAAGCCTTTATTTTGTATTTCAAAACAGTAGACGATGATCAATTGAATTTATCTATTGTATTTGATTCGTCTTTACATTTAACGTGTTCAATAGTGTTGACATTTTATGAGGATTAAATAGAAACTTGTCCGTTCGTTTAGAATGATTCATTGCTAGTATACATACTGATTTGAGTTTCATTTATTTATGAAGTAAAGAAACCTTCTCGACATCGGCAAGCATATTCAAATGATTTATATCGTTTTTAAATTTAAATATATTAAAAAAGAAAACTTAGAATATATCGTTTAGCTCAGCTAATGATATATTTTTCGTGCTAAAATGCCATAATAAATATCTCTTAGGATTTTTAATGGAAAGAAAACAAAACATTGATCGCCGGTTTTTTTTCGATTTAAATAACAAGTTAAATTTGTACTCGAGTTCAACTTGACTCTTCAAGAGTATCAATACTGAATGTATTATGCAACTGACCCCGCCTTTTACTCAAGCTGAAGATTACTTCTGTAGACAGAACGAATAATAGGTGTTGTTTTTTTTCATTTATAAGAAGGTTTTAATTTGACATTTTATTCAATGTTCTGTGTATTTAGCTCGATCTCTACGTATCAAAACTGAATCGAAAGACAATCTTCAAGTAATTAGAACGATGGAAAAAAAACACATTCGTCCTATTCATACATAAATGAATTTTTATTTTATTTTCTAGCAAAACATTATGAATATAAATGGCCAAAAACATTCTCCTACAACGCAGTTCGCTGATAGCAAAGGAATGTACAATATGCATGTTGACGAAAAGACTGGCGATAAGACATTCTCAATATCATTACCAAAAGAAAATAGTCCGTTAGGTATTCATGTTATTCCAAATAATAGTAATGAAAATCAAGTGAACGGACTTATTCTACAAAACATTGAATCTGATGGACGTATTAAACGTCAAGGTATATTAGAAATCAATGATCGTATTATTGAAATCAATCGTATTAATATTGAACAATGCTCATTCGAAGAGTAAGATAGAGTTTCATGTTAACAACTCGGTCGCACAGATTTGATTTCGATTTTCCCCCAAATCGTAACTGATATAAAAATTGGTTTCTAATCAAGATTTGATAATAAAAATGAAATATTTCAGAGGTCTCTAGAACAATCATTACTTGAAAAAAGTATTTTTTTTTCGAAATAAAAACATAACAACGAGGTTTTCGATTTGCTTAAAAATTAATGAGACTCACTCAACTAAATCCATAGGAAATTAGTTACTTTTCATTTAAACCAAATCTTGATTGAAAACATCATTACCGAAATTGAATCTCTATGACCAATTTTCGTTTGTCATTTTATAGGAAATTAAATTTTTGTTTTTAAATTAGAGCTCAATTGGTCTTTCGAAATGCATTGCTTGAGCCAGAACTTGAATTAACAATCGTTCGAAGTATGAAAAAATCGTCGATGCCATTTTATTTGAATCAGAACATTGAAGTCAATCCAAGTACAAAACGCTTAGGAAAAATAATGAAAATAACACTGACGAAAGGTGCTGATGGTCTTGGATTTAAATTAGCTTCGCGTGATAATCCAACAGGCGCAGCTAATCCAATCTATGTTAAAACAATCTTTGGTAAAGGTGCTGCTGTTGAAGATGGTCGCCTACGTAATGGTGATCGTCTATTGACCGTTAATGGAATCGATGTTACACAAATGTCATTACAAGACACTGTTGGTTTATTACGTGAAACAAAAATCGGCGATACCGTTCATTTATGTATATCAAGACAACAAGATGGATCATTGCCTGAAGATTTAGTAAGTGGATTTTGTTCGTTTCTTTTCTATATTGATAATTAAATCATAGGTGCACGAAGAAGTAAAACAGCAAATTATAACATTCGATATACCATTAAGAGACACATCATCAGCCGGTCTTGGTATCACAATCAAAGGAAAAACATCTATTGTTGATGGAAAATCAATTGATTTAGGAATATTTGTTAAAAGTATTTTAACTGGTGGCGCTGCTTTTCGAGTAAGATTTTACTTGAAGAAAAATAAAATGACATTTTTCAAATTTATCCTAGGATAAACGACTTCGTTCGAATGATCAAATTCTTATTGTTAATGATGTGTCACTTGTAAACGTGCCTAATATAGATGCTGCAACTATTTTACAAGATGCTGTACGAAAAGAAATTCAGCCGGGTTTTATTAAAATAACAATATCTCGTATGTTAAACGATGAACAAGATCCTAATGCAAAACATGTCAAAGAAATCGAATTATTATCATCATCATTAACAATTACGAATGATGAAAATGAATTAGATCTAACAAATTTTGTTTCATCTGCGAATCGAAAACCTCCAATGAGTAAAAACTACATTTTATTTGAAATAAAAATATTATGTGAACTATTTTTTTAGAATCCGATCTTCGTTCATCAATGAATCAGTCGCCGGCAAGAAATCAAAAAGCATTAAATGAAAAGCGTACGTTTAAAATGAGATCGATTATTAGAATTAACATTATAAAAAAGATTTGTTTTTAGAAAATCAAGAAGAAATTGTTAATGAAAAGTAGGCTTTTAATCTTTATATTGAAGCGATTTATTGATATATTTTATTTTAGTGTCAATCCATTCCAACGTGAAGCTCCATTCCGACAAAGTATTTCCGAGAAACGTCGTTTAACCCAACATCCAAATAGTCAAGCGGTTCAATGGAAACAACGATCATTCCAAGATTTTCGAACAAATAGTGAAAGAAGTGAGTTTAAATGAAACCGAAACGTAACATCTATATTTTCATTTGTTCATGATGAAGGATTTCGTCGTACTAAAATAATTCGTAAATTTTTATGCTTAAAAATAAATATTTTGCTTTTATTGACCATCGCAGTTGCAGAATTATATTTAAAGACTGATTGCTCTAACTAATGTTGAAGTTCTTGATAAAGCTCAGAACGAAAAATATGGGGTTATCAGAAGTCTTCGTACGACTTCTTATTAGACTAAAATGCAATGCATGTTTTTTTTTGTACTTGCGGGTTGTCGTTAGATTGATTATATTTGTTATTTTTATAGGACAAACCACTGGAGCATTGCCTGATTCATCGATGAATTTTGTTCGTTCAACATCCTATGAAAGTATTCAGAGGACGGCAGTAGATGAAGAACGACATCGGCAAGCTAAATTACGTAATAGAGCTTGTAACGATTCATTTCGGCAAGCTGTAGATAAATCTTATAGTCAAAATAATCATGGTAAAAATGATAAATAGAATTTGAGATTTAATTATGAAAATTCGTTTTCTAGATTCTGTAAACGGTGATAAATCAAATAAAACAGATAAACAACGATTTAAATTTTCGAATATATTTACTACAAAGTAAGTTAAATAAATATGTACAATAATATGCAAAAATAAATATTTTCTTCGTTCAGATCAAAACGAAAAGAAAATCACGATGACAAGTAAATAAATGTGCTTTTCATTTTGTATTAAAAATTCATCCTTCTTATTGTTATAGATTAACATCGAATCAAAATATTAAATCGAATTCAATTCATTCCCAATCACCACCACATGATAATAATGCGGTATTCTATCCACCGCCACCAACACCATTCAGTTCACGACAAGACTCAACATCGTCCGCTAATAAATCAGGGAAATATAAAAATGTAAATATTAATATTTCAAATCATTAATGATAGGCGAAAGTCTCTTGATTACTCATTTGAAAAGTTACGCGTTGCAATGAACTCCATCCGAGTTCATAGTACAGTGATAACGATGTTTTTTGTAAGAATCATAGTTTTGATTTGAAACATTATTGATAGATAAATTTAATAGCGGCGACTCCTTCAAAGACAGCGACGTATTCAATTTCCCGACAGAACAGCTGTTTTTAATTCTAGAACATGAGAATATCTCGAGAAACACTTGTTTGTTTTCCTTGAAACTGTCAGGACTATTTAATGAGCATTAAATCCATCGATAGGCAAAATTTTGTTTTTTTCTCGACAGAACTGACTCTCAGTTAAAACAAAAAGTCATAGCCTTAAACCTTTCAGGATTTATTTCGTATCTTGAATAAGTGATGAAACAGACACACTATGCTGAAAATTAAATTTTTAAGATAAAAACAACGATAAGATCTAAAAGTTTCTCGGAAAATATTTTACGTCATGTCCTAAAAAGGAGGCCACGACATTGACTTGAACATACTTCACACGAGCCCACCAACAATCTTTCAAGGTACTCATAGATTATTTTGAAATTTCATAGAGCACTTAGTATTGTCACTGATTCAAACAACGAAATCGTATTCATAAAATAGGCTGTCATCTTTTCAAATATGTCGAATATTTTAGACATCTAGTAGCACTTAGGTACTTACGTCCTTTTATTTTAATTTTTTTTCTTCATTAGAATGAACGTTCATCTACTAATTCTTGTTATCTATCAAATAATCAATTAAAACCACAACAACAACAACAACAAGGTTATCAACCGTATCGTTTCGATTCTAATTTAATGTCTTCAGGTCAACAAAAAATCGAACATTTTACACCGCCACGTAACGAATCAAAAACAATCTCTGGCAAACCATCACCATCGAACAATTTCAAAAAGCCTTCACATCCACCAATTCCACACCAATTTCTGCAATCAAATCTAAACGGTACTCAATCATTAAAAACCCATCAAATAATATCACGTTCTCCCTATCCACTATCATTCAACGTTCATTCAGAGCATATAATTTCACATAATCATACAAAAGATTTTTCAATCAATACATCCGAACAAACAAAACAAATGCATTATCCAATATCATCGCGTTCTTATTTATCATTTGAAAATCCAGCTAATGTTTAAAATAAAATTTTCTCTCTCTCTCTCTCTCTCTCTCTTACATACACAAATGTGAATAATACAAACAACAATGTTCTACTTCTATAAACTATTTATTTTTGTTTCGATTTCTTATCGTTCATTAATATCAATGCGTGTGTTTCGCTTTCGTTGGTTGTGTCAGATATTCGTTTGTGTTGCTTTTGTATTGTAAATACTCGCTTTTCCTGTTTCTTTTCATTAAACATCTTGTAATATAACATACGAGAATAAAAAGAGATGCGCATGCTTATAATCATTACTCTCTCCTTTGTTCTTCCTATCAAATAAAAGTGTGCGTCGGGTTCAAATATAAATCCCCAGCAGACAAACATCAATCTCTTCTTCACTATAGTACGTGTGACGGTTGTAAAGATAGTTCAAATCTGATTATTAAATACATTTAACTCTGGACGGATAGTAAAACAAAACAGCTGTCAGCTTACGAATATATTACAATTATAAATTTATCTTGTTAACATATAAATCAATGAAAACGATCATTGGTAAATTCATGAAAAAGTCTTCTTTAAAACAAAAAACATGGTTTCGCTACAAACTTATTATGAATCTAATGCCCGATTCATTTAATATATGTAAGAATCATTACAAGTGCTATTAGTATATGTATTGAATTTAGAAAAAAAACACATCAACGTTTTTGTATGACAACGTTTGACTAAGATAGTTGTTGATTTTAATGCCCTATTGATGATCGTCCTACTATTACTCTTTTTTTCTCTCTACCCGACTACAAATGTATTTGTCTATAGATTGAGTGTATAGTATAAAAAATGAATGCAGGCAAGAAATCAGTAGTGGCTTGCAGATTGATGTGATGACACATACAATACGTATCTGATGTTGTTGACGCATCATATAGACTCGGAGTAAATAATTCGTATGCGCGTATTAACACGAACTGCATCGTTGATGACGATGATGGGTGAATTTGATTGAAAAACAGCAGCTGGTAATCTTTTCTGTTTTTTTTTGTCTCGATGACACTATGGCTTAATCGCTGTATAGTCCGTGTGTTAATCAACTCATCGAAATAAGATCGTTGGTAAAAAGATATATCTATTCTTTACTTTCTTTTTTTCTCTTCTAATACTATAAGCATTAGGGTCAGTCTTTTGTTTCACTGATTGAGTAGCCATGCGTTCAAACAAAAGCATTTGATAAATGATCTGATTTTTTCGTTTGCGCGTTTTTTTCAATAACATACATTACCCAGACAGACGATGTGTTGTCTACATCATAAGCTAGATTTTGTAACAAGCACATATCTGTAGGTATGCGTATCTCTCTCTCTCTCTCTCTGCACACACATATATAAATATATATATGACAGCTTATCAAGAAAATGTCATCGAAAAGCCTCGAGTTATTGAAAAAAACACAATACTTTTGCCAACAACTAATAGCCTTTACCTAGAATTATGAAATTCTTTCTTAAGTCCAATCAGTCAATAAAATAAATCTTTAAAAAGACAATCCTTGTTATGCAATATTGAGCATATATATTTGACCTAGTAGTCAATAAGTTTTACTGTCTTCTTCTTTTGATCGATCTACTTATGTGATTGGTTGTTTACATTATTTATTTATTTATTTATTTACTAAAAAAATAAAGGTAAATTAATTGAATATGAAGTAAAAAATTATTATTCGTTAGACTTATTGATAGGATCAGTTCTAGATTTTTTTTTTTTCAAAAATAATTGACCTAATTGATTATGCATGGAGAAAAAGATGAACGACATTTTCGAATGTTTAATTGCACGTAATCATTCATCGTTTTGTCGCAAGACTAGATTCAAGAAATATGTGTGAATGATATCCGTATCGTTGTCAGTAATAATGAATCGAGACATGAATATTCATTCAATATAAACTATTAGATAATCGATTTTAATTATCTATAAATGTACTGCATCGAGGCAACAAATGTTTTTTGGTTCAATTGAATAAAGTCGGATTTTTCTATCATAACTTTTTTGTCTCGTTCCGAAGAAAAATGATCTTTCTTTCTAGAGATGATGAGGAAAAGAAACGTCGGCGACAACGACGACGAGACAGCGGTCTATGCTTGAGTAAAAATCGCATTATGTGAATATAAAGGGACACATTACAGTAGTAACTGTAAACTACTAAAAGAAAAAGACATCGGCCATACAACGCATGCATTCGTATACGTTTGTTGTCTCTAGTTTTTTTCTTTCTCCTTCTTTTTTTTCTTTACTTGTTTTTCATCTTACATGCCAAACAAAAAAATGAAGCATTCAGTACTACATATGACTGTTGGAGTGCGATGACTTGGTCTGCATTCATAAAAATACTATCAACGGTAACTTTCATGTTTTCTTACAAGTCACTATTATTCCTAATATCGCATTCACAGTAATTTAGCTAATTGTCTTTTTTTCCTACAAGTTTCTAAGTCTTTGCTTAGTATCATATTTCTCATTCGTTAGATGAGGACCTTGAGAGAAAAGTTTCGTCGGTTTATCAATAATAGTTTTCATGGCACCTACCAATATGATTTTACCTTGATGCAAATAGCGCCATAGTGACAATATTTTTTTGCAGCAGTAAACTAATAACTTTACGGGTTTCTTTTTTTCTTTTCGGTTACCTATGTATGCTAAAAAGGAATGTTTTTTTTTCTTCTCCTCTTTATTTCCTTTCGCGATATATATATATAAAAGGCTGCAGAGAGCAGTAATCTTTCTACGACAAGAATCGAAACGATACTTTTTTATTTTTTACTTGTTGTGATCGAAGAAGATTGATGTTTTTTCTTTTTCGTGTTTGTCAAAAACGAGGTTAGGGTAACAGTATGATATCTATGTGTGTGAAACAAACGAAGGGCGTCTGTTTATTGAAACCAAAAGTAATTGAATTTAATGAATGATCAGTTTACACATGGAGAATACGAACAATTATATCTATAGTAAACATTTGGATTAAAAGGAAATGTGTATTTGTTTAAAATTTTGTCACTTTCATTTATGTACGGTAAGATGAAGTTTTCTATTTTAGTTTCTTTTGTTATTTAATGCTTCTATGAATAAGTACGGTTTAATTATAGAATTTCGACTTGCCATTAGTAAAAATATATAAATCAAAGTCAATGTATTTTTTCTACTGGTCAATACTTAAAACTGCGATTAAATAATCATCGCTCTCTTTTTTTTTCTTATTTTCTCTCTTATACATAACCCAATGGAGAATAATAATAATAATAATAATCATGATACTATTGACATCAGCACCGGGTATTATCTAACAAAGTTCGCTTCATCATCTACGCTCTTTGTACACTCGTACATTTCTGCTGGCAGAAATTACTAAGAGGCACATGGCATTACATATGTATATATATATATATATCTTTTGCACGTCGCAATGACAAGTTTTCTTAGCGAACTTCCTATGCACTTCATACGAAAGCAAGAGATAGAGACAGAGAGGAAATTAAAATGCAATCATTTTCCTGATGATTATTGACCGACAATAATCAACACAAATAGAATTTCGAGACAAATATTTTCCACTCAAATGTTAAATTACATTCAAGAAGAAAAAAACAGAAGGAGTAAATCTAGTATGCATCGTATGACTAATTAATAGTCATTGCGTTTAACAAAACCAATGATTATAGACTACGTAGGAACGTGACTGGCACAATTTTTTCTTATTAGAAGAGTTAATTAGGAATGCAGCATACGCACGCATTATTTTTCTCGTTTGGCAACTTTTTCAAAGATCATTTGCATTAAGTATTTATATCAGGTAGATGACGTTTTTTTTTCTTCATTCTAATGAGCTTCCAAAGAAAAAATGAGCACTCTTTTGCCTAGTTTTGACGTCATCATTTGAGTAGGGATGGATTCTTATAAGTAAATCTTCATCTAAAATGAGACTTTTCGCACACTGATTCTTTAGAATAAGTTTAAGCAACTACATAAAATAATAAGCAAGTCATTAAATCTATCGTTTTCTAAAATTGAATCGAACAATTTCAGTTAAGTTTAAGTTCATCGTATAAGGGTCATTCATTAAAAAAACAACAAAGCAATCAAAGGTTGAACAAAACTTTTAGTCTTTTCGCATGTGTACTCCATGATCGCCTATAAAAAAAAAAGAAGCAAAGGCTAGACATGAGTACGTTTCTTTTTTATCGCTCCATAGTTTTTGTCTCTCTACAATCGGTATAAGAGCAAAGAGCATCTTTAATATGCCATATCAATATCTGTGAAATACTAGAATGTTGTTTTGTTATTCACAGTTAATTTTCAAAGCACAAATGCATATTTTAAGAGTTACTTTGAGGACAAAGTTGAATGAAAACAAAATCAATTTGAAGAAAAGTTTTCAGCTACTTATGAGAAACACGTTACAACATTTTGTATCGTTGCCAATTACTATTCATTTCGTTATGTTTTTCGTATACAATATGTTGCTTTTTTTGTGCCAGTCTCGCATTCATAATCAAATTTGATAGACTCGACGCTCATAAAAAAGATCTTTTGAGAGTTTAATCCATAAATCCCTATCCAGCATCACTAGGCAATTTTGATTACGACTGAGAAATTGCGATTCAGAATAACAAAAGGAAAAGAAAAACAAGAGTTGTTTATGAAAAGATGAATGAATAAATACAATATATCATCGATTATTTTTGCAGAGAAGCAAAATGTGAGTCTTTTGAAAAACTAATGAGTTCTATTCAACAGTAGACTCGAGTCATTATTAATAGAAGACGAAAAAAAACTAATGGGTACATAATATTTATTCAATACTCAATGAACTAATCGACTTGAATGATCTCAACACTTTTATTTCCGATTCGTCCAGTACAGGTTATCAGGTAAGGTTAAGCGGGTAGCATAGTTTTGAATTATCAAGATAAATAATAATAATTTTGTTGAAAACGATATATGTATATGGAAAAGAACAAGTAATAACATCACGTATTTTCTCTTCTAGAAAGAATAGAAACCTTCATTTGTTGTTTCCTTATCCCGGTAAAAATTATTTATAATGGAAAATTCTCGACGCTTATCATCATTAAATATGTCTATTTACATTCTCTTTTGTATTATTCTTTTGCCAAAATATATTCAATGTTACCTAACAACCGTGATCTCTTATGAATATTATTCATCCGACTCAAATTTTTTGAATAAAACTGAAGATACTCAAACTAATGGTTTTGTATCGACAAGAGGTGGTCAAAGTGCTGTTCTTAATGGCAAAGCATTTATATTGATAGATTCAAGCGGTGTTTCGGATGGATGCCGACAATCGACGAATTCTCTAAATGTTTCAAATGGTGTTGCTATTATTCAACGGGGTGGAAACTGTACGTTTAGTGTTAAAATAACACGTGCTAAGCAATATGGAGCAACAGGTAATATTCTAAAACAAAGAAATAAAGAAAAACGTCTATGTCCTGTTTTTCTTTTTGTTTTCAGCTGTTATTATTTATGATCCGTTTAACGCTGGCTCAGAATTATATAATATGCAACAGAATAATTCCGATATATTAGCTGTCTATGTTCAAAGATCAGTTGGTGCATTTCTATTTAATATAACTAAAAACAATCGTACACAACTAAATATCACATTACAACCAATCGCAATGCAATTTGATAACTATAATGATAATGATAATAATATTTGGTTTGGTTCACAATCAGCAACAATATTTATCGCCATATCAATATGCATACTTATATCCTTATGTATATCGTGGCTTATATTTTACTACTGTCAACGACATCGTGCACGTACAGCTAAAGATCGTCTACAAAGTCGATTATCCAATGCAGCTAAAAAGGCTCTCACAAAAATTCCATTAGTTAATGTTAATGAAAATCCTCCAACAGAAGAATCATGTGTTATATGTTTAGACACAATTAAAACTGGTGATACAATACGAAAATTAGGTAAATAAAAGAAACAAAAACAGCTTGAAAGACCATCTCTTGTTTTGTTTACATAAAACAAATATTGATTGACTTTGTTTTAGTTTGTGGTCATACTTTTCATCATCATTGCGTTGATCCTTGGTTACTTAATCATCGTCATTGCCCATTATGCAATCTTGATATACTAGCGGCATACCGTGTAACAGTACCAGCAACAATAAATCGTCGGCGTCACTCCAGTGTACATAATATTAATAATAATCCGTCGATGTTTTCACTTGCCACAACATCAGCATCACGTGTTAATGAACAATCGACACCTGCTAATTTACCAACAATATCAGCAACAATAAAAGATGATTCTTCTGATGTTCGTATTCATGGTGAACAGAATCCAACATTTAGATCAGATGAAAATTCTTTATAATTGTACAATCGCTCGTTCATTTTTTTGTTTTATTTTTTTTTAATCTTATGACAAAAATTCTTTTTCTCAACAAAGGAAAATAAATCGCATTATTGTGGTACTTAGAATCGTAATGAAATATTTTCTTTTTAATATTTTGACTTAGAATTACTTATTAAAAGAAAGCAAAGCTTATATGTGGGAGTGATGTATTAAAAAACAGAAAAGTCTTACAACAATCCGATATTGTTTTGTTTGCATCAAGATTTCTTTGAAGTAAAGATCGAAATAAACAATCACTCCATGAAAGTTCAAAATTGTCAAATACAATTATGAATCCTTCGACACATACGTGTTGACTAGTCATAAATAATGTCAACAATAAGCTGCATTTCTTCGTTTTTTCTCTCTGTTTAGAAAGACAGCTTCAGATTTCTATAGAGAAGATTTCATACGTCAAAAATCATGACCTTCGAAAACAAATTCTCTAAGCACTTAAAATTATACCCAACAGTAAATAAGAATTTGGAATCGAATTTCAATGAACAATACGCTATGAGTTTGTCGATTGTTTTAAAATTAGCAGCAGCTGTTAAACCAATATTACAGCTCAGCTGAAAATGGGGATGCCATTCTAAATGCATGGATTGCATGATGAAACTCAAATTTATGGAGAATAGCCTCTTGACTAAATTAATTGGATCTTAACAAAATAATTTGCATTTTGTCATGATAGTTTTTTGAATAATTCAAAAAAACAATGGGCTCTATTTAAAGATGAACTGCATGTATTTCATTAAAATAAATAAAAGATATATCTATTATAATTCTAAGCAATGGTTTGAATCAATCGTCAAATAAATTTACAGCTGAGAAACTTCAGGTCACTTTTATTATTACAGTGAATTAGGATTCTACAGATGTTCTTCGTCTCTATGTGCTCAATTACGACAAGATAAAATAAATTAAAAACAACAGCAAATGGATATCATCATATGTGAGCTATGCGAATATTCAATTTGATTGGAGAAAAGTCACACGAATTGGCATATTTCAAAAACTATCATCATCACTAATTCGTCTTCATGATGGGGAATTCACAATATTTTGAGAAGAATCAAAATATGATTTTGCTAAAGCATTTATAATAAGATAGACATTTGAATAATTATATTTAATTTGCGTGCAAATAAACATATGCAGGCTTCTCTTTTTCATGCAACACAACATAAGTAATATCGTCTGTTGATAGGCGAAAAGAAATTTAATCGATTTTGTTTGAGACGAAAACAGAATAAAATGTATATCAATTTACTTTCGTATCAAGAACAAATATAATTTAAAAGCGAGTTTGCGGCATGATTCTATAAAAGCAAATTTCATTTGCCTCTTGAATGAATCATATTGCAGATTTTTTTTCTAATTTCACTCGTTGACTAGACAATCAAATATTCAAGGCAAACATTAAAATAATTGATCTGTCTTTACGTGAATTTTAAATTTTATATCGCACTTTTCTTCCTATAAGTTGCAATTGGAATTGGAAAAAAAGATCTCATAGACCGAATCCAATTAACACATTTTTGATCGCTTCATATGCAACGTATTGAACTGCGTTACCTTTCAATTATCTGTAATATATATCTTAAAAGAGATTTCTAACCTCGATGACATATATATAGGCTATAGATCAATTTCGACGACGCCTCAAAGCGTGAGCAAGATCATATCTTTTTCTCAAGCGCAATGTATCATATTCAATCAGCTAACACTATTACAATTTTAACGCTCGACTGCCTAAATACTATTGAAATATAAACTGACTGAGTTCATACGATATATGACAAAACTGTCAATCCTATTCTATTGAAACAGTGCCTTTGACGGTAGCAATGATAGGTTCAAAATGTAAAGAAAAAGGGTCGCATGCTTTCATATTGTTTTTTTTTGTGCCACAAACCTTTTGAGGATACTCAACGTATCAGTTGTAACAATCAAGCATTCATCGTTTGACTCTCTAAAGACAACTTCTGCATGACATAAATATTCATTAAAATGTGTAAAAAATGTATGATAAAAACGCAATATACGCATCAGAAGCAAGTGCACACATGTTGCTTCATTTTTTTGTCTGTCTCATCTAGTTGTCACGATGTATGTACAGTGTACGCCTATCTATTTTCATTATGGTGTATGAATCTATGATCAATTTATGACAGATTCAATATATGAAGAAGAAAAAAAAGCAATTTGAGCATAGTGTGTTGCAAAGTTTCAAGTTGCTCGCGTACAATTTTTAATGATTCTTTTTCTTCTTTGTACATGCTCATTAATAGTAAAACGAAGGAAAAAAAGTCCAACACAAATCAAGCGTGACTATTAAAATGAAAAGGAAATAATATGAATGGCGATATGCCTCTTATGAACATTTTCTACGCTCCTTTTTTCTTATCGCAATGCTTAAAGTTTAGAATGAATGAAAAGGCCTATGATTAAACACTGATATTTACGGATGCATCATCATAGATTGAAAATATCAATCATTCGCTTGTTTTTTTGTTGTGAGTTTTTCTTCATTAAACTTAACATTTCAGATCATAATTTGTTTATAAAAGAAGAAAAAAAGAATTAATCAAATATGAATCAATTGATAACATACAATAATGCAAATGAAGGTGATACATCTCGACGTTACACAGGCTTTCCTCTTAATTCAACATTGGTTAGCTCCTATACAGCCGATACAATCCGGAGTATTATCAATCATGCTATCACTGGAAAACCGTACAGTAAGTAAAAATTTTGTTTTTCTAGTGAGATTTCTTACATAAATTTATTTTAGCTACGGCTGTTTGGATTCGTATTAGTAGTGTCGGCATTCATATAAGCGCGCAAGATCCTAAAATAGCTCGAACACGTATACCTGTTTTTATTCCAATAGCACTTGCTCATGATATATTTATGCAGCCGAGTATCAATAATGTTATTTGTATTGTCTATGATGAAGTTAAATCCAATATGAAAGGTGTTCTTCTCTATGTTGTATATCCAACAGATACGCATTTGTTACGCGAGGATTTTCGCATTGCTAAACAAGCATCATTTTCCAAAGGTATCGAAAATCAAATTATTGTAGATAAAAATCTAACGGAAAATAAGCGATTATTTTCACCGACATCTCAACATGTAAATGATATCTATCTTAATGATAAGATCAATCGACAACAATCACCAAGACGAATTTTATTTGTACGCGATAATGAAACAGGTGCAAATAGAGATTTTATACCCACATCAACGGTACCAGCATTACCTCAACTTAGTTATACACCATTCAAAGGTAGTTATCATAGTAGTCGAGAGAATAGCGCTCATCGACGTTATAAAAGTCCTAAGAAAACAAAAGTAGGACATACAGCAACTAAAACACCGACTGATGATGGAAGTAAACATCGACGAAAATTTCGATCAAGATCACCTCAAAAACAGATCGAATCAGATTCGCCCATTACTAGTAAAAGTAATGCATTAACACAAGAACAACCAAATCAACAACAACAGCAACCACCACTACCACAACCACAACCACAACCGCAACCACTACCACTACCACAACAACAAATAGCCGCTTGGCAAGCTGTTCAGCAAATGCCTATAATTCCTATGGGGATCTATAATCGGTAAGAATAATAAAATTTAAAAAACAAAACTTTTGTTTTTCTTTTAGAGAAATACTATTTCTTTTTCTCTATTTAGTTATGTTCCTAAAGCTATTCAATTACCAACAGGTGAAACACTTAAAACAGCAATTCCATCGTTAAATGCCAATGGCCTCATTGTTGCTCAAATTGAACCACAACAAACGGGAACTAGCAAAGATTCACTTCGTTCTTCATCTCGTTCTCGTTCTATTTCACCGAAACGTAACGATTCCCAACAACACAGTCGTGCATTGAGCGCTAACAATGCTGGGGCATCAGCTCTTCTTATTGAATCATCTCATCACCATCATCATCATCATCATCATCGACGTCAACCAATGTATGATATTCCGTATTCATCATCAAAACCTGATTCGAATATGTACAATACAATATCTCATTCATTTCGAGCACGTTCCAATGGTATACCACGAGTAGGTCACAATATTAACAATAATAACAATCCAATTGAAGATGATAATATAACGAAACAATTTTTAAAACAATTAGTTGATGATATGCAAGCAATGAAATTAGAAATGAATAAAATTCGTTTAGCATCCTCACCAATGGGTACAACAAAGGGACGTTCGGATTCAGCACGCGTTAATATAAAGGAACTACGTAACGACATTGATGCCATTCGTGCACGAATGACAATACCAACGAAATTTTCTAAACAATAAATACTTTTCTTTTCACGTTTTCTTTTTTATTTGAAAATTTTACATCGTCTAAGGAAAAAGAAGAAGAAGAAAAAACGAAAAGAATGTGAAATGTCTTACAGATCTACGGGATAGAAAAGCTAATAGGACAAGAAAAAATATAATAATGTTAATATTAATGTCACAAATTTTATAGTAGAATTATACCAAAAGCAGTGATAAACGATAAAAGAAAGATAGCGGCACTAATCTTCCGATAGTTTTCAAATCCTTTACCCATATCCCAAGCCTAGAAGAAGAAACACAAATTAAATTAAAATATTTAAAAAAAAAGAAGCTTTTTCTTTACCAAATGACGAATACCATTGAATGCATGGTATGAAATACTGAAAGCACAACAAAATACGAGAATGTGAATTCAATTAAATTTTAACGAACTTACGGCCATGCCATAAATAACTTTACTGAAAGTATAAACCAACTAGGTATATCCATTGCGTAAATGTAATCCAAAATTTCTGCACTATGACCAGTAGCCAAAAATGCAAGCGGACCAGCAGTGTAAAGCACTAGAAAGTATATGTTTCATAATTTTATACAGAAAAGAATTTATTTTGGTATCTTCTTACTTCCATTTAACATAAGACCAGTAATACGATGGAAGCCCGATGACCACATTTGAAACGGAATTCTAAAGAAACAAAATGTATTGAGGAGGAAAATAAACGTCCGATAAAAATTACTTATAGATTAATAAATGAGGTGAGACTGGTCGCTTATAACAATTCTCATTGGTTGCTACCCATTGAGCTGCCTTAGCACGGTAATCTGCTACTTGTGGTGTCACTGTACTTGAAGTAGCAATTTGTTGTCTAATTAATAGAAAGAAATAGAAATAGAAAAATAATATAAAATGCATTACGTTATTGCCAATGGACCTTGGCGGCCCAATGCTCGTGCGAGCAATTGACGACTAAGGCTAAGAAGAGCAATTGACATTATTTATCTGAAAGAATTCAAATTGATAATTGCAACTATTCATTGAAAGAAAAAAAGCATCAAGACTTGTGTCTATGTTTAACATTGTATTTCAATAAATGAAACTTATTAATGAATAAAAATCTACCTCGTTAAGAACTTATTCAATAGATCAAAGTCTAAAATTATCAGTCAATTTTTAATTGACTATAATAAGTTTATCAATAATTTTTTTGTTAGAAATAGTTCTAAAGTAAAATGTAAACAATCGATAAAATGTATTTTATGTCTTTAGAGAGACGTGAAAATTTCGTTGAAACCACAAGTACTGTCATTAACATTTTTTTATGTCTGTTATTGAGAGATACGTTTTTGAACTTATAATATGCGAAATATAAAATCGATAATTCTCATGGATAATAGATTATTTGAATTCATTTATTCCAAAATAATAATAATAATGATCTCCGTGGTGAAACACCTATAAAATAGCAGAAGAATATTTCATTTCTTTTTTGATCAATCGAACCAAATTTATGATAAAAATGCAAATAGAGGTTATTTTACTTATCGATTAGGCACATTCATGGCTAAAACTAATTAAATCATACTTGCCAAACATTTAAACACGTTTTCTCATATAAAACAACTATCGAACATCTATGAAACTGAATCAGGTCCAAAGTTTCCAAAAATATGGCATGTACTATAAGATCACTAATGGTACCTTCGTTGTGTCATCTACGTTTTCTGAATGTTGCACAAGAAAAATCATCATCTCATCCAATCACTTCAGATCTCAATATTCTATTCCTAAAGTTCGTTGAAGAATATCTCAATACAATTCTAGGCATAACTACGTACTTGTTGACTTCGAGAAAACTGATTTTGTTTAGTAAATATCTAATGATGATAAATCTTTCGTTTATTGGTTCCTGAATAAGCAATTGAATTAATAGATGTCACTCCTTTATTTGTCAATTGATTTCCGCGTAGAGTAAAAAAATAAAACACATTGAATAAATATTCATTTATTATTTTTACAAAACTATTTTATATGATTTAATTCGTTTTTAAAATAAGATCAAAATCTTTTTGCGAAGAATTTTTATTTTTGTAAACAAAGTTCAGTTAGTCAGTCATATCGTTTTGATCGGTCAAATTGATTGGTTTGTTTATTTGTTTTTTGTTATCCGTAAAATCTCATCTGCTCTGATCTTATTTTCGAATTTTTATTTCTTTCAGTGTATGGCTATTCAAATAGAAATTTTGTACATTTCAACGTAACATCATCCGGTTAGTGTTTTTCTTTTTATAAGTTCCATCAAGATGAAAGAATTTTCAATCGTAGAATCACGAAAAACGAACTATGGAAATAGATCCTAATACAACATTTGTTAATAATATATCATTAAATCAACGCATTGACCCATCACGCTGTGTAGATTTAATTGTACTGGGAATAAATTATCGTTCGAATGAAGAAGATGTGAGAAATTATTTTCAACAGTTTGGTGAACTTGTCTTTTGCGAAGTAAAGAATCGATTATTGACAAAATCTTTGAACTATTCTGTGACTGATATTGTAGATAAAACGGGATGCACAAGGTCAATCACGTGGTTTTGGTTTTGTTCGTTTTAAAGATTATGAGTCACAATTAAATGCACTTAATAAACGTCATCATATTGATGGACGCACGTGTGACCTAAAAATTCCTGATTCTAAGGTAAATAGAGATTAGTTTTATTGCCTATGGAGAGAAAAGATGTTTTACTTTCTAGAATCCTGGTATGCATGAACCCGAATGTGCGCGCAAAGTATTCGTAGCACGTCTTCCAGGTAAAAATGAAATATTTTATTTCATGTAAATCTACTAAAATTTATTTTCATGCGAACAGAAATAGTGACTGCTGATGACCTTAATCAATATTTTAAACAATTCGGAGAAGTAACTGATGTTTATATCCCTCGACCATCAAGAAGTTTTGCTTTCGTTACTTTTCTTGAATCATCTATTGTTCCATCTTTGTACGGTGATCACTTTATTAATGGGTATGCATTCGAATTAGATAGTGTATTTTCATGTAATTGATTTGTCTATATCTAGATGTAGTGTACATGTTGGACCAGCTGAACCTAAAGGCAAACCGAGTGACAATCAATTCAAACGTTCAAAAGCAGGTAATACATTATATTTATTATTTTGTAGGTCTGTCCTGAAAACGATGTTTAGTTTCGGAGGTACATTTTCTTATGCCAGAAACACTGTGAATACAAACTATTGAAGGAGGACAATAGATCTATGAGAAATTCCTGCTCTATTAATGCGTTCATAAGGTCAAAAGTACCACGTCTGACTATACTTTTGGAAATTTTCTGTCGTAGAAATCTCTCTGATGTATTCGATGATCTATACTAAACTGGTAATTATCCTGTCATAAGATTAGGTATGATTCTATAGGAAACACTCGAGATTATGCTCAGTGTAGAATAGAATTTCATCAAATACTCGTTTCGAAGTCCTGGGAAGGGACATGAAAATTATCTCCATCAATATAGAATCTAACAATTTAGACCGTAATTTTCATCAAATTCGCTCGATACCACCAACAAATACCCACCCTTATCCATCATATTCTCAATATGGCGCAGCCAATAATATGATGCCTAATAATGGTAATAATGGTGGTGCTTCAGCCTCAAATAATCCAGATCAACAACAACAACAACAACAATTACTTTTGCAACAAATGTTAAATCCAAATATGATGCAAGCTTTTCTACAAGCGTTTCAGCAGCAACAGCAGCAGCAGCAGCAGCAACAACAACAGCAACATCAACAAACGAACAAATATGATGCCAATAACTGGGCAACTGGCATAAATGAACAAGCAACGAACGCATATAGTCATCATCATTATCCGAATGGTCCAGCGAGTGGTAAATTCAATGAATTTAATAATGATCCATGGGGCTCACAACATCATACCTATCGATAAACTTCTCTCTCTCTCTTTCTCTGTTTATTTCTCTTTTTCGTGCGATCTCATTTTTTTTTTGAGTAGCTGCAATAATACTCGCGCGTGTGTAAGTTTTCTCCATTTTTTGCAGTGTGTGCGTGTGCGTGCGTATCGCTAGTCTAACGAAAAAAAAGAATTTTGTGTCTTGTGTTTGGCATTTTCCTTTTTTTTTTTTAAAAAACGATCTGTTGTGTATTTGTATGTGTGGTGTTTGTTGCATAGACAATGTGATTTTTCTTTTTTTTGGTATGTTTATATGCGAAAGAAGAAGAACATGATTGAATTGATCTTCTATCTATAGATTTTAGATGGATACCACTGTATCAACAAATAGTACTGGAAATGTTCCATTATCGCCTATACTTAAAACAGCATTAGCAACAGTCAGTAAAACAACAACAACAAATAATATTGAAACAGATGCAATTCACGATGGTAGCGATAAACTATTTCCAGAAGATCGTGTATCAAAAGATTATTACTTTGATTCATATGCTCATTTGTAAGTAATATTCAAGATTTTTAAATGAAATCAAATGATGAATTTGTTTCTATTTCAAGTGGTATTCACGAAGAGATGCTTAAAGATGAAGTGCGAACATTAACTTATCGAAATTCAATGATCTACAATCGTCATTTATTCAAGGATAAAATTGTTCTTGATTTAGGTAAATGAATAATTAGTAGATGATGGCAAATACCTAGGACATGAAAGTGCTTTGTCTAATACGTAATTAGTAGGATATAAAGGAAAGTAGTGAGAGTACTTCACAGATCGATCCGGATCTTCCGAAGTTGAAGTTATTACATTATGCTTTCTCAATATAGGTGCTCGCCTCTCAGGAATAGAAGATTTAAACAAAGTGAGGGATTATGCTTCAACAAATACTATATTAATGAAATTGGGATGTATACTCTTGTGTCTTCTAAACCCTAGCCATCTTCAAAAAGAAAATTAAAGAACAGTAGTGATCGTAAGATTGTTCTGTAAATAAAGTTAGAAGTTTTCTGCAGAAAAAGTTTGATTCAATAGTTCTATAAATGGATTAAAAGGTTAATTCAATCATCGCTCGATGATCATATCTTTTTTTGTTCTATTGAAACACCTATGCTTGAAAATTGTTCGCTGATAACGTGCAGCTATTTTTTATCATCATTTTGATATTTCATGTAGCACGGAGTTAAAATCTGCACTATTAGAAGGCATTTTAGAGTTTTAATTAAATCATACACATAAATATCTTCTATTCATGTTAATGTGCTCGATGAACTTTCTCATGGCCATCAAAACAATAGTTTTAAAAGCGAAAGAATACAACCAATTAATGTCAGACGACGGTTCAATATTCAATAACAGGAGTATTATGATACAAAAATAGTTTCCACACAAAAAATGCTTGACTTTGATTGATGACTATTATTTATTTTCGTCAGCATTCTGAATAAATAACATTCCTTGGTGAAGAAACTAGCGAGAAAACTTCTTTCAATTTTACCCGAAACATATTTTCTTTAAACTAGACATAGCGTATTCCCTAATTTCATTAATATATTTACTGAAAAAAGAAGATCAATAGTTTTTACACTTAAATACCTCTTGTGATGCTCTGACCATGTCTTGGCTATTTAATTTTAATAAAATGATTGTTTAAAATAAAAATAATTTAGGTTGTGGTACTGGTATATTAAGTATGTTTGCTGCTAAAGCCGGCGCAAAACGTGTCATCGGTATTGATATGTCATCAATTGTTGGTTATGCCAAAGAAATAATTGACAATAATAATTTAAGTTCAGTTATCACACTTATTCGAGGAAAAATCGAAGAAGTTGAATTACCCGATGGCATTACTGAAGTCGATATTATTGTTAGTGAATGGATGGGTTATTGTTTATTGTATGAATCAATGCTTAATTCAATATTATATGCGCGTGATAAGTGGCTCAATAAAGAACACGGAATGTTATTTCCTGATAAATGTCAACTTTTTCTTTGTGGAATTGAAGATAAAAAATATCGAGATGAAAAAATTAATTGGTGGTAAGAAGTGAATCGACATAGATATTCTTTTTTTTCAGGAGGGTAGAATTTTCCATCGAAAGATCAATTTACTTTATGCTCACGTTAAGAGACTGATCTCTATTAGAGCTCATCGAGCCCAAGATTTTTGGCCCCCAACCCGACGAATATTTTTTTCAAGTCCCGAATGGGTCGTGTCGTTCAACAACCATTATGAACCCGACTTTGCTCTGTCGAGTTGCTCTATAAAGTTTGTTCAGAGAGTACAGCTCATCAACAACGAAAGATAGAATTATTTCTAACGATAATCAGTTCACTGAAGACTCGTGCATTATTATTAACATGGCCAACAAACTATAGTACATATTTCACAAGAGCTACATTGTTCCTTTTATTTTTCATCTGATACCATGATTTGTTTTCATTGAAAATTGCATGTCTTCTTTTTTAGGTACAACGTTTATGGTTTCGATATGAGTTGTATTCGAAAAGTAGCTATTAAAGAGCCACTCGTTGACAGTGTTGACAATCGTCAAGTTATGACATCACATTGTTTATTGAAGGAATTCGATTTGAAAACCGTCCGCATCGAAGATTTATCATTCACAGCTAATTTTACACTCGATGCCACACGTAATGATTATATTCATGCACTTGTTGCCTATTTCACAGTTGAATTCAGTAAATGCCATAAATATTGTGGATTTTCAACCGGCCCCGATGCACCCTATACGCATTGGAAACAAACATTATTTTATTTTGATCACGACGATGAAGATATTATGTTACATAAAGGTGACAAAATAACCGGTAAATTAAATTTACGACCAAATCCTAAAAATGATCGTGATTTGGATTTTGACATTGATTTTACTGCACAAGGACAACAGACACAAACGAAATATCATGGAGAATATCGAATGCATTAGACGAACAACTGCATAAACAATTTAAAAAAAAACAAATTTACATAACTCCGCATGTAAAACTAGTCAGACATTTATCTGGAGATGAACCAAGCAAACTTGTTGTTGTTTTCCGTTTAAACACTCTTGTTGTGTTTCTTTCTATTTATGATCGACAGTGTAACTTGTGATGATCATGTTTTTTGTTTGTTGTCAGAAGAAAAAAAAAGAATATTGAAAAACAAAATCGTCCTGCTTTCTTTTTCTTTTCTGTTTTTGTTTTGAGATCATTTTAAAAATGATTCGAACTTCAGTAAGACGTTTAACAACAAAAGTATTCTCTAATCCAAAACCATTAGCGCCAAGTAAACCAAAAGCATCTGTTGATTTTGTAAGTACAAGCGAAGAATACAATCATACATGTCAACTATTTCATATAGGATAATTATTTTCAAGATGAACTTGAACTTCGACTTCTTGCTGGAAAAGGTGGCGATGGAAAATCGTCATTTTCAAAAACATTTCAGAATGAATTCGGAGGACCGAATGGAGGAGACGGTGGCAATGGTGCTCACATTATCCTTCAAGGTAAACGTATAGAATAGTAGCGACTGATAGACATCAATAGAGATACCTTCCCTAATTGAAGTTGATTGTATAAGTAATGTTGACACGTCTGAATGAGAATTCTGTACGAGAAAAGCGTCTGATAAATCTTTCGATGTAAATCGTGAAGATGCAGGAAAAATTTGTTTGGAATTTCGGTGATCTATTCTAGTAAAGTCCGTTGAATCATTAATCACTTTGTCGTTGAAGCTATACGCATCTGGTAGGATCTAATAAATTATGAATTATTTGAAAAAAGCAACTTGGAGTATTTAGTTAATGAGTTGAAAAAGAATTCCTGAAATATTCAAAATTATTATTTGGATTTTCCCGTCGAGATAACTGAGTTTCATTCAATCTTTAAGTTTTCATAGACAAAGGCCTACCTTTCCGACTAGAGATAGAGGTGTGCAAAATTAGTCCTGGAATTGAGAATAAAAACAAGTGTAATCCCACGACGAGAAAGAAAGCGAGACTTGCGTACTTCGAAGTACAGGTGAAGTAGACCTGAGTTATAGTTTTAGTTAAGAATTAAAAAATACGTGTTTTGCAGAAGAATTTTAAATGGAAGGCAAAACAATTCTGTAACATTTTTCTCTTAACAGACACAAACAACAGAAATATGTAGAATCGCCGGGGCCAACAAATACGATTCCACATATCTCTACTTCCAACTAAATGTTTGCATCGTACTACGAATAGTGAGCATTTGGTTCCGAGAGTCTCGGATACACCTGAAAGTAGTTTGTTCGTGGCACGAAATTGCCGCTTTAAATTATATTGTGTTTCGTTTTAATTGTACCCACCTGTTCTATTTGAAACAACTCTTTAAGAGATTTTCTTTTAGCGTCAAAATACCATTCATCATTAAACAACATTAAAAATGTATTTAAAGCAGACAATGGAGAGCCAGGCGACTCAAATTTTAAAAAGGGCAAATCAGCTGAACATCTTATTGTTGAAGTGAATTTTTGTTTTGAAAACTTTTGCAAAGATCATCCTATCTATATTTTTGTTAGGTACCTGTAGGCACAATTGTGAGAAAAATCAATGGAAATATTGCTTGTGAGTTAAAAAAACATGAACAAAGATTTATTGCTGCTCGAGGAGGTCTAGGTGAGATTTGAGAGGTTAGTGTGATCATATCGATATTGAATCAATGTCTTTTTCCCGTCGTTTCGTTTGAATAGGTGGCAAAGGTAATTATTATTTTCTATCAAATATGAATCGAGCACCCGTTGAATGTGAATTGGGTGCCAATGGTGACAAGAAAAAATATAAACTTGAACTTCAACTCATAGCACATTTTGGATTGGTAAATTGTTCACTTGTGTCGAAATCATCATTCCATTAAATTTATTTTTCAAGCTTGGATTTCCGAATGCTGGCAAAAGTAGTCTGCTACGAGCTATATCAAGGGCACGACCGATTGTTGGTGATTATGAATTTACAACGCGGCAACCACAACTTGGCTCAATTGAATATGATGATTTCGTACAAATTCATGGTTAGATTTTTTTTTGTTGAATTTCCTTCTCCTATTCGAAATTGTTTTAGTGGCTGATATTCCTGGTATTGTACCCGGTGCTAGTAAACAAGAACTAGGTTTAGGCAGTAAATTTCTACGTCACATTGAACGATGTTTAGCATTACTTCTTATTATTGATATGAGTGCTGAACGTCCCTGGGAGCAATATGATTTATTAATGAAAGAATTACGTGAATACAAAACGGATTTGACTAAAAAGCCGATTACTATTATTGGAAATAAAATGGATGATCATGATGCTAAACTTCAACTTGAACAAACACGACAGTATCTTCCATATCCACTCCTACCGATATCGACTGTAGAAAAAATAAATATTGATAAATTGTTGTTATATTTAAGAAAACAATATGATGAATTGATCACGGATGAATGGCGTGATCGAATAAAATAAATAATAAACACAGACAAACAAAGCGATACAACAAGTATATAATATTCTGCAGTTTTTCTAATATTTGATCTTGGCAAAAATCGATTGACTCATCTGGAGTTTTATAGTCATTGTATCACATGTTTATGATTTAGAGTAATCAAATTTGAGTTATTGGATTTTATCGCATAGAATCTACGCGATGTAAAAGATTTCAAAGCATTGAATAAATAATTGCATCGACGGATTCTATAAATGGATTCGACTGATAGAGTTATGTGCATGAATGATTCAGACAGTTATTTCAAAGGTTGAATAAAATAACGCATGAATAAACTTGTTCTTCTATGTCTATTTTATTCTAACGATGGTATTCTTTTTGTCTAACTTAATTTGTATAGATGGTTGAGCATTCTCAGGAACCAGGGAAAAAATCGAGAAGAAAATATATATTGAAGACGCACGCAGTACGACTTAGTATGAATATAAGAAAGAGTGTAATATCGAAATTTTGTTATTATACCATTAACCACTGGTCAAATATCAAAGTAATGTAGAATATTATTTGCACTATCGAATCATTTGAAAGAGCGAATGCCTTCCAATTTGAATATCACAGTCAATACTTTTGATATACCCTGGCTAAAGAAGAGAGTTAATCAAATGATAATTTATCTCCAGATGGTAATTTAGAGCAATGTATTTCGGAAAGACCAACAGCTTTAAGATAAGCATTTATTGTTGAAAAATGCTAAAAAAAATAGATTGATGTAAATAATTCAAAAACAGTTGAATTTTTTAAATACCTTTCATTTTTATATGTCAGGTATTCGATTAACAACAAGTTTTCTTGTCGAAGTATTATGTGCGTCGTCTTAATTACATTCTATTTCTCGAGCCGATGCAAGGATTAAATACGTGCTTCGTGCGGTTAAATTCAACAGAGAGACAAAATCTTCTTTTAGACGTGTTTTTTTTTATTTGTATCGATTTCATTGTGTTTTCTAAACGTTTATGGGCAATAAATAGCTGCTGCCTTGGTACCGACCGTGTTATTTACTCGTTTTATTATCCAACATTTAATAATCATGTTTTGCAACACGATTTTTCTTGTAGCTTGTTATTTTTTTATGATGTTCATCGTTCTTATTTTGTGATTGTCTTTAGATCAATAAAATCGGAAACTTTTTTTATTATGATCTCGTCATCACATTATTTATTAAGTCGCTGTGTGTTTTTTCTTATTTGAACATTAGATAATATATTATTGGAAAGTAACACATTGATATTAGTGAAAAGATTGAACGGAAAAACAAAATAAAAAAAGTTTGATGTCATTTTCCCCATAAAGAATATGCTTCGCTTCTAGCAATATTAGGGCATAGCTACCAATGACTTCTTTAGGAAAAGTGACATTGTTTCTATCAGTCGTGACTACTGGCACATGGCTTTTTGTGTCTGTTCATGAGAAAAACGTTTTGTCTTTAGGGAATAGGCAACCTCTAGTTTTCAAGTCCACTACTTTTCTCTTATAGTTTCTCTCCTTTTAAGATTGGTTGGTACTCATGGAAATTGTGCCTGAAAATTGTATTTCTTTGAATGATCGATGTTCTCTAAGGTCGTATTGACAAAAAAAGGTAAAGATTAATATGAAGCAGAATAGTTCATGTACCTCATAAGATCTCCGCTTTTAGTCATGTCAATTCTAATTGCATAACAAAAAAAGTGTTGACAATTTATATGAGAAAATCCAGAAATGTTAGTAGCTGTGCATGAACATCTGGATCATCTCTGGCGACTCAACCAGTAAGAAGAAGCATGCATACTCGACAAATTTATTAAATGGCTGACTTGATCAATTTTATTAATGTGTGAAAGTTGCGTCAGAATATTTACTTTGCAACAGACGGTGACAATATAATTCTCACTTGTACCAAGGTCAAATAGTTATATAATTAATTTTCTCAGTGCTACTGACTTATGCCATAGCTATTCGACGAAGAATATAAACAGTCATTAATTACATTTTTGAACCTTTACTGGAACAGAAACAAGGATTAAAAATTTAATTATTTTCTTACAATAAATTGTATCACATCAATAATCCAGAAAAACTTATGTATAAAACATCGGACTAGTATCAGAGGATTTCATAGTAAATGTTTAATGTAATATTTCAACATTAATATGAATTGTTTTATTGAAAACTAAAACTCTTGATTCTATAATCATTGCGATTATTCTTGAAGGAAAAATTAACAAACTTCTTTATGAACGCTTTTATTTGTCAATCATATTGTGCAGTATTCATGAAACAAAAAAGTAATCATTTGATGATTTAATATTATCTTGAACAATATTTAATAAGCTAAAAGCTAATGTCGAATCATGTTTAGCCTTGGCAGTGTTTATTACATTGGATCAGACTAAAATAAATTTTTAAACTAGACTCATTTTTCATGAGAAACAATTGGATGGCACATACTTTAACTTATTAGGAAAGTTAGTGAACACAACTGTAAGTTTATTTTTGCTCGTGAATAGATTAAATTAAGTTAAGTCCGGTATTTAACTATCTGACCGATTAATCAAATATACCCCGATATAGTTTTACGTATTGAAATTATTCGAATGAATATGATGAAGATTATTTTTTTAAAATCATAATAAACACAGAATCATCGTTAAAGAGCAACTCCTAAGTGAAATTTCCGCAAAAGCCTTGTTGTAGATGGCGTTAGCTGGTATTTAAAGAAAACAATGAAAATAGACTTTTAGGCATACAAATATAGTGTTTGTTTGACTTCTTCTAGCATAATATTTATATTTTCACTAGCGGAAACCGGATTTGTATACTTTTCAAGCGAGCCGAAGGTGATTTATTTTTTTTCTTCTTTCTTTCTTTAGCAGTGTTTGATTCAATTAGCTAAGGAGTATTTCAATAGCAAACCTGTTTTATGATAAAATTTCGCGGTTTTAAATTACTGGAGATATCATCTTGAAATTTATATAACTGAATTCTCCGATAGTTATTTTTAATTTCCATCTTACTTTTGATTTTTAGCATCAGTATAGGTTTGTTGCTTAGCAACTTTTATAATCTATCAACCTATCATGACAATTGATTTCTGAATTTTTCCAGAGATCAGTAATCTGTGGCGAAGTGTTTGTGTTTTGATTTTTTAAGTGCAAACAAAAAAAATTCCTTGAGACACATCTGGTGAGTTTCAGCGATTCCTTTTTGTTTGTTCCATTTGGCACATCAATTAATTGATTATATAAACGTCAGTTTTCTTTGCCTTACATTAATTTTTTTTCATTCATATTGACTGAACCTTTGTATATTTAATCATCAATTTTTTTTTCTTCTTATGTAAGTGTTAAGCTTTGTCCTTGCCGCTTGAATCAAAGACATAAACACAACTCTATTTCATTTAACAGTGGAAGCCTTATTAAATAAGATGTTTTTCACAATACTCCTATTTCAAATTTTCCATTGTATCTATTACAGTTGTTCTTGTAGCGTCATCTTTTAATCCAACTTTATTTTTGTTAATTGCAATATTGCCCGAAAAGAAATCGTTTATTACAAATGCATACACTCCCACAGCTGTGTGTTTATAGCATTTTTTTTTCTCATGAACAAAACAACACTTTTTCGTTTTATTCTTTGTCTGTTAGAGATCGAAAGTAAGAATAAAGCTTTTATTTCGTCTCCTTGCTCACAAACACACAAAGCGAGTCATTGTTTTGGTAGAAACACCTACACAATATATCGTTCGAACGAGCATACTTACTTAAAAAATGTCTCCTGTTTGTCTTTCATGTTTTAAAGCAACATTTCATTGTAAAAGAGAAGACAATTTTATTTAAATGAGGCAATCAAACCTTGAAATTAGAGAGAAGAAAAAAGAAACGCTTATTGAGATCACAACTGACTCTATCACTAGATTATCCAATAGAAAAATCCTAAATAAATATTTATCTTTTTTGTGAAGTTATCTGATTTATTGCATGGACTTGAAATAAAAACATTCTTTAGCAAGATATTGCGCATACGAACACACTATAAAACGTGTGACGAAGCACTGAAGTGATATAACAAGTTGGTTACGTAAACATAGAAAAGCCATTTTTATATGTACATTTATCTATTTTATTTTACTAATAATAACAAGCACAAGAAAAACGGGGGAGAGAGGTAATGGCCAAACGAGATCAGTATTTTACAGATTCATTTGACAAAACGAATTCGTCTCTAGTACAAGTACACACAGAACATCTAATGAGTACTTCAACAGACGATATAAAACGAAGGATACAGGTAATCGATGTGCATTAAGTTATAAGAAAATCGAAAAGTAGCTCGTATGACTCATAAATTTGCCCACAAAGCCGCAGTGGTTCCCTACCTTCTTCTTTTTTGCCTCCTTTTGTTACATTTCTGTAATGGTAGTTGTCGTAATGAGACTGAGAATTCTGCTTTTTACTCTTCCATACCGATTTGAATCAATCAAACATTTGTTCAGATTCCTGTCATGCAATCAAGGCATATGTACAATTCATGAAAGCATAGGAAAAAAGGACACAGTTTTACTTGATCCAATACATCTATTAGTAACCAACAATGAAATTTTTTTCTTTTTTTTGTGTTACTTTTCTTGTCGACGTTCTCCTTCATATTCTTCGAAGCTATTTTCGCCAAAGACATGTTTACTATTTACTCGTTTTCAAATTATTTAGCGTAAAATTTGTAGCTATCGATTTACAGAAAATTAACACTATTTTGTCATATTCAATATGGTTGACGATATTCTCGAGCGTTCTATTGTATGTATCGCACGATTTCGCTTTCTTTTATTACCAGCAGAAAAAAAAACAGAAATAACAACTTAACTTTATCAAAAATCTCTCAAGAATAAAAAAACAAATATACTCACTTTCTTTCAGCACCTTGACGAAACGCTTGCACATGATGATGATTATGATGATAATCGGAGTACTCCCATTCGCGGACAAATTCAAGATGTATTTTTAAATCGTCCTCTTACACCTGCATTCACACGATCGCGGTCACCGTTCACTGTTTCAAGTCAAGGATCAAGTCGAAATCTAATGACAACGCCCACTTCTGGTCAACTTATCGATGAAAATCGATATTTGAATGATGAACTGAACCGAGTCGAAACAGTACTCAATTTAACACGTGCTGAAAAAGATGAATTAAGCATACGTTACAATGCTCTGTCTGATCGGGTAAGAATTTTTATACGAATAAGTATCATGTAATTTTTCTTTTCTCAAGTTCTTCTAATAAAAAAAGAAAAGCAATGTACGACAAAGAAAATGTCTCTCCCGTAAGAGATTGCAAACATTCTTTGTCCGTTTTAATTTTTAAATACATATATATATATACATGCATCTATGAACTATAAATATTTCATGCCTGCTGTTTAGATGCATCTTTTTTCTTTCATTTTTTAATGAAATATATTTGCATGTTTCAAGAACGTATGTAACCATGTCTTTTTGTATTTAGCTGGAGCAATCACTACGTGCTCAAGGCGTTGACTTATCATCAGATATGAGCACTGGTGAGCCTGAACGCCGTATTCTTGTCCAACAAAATATTGAGCTACGACGAAAACTCGAAGAAGAACATCAAAATTATAAACGTAAACTATCTAATTATCAAGAAGGACAATTAAAACAAGCACAGCTTGTACAAAAACTTCAACAGAAAGTAAGTGTAACAAAGATAGTTACATACTCTTATATGAACGTCGGATTCCTATCGAACAGGTTTTACAATACAAAAATCGATGTACAGAACTTGAATTTCTAACTGAACAACATAAAAAGGATATGGACCGTATTCGACTTAGCGTAAGTATTCGTATTTCGAAGATACATTATATTTATACAGAATTGCAATACAACAAATACTGTTGATTTATTTAATATAGGCAACTAATACTACTGCATTATCATTTCTTACTGACACACGTACAACACAAAATATTGATGAACAAAGTGCAGTATCAGTTTCCCTCGATGAAGAAAAACAAAAGTAAATCAATAAATAATAATAGTAAAAACTGAGTCCTTTTGTTTCTTTTTTTTTACTTCCCATAGGTCCGCTAATTTTGCTCAATTAAATAAAATGTTACGCGATCAACTCGATCAAGCTCATTTAACTAATCAACAATTAACCGATGATTCACGTCGTAATACGAATGAATTGCAAAAACTACGCGAAGAGTTCACACAAAAAACACGAGATTGGCAACAAGAAGAACGGGTTTGTTCGACGAAAACAACCAGTTCATATTTATAATCTTCATGCTCGTATTTTCTTTAGATTCTAAATCAATTCTATAATAAAGAACATAATCTTATGTATGAATTATGGCGTGATGTTGTTTCATTTCGTAAAGAATTTACTGAACTCAAAGGCACAACTGAGCGTGATTTAAATCGTGTTCGTGCTGATCTTACACAAACAGGTCGATCATTAACAAGTGCTTGTTTTGGATTTTTAACTACATCAAAAACAGCTGAATCTCAAGGACAAGTAAATGAACATTTGCCATTTATTATCATCATTTCTTTCTTTTTCGTTTTGTTAGTTCGCCATCGAACGAGAACGTCATGATCGTACGAGTCTAGAAAATCAAATCCGTGAAAAAACAAGAGAACTAGCAGATTTACAACAAAGGTATTTCATTATTCTATTCGTAGATCTTTTAAAAATAATTTTTCAAATATTTAGATTACAAGAATTATCACAAACAAATGAAAAACTACGTTTTCAATTGGCAGAAAAAGATGGCACTATAACAACGTTGACACGTGCGACTCAAATTCAAAGCCAAGCTGTGGTTAGTTTCGTTTTGTTAAAATACACTTAAGCAAAATTTTTGAGAGAAGCTTTTAACGTTTTATAATCTTGTATTGAAACCCTGAAAAAGTTTTTATCCAGGATAGATTTAGTGGTATGACTATAATGTAACATCAAGCTTTGCATCCTTGATCGATACTTAGTTAACAATCAAAGCTTTTCTCTTTTTTTTATTTATACATCTGTCTTTAAAGTTTAGCAGCGTCTCAAGCACACAGCCAGATTCTTTTTTTCTAATATTAAAATGTAAAACAGATGAAGCCAGGCAGAAACTATTTTCGAGAATATAAAAAACAGATTGTCCTTCGACATTTTACAATCATGAATATTTTCTGAATAAAATTTTTTAATTAAAATGATGACTTAGACATGATACAATCAATTCGATATCTATCGATTGTATTTATTTATTTATTTACATAATGAACTACAAACAATGATTGTGCCGATTTCTATTCTTGTAATATTGAATTCATCGTGTCATTCGTTCTTGATAACTAAAAAGCCCTTAAGATGCAGAAGTAAAAACTTGTTCAATTCCTTGATTATTATTCGATAGAGTCGATCATCAAAACTAACAATAATAGATGATATAAGCTCTTATGTTTTTTATGCTGTTGTTGGTCAAAAAACAACTCGAAAAAATAGCAGCTCTTATGGTCATCAAAGTAGTCGATTGTGTCCGTATGTTTATTTTATGTCGTATGGCAATTGTAAAAATAAATGCATAGATGTTAATAGACTCTTGCGATGTTTAAACTAACATCACATTATTGTAGGCAAGAAACACATGTACATTTTGGTATGAAAGTAGTATTGCTGTTCATCATCGTAGTTCAAAAAACAACATGCGATTGCCGAAGGGAGTGGCCGATTGCGTCTGTAGTGGAAATTTTTTACACTTTTTTCCCCATATGTTTCCTCTCCTTATTGGTATCGCGGTTTTCTCTGTGACGAGCAATACATCTGATAGTTTAAATGAGTAAAGAAAAAAAATCATCGAGAGCAAAAGAGAAATGGACAAAGAGAAAAATGTATTTTGATAAAAGAAGCCCATTAATAAATTACATAGCCGAGGACGTGATTGTTTATTCTACGGCAGTAGTAGTGACGGTGCCGTTACTAGAAAAAATTAAACAACAGCTAGTAGCAATAGTTGTCGATCACTTGTTGTCTGCGGCAAATCGTCGTCGACATGTTGCAACAAAGTGCAGTTACGAAGGTGAGTGTCTGTAGACATGCGTACATATATATATATATATATATATAGTTGTCTTCACATTTATTTAAATGTATGCTTCTGAAAACAGCTAATTACATGATTTTTATCTTTCGAAACTGATCTTGAGACGATTTAAAAATTGATTAATTAAAAAATATCGATCATGTTCAGATTGAATTCTATTTCGATTGTTGAAATACAGTTGACTATCATCTTCTTTTGTATGTGAATTTTTAAAAATACGATAACGAAAAATGTATATTAATAAGAGCGTACAATAGACAATGCATATGGCTAAAGATAAAAATATATAAGCAATTTTATATTCGCTGTTTGTTGATAGTTCCGATTCCGCTTGAACATTAGTAATGAAAACCGCAAGCATAAATAATAATGTTTGTTTTTTCTTGATCATTAATTTTTTAGTGTTTGTAAAATTTAATTGAAATATTATCTGAGAGTTGTAATTGAAAACAACGCCAACGGTTGCTTTCTGTCAACAATTTTACTATGATCATTAGCAGCAGTAAGAACAATAGTTCTAGTTAACCTCGAGACGAAAAAATAAAAGAACAGTTGCACATTGACTTATCAGTAGTTGTTTACAAAATTTACTCAAATGTCTGTTTGTGACGAATCTTCTTCATCGAACTCTAATCCAGTTTCATTGAATTAAAATTTAGAAACTGAAAAATAGGACTCTACCACTGCAGTTGTTAACTATTTGGCATTCTTTCTTTCTTTCTTTTTATTGTTGAAAATATTTCATAAGCAGCAGAACGAGAGAAAAAAGAATTCTCTTCATCGTCACAGTGTGGTGTGCATAAGTAATACTACCTTCGACGTCAATTCTCTTTCTTTTCTCTTCTTCTTGTGTTTCGTTTTCATTCATTCCTCAACATTGTTGCTTTGGTTTGCGGTTCCTATCTGACCACGATCGTTATGTTCCGACGCACACAGGTACAGAGACATTTATATATTATTCTTATCATTGAGCAGTGTATCATATCAGAATTCTATTCACATGTTTAATAACGGAAGTATATGACAAAAGTTCTCGAGATCAGAAAATATTATTTGCGTAAGATTTATCTAATCAGTCATTGTTTTCTCCATTGTTCAATAGAATATTCGAAGCTGTTGACTCCCTCTCTCTCTCTCTCTCTCTCTCTCTCTTAGAAATGACTTCAGATCTTAGTTATTTTTTGGATTTGCTAATTATTGTCTATGAATCATGAATAGAAAAAGTTCAACTTGAATCCAATAGAATTTATTGTTACCATTATGATTTTTAGGAAACATCATCTTCGGCATTGGAAACGCGTACTCGAGAAATCAGTGCTGATACTGAACGACTTCATCAACGATTACGCGATTTAGCTCAAATTGTACTTAACGATGAAGATGATACATTCGATGGAAATGATCTAGGACGAACATCACCAAGACGATTATCACCATTGCGTGGTGCTGAACGATTTGATTCACCTGATAGAGGTTATACGAGGTATGTAATTTACGTTTTTTTCTTTTCTCTCTTCTTCCCAATAAGAAAAAGAATAGTAGAAGACAACCAAGTTCTTCAAAGAGCAATTGAACAAAAGAATTGAATTTTGTGCTCTCACGCATTTTGAGAGCTCGAACTCAATTGTTCGTCAAGCTTAAAAGGACGAGAATGCTTTTAGGGTAGAGGAAAGAATAAAAAAAGCCGAAGAGATTTTTTTCACATAAAATCTATCATGACTTTATTTTATTTTATATCATCAATGCAGAAACCTATACTTCTATGGTTTATTTTAAAAAAGAAGAAGAAGAACTCCATGGCTTCTGTCAGTTTCTCTAGATATGAAATCTAAAAAGTTTCTTTAAAAAAAAAATGTTATACTACTATAAAATAAATTTCACTCAAGGCTTAAAAAAAATAGAAGAGAAAAGAAATACAACAACAACAATTGGAATCACCTTGAATGCTCTAGTGTGAAAAAAAGTAAAAACCTGATCCATTTAACAACATGGCAGGAAATCGTACTAAAATCACAGATATAATTTTTCTTCAAGAAAAAAACTTCAAATCTGATATGAGTTCAATGTTAGCAAACTTATTGGTTACTTTTCACGAGCCCGTTAGATCGCTTACATTCAATAAGTGTAAAATCAAACATGGTTTTTAAACAAAATTTCATTCCTATCGAATTAGATGAGAATAGTAAATAAAATTCATGCTGTTTGTATATAGCATTAGTGAGCATCTTGCATTTGAACATGTTGATTTAGCATGTTATAAGTATATATGCCATCCTAACCAATCCGTTGATACACTGGCATGAAAAGTTACTTTTTTTCTGTACTGCTCATTGAAGAAAGATCGTTTCAAGTAGTTTTTGAGGCAAAAAATGATTGTTGTTTTTTCATTATCCTTCATAAAAAGAAAAAAAACACATTCGGAAACAATAGATTCGATTCCTATGTAATAGGTGGCATAAGTGGGAAAAGAGCAGAAATGTTTTTAATAACATCAGATAAGAACAATAGTGAAACATTTCAAAATCCGATAAGCAGAATGTTGTCGGACGTACGATGCAATTCCTAAATAACAAATAATTTTTATTTGGCATTGAAATATGCATCTATCGTGTTATTGAAAAACAAAATTAAAAATGCAAACGTCACCAAATGATTGCCAGAAGTGGTAATGAAAACAGTCAGCGCATTAAAGAGAGAGACACTCAAATGATTGCACTTTCGGTGAGATTGAATAGTCAGATGAAATTATTATGCAAGAACAGTTCAATTGAAATGATTAAAAACAATATCATTCTTTATAATGTTTTTCTTTGTCGTCAAAATGATGATCTTTGAAGTACCGAGTACAATAGAAATCTTCGATGTTATACTGAACTCGTCGTAATATTTAGAAATAAAATTTTCCTAGTGGCTGTTATTGTTGTTGAATTTCTGTTTAGGAGATATTAGTTAGACATTAAAAGATAAAGTTATTTAGTTTCATGATTAGCTATGAATAGTTGTTGATCGTGTCTACATCAATTTTTATGTTCCTGTTTTCAACAAGTAGACTACTAATGAAAATTTCAAGGGAACCAACTTTGACAGACCGACAAGAATAAGGATGACATATCGTTCTATTTCTTCCTGATTTTCTCCTCCGTAGAAATAATTCTAAATGAATAGCAAGCGCACACCTAATTATGAGAAGGTAAAGTCTAAGAAAACTAAACTATTTGTCGAATGAGCGCTACTGTTATAATATACAATCTAGATGAAATACTGATGCTCCTAATGGTTTCGAAGTATTGAAAACGGCAAGGAAAGTTTCCTCTTGTATTCATGCTAAAATCTTCATTGCACACGATGACCTCAGGTGTCGAATTCAAATAAATCGGCATGTCTGTGATATGCAAATGTAATAGAGCAGGTGTCAGTAAAAAAACGAAAAATGAACTTTACTTCCATGGATTATTTTATTTGTTAACACTTGTACATGTCTATAAAAACGTGTATTTGTTGTTCAATAACTTGACTTTTGGAAGGGCATGAATCTTTCTGTACAGAATATTATAGAAAAAAATTTTAAATTCACCTTGGTTGTCAATTAAATATAAGGACAAAAGAAAAAAGAATTTTTTCTAATTTTAACATTGAAAAAAAGTAGACATTTTATTAATTCGAGAAACACACGAATTATAGTTTGTATCTTTTTGGTATTTAGACTTCGTTCACCTCGATCGAATTCACCTCAACGTCCAATACAAGCATCTCGGCCACATTCTCGTAATGTTTCACCATCGTTTGTTGACAGTACATTTAGTGCTGTTCATGCTGCCTTAAATAAACGTCAAGTTCAGGTAATGAATCAGATTTCTTTGAGATCTTATCTTTGTGATATATTGTCGTTCTTCTATTTTACTAAAACTAAAAATGTTTCTTACGTGATCCGTTTAGACTGCGCTTCGTTGGAAACCTAATAATTATCTTAACGAAGGAGGAGGAGTACCAAATTAAATATAAACTAAAAAAAAACTAAACTAGTTCGATTTTTTTTATCTCTCGCTTTCAATATAGGGTGTCTCAAAAATCTGTCATGAAAACAAATAGTGAATAAATCTGAAATAGCCTAAGCGACTTACGTTACTTACTCGTTTTGAATATTATGATCCTTGAAGTTTTATTCTCGAAATTTCTGTGCCCAGAGACATGTCACTCAATTGTCGTGATGAAACGAAATATAAACACCATTCTTAGGCTTGATTAGAGAAAAAAAAATGTTTACCGACTTCGTAAAATTCACGTTCAAGTAAATCAAAGCAGCTATAATCTGTATTATTCTACGAAGTACAATAGAACAAATAATAACTATCCTGTGGTTTATTTTCAAGTACCCGACTGAAAGTCTCCCTAATGTATGTGTACTTATCAGGAGGCCACCCGAGTACTTCATCAGTAACTATAGCATTTTCTGAAAGGTTTTTCAACATCGTAGTACACAGAATATTTCTAATTGAATGCAAACAAAATACTCATGCCTACGATATGCTGACAAAAAACGTAGCCTAAACTCTGCGCATAATTCAGTCACCCCAATGGATGCTTTGTTTAATAAATTCAGAAACGAGTTTCACACGATCGTGTTGAGATTTTACTTATAAATATAATATCGAAATCTCCGGAAAGACAGCTAGCTTTTAATTTCAAAATTCAGATCGAATGAACAAAAATTCGGCTACTATAACAATGCCCGAAACGATGAAAGCAAAGTATTTGTTAGAAAGCAAAAGTATTTAGAAGAAAACTCTCAAGGCCATAGTATAATATGTCTCTAGCTTGAACTATTTCAAAGATATTTATATTATTTTTTAAGAACGGGTTTTTGTCACATCCTATAGATTCAAGGGTCCGATCTTATATCTCGATTGTCACCCATTGACTTGTCAATGATCGTTACTTTTATTTTTTGCTCTAGTATTTCTAATATTTGTTTGGAATTACAGCTTTTTAAATTTTACTTAATAAAAATCTTGAGAATTGAAATTCAAAGAAATATTTCTATGAAATTATTTTATTATCAAAATTTCCAAGGTTCACGATTTACAAACAAAATTGAGTACTGCACGAGAAACAATTCAACAATTAAAAGATCAATACAATCAAAGTGAAGCGGAACGACGACACTTGGATCAGCAAGCAGCAAGCTATAAGTTGCAGATAGAAGAATTACGACGACAATTTGATGATACAGCAACTGAACGTGATCGATCAAAATCAGCGCTTGCAAATTCTAATAATGAACGTACAAACATGGAAAAACTTCGCATTGTAAATTATTGGTTTTCTTTTACGAACCTCGTCGGTGTCTGAATTTCATCTATGCTTTTTAGACACTTAATGCTCAGATTGATGCATTACGTGGCGATTGTGATCGTTTACAGCAGTCCAATACAGAATTACAACGTCAACGTGATCTTCTCGACGAAGAAAAGGATGATTTACAAAAGGATAAAATTCGACAAGTGAAAGAAAATGAACGTTGTATGAAAGTCATTGAAAATCTTGAAAACAAAATATCGCAACTCAAAACAGATGTAACAGAATTACGTGAACAATATCATAAAGAAAAACTAACCAAAGATGTTCTCTCACAAGAAAAACATGTGCTTTGTAAGTTGACTCGATTGAAATTAAAAACAATATTTTTGTAATAATTCAATATTTTTTGTTTAGCTGATGCACTTTCGCGTTCCGAATCTTATCGAGCTGAAATTGAAGTTGATCTTAGTAAAGAACGAAGTGAAAGTGCAACTTTAAGAGATTTACTTTGCAAAATACAAGCATTGAATGAAGGTCTTGCACAAGATAAAATCGAATTGAATAAAATTATTTTAATGGTAAACTTTCTTGTTTGGATTCGAAATTTGTTTTCTTTGACAACACAAATTTATTATTATTATTATTTAGGTCGAACAAGAAAAAAATTCTATTCATAATGAAAAATCCGATGTTGAACAAGACAAATCCACGCTTCGCCAGGTATTTAAATAAATAAAATGAAGAGTTAACGATTTGGTTTTCTCTTCTTAGGAACTTGTAAGAGTTGAACAAGATAAAATCGATGTTGAAAATGAACGCGACAGTAAGTAAAATTTGGTATCCACAAAAAAGATTTTATTCGAAATCGATTCTTTGCGACGTAATGTCAAACTAATGAACAAATAGGAATAGATGTGAAGACACTTGAGACTATTGTTCTTCAATGCATTGTAATAAGTGGCTTAAATAGAGTCTGTTTTGATACGGTTTCACTATTTTTAAGTTATTGATGCAATCATGTTTTATTCGACTATTGTCCTATGAAGATACCAGGGCTGAGAAATCGAGTTTTCAACAGGATTTTATCGAGCGAAAAACTTCGCAGTCACTATAAAAATATATCCTTGCTAGAATATTTCCATTCAAAAGGAAACATATGTTCTCGCCAACTATCGGGACTTCTCATCATACAGGAGATAGCGTGGATCAATGTTATGCGAAAGATTTTTAAACGAATTCGAAATTGTGATTATCACTTGTTTTCTTCTAGCTATTCTTCATCGTCTTCAATTAACTGATGTTACTCGTCAACAAATTGAACAAGAATTGAACATGGTCAATCGAGAAAAAGTCGAAATAATTGAACAATTTCAGCAAGTAAATATTTCCGAAAATTAAACTGCAAAAGAAAACATTATATATATATATATATCTAGATGACTCGATTGAAAAATACTCTAGCTGAAGATTTAGTTGCTGCTAAAAAAGATATCGAACGACTTAGTGAACATAATGCACGTTTGAATAAAGAGAAAGAAGAATTAACTAAAGAACGTGGCAATCTTGTTGTTGATTTGACTGGTACTGAACGTGACAATCAAACATTAAATTCAGTAATAAACCAAAAAAGTCTCTTCCTTCTATAACAATAACTTTTATTTTCGTTTTTAGACCATCGGTGCATTACGAGCTGAGTAAGTCAAAGAATCTTTCCTTTTTTTTCTTGTAAATAAAATTTTATTTGGTTTCTTTTTTCTAGAAAAGAAGCTCTTGAAACAAATCTGTATGAAGCACAAAATATAATAGGCCAACTTGAAGTTAAAAAGGGACAATTAGAAGGTGAAAATCAAGAATTACTTTTACGTAAAGAACAACTACAAGGTGAAATTCAACGACTTCATGCTGAATTAAATGTTGAAGTAGAAAAATCAGCTCGTCAACGCGATCAATTGCATCAACGTTTAACACAAGTAGAACGCGATAAAGAACTTATTATTCAACAACATCATCAAGCTCATGAAGATGATATCGAACGTATGACACGTGAACGTGATAAACTTCGTCATGAATTAGAAACAGCACGAGAAGAATCTATTAGACAATTAACACGTGACAAGGATGAATCAGTACAACGATATGAAAAAGAAAAGGAAGATCTACATTACGAAATAGCTAATGTTATTACAGAACGTGATCAATCTTTAATGGAAGCTGAAAATGAAAAACAAAAAGTAAACATTCTTCAATCGATAGTAGACTGAAGAGTTTCTAAGAACAGATTTTCAAAGTATTCACCTATCACCGAAAATTCTCAGCCGTTTGTTAAATCTATTCAGATTAATAATATCGGCGGCTAATTTCTACTGAGTGTAACTAGCTCAATCGAACTATTTGAATTCTTTCTTTCAAGTCAAACATGAGCGCAGACAGGGCAGCAAATCTTGTTCTGAGCGTGAGCCAAGTTTTTGAGAGTCAAAGATTCAATTGAGACAATAAAATTCGAAAGAAAACATTTTCATTCTAGCTACTTTCAATGGCTCAAACCGAACGTAATGCCTTAGCAGAAAAATTATCGCTAACAAAAGATGATTTAATGCGTTTACAAGTTGAATTCGATAAAATTCGTCGTGAAGCTGCGTTACATCATGAACAAGATCGACAAGTCATACTCTCGTTACAAGATGAATTAAAGAAATTTCATATTAAATTCGAAGATGTAACTCTTGCTAACGATCGTGATGTTAAAGTATTGCAAGAAGATATCGATCAACTACGACAACAAAGACAATTACAACAGCATGAAAATGCTGAAATAAAAACACAATTGAAATTAAATGAAGAAAATCGAGATCAGCTAAAACGTGATTTAATTGAATCTAATCGACGTATTCGAGAATATGAAGAAAATATGACAATACAACGAAAAGAAATACAAGACTTGAAACGTTACTTACAAGATGAACAACGTGATAAAGACTTATCATTACGTTCATGTGATGATTTACGTACGAAATTGAAGAGTGTAGAAAATGAAAAAATTGATTTAAGGCAATTATTAGATGAAGCTAAGCAAAGAATTATTGGTAAATAGAAAATTTTTGTCTCATATTTTAAAGACGGGTTTGATTAAATCTATATTTATTGTAGTACTCGAAGAACAAAAATCTCAATGTCAAAAAGATGCTAATGATCTTCGTCACAATTTACGTGACGTTGAACGTTCGCGATTGGAAGCTCGACGTGAATTACAAGAATTGCGTCGTCATGTTAAAATGCTCGACGGTGAAACGAAAAAGAAATCGAAAGAAGTAGAAGAATTAGCCGATCGTGTACGACTAGATGAACAACGTGAAGAAGAAATGCGTCGAGAAGTATTTGGACAAAAACAGAAATTCGTCGAAGCTGAAGCCTCACGAGAAGTTTTACGTAAAGAACTAGCTAATATTCAACGACACTATGCTGAATTAGAAGATGAACAACGAATGAAAGAACGAGACTTTAGATTAGCCATTGAAGATGCTCGACGAATTGGTACGATTGAGAAAGGCCGCCAGAATATTTTTTTTTCAGTCTACTTTGTTCTCATTTTCAGAACGCAAAGCGATCGAAGAACGACGAAATGTTGAATTAGCACTTGAGAATGCCAATCAAATGATGTCTGAATTGCGTATTGTACTATCAGGTGCCGAAGGACGTGCCAGTGCACTTGATACACAATTAGCACGGTAAGAAGATCTTTTTTTAGTAGAGATCTAGAAGTTTTAGACTATTCCTTGATGATGCCACAGTGACCGCCTGTATGAATTTATGTCGGGATAGAAAAACTTGACATCTACAGAAACTCTCCAATGTTCCTTTTCTAGATTTATAAATGCAGCGACTATCAATTTTTTTCGCATTGCTTACTTCTATATTTCACTGAAAACAGAAAATAGCTAGTGGCTATTGAAAATACATCTAGCATCGCTGTATTTATCTTCAAAACTAACAGCATTTTTGTTTTCTCTAGTGTGGAAGGTGCTAAACGTGATGCCGAATATAAATTAGGCAGTATCGTTTCAAGTTTACGCCGTACCATTGGCTATGGTTCACGTAGCCGCAGTGGTGCAGGAATTCGAAGTCGTTCGCCAAGTCCAACTGTTCGCCGTCGACCAATCTCACCTACGAAAGGTTTCGATAGTCATGAAAATCGAGCGTCACCTATATTACGACGAACATCCCGTAGCCCACATCATCGTTCACGATCACCAGGCTATGATGTTGAACGTGCTCAATCGCCCGGCTCAACCTATGTTGATGTTGCTGATATTGATCCAGAACAGATTCGTTCAGCATTACGAGATTTTGTTCAGAGTTTTATTTCTACTGAACGCGATCGCGATGATTGTGTTTGTAAGAATGCAAAGATGATAAAAATCAATGGATCTCGATTTTTGTTTTTATTTTTAAGCTGAAACTACACAATTGCGTCGAATTAATAAAGAACTTGAAGATAATCTTGCAAGATCAGAATTTCGATTTAATCAATTACAAAAAACACTCATGTCATTTGAAGAAGGTATGCTATCAATGAATTCATTATTGTATTTTTTTTCCTCTTTGCATATACAAGCTAAATCATTTCCTATTGAACTACTTATGGTTTAAAATTTTCTTGTCACCAATGTATTCTAAGTTGATTCATTTTTTTGTTTTCGTAGACAAAAAAGGTGTAGATACTCGTTTACAAAGTGCTCAAAGTGCCTTATTACTACATGAAGATACTATTCGACGAAGTGAACGCGAGCGTAAAACAATGATTGATCAAATAACTGCACTCGAACGACAAATATTAGGCATGGAAACTGAAAAAAAACAAATTTTTGTAAGATTTTCGTTTTTAAAAAGCTCTAACTTGGTGTTGTAGAATAATCTTTCTGAACAAAATATATACCGTTCTGTAACATGATTAGAAATCGATCATGATATTAAATTGAAACGAAGCCTGGTAGATCTAAAACTATCGTGTGTAATGGGCTGCAGGGTATAAATTGAGCGTCTTGATTGTGTAGAACGGTAGATTTTCAGTGTAAAGATTATTTTACAAAAATAATTCTAATTAGAAACGAAGTTTACAATGATTTATTTCTTATAGGAAAAAATGAATTTCTCAAAATCCAGTGAAGCCCGTTTATCGGATGAAAAACGACAATTAAAACGAGCGCTAGAAGAATATGAAGCTCGTACAACTGATCTTGAAATGAATAAACGAGCATTGGAAGGTGAAATTCAACGTTTAAATATGATCCTTACCGATAAAGACACTGAAATTCAAGTACATCAAGAACGATGCGACACCTTAATTAAACAAATTCAAGTAAAATAGCGAAATTTTCTGTTGAAATAATAACTCTCCTTTTTTTGGCTTCATTTCAGGATCGTGAAGAAAAATGTCAATCATTACAATTAAGTGTTGATCGTCTTTCTTTAACATTAGCTAAAATTGAAGAGGGTGAATCAAGCCTCAAAACCCGTGTACACTCACTGAATCAAACATTATCACAAACAAACTATCAAGCAGCTGATTTACAACAAAAACTTGGTGGTATTCAAAATGCTTTACAAGGTAGTGAAGCTGATCGTCGTATATTACAAGATAAACTTGAACAATCACGGTATAAAACTATTCGTAGTTCTCGTTTTTTTTGTTGTTGTCTCAAATGGAAGTATTTATTTTTCAGATCACAAGTCTGTGAACTCAAAAAACAAAATCATGAACTACTCGAACGTGTACATCATTTACAAAATGAAATTACTGATTCAGATATGAGACGGCATGAGTTAGAAAATCAACTACGAAATACGAATACTGTACGTTATCAATTAGAATATGAAACATGATAAAATTATTTTCTGAAAGTTAACGATCACGAATTTTCAGGGATGATAGAATATGCTACTCTTTGTATTGCGAGAATAATTTTCTTTTGATTGTGTTTATAAAATAAAGAATAATAATTTTATTGAATTTTTTTTTTGTAGCTTCTTGTTCAACGTCAAGAAAGTGAACAAGAAGCAATTCAAAAGATTTCAATCTTAGCTGCCGATAAACAAGCAGTACAAGAGAAGAATGCTCTTTTACAACGTCAATTAGGCAACCTTGATCTAGAAAAACGTGAAGCTGAGAGATCAAAATTACGTTTAGAAAAAGACAAAAATGTTCTGAAGAAAACTCTAGACAAGGTTTGCTGATTTTCTTTGAAATTTAAAATTCTATTATTATTGCTATTTTGTTCTTGAATAGGTTGAACGCGAACGTGTTGTTACCGAAGATATTGTTCGTTCATGGGATCGAGCTGAATTCGATCGGCAATACCGTCGAATCGAAGAAGAAAATCTAGCTCTGCAAAAACAAGTCGAACATTTACAAGCAGCCCTTAATGAATCAGAACAACAACATGCACAACGGTAATTGAGTTTCATGAAAATTAAATTTCACACATTATCTTTTCAAGTTCAATATAATATTCTCTATGTATAGCAGAGATCTTTGAATCTAGCATATTTGGACTCGAACTCACATTCTTCAATGTATTTCATATCCCCGAATCGTATTTTTTTTACTTTCAACGAACTTTTTTCTAGAATAATATAAGTTTCTGATAGCCGCTTCACGTGACATTTCTAACACTTTTGATACATAATTCAGACAATCTTGACAATGATCTTATAAAAATCAAGTCATAATTGACTGCTATATTTAGACTATAACCCGTTAGGTCGGTCCCGGTTTCCGGGATCAATCTGATGGGCACTAGTGTATATAGAAGCAAATTTGAGATTAGACAAATTTGTTACTTTTTAGAATTTTTTGTTGTCATAAGATTTATCTGTTTTGTGTCCTATGTTTCTAGCTTAATTGATCTAGCGACACGTAGTAGACGTGAAACCGAGGCCGAAACCGAACGTATCCGATCATCTCAAACAGCTGCCGAACGTGCTTTAGAAGCACGAGAAAAATCGCATCGAACTCGTGTTAAAGGTCTCGAAGAACAAGTAATTTCATAAAAGCTTTTAATTTTTCAAGAGAAACAAAGTATTCCTTAAATTTAACCGCTAGATTACAACATTAAAAGAGCAACTTCATCAAGAATTGCGCAAACGTCAATCATTTCTAACTCGTTCAATGGCAAATGGAGATGAAATAAATGCACTTCGTCGTGAAATAACAGATTCACTAACGTTTGTATCACAAGATCCACGTGGTCTCGATCCGGTTCATTTAGATCATGAAACAAAACGATTAGCAGATATGAACGAACAGCCTGTACGTCATCGTTCACCTAATCGACGTAATCTATCACCACCTATTGCCTTACGTTCTATGCGAGCTGCTGCTTCTATAGCTGCAGCATCACCATCTCATTTGGGTCCTCAATCGCCGAACGGACGTGCACGATCTTCGCGGCCACGCTATTAAACTTGCACATTTTTTTCTCCATTTTATTCGCTAAACGCCTACATATTTTGCCTGGCTCTAGATTCACTAGGGAAAAAAAACGACAAATTTTTCGTACTTATACGCACTCAGATTCTTTCCGAATAGTGTGACCAATCGTGTTGTGAAATATGAAAAAAAGCAGAATTATTTATTTGTTTATAAAAGTCTTGGTAAACATATAGAATATGAAACCCGTGTCATCATTTTCTAACAGTGAAATTTTTATATTTCATATTGCCTTAGAATAGATCTTATTTTTGAGCTATACATATATAGATATGAAAGAAAACATAATTCTTCTAATTAATCTCGTTTGGCTTTCGTAATCTGCTTCTTTTTACAATTTTAATCTCATATACCGCCCATTCGTCCCTTTCCCTTTTTTTCTTTATTGTAGCTTAATCTAGAATAATTTTGCCTTGTAGATGTGTCAAATATTTTTTTGGCCTCTTTTTTAAAAAACCTGTTCTTTTTCGTTTCATATTTGTCATATTTATATGGTTAAAACATTTTTATTCTCGTGCCTTGTCTCTCTAAATACACTCACGTATATTTCTATGATTCTATTTAATTACATGCCTATCTTTTCTTGTGTTTTTAATTGAATTTTTTTTCTATTTCAAATAAATCAATGTATTCTGGAATTTTACGGATACAACACATTTTCACAGTGAACGCTCGAAAAGTGTCTAGGCAAAGAAAGCAATACGATGCTCTTTGGTACATCATTCCTGCTCGAACATACAGAAATTACTGTCATTTCGATGAGAATGCGAAACACAGTCATGTTGTATGCGCTTGTTAGCATTGCATCCGAAAGTGCAAAACTAAACTGAACATTCGGTGTACATTGATCGTTTAGAATCGTGATTCGTCAGAACAAATAGTTAAAACTATAAAAAGGCTACAGTATTTTTTTTTTTTGAATTTAAAACAAAATAAACCAATTTCTATAATTGAGAACGAAATTCGACCAAGTTATACTTCATCGCGATATTTTCTTTTGAGCTTCTATAAAAGTTTATTTGCATGTTGAAAATCATTCTCGTTGTCTAGCACAGATTCACTAGTTACGGCGTACGTAAAGAGCAGCATATTTTTTTTTCGTTTACTTGATACTCTCAGATTTTGTCTCGGTGATAGATCGATCTCAAAACATTCTAAGAGATAGAGACTAGTCGGCGAAAATTCTTCTGCTTTGTAAACTTCATTGTGAGTTCACTTGCGTATATTAACAAACTCTTTGGCCATTTATCAGACATGTTCTACCACCATATAGACTACATATGTACGTAGTACGAGCATGAATATAGCTCGCATCAAGCGTTTTAACTAAAAATAACTATCGATATTTTTCATACGTATCCATAAGCTGCATATATAAGTGAAACAAACCTCGTAGCCTGTTTTGTTATATCTCAATATTTTATCGGATGGAATGAAATTTTACTTGTTATGTCACTCATATAAAAAGTACTACAACCGGAACGGAAAATTATACAAGACGATCTTTAAAATGACAGACAATGTCAAATTTTGAATGATTGCCATAGATCGAAAATGATAAATAGCTAATTAATTCGAGCAATAATTCGCTGCGAACATAAAAATTGACTTGTGAGAAAAAATAAATAAAACCCAATTTTTAGAACGAGCTGACTTTCTTGCTTTACAATTATTGTTCTTGTATATCTATTGTTGTTGTTCTATACAAGAAAGAAATCTATGATGCAGTTGACATTTCGATTCGTCTATTTTTTTGAAATTATTTCGCCAACGATTATGCTTTAATTTTCTACGTTTTTCACGTTGTTTGTTCTATCAAGCATGTCTTTAATGAGCTATCATGATAATGAAGATTGATTCAAGAATTCGTATTGATAAAATTTTGTTTTTGTTTAATTTTCTTCTCTATTTAATAATGTTATTAAATTTCTTCTAATTCAATTTATATTCTCGTGTGAATTGATATCATTATTAATAAAATTACGCGAATGTATCTTTCATCTTTTTCTTCTTCTTCTTCTTCCCTCGTAGAAACAATGATTTGACACATATTGCTTAGCTGTTGCTGTTTTAACTCAATGAAAAAGAAAAGAAAAGATTGCACAGATGTACTACGAAGAAAAAAGTGTACACTAAAACAAATCATATTCGTTCATCGAAGCATATTAAGACAACTTTTACTTAAATTGAACAAGCTGAGAGCTTTCAACTCTAATTAAAATCAACCACACGGAAGAATTCAAACAGACAAAAAGACATCATCGAAAGAATGACCTACAAAATAATTAATGAACTACTCGTTAAAATAAAATCTTACAATCTATTGAATATATTAGTAGACATACGACTTTGTAAATTCTGTCAGAGAACTGCATTGAAACTGAAATTGAGCAATTAGTGAGCTTCATTTATCTTCTTCGTTTTCTTTTTGTTAAGTGTTAAAATGTCTCGCAACAAGTTGTTCTCAAGAGATTATACAACATTGATGAACAAAAAAAAAAAAATAGTGAGTTCTGTATATGATGTATTATATATGCAATTTTGTCGACAATGAACACATATTCGTTTCATTCATATAAAGTGATGTTGAATGATTAACAAGTTCTAATAGAAAAAGTAACAAGATGGATTCATTTTTTCAATTCAGTTGCTGTGTTCTTCGATTGGTTAAAAACAAAAAATTGTGTATTTCTCATTGGTTAAAAAACTTTGATTTTCATAATGTAAATGAATGCTATAAAGAAATTGAAAAAAAAAGAAGAAACGTGATTTTCAACATGTATGAAAGAAAACTCGTTAGTTAATCTATAGAATAAGTAACAACAAAATTTTGTCTATTCGCAATTCTCCTGAGAGCATACGAAGAAATGAAAAGAAAAGAAAAAAGACGAATGGACTGTTTCTTTTTGTCTTGTCATCGTTTGAATTTTTTTTTCTTTTAGAACATCATTGATGCACATCGATTCGGTAGAATAGTTGTTGTAGTCTCTTTTAATCAAGTTTTTCTTTCTGTCCCTCTCTCTCTCTCTCTCTCTTCTCTCTATCCCATCAACGACTAGAAACGAGTCATTGGCTTTTCTCCTCATTTGGCACTCTGTTCGCTTGGAGAACTATTCACTCTATCATACATAGGCACTAGTAACGCTCTATTGGAGTTTTTGCTTGTGTTTATCTTTCTCTTCCCTTCATTGACTCTTGGAGACTGTCTCTCATTTGTGCACAAGAGGCTTGTTCCTGTGCGAAACCATGTTTCCGTTCAACCAGTTCGTTGCAGCTCAATACCGATATTCCAAATTCGGTAGGTGCTCTGTATTTTTTCCCTATCGATTCTTGCCTCCCTCTTTTTTTTATCCCTTTTTGCTCCATTGAATCGTAAGAGCCTATATTATCTATTAGTAAAGTCATCAAATGGTTTATTCAAGAAATATATATTTTTTTGTCATAGGACATGGAGGTATCAATCAGCTCGGCGGAGTTTTTGTTAATGGTCGACCCTTGCCTGATCTTGTTCGTCAATCAATTGTTGATCTAGCTAAACAAGGTGTACGACCATGTGATATAAGTCGGCAATTACGAGTATCACATGGATGTGTAAGTAAAATCCTTGGAAGGTAATAGAGAAATATTTAAAAGCAAAAAAAAGGAGCAAATAATTTTTTGTTTTGTGGTTAGGTTTCATGAAACAGGTTCAATTCGTCCCGGTATTATTGGTGGAAGTAAGCCGAAAGTTGCTACACCGAAAGTTGTCGATGCTATAAGTAGTTACAAAAGTCAAGCGCCAACAATGTTTGCGTGGGAAATTCGAGAACGTCTTATTGCTGATGGAATATGTGATTCAGATAAAGTACCAAGTGTTAGTTCTATAAATAGGTATACTCACATAACTTTCTTTTGTATAAAATATGAATAAAAAAGACTTAATGTGCTTGCTAACTAATGACTCGCAACGGCATTGATTTGCCGACTCATATTCATTTGTTTCTTCCTTTTCAATTTAGAATTGTTCGTAATCGTGGAAGTTCACATGATAGTTCAAAGACAAATAATCACAATAGCAATAATAATAATTCGTCGCCAACAACATCAAATGATACAATTGGAACGCCAACGCCAACAACAGGAACGACATCATCGATGGCTATGAATGGTACAGCAAGTAATGAAGACGATAGTAGAAGTCATCAAACAGGTGTCTCATCATCGCCGAATGGTTATAGTATTCATAGTTTACTTAATCATTCACAATATAATCTATATGCGAACGGTTATTCAACAAAGCGTTCTCAGCATCATCACAGTCATGGATCTCGTATGAGTCATCATCATATGGGTAAGAAATCATTCGTCAAGCTCAGTAACAGATCAAAGCAAACCTTCCTAAAAGAGTTTATGGTTCCGAATGTAGACAAAAATAAAACGAAACGAATGCGGTTACATCATCTGGAAATCCGTCACGTTACAAATTATTGTAGAAGAAATTAGAGAAAATATGATTTTGATAGAAATTTAAATAGTTTTCTTTTTGTTCTATTTATAGACATGCATGATCATAAACATTTTTCGGCTGAGCAAATCAATTTTCTTGATAAATTTTTTAAAGAAAATTCATGGGCCGAAAATGCACAAATCGAATCGATTGCTAAAGCAACTGGCCTGACTGAATCTATCATTAAAGTAAGCGAAATAAACATCAAATATGCTATTTTTATTTTATTTCAAAGGTTTATATTGATCAACGTCGTTCTAAATGGAATTCAATGTATCCATCAAACAGTTATCTTAATTATGGTACCAATGAATTTTCAAATGATCTATCAACATCATCATCGTCATCATTTCATAATGCCAATCAACATTTCATTGGAAATAATTCAATGAAAAATGATTTCGATTTATCAGCAACACGTTTGTGAAATTCATTCAAGTTGCTTTTCTTGTAGTTTTCTCGTTTTGAATATTTAGAACCGAATGAACTCTTTTGTTCGTCGTCAGCATCTTATCCAACACCAGCAGCAAATTTCTCAATACCAGCACATGCTTCAGGTAGAAAATTAGAAAATAATGAAAAGCAAACAGCTCTATAGTTTATTCTAGACTATTATTCTTCAAATCCGTATTCAACGGATTGGCGTTATTCATCATTTTCAAATTTTAGTAAGTAATTTTATTGTGTAAGTATTTGATGATAGTTTTATTTTTTTATTTTTTATTCCTATTCTATTAAATAGATCGTGATATTCATCAATATTATCCTTCTTATGTGTGCGATTCATCGCTCAAATCCGAACCTATTCAATAAGAGAACCTATCATTTTGTTGTCTATTTTTCATGTCTAAAACTACTACATAAATAATAAATGTGCAGCAATCTTTGTTCATACAAAAATCGTATTTTTTTCTTCGTATGCGAAACAAGTAGAAAATAAACAAAACCCCCAAAAAATAAAGTTTCACTACGTTGCGACAATATCATCTTCGTCGCTATCCACCACTGTGGGTTTTTTAGTAATACTGGTATCTGGTGATTTATGGCGAGATGACGAACGATCGCTATTTGCGGGTGATAGAGGTTTACGACTTATGGAAGGCGATGATGGTCGTTGCTAGTTATTATAAATAAACAAATAAGAATAGAAAAAAAGTTTAAAAGAATGAAATTATTTACTTGTTTTGAAGGTAGCTCTCGGTCGATTGTTGTTGAAGATGAACCGCTTAGATTGGATTTCTCTTGATAAAATACAAGAGAAATAGGATTTGAATGAAACTTTCACCACATACCTCGATTGCTAGGCAAGTTCGCTTTAAAGCCAGGTGACGACGGACGATGACTGTTAGGTGGAGGCGAACGATCTCGACGCTAGAGAGTAATGTTAAGAAGAAACAAGATATAAGAATAGTATTGTATATTTACTATTCTCGACGTTGGCTCTGTAATATTTTTGTATGATTGTGTTTTAGGTTGAATTTCACCTAAAAAGATAAATAATTTAGTACCATATTGTTCATGAAAATGATTAAAATCTTCTTACGTATAGGTACAGTTGGTTTTGCATTTAATTTTAGCCCATAGCTAGGAGGATCTCGTTTTATTTCACTAGAATTTATTTGAACAATATGCATCATCCATTAAATTAATATGATTTCTTACTTTCCATATGATAATTGCAACGGTTTTGATGGTGTTGAAATAGGAATATTTTCATTGTCATCACTGTCTGTACGTTCTGATTTTCTGCTGGAAACTGACGATCGTGGTTTAGGTTTTGGCGAAGATATTTTATTTGGAGTTTTATCCATTTCTGTTCGATTTAAGTAGCCTCGTAATACTGCTTGGATGGCCCTTAAAGCAGGCTATAGGAAGAAAAAGAAAGGAAATTTTTTTTTGAATCGTAATATGAGAATTCTTACTTCATTAGCAGTACTACTACTAGCTGATGTTGGTCGACTCGTGATACGCTCATTATCAGAATTATCTTCTTTAAAGCTTGAATGTGGCGATGGTCTTACAGATGGCTTCTAAAACATCGAAGCAGATAGTATGTAACATAAGAGATTCCCTTTGAAATGAGATTCAAACCGAACGAAAAACTTCGAAAGTCCTACAGTATTTCAATACTAAAACGAAGTATTGCAGTAGTTTAAAAGTAACTTGTGAAATAGACGTTTCTTATTTTGCTGATGAGTTTAATATTGATTCTTAATAATTTCATAAAACAAATCTTTGTCTATGCGAATGTAAACTTCGAATAATCTAATCTAAACTCTAAACATACTTTATCGTAGCAACATCAATTGTGATATATATTTAGACAGTGCAAGTATTAAACAATTAATTTTAATATCAATAATCCTACATCTACGTCATATAAATTTTCATGTCATAGTTTACTTACTGCACGCACTTGATCTTTTTGTGATTTATCATGCTTGCGCCATCCTCGTTGAATCACAGTAGCTGCACGTTTCTCTCGAAATCTTTTTACAGAAGGATCATTAATGCTTGAATGAAATAAATAGGAGATTATTGTCATTAGCAAAATGGTTACGATTTCAATCTTACCTAGTGACGATCGGTACAGCTAATTTTCGGGTCGGTGTAGTTGGTCTAAAATGTAAGCATAGTAATTTTTAGCCTGCTAAAGCAGATCAACTCTATCCTGTTTGACATTGCATGTTTTCGTAGAAATCTGAACGATGATATTTTTTATCGAAAATTTGACTCTTTAGGATATCTCAGACGAAGAAGAATGGAGTTGTCTGTACTGAAAATTTTTAACAATGGTAAAACTTGTTAGGATTGATAGTTTTAATAAAACAGATGTAACTATAGTTCAGTCGAGCAAAAATCAGATTCATTCAAAACTTTCATTACTCTGGATGACTCTTATTCGTGAGCCTGATATGAGGTTAGTTGCGGTATGACAGAATATGAATATGCCTTTATTTGCTTTTATATTACCTTGAAGCATTTTTTCTAGGTGTGACAGATAAGGGTGAATCTAGACGATCACCGACGTTAGGTGATGACCGTGGTGTTCGATTTCCAATTTCTTTCGAAGTCCGTCTCGACAAGTTAAGATTCTCTCGCATTTGTTCTTCATTGTTACGGCTCAATAAAGGTGATGAACGAGCAGCAGACTTGGGTCGTTTTAGTTCTTCAAGTTCACCAGTAACTCGATCAAAACTTTTGTGATACTCATCACGTTCACGTCGCATTTTAAGCAAATTATCATTCATTTGTTCAATTTCATTTTCATAATTTTTACATTTTTGTTTAAGATTCTCCATTGCTTTTAGTAATTCTGGATGGCTACTGTCATCCTAAAAATAAAAACTTCGATATAACTGCGCAAAGATCTCACTATAATAAAATCAATTAGGTCATCTATATTCGTAAATAATTTATCGTTATAGATAATAAACTTTCATATTTTTATCATATTAGAAACCGAATAACATACCGATGAATGAGTTGTTCTTGTTGGGTTTATCTGTTCTAATTCTGCAACTCTTTTTCTTAAACTTTCATTTTCTTCTTTGTGGCCATCTCTTTCTTTAGTTAATTTTTGTATGGCTTGCTTTTTTTCTTCTTCTATTGTAGCTGAATAACCACTTAAAATAAATAATAAAATAAAATGGTTCATCACTGTTCTTTTTACTTTTGGCTCAGCTGATGTGATTTTTCGAATCGTTGTCGGTCAAGTTCACTGAAAAGAGCACGATTTTGTATTTCTAATTCTTTACTCTTTGTCCATTTTTGATCACTTTGTATTTCCCTACATTTCAAATGCCAATATATGCCTTACGACATGAATTCTATTTCAAACATACTCAAGTTTTGATTCTTTTTCTTTAAGTTGTAATTCTAATTTAAATATACGTTGTTTTAAACGTAGAGCAACATTCTAGAAATAGAGAAAAAAGAATAAAAAAATTTTCACTCATTATTTAAATCATTTACCGGATTGGAACTACTATTATGACTTCGATCTGTCGATGATCCTGTTAATGCTCCTCGTAAATCACCATCCTAATAAAAGATTATTTTCATACGATAATAAATTCATCTTAAATTTTACCTGGTTCGTTTCATAGAAAGCTCCGATTTCTTTTTGTTTTCGTACATTATCTTCTTCTAAACGTCGAATTTTAGCACGAAGAATACTATTCTCATTTTTCACTGTTTTCATGTCCTTAATTAAAAAAAGATATAACGGTACAAAATACAATGAAATAAAAATAGAAACTTTTTTCAACAACTGTATTTCTTCATAATAATCTTCTTGTGCTTTATATTTTGGATTTCCGCTCGCTGATCGATTTGCTGGTGAGAAAGAAAGGAAAATATAATTCGGCTTCCGAAATCTTTTAAAAATTCTTGTTCCTACTAGATTTCAATGCTAATTCGCTTGCAGTTTTTGTACGTGGTATGTGTCTTTCAGAAATCATCTCCGGTTCTGATTGTGGATTCGGATTATAATAGCCTCGTAAATAATCGGATGTACTTCGATAGGCAAGATCATTGTCGTCGACTGCATTTAGATGTGTAAATGGTTTTCGTTTTCTATTCATATATCCTGTTAAACCTGAAGTGAAATAAATTTTAAATAAATAACTTTCTTGTTTTTGTTGTTCGTCAAGTAGAATTCTTTTAAATCTTACCTTGACCATACGGTAGTTGTTCAACATATGCTTCACGTACGCTTTTCGTACGAGTTCCTCCCGTGCCTTTTGACATCTTAACAAATTGAAAATATTTGATAGAACAATTGTAGGAAGATATGCATTACCATTGATACTATGGAAACAGCATCCATCAAGATTGATGGAGAGCAAGTAACGACATCTATGGAATTTCTTTATGAAAATTTTAACATGGCCACAAGCTTTCAATCACAGCAGAAAGGTATCTGAGGTTCTCAATCGAACCGAAGGGCGCACCTTTTTTTTTATTAGTGTTCCGCTTTTCTCTTTACGGTTGTTTCTTTTTCTGTTTGCTTCACGAGGCATTTGTACATTTCAACGCTGCTTGAATTTGTTTTTTTTTGTCGATCGATTTTCCATAGGAGAAACTATGCTGCCGTTAAAAACTCGATTATCATGGAATGCAACACGAATTATAGCTGCAACTGCTATGACAATGGGAAAAGAATCAAAACGACATTCTTCTCTAAAAATGGGAAATCTTAATCCACTTGTTAAACTAGTTGAATATGCTGTTCGAGGTAGAAATCATGCAAGAAAAAAAAATCATATTATTTAATTATAATGGTACTTTCTTATACTTTTTCTTCTTCGTTATAAATTAAGGCCCAATTGTGATTCGTGCTGGAGAAATCGAAACTCAACTGAAGGTATTTAGTATTATTTCTTTTATTATTCGCGACCCCTCCTGCTGTTCTGTCGTACAGTGTAAGCATATTTTTCTGTTGTGAGAAAATAAGTCTTCTGAGCAAAAATAAAATCATTTTCTTGTCGACATATTTCTGATCCCATTTACGAACGTGCTTATTTCTCAAGAACTATTAGTATATATATATATATATATATACATCGTCGCCTCTCCTATCATATATGGACTTTGTATTATACATTGACTTTAAAGATATCTTATCCGATGAGAGAAAAAAACATATTGATAGAAGCGCAGGAGAAAGAAAGAGAGTGTTTTGTCAATAATCACAATGCATTCTCATGTTTATACCTTTTGTTATTAATATTTGAATATCGTTGATGTCACAAGTGCGCGTGATAGGCTTTCTCTTCCTTTCGTCCTAAAAAACATTTACCAAAATAAAACAATTATTTNAGCATGCAAATATATGGCAGAGAAATTTATATCAAGAAAAAAAAGATAAAGCAGAAGTAAATATATACATCGTATGTTGTCCTCTTTCTTTCTTTCTTTTTTTCATTCATTTCAACGAGAGTTAGAACAGAGAGTTAGAACAGCAGGTTCAGTATTTCTGTGTTTCATTTAAAAAAACAATGAATAATTCCGCGGAAAACAATAAATTCCTTACGATTGAAACTTTAAATCCTCGCATCCTTGACGTTGAATATGCCGTTCGAGGTCCCATTGTTATTCGTGCTGCCGAAATTGAAAAACAAATAAAAGGAGTATTAATATAAATTAAATTTTTGTTTTCCAATAATGCTAACTTTAATTTCTTAAGGGTAATCATAGTTTTCCATTCGATCGTGTTATTCGAGCTAATATTGGCGATTGCCATGCCAGTGGTAATCAAGTACCGGTTACATATATTCGTCAAGTTTGTTTTCTAATTATTTGTTTTTAACTTTCATAATTATACATATATATGTTTTAAAAGTTCCTTGCTGGTTGTACGTATCCACCGCTAATGGATTCCCCTGACTTTCCATCGGATATTAAACAAAAAGTCGAACGTTTATTATCTGTTTGTGGTGGAAAAAGCCTCGGGGCATACACTGAAAGTCAAGGTCTTATAGCTGTACGAGAAGATATTGCAGCATACATACAAGAACGTGATGGTTACCCGGCTGATACAAGCGATATTTATCTTTGTAATGGAGCGTCGGACGGGATTAAAACAGTGATTAAACTTCTTATGAACAATGATGCAACAAAACCATCAGGAATTGTAAGTTAATAAGAAATATTTTTCTAATAAGATTGAATGTCAATTTTGTTTTTAATCTTTTTGATGAAAAACACTTGAGACAATGACCTTTTTCTTAGTCATTCAATAGACATGTTTCATTTCTTTCTAACTAGTATTTTTAATGCGGTGCGAAGCACAGCATTTATGTAGTCCGTCGCGAGTTTCTTTCTTTCAAACTTGAGTACGCATAAAAAGTTCTTATGAAGTGACGCGATGATCAAGAGAAGCGTAAATGATAGAAAATCCATTCAAACTAGATATAAAACTATGGAGGTGGAACTTGTTACATCTTTTTTCCAATTTTCAATACTAGGCTTCGTTCGCCTAAAAATATCATTCGACAATGATGATTTTGAAACGTTTTATTGTTTTAGTTTCGCGCTAATTAAAATGACGTCATCAATAGTTGTTAACCAATAGTCTATTGCTTTACATCTGATTCAAGATAATGATTCATGAAAATAATTAATCGCTCACTGAAAAAAATCGTTAGAAAACTGGTTGTTACGTTTTCAGAGAGATTTCCTAGTGATGAAATTTAAAATGGTCGATTTAAGAATAGTGAATGCGAAATTTTTATTCAAAATTCGTATACGGAAATAATAAAAAAATAAACGTTTGTAATGAATCTTAAAGTGAATCATTTATTTTTTAAATCTTATTCGGGCTACTTTTGAATATTCGGCTCTTGTGCTTCGCACCGCATTTCGTAGTCGAGTGAAACTCGAATACCATCTAGTTTAAACACGAGGACAGTTAATTTACAATGGAAAATTTTGTTTTTGTAGAGAAATTTTTATTTTAAAAGCATTAAATTATTCTCTGCATTATTCAATTGTATCCGTATAGAATAAAATAATTGTTTTATTTTGGTAAATGTTTTTTAGGATGCGTTTTTCATAACATGCTATTTTCATGCACTATCTATGGTTTCATTTTTCATATTATCAGTACAAAAAATAAAACAAATTATTCTCACATTTTTTCTCAAAAACAAAATTTATTCGTTTCTTGATCGAAACCACATCGATATTTTATATTCAAACTGTTATAGTAAAGGTAACGTGATACTTCATCAACACATTAAAACTACAGCAAAAATTCAATAGTTCTAATACTTCGACGAGAGGCTTTCAGCGAATACAACGTGAATATATATATATATATATGCTCGTGCATCTTTACGAAAAGGCTAAAGCTTTTTGATATCAATAGTTGAATGTTCTTTAATATGAATGAACGAATGAGCCATTCTCTCATAGATGATACCTGTTCCGCAATATCCATTATATAGTGCTACTTTATCTGAATATGGTGCTCATCAAATAGGATACTATCTTGACGAAGATAATAATTGGGCATTGGATATAGATGAATTGGAACGAGCCATCAATGCAGCAAAAGATCGTTGTACACCTCGTGGCATTGTCATAATTAATCCTGGAAATCCTACCGGTAAACGATATTTTCAGAGACATCATTCTTGGCATTGATAATTATTTTATTTTGTTATATTAGGTCAAGTTCTTTCACGTGAAAATATTGAAAATGTAGTTCGTTTTGGTAAATATGAAGAGAGTGATAATCTTTTTCTTTGTTCTATAGTTATTTATTTAATTTAGCTCACAAACATCGATTGTTTATACTTGCGGATGAAGTCTATCAAGAGAATGTTTATTTGCCAGGCTCAAAATTTTTTTCGTTCAAAAAAGCTTTAATGGATCTTGGTGCGCCATTTAATCAAATGGAAATGGGTATTTCTTTTTGTTCATGTTTAAAATAGGATATTAATATATACACGTATTTCGTATTTTATTTAGCTTCATTTCATTCAGCGTCAAAAGGTTGGCATGGAGAGTAAGTTGAATAAATTTAAAAAAATATATCTTAAAAGAAAATCTTTATTTTTATTAGATGTGGTTCACGTGGTGGTTATTATGAATTAATTAATATTGATAAAGATGTACGAGTACAAGTTAATAAATTAATCTCTGCATCTCTATGTTCGGCAGCATGGGGTCAAGCTATGATGGGAGCTATTATAAATCCACCAAAGGAGGGTGAACCATCCTACGAATTATATAAAAAAGAACGTTTAGATATTGTCAATCGGTTAAAACAAAAAGCTGAACTTGTCAGTAAATTATTTAATTCTGTTGAAGGTGTCAAATGTAATGCTGTAATGGGGTATGTCAATTGAAAGAACTTTTCGTTTTTAATTCAATGAGAGATATTTATTTTTCTTTATGGTAGCGCTATGTATGCTTTTCCACGTATTGAACTACCAGAAAAAGTAATTAATCATGCTAAATCGAAAAATATGGCACCCGATGCATTTTATTGTTTTCAATTACTTGAAAAAACGGGCATTTGTGTTGTACCTGGCAGTGGTTTTAAACAAAAACCAGGTACACACCATTTTCGTACAACAATTTTACCACCTGTCGATCAAATGGCAGATATGGTAGAAAAATTCCGTACATTCCATATGGAATTTTTGCGTGAATGGAAATAGATTTTAGTTCTTTTTTTTAATAAAATATATGCTGAGCAGAACTCTATTATATGATAAGACTATTAAGATTATCATACAGCGGAAATTGAATGCGGGTAATTTAAATAACAATGATTGAATAATATTATATAGTGCATGCCTCCTGATTCAATGTAATAATTTGATATTGGAGAAGATAGGCATCTGTATCTTTCTGAGAATAATTGAAAGAAAACTACGATACTTTTTGGCGAAATACTCGAACTCAAGTGTATGCATCAGACGCACAATCGACATTACTCGAAGCACTTCTAGAAAATGTATTAATAGTCTGCTGGCCATTCTTATTCATAGACGTATCTAAAATCTCCTAAAACAGTCACTTATGCTTTACGTGAGCATAGCATGTGTGGCATTTTTTTGTTTCGAAGAAAAAATCATTTTCCATTATCAAGGAACGGAATCATTCTTCACGTGCTTCGAAGATTTCTTTGTACGTAAAAGAAAGCAACAAGTCAAATACGTTAACTAAACAAACACGCATATTTTTCATTCTAAGATATTACGGAAGACGTGCTTTCAACAAAACAAACACTAAACAGTTCTCTTGAGATCGAATTTCGATAATTTGGGTGTGGTTTCATCGGAATTTAATATCTCCACTAGTTGGTTCATTCAAATAATAATGTCAGATAGGCATTAAGCTTGAAAAAAAATTTTTTTTATTCATACTACTGTATGTAGATGCTTATAATTTACTAGAACTTTATCCGTAATTCTTGATCAGCACAGAATTTTGTTTGTGAAAGTAGATTGACCCCTAGACGAACTTCTTTTGGTCTGCGTAGGAGACACTTGAGAATCTTGATCAAGAAAGTCATGCGCTATGGACCAAACTTGAGGTCAGCGCATGTACAGCGCAGAAAAAAAGTTCGACTAGGGACCTCAATTACTATGTAAGAGAAAAGAAATCTTTCATGGTTAAAAATTAGCTTTTCTGTTTTTTTGCAGGAGGTAGAGATAAAATTAATTTTATAAAATACTTAAAAAATGAAGCATCTGTCTAACAATAAAATAAAGCGCTGCACTTGATTTACAATATGACAGATTATTTCAACCTACATTATCCTGATGATCTCTATTCAAAAAGCAGTTCTTTCAGAAAATTGAATTAAATATTGCAAGAAAATGTATTATCTGTATCTGTAGACCGAACTCTGAAAATTTTCTTTTATTATAAATCCTAAATTTAAGAAACAGTTTCAGGATTTTATTTGATTTATTCGAAAATATTCTCTATGAAATGATGAAACTTGAAAGATGTCCTTATGTAATTGATTTCGCAACTTTATTTTAATACTGAATAAATAATTGGTCGATAGAAAAATGCAATATTATTGAGTATATTTTGTCTTTGTCGACGCATATTACAAACGTATTTATTAACAGAATAATATTTACGATAAATATTGTACACATAAAACTTTTCATTGTTTTTGTTTAAAAATCGTAAATTTTTCTTTCGTCAAATGTTATGAAAAGCAAACATAAACGCACGCACAAGGTCTTATTACACATTATCCTATCAAGGAAAAACTAGCAAGAAAAGCACAATATTTACGTGTGACATATCAATATCAATAGAAAAATTAAGTGTACTCAAAATTAAATGCTATTCTCAATAATTCGAAAATGTTCTATGATTATTATTCGAAAACACGTAGAATATAAATCATTTCGACATTATCCAAAACTATTCTATTCCCACAAAGCTACTTCTAGTAAGTATTTCCAAATAGAAATACGAACATGTAACTGTATAAAATAATCATGAATAGTAGATTTATTTAATCAACGAATCTTCTCATCGACACCTAGCGACATAGTGAGAAAATATAATAGCTCGCTAGTCATTGCTGGTTTTAACAACAGAAGACTTATCGTAGTAGAAGAGAAAAGAAAAAAAAACCAACCCACCCGGTGCGTAATGTAATGAGTCACTTTCACAATATCAGAACTTTGTTTTTTGCTTTGTCATGAAGATAGAGTTTATTTGAATGAAGAAAGGCGACGATGAAAGCATATGGCAACCATGCGTCTGTTGAATGATCTCGAGCATAGAGTTTACTTCATAATGCAACAGTTTTGCATCGTCATTATCGCAACGTACTTTTTTCTCTCTTGCTCTTATCAGTATTCAGATGTATATATATGAGATTTTTTTATATATTTTTTTGCTTTGAATTAAACAAAAGAAGATAAACTGATCGAATCAATCTTCATATAAATATAATCATAACCGCATTGTATATTTTCAATGCGATTGTGAAGTTTACGATCGTCTTACTTTGTTTGAACAGCATATATGTATGTAACATTCCTCATAGTAGTCAAATAATTTTTGTCTCGTTCGTAAGATAAGAAAGTGTCTTTTCTATCAATCATTTTTCCCCCGATTAGGTTTCAAAGGTTACTCTCTAAGTACAACCACCTTTGCAACCAATCTCATTGAATATAAACAAGTTATCAACCGAAAAGTACCTTCGATATATGATTGTTTCTCTTAGCATGAGTTACTAGGATGGTAGACGGCTTGTTATTCCTTGTGGATTCGTTGTAATAGACATCGAACATCTGGCAGAAATAGTTCTATATTATTTATTGTTTGATAGTATGCGAAATCGTTGCTTTTGTTACACTACTGAAATTTGCGTTATTAGACAAAAAAGTGAGAATATAAGAGGAGAAACACACTTGCATATATGATTGACATTTAGCTTTTTCAAAGAAGTTGCAAATTAGAATAAAATATATTTCATAGACGAAAGTGTCCGAGCCCATGTAAAAAATTTGGATTAAAAATCTATTACAATGGCACTATTTTAATCACATTTTTCAACCTCAAACGGCAGATTATTTGCGATTTTGATTTTATTTTAATCGATTGTAATAGTGTTGTAGGTAATCAATTAAATTGATTCAAATAAAATCAAAATCAAAAATAATCTGCCTTTTACGGTTGAAAAATCAGATTATAATAGTGCCATTACAGTAGATTTCTAATCGCATAAAAATCAATTATAATCAGATTTCTACGATTTTGCTTTACATCGGAAATGAAAGCTTTTAGCTAGATTATGATAGCAGGAGATTTTTTTTGCATAAAATCGATTCTTTTTAAGGTAAACGTTAAGAATAATATTTTATGCGAAGTTTTCATTCCTATCTTTTCTATCGGTACAAAATATTTAGGTAATATAGGAAGAGCATATCTAATTTTTTTTCTAAACTATATTACAGAACCTATAATGCTGACAAGTGAAAAACCAGCTAGTATACCATTTAATAAAGTACAAGGTATAGCATCCAGTAATGTTCATGCCTACTCAAATGGCGACGATGATTTCTTTTCTGTTGAACGTCATTATTTACATGGAATATTTATGGGTTTTAAATGGCAATGTGTTGAATTCGCACGTCGATGGCTATTAATGCGTAAAAGTTGCATATTTCCACCTGTACCACATGCTGCTGATATGTGGAAGGATTTAAAATACGTCGAACGTGTTACTGATGGTAAAAGATTTCCATTGAAATTATATCCAAACGGTTCTCCGCATATGCCAAAACATGATTCCTTATTAATTTATGCACGTAATGCAGAATTACCGTTTGGGCATGTTGCTGTTATTTGTGATGTTGTACCCGGTTTTATTCGGATAGCTGAACAAAATTATATATATCATAGTTGGTCAGATGATTTTTCACGTGAAATTTCTCTAGTCATTAACGATGATTGCTACTTTATTAAAGATGATGATGAACTATGTGGTTGGATTGAAATTGATGATAATGATGAATTAGAACCATTAGATGAAAATAAACTTCATTTAATATTAGATCAATATCGAGAAACTAAACCTCCAGGTACATTAAAACGTTGTTCAGTAACAGATAAAAGCTTTCATTCGATTAATAATTGGTTGAATGAAGAAGATCCAGCTGAAAAATATTTCATTAAACTATATGGTCCCGATTTAATACGTGCTGACACCGATACATTACCATATTATGAAGTCGATCAAAATCTAACGTTATCTATTGGAAGTACATCAAATGAATTACATCAAATGTTTATGGATGCAACAAATCATGTCGTAAAAAATGATGATGTATTAAAACAGTTTTGCATTCCAGAAGTTTTCTGGCCGAAAATTCGAGAATCATGGGCACATGATAGAGATTTAACAATGACGGGGCGTTTTGATTTTGCATTCGATGGTCAACAATTGAAAACTTTCGAATACAATGCTGATAGTGCATCGGCATTATTTGAAATGGCCATTATACAAGAAAAATGGGCACAAGCTGTTAAACTTGATCATTCATTTATGTCCGGATTTCAATTACACCGTTTATTAATAAAAAGTTGGCAAAAAATGTGTTCACACTTAAATGTTAAATATGTTCATTTATTAATTGATAATGATCAAGACGAAATTTTAACCGCACTCTATATGCAATATGTTTTAAAAGAAGCAAATATTGAATCAAAGCTATGTATTTTATTTGATAATTTATATTGGAAAGATTCGAAAATTATTGACGATGAAGGAAATGACGTTAAATTAATATGGAAAACATGGATGTGGGAAACTATTTTTAGTGATTATCTTAAAGCTGAAAAAGATGGAAATTTAAATAAAAAAATCAATGATGAACATCCACGTTTATGTGAAGTTTTATTAAATGATGATATTAAAGTTATTGAACCATTATGGAAAGTAATACCAAGCAATAAGGCAATATTACCTGTACTGTGGTCAATGTTTCCTGATCATCCTCATCTCTTAACTAGCGAATGGACAGTAACCGACGAATTAAAAGGAGCTGGGTATGTTAAAAAACCAATTGTAGGTCGTTGTGGACATAATGTTACTTTATATGATGTCCATGGAGATTCTGTTCTGGATGAAACACAAGGCCAATTCGTTGATAGAGATCTAATTTATCAGAAACTGTTTCAGTTACCGAAATATGATGGTTATTATGCTATAATTGGTAGTTGGATTATACATGGATTATTCGCCGGATTTGGTATACGAGAAGATAAAAGACTAATAACTGATGCAGAAAGTCCTGTTACAGCTTGCTGTATAGCATGGAAATAGAATAAAATAGATTATCAATTAGCGCTCTTGTTTTTAAATTGTTCAACCAAAATGTTAAAAGAATGTTCCATTTTTCTTTCTTCTTTCTATTCGGTTTTGTTTGTCATTTGTGTTCATGTCAAATATATTTTAAAAAATTCCAGTAAAAATCAAAAAAAAAATAACTAGATGCTTGAATTATCAAGTGAAGATGTTCGAGATGCGGCTGAATCATTGGAACTAGTGTTATTAGTTGCGAACGAATCGGCTTCCATAGGTGATAGTTCAATAATTTGAACTGATATACCATCGACAGTTACAATCGTTGTACTATCGATGGATGATGACATGGAAGAAAATCTAGCAGCCTTTCTAAAAGAACAAAATAGACATACATATGTAAAAATCTTTGTTCATAGATTTTTTTTAATAATTAAAATCGAAAGGAAACTGACTTTTTTTGTTGTCGAGAATCTCGTGTGTTTTTCTGATTATGAACATTGGACCTTTGGTTTTTATTCATATCTTTGTGTTTATCCGTTGTGGATTTTTTCCTTCTTGATAAATTTGAATGATCGTTTGTTTTTAGAGATGCTGAAGAATTATTTTCATTATGACTTGCTCGTCGCAGACGATTATAATGATTAGTTTTACGTAGATTGTTTTCCGATTCATCATTATCATCATCATCATCGTCTGTAAATGCCACATCAGAAAAATAATCTTCATTTGTTTTACGTTTCGATTTGGCCAATTGTTCTGATAGGAAGTTTAGTACTAATTTAGGTTTTCTAAAATAAAGTGAAAATAATTTAAAATAAAGAACCAAAAAAAAGAAGAATGTGATCTACCGAGTGGCTGTTCCTTTATGAGTACCACACATTTCACATCGAAATATTATGCAAGGATTTTTATATGTACATAATGAACAATCCCATGTACCACTAGAATCAATGATTATACGTTGTTGCTTGGTTCTAATTAAAGTAAAATAATTATAATTTCTTTTCATTTATCAACATACGCTTTTTCCGTCATTGGCACTCGTATAAATTTAAATTAATCTGAAAAACAAAGTAAATTGCGTTTTAGTTCAAACAATTTTTTCGAATCTTCTATGAACTTGAATAAACTTAGTCAATAATACCCATGATATTTATTGTTATGACAACACATCACCAGAACGTTCTTTCTTGATACAATAATTATGAAATAAAAACAATTTCAAACGTCAAGACTTTTCAACGGTAGTATATTCTTTGGCTTGTAGTTATTTTTAGCTCTTAAGAAAAGTCTACTAACTTAATAGATGACACGTGATGAAGTATGTATATGTCGACGAACACTGTTGACAGCGTCTGATTAAAAGTCTCAAAATAGGTTTCCCTCATGTAGAATTGCATTTACGTGACAAAGTCCAAGTTCTTTTGAAAATAGACATAATACTACAAAAAATGAAAACTACATTTACACAATACAAGCATGTTTAGTTTAGTTCTACATAAAAAGAAACGCATCCGATATAGTTATTCCGCCATCTCATTTACAGATTTCAATAATAATGAGTTTCTATTGATGGATTAAGCCATTCATTCATATTTGACGTTTTAAATTCCATCACTACACACTTTTCTGGTAAAATCTCAGTTCAATACTTAATCACGAGCCATTTATTTATTAGACATTATCTATTTCGATATTAAGCGAGTAGCTATATGAGATTTTTACGAAGTATTCACCTACGATGATGCCACTAATATTCAAGATGTTTATAAGCAAAAAATGACTCGGAAACACTGAATCTGACCTTAATAATTTTATTCGAAGGGCATATTACTTGTACAGTGAAAAACACAGGTTTCTTTCATATTATTCATATTCACGTTGGCATTGACAATCAAATCGAATAGCAAGGTGACTAGATGGCGGCATAAATCGTTTATTTAAGGTAAAGACTCTATCGAAATTTTGGTTATCGTCAAGAACTGTGATTGTACTTATAAGAAAAGTAGATATGACTGACTTCATAGAATAAAGGCGTCTATTCTACGCGATTTTGATCTCGATGAGCATCTCTAATCCATGTGAAGTCGAAACCGAAACAGCTGAAACAACATGAACGAATTCATTGAAAAGACCGTTCCCATGTCGTGGCGGTACGGCCAGAAACGATCGGAAATCACTGGAAGGTGGAAGCAGTATTCCGGTCGTAAATTTCGGGATTTTTCTCGGTGAATTCCGGTCAACTTCCAGTGCTGTCCTTCGGAATACGGTGATTTTTCCGCATCTTTCCGGCCGGTTCCTACAGTATCCGGTGACCGGAACGATCGACCTAGATTTTTACGATTGGTTTTATAGGCTATTTCAAATAAGGGTGTGTGGGCGTCTCTTCTCTATATACTCACACCCACCTAACTAGCCTTGTTTTGACGTTGGAAAGAATCAAAAAAGAAACAGCCAAATAGCTTTTTCTTTGCACTAATAGCATTACGGTTGTGCAAATGTTTTTTTTTCACCTCCCTGTAAGTAATTTTATTGCGACGTTATTGTTGGAAGAGTCATGGCACCTATATGTATGGAGAGACTCATATGCAGAATGTGAGAGAATCGAAAATTGTTTTCAGCACCATTGCCGATGGATATACATGTTTTGCTCATGTCCATAGTATTGTAAGAAGGATTTAGGAAAGTAGTCTTGCTACTGTTAGACGTTTCGTAAAATGAACTATCCTTAACAAGACTAGTATAATATCTTTCGTCACCTTTTTATTGTAGAAAAAAAAATAAGAAGTCAGAGGTGAATCAGGATGTCAACAGCTTTGACACGATTTTATGATTCAAAGAAGAAGCGCACAATCTGGATGCCTACAAAACTTATCGGTGATTTGAAGCCAAGAATCGTTCGTATGAATATTGAAAAAACTTTTACAACATTAAAAATGGCTCCACAATGGTTCAAACATGAAGACTATACTAATGCATTAGAGAATATTGTCTATCCACCAGATATTCAAGATCATCGTCCATTCGATACTATCGCGCGTTATAGAACAGCAATAAAACAAAATAACATTGACTTTCATCAAGCCTCGCTTCGTGCCGCCGAAGACGATACTGAAACTCTGGTTATTGCACTCGATAGATTTGCACAGACCTATGGTGGCGAGTTGAGTTTCACTAATCAGGAACTGTTGTTTAACAACACTGCCGAATCCACTGCTTGCGGCGTTGCCAATCTAAGTAGTGTTCACTTACTGGCAGCAGACTATATATCGACTGCAAATTTTGCGTTTCAAGTTTATTTGAATTATGACACGGATCTAGCACGGTCGAGTGATACAATGCAAACTTTTGTGTTGGACTTCTCAACCGCCATAGCTCAAGATCTTTCATGCCAAAGGGATTACGTGCGAATATTTTCGATCGAGAAAGTAGCCGAACGAAAAGGAGAAACGATTGTCAAATTCGGTATAACAACTCCTGAGCGAGTGACAACAGAACTACTCGCGAAAGATCTTCAGGTATTTGTTTTTCATCAGTTGATAATTTGTCATATACTATATTGTTTCATAATATTCTGCATTGTTTTGAACGAATAAATTCGTTCAAGTTTATTTGCTGATCATACTTATATACTAATTCGATTTCTTTATTCAGACGCGTGCTCGAAAAGGTTTCAGGGATAACCATGTTCTTTCCAGCGTCAAACAAGACGATTACGAATGCCGATGGATGCCTCTGATTTCATTTTTACAATTGCGACCTGCAGATTTGGATACAACGTTTAATACCGACTACAGGAAGCCCAATTTCCCCGGTGAAGATCGTCGAGGCGGCTATCCGTACTATCTGCCACTTGGTTGGTATCGTCACGCGTTGAAAGTCGCGGATAAATACCCAAATGATACCCGCTGGCTCGGGTGCGAAAACATCGAAGGTGAATGGCCCGTCGCTTTTCACGGTACGAAAGATCACGCAGCATTAGGCATTGTAGAAAAAGGTCTTCAGCCGATGTATACAACGACGGATCGGATGTTGCCTGAAGCTATACAACAGAAGGGGCCAGCAATGGATAAGCGAGGTATTTACGTAGCAACACATTGTGATGGTGGAGCTGCATCATATGCAACACCATTTTCTGTGGAATCATCAAGACAGAAGAAGGAGACTTTCCGTCTGGTATTTCAATGCCGTGTTAGACCGGACTCGTTTACAATTCATAGTTTACCGGTTGATCAAGGACAAGCCTGGCGTGCTGTGGATGCTGATGATATTCGACCTTACGGAATACTTATTAAAACTGAGAAAACACAAACTAGCCAAAATGAGCACTTCAATTAGAGATAAACACAGTGTCTGACATACATCATATTCATATAATTTCTATTAGGTCGTAAAGACAGTTGTATGCTTAATTGAGAATACATGCGTTAGTTGATGTAGATCTAGGTCTAGGTGTCAATGGAAGATTGTAAAATGGGGCACATTTGACTTTTCTTTTGTGAGTGTCGAAGTTTATGGTTGCCAGTTTGGACTGAGGCGTCAGATCATGAAATGTAGACGCCTGTAAATGGATATGAATACATGGCTGCCGATGCGAGCATTTGAGAAAGGCACATATGTGAGTTAGAGGTCTCAACTTACCACTGCTGATCATTAATAATAACTCACAAAGTTATTACTTATTATTAGTTATTAATAGTAATGTTTCAAAATTATGGAAGCAATAAAAAAATAAAGGATATCATTGAGAGAGTATCGGTGTTAGTGTTCTCTTCTGTCTCACTTTCAGAAAAATCAACATCCGATATTACTTTAAAGAGTATACAAAATTCTCTGAATGAAGCAAGCTGCTCGTTCTTGTTTTTGAGTATCGGGGGAAAAGGTCTGAACGCTTGAATAAAATTTTAATTCTAGTTTAATTGTGGATCTTGGAAATAAAAGGGTGTGGTTGGCCGTTAAGATAGCAGTAACACTCATATCCACACCCACACCCAACAACAAATACCATATATTGATGTCTCTTTCACGCTCACGCTGCGTTACGAAAAAGATATGCATGTAATGAGTGAAACCTCAGTTTTTCACCATATTAATTATGTTTCTTCATATTGATTGATTGCTTTTAATGCAGCAGCACAATATTTACGGTCCATCGATCTTTATTTTGCATGAAAAGAAAGAAATATATATTCCTGAAGTTCTTTTCATTGTACTCGTAAACATATACATGCAGTAAGAAACTGCCTACGTCATCGCATCGAATACCATTTTTCAGTTTAGCTACTATTTAAATTCATTACTCAATAGCATCGGTAAGCGATGGTTCTAACAAAAAAACTGGCTTTTGTATTACTGTTCGTCACTTTAATGGTAGCGCACAGTAAAGTATGGGCAGCACCGTATGATTTTGAAAATGATTCTGATGAAGCAATGCAAAGCCTTAGCCAACGTTTAGTGCTCCGAAAAGTTACCTCGAAACCTATGACTTGTCCATTTGCAATGAAAATCAATGGAATGATACAGTCGCAATAAATTGAATGATGCTGAGTAGAATAGATAAACAAAACGTTTATTTAGATCATTCATAAAACACATGCAGTTTGTCATCGCATCTAACATTTTGATACGGATGACGAGAAGCGATTGAATATTTGAATATAACTATTGTTGATCATGTACACTTGAATTGCAATATTGCGCCGGACTTTTAGTCTAAATGATTACCTTGAAATAAGCGAAAATATCTGAATGGAAGTTTTCTGTAGATCATCTTTTTTCTATGAAACAATTCAGTACAATCACCGCGTTGAATTTTGACTGAATACGAGAGGAATAGATGAATATAATCTTGATGTGCAGCGTTCATCTATTGAACAGTGACTAATTTTGTCATCAAAACTTTCCTTCTAATTTGTGCGGCGAAAATATTTGTATGAAGTATTCGTATGAATGATTCATCTGTAGAATTATTATCTTTTGCTTTCTATGTGATGAGCTTTGACGGTTTGTCTGTCACATAATTGAATAGACAGATGGTATGAATGATTCGTTCAGTTGGTCGTCAAACAACATATCTTTCATTTGTAATATTACATTCGAACGAAGCGACGTATTTGAATACAAGGCTAGTATGATTCATTCATTTTTCATGCGTCTGACAACACAATATATTGGCCATATTGTTTTAACTAGAGGTAGTTAGTTACTCAAATGAAGCTATTTTTAAAATTTTACAAAAATTTTATTATCCCGAAACAATATACATTATAAATACTCGTGTGGAAAATGAAGAAAATATGTGTATAGCACTTTTGTAGGCAGCATGCATCGGCTGCGTGATATCAGATACATGATTGATTCTCAGATGTGGCATGAACTGAATGAGTTATTTGAATCGAACTGTAATACCATTAATTCACATTCGATAGTGTTATCTCGTGTAGTTTTAGTTCTGAACCACTGATGACAAGTGAACGCAATGTTTGAATAATAGAAACCCGTATAAAACATTCCTTTATCCTGTAGTTCACGCAAGAATCACATATTAGTATTTTGTTCAACAGGTGGTAGATACTAGAACGCAGGCGTAGTTCGATTCAGTAAATCTACACTTCGAGATGCTCATTTCTTCGTTTCTACTTAGTTTTCAAATGAAATAACATTTTTGAACATTCGTTTCCTTAGAAAAAATCATGCTCTATGTCATACTATGTTCTATTGCAAGTTAGCAACTATTTTTGGTAAGAGTTAGATATTCACATGAACATTTTGTTGTTTATACTATTCGAAAAACTAATGATATTCTTGGAGTTTTCATTCGGCACCTAAGTGATTCCTTGTCATTTATGTATCTGGAAAAAATTCTGCTACGATGTCACCCAAAACTATTCAATGCAATTTCACATAATTAATATGAAACCAATGACCTGCAAAGTAGTAAATATTAGAACGATAGCATGGTTTCAATTATGCCATTGCTATGTGTTAATAGATTGTCTCGACTATTTGTAAGGCTAAATTTTCTCTCACAAAGAAATCCGAACAGACTCTTTCAACTCTGAATTGTTTCTTTTTTGTACTGCTTTCAATCATGTAAACAATTCATAACGTTAAATGAAAATCGACCCACAATATATGAATTATTCTCTTGTAAAGATGACTCATGTATAATGCAATTATCATTTATATTAAGCACGGTCACATTGGATTGATTCGGATAACGATAGTTGAATAAATGCCTCGTAAAAACTGTGTATCAGTTTTATAAGTGTTAAACATCCCATGAATCCCCAATCAATTATATGAAATAAGTCAAATATGTGAATAGAAGCTTCCTATGAATCGTTCACTTGTTTGATGATTGTTGAATATCTCATGAACTTTCAATTTCTAGTGGCCAGCGAATAGAATATCCGAAAAGAAGTTTCGTCAGAAATTGTCGTTTTTTGTCTCGTTGCTGAACCTTCCGTGGTCTCTCAATCTTTCACTTGAAGTAAACAAAATATCTGAATTGTAGATTTATCAGTCATATTCATTTGTTCTATGATCGACAAATATCCGATGAATCCATAAGTTCTGGTGTAAAACGATCAGAATAGATGTATAGAAGCTTTGGGGTAGAAGTTATTCCTTGTTTACATATTCATTAAACATTTTACGAAGATTTGATCTCTAATTTTAGCCAGGTAAAATAGTCGAATAGAAGCTTGGTAGTAACTATTCATCTATCTTCTGATCATAGAGAGACCTGATCAAGCTTCAAGCTTCGAACGATAGCTAACAAAATATTTAAATAAAAGTTTTTTAACATCTGTTTGGTTGCTTCATGATCAGTAAATATCTAATGGATCCTCTATCTCTGAACTACGACGATATAACTATTTGCATAGAAACTTAGTATGATCCACTTGTTGTTGTCATCATCAACTATCAACTTATGAACTTTCCATATCGAATGCAAAGTGAACCAAATAAGTGAACTGAATCATTTTAAGAACTATTCATTTGTTACCTGAGCAAAATAGATTTTTAGAATTCTGAATGTTTCATTTTAAAGTATCATTCCTCGGAATGGATAGTTTGTTGATGTTACTCAATTTTTATGTAGTCTTGATTTGTATGCAAAGTTGAATATATTGTCCCATAAATAGTGCAACATATATGAACACACTGGTGAATAAACCAAGTCGGTTGATTTCGACAAGTAGTCTTTTACCAACTCATTGTCACGGAACTGCAGAGTTGCGACTTTCAACTTATTTTCATTTTACAATTCTTATACTTATAGTTATTTTACCGCTTTGCTTCTCTTCATTTGAATAAATACATTGACTATTTGCAAATCATGATAATCATCGCTTAAACGATAAAGTAAAATATATTCCTAGCAGATATTTAATAGAGGTCACTAGTTATCAAATTTGGATGATTGTAAAAATATCAGGATTGAAAACGATTATTTGACTGCCAAATTATTTTTTCAAACAGCGATCATTCATTTCTATTATTTAAGACTATGTTGAAATGATAATTAGAAACCTCTTGGTCATTGCTAAGCAATGGTGCATAAAAAATGGTTGTCAACACATTCCGACGAAGTTACATGTAAAAAGAAACAGTGTATTGGTGTTTTTTCACTCTCTTCTCTCGTCATCATAAACTAAACGATCGTTTACAATGACAACCGCCAATGCCCAACCAGAAAAACTTGATTCATTACAGAGACTTGAACTCGAATCAACAATTGGATTCGAAGGTTAATATTCTCTATAGAAGTTTCTTTTAATTCTCAGTTTGATATCTTTTAATAATCTAGGAAAAGTTCCTCATGGTCTTAAATTACATCCCGATCGTATTCATATGATTTATCCATTAGGATGTAATTTAGTCATTGAAAATTTACAGACCCGACAACAAGAATTTCTTCTTGGACATAATAATAACGTTTCTTGTTTGACTATTTCAAATAATGGCAAATATATCGCCTCAGGTCAAGTAACATTTATGGGTTTCAAAGTAAAATAGAACGAAATTTTATTGAATCGATTTCTCGTAAACACATTTGGTTTTAGGCCGATATTATTGTTTGGGACTATTCAAATCGTGATCCATATGCTCGTCTTGTTTTACATAAGGTCAAAATTGAAGACTTAGTTTTCAATTGCACAGATCGTTACTTGATTTCCTTGGGAGGACAAGACGATGGTGCGATCATCGTCTGGAATATTGAAACCAAAGAGCCTGTGTGTGGTAGTCCAGCTCAACATAAAAGTGCTGGTATTACTTATTGTTTGGTTGCATCGAAAGAAGATGAATATCAATTTTATAGCGGTGGACAGTGAGTAGAGATAGAAATATACCTGTTATGTTTTTTTTTCTCAAATACAAATTAACAAATTTAGTGGTACACTTCGATTCTGGCAATTGGATGTACCTAATCGAAAAATTCGACCAACGGACATTAATACAGGCGTTGTTAAACGCATTGTTAAATGTATGACTGTAAGTATATATGTTAAACAAAACGAGAATACTATTTTGTATAATTTACATGTCTATAAAGGTTTCACCTGATGGTTTACATCTTTATTGTGGAACAACAACAGGTGATATTCTTATGATTTATATTCCTGCTACTCAATTTAAAACAATTGGGCCTGAAAAGAAAAAATATGCAATGGGTATTACAGCTATGCAATCATTGGTTAACGGTGATATTTTAATTGGTACAGGAGAAGGAAAAGTTCATATTACAGAAAAAGAAACATTCAAATCATTAAAGTATTTCGTAAACTACATAATCGACGAATAGATTTTGAATGTATTTTTTTTTCAATTTTTTTTAGATCTTTACAAGCTCTTGGTGAAATAACTTCAGTAGCATTGAGAGGCGAAGGTCATATGGTATGAAAATGAATTCTTTTTTATATCATTGAATGAATTACTCAGCTCTCATCAGTTTGTTTTATGAGATGTCAGCCAGATATAGAGTTAGTGACAAGAGAAAGTAATCATAGAACAATGAAAACAAGTTTCTTCAATATTGAGATTATCTGTAAAACTATTTTCCAATAGATCTTTATTGGTACCAATCGATCACATATATATAAAGTCAATTATGCTGATTGGAAAATGGAATTAATAAATACATGTCATAGTTCACCAATACAAGATATTGCCTTTCCATTGTATGTTTGACATAATAAATTTATCTTGGATTTAAAATCTATGTTCTTGTTTTTCTTTTATAGTGGATCATCGGAATTATTTGGTACATGTAGTTATCAAGATATTCGGTTGGATATTGTAATCGAATGTATCGTTTATTGTTTTCTTTTTCGTCTAGTATTTGGCATGCGCCAACTGGTAATGAATTGTTACGTATTACAGAAGCAAATAAAACATGTAATTCAATTTGTTTTACTCGTGATGGTAGAATGATTATCAGGTATGATTGAAAATATGCGATTCGGTGCCGTTTTTATCTAAGAAATTGCTCTTTTTCTGTTTCCAGTGGATGGGATGATGGTCGTATTCGAGCATTTTATCCTGAATCAGGCCGTGAAATGTTTACAGTCAATGATGCTCATCATCGGGGTGTTACAGCCGTGGCTGTTACCAATGATTGTCGTCGTATAGTCAGTGGTGGTGGCGAAGGAATGATTCGCGTTTGGCAAATAAATTCTAATTCTCAAGAACTTTTAGCAACAATGAAAGAACATAAAAATGCTGTTGTTTCTATTCGTATTAATAAATCCGATACAGAATGTGTTACAGCATCACTCGATGGCACTTGTATTATTTGGAATTTAAAGTAAGAAGAAGAAAATCTATTTATGCAAAGCATTTGTTTTCTTTTTCTCTCGGTTGCATCATTTAAGACGGTTTGTACGTAATCAAGTTTTATTTGAAAATACACTTTTTCAATGTGTTGCCTATCATCCCGAAGAATATCATATATTAACTGGTGGTACAGATCGAAAAATAGCCTATTGGGAAGCGACCAATGGTGCACAAATACGAGAATTGGAAGGATCAAAAAGTGGAACAATCAATGGACTTGATATTGACAGTGTTGGCAATTATTTTGTAACAGTGAGCGCCGATAAATTAGTGAAAGTATGAATAATCCTTTAATTTTTTATTTCTTAAGTAAAATACAACAAAAAATTTGCTTTTGTTTTCTTTTCTTTAGTTATGGCGTTACAATGAAGGTGACGTGCACAGTGTTGGTATTGGTCATGGGAGTGAAGTGAAGAAAGTTAAAATCTGTCCGAATACTCAACATATTGTATCTGTTAGTGCCGATGGAAGTATTTTTCGATGGAAATTCCCCAAAACCGCTCTCTAAGAAATTTTTAAAAAGAAAAACTTTAAGAATAAATTACTGACGTCTCTTTTTTTCTATAAATGTATATGAGAAAAAAAAACTATCAATCAATGATGATGTTGATTTATCTAAGATATAACATCAACACGCATTGCTCGTCGTTTATTTCGTTTTCGTAATGATCCAATAGTTAATAAACGACATATTATATCAATCAGTAGAAAGAATGCAGCTAACAATCCAAAGCCCTAGAAACAAAAGGATTTAAATTAAGCAAAAAAACAGAATACACGAAGATACTTACAGCAGCTGCACCAGCTGCACCTGTTTGTGCTTTACAATACCCGTTCGGTGTTGATTGATATGGATCTGATGTATAACGAGACCCAAATATAGTGACTAATTTTACTTCCCAAAAAATTGCAGCAATGGATATGGCAAAAACAAGAAGGAAGAATGGAATCAAAATAACAGCAACCTAAAGAAACATTTAGAATTTGTCATATAATATAATTGCTCTTGGTAGTTTCAAAGGGATGTCGCGTATCGAATTCTAAATACATACTATTCTTGTCGTAATTTTCCAATGTTTTCGTTTACGTAATGCAACAAATACATGAATCACAAAAATAATTATAACAGTAACAAGACTGAGAATGAAAATAACGATCGTTGCTGTTTTAACTGTATTTGCCAATAATGACCGATATGAATCTGGCGAAGGATTTTGACTGCACTCTACTAATGCTGCAACATATTGATTTGTTTTATAACCTTGACATATCTGCGAAACCCAATCAGCTTGCTGTGCCCAACCAGTCGACGCAACCAATGCACAAACCATACCAAAGAAAAGACACATCAACAAAAAATGAAAGCGAATTCAAATTATAAATTTTTGGTTGAATTCAAAGAAATTATATTTTACCACAATAAGAATTTCTAAAATTCCTAATATTGATTTCCAATATGAACGATCACGCCGATAGACCTTCCTATTTTCCATTTACTTCTTCTTCACCTTTAAAAATTCAAAAAGAATGACCTCCTGCTGTAAGAATACTTTTTTCTTATATTCGACAACGAGAGATTTCTCTTATAATTGAATAGAGGAAAAAAAGCAGCAAAACACGTAACCAGGCATAATTGTGTTTATAGGTTAAAACACGTTCAACGTGATGACGATACATTAACTAATTATCTATCATTAGATACTTTTTTAATGTGCTTAATTTTATTCAATTATGAATTAATAATATCACGATTTCCATTACATTTTAATCGAAAAACATCCGATGTTTTTTATGAGTAACAATATGATGGCTAATTAATTGGATTAGAACCTGCAAAAATTATCATAAACATATTTTACATAATAACGGCTCTACTAAATCGCTCAAACATGAATGAAGACTTCAATCCTATGTTGTAGAGAATATTGAACTAATCAAAAATTGACTCCATGATCAGTGATACTTCTCACAACGTTCGATCTCCTAACTAACTCCTGCACAATTATAAATATTGTGTGACTACAAAGAAAAACTACTATTCTAATCGAATCTTCGTTAGAATTTTTCATAACAGATCTAAATCATGGGCATCGTCCCGAATCGCTTAAGATTCTATAGCAACACAAATTTGTAATATAGATTTTTCTACGTTCTTTTCTTCATGCTTGATCGTTTATTTTAATCATTCAAAAAATCAGTGTGCTTTGTTCTAAATATTATTAACAATACGAATGAAAAACAAATGCTCATGTCACCAATAGAATTCAACAACGAATAAAAAGTTTCTTGATAAATGCAACAACACAAAAAAATGACCACACTTAAAAGCATTGAGATAAAAATTGATAGTTCTGGATAGTTTTATTTTGTTATCAGTAGACGAAAAACAAAATGAAATTGATTCCTTTTTCATTATTTTTGTTCGATGTTCACAGCTGTTGATTCGTTACGGTTTTCAGCTTTTAACTTTTGAAACGCTTCATACGCAGCTGCTTCTTTGGCTTCTTTCTTCTTATTTCGCTTTTCATATTCCAATCTATAAAAACAAATAGGATTTCAAAATATTTACAACGAAACCAAACAAACCGATTTCCAATGATGCGCGTAATAATATCTTGTGTCGTCATAGGGTTTTCACTATCGACTCGTTGAAATATGCCAAGCGTTTTAGGTACATCATATGGGTCGCTTTTATCAACATCAGGTTCATATGTCGTTTGACCGTGAATAACAAGCGATACCTATTTCGTTTTACAAAGTAAAAATTGAACTTTACTTTTTCTATTAAACACAAACTTTGAAATGATTAATTAAATCCATTGAAACAGAATAAGGTGCAGCAATAACAACTTCGTCAACATACTAATAATAGGAAAAACAAATTGATTTATTTGTTAAATATTTGATTTTACTCGACAAGCCAACACACTTAACACACGTTCATGAATATTCATAATTGGATGATTACTTCCTTTATATCGATTAACAATCTACGAATAGAAAATCGTATGTATTGTTTTTAAATAATGTTTTCTAGAATTAATTACTCGATCGCCATGTAGACCAACAATAAGATAGTCACCTAATGCTTTAACTTTCCGAAGAAAATCAACATGACCAACATGAAATAAATCAAAAGCTCCAGCAGTATAAATAACTTTATCACCAGGCTAAAATAAATTCACTTTCGATCATAGGAGAAAAGTAAAAGAATAATGTACCTTAGGTTCCCGAGCATTAGAAAATTGTATAATTTTATTAGTTGTTGCTAGAAATTGTGAAGCGCCTGTCCATGGACTAACACTTTCTTTACATAAACTCATTCGACGTGTATTCTCTGCATCTGGTAACATATCATCAGGCTCATGATGAGTTTTTGTAACCAATAACATTCTAAATAGTTCTAATCGAATGAGTCCATCAGTAAAAAAAAGGTACGAAATCAAACCTTCCAACAAGATCCGTTGTTGAAACACCTTGTGTGCGTTTACATTCTCGATATCGACCGGCAGCTTTGACAATGTGATATGTATCGACACCATCAGCTGTAACCTTTCAGTACATAACATGGTACAATATTAGTAAGTCAAATAAAAACAATGGGCTTGTTTTTTTTCTTACAGTAATATCGTCGCCATGCACGCAAAATGCACAATCATATTCTTCCAAGGTTTCAAGCGTTGTAACGTATGGAGCATTTTCTACAACTTGATCGACCCATTTAATAGCACGAACCATTTTATATCGTTCCTGTTCTGTAAATACCGGAGGACCTTTGTGTTTAGTTATTTCCTCTAAAGAAATATAATTAGGAAGAGACTGGCATTAGAATAACTAAATACAAACCATCGGAATGAACACCAACTATTAAATAGGTACCCATTTGTTTTGCTTGTCTGCAAGCATTTGCGTGGCCGAAATGGACCATGTCATAGCTAATAGTTTTAAAAAAAGATGTTCTAATTAAGATCCATACATAGGCTTGGTTCGAACAAAATTTCAAGGTTATTCATTCCTTATGATTTTCAAAAGATATTGTAATAGTATTAAAATAGCCAGTCAAAATATCATGTTAATTTATAAGTATATAACAGATGGCGTGCACGGACACCATATGTGATACTCAAACATTAACAATGTTTATTCAATGACAACGCAAATAAAAAAAGACACTCCTCCAAAAGAGCTGCTAAAATAAGTCCAGTAAAACTGCATGATATTCAATATTTCCTCCAAATTCTATTTAATATATTCCACGAGAGAAAAATTCTTCTGTATGGTTTCATGATAAAAACTTCTTAAATTCGCTCTTTTTCTAAGAAAAAGAATTAGATTTTCCAAAGGGAATTCTTAGTTGCCTATGTAATTCTACTATGACTAAGACTTTGTTTCTATATCTCAGCCTGTATGTCAAAACTAATGATTCATTCAAGCTATGACGTTATAAATTACACTGAGTTACTCTTTTTCATAATATATTCAATACAATTGGCGTATCACCATAATAACTATGACGTCATTTTTAATTCATCATGCCTGTATGAAATGTTGTCATTTATAGGTTATCAGAATGAGGCGATACCCTTTTGACTCATAATTAGTCATGTATAAGCATATAGACTACACGCAAGAGAAAAACAAAGCAGATAAGCCAGCTAGATTTTCTATTAAAAATAGATTTATACGTACCAACCATCCATCCAAACTCGAACATTTTGGCCAGATTTTGTTTCAGTATCAGTAGACGTACTCATGTTTTAGTAATACGGAAAGATAAAGAAAAAAAAGAACTTAAATTTGTATGAATAAATAAGTCAATTTGACTATTCATTCGTCAAATGTTGAACCACAATAATAGCAAAAAGATAGATGCCGCCACTGTCATCCGAGAACAAGCAACGGATTGGTCCAAACGAAAATGAGGAGGCTACTATGTTTGATATTATCATATATTCGTGATCCGTTGAACGAATTTTAAAAATCGAATTAAAAGATTTTATTTTTTAAAATTTATCTTTAAGATGCCATTCATTTCATTCCGGTGAATAAAATTGAAAAGAAAAAGAAAAGCAATGTTACTATCAAAAATACGTGAACGGTCTTTATGTCTTTTAAATTCCGAAACTCTTGATGCAACATTTCAACCGTGGCTTACTATAGCAGATGCAAAATTTCATCCTGATGTTTCGTATGATAAACTATAACTCAACAATCTATTGCTATTTTTTCTCTCTAAATTCTAGTGCACTCTATTGTAATGCTAATCTTAATCCAATTCAATCGATTCAAACGAATTATTTACCTTCATTTATTTCGTATTTATGGCCATTGGTGCATCATGGTGGTAATATTTGGGCTGTAGATCATCCGACAACACGAGAAGCAATGCAACTGAAATTTGTTTTGAAATATGATCTATTCATATGGGATCGTTTCTATCATTCAACAAATGTTCATCCATCGTTTAACTCCGATGTTGTTTATCCGAAAGTATTAATTCTTGCACCGGATTGGTTTACTTGTGAAAATGCATATAAACATTTATCGAATGTAAATACAGATGTATTAAAAACAGTTACTATGTGTTGTATTTATGAGGGACAAAATATTGAGAGTGAATTATATAGGAAATTATTAACGCAAGGCTGTGATCTACTCATAGCCACACCGACTATTGTTAATGATTTAATACAAAAACGTTATATTCATTTTGAACGACTCGAAATGATTGTTGTAAGTTTCACATGTTTAATATATTTTGATTAAGATGAAAGTCACTGATTAGACTAATGGAATATAGACTAGGAAATATTCATTTTTGGATGAATCTTTTATTAATCTCGGACGGCATTTGTTGAACTCAGTATTTTCTTTGATTTTCAAAAACGTTCATACGTCTGAATGCATGTTTTCCTGAGCAGGAAGTCAGTTTTCTCCTTGTCTCATCTGTAGTTTGAATGAAATGAAAAAACTGGGCCACTCTTCCTATAGAAGTATCTCTTGCGGCAAAATAAAAAGCAAAGGTATTCTCATAACGTTCCATTGAATCTTATATTTATTTATCTAGTACGATCAATTCGATCTTCTTCTTCAAACGATCGAACCTGTCCATGAAATTTTAAATCTTATTCAATTGCATACGAATAAAATCAGATCTATTCAACATTTTTTTCTCTCTCGTATTGTCAATCAACAAACAAAAGATTTTATTTTCGAACATTTCGCATCGAATAAAACTCATTATTATCTTTCATCATCAATGATGGAAACACATACATATAAAAACTTCTTCGTCTATTGCGAACCATGTCGAGACTGGGGTGAACGTAAACATATCATCAAAGAAACACTAGATTTAGCACATCGTTGCCATAAAAAGATTGTCATGTGTGCAAATCAAACACGTCGTTTAGCAACAATGCACAGTATTCTCAATGATCTATCGATTCAATCAATATTAATTCATCCGCAACTAAATCACGATGAAATTCAGCAGTATATACATGAATGGCAAACAATAAATGATCGTCCATTTATATTATTAATACAAGACGATGTATTAAATGATGTAGCGATTGACAACGCAGATATAATTATTCATCTTGATGTTCAACGTCTTATCTGGTATCAATTATACAATCAACGTATGAAATTAATCTATAAACATCTATTAGACGATAGTCTTTCTAATAAAATAAGAAAAACTGAATTAACATCATTAAAATTATTCGAAAAATTCTACCAATATAATCCATCAGCAAATATACCATTGGTAGTTATATTATGGCCAGGTGATTGTGCACAAGTAACCTATGATTTAGTAGATTACATAACTAATTCCAATTCTTATCTGCATCCACTGATTGAACGTTTAGCAAAAAATAATTGCTATGAATCTTTACAAGCAAAAATGAGTGTTGCATTTTGTCCAACGTTGAAAACGTTTGGTCGATGTTTAAATGAAAAGACTTTAAAACGTTGTCCATATAGACATCATTTTCATTATGATGTTGATTATATTGAACAAATAGCTGAAAATAAAAATGAAAATCTTCTATCAGATTCGTATGAATTATGTTTACCGAATGCAGGTGAAATTGAATTACGCATAACACATGTTAGCGATGGAAATCGCCTATGGGCGAATATATTACGTTCAAGAAATGATGTTAATCAAACATTAAATAAAATATTTGATTATGATTTATTTTATAAACAAATTGAAGATGCTTTTAATCGTGTCAAAAATCGGCCATTAAGTGAAATTGTGCCAGGTGAAATTTATTTTTACATTGATGATCATCATAAAATACATCGAGTTTATGTATACGAACAAGAACAAACATATTTTGATATAAGAAGATGTGATTCGATTTTAAATCGACTTTTAAAAGTGTCAAATACTGGTACGACGATTGAGAAAGATCAAGATACAAATCAACAATCACTCAGCTTGAATGAACAAAAGTAATTATTGCTTTGAGTTATCCATTAGTTGGGTTTTAGTAAGTGTGACTTTGGGAAACAAGAAAGTATCTCATATCTTTAATAAACTGAACAATAATAGCGTAACTAACGAGCGGAATATTTTCGAATAAAACTATTTGTTCTACATATAAAAGTGTCTATTAAGAGTTTTTTGTTATTCAATATCTTCGTCATGCTTAACTCTTGTCCTATGAGAACAAAGTTACACATGTTTATAAAAACAACTATTTCATAATAAAATTTAAACAAACAAACAAGACCATCTCTTTTTAGTTCATCGTTTACTGCCGTCGATCATCCTACATTAGTTGTATTTAGTCTTGATACTGGCATAACATTTACATTGAAACCTAATGAACACCTCTATTCTATTGAACCATCATCATTGAAACAGTATCCTCCACTAGCAACAGAAATTATCCTATGTAATATTTATCCATTAGATAAAATAACTATGACATTTACACCGTTTACAATTGAAACAGTTCGTTCATTAACATTAAATGAAGTATTTATGGGACGAATTAAATTAGCCACTCGTTCATGTTTTTGGATAGATCCACTTGTTAAACCAGTACGTTTAACTGCACTTAAACGTATTGCATATGATAAACCAATACGAAAACAATTGATGTTATCGAAACTTGTTCAATCGAATGATGATCATTTGACTTTACTTGAACGTATAGCTGTCGAAGCTAACATTTGTGAAGCACGAGTACCACCGATTCAAGAAGAAAACATCGAGCCAACAAAATCCAACGAACAAGAACTAGCAAAAGAAGATACAATTCAAGATTTTACACCTGAATTCAAACCATTTCTTAATCGTATTGGACAACTTATTATTAATCCTGTTGGTCGATCAAAAGAATTTTTCATTAAACATAATCAACCATTACCAAATTCAGATTTTCTAAAACAAGTCTCTTCAGAAAACATTGAAAAATCAACTCAAGAATCTTCATCATCCAATGATAAACAATTTTCCGTTGAAAACAAGATTCAAATCGATCGATGTATTCCACTTGGCCGTGGACATCAAATTCATACAAAACCATCATCATTACTCGACAACATTCTTCATCGGCCGCAATCGATTCCTTTAGTAAATCCTGCTAATTTTCAACAATCACCGATCGATTCAACCAAAACAACTCGATCTGAAATTGGACCAAGTAAAATGATACAAAAAATTGAGAAAAAAAATCAACAAATTGAAGATCAAGAAGAAAATGAAGTATATGAGGTAAACTTAAATGTATTTTCTTATTCTTTTACGTAGGTATTGTGTCACAGCATGACAAAATGTTTGTTCCTAGAAGTGAAAACAATTCTGTTTCTCTATTATCATTAGCAAGTTGACTAGGAACTCGTTGTTTTTGTAACTCGTGACTATACTTTTAATAAGTCTTAAAAATCACTTAGCGGAAATAATATTTTCCTTAGGGATAAAAAGAGAAACTATAGTGATGCCAGTTTTAGAACAAGAAAAAAATTATTATGCTTGAGCCTCCCTCCCGAGTAAACAGGCAATCGAACTGAATCCTTTAGGAGACTGACTTCTCTATACTTCGTTAGTCCTACACATGAGCTCCAACGGAAGTCAGCCATTAGTAAATATTGTCTTATGAGATATTTGATTAAAAAAACTCATTTCATACGACTTGTTCTCTTAGGAAATAATTATGTTAAATTATTAAGATATTAATAAGAGTCAAAAATTGTCTAGCACATTTGATCTATTCTTGTATCTCTCGGTACTTTGCCAACAGAGACAGCATTGAGTCAACCATGAAAATACTAACTATGGCATCGATATGATTAAATTTGTAAACATGATTATCTATAGTGCTATTTAATCTGTATAAACAATAAAGGATTGTTTAGAATGAATATTTTTTTGTTGAAACGTCAACCATTTAGCACTTAAACTATGCGATGAAACAGTCGATATCAACAGCTATTCTATATGTCAATAACTTCAAATTAGTCGAGCTTTAAATATTGTCTTATTCTATGAGAATTATCACATAGCTAAACACTAAATTGAATATCGAAATAGTGTCATGTCTCAGAAACTACCGGATGGAATTATGCCTGTTACACATAGATAAAAAAAAGTTTTGAACTAAAGCAGAAATCTTCCATATTCTTTATAAATTGAATCAGTTGTATCGCTTTCTCGTACTGAAAAAATGCTGTATACATTATGCATGATTACATCTATCTCAACTTTCTTCTTAAGCCGATAGTGCCATTTAGGAAATTGAATTAAATATTTTTCTCTGTATATCACAAAAATACGAATTTTTTCTAGTTGAATGAATCTCGACCTTTGGTTTTTTTGAGTTATTCCAATACAAAATCTAAAGAAAAGAATTCATAATTAAGATTATGATTGCTCTTCTTTTAAAGGATACTGTTGATACAACATCACATACAGAGGCAGCAGTTCTACCTACTACCAAATCATCAGAATCTAAACAAAAACTAGCTGATGATAATGATAATAATAATGATGATGATGATCAGATGATGTTTATATTTGGTCCAAAGTTATTTTCTCAACTTCGACAAATAAAAGATATGGAAGATGAACAACGTCGTCAAGGAGACTTTCGAGTTCAACGAAATCGTAATCGTCATACACGTAATAATAATAATAATAATAATAATAGCAGCAGCAATGCAAGAATAAACAATCAAGAGAATCATGATGATGAAAACAATGAAGAAACTGAACAGAAACCTCAAGTACCAAACATGAGTCGTTATGAACCATTCGTTGACGAACGCGGTCCATTAACACAGGAACAGATTGATTATAAACAAACGCAACGTAAAACACGTCTATTTTGGGAGCAAACAGCTCGAGATATTTATTTAACAATCGGCTTTTATAATGTCGATTCAACACAAACACGTGTTGAATTTCAAACCAATTTAATTGTGTGTCGAACTAGAATTCGTGCATACGATCGTTTTGTTCGAATACATTTATCTCATGATATTCTACCAGACAAATGTCTATTTCAAGTACGTCGTTCAAATATTTTATTAACAATACGTAAAGCAACTGAAGGTTTTACGTGGCCAACATTAACAAATCGACCTATTGAACCCCGACCCGATTTTTTTGTTATCGATTATGGTTCTGATGATGAATCCGATACAGAAAAACGACGTCGAACTGTTAATCAAAAATGGGATCAAATACGAAATGACAAAAGTCAATTAAAATCAAATAATGACGATCATAAATTTCTGCTCGATGATGTTGTCGATGATGATGATCAACAACAACCAACAGATAAATTAAATAAAATTGAAAAAGATAATAATAATGAACAAGAATTAACTGATACATCTTCTGATTGTCATTCAACCGATTCAGACGATTGTTATTATGAAGATCAAGTACCTGCTAATCATATACCACAAGGTTATGATGAAGCGGATTATGATCATCGTTTTTATGGACAACAGATGAGATCTTAAAATTTTCAGTCGGATATTATAATTGTTATTGTGTGTGTTTTTTTTTGTTTTGTTATAAAGAAAGATAATACATGTTTAGATCTTTGTCAAGTTGCGTTAGTTTGTTTTATTTATAGATTATGCCTATTGAAGATTTATCCGATGAAGGCCTTCCTAAAGTGCCAAATCTTGATTTAGCACAAATAAAATTTCTATTAACAATTAAACCGAATGATGTAGCACTGAAAGAAAAACTATTAAATGAAATCAAATTAAACAACATGACATCATTCTATAGTGAATGTGTAAACGACGGTCAATTGTCATCTGATGACAAACTTCTTCAAACTATGCGATCGGTTAATGAAGAAAAAATTAAAGAATTCGATGAAAAAATTCAAGAAACTGAAAAAACATTTGGTGATAGTGAAATCCGTGAATGTTATTTAGCAAAAGCTCAATATTTATGTACAATTGTTGATCGTGAACAAGCATTAACATGGTTAAGAAAAACTTATGAAAAAACTGTTACATTGGGACATCGTCTTGATTTAATTTTCTACCAATTACGTTTAGGTTTATTTTATATGGATCAAGATTTAATTGGAAGAAATTTAGATAAAGCCAAAACATTAGTTGACGAAGGCGGCGATTGGGATAGACGTAATCGTATGAAAGTTTATCAAGGTTTACGTGCAATGTCAATTCGAGATTTTAAATCAGCTGCTGAATTGTTTCTCGATACAGTTGCAACATTTACATCTTATGAATTAATGGATTATCAAACATTTGTTACATACACAGTTATTTGTTCGCTTCTGGCACTTGAACGACCAAAGTTACGAGAAAAAGGTTTGTTTTCTTCAGTAAAGAATAAGTAATGAAAGAAAAACTGTTTGACAATAGATTTTTCTTTTTATAGTCTCATGAAATCAATTTAGGTCTAGTGAGAAATTTATTTTATTGTCCGCCTTGGAATACGTCCTACACAAAGATTATTCTAAATGAACTACGACGACAAGAGCGCAGAATATTCAGAAGAAAAATAGACGCCACCCTCTGAAAAATTCTTTTCTCCTCGATAAGACTTCAAAGAAAAAATGAGCTTGAAAAGGTGTTGTAATATTATGATCGCACACATGACAGTAATTCTCGCTCGGAGAAGGTATCACAATATAAAACAAAGAATTATCGTTAATTCTACGACCTCCCATTTGTACTTTCAGTCTGACAACGCTGAACATCGCGTGTTACCAGTTTTTATTTTGTGAGACTTTCAGCCTTTTATCCAAAGACGATAGAAAATGAGTGACAACTCTTATTTTGTCTTTTTCTTGTGCACTGACCTTGTTTAAAAATAGTCTGGAAAAAACCTTGGAAAATATCGCATCCTGTTTTTATCAAATCTCTCACCACAAACTTTTGAACAAAAGAACTTCATACAATAGAAAACGCTAATATATTGTTATTAAACATCATCCCACTATCGTATATTTATTTTTGATTCTATTGAATACGATATTAATCTTATTCTATTTTTGTTTTTAATTTATAATTATCTTGCATAGAGGCCTAGCTGATAAATCTCAGTACTTATTTGTTCTATAAAAATTTGCCATTATTTTATCGACCAATTGAAATAGAACCATTCTGTCTTATTTATTTCTCTTTTCGTTTTCGTTTTCGTTTTAGTTATTCGTGGTAGCGAAATTCTCGAGATTCTTCATGGGCTTCCATTAGTCAAAGAATATTTATTCTCGCTCTACGAATGTCGTTATGCAGATTTTTTTCGTTGCTTAGCAAAAATTGAACACGATCTACTTAGTCAAGATCGTTATTTCGCACCACATGTAGCATATTATGTACGAGAAATGCGTATTATTGCATATAATCAATTATTACAGTCATATTCATCATTAACACTTAAAGGTATGGCACAAGCATTCGGTTGTTCCGAAGGATTTCTTGATAAAGAACTATCACGTTTTATTGCAAACGGACGACTCAATTGTAAAATCGATAAAGTCCGTGGCATTATTGAAACAACACGGCCTGATTCGAAAAATTTTCTCTATCAAGAAGTTATCAAAAAAGGTGATTTATTACTCAATCGCGTGCAAAAATTAAGTCGTGTTATTAACATCTAGTTCAAGGGTTTATTTATATGATTTAGGTGAAAACAAATATGTCTATGTTCGGTTTTCTTTCTTTTTATGTATAGCTACATGCTTATAAGAAATGTGAATAAACAAGCGCATGAAAAAGAAAAAAATAATATATATATATATATTTACAAGTATACTTTAGATTAACAAGACATACGATAGATTTTGTAATTTGTTATTTTATAATGGTCTTGATTGAAAAAATAAAAGATTAAAAAAACATAAGTAGTTGCACTTAAGCTATATTACAATAACAACCGAAGAGTTCTATTAAGCATGTAAACCGACACAATCATTTTACATTATTTGTACTTTATTTTTAGGACATATGTAAACTGTTTTTTAATATGTAATGACACAAACAGAAAAATCGATGTGTAATCGTAGAAATCTTGTCAATTATTTTATTGATTTCTGTATTAGTTTTCTTGTCAGATTTTTGTCTTCAGAAATAATTCATTCATATACGTACGGCATATATAAATATCTAGATATGTATATATTTGCGTCTACTGTATGTCTTTGCGTTATTTGGCAGTCGTTATTGCATGTTACTCACAAAGAAGAGAAAGATGGTAGAAAGAAGAGAGAAAAAGGAAGTCCTTTTCTTTCTCTAATCCAGGCAATGCAATTCGTGAGCAAAACGATATTTTACGTCTTTATTTATTTCTCATGTCCTGCTGTTTTACAGCTCGAACATAAAATTGAAGTCATGTGAGAATCATCAATTTATATGTTTTTCTCTCTTCGTCTTCAAATGGAAAGTTATTTGATTCTCATAATCATCGTTCGTTGTTGATCAAGATCAGATTACAAGATGAAATTTTTTTTGTTAGATATTATTCTCTATATCTTTTGCATTGATAGATGATAAAAAATAATCATTTATCTTCTCTCTCTCTCTCTCTCTCTCTCTCTTAAGAGTGAGTAAGTAAAAGCCAGAAATAATAATCTATGCATAGATATATACGTTTCTTCTATTTATTTCGTCTTTTTCTGACAAGATCGAGTGCCTACGGATTTATTTGTTTTTTCTTTTGTTACGTTATGAACAAACATAAAATAATATGATTTATACAAAATAAATTAAAAAAGCACGGTAAATCTATTGTATTTTAGAATTTTTTTTGTTGTTGACTATCATAAATTGATTTCCAGATGATGTTGGCGACGTAAAAAAATAAGAAAGAGGGGGTAGAGAGAACAAAAAAAGCGAACGAGAATAAGATGTGATTTACTATGAATTACTACTAGTCCTTTCCATCACCACCACCACCATCACCTTCATTATCAAAACACAAATGACAAGTATAACTCTTTGATTTTATTTCTATTAGTAGTCAAGTGAAAAAGACTGATATAGTTTCATTGATCTATTTCTATTGATAATGATTGAGTCTTGTTTTAATAAAACATGTCGGAACATTAAATGTATCTCGTCATTTTTTTGACATTTATTTTTTGTTTTGGGTGAAATCTCATTTGTCTACTGAAGCAACGATCGATAAATAGCTAAGTGTTTTTCTTCCTTATTATTCTCTGGCTGTCAGTTAGAATTTCCTTGTAGCAATTAATGAAGCGCAAGTAAACTAAATGGAGTTGCTCAAGCAATAGACTAATAAATACGTTAAATTCTAATGCCGATGTTGTTGTTAAGTGCCTGACAGGTGCTGATAAGCACAACTGAATTCCGTTATTTCTAACTACAATTATTCTTCAACATTCATTATGTAGATCATCTCTTATTATCGATATTAATGAGCAACTGACATGATAAGTATTTATTTTATATCTACTAGGCAGACAGAATCGATATATATATATATAAGAAAAACAGCTGAAAGAAACGTGAAGAGACATATTATCAAGGTTCATCATGACGTCGATAGCTATATCACATCAATAGGCGCAAGCGAGAAGAATCCTCTATGACGTCAATATGCGTCGAATAAACTGTTAGTCAATGTCAATGATGACTTCACTATTATTACGTAAGTTATCTGTTGACAAGTTTTTTTCTTCTTCTTCTTTGATTCGCGCTCTTCTACAATTCTCATCTATCGCTTTATCAAGGAAACATTCTTGTATGCGGATATCTTTCTACATAAAGAAGAAATTTAGTATGACCAAAATTAGCAATGATATAGAATATAGACAAAACAGATCATCATCATTTCCGTTTGAAGCCTTTTATCTATAGATAATTTTCTATTGATGTCAAACAGTTTATTCGATTTTAGTATTTCTTCCTGGTACGATCAGATTACATGTATTCCTATTGTATATATGCGCATTTCTTATTCTTCAATCATATTAATATACTCTTGTCTTGATTAGTAAGAAGAGATTTATCATGCAAACGATGAATATTTGAGAAAGAGAAAATTGCTTTCTTATTTTCCATTTCCGTGGTTAGCTAGACGAAATTCATCATCAGTATACTTCTACTTGATGTCGTCGTCGAGGCTACAAATATAGATGAAAGAAATTTTCTGAAAAAAGCAATCATGAGCTTTAAGTAAAACGCAATTTATCTCTCTTTCTCTCGATATATATCTATATCTATCTATAAATATATATGTATTATGGAACTGATTGTTTAACCACTGCCGACGGGCAATCGATCGATCGCCACTATATATAGTCGAGAGTGAAAATTGAACGAGAATACTCAATCGACCGATAGTGCCGCTTATTCTCTACTTACTGCTGTTACTCTTTTTTTTTTATTTCCGGTGACTTGTTCGAGAACAGACAGAAATCCAGACCTCGTAAATGCCAACTGTTTCTTTAAGATTCTATTAAGAAAAATGTATAGCCAAAAAGAAAATAACATTTATTGAAGAGGTTCATTCTTTTATTTCTGCCGAAAATATGCAAGATAAAATAATAATTCAAGCTATTTCATATTTAGTATTTGCAGGTCAATGTCAAGAGATCGAAATATCTTTTACTGTTGACGTTCCTCGATCCTATCACTTTTTTTTCTCTTCTTCTCCTCATTCTTCTTTGTCTATTCGCATGTCATCCACTCTAAGGATGTTTGTGAAGCGCATAAAAAAAAGACGCGACAGTAAAGAATCATTGTTGTTTCTTTTTTTCTTCTTACTGTGCCTGTCTGTGTGTGTGAAGCTCGTGCATGCTATTCTTGTACTCGGTCTTTCTTTTCATCGTTTAATTGCTCTGCTTTCTCTCCTTCGCATACCGCAATGAGAACAGCTGTAGTCATACAACCACATATGAAGTAAACGGATGATTAGAGTTCGAACTAAATATTAACAAGATGGCAATACGTTAAGCATAAATTTGTACTCGAAAACAAGGTAAGCAAGGCTCTCAGAAATGTTTTTTGCTCCCGCACAAAAACATCTAAAATTGATCATGAAGCTAATGTATTGCAACAAGAGAATTAAAAATAGGATACTATTAAATTATACAACAGAACGAAGAAAAAAGAAAGTAAACGAAGTTAAAAAATAAAATCAAAAAAGAAAAGTACTCCTCCACTAGGTGTCAAAATCAACCAAGAGCAAAAAAAGTAGGAAGAAAAGTTAAATTCCGCATTTAATAGGTAATGTGTGCATGTACATGACGGAAGAGATTTCGCTACATTTCATTTTATGTATGCATTTATTAACATTAAAACTTATAATTTGCATCTGTAGATAAGAACGAAAATAAGGTACAACATGTGACATGCATGCACCCCTTTGACGATTGACGTCACACGAATGTAAGGTAAGATCTTGCAAGAATTGATACTATCAATTAATAAATCATTTATCTCAAGTATGCCTACTTGATTTATCCTTGAATTTCTCTATTGACGTTTCATCTATAGTAATTAGGAAGAATTCATTTGCAGACAATTATTTTTCTAGCACGAAGTATTTCTCTCTTCATATTGTCTTTGAAAATAGTAGCTATGTTATATAATGCATAGAAAAGAAAAAGAAATGAATAAATAATTTATTATTTGTATACAAGGTTTCATACTAAAAATTTCATTTTAAAAGAATAACTTAACATGACAAAAAGAAATGTTGTTACTCATTTATTTGAAAAATAAGTTCCTCTGTTAACCTTGATATATTGATTCGTCTGTAATCTTTGAACTAGGAGGGGGCATAAAAAGCATAGCATAGAATAGAAAAACAATGGAGGCAACTTGGCTTAACTGGACCCACTACACGTCGTTCTATATATTGTTGTCATCTCTTCATCGGTCATTCGTTTATTTATTGTGATTATTTTTCTCTCAATTTCTTTATTATACTCATGCCATTTGATTAATACGAGTGATTAAGAACATGATTATACAGCATTTTATGACATTTACGCTATAAGTTGTAGATTACTGACGCGAACAATATTTAAGTTCACTTTTGTTGTCGTTGTTGTTGCTATTGTAAATATTATATTTTTCTATTCATATAGATATTTTTTATTATACATATGAAGAAAAACTTCACTTATTTCTTTGCAATAGTACATAGATAACACCCGAGAAAAAAGAAAAACAGATAAATCTTCGTCTCTTCAGTCAAGCATTAAACTGGTAAACATGAGTGATCAGAGAAGAAAACGAGTAGAATAAGCTGTTCGATATTTTTTCAGAGTCTCGTCAAGGTAAGTTGACGTATTAGTCATCAAAGTCACTTTTCAAGTGGTTGAATACTTTGATTATTAGCTGATTTGTTTTTGATAGTATTGTCCAATGACGAAACTATATAAAGGCAAAAATAGTTTTATCATACAATATTTTGTCCTCCATTTTTGACACAAATATTTTATGTATCGTTTTTATTTAATTATTAAAGCATGAAAAAACAGTTGTTCCTAGAGAGAAACACGTTTGGTTTAGCTATTTTGCGTTAGTGATCGATATCATCTAGGGATTCTTATCTACATATATATATATATATATATATATATATATGTAACATATTCGTCAGTCGAACCGGTTGTTGCCGTCGAAAACGAAGACGAAGAACGATGAACTCACACGTTGTTCTTAGCGAAACTGAATTGCCATTACACTATATCAAATTGATGATATGCGGTGTGATAGAGACGCACAAAAAATATTAAACAATAAAACATCATTCTTATACTTGCCCTTGATTAAGAAAATAAAAAGCTTTTCCTTTACATTTCTTGTTTCGAATCATCGAAAAGATTCAACTTCGATTTCAGATTGAATAAAAAAACGATTAACAAAAGGATAGACGATTCATTGAAGAAGAATGTTCGGCAAGTGTCAAATAGTACCAGCACTTGCTTCAGCTGTTCATGGTGCAATCGAAGAGCTTCCACATATGCATGATTCTCCATTACTTCTGACTAATCGAAGTCGTGTAATATCAACAACAGCATCACCACCACCACCACCGCATTTAATGAATACGGATTCACATTCATTAACTAAATCTCGGGTAAATTCATTGCCAACATATAATTGTACAACACCACAACTCGATGCACGAAAAGCATTTGCTTATTTCGATAAAAATCGTGATGGAAAATTAACAATTAAAGAATTTAGATCGGTTATGCATGATTTAGGCTATAAAACAGTCGATAAACGTTTTATTAAGAAAATGTTTGCCGAAGCGAATCAAAACGGTAATAAACGTGCATTAAGTTATGATGAATTTGTAGGATTTCTTGAGTCAAAACTTTCGTTCCAAAATCTTACATCAAAAGATTTACCAACAACAGCCTTATCAACAATAACAACAACGAATCATTCATCATTATCCGATGAAAGCTGTTCTCTATCATTACCGAAAATGCAACTTGACGTTGAAACATTATTTAATTGCTATGATTTGGATAAAAATGGATTTATTGAGCCGAAAGAACTACGTAAAGTAATGAAGCGTTTAATTGGAGAAAAACTATCCAAGCAAGATATTGATGAAATGATAAGTGTGGCCGATAAAAACGGTGACGGACTTTTGGATAAGAGTGAATTTGCACTCTTATGTAATGCTTTTTAAATAACATATAGAAACAGACAGAAAGCGAAAAAAAGAGAAAACATTCATTTTTTCATGCATACGAGCAGATAAATGAAATATTCTTGTCGTCTATCGTTTTGTTATTCCTATTTTCTTATACTTTATTACAGCCAATGTCCTTTGTGATACCTCGTCTAGTGTTTGTTTGCAATATGTTTATGTTTTAATTATTTTTGGTTTGGTAGAGCAGTTCTTTGTATCGGATGTAATCCATCTTTTTCTTCCCACCTAAATTCTCCAACATCGAAAATTTTTTTATCATCAACATATGGGTGTTTGCGAGCGTGTATGTGTGTGTGTGCATATCGATGTTTCTTATTCTATTTTTTTTCCTCATTTTTGTGTGATTGATTACAAGTATTAAAGAAAAGAAAAATCAAGCGAATCAAACAAAATCATCCTCCATTAATCTTTACCTATCACGACATCTTCACAAATGCATAGAAATGGTGTATGAAATTAGGTACATTATATAACAAGAGACACAAAAAACTTTTTACTGATCAAATTAATATCAACAATCCATCATATATCACTTCAATTACTTTAAAGATACCTTGATGACATAATGTTATGTGATGTATCATATTTTACGAATCATAATACTTATTCACGATATTATTGCTCTAATGTTAGAGACAAAAAGTTTCTTATCATACCAAGTAATTCCAGTAAAGTATAAATCAAGCACAAAAAGAATTCTATTATATAATTTTCTTAGCACTCCTCATTTTGTTATAAATCTCCTTAAGTCTAATAAGACTTTATACGCATACGTATATATATATATCTGTATGAATTAAAAGATCAAAGTCGTAGAACAATTTTATTATTGTTTAAAATCGATACGCAAGATCATTGTTTTCAAATGTTAAACTTGACTAACGAGTATTTTTTTATATTAAAAAATAAATATGCTATTCATGATATAAATCATGCGTATGTAATTCAATATTACTTGAACATTACCGATGTACTAAGCATCATTATTATTTCTTTTACCTATGAATGATTGAAAGAAGCAAAGGAACTCTCAAGTTGATTAAATTAGGAAATGAAAAAGTATTGATACTTCAAAACAAAACAAAAAAAGGAAATAAAAAGTACGGCAAAAAAACTAACCTTATTAAAAACAAAATTCCTATAAAAAAATACTCAACGATTATTTTTACATTATTGAGTCAGTAGAAAATGTGAAAAAGAATAAAAGACGAATATGCCGTTATTTTAAGCTCATTAATTATTCAAATGATAAATCATACATTTCAACCGAAGACTATTTCATCATATTGACAGATTGTAGGTATTCTTATCTGGCTTTTGATGATTGGCATTTTTTATTGATTGTAACCCATCAAATTTGACAATAAATAAAGAAGATTAAACTTAGTGTAACTGTCAACAGATAAGAATATAATTACGAAAACATTCCTAAGTTGATTTGAGGGCTGAACAACATCCCCCAAAATCGAGAATTTGTTCCATTTACAGCAGAAATCGTTTACCCACCAAAAGTCAAGAAGAAACACTTCATCAGACACACATTCCTTTCTAAGCAGAACTTCACTAAAGACACAGAGATATGGATCATCTCCTTATCGACTCTCAGACGAAATTCAACCAGAAACGGTTCTCCCCTAGCAAGGAGAAATTGATAAGATACTGGGAGATACTAATGATTTTCTTTTTCGTCTTATTGGGAAGTTTTGTAGGAGAAAGAATATTTTCGTTTCTCCTGAAAGATAAGTTCAGGTTAATTTTTTATCCAAAGGAATGCTGCAAATTCTTATGGTACCGAATAATTTTGGACCCGTTATATTGTAATTGAAACCGACAATGATACAATAAACAGGATACATTATCGGCATAGTTAAGTATTGGTATCTAAACAATTCATTTTCTGAAGAACAACATATACATAGTGTAGAATGAGCCCATAAACAAATGTAAAAGATCGTCCCTTATGATAGTAGGATTAATACAGTATGTTAGTGAAAATATCCAAACAATGGATTAAAAATGTTCTCTTTTACAAAAGAAAAATATCTTGACCTTTACGTTGCAGCTTACACAATCATTGGAGCATATTTAATTATATGGACTCTACCGAGTAGAACTATGGTTAAGACTTCATGCTAACAGGTTTTATTTTATTACAGTGAGATCACACAAAGAGGGCAAAAACCTTTTCAACTTGAAAAACATAATGTGCCTAATTTATAATACAAGTGACATATACAAGAAAAAGCACAATCAATAAAGTACCTAAAAGTAAATAGACAACATTAATCTATTTTAAATAGCAGCTTTGAAAAGCAAAAAATAGTGACAGTATTTTTTAACGATAAACGATTTGATTGGTATTTAATGTACTAAATAACCGAAGGAAGAATAATTCCGATGATTGTACGTTCGAGTCAGAATAAAAATAGAACTTGCAATTTAAGCAGCTTTAGTTTCCATCGGAAATAACGATCAATAAACAATATATGATTAATGCATTTTTCATAGGCATAATCTTAAATTCAATAAATCGATATTGCATTTTTTTTATTAGCCGAGTCTAGAAAATGAAATTTTGTTTTTGCTTGATCGTAAACTATCAACTAATTCTATAAATAAAAATATACGCAATAATATTAATAATGAGTTTAGTTTTTTTTTCTTCTTTTAAACTTAAATTCTTTATTTAATTATAAGAAATTGAATAACATTTAGAATAGACGCAATAACACTGAGTAATTGAGTGCATTATGCGTTTTTGACTTTCTGAAAAAAAACTTTTTCTTGGTGTCACGTTATATTCTCCGTAGAAGAATTTTACTTGATCAGTAATTAGTAAATAGGATTCCAATAAAATTTACATTCGTTTTATGATTGAGAGATATTTTATTCAAACATCGTTTTCTTACTAATTATTCTTTAAGTACAAATGAAATTCGAGGAAATTCTCAAGAGCAATATTCATTAAAATTCTATTAGAGTTCATTTGCTCACGATCATATCGTCGGATTAAAATTTACAATTTATTATAAAAGAGAATGTGTGCAATTTCTACTAAAAAGGTTTTACTTTGACATGATTGATACCATGAAAACAAATATATGATGTCGGATTAAAACAAACCATGGTTATAAATCATATAGGAATAAACGATTCATTACATCTAATGGCCTTGATAATGAAAATCTATGAAAGATTATAAAGAATAAAATGCTGGAGAATTTTATTTATCATTTTTTTTTGTATGAATAATGTGGGCCGAAAGGACAAAAAAAATATACTTTGCTAATCAAAGAAATCATCAGGTAAATCACATTTACCATGATTGAAAGCTGAATTAATTGCGTCCAATCGAAAACGTTGTAAAAATGGTAATAATAATCGTTTGTCTTTGAAAGCGGTAGCTGTTATAGCAACACTTGCATTTCGTGTTGCCGATTCCAGTGTTTTGAATGACCAATCGAGAAATTTTTTTGCTAACTCTGGTAGCAGTTTATCGGTTAATTTCTTCGCCAGATTTGACATGTCCCTTGCAACTAATACCCAATCGCCTTTAGCAGCATTTGCAAGAATATCGAATGTGGTTAAATCAACTAATGGCACACCAATAAGAGCATTTAAAATAGTGATAGATGCACCCACTACCGATTGAATCATATTAATAATAGTTTGTTGACAATCTTGTTTTGTTGTTGAACAACCAGCTAAACAAGGAACCGGCTGAGTTATTGGGCAATATTGCCAACAAACAGGACCAACACCATTGTATTTATCATTACATTTATCATAGCATAGAGCACCATCTTGTTCGTAAGAAGTGGAACACACCAGTGGTGTACCAATGCCTCGTGAATAACTATCACGAAAATAGAATTGCCCACATAAACAACCGAAATTTGTATAATTTCCTGGACAAGACGAACAGGCACGTGTAAATATACCACACTTGTCATACCATGGACATGAGCGTAAAGATTTACGAACATCCATACAAGCAAAACCAAACGAAGTTAAATTATTGCATTTCTCCCAACAGAGCGGACCGACGCCATTGTAACCATCACGACATAATGGGTAGCAAAGAAGGCCATCTTGTTCGGGTGCATGATCAGGACAAGCATGTAGAGGACGGCCAATACCGCGACCATAGGAACGACGCCAGCAATAGGGTTCATAGCTACGAAATATTTCACGTAAAACACGCTTAACTGGTGGTGATAAATCGATTTCGGGAGTAGCATTAACCATCATATCATCAGTTGAAGTTAAATTATAATAAAAAGGAGTTGTTAATTCAAAATCTTGTTCCATTGTCGACATTCTAAATGAGTAAACAAATAATATATATACATTTTTTTTTCATAATTAATATTGACGTACGTATTATGCCATTCAAACTCTTGTTCGTCATGAACATTTTCACTATTTGCTTGACGAACAAATAACAAACAGAGTACTAACAACAGTTTCATGACAATCGAATGTATTGATTTTTTATCTTATTTTAAAGTACTAGTAGAATGAGAACTGGCGTCGATTTACTCAATTACCATAGTTCTTCCTCTAAATCATAGCATCTCTCGTCGTTCGCTTTTCATACAGGTGTTATATGTCGTAAGAGAGAGAGAGAGAGTGCAGAAAAAAAGAAAATAGAACAAGAAAAGGTCTTTGATTAAGTTCGTAATATAAAACGAAATCGACACACGTGTTAAATCTCTTTGAACATATAAAGAACTGCTTTATATATATATATATATATATATGTATGTTATTTGAGGATATTGTACATTAGCATAAACCTAAAATTATCTTCTTTAGTTTTACGTCATTGATATTTCTTCGTCGTAATCAAAATAGTTACATCTAATTGATTGAAATGAAATTAAAGAAATTCTATCGTTGTGTACATCTTGTTTAAATATACAAAATATTGAACTTAGGAATAGAGTCAAATCGTCTAAAATTCAAATGAACACATTCTCATATGTCTTGAGCATGATTACGTACGATTACTATTTCATCAACATAGTCACTGAGATCAGATTTGTATCTATTACATTTATTTGCTATGAGTCAGATCGTTTATGATGGACAACAAAATTAACGCAAGTTTTCATTATTTCTCTAGTAAACTATGCATTTTAGATTATGTGATAAGATAACCTTTTAAATGAATAGGTTCTTGTGCCATTGCAATGATTGTTCTACGATAAGATTTTTCTTAAAAATAAAACAGAAGAAATTTCTTCTTCTATTCGATAAAATTTAATGAAGAAAAAAAAATTCAATGCGCCAAAGTCGATAAGGTTTCTTGAATTTTTTATGTCTTAGAGAAAAAGAAATTGAATTTTGATGATTATAGAATAATAAAACAACACAAATGATTTCTTGAAACATTCGCATAACAAAAAACGATGGAAACACAAGCTGTGTCGGCGGCCGACGAGTCTGAAATTAATAAAAAACGAATGAATTCTACTGATAATATCCTTCAATTGAACGATTATATATCTGTCCATCGACACGATGGTAGCGATCGTCATTTTCTTAATCTTGATCGGTGTTTAAGACAACCTTATACTATTAATCATGTTTCTAATAATGAAACAATTGCTGGCATTTCACTTATGTATAATTATCTTATACAAATACCTACATTCGTTTCGGATTATACAAATCTCGTTGAACTCAATGCTAGTCATAATGAATTAAGTGATACTGAATTTATTCTCTACAGATCATTGGATGATAATGAACTAACTGAATCGTATTGGGATGATTTCTTTAAAATCAATTCAAATTATCAGGGACCAGAAAATCCCTACAGTGTCAACAGAGAACATTGTCGAACGAATGAACAAACAAAAGGTTTATCTGCTAACACTGCAAATATTGGCAAACATTCTAAAGTGAGAACATATTTTGCTTTATTTTAATATCGGTAGATACCGTTATAAGTCTAATATAAAAAGTTGCATATTCCATCCTTTATATTCAATAATCTAACCTATCATTGATTTTCTTTAGCCGCCAACACCGTCGCCCAATAAGCAAATACCTCGTCCACTAGTTCATCCATTTCTCGAACGTATCAATTTATCGTTCAATCATATTAGATTTCTTCCAGCTAATATTCATTATCTTCGTTTTCTTCATACACTTAATTTATCAAATAATTACCTTAAAGAATTACCATCGAATATTGGTTTTCTTGAGCAATTAAATACATTAACACTCAATCATAATTATTTGGAAATCTTACCAGCTACATTTTCTCGTTTAACTCAATTGCAATCATTAGATTTATCATATAATAGTTTACAATCGATTGATTTAATAAAAAATTTTCTCAATTTAAAGCATTTTTCTATTGATTCAAATCCATTGAAACTCTTTCCTATGCTATTGCATACCTGTACGAATTTAGAAGATCTTTCATTTTCAAATACACAATTAAAACAAATCAATAATATTACTTTGGAAATATTTAATCAATTTTCAAAATTAAAAAAACTTGATCTATCAAAAAACAATCTCAACGATGATTTTCTTGCCTCGTCGATTCAACCATTCGATTATTTAGAAGAATTGCATATTCAGCATAATCAATTCACAAATATATTCTCATTATTATCCACGACGAAATCATTACGTTTACTTGATTTAAGTTATAATTCATTGGAACATATTCCTCAATGTACGAATTCAAATTTAGAAATTCTACATTTATCACATAACAAAATTGAACTTCATCCGAACGAATGCATTTATTTAAAAACTATTATTGAACTAGATTTAGGTCATAATCAAATAGAACATGTTCCAAATGAATTTATTCAATGTGTCAATTTGCGATCATTAAACATAGCATTTAATCAATTGCACGCATTTCCTAAGATTATTTTACAATTACGATCATTGAATAAATTAGTGATCAATCATTCAAAATTTCAACATTTAACAACAAAAGATTTATTTGATAAATATTTTTATCGCACAATAAATATTCTTAATCTCTCATCGAATCATTTGCAAACAAATTTACATGAATTAACTGGTTTGAAAGCATTGACATCTTTAGATTTAAGTCATAATCAACTACTTGAAATCGATGAAGATTTTAAATTGTTATCATGTTTAAAAATTCTTAAATTAAATAACAACCGATTTTCAAGTTTCCCATCGTGCTTGCATGAAATGTCAAATGGTGAAGATGAAAAATATATTGGTACGATTTTGTGAGAGTTTCCAGATAGAATCGCAAAGAAATTTTTCTCGAAGGAAATTCTGCTTTCTCTTTTCTGTTATTCAGAAATAACCACAGTCTGAGACCAAATTCGATGTAGTTTTATTGTCTCTAATTACTTTCTATAAATACTCACTCTTTTTAGTTGAAATGAATATTAGGATATTTATCTTTAACATAATTCTAGCTGAAACGTTGATGGAATTATATCTCAATGATAATAGAATAGAATCGATTCCTGAAGACATTGTTCATATGACAAATTTGCAAACTATTGATATATCAAATAATCAACTGATGAAGTTTCCCGACCCATTAGTTTATCTCGAGCAACTGACATCACTTGCCTATTCTCAACAAAATGGTAAACATATTGGACGATTACCTGCTGATTTTATTAATTTATGTAATCTGAAAAAACTTGATTTATCTCATAATATTTTTAAAGACGTACCGAATGTGGTTTATAATTTAACTAAACTTGAATATTTAAATATGAGCTACAATCTTCTTAGTAGCGTAGATAATAATCGATTGAAACGATTGAACAATTTCAAAACATTGAAATTAAATGGCAACAATTTTGTATCGTTTTCATCGACACTCTATCAATTAGAAACATTAAATATGAATGAAAATTCCATGTGTTTAGCGCCACCCAATGATTTTATCGATGAGAACTATATTTCGGCCACTTCAAATCTTTATGTTCAAATAAATGATCAGCATGAAACAAATATGTTTGAAATTTATCAGCAAATTTTTATTGAACATTTAACAAGTTACGATATTGAAAACTTAGCCAAACGCTTGAAATTATCGGAAACTGATATGAATAATTTTCGAAATAATTCTATGAACTTAAAACGTGACAGCAAAATTGAAGTACTATTAAATATTTGGAAAGACAAGCGGGGTTCATTAGCTAATTCAGATACATTATATCGATTAGCACATTTAATTGGTGATAAAAATCTTGTACGACATATGCATCGCGCTTATTTACTTGCGCGAAATATTCGACTTTAGTTTCTTATTTTTTTTAAATAAATGAATAAAAAATCTCACAGTGCAAATTACATTTTTTGTTAGTTGTTGCTGAGCAACACACTTGTAGCCAGCGTGCTATTATTTAATTATGAATACATCTTTAAGAGTGCGTAATTCAATAAGCGCCTGTTCTGCTCAAATCGATCATCATCATCATCATCATCATCATCATGTTTCTCAAAATCAACGCACTCGTTTCAATCGTATAGCTACAGATTCAAGATATCGTCAGTCTTGTTATTATACTGAGATGGATGCTCCAAAAAATAATCTTGATTTTCGTTTACGAACATGTTACAATCATGCTGAAGAAAGCTTTGCATCAAAGGCACGTTTTGTTGTTCAACCAGTGACTGTTTGTAACACGCAGAAGAAAGAGTAAAAACATATTTGATTGAAATAGCGTTAGATCGACTCTGTTTGATTTTCGTTAGGAAATCGAATTCTTCTCAGAACAGTCAATATCCATTAGAAATCATTAATAAAAATCGTAAAGAACACTTTAATGAAGCAACAAAAGGTCAACATATTGGTTCACATCATTTTGCTAATAGTAAACATGGTTACTCGCGTGTTATTGCTGGTGCTATGTCAACCGATTAGGATTATATTTAGATCTAGTTTAATTATCACCAGGTTATTATTTATAAAAATTAAAAATTACATTGCACTATTAGTTAGCTGCCAGTTCAGATACAATCGCGTCAATATTACCATTGTAAACTTCTAAATGATATTGAAGAGTTTGATCATCGATATGAGGAAGCATTTCACGAAGTGTTGAAAGTTTTTCTGATGTTAATGTCTCGTTATCTGTATAAAAGACAAAAAATAATCATTTCGCGAAAAAGTAGATAAATAAAATGACATACAAGATCGTGTTTGATTTGTATCCGAAGATATGTTCATGTCATCATATTGATCAGTTAATCGATCCGTCGTTCTATACGACAGGAAAAATAAATACATAAATGAACATTAGATTTTATAATGAACTTTTACACTCGTCGGTCTGAATCACGGGTTTGATCACTGCGAACTTTTTTTTCATTTTCCATTGACTACACTCCACAAAATTTAAATCATTTGTTTTGAAATTAGCAAAATTTTACCTGTAGACGTGCTGCTTGTTTTTTTACTTCGATATCCTTTTCTTCTTGTTGCTTTTTTTGAATTTGATCTTGATGACTTTTTTCCTACAGTAAACATATTTATCGATGTGAACATCGAAAAATATCTTACTAATCGTTGAAGTTTTTCTCGGCGAAAATTTTCTGCTTGCCGTTGACGAACTTCTTCTTCGCTTAATCCATCACCGCCTTTTCATAGCAATAGATTACTTTTTTATTTGTAAAATAAATAATCAATCTGACCTAAACGATGTACTTCATGAATACCATGAAGACGTTTGCTTTCGAGATGTGCTTGATATTGGCGTTGTTCATTTTCAGCTTGTCTTCTCATTTGCTCACGTTTTGTTGTCGATGGTGTAAACATATGAAAACCGTCGCTTGAAAAAAAAGACATTCTATTACGAGTTTCGATAAATACAATATCTAATTGACAAACCCAACATGAACAGGACGTTGTTCTTGTTGCTGTGTTTCATCGTTTTCGTCCAATAGATTATTATTGTTTCTCGGTAGTTGTGGTCGTTCCGTATGCATTGTTCGACCGCGAAATGATGTTGGAGCACCACGAGTTACTGGCTGATTCATTGTTGATCTCGGAGGACGTAGCCGTGGTGGTGTCGCTGCTGCTAGTGGTGGTCGTCGGGTAGTTGATGGTGCTGGATGTCGATAAACTCGAGACATGCTCATTGAATCAAATCTACAAGTCAAATGTGGAGATAAATCGTTCGTGAATAATGATTATACAATGTTATATTCCTTTCCCATAAAACACATAAAGATATTGCGGAAACAGAACAAATAGAATAAATGAATCACACAAAATGAAAACAAAAAAATGAAGATCAGATAAATATATTCGTTTAACGCCATATTCGACATGTATTATCTTTACTACCTATGTAAAATAAACAGAATAGTAGATTCTTCCATCTTCAATTTAATCAAACCTGTAATAATAGTATTTCCTTCGTAGTTAAACGCACAACTAAATATTTCATCTGTATGTCCTTCAAGTATTTGTTTACATTGACCACTTATTGGATCCCATATACGAGCTGTTTTATCAGCACCTTTAAAACAAAAACATCTTAAACATTTTTTTCTAATCATTTATAACATACTCGCTGTAATTAAACGATTGCCTTGTGGATTGAAAACAATCTAAGAATGGTAAAAATAAATAGAAAATTAATTTTCTCTATTAGAACAATTTTACTTTAGATATTTCAGCTTGATGTCCTGTTAATGTCGCTATACACAGTTGACTCAATGCATCATACACACGACCAGTTTTATCAGCTGAAGCTGTTGCTATATATTGACCAGTAGAATCAAACACGACATCAAGTACTTCATCGTCATGTCCTCTTAATGTTGCAATGCATTCTCCTATAAATTAAAGATAAAATAAAATAAAATAAACATTCATCTCTTATTTACCAGATAATGCATCCCATAATTTACATGTTTTATCCATACTTCCAGTCACTATTCGACTACAATCCCAATTGAATTGGGCACTACTTACTTCAGCTGTATGACTAATTAATGTATGAATTTTACTATGAATGAAAAACAAAAACAGTAAAATAAATATTTGTATATAACTCTAATTTCCTACTTTCCAGTGCGCACATCCCATATAGCAACAGTACGATCGAATGAAGCTGTTATGACTTGATCACCTCTTGTATTAAAACTAACTGATATGATTTCACCTGTATGACCCTATATATTTTTAATAGAATATTTTATTTAGAAGAAAAAACCTAAAAGATTTCTATATAATTAACATACGTTTAAACTAGCAATTTCTGTACCGGAAACAATATCCCATAATTTAGCTGTATGATCCATACTGCCAGTAACTAGCACAGTACTTTGAGGATTAAATGCAAGACATACCTATTTTAACAAGTAGAATTTAGCAGAATAAAAGTATAAACACGTTTATTTACTATTTCACCAGTATGCCCGCGAAGTGTATGATAGCAAGTGCCACGTTCCGTACTCCAAATACATGCTGTTTTATCAAATGAACCAGTTGCTATTTTATCGCTACAATAAAAATATGAAATAGTTAACATTTTCTTTAATCATATAGAAATACTCACCCGTAGGGATTATTAAACGCAATGGCATAGACAACATTTTTATGTCCTTCAAGTGTATGTAATTCTTCACCAGATGCTGTATCCCATACTTTACATGTACGATCATACGAACCGGTAATAAATCTAAATGAGAATATGAAGAGAATAAATAACTGATTGAAAATTTACATTATACATACACTGAGCCAGCTTTATTGAATGCAACATATGTTAGTGGAAGTATATGGGCGCGGAGTACTTTAAATAAATAAAAGCGTCTATCTTCTTGATGCGAGATTTTTTCTTGTAGTCCTCAAAAGAAAAAACATCGTAGCCAATAAATTTAACTAAAAATCAATATATATATATATATATTTACTTTCAATTAATTCTCTAACTTTATCAATTTTTGTTGCTGTAATTAGTGGTTCTTTTCTTACAATTTCCTCAACAACACTATTGATATCGGTACTTGAAAACAAAACAAAACAAAAAAAGAAATTTTATTACAGCTAATCGAATTTTATTGTTTTTTTCTTACTCAGGTTTTAGATCAAGTAAATCAATAGATTTTGTTTTTAACACATTACTTTGTTCGTATTCAAGAATAATTCCTAGAATTAGTGCATAGATTAATATTATGATAGGGGGGAAAACCAATCAAAAGTTTTAATACCTGGAGGATAATATCGCAGAAGAAAACGTTTAAGACGCATTTCTTATTTTAGCAAAATTATGTGAAATGATTGCATAGAATTTTTTTTCTTCAATGATAGCCGCGTTGCCGTAGCAATACCTCCTACATAGAAATGTTGCATTGATAGATGGCACACATCGTCGATGTATTTATTATTGCTCGGATACTACAATATATATATCGCCTATTTTCAATTGGGAATAAACCAGAAAGCAATAATTATAAAATTTTATTCATCCATTTCATAGATCTTTTATTATTGAAGATCGAATTAAAAAGTTTAAAAAAACCACAAATCCCTAGATGATTATTTATTCCTTTTCATGTGTGTGTGCTGGTCTAACAATTGCACGAGAAAGAAAAAACTATAGATGTTCAATTATATTAGATCATTCTCTTTGAAGGCCAATCTTCCTTGCTATTGCTGAAAGTGCGAAGAACATTATTCGAAAAAGAATAACGAATATTCGACGAAATTTAAATGACTTGAAAAATATTGATTTGATAATGAATGCTATTGCCGTAAAATAAAGAATATTTTGTAAACGTTTTAATCTGAAATAAAATAAAATATATTTTTTTTACTATTTAAAAAAGCCAATCACTAAAATTACCTTTTATATCGTTTAATGCATTTAGATGTACGAGAAACATCTTCACGAAGCAAATATTGCTTGGCACCCATACAATAATTATTCCAATATTGAAACCAATCAAGATCTTTAAGATCAAAACAGAAGATCTAAACAAAATCAATAATGAATCTATTCACGTTTATTCATAATCATAATTTACTTTTTGATCGATATCGCTCATTTCATTTTGTAGAAACACACTGTTATCATTGGGAAATAACCATGAATGAGAAGTAAAAAAATCAAGGGTTCGAACACTTTTATAAATTCTATCCGATAATTTGATAAACCTAAAAGATAAATATTTATTATAAAAGGTCGGATTTCAAGAGCGAGAGAAAAAATCTGTTTTTTTTTACATTGGCTTTCGACCAACTACACGCATATAACAATCGAGAATAAATGCAGGTATAACTTCTTGTAAAACACGAAGATAATGATAGCGAAATCTAATAAAATGCAATCATACTAATATGGATGAGATCTTTTTCGTAAGGACATTACCGATTTTCAGTGAATTGTAAATGTGGATATGAAATAGCATTTTCCAAACTGTTCGTAGCAAGATGATGTAAACCATATTCAGCTACTTTACCCCATGTTAATGTACCTAAATGACCAGTACAACAATGATAAACGGGAATATTTTTCGGTCTAGAAAATAAAAATTATTTTATCTATATATATATTATTATTTCAACGATCAATTCTTACTGTTTTACAGCCGTATACCAAGCAATACAAATCATCATATTCACGCAAACATCGACCGGAACAATATCGGCTATTGCATTATTACTGCCTAACATAGTTCGAAGCATACCTTTACCAGTCTGAAATTTACAAAAACTTCTCTGAGAATTCTCTCAAAAAATTCTTTTCATACCGCTACAACTAATCCACTTGGACCATTATAATTATCAACCCAACCCTAAATAATAAACAGCAAAATAAATCATAAAACTGATGTGATTTTCATCGAAATTACTGGTATTGGTTCACGCCACGATGAGCCAACAATCGATGGTCGTATAATAGCTAACGGTAGATCTTTTGCTTCTTGGGAAAGAATATATTCTGCAAGTGCTTTTGTAAATGTGTATGTATTGGGTCTATCGCTTATAATTTTGTTTGTCAATGCATCGAATACGTGATCGTCCATCCATTCGCTAGCTTCTAATAATTTCGCTGGTTGAATCGGTGGTGGATAAATCATTTCTGCCACATCATTACGATTACAATTTGCATAAGCTGTTGATACATGAACAATAGACTATTTTTTTTAAATCATAAATATGAAATATTCTCTTTTTTCAGTTCTTTTTACTTGTAGTTTTTTCATTTTATGGCATAGAGCAAGTAATTTCTTTACAGATGCAACGTTCATTTGTATTGCAAGTCTAAAAAGAAATCATCGTTTACGAATAAGTGTTTATCTATCGTTTTAGAATTTTCTACCGAAGTGGTTCTTGAAATCGAACAGTTGCTGCTGAATGAAATACAACTTGACATTGTTCAATTAATAAATTTTCATCTGCTGGACTAAGACCAAAGTTCGGATCGAGTATGTCACCTTGTAAAGCACTTATTTTATCGTCAAAATTTGGATGCATTTCTCGAACTGTATTAAATAACTAAATTTCACAAAAATGAAAAATTTCCATTTTAATTTATTTTAAATTCAAAATCTTACAGGGCTTGATAATAATTCTTTGACTCGATCTTTAACAGCATGGCCACGTTTTGGTCGTACAAGAAGATAAATATGTTCGATATCTAGGTTACAAAATTTTAAAAAAATGAGATTTCTTCGGATTAAATTTACCGGGACATGATCGTACGAGTTTTTCCACAAGTTGCTTTCCAATAAATCTAAATAAATAATTACAGTCGACAACGAACTTTATATCGGCATCGCTTACCCTGTTGCACCAGTAATAAATATTGATTTTCTTTTAAAATATTCAATAATTGCACTTGCTTCTGTACTAGCCGACATAATAGCTACGGAAAAAAAAACTCTTAATCTAAATAAGTAGAAGAACGATACTATCACAAATAATAGATAAATACGAAATACGTCAAATTTCCACGTAAACACAAAAAAAAGCACAATATCACAAAAAGAAAACAGAAACTGAGATAGACATCACTTCCATGAACAATATATATTGATGGAAATAATGGTATCAGAATGTAATCACAATGCATGAAAGACATTGACACGTTGTTAATTGAAATACAAGAAGAAAAGCTCTCGATTGATATAACTAATAAAGACAACAGTAAAAAAAAACGTTTTCTAGATTATTAAAAAGACAACATATATCACATTTATGAATTTTCGTTTTTGTTCTTGACCATGTCTAAATCTATCATAACAGTATGAATAATAATCTTGTAAGGTCTTTGTTTCACTTACTAATTGTTATCATGAATAAAGAAGACAAAAGAAAAGATTAATTGCAAGCCATAGGATTTATCTATAGAATAAAATGAAAATTGATTGAACTCTAGAGCTCTCATTTTTTTTCTTTTATTACCGTCGATTGTATCTTCCACTTGTTGATGGTGGTGTTAAACGTGTACCCCGTTCACGGTCACGACCACGATAATCATGACCATTTGATCGATCAGCAGCTGATGGATAATAATTACCACCCATATAATCATCATATCGGCGCGAATAGGATGGATACATGGGCATTCCATGACGAAAATAGGTTGGTGCAGGTAATCGTGCCGGTGAACGAGACCTAAAGTTCCGTATGAACCAAATCCAATTCCATTATCAGTATTTTTTCTATATCTCCTTTTTCCAATATCAAAATACCGTCCGAAACAACCAGAACCCAGAGAAAGTACCTTTTTTTTTCAATATTATACATAAATATCTGCTTATTTTTCTTTTTCTATTATGTCTAACTCCACAGCTGATATTAGTATCCATCCATACCTCGAATATCGATTGTTTGACGATGAATATCGACCATAATTGTCATCTCGACGACGAGATGGCCGTCCTTCAGTCATTAAACGTTCACAATCACGACTAGAAAATAATTATTAACAATTAAATTCTTTCCTATGTACTTCCTCAAAATCATACCTAAAATGGCCTCGTTGCCCACATTTATAACATCTCATATTTGGATCATAACGTTGAGAACGATTACGTGTTCGTGGCCGAGCCCATGTTACTTTTAAACGATTACTGCCAAATGATCTTAATCCAATAATAATTGTCAAGATTTTTCTTTGTAACACGTTTTCTAGTCTATCTATATATATCATACCTTCCATCCATCTGATCAATAGCTTTTTGTGCCTCTTCTTTTTCTTTATAAACAACAAATGCGAAACACGATGCGCCTGCAACCCAAACATCCAATAACGTACCATAACGTTGAAATTCTTTTCGTACTTCGCTTTCATGTACGCCCTGTGGTAATTCAGCAATATGAATACGATATTCATTGGGTCGTTCATTTCCACTATCGTGATCCGATACTGGTGAACGTGATCGTCGTGTTGATGGTGTTGAACTGCGTGACCGAGAACATGATCGGGGCATTTTTTTTAATGGTATAAACAAAGAATTAGACTAATCAAATACTAAAATATAATGATAGAGAATTCATTATGATTAAATTTGTTCATTTTATCGAACAGTGGCAAACACAGAACAAAGCACAAAGTCGAATTGAAATACAAACAAAACAATAACACACATACAACACATAGAGAACGCTAAGCGATCGATACAATGTCTTAATTTTCTTTTCATTAATTAATAAAACATTGAATGATTTTGAAACTATGTTCGAGGTGGACTAAAAACAAGAAAATTGCAATATTTTATTTTGAAACAATGATATATCTGCGCAGGCTCACGTCCAGTGAGAGATATGTTTAATCTTTACCTGGAAAAATAACCAGAACCATTGTCACGTGATTTATAATTCGATCTTGGTGGTGATCGTCGACGATATTCTCGAATAACACGTGGACGAGGTGAACGTGAACTAAATATGTAGAAATAAATTTATTATAAATAATTTTTTTTTTAAATTTTACATACCGAGATCGAGAATGCGATCGTTCATAACGACGTTCTCGCGAACGTGACCTAAATAGAATGGTAATACATTTTTGAAAATTTTCTTTTCTTTCACGCATAAAACTCACTTCAAAAATATAAACAACTAATTCTACTCATTGAAAAAAAACCACAGGTTCTCAAGAATTTACCTTAATCCATCGTCAAATTTAAAACCAGACCCACGCATTTTTAATATGTATCCCATCCAAGACCATATTGATGATCCCAGTGTGATATATATATTAGTTTATTCTCTCCAATTGTTTTGGCCACTCCATTAATAAAAAAAACTCACCGATATCCATTGCCAGATCGTTTCTTGTTTTGTTGTTCACTACCACAATCACGACTGAAATGTCCACGGCCGCCACATTGATAGCATCGCCTTTAATGATACATAAATTTCATTTCATTCATAAGACGATTAATATTCTTACTTGTTTGGATCAAAATATCTTCGACCACCACCACCGCCACCACTAGCACGTATACGTGGTCGAGCTAACGTGACACGAACACGTGCATCACCAATATATCTGGAAAAAAACTTGTTTTTCTTTTTTTTTATAAAATATCAAAATAAATTTTTACCGGCCATCAAGTTCATTAATTGCTGGTTGAACATCATCATGATTACGTAGAACAACAAAAGCAAAACATGATGCTTGAGCATGCCAAACTTCAGCTATTGGCCATTTTTCAAATGCTTTTTCAATTTGACGTTTCGTACAATTTAATGATAAATCAGCAACATGTAACCGAGAGTTATTGTTATCGTCTTCTTCCTGATCATTATTGTTACGTCTTGGCGAACGTGAATGACGACGATACGATGATGTTACTGGCGAACGTGAACGAGAACGAGAATAGGAACGTGGCATATTGGAAGTTTCAATGAGCAATATTAGTTAAAAAATAATTGACATATAATACAATGTGTTTTGTTTTTGAGAGAATGAACTAAATAAACAACTATTCTTATTGGTGAAAGAATGTATAGGGTGAAGAATTTGTAATTCTAAATTTTAATAGTCATTATAATATTAATTATTTACTATTGTTCAAGTTAGTTTTTAATAAAAACTCTATTACAATTTTAATAGATGGCGCTGCAGGGCAAATTCGAAAGTCGGAAGATGAATAGAGAAAAAAAAGGTTATTGCTTTCACGTTCTGTTCTACCGACGGGCGTGCAAGTTGGTTTTTTCCTTTTTGAATAGAGAACGAGGAGCAAAAGCAACAACAACTCATTTGTTATAAAAAAAAATTGAAAGTAACACGTTGAGAAAAATGTCTGATAAATCACAGCGAACACCACCACCAGACTCGCTTCTGGCACAATTTACGAAATCAACCACTGCTGGATATCAACCCCAACCACAAGTGACAGCATCGACATATTCACAAAATACTCAAAAACCAACAACAACAACAACAACAACAACAACATCGAATCAAATAGCCACCAAACTTTCAAATACATTTCAACCATTGGCATCACAGCTCATTGATTTAAAAACATTTAAAGGTTTCAAATTCGTTACACTCGATGGTTTAGTCATAGAGACGCGTGATATTTATGATAAAATAAGTGGTACATATCAATGGGAAATGTGTGAAAGTCAAGAAGATCGATGCATCGATTTTATTCGTGATAAATGTGCTAATAAACGAACATTTTTCATTTGTTCTGGTGGCCTGGGAAAAAATATTGTACCTAAAATTCATGAGCTACCACAAGTTTATGCAATTTATATCTATTGTGCTGATGTTATATTTCATCAAGAATGGGCAAGTAAATTTCCAAAAATTCGTGTTGTTTGTAATGATGATGACAAAGTTTTACTGCCTCAACTTGCTGTCGATGTGGCACAAGCTAATGTTGATTGGGGAAATGCACTTGTCAAAGAAGGTAATCGTATTGCAGCTAAAGGAAAATTTGAAAAAGCATTAACAAATTTAACTGAATATGCTAAAAAGCCTGATCAAAATATGATTCATCAAGTCATTCGTAAATTGGAAGAATTAAAATAAATGGATATTCCAGTGTTAAAAACTGTTGTATTTTTTTTCTCATGCTTGTATTCAATATGATGTGAATAAAATTTGTTTAATTTTAGGTTTAAAGATTTTTTCCCATGAGTTGATTTATGAGACAAGGAAATAACGCAAGGGTGAAAAGCAGCTCCTGGTTCCTTGGATTCTACTGGATTCCTATGGATCTTGGTGGATATTTGAAGATCAGTATCTGCTCCTTATCGCTGTCGCTTTCTTTTTTTTAGTCGAAAATAATGACTTATCCCGTTAGACAAATTTGCTTTTTAAAGTTTTCTATTGTAGCTTGTTCGCATTATATTCGTCTTCGCAACATAAAGTTAGAGTGATGAATTTATTATCTGATACAGAGACTGATAAAATAATTGAAAATTGTATGGCAAAACGAAGTTGATCGCTATTTTTCTTGATGATTCTGAACTAAAAAGACGGTTCTTCGTGTGGAAGGAGCTACTAGAACAGTCTGAATCTTACTCTAACTGTAATCACTCAACAACAATCATGCAGATGTGGAATTGATCCATTTAATGATATATGAGGAGAGTGTTCAAATTCCATCCGGGGATGTAATACTCCCGTTCTAGTGTAGTCCATACATGATGTTTGGGAGTATGGCGCCATTTATTCTCATGGTACCTATTACCTTTATCTTTCTGTCCTTTATATTTCTCTTTATCTCTTATTCTTCTTCGTTCTCTCAAATGGTTGAGTATTTAAATGTGTGCTTTATATGTAATCAGGGCGATTTTGTGATTTGAAGAGTTAAATAACGTGTAATACCATCAGCATAGGCATCTCTTCTATCTAAAAATCGTTACAATCCATGGCTAGTAAATGTATAATCTGTGAGGAACAGCTCCTAAACTTGGTTTACTAAGAAAAACACAATAAAATTAACGGAGATAACTTTAAATTGTTAGTTCTATTACTGATTACATAATGAGTTGAAATTTGAGGGTGTGGGTGTTATAATGTTTAAATATCGATACTCAAGGTGATAAGATTATAGTTAATAGTGTCAGGACTCCCGTTCCATTAGACTCTGTTCCCAAAGAACAGAAGCACAATTGAATATTCTTTTTCACGCATTTTGGACAATTCAGAGATATTTACACATGCTTATTCTTACAGTTTGTATCAAGTTACTATGCGTTACTGAATTCCAACGAGCGGGAACTCATAATGGGCTCCTGAGCACTCAAAACTCTTTCCCGATTGCCGATACAAGCTAGTCAAAGTGAATAGGTAATCGTGGAAGAGTTGAGATGCTCATGTGTATTTAAAATCGCGATACAAGTTGTATCCGTATTTGCGCAGTCCTCCGTCTTTCTGTTAAGAAACTGTGGTAATGCTAGCTAATCTATCGGCAGTCACCGTTGATTTTTCATGTTGTCATCCACTTCATCGTTAGTCTCAAACATTGTATCCCTAAAAATCAAACCCCTCATTTATGATATCTTTGCCGGAAAGTAGCTAGGTTTTCCTCACTCTGTACTGGTTTGGAACTAATGGCTATTTGCTTTAATTTTCACACTTTGTTGATCTAACAAATACATTATTGCATAATAACATTTATGACTTCATCATCTCTATTTTAAATCCTCATATTGCTCACAGTGAATCGTCACTGTTGAAAGATTCCTGTCCTCTTCATATTGATGACGACATATGTAAGTATAGTGGCAAACTATGTAGTAAGTAGCAATGGTTCATGTATTTTTTCACTTTTTGCTATAGCTAGGACTCTCTACTGATATTTGAACCGATCGTTGTAAACCAAGTCATATTTATGTACTTGTTAGAACTTAGCAATTTAATATGAAGAATTAATTAATACACAGACAAATTCATCGGTAGAAACAAAATAATATTCGTTTTTTCAACAGTATTGCCTATATCACAAAAAGACTAAATAATCTTTTCAGGACCATTGTAACACATTCTCAGTCATAGAATAATATGAAAAATAAATCCTTCGGTTCTTCTCTTTTTGTGTACAATAAAATCTGTAAGTTTTTTTTCTACGCAGTTAGATTCAAGAAACGATCGATAGGTCATTTAGATCTATGAAAAAATGCGGGTGTGGGTGTGTGGCTGTATTCTTAACTCAACCACATCTACACCCTCAAGATTAATAGATTTAACCTCAGTAAGACAATCAAGAGGCTAATTATATTCGAAGCACATCATTAATGTAATCTTTCGCGGATTTTCTTTTACATTTCATACTTTCAATGCGTGTGTACCAGAGCTCCGCGGGACGACTAAAAAGTGGTTCCGTTCCGTCCCGTCCCGTAGTATTTTAATGTATAAACACAATCCTTTCTTTTTATGTAAAAAGGTAATTGAAACATACTAGCTGATTCATAGTCTTTTGTTCAATGCAACTCATTCGTTTTACTATTTATATATTACACGATAGCGTTTACATGAAAAACATTTCCACCACAATGGCATTGGCATAAGAAAATCGCTATTAAAAAATACATCGTTAAGATTTGTTCGATTAATTCAAGATCTATGCTCCATCATAGTAAAACTAGCTATGAAGGGACGTGAATGAATTTTGGGTTCTAGAACTGATTCGTTTGTCAGTACCAAAGTTCATCAACAATTATTAGTTCACCCAGATCGATGATTCCGAACTCAGGAACCGACGTGTGATCACAAGGAATACAAACGGAACACGCGACGGAACTAACTAAATCCGAGCGATTCCACCTGGGAAAATTTCGGAACTTTCAATCTTCCTGAGATCTTGCGCAGATTTCCCGTCACCGTCACACCTCCTCGTCCTTGATGTTTTTCATAAATAGAATGAATCGGGCGTTCAAATATTTGAAATTGAAAGGGTAGATTGGGGAAGATCTTTACAGATGCTTCTGAGTGAAACACAGTAAATGAGACTTAGATAAAAAAAAAAAGCTCTAACAAGTGGTATGAATTAGATCATTAAATATCTGAGATAAGAATTATTATGGTAGGAAGAGCTTTCAATGCCTCTACCGTTAAAGTGTTAGTAGTTATGCTTTGCAATACCTGCTAGAAGTGCATTTGATAGGTATAAAATATTGAAATTGATGAATTGAGACTACTTTTTGCTGCTGAAATACAATGGTGAATTGATAGTCGGCACAAAGAATCAGTTGAATTTATCTGCGTCACATTGTCTTTAACGGATTTACAACACTCAAGCATGAAATAGTTATGTTCGACAAGATTTTGCTTAGTTGTTACCGTGAGAGATCTTTTTTCTCTTAATGAGTGAGACTTTAAAATGGCCTAATTATCAATTAATTAGCCAAAACGAACGCTGAAGATCATGTAGCGAGAGTGGTAACTGGTGAACAGATTAGTGGGAATAATGTTTCATAGAAGGGCGGGAAAGTACTTCTATCTTTCGGTTTTGAATCAGTTAGGAGGATATATTAGTGCGTAGCAATAAATATAGGATTCTTTTTTATTTGTGAAAGTACGTAGATAAAAGCATAAGTTGAATCACCATTGCCGTCTATATTCTTAATTGTGAAGTGGGGTAAGATTTTTTTGCTTTACTTTTAGTTATGAATTTGGAAAGGTGTTTGTTTCGAGCAGTACGTCTAATAAAACTATTTTGATTTTTTCAAAGAATAGTCCAATGACACTTTGATTACGGAGTCTTTTGTCATATTTTGTTTCCCTATGACTGAGTCTATTCTGAATGTGGGTGTGAAATAAATATAATCTCACGTCAATTACACATAGCTACTGCTGATTGAACTTTCATTGCGATTTTAGTTAATTTTCGATCCATATTACTGCTAAAAGTGGTACGATTAGAATAATGAACTAGCTATGTTAGTGTGTGCTGTTCTATTTATAGGGCCAATATCATCTATGTCTGAATAGTTCGTGTTATGTAATCTGATTAGCCAAGCTGTTTGTGAGACTTTCTGTTAGTGAAAGATAGAAATATCACGATATATAAAGAAACCATAAAAAGTCTTGATTGTCACTGCAAAGACATCTGGAGATCTTCGAGTTCGCTATACCCTTAAGAGACTTCCTAAGTGATAATTCACTTTCGGTAACATATTGCTTGAATATATAGAAAAAAGAAAATATTTCAGTCAAGATACAGTAGGTCACATATATTGTGATTTTCCATAGCTCTTTAATGTGCACCAGCATCAGGTGTACGCAGGTGAGAATCGAAAGGGAACAAAAGAGATTGTAGTTATCCTTATCGCTGTTATGGAAATGTCATCTGATATGCTTTGCTGAATCATAGGAAACGACGGAAAAGTTTATCATTTATTGATGTCTTCTGTGAGATCATTTTAGAACGGAAGTGAAACTATATGTATTTGTTCTTCTCGAATTAAAATGAAATTCACGTATCTGACAGACATTATGCATTGAGTAGAGTGAGGAGTAGAAAAGATTATGATTAATTTTAATAAATAAGAAATCGATTACATTGTTAATACTGTTCTTTTTTTAATTCGAAGTCTATTAAAGATTATACCACCTCAGTCTTTTTTATATGTAAAAGCTAGGTTAAAATCAATCTTAATCTCAATCTCACTGTAGCTAAAAATCTATCTTCATACTATTTGAATATCTTATGAATTTGTTCGACTCTAATCGAGTTCGTTTTGAATGACTTCTTATTTCATTTTAAAGGTTAAAAATATTAGACAAAAATCTCAGTAAAGTTAATCAGCATTTCAGCAATATTCAAATGAAGCTATTCGTACAATTAAGGCATTTTATTAAAAAATAATCGAACAACGCAAACTCTATCAATCGATAACTTTGATGTACTTGAATCATGGTAGAATCGTTATTGACATAAAATTGATTACAAACGACTCAGATTAAAGCAGGTTGGTTACGAGCTTCAACATTAACACATAAAAAATTCATTACATTTGATGCTTATTGTAAAGTTTCTACATTAGGTTATCGTCCAATTTAAGGGTGTGGATGCACACAAT